GACGGGTTATTCATCACCATCGCACCAGCGATCATTTCAGTTAGGAGTAAAGACTGCGATGCGCAAAAGCCGCCAATCATTTGGTACCATAGGCACGCTCGGGTAATGATGAAATGCCAATAAAACTAGCGCTCTCCAGGATCAGTATGGTTCGGCAGGTTTCTGGGCATCAAAAATAAAACAATCAAAACCTTTAATAAACCACTTGGGGGCCATTACTAAACTATCTTAGGGAGGTGTTTTAGCTGCTGTTTAGTCCTTAATGCGGCTGGATCCGTTTGTTAAGGAACTACTCCTGATAGAGTAAGGATCGGGATGAATCATGATGGAGACTTGGGGGGGTAAATATTGGCAGAAGGGGGCAAATCGTCTCAGGTTTCCAGTAGAGAACCACCCAAGTATGTTTGTCTTCTGGGCGGGCTTAACACGGTGGATTTTGAAGAAACATGGCTCGGGACTTGGTGCTCATCCTCAAAACCTGGCAAATGGCCCCGAGTCTGGACTTCGGATAGAATATATGTGGATACAATGTACTATTAGGTACAGTAGTTGGTTATAGGGAACGCGTGGCCAAGAATTTAGATCCATCATATGTTAGGTCTACTGTCTGTAAGGTCTTCCAAACTTGGTCAATTTTTGGCTTTTGCTGCTCGGACGGATGGCCCCATACATATCGTCTTGAATCATTCTTGATTCATGAATCATCAGAGCTCTGGTGGGTCAACTCAAATTGACTCAGGACGTGCTGCAATCTAGAGAGTATCTGAACAAGGAGAGTAGTCATTGCAGACTTACGGAATATTCAAAAAAGTGTGCTCGGTAAGGTAATGTGTGCAACGGACTATGAGCGAGAAGTCGGCGATGTTCCGCCCCCACAGCCTGGCATTTGGCCCAGTTGGGGAGCTCTGGTATCGCAGTTACCACGGGATTTGCTGCCCTCTTGCTTTTGACATGATATGCAAAAGGAAGGATTGCGCTATTCAACCTTTAGTTGGCAAATTTCTGCTAGAGATCTCGTTATCGTGAATGGGGAGGAGCATTCTCCCTTAAAATGGCCCCAAACGTAAAGATACATATCATGTTTCATATCGAATGCTGGCGATAATGTGTGGATAATGATATGGATGGATCTATAAGGCTGGCCGCTTCTATTGATCCTGGATGATAATCCTTCAAGGCGGGCAAGCCACGCCTTGCTCAGAGGCATACGATATGAGAAGAATGATTGGTCTGGCAATTGAATAATACATTATATCGAGATCGAGTTTGGAAACAAACATTTGACCGAGGGTTTTGCATATACGGTTGTTATCTACAAGCGAATATGTAGGTGCATCTTTTCGTTAACAGATGGTTACCTTCACTTCTCGGTAGAAATGACCGAACCCAATTACAAAATCAACCCCCTCTTTGCCCGCGATAAGGTTGAGCATGTGGGTGCAACCACCCGATGCTTCAGACCCCTTGAAGGCTGTATGGGCAAATCTCGCATACGGAGCAATTTGATGCGCTGAAAGAGGATCCAGCAAGCGAGAGCCGAAACTGAAGCCAGCTCGAGGCCAGCGGGGCCCAGATAAGAGCCAAGCATGCAGACTAACCCAGATAGGAAAAAGGGGGACTTCCCCTAAACGTGCATCGAGAGGGGGAATAAAAGGGAAACACAAATAATACCGTAATTATGAACAGGCTTGTAAGTGAAGAAGAATCGATCCCCTTTAACCCTTTAGCCACATCCCTACGCACCCATGATTTGCCCCCTAATCTGATCGTCCAGACTGAGTATGTCCACTACCGTGGCCCGTGGGTGCCACTCTTTACACTTCGATGGAATTATCCGGAGACTAGATCTTGTTAACTCCGTATAGAAGACTTCTGGATCCACAATATTCCTGTGCAAAATTACAAAATTACCAGCTTGGCCCCAAGGCGGGCAGCATTTTACTTGGCTACTGTAGTATGTATCCGCTGGCCTTATGGAGAAACTACGAAGAAGCCTATGAAAGAACCCTGCAGCTCCCGACCAGCTGGATGCGATGGACAGGCCCATTTTCAGCCCTTCGGCTTGCCTGGCTCTAAACCTTCTTGGGAGGCCGTCATTCACGGCCGAAACTTCGGCGGAGAGTGTCCGGGGTTGTTGAGATAGCAGTTATATACATACTGGATTTAGCAAGTAGATAACTTGGTTCATGATAAACCTTGTTACTCTAAAAAGTCGAGTTGAGTGCATTAACCGACCGATCCGACCGATAAAGTCTAGTTTGTTAACCCCGACGTGCCCATCACGAGTGTATGTAAGTAGGCTAATGACTAGGCTAGAACCGGATGCACCAACGGCGCGAAGAGCCGTTCTTTGACTCGACCCGTTCCACCTCCGTTCTTCTTATTCCCGGGCCCAGCAGTCTGGTGCCTAGCGCTCCTCGTGGCATAGCGTCCAAGGAGCGAGCGTTTTATCATTCGCCGTTTCGAGGCGGCTCTTGCTCCGGCACGGGGGACAGAATTGGCCCGTCGGAACATCGCCAATCCGAGTCTTTTGCAGCGGTTGGCTTGAATCGTGGTTGGCGGGTGGTATGTTGGAGGGGGTTTGGAGGCTTGCAGGGTTTAACGTGCAGCCAAAGCAGCAGCAGGTAGCCACATCAGTCACAGGCATTAATAGTTACGGGGTCTAAGTACATTTCGGTACTAGGCCGGCTGCGGGAAGGCAGCAGGTCGCAGCGCTAACCACAAATGTGCTGGCTAGTCAGTCAAACCGCCTCACTAGATTGGTTGGCTCGTAGAAACGTGTACGGAGTATACAAAGCGTGGTCCGTGATAGGTTATGAGCTAAGCACCTAACCCATCTTAATCACCGTATGGTAATTATTTGATGGGCATGCTAAATGGTTCCGGCCCTCGTGGGCTGCTGCAGCTTTGGAGGCGCAGCAGCAGGCCGTTGTTGCCTCCACATGTGAAATCGGTTCAGCCCTTCGCCCAAAAAGGTATGCGTATGTATGTATTGACAAGGACTGAAGCGTTAGCGAGAGCGGGTTTTGGCTGTGCTTTAGACTCGGATTACATCATTAGACTAATGTACTGTACTACTGTCGTTGCTGGGTTCGGCTTTCGGCCTTTAGCAGAAAACTGGACCCGAGAAGTTAATCTGCTAATTAGCAAGCATGATTAACAACCCGCCTTTGCGGAGTACACCTACCGCAGTGGCTTAAGACATGGAGTTCGACCACAGGATGAGTGGTTTGGCGGAGGGCTGCGGATCGAGGAGCGCCATATTCTGCTCAGGTTCATCTAAGTTCGAGGTTAATTCCAAATTCAAATACTTCACATCCCCAAAGCCTCATAGGCCACAGTACAATCTGGGGAGTATGGGGACGTGGAATTCCATTTTCTGCATTGATCCTCCTGCAAAATAACCCGGTGGACTGGATGTAGTTTCCGGTCGGCCACATGGTCGTACCAGCCGACATGAGACGACTACAGGGTACTGTCTAGGGTGCTCTGCATGCTAGGTAGATAAAGATGAACAGAATACAAAGTACGTAGCATCCATTATCAGTAAGAGGCTGGAGATAGGGCTAAAAACAAATTGTATCTCTAAAGATGAAGTCAGCGAAACAAATCAAAGAAGGCTGAAGAAAGAGGGCTGAAGATGCCATGGCGATCTCGATGCTCCTCGAACGTCCTAAATGGGAAAAAGAAGGATGTTTCATCGCCGTTGAAATTCGCTTGAACAGGTTGCCATCGTGTGCATAATTATTTCACTACGATAGAACAGGCTAGTCAACCAACATGTTGTGTATTTGGTTATTCAGTTAATTACCGTATGCCCAATTCGGCATGTTGTACATTTCCCAATCCGTCGGGATTCGGCGCTCCACTTCTAGACAGGCCCCGGGCTTTCGCCCTCCGCCCTCCGGAACCCTTGCGGCCGCGGGGAGAAGGGTAGCTATTGTAGCTCCGGTGATGCCTATGTGTCTATAAGCAGCGACATGAGCAAAAAGTGGGCAGAGATCTACTAGGCAACTAATATTTCGAAATACGTACACTCTCAAGAACAACGTGGAATGTAGGAAGCCTGAAAATCCCGCAGGATTGGGGGCCAAGCGGAGTTTTTGTCCCCCGCAATGGAGCCAATCGCCGCCGTCGATCGAAAGGTTATTATGAGTCTGGCCCTAAGACAGAGCTAGCGGGCTAGCAGCGGTGGTAGAATTGCACTCTAGGCTGTCTCAAATTGCTGCGCAAATATTAATAGCTACCAGAGTGGTTCAGGTGAATACGAACATTACCGAGAAAGTCATAGTGAGTGCATTAGCACTTCAATCTAGATACTTGAATATGGAAGGTGGTAATCAAAAATGAAATGAGGTGAAATATTGGCATTTGCTCCTGTATTCTAGTTCCGTTATCAATCGTAATGATCTTCCGCTTCCCAAAAAATGAAAATGAACTAAATCCCGAATTCCCGTTTCCCACGGTAAACACCAGAACTCGTAGTATACCCGTATACCAATACACGGTCCGGCCCAAGAAAAATAAAACACAATGATAATACCAGAGAGAGAACTCGAGAGACTCATAAACGCCAAGATGATGCTCGCTCGTCACGCATGTCCCCGCAGGGGGCAGGGTCATGATAAAGAAAACAAAAGTATATAAAAACAAGTCGAAAAGTAAATAAAAAAACCCGCGAACCAAGTGGAGATAATGCGGGCCAAGAAATAACAGAACGAAGACACCGATCATCGAAGAATAGAGGGTAGTCATAACGTGGTACCCATTTCCTTTTTAGCTCGACTAAACCAGATGCCTAACAAAGTAGGAGGAGCGGAGTAGGGTCTGACCTAGCAGGGCGGAACTACCCGCAGGCCGAGCCGTTGTGGTAGTTGTACGCGTCCCTGCCTGCCGAGTAGTCCCCTTCACCTAAATGGCAATGAGAGTGAGTGGCGAAGGAGCGCACTGATCCGATCCTGGCCTTTTCGACTGAAGCAATAATTTTGATTCAAATTAAATCATTGTCGCAGATCATACTCGAATAGACCATGCATCGAGCGCGGCGAACATGGGGGTGACTCGGGAGTCAAGGGAAACGTAAAGATCGAAGCTTCAGGCGAAGCCGTCGAAGTCGAAGCTGCACGATGATCATGTTCTTGACTATGGGCAGGACCATGTGTATAACCGTAAGAAAGCGAGGGCACCTGCGTGCAGAAACAACAGAAGATATTAGCTTTCTCGTTGTCCGGTCGAAAAAGATCGCATGTTTCCAAGATGAAAGATAAAGGAAATAGAAAATGTGCCTGCAGTCGAGAATCCGTGAAATTTGGAATTTGGGACTAGCGAGGGAAATGTACCGGAAGGCTTTGTTCTGCGTGCTGTTGCGGTACTAGGTCGATGCCTGCCATTGTTGCGTAGCTCATGCCGAATGGGCTCATCATGTCCTCGTCGTATGGCTTGCGGCCTATTCCCGGCGCGCCCACCATCGGGACTACGCTAGGAACTGGTTCACCATACTCGGCGAACGAAATGTCGCTGTATGAACTTGGGACGGTGTGATAAACTGGCATTTGCCCGTAGCTGGGCCGATAGCCGTCGTAAGATGGTAGTGGTGGGTAGGAGAAGACTGGTGGCGGCGAGGCGGATAGTTGGCGGGTACATTGTTGTCCGAACATACCGCGCTCATCTTGTGTGGTGTTATTGTAATACTCATAAGAGGCTGGGCGCTCGGCTGTTGGGGCGTGTACTGAGTGCGCTTTGTTGTCGGTGGCTTTGGCTCGTGGTTGTTTCGAGCGAGCCTTGTTAGGCGCAGCTTTGGGAGGTGCCACCGGCTCAGCGTGTGAGGCTTCTGGGGAGGCGGAAGATGCTGCACGGCGCTCTAGATCCTCCAGTCTTCGCTTCAGCTTCTTGCCTGTGGGTGTGGTTAGTAGAATGAACACCGGGTGGTTTGGGGACTCGCGAAGGGAATACTAACGGTAGTTTCGTTGGGCAATGCGGTTTTGAATGCGCCGACGCTCTGCAAGATCGGAGATCTTGGTCCAGTCCTCATTTGGGTTTGCGTTGGGACTGAAAGCGCTGCTGTTACTGTGACTAGAGGAACGATGCATTGTGGGCAGGCAGTAGCTGTAGTGGTAATAGTGTATAGTATAGATCTGTTTGGTGATGTGGGGAAGAAGAATGTATCGATAGAGACGGATAGTAGTATATGATATACGAAGTAGTAAAAGGTGTATATGTATAAGAGTAAAATCAAAGGTATGAGAAGAGGTTCGAGATGATTAAGACAGAGAGGGGGGCGTTTAGATTGATTATATAGCATCGGGGGTTCGGAGTACGGGAGGAGTGGATAGTTCACCATAGGCAGAATGGGGCTCCTAACCACGTCGATCAGCTGGGTTGATTTCCTCGGGCCTTTTGGGGCCTTGCATGGGCACGACATGGCCTTGGGCCGTGGGCTAAGCCCCGTCGCGATAAACCCGTGCACGTCCGTAGTTAATACCCTGGTCCAGTCCAGTCGAAGCTTGGTGCAGGGGAGCCAAATTTGTAAAAAATGAATAATTTCTGGAAATATAATTTAAAAAAAATAAAATCACGGTATTTTTCTTTTTCGAATCTATGATTTGCTATGAGTAGTCCCAGAGACAGTGAATCATGCTAAATCATCCTGATTTATTCCTCTTAGACCCAGCCCTCGCTCTCTAAACCTATGTAAGTAAGTCAAGACGATTTCCCTTTAACTACTATATTTGATTCCATATCAAATTATTTTATTTTCAGATGCAAACTGTAATTCATCCCTACGCAGCCATCTCACACTAAATTACTTCCAAATTACTTCCTCATAAATACAATTAAATGAGCGTTACGCGCATGGGCAGGCAGGGATGGATCCGGGCTGCAGTTCAGCCTCGACTGGGTCCAGGACATCTTGGGCCACCCTCCTCCACCCACCAATCTGGGCCACGTTTTTCGATTCCCTGAAGGGCTGCACGGGGGGCATCATTTGTGAGAGGTACTCTAGAAGGCAGAAGGTGGAAAAGTAGATAATACAAAGAGTATTGATCTACCTTGACTTAGCACACCTACCATATCTTTTTTTTCGGATTTGTGATCATGATTCATGATTTCGGCCCCGATGGCTATTGCTTGCGCCCCTCTCTTCTTTCTCGCCCTATTAAAAAGGGCCCCCCGACTTCGTCATTTTTTCCTAAATCCGAGCTCGGGCAGTGGGGGTTATCGGGGGCCTTTAGTCATCTACGATCGCGAAACCATGGTTAAAGTAGGAAGATCAACTACGTGGGGTATTTAGAAATGTATATTCATTGAATACTACTTCACTGGAGTTGAACAGGGAATAATACGGGCGGAGTCAACTATGTTGTACATATACGAGCGACCATGCAGTAGATAGCATGGAAGAAATAGAAGCCATCGCCTGGTAATCCTCGGAGAACAAAATAGGAGAGTGGTGGTGCGGGGGGGTTGTGCCAAAGTCCTAAAGTGCCAAAAGTGCATTCTGGCCCAGAGCAACCTTCGCCTACGGCGTTCTGACTGGTCCGAGACATGACACGACGAGGCCAGGGGGGAAATGATGAAACGGGAAATGCGCGGATGCATCAATGTGTCCATGAGGATGGTTACACTAACATTTCCTGTCTCTCACGTGGGTGCGGGAGCTGAAGGGAGGAACAGACAGGACCAGGAAGGATTCAAGGAAATTTAGTTTAGACTAGAAGGGTATGAGTATGGGTATAGTGTACGAGAGTATATACCGATTGCGGTACGGCCTTTTCATTGATGGGATCTGTCCCCCCTAACGTGCATTTCCAGTGGAGAATTGCCGGGTCAAGTTAGATCTACTGTTTGGAATCATTCGACTTGAAACGAGTTGGGCCAGCTGGAAAGTACTATAAACACTTTAGTAGGTGAACTGAGGCTAATTAGATTAATGATCGATTGATTAGCTGATTATCATTAATGAATTGATCGAGTAGGGAGTACTGTATCCTATTACGTGGGCGAGGAAGAGACGGAGGTACGCCGTAGACTCTCCAGTTCCACTCCAGCTGAACCAAGAGCAAACCCGAATAGGCTAGTGTTGCGCAGTGGGCCGTGGGCCGTGGGAAAGAGCTGGGGGCCCTGCCACGTTTTTGCGTTGTCTCGTCGGCCGCACTCTCTTGGCAACGGACTAAGGGGGATAAAGATCTGACCCAACGGGTTGCGCTGATCTCGATGATCATGGTTAGTCTCGACTTTGATCTTATGTGCTTCTACAAACTATATTTCACTTTGCTTCTGCGCAGATCAGGAAAGTCCCGTTTCTTAATGAGGATCTTTTCTCTTTGGAGATATAATAGACGTACCACTTCAAAACCCGGAGTCCGACTTGCGATCGGGTAGATTAGAAGCGGGGAATGAAAAGAAGGGAAAGACCGAAAATATCAAGGAAAATGATAGAAAAAAGAAAACCAATTTCCTATAATGGGAACTATTGCTGTACCAGACGTCGGTATATCGTGGTATAATACATTTATCCTATCAGTAATTGTTCGATAAACCATGGGCGAGGAAGCATCCAGAACCGGTCCATTTCCAAGCCATTTAAACGTCGAAAACAAGTGGGGGAAAGGGAAGCGAGTGTAGAAACACCACCTAAAGTGCCACCAACTTCTGGACTCGGAATTTGTACAAACAGTAGGTTACCAGAAACAAAAATAGGAAAAAATAAAAGGAGGGGGAACCGCAACGAACACACTCATGGGGCCAATCGAGTATCGCCTAACAGTTCCCAATTTTGACGGGGTCCAAAACGGGCTTGTCTTGCGATTGGGCCGTTCGTATGTGATTGGTGCTATTAATGGCGCCCGGGCCAGCGTTAGGACTGAACACTGAACTCAGACGCTGGGGACAAGGCGAGGAATCAAAATGGAAATAATTTCGACGTCGTGGTTTGTTTCTGTTGGTAGTAACAGTGAAATGAGTACATATGGAGTACTGTAGTAGCAGAGCGTTAGTTCGTTGGTTCGTCTAATAGTACTAGCTTTGGTACAGGATCGGCGCGGTTGGTTGTGATTCAGATTTACATGCCAGTTCATTCCAGAATTGGGTTTGGTTCGGACTCGGTTCTGATGCTCATTAGCTCGCTAATTGCTTGGTTATATTATTATTGTCTGTTGTCTGTTCATGTTGTCCGCATGCACCACTCTACGGCCGTAGTCCTTTCAACCCTAATCCCCTCGTGGCTTAGCTGGTCCGGTCTCCCGGGAGCACCATCCCCTGTCTCATCTGAATCCCGTCCAATGTAACGCTCGATGAACCTGCGAGATGGCATGGTATCTGGTCGGGTGGTTTCTTTTTTTTGGCTCCCTTTTGGTGTGAGTCCTGTCACTGCTTCTCTGTACATTACCTACTCTGGACAGTTAATTACCAAGCTAGACTGAAGTATTCATGCTGCCCGCGGGGTTATTTTCGGCGTGGAGATTCTATATCTAGAGAGAAACTAAACCTCATCAAGTCCCTGCCCTAAAGAAATCCACATGTCCGCGTTTATTCTACGTGCCTGATTGGTGTAGTCGTAATCTGCAGGCGGTGGTATGCGGCGCACTCCATGGCCCCAGAGTGCTTACCCAAGGAGTTTGTTTTTATGGCCAAGGAATCTGAACCTCTGGAACAATGATGGCTGAGGGATCATGGATGGGGGCCGTTTAAACGAGATCACCGAAATAGGATATGGTAACTTGCGTTGCCAGGGCTGCTGGTAGGGTACCAGCAAGCCAATCCGTATGTGGCATATGCATCTCGGAAACGCGAGCAGCTAACGGGATTGGCAGGATGAACGAGGCTCGGGTAGGCTGGAAGGATATTGGAGGATGTTGAGAGATTGAGAGGCATTGGCGGGGATTAGGCGTGCAGGCGATGTTCCAATCATTTGTCGCAGCGAATCCAGCTCAGGCCTGGGGAATGCGGTGGTGATAAGAGGTCGAGTGAGTGGCAGTATGGAGAAATGAAATGAGTAGTCTGTGCGAGATAGAGTTGAATGGTGTCAAAGTGGATGTAACGACAACAATAATAATCGTAATCATAATAATAGTACAATTTATCTCAATATTCCAAATATGATCCAGTTCCAAATGTCAAAAAGCTGGTAGGGCTGAAGTGTCTGACAGGGACCTTCTTCCTATTTGGGGAAAGTGCACATGACGATTGTTGCTGGCAGCTGTACTTGGTACCTCAGCCTCCTGCCCTACTGGAAGTATTCTCGACTTTCCTACTTTCTGTCTTGCATTTTCCGTCATGCAGCATTTTCCTCTCTCTGTCTCTCCCTCCATGAGAACACTTTCACCGCTGTTAACGCCTGCGTCCCCGCTGAAATGACAAGCCTCCCACGGTCATCTTTGGCCCCATCCCCTCCAGAACAGGGATCTCCACCATTCACAGGCCTTGTTCGACCCCGGATGCTTGGTTGATATTGCAGTAGCACCCTTCTAGTAACCATCTAGAAAAATGTTCCTGGCGGTGGACAAGAAGCATGCAGCACATATCCTGCCCCATTCCGCACTGCGCCGTTCCATCGCCTTGGGAGGACCCTTTCGCTGAATCCTCATCTTTTGCTAGACCGACATATTTAGCCAATGACACGAGGTACTCTGCACCCAGAGCTTCACATCCGGGGTCCATCACAGCGGTGACGATATTGTTCGGCTTTTGAAATTGTGATCGGTCCGTGTCACTTGTTCAGCCCAATTTATCGTAAACAGGCCCATGCCTCCTCGGCAATCTCCGATCTATTTTACTATGGTCCATGCCACTTACACACTCCTTCTTCTCCATTCTATTTGTCTCCCATTCCCATCCTTCAGCGCGTTACACCGTGATGCCAAAATTGACCGAGTACGAACCGTATCCGGGAAATGGTCCTTCCCCTGCGCTTTCGAGGATGCCCTAGCGGATGTTCCGTACATTAGTCCGCATTTATCAACCTTTCTTGTTCTAGCCACCGCCAGCTGTCCCTGTGGTTGGACAAGGCGTCCAGTCGCGACAGCTTTGCGATATCTAGATCCAGCGGAATATCTGACGGACCTTCCGACCTGCTACATAGTGGTGATTTGCCAAAGTAGTTCTCCGGCTGATAAATTGTATATTGACACCTGTGAGGTGACCATCATCATTGAATATTCTTAAACTTTCCGTCCTTGGCAGGCGCCATGTTCATCTCCAGCTCTAAGCTTGGGGCCAGACTTCAGATGCCCCGCCTCGCAACGTGTACCGATCCTATTCAAACCAGACTCAGATAGTTGGACTGTTTATGGTAACGGTAAATTTTGACATTCTTCCCGCGATACTAATCGCCCTATCATATCTTCTTAGCGGCCAAATGATTATTGAAATTCCGAGCCTAGAGTGAGATGTTCCTAACCGGTAACCAGGCTCATTTCTCCGCCCCCAAATAGTCCTTAGTCTATGCAGGTGATCCAGTAGTATACAAATCTATTGTTCAGAGAAGGTTATTCCCGATCATCATGGATCTACAGGGTATAGTCTTTGGCAGTTTCATCCCTATGCCCGACGTCGATCATTTTCAACCCCCATCCTGTTAGGCGTCTTATCCCACCCAGCTAACGCACCCCTACCCACCACGCTACTGCAGTAGCAACACCCCTGTACACATCGCTTATGCAGAACATCTGTCGTCCCCCCGCCCCCATTCCTAACGCACCCGAATTGGTCGTTCTTGTCTCTCTACCCTTTCGCCTCTGCGTAATCCCTCCCTCTTTTAACTTTGGCCCTTCTGCAATACCGTCACAATGCTGAATCTGAAACGGCCCTTGTGTCTCTTTCTCTCTTGTTGCAGGCCCCTCTCAGTCTATTTTTCCTTCTTTTCTTTTTTAGACCCCCGTCCGACCCTGCCGGGGCCTTTTCCACGTGGTCCACACGTGCTGCAGCTCGCCTAACCTGACTCCTTTTGGGGAGATTGCCTGGGACTAACTCTCTGCACCTCGGTGCAACATGCGTCGTGTTTATGCCCCGATAGATTGGAGCCCGACGAGACCAGTTTCTCAGCTGGGCTAGAGGAGGGGGAAGGGGAAAGGCTATTTTTATTTTTGTAGTTGGGAGTTGCTTTTCTTTAAGAAGGTGGTGATTGATTGGTATGGATAGTTACTGCCTATCTACGGTGGTAAATTAACCGTCGGTTCGGTTCTTGGCTCTTCGGTTAGAGTTTGTTTGTTGCTAAGCCCTGCGTTGGGAGTGTTGGTTCTGATGGAAGGTCGGATTTTGTGGCGGAGGCGCGGATCCTGTCAGCACTGTGTTCGTGTGAGGTTGGGAATTCGAATTTGTGTCAGAAATGAGTGCGTGTTTGGGAATAGGGTTGAATTGTGTTAGGAGCTGAAACCGAGGCAAGTTGGTATAGCTTGTCCATAGTGTCCGACGGATGGGATCTTGTTACGCAATGAGGTAGGTGCTCGTATAACAACTCTTTTACTTTGTCCACCCGGCGACTGCAGGTATCCAGGTCCCCGAAGCACTAATCCACGTATTCATGGCCCTGATTTGTCCACTGCCATCCAATAATAGGGTCGTGGCGGTGTTTATGCTGTGTATTCAGTCCTCAAATTAGAATTCTGGTGGGCAGAGTATCCTGTTGACCGGGTCTTTTTCAACAACATCTTGGTTGATTGAGCCTTCACTCAAGATGGCGACACTATCCAGGTACAAATGATTATTGAACAGGATTAAAACCGCGATATTCTCTTACTCAGTATCTCATGGAACGATACGAACTGGATCAAGGTTTCGCAAATAGTGCTGGCCTATGAATGGTTCTTGAATAGACCTAAACTTTCCGGGAAGTTCATTCTGTAGTCGTCATGCATTGTGAGTATGGGCCTATTTTGTAGATGCCTTTCAATGGGTGCTAGCCAAACGATATCATCATTTTGTGCCATGGTCAATCGATTGGTTGTAGGTGCTTGTGCCATCTCTTACTTATTCTGATTAAGTGAGAATATATCTCCGGGGAAAAACTCTTTATGTCTGCTGCACGAGAGTGATATATTGTGCACTAACTCTGTCAGTGTATCCAAGATATATATATCCAATATACCTGTCTGTGGGGTGATGATCCGTGGTTAACTACCACAACAGGTGGAAGCAAGTTCTCATTCCTCTGTTCAATTCAAAACATTTCCTTTAGCACTAGTTTCTCTACAAGACTCACTCAGCAAGCGCTCTCACCTTGATGAATGTCGGTAAGCAATGCTCAATACCGTAGCCAAGGTGATTTCGCCTCATACCTTCAGTCTCTGAAAGTCTTAGAGAATAAATGATCAATCCGTCTGAAAGTCATCGCCTCGTCAATTCTAAACCTAGTCTTCTCCAAGAGTAATCCCAGCCCTCTGAGTACTACGTATATTTCCCGCTGTATGGATCTCCGTGAGGTTCATTGGAACATACTCTTACATATGATGGGAGCTTTATCACTTGAAACCGAGAGCTTCAGCTTAGAGTCCCAGATAGATGGTAATATCATTTTATTTGTATAGTCTGTAGTGTCGAAAAGACAGTCATACACCCCGACCTGGACTCCATTCACAGTTGTTTGTAATTTCATGCCACATTCCTCTAGAAGGACCCCGAGTATAATTTCTGCGTCTCTAGATTTAAACGATAACAATCATCTTCAGGAAGTGGACGGTGGCCAACGGCATCGAGATTCAGGTAAGAGGTTCCTGGTTGGAAGTCGTAGAATTTGGAGATGGCGAGGATGATAGTCCTGTATCTGTTGCTCTCGAGCGTCAAAATGAATCTCTCCTTGATAGTACGGGCTTGGGAATACTCAAGGCAATTGACTGGTCGTGCACGTACTTCATTATTGATTCTGCTTTTGAAGGAGGATCTCAAGACAATGGAACCAACCTTGACTATTCGGTCTGTGATAGGTCTGAAAGGAAAATTTAGCACTCCGAGTCATTGTCTATGAGATTCGTATCATGCCAAGTTCTCCGTGCTTCGAATCAATGATATCTTGTGTTGGAAACAAACATGTGACAATCCAACTCAAATTGGTAAACTAGGGCATAGCTCTAAACAGTCGAATAGACTATCTTGTGGGAATACACTTCTTTGGGGCATGGCCTGCTTCGACGCAGGTAAGAATCATGAAAGCCAGGTATAGACACACTTCAGCGATCAGAATAAATAGCAGGAAGCTCGCTTCAATGACCCTAATAGATAGCTCGCTAAGCCTATCAGTGACTTGATAGATTTTGCAGGCTTCTGGTAAGCTATCTGGCTGTCGAGGATGGCGTCCTTCTGTCGATTCCTCTGCGTCTTCTCTATAATTAACATCACCCTAACGTAACATTGGTGACTGTGATACTACTCGCCCTTGCTGTGGTCGATCACCCACTGAATTTCCCGAAAAGCCTCCTTATAATTGAAAAAGGAGACGTTATAGACCAGACATAGTATGCTCATAGCACTGATCAGCATAATACCCCCTATCCCAGTAACGCTTGGTGGAGAATAAAAGTAAAAAGCAAGCGCCACAAAAATGAGTCCCACCGCAAGCACTGAGGTGGCCAGGGAGAGTTGGGGCAGGATAAACATACTCACCATGCTTCCACCTTTCGGAGACGATTGTAGAGCCACAGGAATTATCAAAAGTGGAAGGGGGACGCTCAGAAGAAGGACAGAGGCGGAGCGTAGAAAGGCAGCTGTCAAGCTCTCAGGACAGAGAATACTAAATAGGCGTTCAAGGTAAAACCACCTACAAACGTCGCGATAGGTAAAAGAGCACCTCCTATCTCCGAGCAAGCTTTCTTTCGACGTTCAGAAGCTGGCTTTGCGGCGAACCCCTTCGGAATGTTCGCGGTGATCGGCATCGTGATCTGGTCGTTGGGAACTACCCAAATGCGAGGAATTTGTGTCGCAATATATGGGAGAATTTATGAAAGAAAAAGAAAAATCAGAGGAGGAAAGAGCAGCTAACTATCTCAAGACCATCGCTACTATCATCCTACAGATCTCCATATGTAGGTCACGATATTGTAACCATTACACTTGTGCCGCTTCTTTCATATTATAATATTTTCAAGGAACCGACTGGCTCTGCATAAACTGGCATTCATTTAGCCCTAAGAGGAATGAAAAGTTTGCATCAACTGAATTATACATAGTTCTCGTATTAGAGGCAGGTCGATGGTCGCCTACTGGCCTCTCAATAACGGCTAGCCGACGCCATGGATGAGCCGGTTCCGGCGACTCCCTTAGAGTTTATGCGACAAACTAAACCTTATGATGATTTTGATCATATCTAATTAGATGATATAACAGAGACATGCCATATTGACAGCGTTTCTAATTCCTCGTGTGATATAGAGGATTTTCCCAAAATAGCAAGCGAGGTATAGATACTCAGTCTCTGACTTCGTGATTACTGGCGTCGACTGAACCATGTGAACATCTTCTTTTGACCGATATTTCCTTTTAAATGAAGAGGCTCTACGGAGTCGTACCACCTATTTATTGCCTAGCTTGTTTGCCTAATTTCAAGATGATGGATATCGGAACGGCCTTGCTGCAACCGAAATTCCACATACCAGGTCTGTCTGACATGGCGAGCATAAAACGCGGATTTTTGGATCCTAATGACTGAAATTGGGTTTGAGAATATTGAAGAGATAGATATACGAGGGGGTGGCGTAGTTATGAGTGTTTAGTAGGATGCTGATTCTATTCACGGCCGGACAACATAAATACCTCGGCCGACTCTCATGAAACTATACAATAACCTTGTACTCTTTCCCAAAGACCCCCAGGCTGATTCTCAGGCAAAGCCGCAATCTCACCCTTAGTGCGTGCAATGTCACTCTCCGAAAGATTGCAAACAATCTCTAGCACATATGCACGCCCATCGGTACTGCTCGTTTTCGCATAGAGCGACATGGCCTTGGCATCCCGGCGCAATCACTCTGTAATTCAAGGCATCTTCCTTGATCACCTCGAGTACAGTTTGATTTGTGTTTCCCGGTATATCATCTCTCACCTTTATGCCATCTTCCACGTCTCTAGCGATATTATAGCGTACCCATATAGCATCTCCGAATCTCTGTTCACGGATGGCGTTGACGTATAGTGTGGCCTAGGGCTCTATCACCGGCATTCCTGCTTTATTGTCGATAACGTGCTGGATGGGGAGGTCGAGGAATAATTGTTCCACTGGGATGTGTTCTGGGATATTTGGGTTCATGGCTTTGATGATAGGTTAGCTCGGATTTGCGCGAATGATGAAATTTGAAATGCGTATTGAAGATAGTATAACCTTCCACCTTTTTGACCTGAGTTGAATCGGGTACTACAGGCAACGTATTGATGTATTTTGGTAGAAATGATTAAGATCAGAATGATAAAATTCTCAAAGATTCAGGGGTCAAATAGGGCGGGGCCATGTCTACAAGGCCTCCTATCGCAATACTGACAGCCTAGGCAACCGCAGGCTAGCCCTGAGAGGATTACGTATGTCGTTTAGCGACGATGTGCCTTAGGCTGGGCCTAATGCGCCTGGTCAATTGCAGACATTTCAATCTGTATGAATGTCGTGCTCCTGATCAGGAGTAAATTTGGAGTACTGATTATGCAAATTGTGCATGAACAGAGAGCTCCTCCGTCACAGTGAAGCTTAGTGCCTGCGGCGTCGGTAAAGACGTAGTTAGTATTTTTGACGCAAGATTGTGCATGACCCGCTAGCCTTTAATTAATTTGGTTTGGCTCTACCTACAAGTAGAATAGTTCCCAATGGCATAGTTCATAGATAGGAGAGCCGTTCATCCGCAGATCAGAACTATGAGGCTGCCAATAAGCGCGCATGAACCGGCTCATCAAGAAACTAGAATTAGAACTATGCCCAAGATTTCAGACAATAGAGTGGACACAGTCTTTGGAGTAAGTAGACAATCGAAGAGAGCCAATTTCAGGGTTCTGCGCCAGAGTTCACAAAATTTCATAGAAATGACTGATCCGCTTTGATCTTTGCGCCTTTCGGCCGTTGTACCCCACTTGTCTTGTCTCACCATGTGTTCCAGAGTACCTATCTCGGTTCCCCGCATGACGATGCGTCTCCAGTTTGGCTCCGATAGCTAATTTGTCACGAATCAATTTCAGCTCGAATTGTTCAAATTTCCCAACCTGTTTGCTGTTTCATGTAGAACATCGTGGACATAATGCTATGATTCTTCGTTCTAGAATTCTTTAAACCGCTCATGTGTTTGGCTATATGTATCCGTAGATGATCAGAGGATGTGGGCCGAGGTCAGGATCTGCCGAACCGTGCATCCCGGGCATAGTTTCCTCTCGAAATGAACACCACGTCAGCAGAGTCGATAGATCAGATGGGGGGCAAAGGTCAGAAATATAGACATGTTTCCTTGGCAAGTAAGAAGGCGTTGTCAATGGGTCATGATCTGACCTATTGTTTATTGTCCATTGTGCCACCATTACCGATGAATTGGCTCAGAAATCCCCTATCGGGACATTCCCCGGATAGCGTGAGGTGGGCGAACCAGATCAGAAAAAGAGTTTGGACAGACTGACTTGGGAAATATCAAGCGTACGAAGTATATAGAGTTTGTTGTGTGTTCAATGGTTCATAACTGATTAAAGCTACTGGTTCCCCCCATATCTTGTTCATGTCTTGATCTCTCCCATCTTCCAGTTATCATTTCACTTCCCGTCTCTCTTCCCAATTTTTCAACTTCTTCTCTTTTTTTCCCTTTCTTTCTTTTCACTGCTACTTCGACAAACACAACAATAATGGGGTCTCACTCGTCTGACGATAATATCTACCTCCTAGGCCGAGATGAGGCCGAGACCGAACGGTATGTTTTCCTCCTCAAAGCCATTCTCTCAAGATTTTATGGAAAATCCGGGAGTGAGCAAAACCACCTCCCATTGCTCCTGGAGGTCACACGCCATTCAACGGCTCTTCCCATCCCTATTCCCACTCTCCTTGATGTTTCCACGTTTTTCATAATCATCCGAGTCCCACTCCACTCCACCCAGTGACAGCGTGCCGGGCCTCCAACCCCCCTGTCTCAAGCAAAGATCCTGTCCCTCGGGATTTGGATGGGTCCCGACAACTCGGCATCCAATCTAAGCCACGCCCACTTTTTTTGGCAGGACTTTATTACCGTCGATCCGGAACTCTTGCAGATGCCGATATGCTAACGTCTCCTGCCTGTCTAGGCTTAATAAACAACATCGCTTTTTGGTGGCAATCTCCGGTGATACATTGATTCATCCTTCGATACCCAAAGATACGATTTCGGCGGTCGCGGATATCGGCACTGGCACGGGGTATGTGGCTTGAGTTTGATTTCTTTGTTTTTCTCTACGGGATCGTTAGAATCCGCTTCAACGGGTGCAAGAAATCCCGAGGTCAATTGCAACTGCTATGATTGACGGTTACCTCGGCGTTAACAAGTGTACACTCATCAAAGCATTGCTATTTGGCAATCCCATTGAGGATATCAGAAATTCTACACACACAGACTAACAACTACACCAGAGTCTGGCTCGAGGACTTTGCTACAAAACACCCGGATCCATCCTCTCTCGATCTTCACGGCTTCGACATCTCCCCCGCCCAGTTTCCCACCGCACATGAAATCATACTCGCAGGAAAGACACGAATCCCACTCTCCGTTCATGATACCCTGCTACCATACCCGCCTGAGCACCTCGGGCGCTATGATCTCGTACACATCCGGCTCCTGACAGCCGGGCTGAAACAAGGCGACTACACCGTTCTATTAAAGAACGCACGAAGTTTACTGAGTATGTACTACACCCACCACCAACAAAAATTCATCCTTTCACAACCCCATCTGCGAAGAAATCCCACCAACTAACTCCCTACAGAACCAAACGGCTACATCCAATGGGAAGAAGTCGACACAACATCATTCTGCACCAACAAAACCCCCGAACTTCCCGCAATAACCACAATGCGCAACACAGTCATCGACGCCATGCTAAAACTCGGTCTATGGCCCTTCGCCCCACAAACTGTCTACGACGAGATCTGCGCCGGCGGGTTTCAACATATTCACCGGGAAACGTATACCACGGAGGGGAAGGAGCATGTACATGGTATTGTGACGAAATGGGTTGCTGGTGTGATGCGTGCGTTGGTCCCGCCGTCGATGGTTGCGCTGGGAAAGGCGGAGAATGAGGAGGAGGCGAGAAGGAAGGTGGATGTGCTTGTTGGGGAGTTCGAGGAGCATTGTAAAGATGCGCTGGCGTTGGTTTCGTTGGGGGTTACGGTTGGGCAGAGGATTGATTGAAGAGACTGAGTGAAGACAGTGGTTTGGGGGATGAATGCACATTCACTTCCACTAGCGAGGGAGATCCGTACATATGGGAGGCTTTACTCATCCAAGGAGGATTCGGGCATAGCACCCATAGCTAAAATCAATTTTTCTGATGGCTACGTCCTGAGATAGCCATGGAGCACATGTTGAACTCGATGACTATCTAACTTTCTGGACTCTGACATGTTCAGCACAGGGAAGCACCTAGTAAGGGACTCTCGGATAGATTACTGTCCTGCACGAAGGAAGTAAATAAGGGAGATATATGAACCGGTGCCATTGTCAACCCGAAATGAGATATCTGACTCCAAACACCTTTTGAAGCACTGTGAATCAGTGTACACCATCCCCCAAACGCCGTTGCCCAGATAAAAAAAAATGAAATATGACCGTAATATGCAACCATCCAGAAGTTTTATCATTCGTCATCCTCTCGAATCTCAGACTTGACCCCTCCTTGATCACTCTCACCCTCTGCTTTCTCCTCATGAAGATGATCCTGCTCAATAGGACTATTCGGGGAACTCTCCCCACCATGATCATTCTTCCAAGACCCCGCATAATGATGCTCCACCAAATACGGCCCCTGATCCTCAGGGAAACCAGCCTGCATCGCTGCAAAAGCCGCATTCGGAAGAACCAACACATCATGCAAAAGAGTCGGTTCATGTAGATTCGAAACGTTCTCTCCAGTCACCGTCTCCCCAAGTTCAACTGAGATACTGCGCAGAATCGCCTGCGTCATAGCCTGCGGCCCCGTCACTGCTACCACGTCGCTGATAGTCTTCATCGTCAGTCCGGAGATAGTGGTATTGGCCTCCTCGGCTGAATATTCCAGTGCATCCATGATATACTCGATCGCGGCGGCGATGTGATTCGTCTTCGGCTTAGCCATCACGGTCCAACTAGCGAATTGATTTCCGTCGAATTCAAGACCCACGACGAGGTTTGTTTGGTTCTTGAATTTTCGTGGAATCCATGAGTCAATGGGTGTGTTGCATGTTACGTCTAGATCACTCCAAACACCACCGTCCGCGTAGAGAATCAATTGTCGGAGGAAGTCTGCTTTTAGGATCGGCACTTGCAGGTCTTGGTAGGTGTCGATGATATCGGGGAATTTGGCGAATTGATCGAGCACGTATCGCTCTGCGTTACCGTCTGTGAAGATTTCATGGCGGAGGGAGGGGTTGTGCGTATGCCAGGATTTGATGTCCTTTTGACGGTCTTCGTCGATGCCGTTTGGTCCGGCTTTTTGCCAGAGTTTTGAGGGGAAGGGAAGGCGGGAGAGTTGTTTGGAGGGTGTGTAGGGGAGATAGTATGATTGGGGTGGTTCGGCGGGTGGGTGTAGCGGAACGGGCGAAGGTGAGGCTACTGTGATGTCCTTGGGTAGGGAGGATGATGGGTTTGATGCTGGTGAGGAGGGAGTGGCATCGGTTTCGGAGCCGGGAGGACACGAGCATGAGCTGTAGAGAGATAAGATAGGTGTTGTAGTTGCGGTTCTTGTATTCGATGAGAACCATAAGAAGGTTGTGATAAATGATAGCAGTAGAGCCAATAGATAGTAAGAGGAGCGCGGCATGGTGGGAGACAATGTGCGCTCCCCCTCGGAAAGCAGGAGAGGGATGGGGAATGAAGGGATGGCCGGGGAAGATAAAGCACAGTAGTTTGATAGTATTAAATTCAAGACATGTCCCAGATTTATAATATCAGGCCCCTCATCATCCCCTGGTTTTTGCTTTTCGGACCTGGATGACGAACACGAGTTCTGCAGTGCTGTTCTCTATGGGTCAAAATTATCCAAAGGACCCACCGTATGGAGATATTAAATGGACCCTGCAGATCGCCTTAACTAGTAGAGGACTGGTGTCTAGCCGTGAAGACCATGGCACCGTCTCGTATTAGGAAATGTGGCAGATGGCTGAAGGATTTCGGGGTCAGTGTAGTAAGTGAAGTCCATGCCAATGCATTGTGGTATCGGTGTCCGCTCCGTGTGGACGAAAACGGTGATACGAGTTTTATGCACGCATTGGGACGGATGCGACATGGGCTTGATGGATTTGGTGGTTGACAAGGCGGGCCTGGCAATAGATGTAAAGCAAGGAAAGACATGTTGGCCGAGCGCAAGCATACATCCAGGGTCTCATTGGATTATGTCTGTGGCGCTGGTGGGTCGAGAGCGCTAGAGGTCGGATATGATGGGCCGAGGGTATGATGGAGTTTAGGTGTCCATTTCTTAAATCTATCACTGTTTAGTATCAAATGATTCTAGAAACAGAAGAAAACACATACAACAATCCTAGCTGCCAGTAGTCCACTGAATTGAAACGGGGGAAACTGCACTGCACCAGGAGATGAAATGTGATCCGTAGATACATACGTCTCCAGTTTTCCACAGCCAATGATCATCACGCTATGACTGAGACCCTGCAGCACGACACAGCCACTCGCAAAATAGATCAAGGCCACCTCAATAATATCGGATGATAAGATCCGGCCAGCAGTCGAAATGGGTGAGATTTTAGAATGAGCGGGGGTTACTCCTTCAACGTAATGCTAGCCGCTCTCTCATTGGACGTGAACAAAGAGTTGTGCTTCATAATGTAGTGCTTGACGCCGCCAAGAGAGCTCCTCCATAACCCTTGGTGACCACAGAATCAGAACATGTCGTCACACATTCTATTGTGATATTGATCTCCTCGTCGGATAAAACTAAAGTAATCAACAAGGTTATCTCCGGGCATCAAATATTCCAACAAGCTTAAAACATCATGTGCAAGCTGATTACCGGATTCGGCTAGTCCAGTTGCGTGACTGCTGAGATAATCTGGACGATGATGTCGTTCCTCCAGCGAAAGACACAACAGGATCCAATTATTCTGTCCTTCACACCTCATCATGGCCTCAATGATTGCACCCCAGATGGCTTTCCGAGCTCTCAGAACTGCCCCAAAGGCTGCCCCTTGGGCCAAGATCTCTGCGCAGCTGCCGAGGGCCCAGCCTGCTTTCCGCCGGTTCTTCGCTGCGGCTCCTCAGGAACAGCCACGCCTGCGCCTGGGGTCAACCGGTATGTCTGAAATAAGATCCTAGCTACATCCCAACACTGAATGGGTTAAAGATCACAACCTAACTCCAATGTTTTGTAGCTCCCAACTTCAAGGCATTAACTACCAAGGGCGAGATTGACTTCCACGAGTTCATCGGCGACAGCTGGACCATCCTGTTCTCCCACCCGGCCGACTTCACCCCCGTCTGCACAACCGAGCTGGGCGCTTTCGCAAAGATGAAGGATGAGTTTGACAAGCGTGGTGTGAAGATGATTGGCCTGGTTAGTCTAATACTGCTGCCTCCCAAACGATCGTGACTCGAGCTAACGGCACCCCTTCTACGCTTCACCTAGAGCGCCAATGACATCGGTTCCCACGGCGAATGGATCAAGGATATCAACGAGGTCTCCTCAACTGACGTGCAGTTTCCCATCATCGCCGATGCCGACCGTAAAGTCGCCTTCTTGTACGACATGATTGACCAACAGGACCTGGATAACATCGACCAAAAGGGCATCGCCTTCACCATCCGGTCTGTCTTCATCATCGACCCCAGCAAGAAAATTCGCCTCACCATGATGTACCCCGCCTCGACTGGTCGTAACTCCGCTGAGGTCCTCCGAGTCATCGACTCCCTTCAAACTGGCGATAAGAAGGGCGTGACCACCCCGATCGACTGGCAGGTCGGCGACGACGTCATCGTGCCCCCCTCCGTTTCTACCGCGGACGCGAAGAAGAAGTTCGGCGAGGTTCGTGAGGTCAAGCCATACCTGCGGTACACTAAGATCTAAGGATAAGTTGTGTAAAAGATCACATGTAAAAATACTTTAGAAACATGAACCACCTTTTCTTAGAAGCGGGAACTCGATGATCATGACTACAAACAACGGCTTTCGTTTCTTGATGGAGTAGAGACCGGGTAAATCTCGGCCATGTACCGATTCTACCGAATGTTACAGCTACGACATGAACAGGGATTATGGGAACTATTGATTTCATATCTGCCCAGTTCTTCCCTCCCTCAGCCGGGGTCTACCCCTGACAGCTCGCCCTATACGGAAATGATAGGCCGCACAGCGCAGATCGTCGTTCATAGTGCCCTTATGTCGCTGCCGCCACCAGTCCACCACTGGCTCTTCAGCTTGGCGTAGACTTGTCGCAAGAGTAAGGTGTGATTTCCACCTATAACATTTCGTGATCTAGGCTCATCCTTCCTCGGTTATGCAAGCGAACTCATGACGGGCCTGCCGTGGACGATCCATTCCTTCCAGGATTGTCTGCAGAATACTCTCAGTATGGCACGTGGACTATTTCAACAATATCCTTCCCCTCCTTTTCTCGAGAGGTAAATACCTTTAAAACGATCAGATATTCGCCGTGGCGGATAATTTCTAGCTATCTGCATTCTCTCGAAGTGGACACCAGAGAGTCGCGGTGGTACCTGCTCTGCATTGATCCATACTTCACACCCAACCGGCCGCCATGGCACCTTGGACGCGTCTGGCATTCGTGCCTCTTCTCGCCCAAGCCATAGCCGCTACTCCAGTCCCAGACGCATCTCCCAACGATGCAGTACAACTAGACCAGCGCGACTCCGTCCCAGAAGGCTATGAATCGCCGCCATACTATCCCACGCCCAAGGGCGGTTGGGCCTCCGACTGGTCCTCAGCCTACGCAAAAGCACAGCAGGTAGTCGGTAACATGACTCTCGCCGAGAAGGTGAATTTGACCACCGGTACGGGCTTCTACATGGGACCCTGCGTCGGACAAACCGGCAGCGCGCCGCGATTCGGTATCCCGAATCTTTGTTTACAGGACTCGCCCTTGGGAATACGGAATTCAGATCATAATACCGCCTTCCCGCCTGGTATTACGGTGGGCGCAACTTTCAATAAGGATTTGATGTATGAGAGAGGAGTTGGGATTGGCGAGGAGGCTCGTGGTAAAGGTGTTAATATTCAACTCGGTCCTGCTGTTGGTCCACTTGGGCGCAAGCCTCGCGGAGGTCGGAATTGGGAAGGTTTTGGGGCGGATCCGTCTTTGCAGGCTATTGGGGGTGCGCTTACTATCAAGGGTATGCAGAGTACTGGTGCTATCGCGACGATCAAGCACTATATCGGGAATGAGCAGGAGATGTATCGGATGAGCAGTGTCATCACCAAGGGGTATTCGTCTAATATTGATGACCGCACGCTTCATGAGCTCTATCTTTGGCCATTTGCTGAGGGCGTTCGTGCTGGTGTGGGTGCGTTGATGACTGCTTATAACGATGTAAGTCTACAGCTACGGAATGGTCGAGGGCATTGAACTGATCGTTTTGCAGGTTAACGGTTCTGCCTGCAGCCAGAACAGCAAGCTCATAAACGGCATCTTGAAAGACGAATTGGGCTTCCAGGGGTTTGTCATGACTGATTGGTTGGGACATTACACTGGCGTAGGGTCTGCGTTATCTGGTCTTGATATGTGTATGCCTGGCGATGGCGCCGTCCCGTTGCTTGGTGATAGCTATTGGGGCTCTGAGATGTCGCGCTCTATCCTCAACGGGAGTGTCCCTGTCGACAGACTCAATGACATGGTATGTGCAAATTGCATGTTGCGCTAACGAGATCGAATCCCCTCGGTCGATCAACGTGTTAACAATCCTATTAGGTAACTCGCATTGTGGCTACATGGTACAAAATGGGTCAGGATAAAGATTATCCTCTGCCTAACTTCTCCACCAATACTGAGGACAAAAATGGCCCTTTATACCCCGGGGCTCTCTTCTCTCCTTCCGGAGTCGTGAATCAATACGTCAATGTTCAAGGAACCCATAATATAACCGCACGCGCCGTCGCTCGTGAGGCAATCACTCTGCTGAAGAATGAAGGCGACATACTTCCGCTTCAAAAGAACGCGTCTTTGAAGGTCTTTGGGACGGACGCAGGTAGTAACTCCGATGGTCTGAATTCCTGCACTGACATGGGCTGTGACAAGGGTGTTCTCACCATGGGCTGGGGCAGCGGCACTGCCAGGTTGCCCTATCTCATCACCCCACAACAAGGTATCGCAAATGTGACCCAAAATGCCAAGTTCTACATCACAGACTCCTTCCCGTCCGATGTGACTGTCTCTGCAAGTGACATCGCAGTTGTCTTCATCAATGCCGACTCGGGTGAAAACTACATTACCGTCGAGGGCAATCCTGGTGACCGTACCGAGGCTGGTCTGTATGCCTGGCACAATGGGGATGACCTCGTCAAGGCTGCAGCAGCGAAGTTCTCCCAAGTCGTCGTGGTAGTCCACACCGTTGGTCCTATTATTATGGAGAAATGGATCGATCTGGAATCAGTCAAAGCCGTGCTTGTCGCCCACCTTCCAGGCCAAGAAGCCGGCAATTCCCTCGCCGATGTCCTCTTCGGTGACTACAGTCCCAGCGGCCACATGCCATACACCATTCCCCGCGCCGAATCCAATTATCCAGATAGCGTGAGCATTATCAATCAGCCATTTGGTCAAATCCAGGATACCTACACCGAGGGCTTGTACGTGGATTACCGGCATTTCATAAACGCCAACATCACGCCCCGTTATCCATTTGGTCACGGCCTGTCTTACACCACGTTCAACTTCTCAAACCCCTCCATTTCGGTAGTAACTGCGCTCAATACAGCCTACCCTCCCACCGCACCATCACGAGGACCAACACCAGTCTACAACGACTCCATCCCCGCCGCATCCGAGGTGTCATGGTCCTCGACACGCTTCACCCGAATCTGGCGCTACTTGTATCCGTACCTCGACAACCCCGGTTCAATAACCGTATCGGATGACTACCCTTATCCGGTTGGTTATAGTACGACCCCGCATCCGGTGCCACGTGCGGGTGGTGGCCAGGGTGGAAACCCCGCTCTCTTTGACGTTGCATTCTCCGTACGCGTCGATGTGAAGAACACGGGGTCTAGGTCGGGCAAGGCTGTTGCACAGCTTTATGTGGAATTGCCGTTTATCCTGGGTCTTGATACGCCACAGTTGCAATTGAGACAGTTTGAGAAGACGGGGACGCTTGGTCCTGGTGAGTCTGAGACATTGACGTTGGAGATTACGAGGAAGGATGTTAGTGTTTGGGATGTTGAGGTCCAGGACTGGAAAGCGCCTGTTAACGGGGAAGGTATCAAGCTTTGGATTGGGAATAGTGTTGCTGATACTCCGGTTCTCTGTGTTGTTGGTGGTGGATGTTCCTTGCATTGATCGGCTAACATTCATTGCCTTTTATTCTTCTGATCTTCGTGTATTGCCCATTTTTCCCACTCCAGTTTTATGCGTACATATTTCAATGGATCATCTCAGCCTTATTCTCTTTGGATTGTGTTTATACCAATTTTACCGTACATCATTCTAGTCCTATTTACAATTTTATGATAAGACGACACCAGAGTAGACCACATTCACGCTCACTCCTCAACAGGCTGCACTTCCTGCACAACAGCCCTCTTCTCCTGATTCAGCCCAGTCACCGTCTCCACATGCTCCTTATTCAAGCGAGCCTTCAAAATAAACGCCGAAAACAAAAGACCAACAGCAGACATGCAAGTATACAAAATCCACATATTCCTCAAACTCCACGCAAAAGCCTCCTTCACAGCCAAGAGCTGCGCCGCGTCATCGATCTGACTGATATACTCGATATTCGCGGCCGCCGAGTTACCAGTCATCTGATCTGCCAGGGACTCAGACATGCCCGTCGCCAAAAGACTAGGTTTCATCTTGCCCATGCTGTTCTGGAAGACGACACCGCCGATAACGATTGATGAAGCGGTGGCCATGTTACGGATGAAACCGAGAGTAGCGGTCGCGGTTGCTGTTTCATCCTGTGAGACCATGGCTTGGATGGCGATGATGGGTGTTTGGAAGAGGAAACCCGCGCCGATACCGCTGATTAGTTGGTAGCCGACGATCTCGCCTAGGGAGGAGTCCACGCCGAGGTGGATGTATAAGCCGTTTCCGATAACCATGAGAATTAGGCCACCCCAGATGAGTTCCAGATACCGGCCGGTTTTGTGGATGATTGCGCCAGTTGCAATGCCGGAGAAGGCTTCGGCGAGGGGGAGGGGAAGAATGAGAACTCCTGAGCGCATGGGAGATGCTTCTTTAACCGACTGCAAGTAGAGCGGCATGTAGTATTCGCCAGCAATGAATACCTGGGGGGCGTATTAGCTGTGTTTCATAACGATCGTAACAGGTCGACTCACGAATCCATGCGCAAAGGCCACTGCCAACGTGGCAATGTTGGACAGTTGGGAAAAGATGTTGAGAGGCATCAGCGGATACTTGGCCAGTCTCTTCTCGCTGTAGATGAACAGTAGGGAGCAGAAGGATCCAAAGACAATCAAACAAATGACCTGAGAGGAGCTCCAGGCGAAGGTCTCTCCACCAAAATCAAGCCCAAGAAGAAGCATCAATGTGAGACCCAGAATGGAGACGCTGCCAAACCAGTCAATGGCTTTGACACCGTCCATAATTTTGGTCTTAGGATTGTGTACATCCAAGAAGAATAGCAGTAGGACGAATGTCACCCCGGAGACGGGGACGTTGATCCAAAAGTTCCATCTCCAGGTAACATATTGGGAGAATGCGCCGCCGAGAAGGGGGCCAATTCCACCAGCAAAGGCCCACATAAACTCCATCAGGCCAAGGTACAAGCTGCGTTGCCTGTAGATGTGTTAGTTTGGTTCGAAGAATGAGCTGAGAAGGATGTGTCATACCGAACACTGAAGAGATCGGAGATGATGATTGTGATGAGCTGTAGTAAACCACCTCCGGCGACGCCCTATATCCACTGTTTAGCATGCTTTATTCGAGGCCACTGATGAACGATCATTTGACTCACCTGCAACGCACGACCGGCAATCAACATTTCCATATTCACAGCAACAGCGCAGACAATCGAACTAATAAAAAACCACGCCACGGCAATCAACAAAATCAATTTACGGCCCCAAATATCGGAGAGCTTTGCCCAGATACAAGCACCAGCCGCGTTCGCAAGCAAATAAGCACCACCAATCCACGTGTAACCCGCAGCAGAGTGTAACTTTGCCGCAATAGTTGGAATAGCAGTCGCTAGAATAGTCTGGTCTAATGCGGCAATAAGCATAGCCAGCTATAATTGTGTACCTTGTATTAGAAAAAGCATGGACCAATAGCCAATAACTTCGGAGATTTTCTTACAGAAAGCGCAGTCATAATGGCGACGATGCGCAATTTGCCCCGGGCTAAGGACCCGGCCTCCATGACTTCCATATCAGAGGCCATCTTCTCCACGCGAACACCGAACGCCCTGTTGTCTTGAAACAGGTCGATGAGAGTTCACTTTGTCGTGTGCTGAGGAGTCAGAAACAGCGGGGACCCTAAAAACTTTTTTTTCTTTCGTCAGCCCCAGACCCCCGCCGCGTGGTTTCCTATCGTGGTGGAGTGGGGCCCCGGAACACGCCGGGGTCTCAAATCAGCCCGCGTGGACTATACCATCAAGGTTTAGTGGGCGTTGGGGTTGAAGCATAGACAATGTCACCTTGTTTCCTCGAATCAGAGAAGTTTACTTATTCGATGGGGCGAGCAGGACCCGTATAATGTTCATATAGCATGTCGGAGGTACTGGCAAGAGGTTCCAAGTGCTACGAAGATACTCGACATGGCTTACTTCGACTTGGAAAGTTCAACAATTGCCAAGATATTATAACAGTGAGGAAGGGGGAAATTAGGAAGAAAAAGTAAAAGTATTTGATCCACCTTCATCTTATCAATCATCTTATCAACTTAAGTACTTTAAGTTACGATTAGCCTAGGTCGTTGTCGTCGATAACAATGATATAATGACATAATGAATCTAGAGATTAGTACATTACAAACATATTGCATGAGAAGATTGACTAAGAGTCCGACGCTAACGAGGCTATTCAAGACTCATGCGAGGACACTGGGCGGGGGTTGCGTGAAGGCAGTCCAAAAGGTCCCGTCTGTGAACGCCTAGGTCGCTGATCCTAAGTTTAATCTGACGGCAACTTTCGTTGATATGTCTCAATAACATAACACTCGTCTGCTAAGCTTCGCACCTAGGCGTGGCCTTGCTACGAATGCACCTTGCTACGAATACCGACGACATCGCTGGCTAGATCGCCAGAATCGGACAGGCGATGCTTTAGTGGAGCACATCGCGGAGATTTTATCCGCTGACAGGAGTTGGCGCGATTGCCCCCGTGAACTCAATCTCCACGCGAGTATTGCAATCGAAACCCCCGTCGCCATCGGAGCTATAAAAAGGTCGGTATAATGATATTCTGTGTGAATTCTGAGCTCAGTCTTCAGGTACGATCTGAGATGAAGGCGATACCTTGAGGTTGGCAATCTAAAATGGTCGATTATCAGACTCATCCGATGCGTGTTAACAAGGCTGACAGACTTGCTTTTGAAGAGCTCATGCCCTGACACTGAAAGAATCCTCATTGAGTCTTTTAATCCTCGGGCGCTTGCATTCACGAGTCTTGTATACCGTTACTTCCTCGATCGTAGAAATTGTGGGGCGATAGGCTGAAAGTTTGCATGAGATCTATCGAGATTGACGTCATGCATTCTGGAGATCGAAAATCGCCGATGGACATTATACTTAATTTTTTTTCTCTATCGCGGGGTAATTTTCGAATTATTCAGTTCCAGATCACCAATTGACTCGCGATCACCTCTGTCACGAACCCTCAAACTGCAGACTACGACCTTGCAGACGACAGACTCATCGACATGAAGTCAGGCTCTGCCTCCAACATTGTCGTCTTATACTGGCATCGAACTGACCTTCGACTTCATGATTCACCGGCTCTGCACGCTGCACTGGCTTTGGAGCCATCAGTCTTCATCCCTGTTTGGACGTGGGATCCCCACTACGTCTACAGAGCCCGAGTCGGGCCTAACAGATGGAGATTCCTTTTGGAATGTCAGAGCGACCTATCGAAGTCATACACAAAACTCAACCCAAAACAAAAACTTTGGCTTGTCCGTGAGGCTCCACAGACAGTTCTACCCAAGCTATGGAAAAAATGGGGAATCACCCACCTCGTCTTCGAGAAGGATACCGACCCTTATGCTCGCGAGCGCGACGAAGCTATTGTTCGACTAGCTGAAGAAGCAGGCGTCGAGGTTGTCGTGAGAATGGGTCGAACCCTATTTGATCCTGATGATTTGGTCCGGAAAAATGGAGGCAAACCGACTATGAGCATGGCCCAAACTGAAAAGGCTGCCGAGAAGATCAACCGGGGACAGCCAGATAGGCCAGTCGAGACACCCAAGAGTGTTCCTGATGCTTGGGCCAAGGACAAGATGGATCTAAGTGATATCGAGCACGAGTTTGCAAATCCGACGCCCGACTTGAACGCAGATCACCGCGGGAGCAAAGACAAGCAATACTCGCAAATCATGGGGCCGAATAATGACTTTGGCGTACCGACCATGGAGGAAATCGGTATCGACCCAGCTCTAGCAACAACTCCACACCGTGGTGGCGAGTCTGTGGCACTAAAGATGCTGGCGGACCACATTTCCAACGAGGAATACATTGGCACATTCGAGAAGCCCAAGACTTCTCCGGCAGCATTCGAGCCTCAAGCTACCACCCTCCTCTCTCCTTACTTACACTTCGGCTCCCTCTCCGTTCGAAAATACTGGTGGGACGTGCAAGATGTCATGACCAAGCGCAGAAAAGCAAATCAACCCAACGCCTTTGTCCCGGTAAACCTGCCCGGCCAGCTGCTCTTCCGCGATATGTACTTTGCAGCGCAAGCGGCGGTCGGCGCTCCCTACGCGCGTGTACACGGTAACAAAATTGTCCGCTTCATTGACTGGCACTTGCAATCAAAACCACACCGGCCCGCTGAGAAAGATGGGGAGGCGCTGCCCGAGCGCGACTATGAAGTCGACTCCCCCGAGGCTGAGGAGTGGTTCCAACGGTGGAAAACGGGTCGAACAGGATTTCCCTGGATTGACGCTCTGATGCGCCAGCTCAGATCAGAAGGCTGGATCCACCATCTGGGTCGGCATAGCGTTGCATGTTTCCTGACTCGCGGTGGGTGCTACGTCAGCTGGGAACGTGGTGCTGAGGTGTTTGAGGAACTGCTAATTGACCGTAAGCCTACCTTTCCTCGCCACTCCCCTTGCTCAAGTTCTTTCACTGTCGCGGATTCATTTCGCATACTAAATGATCCAAAAATAGACGAGACATCCGCAAATGCGGGGAATTGGATGTGGCTTTCCTGCACAGCATTCTTCGCCCAATTCTACCGCTGCTACTCGCCCATAGCGTTCGGGAAGAAGTGGGATCCCAATGGCGACTTTATTCGTCGCTATGTACCTGAACTAGCCAAGTTCGATAAAAAGTTCATCTACGAGCCTTGGAAGGCGCCGATCGCCGATCAGAAAAAGTGGGGGTGTAGGGTTACGAATGACGACAGTGCTGCGGGTGGCCAGTCGTATCCAAAGCCGATGTTTGATTTTGATAAGAGGAGGCAGATTTGTCTGGATAGTATGAAGAATGCGTATGATGTTGGATTGCATGGCAATGATGAACAGGTTTTGGATGGGTCGTGGAGGAAGCTGTTTGGCGAGAATGGGGGAGGTGAGGAGCCTAAAAAGAAGAGGCAGAGGACAGGGGATGAAGATGAGTGAAGCATGGTCGTCTCGGCCGGAGGGAAAGAAAGAAACAATCGAATGAGCGAAATGACTATGTATTTAGTCTCAGTAAATTTCCTAATCAATAAGTATAGTGCCATGGGCAGTCTAGTCTATACGTGAGGAACACTTTCATATTACCGCTCCAGTGTTATGAAACTCTGTTCAAAAAGCAATGTATGAGTCCACTGTCAGAGAATTGAGGGCAATATCACACAATAACTCTTTGCTGTACTGATCACCCCCAGCCACGATGCTACTTGAAACCACCAACTATCTCTCCCAAACCTCATTGCAGTAGTGAAATCCCAGTACTCAGGATACCACCTGGTGGACTCCCGGTCGAGAAATCCAGACAGATGTCCATCGTCTCCCACGAGGATATTGTGAGCCTTCAAATCGCCATGGGTGAAAGTGATTTGTGAGGACACTTTTGAATTTCATTTGCTTGTGCCAAAGCTTTGATGTATTCCGCAGTCGTATCAAAGCCGTGCCCCGATGCTAGACCCATGAGAAAATCGTGCAGTTCATTCTCATCACCGAAAGGACCCATTATGTGGTCAGGTACCCGTGTACTTCTTAAAGCTGTACCAATTACTGAGTAAATCCCCTTGGGATTAGGCGGAGTCCATTGGCGCATAGCGTTAATGCATTATTTCAACTGAAAGAGCCATGGTTCCTCCGATTCGACAATTAAGCTGTCATTCGAGTTTCCAAGTGTGACGCCGGGCAGTCGTGTCATCGATATTGAGAAAAAGCGATTATAGGGTGCATCAGGGTGTTCTCCGCAAGATAGCACCTTTAGAACGGGCATCCCAGCCGCTCGCGCCATTTGCATTGAAATGGCTTCTTCAAGACAAGTCCAAAGGGCAATTGTAGGACGTTGACAACGACAAATATGTCAAAGCAGGTACAATACCATCTAGATACGTAGAATAAAGCCTGGGGTACGGGGTCCCATACACATCGTCGCAGCCGGCCAGGTAGAGTCGGTATTTTTGGAGTTGTTTTGGAGACTGGTAGCTTCATTGGTCGAGGCCAGGTGAATTCTGGCCGCAAAAAATATGGAACTAGTGACATTTTGCGTGATAGGCAAGTGCAATCGTGTATAATCAAATCAAAGCCATGTGTACTGCAAAGTAGTTCTTGAATTCAGTTTGACCGCTCACTCATTTGACTGGGTTCCCTAAAAACACATAAGAAATACGCTAATCTTGTTTAGGACGTATTGTAATAAACAAGTAATTCATCGAATCCTGCGATTGCATGTCACGCGTTCTGGCGAGCTCGGGTCCTTGAAAATCAATGAAGTTAATGTGTTCGCGGTGCTTTTAGCTCGGCTGCATGTTTGACAATACCTTTTGTTTGAACAGTCTGGAACAATGCCAGAAACCCTCTCATCGCTCCCTTCAGAAATCCTTTCCGAGATCTGTCAACATCTCCCCGTATCAGACCTTGCAAGTCTCATCCGCACATCAACATTATTCGCTCGGATCGGGACCCGGCCTTTATACGATAGGCTCTTCTTGAATTCCGTCGCTCCAAAAGCCAGCGTTCGCATTGCAAGATTACGGTCGCAATTCATCCTCGCTTATTTCGATGCTAACTCGGAGAAACTGCTTGCCGCACGGACTACTAAGGGCCGATCTATCCTCCACTTTGTCGCAGCGGCTGGCAACATAGCGCTGCTGAATATTCTTCTGGTAAAGGGTGCTGATGTCTCCCTGAAAGACCAGAATGACGAGACACCTCTGCATATGGCACTGGAGAAGGGTAAAGAGGCAATGGCCGCGAAGCTCATTGATGCTGGCGCGGATGTCTTGGGTCTAGCCAGTGGGAGACCTATCCTGGCTTATGTGCATGCAAATACCTCACAAACCGTCGTCGAAAAAGTGATTTCGGCTATTCGGTCTGCTGGAGGAGATATATCTCATTGTCCGCCTGATGGGCACACAGCATTGCATTATGCAAGTCGCCGAGGATACGAACGTTTAGTTGGTATTCTTGTCGCCAACGGGGCAGACGTATTCGCTACCAATAATTATGGCCACCCACCCTTGATTTCGGCTATTCTACAGAAACGCGTCGGGGTTAGCAAGATCCTGCTTGATGCAATGAAATCGGATCCCCGCGGCTACGAAATCAACGAGCCAATTGCTTCTCTCAAAAGGTTCCTAGAACCTGGATTCCAGAGAAGGTATCGAGGTTCTATGACAACGGAGATACACTCCTACATTCCGCAGTCAGGACATGGGGCACAGAGATGGTCCAGCTGCTCCTCGATTTTAGAGCCAATCCGTTAGTACAAAATGACCCTGGCTACAGAGAGCCTCAAACACCGTTTGATATAGCCGTGCTGGGCCGATGTCCGGAGCTAGTTATCCTGATGGCAGGAATCCATGACGCACCAGCATTCTGGGCATCGAACGGTTATATTCAGGAAGGATTTGAGACCTGTATCCGCGAAGCTTATCCCGGAACAGTCCGCGTGCTTTGTGACCTCTATAAAGAGGGAAAGGTTGACCTTGACCTCACCGCAGCTGGCAACAAATTGCTAGAGGCGTGCACGTATTATGGAGATCATGTGCCGGACCAAGATGTGAATGATACCATCGCCTATGTCGTCTCCGCGGGGGCCGATATCAATGCGCAAGATGAGAGGGGGCGAACTCTACTCCATCTACTCTGCGATTTTGGCGATGGCGAATCCCGCGATGACGCTAAGATCAGATTGATGAAATATCTCTTAGATCACGGTGTCGATTGGCGGATCCGAGATGTTGGAGGGAACACTGTTCTCCATACTGCTGCGAAAGAACTGGGGTCTGACCCTGTTATTAGGCATATACTCGGAACAATATCACCAATGGATAGGGCAGTAGTAGGCTCAGGCAATAGGGACGGAAATACGCCGCTTCATTGTTATGCGGGTTCGTTAGCTACCGCTGGAACTGAGTGCACATCGACTATCAAATTGCTTGTCAACTCCGGGTGTGACCTCAATGCAGTTAACATTAAGGGTCAAACCTTTGCTCATCTTGCCGTAACGCAATGGGCATCGGTAGATGTGATCAAGCTGATTTCCGAGCTCGGGGGTGACATGTCTCGTAGAGACTACGAAGGCAGGCCACCGATCCATTACGCTGCGACAGTGCCTGGCATAGAGGAGCTAGATCGAAAGAGGATTATTAGGTGTTTTGTTGAGGAGGAGGCAGATCTTCATCAGGGTTGTAGGCAATGTGAATCTCTAATCCTAGGAATCAATCGAGAAGGATAAAATCTCCTTGCAAATTAATGGCTTGATTGGTTGAAACCAGGTGAACTGTTGCCGCAGAAAGAATATAGAACTAGTGATATTTTTCGTGACAAAAAATTGCAATCATATGTGATAGTATCGCATTAGCTCTGCAACTTGCTTTTTAAAAAAGGTTTGTTGACGTGGTGCGCTCTGAGCGCCCGGACGTGTTCGCTGCCCGAATCCTTGGCAACAGGTTAGGGAGACCTTGTCCGAACAAGCATCGCCAAGACTCCAGCACAATCGTTCGTTCGGACTGCATGTTGCGGTCTGAGTTGTCTGAATTTGTGTAAAGGCACACCGAGGCATAGGGTTCGACCGTATTTGGTTCGTCTCCTCACTCGATCATCTGGACACATAGACCGGTCTCGTCGTGGAGTGTTGTGTATTCCATACGTCTTTGCGTTCTTTCTATAGCTGGCGAACTTCTATCTTGAGACATGGACCTTTTTCGTAGAAATAGTGAGCGTATTGACTCGTAATGCATTATGTATACGCTAACATCTAAAAGAAGAAAGAGTAAACAAAAATCAGAATAGTAGCAGCAGTGGCAACCGTGTACTCCAGTTCAAACCAGGCAGCTTGGCCACCAAATGCAATCTTCTTGCTCTTCTTGGTCGGGTGAGCGACGCCTGTCTTGGGATCACGCGTCAAGAGTTCCTCGCGCTCCGGCATCGATGGCGGATCAATCGCGTACGAAACCGGAGTCCACAGCGAAGTGCACAGGAAAAGGAAAGTCAGAGGAGGCCAGAAGGCGTGGGTGATCAAGCAAATGACAACTCCCTTGAAGCTGTTCTCCACGGCGAAACAGCGGTATGTGGAGATGACGACTGCGACAAGCGTCACGTAGACGAAGGCAAAGTGGAAGAGGGCCATGAAATTGAATAGGATCACGCGGAGACGAACGAATAGGTTCTTTCGCAGCTTGGGGTCGCGCTCGTTCAGGGCGGAGCCGAGCGATCCGGTTGGCTTGAAGGCCTGGGCTTGGCCGCCGAGCCAGGAGGGGAGCATGAATGAGCGGACGATGCAGAGGGCGATGTATGGGGACATCCAGAGTTGATAGCGAGATCCACGCTGGCCGGTGTGGTAGCCAGCAGGAATGAACAATGCGAATTCGCACAGGCGATTGGCGAGCGTCGACGCGAAACAAGCCCAGATCAACCAGTGTAGCTGGTCCTGGTTCGCGTAGGCAACAAGCTGCTTACCCCACAACAGGATCACGGGAATAGCAAAGAGCGACGCAGTAAGCAGAAGAGTATACAAGCTCAGCGTGGCATACAAGAAACCAGAGAACCGCTGAGCAATCGTCATCTTACGGACTGCGTCACCCCACAGACAGAACTTCAACTTGAAGGCCGTGTCCACAGTGCCGATAGCCCAGCGAGTACGCTGCTTCAAGTGACCACCATAATCCTCAGGCACGGTTCCAAACTGCAACGGCTCGTGGATGTACGCGGTCTTCCATCCCTTACCAAGCATCAGAGTCGAAGTCGCGACATCCTCGGCCAACGAGCCCAGGGGGAAATTGCCAATTTGATCGAGAGCCTCGCGTCGAACAACATAGCCGGAACCGGTACACCAGGCGACACCGAGCGCGTCCTTGATCGGCTCAATTACATGCACAAAGAAATCCAGACTTTGCGCAAGAGGGTCTGACGCAGGGGTGTTGTAGAAAAGCTGGGGAGGGCAAGCAAGGGCCATCTTGGGATCGGCGAGCAGGTGTGGGACCACGGCACGGAGCCACTGTTGTTCGGGGATCTGCGGCGCGCGTTAGATTAAGAAAACACATGGGCTGGAGCTAGCCCTTGCGCGAGGATTCGCGTTCTGTTAGGGGCTGGGAGTGGTAGATTTGTTTTGACTTACCATGTCTGCGTCCAGAGCGGCCATGAACTGGCCGGCTCCACCGGGCAATGCCAGTGTCTGATCCAAACCATAGTTGAGGTTACCGGCCTTGAAGTGGTGAGGTTTGCCTGGGATTTTCTCGCGGGCCATGTAGTACAAATTCGGGTGGGTGATTGCCAGGTTGTTGACAGAATCCTCCAGGGACGCGGACCTGCCATCGTCGAGGACAATCACGCGGAATCGGTCAAAGGGATAATCCTGATCGATTGCACCACGGACAGTATCAAGGACGACCTCGTCTTCTTCGCCACAGCAGGTGATGAATACATCGACCGTCGGGCAGTCGTTGCCAGTCAACCGCAACTTAGGCCGGCCTCGCTTCTTCATAGCCATCATAGTCCAGCAGTTGTGCATGAGAGAAGGAATCATAACGGCAATTTCAATGGCGACGAACACCCATGCTCCGGCATAGCTGACGCCCGCAGCATTCTGTGCCGAGACGATACAGTAGATTCGCAGACCCAGATAGAACAAGTAAAGTCCGGTATTGGCAAAGGTCAGGAACGGGGTGAACTTGAACACAATTCGCTTCCAGCCTTTCCAGGTATCGATATCATCGCGATCACTGATACGAGCGATGGATCCCGACTGAACCCAGTCCTTTGCGTATCCCGGTGAGGCCGGAGTGGTCACGAGAGGAGTACGACCGAGACTGGCGGAGCTCTGGACCTGAGAATGGTGGTACTATATGTTGTTAAAGACCCCGTTAGACAGAATGCTCTTATATCGTGCAGAAACCAAACTGGATCAAAGCTTACCAAGGTAGGAGAAGCCGAGCGAGACTCGTAAGGTGTATTGGCAAACGAATCGGGACCATATGATGTGCGAGGAGTGGGGAAAAGACCCGGCGAAGAAGTATAGTCTGGCGGGTTGTGTCCCAAACCCGGCCTATACGGAATCACAGCTGGCCTAGGAGAAGGATGTTCTTGAAAGTGAAAGTCGAAGTTGGCTTCTTGCTGGTCGACGCCTCCAGGGCTGCGATACGCCCGAGGGCTATTTAACTCGACCATTTCCTCTGGTTCCTGGTGAGTATACGGGTTGGTGACATACTGCTCGTTATACTGAGCGGCATAGGGTTGCCCGCCATAGTGTCCGCTCATCTTGAGACACTAGGCAGCGGTCGCGTGAGAAGATTGTGTGCGAACCGTGACTCGAACAAAGAGATAGGGCAAATAGATAAGAGACGGAATAAATGAAGAGAAAAAAAGAAGATAAGAAGTTGTAGACAGTAGGTAGAAGGAGGAGGGAGGAATTGAGTATAGGATTTGGCAATCCAGCCTCAAGACGTTTTCAAACGAGTGTGATCAGCCCAAAGAGCTGCAAGCTGGGAAGGTCGAAGAACAGGTAAGTTGAACAAGGTAGTATGAAAAGAAGAAAGTCTGTCGAGAACGAATAATGAAGAGTGGATGGGAGGAGAACCAGCGAGGCTTAGCCAATAAACTACTGCATGTCCGAAGGGGAAGTACTGAGAGGTACCAAGGACAAAGGCTGTCTATGCTTTATGGAAGTACTACGCGTGTGCGAGGCTTATCGGGAGGCCCCATCGAAGACGATCTGGTCTCAGGTCTGAAGGGTCGTGACTGGCTCGTTCGAAATTGGTTATCCAGCCCAGCCCATCCAGCCCATCCAGCCCATCCGGTTTGGGGGGAAAGTGATGGCTTGTGGCTTCTCAGCCAATCGGCGAAACCCTGGACATTACAAAAGTTTCGGAGATCTCCAGTGCGGAAAACCCTTCTCCGTACGGGAATTCCATTCATACATCATACATCATACCGTCCGAAGGTTGCCGGTGGAGAGAGTGTGAGAGTGTGATGAGTGCGATTTGCTCCGAATGGCGTTCCGTCACCCGCGCCAAGCGTATAAATAGAATCCCACCTTACACTTCCACCCGCGAATCCGCGATAGGATAATCTATGGGGAACTGGATGTACATAATCATTGTTTGAATGTAACTATGGAGTACTGGACAGATTGAATGGGTTTGAATCATGAATGGATCGTAGATAAATTCTCGTCCTGTTTTGATTGACTTCTGTGTCGCCAGCCACTTCCGCTTGCGTCATCATTGTCCGGCCATTCACGATAATTCATTTTTATGTCGTTGGACTATGGTTGGTCCCTGGTTGCCAACTATGGGGTCATGTTCACTGCCTAATGGATGGAAACGGTAAACTAACAAAACTAAAACAAGGGACAAATTGGGGAAAAAAGGAAAGAGATTTTCTTTTGTGTGTAATTGTAAAGAGTTTTTTTCCCCTTTCGACCCACCACCACGCATTTTAAATTTAGAAAACTGTTCCTGTTGGGGAGAGCCGAGGGCCCCGGGGAGGATTGATTTCCATGTTTTTCACATGGTGGCAAGTGAGTCTTATTGGTAGTGTTTCGTTAGGGCTTGCGACTGATGTCTCCGTAAGGCTCCATCGTCTGTTCGCACTGAAGACATTTATTATTATTCTCCCGGACATACGCCGAAGCTAACAGTGTAATCTGTAATGTAATAATGCTTCCTTTGTTTTCAAGTCGTTAGTTATGCATAGTATCAGCTTAGACTTTTACTTGGCTAATCTTTGCGCGCATCAGCACCTTGAGACCGAACGGTCAGTCGCATCTGACTGGTCACCTTCTAAACTCCAAGACTCCAAGACTCCTCCTCCCCACTACGTTAGGAGGACATTAGGGTCACACTATGCAGGGGGGCAAGATGCAGGGTGGCGTTCCACTTTGCTCATTTTGTCCACATTTGTTGTCCACTTATCAGGCACAAGCGTCTGATCCGACCGTAGTACCTGCCGCTAAACCGTGTGCGGAAGGGCCTCGGGCCACTCGATCGCTGGTTTGTAGCGCCATTGGGCCGATTGGCGTCGTTCGCGCCCGGCCTTGGACCTTTGGAGCTGGACTCGCTGGACTCGTCTGATAACCGGTCGGGTGTGTTTCTCGTCTCGGTGACTTTCAAGTGACTTTGGTGACTTTGGTGAATTGTGATTTGGCTTGCCTCCGTAGTTGAGAACTGCATCTTCACCATACCCTAGTCGGCATTCCTCCCCCATCTTCTCCATACTCTTTGTCTTTCGCTATACTTGGTTATACATTGGCATATTTCTTTATCCTCCGCTATCTCGATACTCGTTTCTGTGGGCGGCGTTCTTATCTTAAGACTATTCTTGCTCTTCTTACACTCGCTCGACAAGATTTGCAACACAATGGCGTTGCGACTACTCGTCAACACCGGTCTTTTGGCAATCCCGATCGGAGGCTCGGTCGGCACATTGCTAGGTATTGATGCACACCGATCAGCGACCGGTCAACCACCACTCTTCACCAGCGACGGCAATTCCAATACCGGTTCAGGCTCTGGCGGCGATAGCACTGGCGGCGGTTCAGGCGGCAGTGGCTCTACGACGAATAACGGCGTCACAAACACTCAGTATTGCCAGAGTTCCTATGGTATCTCACCACCATCGGACGGCCAGCTCTATACTCGTAAGTTCGCCCTGAATGTCACCTTGCAACAGTCGCATAGTCGCGCAATAGCGGGTGCAGCAGCTTGTTTTTAGGCCGGTCTATTTCTACTCTGGTCGGATTCGAAACTAACAACTCTTATAGTCAATCCCAACCAGTGGGGAGTCACAGATACAACTTCGGGAGCGCTATGCATGAATGTGAGTATCTCATGGATCTTTTTGGCTATGTACTTGAGCTCGCAACTAATGAACTGTGCTTCCCCAAGGTCACGACTTACAACAATGAAACCTACGCGACCAAACAAACTGCACCAGGCTTCTCTGTGACTTGGCAATTCGATCCCGGCCCTTCGACCCAGCCTGTGCATGCCTTCCCTAATATTATGGTGGACAATGTCCTCCCCATTGAGCTGGACAAGATGACCAAGGTGGACCTCGACCTCCACTGGACCTATGGCATAGGCAACACCGTCGCCTCATCCACCGTTGAATCCACCCTCACCGCAGACAACCTCCAAACCAACGTTGCTATCGATATGTTCTTTGACTCCGACAAAACCAATGCAGGAAACAGCACGCTCGCCAAATACGAAGTCATGGTCTGGTTTGCTGATTTCGGTTCTGCCGCTCAACCCATTGGTCTCTCCGCCGGCGCTGTGACGACAAAGACGTTAAATGGGACAACCTTGTGAGTAACAGAACTACCGCCTGGAAACGGAGATTGTGGTATCCTTGTACTAATTTCCTTGGTTGCAGTTCACTCTACACTGGAACAAACTCGGCTAAGCAGAACGTTCTGTCATGGGTTGCTACCGAAACAACCGAGGAATTCACCGGCGATATTTACCCCCTCATCACCGATCTCTACACATTGACGGGCGACATCTACCCGTCTAACTCGGACTATATGGGTATCTTCCAATTCGGTACTGAGGCGTTCTCTTCAGACAAGAACGTTACGTTCTCGGTGCCCAAACTCTCGATTGACATTCAGAAATAAGTCTTCGGGAGCCATGTACATACATTTTTCCTTCCTCCTACCTAATCATGTGCAATAGTTTACGATTTACCCAACCATGACAATCTATATATTTCAGAAGCATCTATGAATACTCTTTCACGTTCCTTAACATCGAATGCCACCCTTGAGAACTACAATCTCTTGGGCGAAATTGAAATGTCCGCGCTGCCTGCGGTGAAAAAGGGCCTCAAGCGGCGCCCTACGCACCCGAGATCCTCAGAAGACGATAAAATAAAATTCAGATCCAGTTCTGAGATCGTCAATCATAGTCTCGTATTCAATCTCCGTGAAGATCCCCTTTCTAGCCCCCACGGCCTAACGGCTCCATTTAGCGCTGACCTATGCTAAATGCATGAATACGAGGTGCGGTCTTGCCCCGCAAGGTATTGAGACTTTCAGGCCTCCCGGGCCTTATTTTGACGTACGAAATGACGAGTCATTTCAGGTGTCTTCCACCTCTGCAATGGAATGGAGTGAAGCGGCGAGCCTTGTGTTTCCAAAGTACCCCAGAGCGTGCTAAAATTCAAGTTCAGCTGGTTGCCGGTTTGTTTTGATCTGAGAGAGACCTTCTACCTCCCCGAATTAAAGAAGGGGCTTGGTGGGCGACGTGAATCGTGAACTTAGAGATCAATACTGCCTGAAAGGGGGATTTGAGGGCCCAAGGGACCGATAGACATGTTGAACATATTTATCAGCAGTGGCCATCATGAACCCGAGCAGAGCATTGCCATGAATGGTCTCGTTCGATCGGATTCTCATCAATAAACTTTTCAAGGTAAACACCTTGATTCTTTGTCCGACGATCATTGATTACAAGCCCAAGTATAGGTCAGAGGAAAGTGTAGGACAAGATTTTAGTTCAGTCAGGAGATAACGATGAATGCTGTTTATAGAAAAATCCAACCTTGAGAGTTGGGAGACAGGTCATGATGTGGATGTAATGACCAAGAGAACGAGAGCAGAGAGAATTTCAAGACAATCAGTTCACATAGCATGAACTTTTCATAGTCTGAGATGAGGTGATTTGGATGTTGCGAGAAAGACTTCACTATTTTAAAGCTTGACCTCGACGCCAAGACCTCCTGACTCACATCATTCCCCGCAGTTAACTACTAACTACCTCAATCGCATCTCAATCCTAACATCTCACCCTTGAGTCACAATATATAGAGAAAATACAGCATCTCTAATGAAGCCTCCCAATGCCTACAATCTATCAGTATTCCCATACTCTCTCGATGCCGAAGATGGGGGCAATCCAACCACCATCTTCCTCCACGCCGACGAGATGAGCTCAGAGCAGATGCAATCCCTTACCAAAGAGAGCGGCCATGAGTGTGGGTTCGTTCTATCTCGAAATACTGGCGATAAACCTCAATCCGACTTCTCAATGAGATATTGGGTGCCGAACCACGAAATGGAAATGTGCGGCCATGCAACAGTCGGCGCTGTCTGGATTATGAACAAGCTCGGGCTACTACCGCCGACAGAAAGTGTCTCTATCTCGACCAAGTCCGGGATAGTCGAAGCGCGAGTCGATCGTGAAGAGCTTGGACCACGAATTTTTGTGTCTCAGCCCGCTGGCTCTGTGGAAGATATTGCCCATGCGCATGCACTCGAAATTATGTCCTGTTTGGATATCACTTTGGATGACCTTGCGCCAGGCTTCAAGATCCGGAATGCTTGCACTTCTCGAACAAAAACATTGATTCCTTTGAAAGGTCGAGATGTTCTCAACAAGCTGAGCCCTGATTCTCAGTCAGTTGGTGAGATATGTGAGAAGATTAACTCTACGGGTTTCTATCCTTATGCCGTTACCAATGCGGACGACCAAATCGTTGAGGCACGGCAATTCCCTAAATCTGCCGGTTACGCCGAGGATCCGGCGACTGGTGTGGCAGCAGCGGCATTATCTTTTGGCCTCCTAGAACATGGAATTCTGTCAGTTGATACAAGCAAGTCTCTTTTTGTGAGACAGGGATGGAGGATGGGAAAGCCATCTGAGATTCAGGTTCAGTTCAGACTGCAGGAGGACAAAATTGAGGGATGCTGGATTTCTGGGCAAGTCAGACAAATTGTTGCCAATGATAAGGACACAGAATAACGATTGCCTACATGTATGCATCGAGAATCACGGACCACAGATCTATAACACAAATGTTGATTGATTTTGAACAGATTATAAGCTTTAGCCGAAGCCTTTCATTTAGGAACGATAGGTAACACAGGTGTCGACTGCACTCTTTGATGTCTGGCTTTCAAGAATGATAATGTGATGAGAAAAGGGTATTTAAACCACGGAAGAATCAGAGAGTCATAATCCCGAACCAGTTTGCCCATGTCAAAGTCACTTTTCCCTTCAATCACTCCACAGATGGTCTTTCCAGCGACTCTTCCAGCGACGGAGGGATTCTGCGCCCCCGGCTTTTTCCGTCCCTCTTCGTCATGACCCACATTGGTGGCCATGAACCGGGGTGCAACAGCCCACACTTTGATCCCATCGGACTTGAGCTCCCACCTCCACTGTAGCATCAACATGTTCAGGGTACACTTGGTTGATCGATAGACCGTGAATCCCTCGAGGTTGCGTGGATCAGAAAGATCCTGAGTGATTGTCAGTGAATACAGGCCGCTTGTGATGAATATCACCCTTCCATCATGGGATTTGCGAATCAGGGAAAGAAAAGTTGAGGTCATTATGTGAGCACCGACAACGTTCACGTTCCAAGCTCGATTCCATGCTTGCCGCGCTGACATGCGGCCATCAGAGATAGGCTATCGAATATGACTCCTGTTCAAGATCCTATCAGAAGGGAGGAAATATGTTTGGAGGGCCTTTTCCACATACCTGCATTGTTCACTAAAATGTCAAGTTTGGAATATTTGCTTGAGACATGCCGAAACAACTGGGAAATGAACTCGTCATCCTCGACATCTACCTCTGCAGCTTCAAGGACACTGTTAGATTGGGATTATTATCTTAGTGTCTCTATAGCTGTTTCTGCAAGGTGTAGCTCGATGCTCGCGATGATGATACGATAGCTGTGTTCAGACCGAAGCAGAGCCTTCGCTGTCTCTAATCTAATACTACTGTTGGCGCCGGTGATTAACACAATCTTTGCGTCTTCTATTTCATTATTGCTGGTAAATTTTGTTTAGCTTATTATCAAGAAACGTTATGCTAGATGTTTAGCTCGTTATTTCTTTATGGTAGTAAATTTTCTGGTGAGGTGGCCAGCAACACGGCGCTACCCCGAACGGTCGCCTGTTTCAAGAACCTTGATGGCAAGTTCGGATCTCAACGTTTGAGCAAAAGTCTATATTCAAACTCATTTAATCCAGACCGAGGAGCGTTGGAATAAGCCAAGAGGGTGGTCTGACTCTGGCAGGTCCACAACTCAAATCGATTCGGGCCGTATCGGGGTCCTATGCACATGTACACATTGAAAGTGCTGCGCTGGACTGCAACACCTCCTAGAATGTCTACGAGAACCACTCCTTGGCACGCACGGCCGCAATATTGGTGTCCGCACGATCCGAGTACAAACTCATATGACTGACGCCGGACAGAATCTCGAGCTGCTTTGCTTGAGACCTAATCTGGTTGAATGCTTGCACTTCCAAGTCCCATGCCGTGATATAATCGCCTTCCGCGACAATCATCATAACATTAGTGTTGATCACGCGTGAAAGGAAAGGCGAAACCGAATAGTTCAATAGCAACTCAGCCGATTCCATGGTGCTCCAGTGCTCATGTAACGGGGCTTCGCTCTCTTTGTCTTGCATGAAGACTTCATTGACTCGAGGGAAGGGCCACACCGAGAGCTCCTCATACCTTGTCTGAGAGGCCATGGTGATCTTGCCTTCCTTGCCAGCCACACGACCTCTTCGATCTTGCAGAATTCCCGCTTGAAGATCCGCGAAACACCGTTCATCATGTGCACGACGCAAGTTGTTGAAGCCATCAACGACAGGGACGATGCTGACGACAGACTTGATGCGTGGGTCGATAGCCGCCAGGATTAGCACAAGGCCGCCGCTGTAGGAAATTCCAAGGCAACCCAGTCGCAAAGGGTCCACATCGTCTCGACTTTCGATGTATGTCAAGGCGTTGCGATAGTCAGAGATTTGCTGCCAGGGATCAAGATGCTGGCGGCGTGCGCCTGAACTCTCTCCAAATCCGGCGTAATCAAAAGCGAGTACTTGAACTGCACCATCATTGACGATTCTCGCAATGTGTGGAAGGATAATTTCTTTTGTATAGCACCACCCACCCGCGCAGACCACCGTGGGCAGCTTTCCCTGGGCATTATCAGGACGGAAGAGGACACCAGCAAGGGTTTCTCCATTGCTCTCAAACTTGACATGGAGCTCCATCGTGAGATTATTTTGTTGCGATAGCGAAAAGCGATAGTCAAAGCTTAAGAGTTGAATGCTAGTCGTTCTGCACCGTCATATTGACCACGGTCAGGCTTTTAAATGTATCTTCAGTTAGTATGAATCGATCCTCTTATCCCCGCTTCTCCGCATTTTTATAGCATGGATTTCCCACGGCTGTCACAGCCCCGAGGACTCGAAATTGAGCGCCGAATCACCAGGCCCGCGTGCAAGTAGGCCATTGCTAAGAAAGTCGCCGATTCGGTTCAGTGCATCAGTTCTAGCGATGAAGCACGTAAAGCTTGTGATTTCCAAATTTGAGGAGGATGATTAGCTAAATATAATCTTGAAATGATTAGTAAATAATCCAGCAGCTCCGATTGAGAGAGTCCTTTGATACGCTATCATGGTATATAAAAATTATATATTCGGCCCGACTCTTCTCTTCATGGATAGTCTTGTTCAAATGCATACTAATTGGTGTTTCCCCCATTAGTTATCCAGTTACCACTATTAGTCACGTGCTTGACGCACTGTTCATTATGCAACTTACTCTCAGCGACTTACTGCCAGTTGAAATCGAAGTACAGAATCCCATAATACGTTTATATGGCGAACCACACTGGATTCTGTTGTTCCTACCTCGTCCAGCGAGCTTCGAAATTGCCAGTGGGAAGGAAACAATGAGCCTTTCCGCACAAGCTGATCGATTTTCCGTTCTTGAGACCTACTTTGCCCGATTTGGCCCTCCGGTTGAATTACTTCTATAAAGAAACCCACCTTTGTTTTATTTCCTTGGTTGAGATCACCTGCACAAAAATTATGGTCAGGCACCGCTAAAACTGGCGTTAGCTATAGGGAGTATGAGGACACAGACAGCATCTCGTAACTGTGGTTGACATGGCTACTATTCTTCGGCCAATAGCACAGCTACCAGCGGCAACAACTAGACGAGAGACAGCTATCTAGCTACAACCCACGGTCGGCAGCCCGCGGGAAACTCTGGCGATGAAAACAGGATAATTAGTCGCCAGATTTACGCTCGCGAATAAATTTAGCGAAAATTATTCTTCCCAAATTGAGATTACTAATAAAATTCGCAATACCCCAATTTATACGGACGATGGGAACCGGTAAGGACACCATATTTATTTAGTAACCACAACACAACTGATTCACTGACAACATAGCTAACTAATAAGTTGTGGCGTAGTTACTCAAAAACTGTGATGTCCTTATCAATTCCCAAACGGAGGGGAGAGGTTCGTGATGGTGGATTGGGTCGTTAACCGCAGAACTAACCGGATCTACAGTAGCAAGACTCAGGTCCCTATACATAATAAAGCACTAAATATCGACCACAAATCATTATACAGACCCCACTAGATAAGGGGCACTGCTAAAAATTTCATATCACATAATGTACTGAGCTTTTCCAGCTACAGTTGAATACGGAAACCGGGAAGTTCTATCCGCATTCCTCACCCTTTACGAAGGTGCCATCGAGACTGCCCCTAGGTAGGGCAGGAAGGCGTGACTGTGAAAAAGTACTACAGGTCCACACCAGCTTGCGTAGCTGATCGCTCTTCCGTAATATTGGTAGATCAAACGCCCTATACACGTGAGATCGCCAGTGGCCATATTCCAGCAGTAGGGACTTCGGATGAGGGATCCGACTAATTAGCTCAGATGTCAAGTGGCCTGTGAGGATCGATAAATTTGAAGCTTGCCCTATTGATCTGAACTTAGTACGACTGCGCCCTATGATGGAATGTTGAAAGCGCAAGATTTCAAGTCAAGTTCCCCCGTGAGGATAAAACGTATGTGTTAGTGAGCTCAATTATTATTTTGGAGCACGATAAAGGGTATTAATACAACATTCGTCCGATTTCGACCTCACATGCCCTATGCCCTCAGAAGTAGGGGGCACTCGGCCAAGCAAATCTGGCCGGTATCTTCAATATCCAAGATCGACAGTACAATTATTATACACTTGGTACTCTTTGGCCTCATCCAAGTTTAAAGACTGCAATGCGAGAGCTACTTGCTTTCAAACTTGGGTCATGCAAATAAGCGGATGGGCTGTGTTTCGAAGCGAGGAAAAGGGGTCAAATGGAACCATTTGAGCGCTTGGAATTACTTTTAACTTCGAGAAATGGGGTGACTCAAGATCTTGCATAGTGCATAGAACAAGCATATTGAGAAGGACGCGGCTTGAGGGGCAAATTCGAGGCAAAAATATACATCAATATCAACTGACTACAGCGGAGTAGGTCTAGAGCACTTGATGAAATTTCAGGTGACCCTAGGCATGAGCGACGATAATAGACAGAAGAGATCAGTATGAAGGCAACGTGGGTCCAGTAATGTGCTTCGGATATTTGGAAGCCTTGCAGCGCAAGCTGTTCAGCATCGCCTCGATCCGATAGGCAATCTGGCACTGTGGACACAAAACATATATTTGCGGCTGAACGGCGGAACGGCATAACGGAAACATAGCATCCACTATTGCATTAAAATCAATCCACTGCCTTCTACGAGATGGATTGAGCCATCTGCTTTATCAAAGATCACAGCCAGGTCTCATTAAAGCAAACTTGAATTCTCAAAAGCAAGCGTATCACCTCTATAACACCATTTCTGGTGAGATCGAGAAAATTGTGATGACCTCGTTTCAGGTTATTTCAGCTTCAAAAGAACAATCATTATCCCATCTGGCATATGAAAGACTTTAATTGCTTCCAAATTATATGCGTTGCACTTTATCCAACTATCGAAGGGCACGAAAAGTGAGCTACTTTATTACTGGCGACCTTGTTACCGGTATGGCGGGTGCGGCGGTTACAACCACCCTCAACTAACAGTCAAATTTTAGAAATAAGCGATATGCGCAGAAGAATGCGGAACATTATCCACGCTTTGAACTACTAAGCTAAAAGTAGAGATAGGGGAGCTTCTGGTGGAAGCTATGGGGAAAACTGGATCTGACGAAGTACAAGAGTGCGGAACTTCAAGAAAGCTGGCAAATCAAGCACAATCTAAAGAGCATCCTGGCGATGATCAGTGCCTTGACTATGCTCTCTACCGTACCGGACCTCACTTCAAGAAATAAAAAGGTCCGATCTTTGGCAAAGGACTATGCATTGCGTCACCAAGTTCAACGTGGGTGCATCTGCTCCCCCTCTGTGAGCTAGGAAAATTGATCAGCACCAACCCCCCGGGGGCTATCCATTCAGAATTAGAGCTGAGAGGTAGCTTTTTCCTTGCATATGAAAACTTAAACTATTTAGTACAGTGGTCTTCCGGTGCACTCTCACGAAATGATTCGCTCATGGGCAATTCTCCCTACATTCCAACCCACTAAAAAGGCCGGCGTGACCCTAGTCGGCAGGTATCGGCGGAAGTAAAGTCATAAGGAATGTTAGAAGCCAACAATTATCCGAAGATAATGTCCGCATAGCTTTCGAGATCAAATAGAGCTTGGTTGACACCTGCAGCTTCCCTAAATTTTTAGCAGCTAGCTATTCGACCACATCATGTCACCAACTTCTACTGTTGACCATGGGTTGCGACGACTGAATTTGGGTATATTTTTGATGCTATCTGCATCTGCTACGTCAGGATACAATGCCAGCCAGATCAATAGCTTGCTTGTGCTCCCAGAGTGTGAGTTAGCTTCCATCTTCCAAGGGATCCAGATATGGGTGCATTCTAACACATGAGAAACAGTCACCGAGTTTCTAAGCGGCCTCGACTCCAATTCAACTGGTCTCATTATTGCTTCCGTTTCTCTTGGGTCCTTCCTTTCCTTTGTACCAGCTTCCTATGTCGCCGATAAACTGGGCCGCCGAAGATGCGTTAGTATTGGAGCAACACTTTGTATACTGGCATCCATAGTGCAAGTTGCAGTAAAGCATCATTGGGTATTCTTCGGTGCTCGAATTGTGACAGGCGCAGGCGTTGGGTTTTCCCAAACTGCAGCACCATTATTAATCGCCGAAACAGCACACCCCAGTCAGCGGCCAACGCTTACTGGTCTCTACAACGCAGTTTGGTTTTGTGGGTCCATCACTGCGGCTGCCATCGCTTTCTCTACTTTGGCCATCGACAACAGCTGGTCCTGGAGAGTACCGTGTCTACTGCAAATACTATACCCGACTATGCAACTCGTGGCACTCACAATTATTCCCGAGAGCCCAAGGTGGCTTGTTTCGAAAAACAGGCAAGGAGAAGCACTTGCTATGCTCACACGGTACCATGCAAATGGAGACATGCACGACAAGCTGGTTCAGGATGAATACGATCAGATCTGTGCCAGTATTCATGCCGAAGCCGATCAAAAGTCTGCCTCGAGATGGAGTGCCTTCTTCAAATCAAAGGGCGACATGCACCGACTTACCATTTGCATTCTCTTGGGATTCATGCAGGAGTGGACTGGCAATGGTATGACTTTTTTTTCCTCCACTAGTTCCATCTGGGATGATCACCCGTCTCTAACCTTATTTTCTACGGCTAGGTGTCACTTCCTACTATCTACCACCTATTCTGGCCTCCGTCGGTATAACTAATGCAACACACCAAGCTGCCGTCAATATTAGCCTCCAATTCTGGAACTTGATGTTTGCTGTTACGGGAGCTAGCACCTCAGATAAATACGGACGACGAGTTCTTTGGCTATGCGCGACAACGCTCATGCTCATCTTTCTAACGACATCAACAGTCATGGCTGGTCTGTTCGCCGAGATGAACATTCTAGAGGCAGGCATTGCAGTCGTTCCCATGCTGTTCCTGTTCTGTGCGGCCTACGATTTCGCCTACATGCCGCTCTTCATCGCATATCCGGCGGAAATTTTGCCTTACCAGCTTCGTGCAAAAGGCCTTGCCGTCACACTTACAACAGACTCACTGGCTTGCTTCTTCAATCAGTATGTGAACCCGGTGGCATTCTCAGTGCTTCGATGGAGATACTTTAGTATCTACGTAGGCTGTTTGGTCATCGTGCTTGGCCTGGTCTACTTCTTCTTCCCTGAGACACAGGGAAGATCTTTGGAAGAAGTGGCACGAATCTTTGAGAGCCCCAAGGTTAAAGATCACGAGGCACTTATGAGCGACTCCGATGGTTCCAAGCAGTCGTCTTTCGTGATCAAGTACGAAGCATAGAGCATCATCCTGTTTATACCTGACTCGGATCTAAAGCGTGATTGTTTTCGCCTATCCAGCATCAGCGTCTGCTTCATTTTCTTTCATTCATATTTACACTTGCTGCTTTTTCTTAATCCCTTTCTACATTTTGCTCCAATCTCAATATACGCGCGTTGTTCTCTTGCTTCTTTTGAAAGACCATATGTACCTGTCGATGTATTGACCTCACCTTTCGTCATGTTTACCGTTCGCATCACCTAATTGTTTTTAGAGAATATTATTTGCCATGACGTGCTGTTCCATTCAGAATGCGCTGCTCAAGAATCGATTTTAGGCTTCCAGAGCCCGATCAATGAACACTTAGTGTACCCGAAAGTTCCGACATCCATCCTATCTTCAGTGGCTCGTGGAATATGGTCATTTCTCGCGTTGCCAATATAAGAAGAAAGTGTCCCTAATGCTATATATACAAGAAGTAAAAAATAATAAAACAAGCCCGACACTCTTTAAGCACTCGGCCAATTGCCTTTCCATCGGACAAGGTCCTCCTCTTGGTCATCGATCACCACCACCATCCAAACACCGACCTCACGATTATTGGCCAGCAAGGGCGTGCAATGAATCCAACGATGGCGACCCCGATCCTTAAAGCGATTCACCCACTTGATTCGCGCCGTGACACTTCGGCCAGCCATCATGGCCCGTAGGATACTCTCACGCTTTTCGTTTGAGTCACCAATGCGCGATAAGAATGAAGATTGCAGTATGCCCGGAATCTGCAGCGAGGGTGATGTGAAGAGGATTCGGAGCGATGGGTAAGGGCGAACGAGAAGGTACTATCGAACAAATGAATTAGACATGAGTCGGGCATGCGTCAATGAGAAAACATACATGTTTGTAAACACCTGCCAAAGACCCGCCAGGGGTAGGGCCAGGTGACTGGACTCCATTTAATCGGAGTTCACCCTCGTGCTCGGGGCTTTGTAGCCACAGGCGACTGTTTGTCGAGTTCAATTTGTCCACAACTGGATGAAACAAGTTGCCGCCATAATCATACACGTTTTGCAACTCGCGAGTACTAAACAGCTCCCCTAGTTCTTGAAATTCGGTCTTTTTGGGCAGAGGTTTCTGAACGGATTCGTTATCAGGAGCCTCTGCCTCTGCGGTAAGGTTCTGTAAAGACTCCATCTCCGCTCCTTCCAATGCCAAGCCAGATACATCAATCTGGGCACCGATGAAGTATCGGATCTTGCCTTGACTGTCGCAAAGTGGGGCACATTGAAGAAGGTTCATGAAGGGCGAGCCATCACGGCGACTATTCATTCTTGGTCAGCTTTTCAAGTATTTTCCCAGTCGAGCTTCCCGCGTGACCTTACTAGTTGAGGAATATCTCTGAGTGGTGCCGACCCTCTGCAATGCTCTCTCGAATGCGTCGTACACTGTTTGGGTTGGTCTTGGGACCTTGCAAAAAGCGACAGTTTCGTCCAAGCACGTAGTCCATGCCGTACTGTGTAGCGCGGTGAAATTCTAGAAATGGATCGTGAGCTTCAGTGATGCGGCTATCTACTGCGAGGGGTACAATTACTCACCCCCAGACGCAAAGATGATAGGATTATCCGGTCGAGAGGGATCTGTCAAGCAAAATACCTCTGCCAGCGCATCGGCTGTGCCTTGGAACTTGTCCGGGAGCGTTCCTCGTATGCGCTCCTCCACAACTTTGCCAGTGATTTTGATGCAATTTGATGTGATAAATGCAGGCAACTCCTCCGCTGTGAGAGCATCCAGTGCGTGCTGCACGCGAGCTTCAAGCGCGGAATTTGTGGTGGGTCCTACAGGTTCCTTGGCCGTCTCGATGCCGGCAATTGGTACATCTACCGCAAGCCGCACTAATGCATTGGCGTACTGAATTGCTTTTAGTGCCTTGCAGGCATTCAAATAGTATGCCAGGGTCGGCAGTGATCTCGGCCGCTCAGCGACCAGGAATTCGCGGAATTGGGCCAAGTAGCGCGGATTGCTGAGGATCGCCAACATATGCTCAGAGGAGAACATCGTGTCGGCCTGGCGTTCGAGAGTGTGGAGTGGGGCCACATCCCCCTCGTACGGAGCAACGAGGTCGTATGAGCCTTCATTCTCCTCCTCATTCACGGGATTCAATTGTTCAGAGCCGTCGTACGGGTTCGTGGCTTGGAGGAGAGGGAGTTCGTTGACATAAAAGTTGCGGCGTAGCGCCTTGTTGGAGAGCTTGGTACACAGCTCGCTGCGAGGACTGCGAATCTTAGCGACCGGCTTTTGTTGTCTTTAATGATTGTACAATCAGTCTTCTTGCTTACTGCTCGTCACTATTGATGTTGAGCTGTCGAACGTGGTCGATAATACTCTGGTCTACGCCATGCAGCTCGTTGTCGAGGTCTTGACTGAGGCCCTTTGAATGCATCTCGGCATCCAGTGCCGCCTCGTCAAGGACAATAGTTGGCGAGTAAGACCTCGTCGATCCAGTCTTGTGAGGACGGTCATCGGGGGTGTCTGGGATGTCCATTTTTCACGATTGTGTGACTATCGCTTTGGTGTGAATTGACCTACACCTGTGCCGCGGGGCAGAACGCCATAAAGAGAGCAAAACGATCGATGTCGCTGATCACTCAGCATGGCTCCATTACGCAGGCCAGCGCGGCTTGTCGAACACTATCCACGGTCGTTCAGAGGGGGTAGGCGAATGAACTGTTTTTGACATTGTTCAACGAGGATGAGATCTGCTCTCTTGCAATCTTGATGGTTGGGTCGATCGCGCGATCGATCGCCGATCGCCAGGTCCACGAGCGACCGCTACTTGAAATCAGACTTTCGAACAAACGATGATGCAATCTGTCAAGGCACCGCGCCTCGGTGGATCGATCTTTGGTAAGTTTTGAAGGGTACCGCTGTGGGGATGCCACTTGAGGCAGGGCCTAATGTCACCGGTAACCAGGCACGATCGCCATTTTTACCATGGAGTTGGGAGAAAGGAAAAAGAAAATTGTCCGCTAGTGGAGATATTCAATCTCCTCGCGCACAACACTATTGATCTGACCCGCGTGTCATAATTTAGTTCCGAATCTATATTACTTAGGTAGAAGGGCTTGAAAGGCTTGATCGAAGGAGGGATGCTCCCCTTACTCTGGCCGATCGTGCCTCTAGCTCAATTTGAACTTTTGAAGGTCTCTTCAGAGAATATATCCATAGCAGGGATCCCGTACAGCAGAAGAAGGGGTGCAGGTCAGCCGTGTCACGAATAATATTCCAGGATTTCGCTGTCTATTGTAATACGATAGGTAGCAAACACTTCAAGGTCTTCAGTGAAAATTAAAATGGAGTTCAGAAGGACATCGTTCACAAGTGTTCAACCCTCTCGCTATTCCGGCTATTTGATGACAACCACATCTCGAGGTAGTAAGTTACGTGATCTAATCTTCCCCCCAACTGCGCCTTGAGAAAAAGCAATCCCTAGATAATTTCGCTATTAAATCAGGACGAATTATCTGGCTCGGAGCTAAGAAAGAATTGAGTATTTTCTCACGGCTAAAGCGGTTCTCCAAAGGCCAAAAAGTCGGTTCACAAAATGCAACGCTCAGCTGATATGCATGGGTATCGATAATCAGCATAACGAGATAACAAACAAGCCAGTAAATCACATCATAATATTGCCCTTCTAAGCTCCCAACATCCCTGCAGCCATTGATGTATTACTGTTCGGATAGTAGACGCCAACAGTGCTCTTCAGGAAGCAATTACCATCCTGTCCACCATTGTATGCCGCTGTCAGGTTGGCAGTATAAATGATACCCTTGCATGTAGAATCATTGGAATCATCCTTGTTCCAATCGACACAATCTGCAATGCAAGATTGCAGCGTATAACGAGTGCTGCGAGTAAGATCTTTAACTGTTCCATTGCCAGATGAAGCCGGCTCTCCTCTTGGCCAGTCAACAGCGCAGAGTAGAGTGAAGATTGAGCCATCAGAGCCAGTGACCGTTGTCAAGTTCTTGCCGGGGCAAGGATTTGCGGCTATGCCTGTCGTGCCAGAGGTGATAGGAGCGGAACTAGTTGTGGATGCAGTGTGGGTCGTCGTAGATTTGGAACTTGTTGACGTTGATATCGTCGAGGATGTAGACGATGTGGAAGATGAGGAGCTAAAAGATGAGTGCATAATATTAGCAGTAGTCCAATATTTGCTAGTTTGAGCATGACGACTTGCCTTATTGTTTGTGAAGGCTCTGAAGTATGGCGGTTTGCGAGTGAACCTCCCACTCCTCCACCAACAGCGGCCCCAATGACCACCAATAATGCGATAGCAAGTAGTATCCAGAAGGCCGTCCGCTTCAATCCACATATCGTTTGATTATTTTTCAGTTCATCCCCTGCCGAACCATCTGACCTGTGTGGACCAGAAAGATAAATCGGATCCGAGTTATGACTGACTTCTTTTTCAGAATCGGGCACAACTTCAATGCCGGGATCATCTCTTCCAGCTCTCTGTTGTGGATGTACCACTTGAATTCCGTCCATATCCTGCTGCAAGAACGGCTGATGAAGTGTAACGAGTCAATGGGGCAGAAATTGGGGGCCGAGGTGCAATGTAGCACAGCCTGTAAGCGGAAAAATGTTGCGAATACTGCAGCTATCAGAAATCGCTTGGGAGGAGTACGCGTTCAATCTTTGGAATGAACCACGAAAAGGGCGTCAAGTGAAATGTAAAACCATCAATGGTCTCAAGTTAAAATTATTATAGGGGGTAGGTCAACTAATTGTTGCCGAGATGATGTTTATCAGTCGGGATTCGCCTGGTAAGAAGTGCCAGCTGGTTGGGGGCCAGATGTTGATCATTGTCAGATTTGCTTCTAAGCCGCTCATGATACTGTTGTGATTGGTTGCACGTTAATGGTTAGGCTTGTCAAGGGGTCCGCGAGTTGGTGTTAGTGCGCCGCTTAGGACTCAATCTCAATCCGCTAAGCCGCTTCCAGTGTAATCTAAAAAAAAATAGGCTAGGACCGGGGTTACAGAACCTGGCCTCATCATGCACATGGGGACCCCAACTGGTCAGATACAATTTCCCGAGCGCGAAAACCTTGGCATGGCGTTGAGAGTGAGATTGCAATGGCATCAAACTGTAGAGTCAAGATACTCTCGTTCTAGGACCGACAAACGTCCGCTTGACTTGGAAGTGCTGACGGTGTCCGAAAGAAGAGGTTCATGATGAACTCCGTCATTTTGCTATCTCTTACGTTGGCATGGTTTCCATTTCTCGCCGTAGACATAACAGAACAAAAAGCCACAGCGACATCTGAAGAATGCAGAGTCAGTCCCGAATGCTTTGAAATGAATCTGTTCATAGATCAACTCACCGCATATGATTACAACTAGTCGCTAGATTGCCACACTGGGCACATTGTTGCCTGTTTTTCCTCGGTGCCGATCCTGGAAGCTCGGCGGTCTCGTCCGCGTGGTTGCCTTAACGTGTTTTTCGCTTGCATTGGGTGCAGTTCTCTTGACCACACTCTCCGCACTTGGTGATATCTTTCTGGAATTTCTCTCAAAATATGTTTTGTGCATGAATTGTGGGTACAGTCCTCGAGCTCAGCAAGGCTTTGATGCGTTGGGTTTTCGCCATATATATTCGTGGCTGCCAAAAGCGGTATTCCAGTGCTGTGATCTATCGGCAAATACTGTGATATGTCGTCTGAGTTGCTTGCATAATGTCTTTGTAGGCATTCATCTCAGTAATCAACACACTGAGGAATTTCCCCTAGCAAGTGCAAGATAGCTTGTATAGAGAGAAGACAGCTAAGTAGTAGTAATAGAAGAGATATCAGCTGATCCAGTAGTACCTGATGCATACCATCAAGTTATGACCTGATGGTTTCCGCCAATTCGGGGTATCGTTCTCAGTCAGGTGAATAAAGATGTGTGAAATTCTAAGTGAACAATATGATTTGTTCGGGAGCCAAGGGACCTGCAGCTCAAAATAATGTACTAGATTGATATGTCTTTCCTTGTGGCCAATCCCATGCTTCTGTCTGACACTCAAAGGAAGATGTCTTTTTCCGTATTTTGCCTAGCTTTCAACATCGTGAAGCCATGCTAGGTGAATGGAGCTACTTTGGGCGTTAGCCCTACATCTTGCATCCTTGACCTCGTATTCCTCATCCTACTCTTCATACTAAGAAATCTTGGCGACTTGGCGACGACCCGTGCCGACTATTAGCGCCCGTAGTATGGAGCTGAAGCGAGGAGGACCGTCCGCTCCAGTCTAGTTAATAATACTGACGTCCAGGCCCTCAGACTTAAGCAGGTCAAGTTGGTTTTGAATAAAACTTGTCTTGTCAGGATGCATATTATACCTCTTTGTCTTTTATCCTTTGGGCTGGCGCAGTCATCTGCAGCATGGCAGCTCACATACTATGCTACCGAGACAGTCTTACCTCTAGCATGGGGAGGCAAAACAACAACCATCACTCCAGTTGTGACGACGGCCCCTCTTACAGTCTCGCCAGTATCCACATCGACTGCCTACTCTACCGATTATGCGCAAGGAAATAAACTAGACCATGGCAAAATCAACGTCACGACGGAATATCTCATTTTGCCAAACGTTACAGGCCTGCCCGTTAGCGCCTTCTATCTCTTCGCGCCGCCATCGGAATCTACAACTGCTAGTCCAACCATCACCACTCGTTATTATGTCCCAGTCACACTCAGCAATCCCGCATCATGCACCAAGACAACATTTACCTATACTGATTCTATCGATGTCGTGCTTCCCAATAGTCTGACTGCACAGGCGACTGATTCAAGTCTCGCGGCGTATGTCACCACCTACGTCTCAACAATCAGTACCAATCTCGGTGGTCAAGCCGTGACCACTTCACGCTGCGACGTGTACCTGAATAGCAAAGCTGTTCCCGAAGCAACTATATTGATTAACGGGTTAATCACCGAGTGTGTCGATCCAAGACGGTCTACGTGCAGTGCAGGAGATAATCAGAAGGCTACGGGTTCGGGAGGATGCAACGGGGTATATCCGCCAACAGGGGCTTCAAACCCTACATCAACATCTACGGCTGGAACAACCAAACAGCCCACCAAGATAGGCGGAGCTTCCGTTGCGAGGCAATCAATTGGGTTGCTAGGTCTATGGAGCTTGGTCATGGTTGTCTGGATTGGATTGATCTAAAGTCTTCTTGTTGTCATTCTTGTTTTTGAATGTACAATTCAATGCGTATACTATACAGATTATTCCCGGGGCTTTATTTTCCGTTATGCAATGTGGATCAGACCGTTCATTCTGGCGTAATGCTGCATAAATGTGTATACTACTCATAGGCTACCCTCGGTACTCTATTCTCCGTTATGCAATGCTCATCAGATGATGAAAATGTGCGTCAAAATGGGGTGTTTAGGCCTAGCGTTAATCAATTCTGTCAATAATGGGGCATCTTCAAAGAAAGCCCAGCCTTCCATGATAACACCTTACATCACCAAGACTGCGGGGTGCTTCAATACTATCTAGGCATGTTGGGATGCTAAGGTAAATCAATAGTAACTTTCATAGACTGTGATGTGATACGAGCCGAAGTTAGCATTGGGAGAATGTTGGTCCGACGGAGCAACGGACGAAAAAAGTGGAGTTACCTCTCGCTGCAACAGCATTAACCAGACATTAGATATCTTGGGTCCGACGAGGCTGTAGATTATTAATTCAACCGTTCAGAAAGCTTTATTGTGGATTCAAGCGTCCAGTAGATGGCCTAATCCAATGTCATGATTCGCCCGGAGTTAATATTCTTGCATCTCGACTTTATCTCCGGTTGAAGTAGAACACCGCGTAAAAACTCATATTATAAATGGGCCTTGATTCGAATTAGAAAAACTACAACCATCTGAAAATTTACCAATCTCTTCTTCTGAAGTCATTGGTATAGTCCCAAACCCAAACAGCGCAATGGCACCAAAGTATACCAACAAGCTCGCCAACCAACGTGTTTTGATTCTGGGGGCCACCTCTGGAATTGGCTTTGCCGTTGCCGAGGCAGCCTTTGAGCATGGTGCCAACTTAGTGATTTCGAGTTCCAACGAGGACAAGCTCGACAAGACAGTTTCCCGGCTCAAGGAAGCCTACCCGGCTGAATTTGAGAAGCAGACCATCACCACCCACGTCTGCGACCTCTCGGATGCTGCCAACCTGGACACCAACCTCGAACAGCTCTTTGAGGCTGCTACAGACGGCGGTAGTATCAAGCTGAATCACATCGCTACGACTGCAGGCGATGCTCTCAATCTCCCTAAGCTCGCCGAGCTCACGCCTGAAGCTATCTACAGCGGCATGACCGTCCGCTACATCGCACCGGCGATGATGGCCAAGTTCATTCCTAAGTACGTTGAGAGCTCACCATCCAGCTCTTTCACTGTTACTGGCGGCATGCGAGGCGAGAAACCGGCCCCGGGCTGGACCATGGCTACAGCTATCTGTAGCGCAATCACCGGCCTTGCTCGTGGTCTTGCATTGGACCTGAAGCCCATTCGGGTGAATGTGGTGCACCCAGGTGCCGTCAAGACGGAATTATTCAGCATGTTTCCTGAAGAACAGCTCGAGGGAATGTTGAAGATATTCCGGGATAGTTCGACGACTGGGACTGTTGGAAAGCCGGAGGATTTGGCGGAGAGTTATATCTACCTCATGAAGGACGAGTTTGTGACTGGATCTGTTATTGAGTCGAATGGTGGCGCTTTGTTGAAGTAACGGTTGTCTTTGTTGGATTCGAATCACCATTGCTGTCTCCATCAGATGCAAAGTAGTTTAACAGCTTTACAATCTCCAGAGTGCATATCTTCTGGTAACTGGTGGTCCGTGCACCAAGAGTATGAGTAGGCCTAGCGTTAAGCCCGTTAAGTCCGGCGCCATCCGGCAGTCGAATAATTCACCGCCTTGGAAGCTTTGGCTTCACATCTCGGCCGTTGTTGGAACATCTAATCTTGTCAACAGCTTCAACAATCCCCCCTGATACGACTTCAGGCAGAGTGTACAGGAAGACTTGGGCCTGAGGGCCAACACCTATCAATATGCAAGGGTTCAGTAAGTCGTCGTTGCCCCGCGATTTCTCTGAGAGTAAGTGCTGACATGGTTCGCCAGATATGGGACGGTTCGTTGCAGAATCCCACGGAATTCCAGAATCATGATCACGACTAACACAATCTCCAGATATGTCCCTCCGGACCAAGAGGGTGTCACCTCTGCAAACAAGCTCGCCGGCAAACACCCCCTCGGCGCGCGCGCCCGCCACCTCCACACGACAGGTGCCCTCATCGTCCGGTTTGAGATGCCCTTCGCCATATGGTGCACTAACTGCAAACCAAACGAGACCATAATCGGACAGGGCGTTCGCTTCAACGCTGAGAAAAAGAAAATCGGCAATTACTACTCGACCCCCATCTACAGCTTTCGGATGAAACACACCACATGTGAAGGCTGGATTGAGATTCACACCGACCCGAAAAATACCGCCTATGTGGTCGTCGAAGGTGCACGCAAACGCGATACCGGGGAAGACAAAGAGCTGCAGCCCGGGGAGATTCTCATTCGCGGCCACACGCAGGATCCCGCCGAGAAAGACCCGTTTGCTAAGCTCGAGGGCAAATTGGAGGACAAGCAGCGCGCTCAGACCGAATCGAGTCGCATTCTGGAGTTGCAGAAGCGGCAGGATCGGGATTGGGAGGATCCCTACGAGAATTCCAAGCGATTGCGCCGCACCTTTCGCGGAGAGCGGAAGGGACTGGAGAAACTGGAGGCCAATCGCGAGGCTTTGCAGGAGAAAATGAGTCTGGGCATTGATCTGGTCGATGAGACGGAGGAGGATCGTCAGCGAGCAGGCATGGTGGATTTTGGTGATGATCAGTCTACCGCCGCAAAGGAGGCTGCCCGCGCAACTCGAGTCCGACCAATGTTTGAGACTGTGGACCCAAAACGCTCTCGGAGCAGTGAGAACCGCGGCAAGGAGCGTCCGATGTCCCGGAGAGCCCGTGAAGCTGAGATGATCGAGCAGCGCAAGGCGAATTTCCGAAATGAGCTGCGGCAAAACACACGCGCTGCAAAGGATCCTTTCCTCAAGGATCTGGGAGATGGACCAGACATCTGGAAGCCTGCTGTCAAGGGGAAGAAGCTTTCTACGAAGCTGGTACCTCGGACCGCTTCGAAGAATGTGATGAACACTCAGGTCAAGGACTCGACCGACACAGAGGGCAGCCCGGTCTCGCCCCCAGCGACCACTGACAGCGACGTTGCGCCTGCACAGGTTGTACCGGCTGCACGAGCATTGGTGGATTATGATTCTGACACGGAGTAACGGAGTAACGGCTGGGGTCTTTGCGCATTGTGATTGGTTTTACTTTGATACCCCGGGAAGGCGTTCGGATCTGTTTGAGTCTCAGGAAGACATGCAACGCCGCATGTTCATCGCAAATGCCATTTTAGTGAACCACATCTGATCTAAATTGGGTATCATTTCCTATCTAATGTAACTTCAATTTCATTTCGCCCAAGGGGCTTTCGTAGGCCCTTCACCTCCTGGTGGTGGCGGTGGAGGCTGCGCGCTCGCCCACGGAGCTCTAGTAGGAGCCATTGGCCCTGGCGGTAGACGTGAAGTATCAGGGAGTGCTGGAGGTGCATCCGTTGGCTCACTTGATCTTCCAGTCGCCCATGGTGCTGCCGTTGCTCCCATAGGCGGAGGCGCGCGAGTGCTGGATCCCCCTGTAGCCCAGGGAGCTTTGGTCCCGGCATCTGCACTGGGTCGAGCTGTGGAGGTTGATGGTGGACCTGCATCTGGTACGACAGGTCGTCCCTGAGGGCCAGATGTCGTATGAACAGTTGTTGGAGGCATGACAGCATTAGGGTCACGGTCGAAGCTGAAGAGGGATCCGAATGGGAAATGCTGGACCACAGGGAACTTTGATAAAACCTCTGCGTTGTACATTTTGACCATTCCCTGGAGGCATTGTCAGAAACCTCCTCGATATTATAGAGCAAAAGAGGGGACAGAAATATGAAAATAGGAGAACTTACTTTGTTGATCTTGCCCCAACCAGCTCGAATTCCAGAGATGTCATACAACATCGGGCTGTGCTCCCAGAATGGACCCCTCTTCACATCGTAGATGAACCCAATTGCCGAGAAATAGAGGTTTAATCTCCTTTCACGTTCCACAATGACCGGCTTCATAATTCCGCTTGGGTCAGGTGCATCTGGTAGCGAGCCTTCCTCTGGCGTGAGATTGGTGGCATCGATGGCTGGGGACAATTGTGCCGAGCCAAATACATATGGGATAAAGGAGTGGTCGTCGAGACCCCAGACACCGTGGGAGCCCGCTGGCTCAAGAGTATATGTCTTGATAATTAATCTGACAAGCTCCAAATACCTAAATTATTTGTTAGAAGATGCGAGGATCTCGGGCGTCTTCTGCATTAGATACTCACGGCTCAATTACTCCGAGAACAAGAGCTCTCTCCTCTACTCCGAACTCAGACTGTGGAAACCCGTTGAGTTTCCAGATCGCACCCAGGAAAGCCAGGAAGCTCAATTCATGGCCTGTTCCATAGTCTAGCCTTTGTCCGCTGCCCCAGCTACCAAGGAAGTATGCCTTGAGCTCTGCTTCTGCGGTGACTCCCTGGCCGGTAGGCGAACGCCTATCCAAAAGCTCTGCCGGCAAGCATTCTCTCAGCAAATCAGATGCCCGGCTAGCCAATACCTCGTGCCATCTTCTAAAGCTGATATTTCCAAATCTCCGGGGTCCAGTGTCTGGCGGAACCTCTTGTACGATGTCCTCAAGCTTCGACAGCAGTCGTTGTAACTGGCGGATGGGCGCGGAGAATTGTACGGCGTCTGAGCCCAGGGGCCAAGTTTGAATAGTTCCATCGGGAAGTTTTGCAGGAAACATTGCTCGGTTTAGCTGCAGAATGAAAGTCATAATTCCTGAGTAAGCTTTCGAGGTGAGAAAGGCAGATACATCTTGCGACTCATGGATCTTCTTCGCAGGCTCGACAAAAGTGTGTGGCTCTGAAGGGTCCAGCACCGCCAGGACACGGATCGCCCTGCCATCGGGATTCATCTTGGCTGATTGGAAGTGTGAAGTTTAGGAAAAATGAATGCGGGGAGCAGCAGGCGAGTGGAGGGGAAAGAACTTGGTCCTAAGGCGGGATGACGCCGCGTGCAGGAGGCAGATCTCCACTCGAGCTTTCTCTTCAGGCGCACTCCAACACCACCACCACCATTATCTGACACCCTTCCCCGCGGCCCCCTGACAGGCGCCTTGCTTCTTGCAGGGATGGCGCCCCTCAGGAAGCGGAAGCTACGCAACTCCACCGTTGACTCTGTGAATATCTTCAATGCGATCAGTGGCTTGAGCGGCTCGCCATCAAGACGAAATACCATACACGGCGCGTCAACTCCACCTCCGGCACCCCGAGACGCGAGACCAGACCTCTTCGAGATCCCCGTGACACCGCCCAATAAACGCAAAATCACACCACCTCGGAGTGAACCTCTAATGAGACAATTACGAAGCCGTGAAGTTGACCTTTCGCCGCTCAAAGCTGCTTCTACGCTTGAAGACGAGCCTCCCGCGTCGCCTTCCGAACGCGACGAAGCGGGTGATACCTCAGAACCCCGGGATGATTCCAATAGAGAACAATATTCTGAACAGGATGAAAATCTGAGGGCGGAAGATGGAAGCGAGGAGGAGGCGAGCCAGTATGAAGAGGTTCACGAGGGAGATGGTCTCGAAGAAGAGGACCCTCTGCCTAATCGCGTGAATCTTTGGCCGGAAGATTCGGACGATGTCCCTGATGAATCCAACGACGATAGCTCTACCAGTTCTGATGAGGATCGACCAACCTCATATCAAAAAGTACCCAAATCCGACGATATTCAGGTTTTGATCGATAATCGGAGGGGCGTTAAACAGAGAAATGGAGACACACCTGATAGTGGCCTATTCGTGTCGTCTGCGTCTGAAATTGAGGAGAGTGACCCAGAAGAGGAAGCGTATGTGTGGGAAGAATCGGACGGTGAGCGGCAAAGGGCTCAGCAACTTGAAGCTGCCGACGTTGCCGACGCTGTACCAGCCGATGCCACCGATGAGCCTCTGAATGAACTATTCGTTGAGCAGCGCGTGGAAGACGAGCCTGCTGTCGATGAATCATCACATCCAGAGCGCGCTCGCAAAAATGAACTGCAAGACCTGAGCCGATGGCTTGCGCAGGAGATTGAGTCATCCCCCCAGGGTGCACTATGGGAAATTCTTCGTGCTAGCAAGCGAGAGTTGCGACAATTTGCAATCAAGCCCATCCCAGAGTACCTCAAAGGAGCCAACTCCGAGGTCACGGAAATGCGACAGCTTTACTACGACATTATCAACAGCTCTACCTTGACCTCAGAAGCAAGGACGGAGCTGAGGAATCTCAGAGAGGCCGTCCGTACCGAAGCCACGCGAATCTTCGAGTACGCAGCTGAGGAGGCTCCGGAAGAGACTAGTGAAGGTGCCGAGATGCTCAATCAGTTCGAGGCACACGTGGTGGGCCCTATGATCACTCTTGTTACCTTTGGCTACAGAGCCCATAAGATGTTGGGTTTACCAGCATATGACCAGTTTGAGGGAATACTGGAGCTTCTGCTGTGGATTTGCACGCAGATCTCTAACTATAGGCAGACTTCCTACTTGAGGGGAACCAAGGCGAAATCAAAGGCTCTTATTCTCCCCTTGAAGCGCATCATCAAGTCTCTGGGTATGGGCGACTTAAGTGCAAGTAGGACTTCCAGCTCTCGTCCATCACTAGCCACCCAGGGTGGTATGTCTTATACACAAGATGATACTATCTCCACACAATGGACTCAAGTGCCCGATTATGATATACCCCCGTCACAACGCCCATGGACTTTGGATGAAGAGGATGCCCTCCGCAATGGGGTACGACGATTCTCCGGTCAGTCGTCTCCTCCCTCTAATCCCAGTCTTAGCATAGTCGAACTAACCCCAAAGCAGCATATGGCAATCCGATTCCGTTGGTTATGAGTCACTATGGACATCGTTTACGACGGCGAACCTGCCGGGATCTTAAAGCTAAATTGGACGAGCTGGGCCCGTTTGATTAGGTAGATCGATCTATGGGCGTTGGTATTTGGATATTGGACATCGCCATTTTTTTCTGGCGATCATTTTGTATCATTTTGCATAGTTATACCCTCTAGCGATCCTATCAACTTGAAAATTCGTTTCATGATCACCTACTATGCTTAGTAGCTTCCACTGTTCCGTTTACCACGCTGTTCGGTTCGGCCGGTTCGGGTTCGGGCGTGACTGGAGTGAACCGTGGATTCGATTGTTTTGGTCAACAAAAAGGGGCCACGCGTGTCGCATCTCGTTCAGGGGCCCAGTATGGGGATCAGAACGCGTTAAGTAGTCTTTCGATATCAAGAATGATGATATTCCCAAGAACATTCTTCATAGTCGAGCTACATCAGCTGAAACTGAGGTTGAAAAGCCCAATATGGAATGATCGGCTAACTCGTTGGGCGCCACTTTTAGGATAGAAGGCTAAGACCCTATGCCCTTGAGAAAAGCAAGGGAAGCGCCATCATAGAAATGCCTCTACACGTGTATAAACGATTGAATGCCTGATCCTAACCAGAAGCCTAAAAAAGAACCTCTGCACGGTCCTCGGTCCCCCAAGGTGGTTAGTTAAGAGACCAAGCGCGAGCGCATGGAGCAACGACGATCCCCCCCCTCCTCCTTCATCGACACCGCTTTCACTTTTCCCGCTTTCTCCTTTTTCACCTCGAACGTACGTCGCCAACAAGCCCTACTTTGCGCAGTTCGAGCCTTTTGTATTTTGTTCTCCTCTGGCGGTCCCAATTTCTGGTCGATTGTCAGGATCGAACTGAGAATCGACCCTATTTATTCTCCCGTTGAACGAAGCCCCTGAAAGCTTCCAGATCAAATCTACACGAGTGAGTACCATGCTTGCCTATCGACCTCTGCTGTTGGGCATGCCGCTTTCTGAGCTTTTGGCTTGTCAAATGGGCATTTTTCATAATTGCATTTGACTGTGTTTCTTCATTTTGGAAGGGCAATGGCTGCTGGAGGACGGCGTCTTGATTTCGTGGTTGAACCGAGCTTCGGAGCTTGAGCTGCAATGCTTGACTACCCCGTATAGCTCTGAGATGCATGATCCCGGTCGCCATTTTGACTGGGGCCCAGATAATCCACTTCGTGATGATCATTACCAGGACTCGCTCTTAGCCTTTTCTTTCTAACAGCAAATGCTAATCAACTTCTTCCTGTCTAGGTCCCTGTGCTGTAGAGTTGACACCGCCCGTTTTTACGACTTCCCCGGCTTAATTCTACACCTTCTCTACAATATATCTATTGATCAATATGGCATCGACAGGAGAGCCTGCGCCAATTCACTCCGACGTGGATATCGAGGTGGCACCACCAGCGACCCCGATCCCCATGGACTCGACGGTGCTGTCGGGCAGCGAAGATATCGGCAAATCCAGCCCCGAGGCATCCAAGGAGAACACCCCCGCTTCCCCGGCCAAGTCCACCACCAGCACTGCGACGACGACTAAGCGCCCAGTCTCGAGCTCTACAACTGCGACCAAACGCCCTACCTCGTCCTCCGCCGCGTCCAAGACCCCAACTTCGACCACTCGGACGAGCACTACTTCGAGCACGTTGAACAAGCCCCCAACCCGGCCCACGACTGGCACCACTGCTACCCGCAGACCGCTGAGCACTTCTACTACTGCTTCTCATCGGTCTCGTCCGTCGATCAGCAGCTCTGCAGACGAGAAGCCTCGGTCCATTACCACCTCCGGAGATGAGAAGCGTGGTGTCTCGGGAACTGCCAAGCGCATGTCTATGGCCGGCACCTCCTCCACTCGGGCTCCATTGAAGTCATCCTCTACTCTCGACCGCCGATCCAGCGTCGCCGGCTCCGCATTGGAGAGAAAGCCCGTTCCTTCCACCACTTCTCGCACCGCCACTTCTACTTCCGCAAGCAAGCCCGTTGGTAAGCTGACTTCCTCGACCACATCTTCGACTCGGTCGATCCCTTCCACCACCCCAAGCCGGACCGCGACTCGCCCGACTTCTTCGACTACTGCCACACGGAGTGTGGCCTCATCAGCCACTGATCCGAAAAAGCGTTTGAGCACCGTAGGTGGCACCGTTGCCCGAAGCTCTGAGAGCGCTGAGAAGCTGCAGGCTCTGCAGACGAAGCTGTCAGAGAGTGAGGAGAACGTTGCCAGTCTCAAGGCCGAGCTCGAAACCGTCAATGAGAAGTTGAGCCAGCTTTCCATCGCGGGAGAAGAGACCACTAAAAATAGCGATGCTACTGAAGCTATTCGCGCAGAGCACGCTGCAGAGCTTGAGAAGCTGACTTCGGGTCATGCTGAGGCGCTTCAATCTCTACAGACACGCCTGGAGGAGGCTGAGGCTCAGCGCGCGGTTACTGAAGAGAAGTTCCAAAAAGACCTTGAGGAGGCTAAGCAATCCCCTGGCGCCGATGGTGCTGAGGAACTTGATACGCTATCCAAGCTGAATGAGAGCCTCAAGGCTCAGCTGGAGGAGCTTGAGAAGAACCTCGAAGACGACGTCGCAGAGCACAAGGCTGCCTCTGCCGCGTTTGAGGAGCAGATCACCACGCTCAAGGCCGACCTTGAATCCCAGAAGGCCTCTTTAGAAGAGGAAAAGGCCATGGCTATTGACAGTCTTCAGAGAGAGCTGCAAGGGCGCGACCAAGTGATGAATGAGCTCAAGGCTGCGCTTCAGAAGCTGTCCGATACCAAGGAGGAAGAGATCAACGCCGAGAAGGAGGCTGCGAAGGAGCTGCAGAGCCAGATTACCTCGCTCGAGGCCAAGCTTGCTGAGGCTGAATCCGCCACTCAACAGAGCTCGGAAGAGACCACTGCTTCTCTCGCGGAGAAGGAGAAGGAAATCACTGAGCTCAAGCAGGCTATCGAGACGCTCCAGGGAGAACTCGAGTCCTCGCGTGAGGGTGCTACCACCGAGCATGCTGTCCAGGTGAAGGACCTAGAATCCACGCATGAAGCCGCGATCGCTGCTTTGAAGGCTGAGCATGAAACCGCTTTGAGCTCCCAGTTGGCCTCCCATGCCGAAGAGCTCACTGTTGCCAAGGCTGCTGCCGAATCAACTGGCTCCAAGCACTCTCAACAGCTTCAGGAGCTTCGCGATTCGCTCGAGGCTGCTAAGTCGGCCGCTCAGGAAGAACAGGCCCGTGCAGTCTCTGAATTAAAGACAGCCCATGATACTGAGCTGAAGGCACTTCAGGAGAAGCTTGAAGCTTCTGAGAAGGCCCTCGAGGAAACCCGCCATGCCTTGGAGGAGGGCAAGGCCGCTGCTCAGGAGGATGCCGTCCATGAGATTGACGATCTCCACCACAAGGTTGAAACCCTGGAGACCCAGCTGGCGACCACCACCAGTGAGATCAAGGCCCTGCAGCAGGATATGCAAAGCAAGCAGGCCGAGGCTGAGGAGCTGTACCACAACCTGAAGAACCTCGAGAGCGAGGCCAAGTCCAAGGAAGTTAAGCAGGAAACGCTGCTGAAGGAGCAGGAGACTAAGCTGAAGGACTTGGAGGAAAAGGCTGCGGAGGCTACCCGCCTCCTGGAGGAGCACAAGTCATTGACTGCTGCCACTTCTGACAGGCATTCAGAGAATATTGAGACCTTGAAGGCCGAACACGCTGCCGAGCTTGAACGCATTCAACTGGAAGCTTCAGGATCTCACAGCAGCGCATTGAGCGAAATCCAGCAGAAGCATGATGAGTTGTTTGCCAAGAACCGCGATCTTGAGTCAAGCCACGCTTCCCAGGTTGAGTCTCTGCAGGCTGAGCTGAAGTCCACCCTGGAACGCCACTCTGCAGAGATCGCTTCTCACACTGAATCTCGGGAGCTGCAACTCTCTGAGCTGCAGAACCAGTCAGAACAGACCAAGGCTAAGCTCCAGGCTGAACTCAAGGCTTTGCAAGCCTCCAGCTTGGCTGACAAGGAAACTCACGCCAAGGAACTCGCTGAGCTCCAGAAGGGTTTCGAGGAGACCAAGTCTAAGTTCCAAGCTGAGCTTGAGGCTTCCCAGGCTTCCAAGGCCGCCGATGCCGATGCCGAGCATGGAAAGGCCATTGAGGAACTCCTGACTCTTCAGGAGGCAAAGATCTCCGGTCTCAGGGAGCAGCTTGAATCATCAAACAAGGCCAAGCTCAAGGAACTTCAGAAGTCCCACGATCTTGTCCTTGCTAACGTCAACGAGCAACTCGCCATGGCCAATGCTGCCGCCCAGGATACCTCGGCTCTTGACAGCTTGAAGGTTACCATCGCCGAGCTTGAGCACAAGCTGGCTAATGCCGTGGAGGCCCACGCCGCAGTTCAGGAATCAGCTGCCAGCACTTCCCGGGAGCTACAGGAGAAGCACACCTCGGAGCTTTCTCGCATCCAAGCTGAGCACGCAGCTCTCTCTGACAAGCACCAGGCCGCCGTCGCCCAGGTGGAGGAGCTTCAAAGGTCGGCCACTGCCGCGGCCAGTGGTAGCCAGTCTCAGTTGGAGTCTATTCAGAAGGAACTCGCTCTGGCCCAGCAGGAGATTGCTTCTCTGAAGGAAAAGCACACTGCCACCTGCCAGGAGCTGGAGGAGACTCGGGTTTATAATAAGACCATGGAAGAAAAGCTCGCCGCTGGTGAACAAGACTTCCACGACCAGATCGACAAGAACATGCAACTTCTTAACCAACTCGGTGAGGTTGACAACAACATTTCTGCCAGCCGCAAGCGCGTACGCGAGCTCGAGGCTGAGCTGGCCGCTCTGAAGTCCGACAACGACAAGAGCGTCACTTCCGGTCTGGAGGCAAGCCAATGGGCATCGGCAGATGAGGGCAGTGATGGAGCTGTAGGGAAAGGTCCAGCCGCAGCGGAAGGTGAGGACCTTGGTTCATCCATTGAGGGAACGGTGGGAAATCCCCGTTTGGAGTCCTACTCCTCAGATTTGCCTGATTTTCATCCATTTACTTGAAGATGAGGCCAAACAATGTTAAGTACAAAAAAACTAATTATATTCATCCGTAGATGGCAAGCATTCAGGAACAGCTTAAGCACATCCGCTCCGCGAACGATGAGTGGTACGATGAGCACCGCAGGTTAGTTCCCCCCGTGGCAGTCGCGCTATTGAATCACCCCCTTACGTTCCGGAGAATGTCCGCTAATGAATGCTATGCAGGCTTATCGGTGAACTGGCCCAATTCTCTCGCCGCGCTACGCCCAATCCTCCCAGCACATCATCGACCCCTCACCCCGAAACCTCAGCATCAGCCCACGAGTCAGAAAATAGCCGCGGTAGACTTGAAGAAGTCCCCGCGGCTCGGTAGTGACATGTGTTTGGGTGGGCTTGGCATCATTTCAGTGTGCCGCCCCTTTCGTCCAGTGTTTGGGGTTGTCGCATGATATTTCCTTTGTTGGATCCTGTTTCACTCGTTTCGTGTCGTGTTGTTGTTGCTTCGTGTCGCTGTATGTAATAGGACCCAGGATACCCTCCCTGCTCTTGCTTCTTGTTGGCTTGCCGGGTTTTTCTGGCTTATTTATGTTTAATACGTTTATATTGTTTAATGCCTTTTTGGTCCACCGTCTATCGGATCGGGGATCGGTGAATACATCTGAGTCTTCTTCTCTTAGTAGTAAAACAAGGTCAATAGGAGCGGGTGAAGAAGTTTGGAAGCTTCACTTGATCCCCGCCAATATGTATTCTTTTTTTCCTAGAGGATATTTCGGAAGGGCCGAGGCCCCGGAAAAATCGAAAGTCCAATGGTCTGTTCTGACTCTGCATTCAAAATCTGTTTTGCTGTGCTGTTGAAACACCTCATTCATGAACACTACCTATGGATTGTGGAAATATTCGGAACAGTCATTCAAAATCTCCTCTCAGCTTCCCCACGATATGGAACCAATACCCCTTAGTGCGCTACCCGATTCCGGAGGTGACCAGCAGCATCATGTTGCTCATCCCAAGCGACCAAATCAGCCTTCGGCACCCTGACAATCTTATGCGTAACAGCTCCATCATCGTACTTGACAATAGTTTGTCTATGCTCGTACCCCCTCCAGCGAGGAATCAAATTAATCCAGAAGTAATAGTAGATAACACAGAGGGACAACCTAGAAACCAAATAATCAGCGGCCGAAAAAGAAAAAGAAAAGATAAACCAGACAGAATTGATGGGAGGATGAGGGGATCACTTACAACCCAATGCTAACCGCCAAGTACGTTCCATACCAGAAACTGACATCGCCGCCATTTGCGCCTCCGGTAGGAGGATACCATGGCGCAATAAGCATATAGGTATTCGCCAAAAGAGCAAATCCGATGGCGACGCCCCATGCTTTGAATTCTGGGGGTGGTAGGCCCAGGGCCTTACGACGGTGTCGGAGGAGCAACAAGCCGATGGCGATTAGGAAGTTGAAGATGTTAGATGGGTAGACGGCGAGGTCGACGACTGTTTGGTTGTGAGTGTTAGACAGTCTTCCAAAAGGTGGGTTATGGCAAGATCACGAACCGAAATTAAAGGCATCTCCAGCTGGTGGGCCGATGATCATGATAACTGTAAGTGCCCATTGTAGAGTGTAAGGACCAAGCGGGGTCCCGAAGGGCTTCGTCGATGTCCAGAACTTGGGCCATGGAAGAAGGCCTTGTCTAGAGGAAGAGGAATAGTCAGATCATCGTGTACTAGAGTGGCATGGAGAGAACCAATGACGGGGAATAGACGAGCTGGCAACTAACCTTCCTGTTTCTCGGAGCATACGAGAGTTAGCTACCATCACTGCGATCAAGTTTCCGAAGGCACTGATGACAATAAGGACACTCAGAGCACGAGCAGCCTTGGTTGTACCAAATACTCTCTGGAAGAAAATACTCGCTGCGATCTGCTTGGAAGCCAGGATCTCTTCCCTCGATGCCGCAGAGAAATAAGCGACGTTGACCAGGATATATAGGATGGCAACGATGATAAGGGACAGGGGAGCACTCCAGCGAAGCTTTTTCACGGGGTTCTATTTTGTACCTGTTAGTATCACAGCCAAAAAGGCTTCAGAAAAAGGGTTGATTCAAACCTTTATCTCATTTGCAACACTAAAGGCATTTTGGTAGCCGGCGTAGGAGAAGATCAGCTTGATCACGGCGTTTGTGGCACCGTAGGCACTAGCGCCTTCTGTGCCTCTCCATGGATCTCGCCAATTTGCCATAGGGTCTGCCACTCTTGTATGACCACCCAGAACGACCAGTCCGGCGATTGAAATCCTAGGCGGACAAGAAAATATCAGCACGGTTGATTCAATCATTACTGTGTTCATTTGAGGGGATGGGGACAGCGTACATCACTAAGGTCAAAATTTTGACGATACCAAACCAAACAACAAACCTCAACGACCATTTGGTATTGGAGCCAACCACTGTTTCTCTCTTAGCGCGTTAACTCTCCATGGACCCCGGAATCATCACTAACCAATGAATGCAAGCGTGTAGGCCGCAACGGCAACTCCCTTCAACTGCCAAGGCGTATATGATATTCCCCCGATAGCGAAGACATACTGTGCGAAAACGATCGCGTTGCTGCTAGCAAAAGAGAATATAACATGCTTCATTGCGAAGACCGTCGGAAACAGGTACTTCGGCTTTAGGTATGCTTGCTCCAAGTAGACAACCTCGGATCCTGATCTGCTGGGAAAGTAGGCCGTGTACTCGAGGTATAAAGTCTGACTACACTGGGCAATCAAGTATCCAATAAACCAGTAGACCATAGTGAGCCCTACTGATCCAACTCCCTTGAGGATTGTAGCCGCTTGGGTCTGAATTAGTATACGAAGAAGCCAAGGAAATGGAAGACAGGGTCAGGTCCACTCACGCGTTGAGAAAATACCAGTTCCGACCATTTGATTGATATTCAAACAGAATCCCACTAGGACATCAACCGAGTATCCCAGAGGCGAGGCTGTCTCCACAGGTGCACCGCTCGCATCTTGATATGTCACTGTCGAAGAGTTCAAGCCTTCAGCGGCCGTGTATTCTGTGCTTCCCTCTCGAATGACATATTCGTCCGACCCTGAAGCGGACTGAGCCACCGTACGGGCTGTCTTCTCCTTGTCGTCCCAAGAAGTCATCTTTATGGCAGGGACACACAGTGAGGTGTGTGATAAGCGGACCCTTGCCAGAAGATACTCTGGAGATAGTTTCCAGACAAAATCAAGATACAGCAGAAAACTGCGGAATGCTTGTGGATTTCGCATTGAGGTCGGATTTTCCAAGTCTATATATACTTATTCTCCTCCTTTATGGATGCGACGTCGAATTAGTTGATGTTTCTTGCTTCATCGGCAGTTTTAAGCACGTCATATGGGGTAGGGACTGGGCAACAACCCACGTTTCTCGCGCTACAACTCGAATATATGCGCTAAACCTCTTGACGTCCCCATGCGATAGGTCGATAAGGACAGATGCCATGCATCACGACATCTGTTTCCACAGTTTAACCATGACAGCTGGGCCAAGGTACGCAAGTCCCGTATCGGATAGTGGGTGGAGCTTACTTGGACTTCAGGCCGGGCCGGAACATAAACAAACATCCAAGCTTGAGGATTTGATCAATCAAGTAGGATGTTTTGAAATTCAATGCATAATATGAACCTTTGCACTCGAAACCTTTATTGTTTCTTCATCAGGTCCGTATCAGTTTTCATGGGGTACTCTTTCAGACCTTCTCGTTGTGGCCCCAGACCCCTCAATTCGTCATCCCGACCAGAAGCATGCTCATAAGCTAACAACAACGATGCAACAAAAAGTACTTTCGCTGGTTACTTAGGTTCGTGGCGTCTGCAGAAACCTCCCTTTCGTGAATGCAAGGTGACAGCGTACCTGCTCATTCGGTTTTAGTGGCTACTTAGTGTCGGCAAAGCCGTCCAGATCTGCCGATCGGTTTAGCTGTCTATAAAACAACGTCTTAACCGTTAGGCAGAGCAAAACCATCAAGATAGTTTTCCCATGAAGGCTTGTTCATTCTGTATACTTTCTGTCTCATTTCAAATATGCCGTCCTCGGATTTCGGCCTAGAATTCTTCTAGATCTTTGTTTCACCTCTTCCATCATGCTCGTGGATCTTCAGGGTCTTGAGGTCGACGCCGGACAAAGTTCGGACCTATCATGAATCAATTAGCAGTCTGGTCAAGAATTCGTACTGGGGATCAAGAAGCCATACGTTGACAGCCATAATGTGTCGCTTCTCCGGTATCTCAGCTTTACCGTAGACACTGGTACCACAGTTGGTGCAAAAGTAATGTGGGACGTTCTTGGACGCAAAGCGGTATTCCTACATATATCATAAGTGAACTGTCTTAAGTATCTTGATTTGTGAGGCATACCTTGACTGCATCGTCGGCGTGGTGGAAAGTGACATCAGCCGTCTTGGGATAAATCATCAAGTAACCGTTGACGTGGCAGATTGAGCCTACGAGGAGATGGTTCTATTAGTCTTTGAGGAAATACCAGAAGCCATTTGCATTATTGATTATTCCTTACAGTTGCATTGCATCACCGTCTGCTCCGATATAGGTGGTGATATCTTCACCGTGAACTTAACTTGTCCACAGTGGCAGCTACCGTCATAGCTTTGCGAGTTCTCCATGTTGTCTGATGACTTGAACTGAGCTGACTGCTAGCAAGAAGGATACTGATGTTTGAGGCCAGATCCAGAGATTTTGCGGGGTCGTCAGGTTATAAGTCCGTTGTGGCGGGCAATTCCTCGTATTTGCTGAGTCAATGACTGGTCCAGATGTTGAGGTTCATTCAACAAACAACCCTTACTGGTCCAGACTGATCCCAACGAAACGCACTCGCTGCCCATTAAGCCATGTTCAAATCTCAAAATGGTTGTGCCTTAAATATTTAAATCAATTATCCTTCATCATCCTTCTTTATTTGATTTTGATTGTGGGGATGTTTCTGAATATTTGATGAATTGAATTAAATATATCTGCGTGGGCAGCTATCGTCGAAATCATTCACTCCATGTCACATCTCTGTCCTCGCAACGGCTGCACCTTCAGAAACAATGTCCGGAAAGGTCCCAAAAGCTTTTGTTGTCTGGCCCTCTTCCTTTCTCGAGTTTCGCGTTGCATATCTTTATGAACGGATGGGGTCAAGATTAAAGACGGTGGTTGGAGACAAGGTGTAAAAGGTGAATCGGGCTTGAAGTCCTCATCCTCATCTAGACCTCTCTTGGTCGCATCTTTGGTGCGTTGTATCGTTTCTTGAGGGTGACATGTGGTTCGTGTCGACTCATTCCCCGCCATCCTTGCTGCCAACGGGAATAATGTTGGAGTAGACGGTTCATCTCGTTCGAAGGGCATTGCTTCGCCAGACATTGGCTGTGATTCTGGCATAGGATCCGTTTTCAAGTCTCCCATCTGCTCTATCTCTTCCTTGCAGTCGTCCATACCCATGGTCATGTCGAATACCCTCTTTGGGCTCACTGGACCCGAAAATATGAAATCTTCGCAAAATGCAGCATAGGAGTGGCGCACGCGCAATTCTCGTTCCCTCTCGAGGTTTCGCTTTGGAATGGGCTCCTCGAGGATTACATCAATCCTTTCGAAAGGTCTCCTGTGTTCCTTGATGAAAGAGGCGGTGCTTGATTCTGTGTTGGTTTTGTCGGCAATAGGGCCGTCTGCTTCTGCATTGATAGCGTTATCGAGCTGCTTGAGATTCTGCTCGCTAAGCTGATTGCCCCGAATGGGGTCGGTCATGGATGTACGTGACATTCTCTTTGAGACCCATCGTGTCAATTGAGTCACTGTCTTTTTTCGACGAAGTTGGCGAGGGGGTGCATGAATGGATTGAAAGGCCGTAGAGAAAGAGGTAGTGGTGGTGGAATTTATGGACGCATTGTCGCTGGCAAGAGGTAATTTAGGCATATTGCACGATTTTTTTTTCAATGGAGATACAGTGATAAGGACGGCGGAAGAATTGGGTAGATGGAAGGGAAGATAAGTCATGCCCTTCCTGTGGATAACAAAGGATAAGACGAATTCTTAGTTGTTGCTTTAATGCCAGGCATCCGACATACTTGACCCAAGTCAGTTGAGACCGCAACAGATTCAAGCCCAGTTTCTAGAACAAAGCAAGAAAATACCCACATTATTATAGTGCGCTGGTTGCGGCCAAGGGTGTTCATGCACGCCAACGCCAACCTCACGTTCCTCTCTCAGGGTCCGGGAAAAACAGCGGGGCCTAAGAGAAAGATATAGGCGCGATACTGAGACACTCCGAATTTCAAGATGCGACCCTACGTCAATAGCCAGTAGGCAACTGTGCTTTACCTAGGCGATCACAAGCTTCACGAGCACTCCCCTCTTTACCGTTTTGATTCCTTGGGGAGTACCACTGCAGCAAGCCACCTGCATGATCTGACTAGGGCGTGCAGCGCATTCAATTATTGCCGTCATCCAACTTCCCCAAAGAGAAGAGCGCTGACAATATAACACAAGCCATACGTTAGCAAAGGCTGTTACAAAATTTCAAATTAAAATGTAAATTTGCCTCAAATTCTGAGCAACTACGATGTAGGGAAATAGCAGTTCAGCTGGAGACAACTTTATGATTGGATCGCGAGGCTGCAGATGGTCTTATCGCGTAGTGAGACATTTCACCAGGTGCAGCTGATCGGTACCATGCTACACTAGGGTTGGAACCACGAGCGGTTTTTGCCATGATTCATAGTACCCCGCTGGTTTTGTAACTTCATTGTCCCTTTAAATCAGTAAAGTATTGATTACTCTATATTTTATGCTGTTAATCGGTTCGATTTGAGATACGCCTAGAGTACTGTAGATCTTGAAAAGGCCCGTGGGTTCTGAGACCCGCTGATCCCGTTCGACCTGGAGACAAGCCTACGACTATAAATAACTACAGTAGATATGTTATCGTAGATTGGCAATGGCCACTGCACTTATCTGACTTTGACTTCTCGATTGCAGTGGGAGCTGAGGGCCTCTAGTTATCCTGTTTATGTGTAATGTCGTAAGTTCAGCACCGTGATAGGTGCGTTTGCCGTGCATTATTGTCACAGCCTAAGGAGGGGTATAGTTGGCTCATCAAACCCAACACCTCCAAGAGTAGTCTTGCTTTGTGGTCGGTGAAGCAACGCAGGACCTCCTATGCAGCGACAAGTGTTTAGGCCAGCATACCCTTACACTCTAGACATGTTGGGTAGGCAAACCACCACAGCTTCGCTGGCGTACCTGCTAAAGACTCCTGCAGCGTCATCCTTGTATTCAAGTCACGTGCCACTGGATAAGACATATGACCTTAGCTCCCAGGCTTTCCCTTGAAGCCCAAGGAGCGAGCATTCTTCACCTTCAGAGAAGATAAAGTGTCCTCCAAGACAGCCTCTTCTATGACATCTAACCTAGAGCTCAAGTCCTACTTTGAAGATAAAGACTTTAGAGCCGAAGGCAAACCTGAGCCAAACAGGCGCTCCCAGACTTTGATCTACCGTCTACAAGACAAGAAATGGTGGATCAGAATAAGCCTTCAGGGTGCAGTTTCTTCCTTCACTCAAAATCCCCAGCCAGACCAACCCCAATCAAAGCGCGAGCGACGAAATGAGCTCCAAGAACTTGGAACATTTCAAGGGCGTGACAGGGATAGTTCAGCCAGCAGGCGTTGCAGTATTCGCCAATCCGTACGCGACCTCCACAAAAGGTAATCAACAGATGGTTATCAGTGGTTTTCTGTTGAAATACTACAGTGGTGGCTCTTTGCAACAAGTCTTGAAAGAAGATCGTGTCAAGAAATTCCGTTGGGAGCGATGGGCTGTTCAAATTGGAACTGCTTTAATACTATTCACCATGCGAAGAAAACTCATATGGACTTGAAGCCGTCAAATATTGTTTTAGACGAGGATGACAATGCCGTTCTCATTGATATCAGCGGCATCGGGGGAGTGACGCATGAATGGTGTGCTCCAGAGATACCCGATGAGATATCACCATTTGATCTTCCATTTTAAACACGTCAACTTAACGATATTTGGGCCTACGGAAAGGTTCTGGGAGAAATTGCGTCAAAAGTCGAGGACGGTTCCTTTGCGTCGACACTAAAGATGGTTTCAGATCGTTTAACCCAAGATGCTTGTACCCGAGGGACTCTATGTGAAGCAATATCTCAATCAAAGATGTGCTGTCACATTGATTGATTACAACACGTCGAGCGTATTTGACATATCTGTATGAGACAACAGGGTGTATACCTGGTGTGTTAGCTCCAGTTGAGAGGAACTGAAAATTTGAGTATTAAAGAAGAATAAGATGATCTACAACGGTGAATTAAACTACTTAGGGTTAATCTGACCCACCCACGGGATTTCAGGTACTCCGCAGAGGTGGCTGCAGCCGGAATCCGGTCAAATGCATTCTCTCAAAAATGGTTTAGACATATATAGGATATCATTATAAGATTACAGATGCATCAATACATCAACCGGAAACCCCGTCTCTCCCGAGACCCCAGCGGCCAACCTCACGCATGGCTTCGTCACGGCCTTCGACCAATCGGCCGTTGGCATTGGACGGGTTATCTTCACCCAACACACCCGCAACGCACTGCCAGCCTGTGCGGCCACCTCCCCAGCGGAGAACTTCGTTTTTATATCGTTCACCTGCGGTGCGATCGACAGCGGCCTTTCCAGAAAGGAAGACATCCTGCCAAATCTTGTTGGCAATCGCCCGATCAAAGATGTAGCTGTAGTAGGTAGCGCCATAGCCGTACAAATGGCCGAAGAAGCCTTGCCAGGAAGTCCGTGGCCGGACATCATCAGGGTCTGGCAGGCTGGAATACTGATTGAACACCTTGTGGTAGATGTCTGTAGTATCGATTCCATTGGCTGCCTGGTCGCAAGGGATAGAGTGGTAAGCCTGGTCGACTAGGGCCATGAGGATCTGCGCCTCGTTCTCGACGGCTCCATAGATGGATCCATGGGCATTACGGTCTTGCTCCATGCTACACATCATGCTCTCGGACAGGGGTTCGTTGGTCTTCCAGTGTCGTGCGTATAGCGCGAGGACTTCTGGTGCGGTAGCAAAGCTCTCCATCAGCACGGAAGGAAGCTCGGCAAAGTCAGTTGAGCATCGAGTGCCGGAAATCGACTGGAGGGGAGTCTGTCCCAGAATCGAATGGACAGCGTGACCCATCTCGTGAAACAATGTGCGTACGCTTTGCTCGCTCAACAGTGTCGGTCGACCAGAACCATTCGTGACAGGCTCCTGGAAATCGCACACGAGAGCAATGGTGGGCAATTGGCGCAGAGTGTTTGTCTGCGGGTCAACCGCGGTGGCCATACCGTCATTGGGGTGAACGGACTGGTCCATTGAGGCGCATTCCGCAACCTCATCAGCCAATATCTCACGCGAACAGCGGAGGGTAAAATGAGCAGGGTTGGGGTGTTTGCCTGGTCGCGAGAACAGATCACAGTAGACAACTGCGATATGCTGCTCAGCCTCGTTGACCACATCCAAACGGCGAACATCCGGATGCCAGGTCTCACCAGAGGCTGTCTCCTGGGGTACCAATCGGACACCATAAAGGCGATCAAAGAGTCGAGAAAGACCTTGCATGACTGTACCCAAGGAGAAGAACTCGGGCACGGCACTCAACTCACGCGAGCGACGGGCTTGCGAATACTCCATCACACGTTTGTGTACATAATAAGCATGGTCCCATGGCTGCAGCGAGCTGCCCTTCATTTGCTGCAACTGGGACAGCTCTTCACTGACAAGTCCTCGGTTGCTCGAGATCAGTGACGTCAGGAAGTTGGAGACTGCTTCGGGTGTCTTGGCCATCTTATCGCTCAGGGTCATATCAGCGAAGCTGTTGAAGCCTGAAAGCTGTGCCAGCTCTGATCTCTTCATCAAAAGCTTCTCCAAGCGGTGGATTTGGCGGGAGCTAGACGTTCGTGTCGCGAGATATACATCCTTTCGAACAGACTCATCTCGTACAGACCGTAGCACAAGCCGAGGAACTATTCCTGCGGTTGGCACTGGAGCTTTATTATTCCACTTCTTAATCCGCTGGACCATCAATGGGTCCAGTCCTTGGAGGCTATTCGCATTGAAGACCACCTGAGACTTGGATGGCTCTGCGCCACCAAAGAACTCGGAGCCGACCTGGCTGATATCGTTGGACAGATTCACAAATCTCTGCCTTTCGCTCGGCGGCATGTGAATGGCCGAGTTTGTAAAATCCTTCATAAGAATCTGTGCCACGATTGTCTCCGCCTCGGTCCAGTGTGAAGTCACGTCGGGATTCGCGATAGCCTTGCTCAACTGATCATGAAGACCTGTGGTTGTGTTCAGAACATTCATGTATTCGAACATAAGCGCGTACGCCTGCGTCGCTGCTTCTTGGATCCGAGGGTCGGAATGAATTGTTCGAATGAAGTCGGAAAGGTCGATCACACGACACAGAAGGTCGCTCAGCCGATCGAGATTCCGTGCCAACCCCCGGTATTCGTCCAAAGTAGACGCTTGCAAGACCTTCGCCACGATCGCCTGGCATTTCTGCAGCGATACATTGGCGAATGTCCGGAAGCCATCTGGACTTGTCAAGTATTGGTTCTGAACCAACCCTGCCCGCTTGGACACTGCACTGCGCTTGTACGAGAACTCCTTCCAGAACTGTTGCGAGTCAAACACACGACGTAGAGTCTCGTCATCGACATTCTTCCTCGGCGCGCTATTATCTGCTGGGACGTAATCGGCGTGTAGTCTGGGGGCTTGCGAAGCGGCGCTCTCGAAGGCTCGTGATTGCTGTCGGGAAAGACATTTGCGGCACGTCCACGACCGGCGCCCGAGAGGGCGGAGCATGGTAGGAGCTGTATACTTAGTTGAAGCGAAAGTATGAAAATAGAAAGTCCACCAATGCACCAAAAAAACCACAAGAAACCTGGAGCTGGGAATGCGGAGTTGAGAGAGAAGGGGACACGGGCAATGACGGGGGAGAAATCCTGGGTTCCGCCGAGCCGAAGAATTCCCGTTCTTGGCTCCAACCCGACTTTGCTTCACCCTCACCCATCCAAACCCTCTGCTTCATCACCCCCACACCCCCCAGGATGTCATTCCGGCCGATGTTGAAGCAGGTATGTTCGATCGCCGATAGCTGAATCCGGGTCTTCCTGGTGCAATTGACTGCTCAATGGCGTGCTGACTCGATGATAGCGGGCTGTGGCTCCAATCGCAGCCACCCTCCTCGCAGGAGGCCTGGCCTTGTACCCCAAGCAGACTGCTTTCGCCGAGGAGCCTCGCGAGGTGAGATGATCCGAACATACTCGTCTTCGATATGTACACTTGAGAGAAGCTCTTTCTGACTTGCGACGACTCGCCGAATATAGCGCAAACCCATCTACGATGACTTCCCATCCGACATCCCGGAACTCTCCAAGCCCGCAGCTCCGGCTCCCAAGGCGATTTCTCTGCCCATATCTCAATCCACCTCTTCCTCGCCTACCCCTACAGACATCCTGACCGCTCAGATCCGGCAAGCCCGCCTTTTCCTCTACTCCCACTCCCTGGCCGCAGAGAACGGCTTCAACGACTTCCTGTCCCGGGCTCTGCACATCGAGAACGCGTTCACCAACACCATTGCATCGCTGGCTCCTTCTCCCGAGTCCGGTGAGCGCCTGACTCCCGGCGGTATCTACGTTATCGTGTCTGCCATGGCCGGCTCCATCGTGTCACGCAACCGCGGTATCTTCCTCCGCACTCTGTCCCCTCTTACTTTCGGTACCGTCGCTGCCTTCACTCTCCTGCCCGTGACGATGAAGAACGTCTCAGATCTTACATGGGAGTATGAGAAGAAGTTCCCCGTCATTGCGGAGAACCACCTTGCGGCCCGCGAGCGCGCGGAGCACATCTGGTATACCGGCATTGCGCACAGTGGTATGGCCCGCCAGATGATGGAGGACAAGATTGGTGAGACCCGGAAGAAGCTTGAGGAGTTGGTGAGCAAGGGTCACTAGAATTTTATATTCCTGGCTTGATTCCGGTCACCATTGGGTGGTCGGGGAGGAGTTTCGTCTTTTGCATATGTACGCTTAGAACTCGTAGATCCGATGATATAATCCGGACGTCCCCTTTGTTTGACAAAAAAATATCCATCGGTTCAAATTTATGTGTTTCAACCTTATACGTGCCACGATTTTGATAATTGGGTCAGGTTGGAATAACTAACTTAGCTGGTATAATGGTTAAATTCATGTAGCCTTTATCAAATCCAGCTCCGATTGACATTGTATCATTATTCTTCCTGCGCTGGCCCTGGTTCTCCCTCCACAGCTTCCACATTAGCTATTGCCTCGGCTGCTGCAGGAGCTGGACTGCCGGAATGGGAGGGCGAGGTCCCAACTCTAGGCGGAGGTGGTGGAGGAGGCAGAGGAGTCCCCTTCCGTGAAGGCGCAAAGTCCTCTTCCCGACTCTTCTGCTCGCCTTCGGCAAAGTAATCATCAAACGCTCTGCTAGGCGAGACCCCCGGACGTGTCTTTGCACTCCGCCGGCTTGCGGGTGATGCTCCGCTCGGAGGTGAAATTACTCTTGTTTGAGACGCAAGAGGAGGGGGTGATACCATGTTTGCTGGGACTAGGTAGTTTGCAGAGGATTCGGTTACTGCGGGGATGCCATTGTGGCTTGGGACTGCTGCGGGATATCCATCTTCGCGCGTTTCAAAGACAACCTCGCCAGGTCCTTCCACTTCCTCGCCCAACCCAATTGGTAGACGATGTAGAGCGCCGTAGCCCAGCTCGGCTCCAAGGGCGCCTTCACCGCCCCATCCTCTTGTGGGAACGAGCTCGACCTCCCGTACGACGTCGAATTCACTGTTGTATACCCACAAAACGAGGGTGCGGTTAAGATGGTCCTCTACCAGCTCCCCGAGCGCAGACTCCCCACGTAATGTCCCGCTCGGCGTGCCGATGATATAGTCTGAATGTGGCAGTAGTCCCGCACGATAGGCAGGGCTCAGCGGCGATGGGATCCCAAGGACATGCCAGATGTGTTGTGTAGAAGAAAGGGGGGCAAGTTGTAGAGCAAGGCCAAGGGAGGGGCTCGTTGCTGGTACGGGGACTGTGACGGTATGCGTTCTTTGGCCCTGCGCAGAACAAAACAAAGATTAAATGATATTTCCATGATCATACATCGGATAGGTTCAAAGTACCTTGGCACTCCATATTTCCAACGTCAAGCTAGAGCCGGCGCAATTGCGCACTTCCGTCGCAAAGAGGTTTGGGTCTGGATCTTCCTGCGAGTAGGTATCAGCGCCACATGAACGTTTCCTATCAGGGATGTGGGGTCAGCAAACAATAGGATGGCCATTAATTCCCACGATAAAGTCAAACCACGGTTCCAAGGGCAGCTCGGTATCCTTGTTGCGGAGTACTTGGAAGCCATAGGCGTTGTCGCTGGGGCCATTCCGAGACTGCTGGACAGGCTCGCCGTCCAGCCGCCCAATAAATCGATTAAGCGCACCAAACATCAGGAAGCGATTGAATCTCTCGAGGGGTTTGGCCTGTTCAGGACGTGCGATCTCGAGATCATACTCGGGGAAGCTATGCGGGCCTGCGAGCTGGCCGGATGTCGATGCAAACAGGGCAAACAAATTTGCTTTATCAGTTGCTTCGTTATCGAAGACTTGCGATTTATATCTCCACCGGACTTTGCGACATGGCGGATGAGGACGTCGCACCATCAGAGGTGCATCATTACAAAAGTACTGAGGAAGTCCCCTGGGATATTCAAAAGTATGTTCCCTTGAGTATTTTGCTTGAGTGGACACACCAGCGTTGACTCATCACTTAGTTATTGGGCTCAACGGTACCGCATTTTCTCCAAGTATGACGATGGGGTATGGTTGACGGATGATGCTTGGTTTGGAGTCACTCCTGAACCTGTGGCCAAGTATGTGTGCCCCTTGACATGTCTTTTTGGTCATTGCAGTGAGACTTACACAGTGAACAGCAAAATAGCAGCCCATCTTGCTGAGAACGCTCCAGCTGGGCGCTGTATCTTGGTGGATTGCTTTGCCGGCGCCGGAGGCAATACCATCGCTTTCGCAAAGACAGGCAAATGGAAGCGCGTCTATGCGATCGAGAAGGACCCCGCTACTCTCCAATGCGCCAAACACAATGCCAAGATCTACGGCGTTGAGAATCAAGTCACCTGGTTTGAAGGCGACTGCTTTGAGATCCTGAAGAAACAGCTAAAGGATTTAGCCCCATACAGTGTGATCTTTGCAAGCCCTCCTTGGGGTGGTAAGTTTCAACAATCCTTTCTTGTCATTGAAGTGGCTAACACAATGAGCGATAGGGCCCGGATATCGTTCAGATCAGGTATTCAACCTGCGGACCATGGAGCCGTACTCGCTCGAGACACTCTACAAGGAGTATTCGCTCTTTACCCCCCACATCGCTCTGTATCTGCCCCGGACGTCAGATGTCAGGCAGCTGGCGAAGTTTGTGCCCGAGGGTCGCAAGGCCGAGGTGATGCACTATTGTATGGATGGGCACAGCAAAGCGTTGTGTATCTTCTATGGAGAAGTTAATGGACAATAAGAGGCCGGTCCTTCTCTTACCTTATGTCTTAACTCTAATGAAAACCATTATGACTTGAAACGATCGATATGTTCACGTCGACTCTAGCTGCATTGAGTGTATCAAGCTCATTGCCTAATTAGGTTAGTGCATTTTGAGACTCATGGAGGTCGCTCCCCATAACTCTCAAGAGATCAATTCGATATAAGTAGGCAGAAAATCGTACTCGCTCCTTTTCAATTGGTAATTGTGATCTTGTCGGATAGCTTTACACGTAGCTTTTTCATGTTTGTTGGCAGACAGTCTACTGGCAGAATCCGACTCGGCAAGATTGGCCTTCAGCGAGGCAGTTCATCTCCACAGCTCTTACATTTCTTCGTCCTTGGTATTCGACTGTTTCCGAAGCGCAGCCAAGGTTCTTTTATATTCCGTGCTTCACCTAGGACAAGGCACGTCTCTCTGGCGTGTTGGACTTGGCCATTCCATGAAAGCCGAGTTTAGTCAAGTCAAAGTACTGACGGACATCTTGAAAGTGGGCGCTCTCCATTAACCACATGAATGATCTGTAACAAGTAATCATTACACAGAATCGTGGACACCTGTTTTTTTTGCTGTTGGGGTGTTTCTTTTCATATAGTATAGTTAGTAGAGAGGGTACTGTGAAGGTGGCAATGGTCACTGTAGTCACATGTAAGCTGCTTAGTAGCGGTGTCTATACTGACAACGGGAAAACATTCTGCGAGTCTTGCCATTATAAGATACTGGGCCTAGGACATTGGACAGATATGCCAAAGTTAGTGAGAGAAAGTCAAAGATTCAAATACCCAAAAACCTTCAAGAGAGAATTAAAGTGGAGCGGGGAACGAGGGAGCTACAGTTACTTGGCACCGCACTAAGCCTCTTTGGGCACTCACCACATCCCTTCCTCTCGTTTTGATCGCGCCTCCGAGGCAACAGACAACTTTCATCACTTTCGCTTGGCGGGATAGCCAACTCGATGCGCGCGACTTTGCTCTTGCCTTGTTGCCTGCCCGCTCGACTTACGCTTTCGCTAACGTCTTGCGCCAGTCTCTGGCAACCTCACTCGCTCGTCTAACCGGATCTTCGAGTCCTCACCGTCCTTTGCCTTTGCTCCATCCCAACGCTTTCCTCATCACCGATCACAAAATGCCTCACGCTACTCAGAACCAGGCCCAGGAGGCCCCGGAAGATGCGGAGTTTGACAATGTTATGCGCCAACTCAACAATTATGAAGGCGGACCGCAGTTTGACTTCATGAACCGAGATTTGGATGTTGGAGAGAAGGCGGATGACGCGGTCGACTACGAAGACTTTGAAGATGATGAGCTTCCTGAGGAAGAAGAACCGGAGGCACTGCGGCGACCCGCTGAGAACGACGCGCATGATGATCTTTTCGCGGACATGGGAGGTGATGATGCTGGGCTTTTTGGACCAAGTGACGACATCTTTGGAGGCACCGGCGAAGGCGAACAGACACAGGACGACAATCTCGATGATTTGTTTGGTGAAGGGCCCTTTTCACCTCCTCTTGCTGGCCAGGTGGATGATACTCGGGACCTCTTTGAAGATGAAGAGCCAGCGTTGTCAACACAGCCCGTCGAGCTACCACCGATCCCGCCTGTGAAGGAGACTTCAGATCAGCCTATGGTCGAGGATGTGGATGAAGATGATATTCTTGACGATGCTAGTGTCCTCTCCGAGGAAATGGATGAGGCGACTCTGCGAGCGTGGAAGCTCCAACAACAGTTGTTCGCGATGTCCGGGAGGACAGGGCCCGACCATCTACCAGCGCCACCCGAGAATCACGAGGAGCTCCTACACTCCCTGTTCCCCAGCTTCGACCGCAACACTCTCCCCCGTTGGCTAGAGATTATCCCACACAAGAAGGCGTACTACCTCGGAAAACAGCCCCTCAAAGTCCCCAAGCCCGTTCTCCCCACAAAAGTCAACATCGAACTAGCCCCCGACCAGGAGCGCGTGTTCAGAACCGGCCAGTCGAACAAACGTGGTCTGGACCAGGAAGCGCTGGGCATTGTGGTTATTACCGAAGCTGCCCAGGAAGAGGCGGAGGAGGATGAGGACAACGAAGACTTTGACATGGGTGAGGCCGATGCGGATGAGATACTCCCTGGAGGATTCACCATGCAGGATCTCCGGACCATCTGCGTTGATTGGGAGGTCAAAGATGAGATCTCCTCGACCACAGAGGAAACGCCTGCTATTTTGAATGCTACAGCCCCGCATGACTCGACCGACCTATTCGACGACGAGGTAGACTGGCTGATGGAAGAAAATCCGCCAGTTAAGAAGCGCAAAACCGGCCCAACACCCATCGACGTTATTGCCTTGTCCCACCTTGATATTCCGCTCCTAGATGAGCCTGAACAGGCGGTTTCGCAGATCGCCAAAAGGGTCACTATCGACATGAACGACCCGAACATTCTTGTGGAAGAATTGAGACCAGACGCGGTACTTCCCAAACCGAAACAAACTGGTCCCCGGAATAGGGAGGATGTGGACACAAATCTTACCCGCAAACTTACTTCCCGATACAACATCTCGAATGACCAAGCATACGACATGCTCAAGCAAAACCACCAGAACAAGATTCGGAGTACTCTTGGAAACGTCACGCTGGAGCATGCCATGCCAGCCTTGCGCTTGCAGTGGCCCTACTACAAGACTGAGTTGCAAAAGGCGGAAGCCCGATCCTTCCACAGGCCGGCTTTGAATTTCCGTACCGGTCAGACATCCTGGTTTAAGAACCCAGCGCATGTCAAACGCAAGCACCTCAAGGGCAAGGACGCCAAATCACTATTTGATTCAACCAAATCACTTTCACTGGCAGACAATTCCAGTGTGCTCCTAGTGGAATATTCAGAGGAGGTTCCCATGGTGCTCTCCAACTTCGGCATGTGCAACCGATTCATCAACTACTACCGAAGGAAGAACCCCGAAGATCCTACTCGCCCGAAGGCAGAAATTGGCGAAACGGCCGTCTTGCTGCCGCAGGATAAAAGTCCTTTCTCTATCTTCGGGCATGTTGACCCGGGTGAGATTGTCCCGGCAATCTCCAACTCAATGTACAGGGCGCCATTGTTCCCGCACACAGCCAAGTCGACCGATTTCCTGGTTATTCGCAGTACGACTGGCTCGATGGGGATGAGCTATTACATCCGCAACATTGAGAACTTTTACATCGCGGGACAGCAGTTCCCATCTGTTGATATTCCCGGCCCTCATTCGCGCAAAGTCACCACCGTCGCTAAGAATCGAATGAAGATGCTTGTCTACCGACTCCTTAAGAAGAGTTCTGACGAGCGACTCGCAATCTCTGATGTCACGGCCCATATTCCCGGCACCACCGATATGCAGAATCGTCAGAAAGTCAAAGATTTCTTGCAACATGACAAGGATACCAAATATTGGAAACCTTTGGATCCAGTCCTCCCTGACCAAGACACCATCCGGTCGTGGGTTCAGCCAGAGGATGTTTGTCTGCTAGAATCTATGCAGGTTGGCCAGCAACATCTTCACGACACCGGTTTTGGCAACGACGCCGAGAATGGCAATGAGAATGATGAAGACGAGGAAGGTGAGAGCTTCGAGCAGCTGATGGCTCCTTGGAAGGCGTCTCGCAACTTCTTGCTGGCTTCGCAAGGCAAAGCCATGTTGAAGCTTCATGGCGAAGGTGATCCCACTGGTCGTGGCGAAGGTTTCAGTTTCATCAAAACCTCGATGAAAGGTGGCTTCAAGGCCATCGGCGAAAGTGTTGAAGACAAACTGGATGCACAACGGCTTAAGGAGCTAGGTGGACACAGTTATAATGTCGCACGTCAACAAAAATCATACGAAACCTCAATCCGCCGAATCTGGGACGCCCAAAAGGCAAGTCTGTCGTCCACTATCGAGCACTCAGACGACGAGAGCGATGTCGATCAAGGGGAGATTGAAGAATTCAACAAGCCTACCCCACGATCAGAAGCTCCAACCCCTGCACCCACTCGTCGATACGATGATGAAACAACCAGTCAGTTCAGTCGGATGAGTTTCACAAGTCAAAAAGGCAAAGTCCTCCGCATCACCCGCCAATTCAAGGCCCCCAACGGAGAGATCCTGGAAAAAGAACAACTTGTCTGGGACCCGCGTGTCATCAGACAATACATCCAGCACCGCCACCGCTCCGAAGCTCTCACCACCAAGTTGGAATCTCTGCAACCAACCGGTGATCCCGAGGTGGATGCTCGTAACCGCAAGCTGATCGAGGCCGAGCTAAGCCGTCTCAACCGTAACAAGGAACGTCGCTTCGCTCGCGAGAAGCAAAAGGGCATCTCTCGTGCCGGCGAATCACCTGCGGATGGCAAACCCGCCGGAACGCAACGCAAGTGCGCCAACTGTGGCCAGGTCGGACACATCAAGACGAACAAGAAGCTTTGCCCCCTGCTGAACGGTACGATGAAGCCGGAGGACCGGGTAACAGACTCAGCATTCTCCATGAGTGCGCCGATCCTCTAAACAGCTCTCTCAAACAAACAAGCAAACACAAAAAAAGTCATATCTCCATCTCGTCAAATCCCCCGCTCTGATGGCATCTTTTCAATATGATACCCACGCCATGATTGCACAAACATCGGGACTCTCCTGTTCCATGTCTTATCGGCTTTTCTCCCTGACGTCCTTCAGACTAGAGAGAAAATGCTCCGTACGTTGGTTTGTTGAAACCCCCTTTTTTTAATACGTTCGCCAGCATGGTCTGGTCGTGGTATGTACTTAGTACATACGATGCCCTTTTCTGTTCCTTGTACATCACATTATATATCAGACAAATCAATTACAATCAACAGTATGGAGTGATTCCTCTTCAATATTTCCTGTCTTTATTTGCAAGAATGAGGGCGTATACAGGAGGGCTCTGAATCTAGAGTTACGTGCGCGGTCTAAGATTCTCTACGCATTGAAATGTCAGAGGCGATGCACATCTTCGAGGCAATTTCTAGTCAATTACTGTGGGACCGTACAGTAATCACGCAATTCAGGGAAAAGGAAACTTGTTTTCATTATAAGAATATCAAGGAATGAATAAGCAGGCTCCCGGGCGCAGCTTCGCTCCAGTATACTGCGAGTCCTGTGGAGGAAAGAAAGGTTTGAGGTATGAATAGGCTGACCAATCAAGAAAGATAGCAACCTCGTGACAAAAAGAAAGTAAACAAGACCTCTCCACAAACACAAAACTCAACGAATTCCAATCCAACGCTTTCATAGGGCATAGAGATCTGCGAGCGCTCCCCTGACGAATGGCTGTCGTCCTCGTTCACTCCTCAAGGCCATGGCTGGCCTTTTCGGTCGTCGGTATGTATATCCCAAGAAGGCACCTTTCTTCCGAATCTCCAAGGCTGTCTTGCCTGCTTTTCTATCCCGCAGGATCTTGTCTCGAGGCCGTTTTCTTTCCTTTTGCTTCTCGGGGTTCTGCTTGGGCGCACTAGGCGTAACAGCTTCAATGGGTGTGGCTGGGAAAATGGCGTCTCCTCCTGGCACCGGCCGCTTGATGAGTGGAGGATCAGGGGAAGGCGAGGCCACATTATCGGCGGATGCAGCTTGAGGCTTTGTGCTGGCGTTTTCATCGGACTCTTTTTCTGTGTCGCTGTCCTCCAGATTCTCCAGATTCTCAATGTCCTTCCAGTCATCGAAGTAATGAGTGTCCTCCCAGTCTTTGACTCTAGGGATATATGGGGGAACCGTTATATGGAGATCATTCCACCGGATACCTCTGAAAAATGGGTGGACTTTGATCTCAGCTGCGTCATCGGGGTACACCCAGTAGCTCGTGACATCTTTGTATTGAGGATCCATGGAGTACAGGTAGTGAGTGGAGGCAGGGCGACCAGCCAACATGTTATTCGCGCGATATTTTGGCGAGGACAGTCGGTATTCGCGCTCCTGAATGAGGCTTCTAATGAGGTCAATAGCTTCCAGTGATACTGATTTGTCCGTTGAACTCTCTCTCGGAAATTGCAAATACTGCGAGTGTTGCTAGAGAGAAGCATGTGTTAACATGGGTTCGAATAAAAGAGATTTCGTTGGGTTACTTGCAAGAATCATGATCTTGGTATCATGGCGAGTTTCACAGGCAAAGGGGGTGAAGCCATATAGACACTGGAAAGGAGAAGTTAGACATGTTTTTTAGTAGAGGTAGTAAGCTTGGCTAACCTCGTAGAGAATTACGCCCAAACTCCACCAGTCGCATCTTCCATCGTACATCTCCCCCCGAATGACCTCTGGTGCCATATATTGACTCGTTCCCACAACACTCTTTGCAAATCGCCGTCGCTCTTTCCTGTTCCGCCATGCGAGAAGACCCGTTTGAGGCACCCGATACCCTTTTGCGTTGTGATCAAGGTTTGGGTCTTTTTCCGCTTCTGCGGCTTGGACCTGATCCTCTGCATCCCCTGTGATGGCAATTCCAAGTTTCTCTAAGAGAGAATAGCGGTGGTTGTTGTAGTATGCCTGGTCATGAGACCAATGTCCGTCGAAAGCCAATCCAAAGTCGGAGATCTTTAGGTGTCCGGACGCTGATATGAGAAAGTTGTCTGGCTTGATATCACGATGGATCCAAGAAAGCCGATGAGCTTCCTCAATGCACAGAACCATTTCAGCAATGTAGAACTGTGTCCAGTCTTCACGTAGAGTAATCTTCCGAATCAAAAGCCCGAGGAAGTCCCCGCCGACCATGTAGTCCATGACGAGGTATAAATAGTTGTCATCTTGGAAACTGGATATCAATGGAACAACCCAACGAGACTTTTCAGACGCAACGAGAAAGTCTCTTTCTGCTCGAATGTGACCCTCCTGGCAATTGCGGACCATGTGGGATTTCTTGATTGCTTTCATTGCATAAACTTCCTTCTTTTCGCCTGCCATGATCCTGCGTTTGCTATGTCTAGCTCCATCCATGGCCGATCTTAATGCTTCAAGATGTGGTCTCATTGCGCTGGAAATATTGGGATCGTGTGCTTGGCTCCCATGAGTGTCCTTGGCAAGTTGCTCCGGGTTTTTCTCACGCACCAAACGCACCACCCCAAAGCTTCCTCTGCCCAGAACTGTGATAACTTCGTATCCAGCAATTGAGGCTGCTTGGTTGATACGCGGGGTTCTCATGCGGGTCTTCAAATTTCGAAATTGCCGCAGATACTCATTCTCCTGTTGGGCCCAGTTGCGTCGCGTAGCTTCCTGCTCTTCGGATCCAAGGTGAAATGCAGAGATGTGCTGCTCCAGCTCATACTGGCGATGAACGCGCGGGTCTATATTTTCAAAAATGGAGTTGAAGTAGAGCTCAAGATAGACCTTGGCGACAGTGGCAGCTTCCACTGTAAGGATCGATGGAGCGGTGGTAGTCGACTTGCCACTTGATGTCGAACTTGGCCTTGAAATAGAGTTTGAGACAGCGGACGATTCTCTCGCTTCGCCTTTATGTTTCTCCAATGAAGAAGGAGATGGCTCTGCGGAGGTCACCGGAGTCCAAGGTTTTGAACACCCAATGGGGGAATCACTACCGCTTGGAGGTGTTGAAGGATCCGAGCTGTCATCATTGGCTCCATCCCCTTGTCTGTAGGAATTACTTCTCGAGATCGGAAAGTCCGAGAAAATGGCACTAGGTCTGGGGCGGAAGTGAGTGCGATGTACCACCGTTGGGTGTCCGAATGTTAACGAGAGTTTTTGAGAAACGCGGTCCACCAATCTCGAGTTTGACGGAGCTTGGGATTCGGGGGGAATGCTGTCATGAACGTCGTCTCCTTCAACGCGATTTTGTTGGGTATTCTCCTCTTGAATTTGGCCGTCAATCTTACGATCCGGGGGTTGGTCATTGGCCAGATCCTGTGAGGAATTGTCTGGGACTTCCAGCTGTGTGTTGCCAGATGTGTTATTGATGAGGGGTTTGGTCTCGAGGAAGCAACTGCTTGTCATATAAATCGGAGTGAATTGGTCAGCGCGTGGAGCTGATGGGATATGCCGATCGCCATCAGGGCTTGGAGCATCGTCGCCTGATCTTGTGTTGATGCTTGTCTTGTTGCCTGTGATTCTGCAGTCAGCATCATAGACTGAGAGGAAATGAGGGTGTATAAGGACACACTATTCGAAGAAGTCCCCAGCCCAAGTAACAATAAGAACTTCGAGCCGCTTCGTGTGACTCGGAGTCGGAATCGAGCTCTGCTGCCTCCACTATCTAAGTTTGGGGACACGGGAGATACAGGACTGTCGGATACTGCTGAATCGGCTGGAGATGGGTATGGTTTGCTGCGAAGGGGAGTGACTCTTTTCTGATTCCAAAGGTTGAACACGCTTCGTCGGCGTGGTATACTCGTTCCGTAAGAGACTGTCATTTTGTAGGATGCTGGATATACTTCGCCCCGCGGAGATCAAGGAACGATCCTCTCCGTCGATGGCGGCGGATTTGACATGCGTGCGACATGCACGCTGGCTGATTAACGATAGGATGTGACTTGACTGCAGATCAGAATCGACAATTCGGAGAACTGCTAGTCGGTGTGATTGAAAGATCAGAAGCGATTGATTGAATGGGAAGGGGCCCGGGTCGATCTTCAGCAACTGGCAAGCGCGAGGACCACGGCACCTGGACTTCCGCGCTGAATTAGAGCTTCCGGCCGACATCACGTCAATGCTTACCGAGTACTACAAGATCATCAAGAAAACGAAAGAGGGACTCTCAAATGCCAGACGGCAGATTGGATTCAAATACACAGTAGCAGATACAAAATACAGAACAAAATCGGGCACTTTTTCCATGCAAAGGGAATATGAATTCCACGTAATATGCCTCATCTCCGCCATAGCAGGACAGGCAAGAAATAGACAAACAAGCCGGATATCACGGTGAATCATGCAATAAAACCGGTAAACCCACAAAACAAACACCCGTGCGAAATAACAGATATGAGTGAAAAGATCAGTCCGACATTTACTTGATCTCAAGCAGCTTGACATCGAAGATCAACTTGGAGTTGGCGGGGATACCGGGGAGGGCCTTCTTGCCGTAGGCGAGGTGAGGAGGGATAGTGATGCGGCGCTCACCACCGGGAGCCATGCCAGCGACACCGATGTCCCAGCCCTTGATGACCTCGCCCTTGCCGAGCTTGAAGGTGAAGGGCTTGCCCTTCTTGTTGGAGTCGAAGACCTTGCCGTCCTCGAGCTTGCCGATGTAGCGCATGGCGATAGTGTTGCCAGCCTTGGCAGCGACACCCTTGCCGAGCTTCTTGTCGTCGATCTTGACGCCTTTGATCTCCTTAACGCCAAGGGTGCCAGTGGGCTTGTCACCGTTGGGGGTAGGGCCCTGCTCCAGGTTCTTGGCGAACTGAACCTTCTTGTCGGCCTTGGTCTCCTTCTTGGGCTCAACGGCGGCAGCGTCGCCGTTGTTCTTCTTCAGCTTCTTCTGCTGGGCCTTGGTCAGAGCGGGCTCCTCCTTGGCAGCCTTGCCCTTGGCACCCTTGGCCATCATGTCGTCAAGGCTCTCCTCCTCCTCGGCGGCACGCTTCTTGCCCTTGCCCTTGGCTTTGGCCTCAACCAACTTGGGGGCCTCCTCCTCGCTGTCGACCTCGGTGATACGGGGGTCCTCCATGCCATCCAGGTCGTCGCTCTCGTCATCATCCATGGCCAGCAGCTCCTCCATGTCGAGCTCATCCTCATCGGGAGAGAGGTCGTAGTCATCCTCATCGTCCTCGTCATCGTGGTCATGGTCATGGTCGTGGCCCTCGTCAAGGCCAATAACGTAGTTACCAGTGAGGAAAACGGTTTGGTTACCAGTGTTCTTGAAGAAGACGGGCTCACCCTCACAGACGACGATGTCAAGAGGTTGCTGGCATTGCTGTGAAACAAAGTCAGTATCCAAGTAGATATACGTTGAATTACGAATCAAAACAATTCTTACCTTGTCAGCGAACAGAGTGCAGATAACGCTCTCATCAAGGTCCAGGCCCTCATCGGACTCGTCATCCTCCTCGTCGTCATCATCGGTGAGAGGACCCTTGCCCTTGATCAGCTTGGAGATGGCAGCCTTAAGGTCGAAGCCACCATCATCCTCCTCATCGTCCTCGTCATCCTCCTCCATAGCCTCCTCGAGCTCCTTCTGGGCGGCAGCCTGCTTGAGCTTGCGGGCCTTCTCCTTGTCGCTGGGGCCACCGTTGACCTCCTCATCATCAGAGTCCTCCTCATCGTAATCCTCATCATCGCTGTAGTCCTCATCATCGGAATCGCCCATGTCGAGACCGGGAGGAGGGCGAACAATCTTCAAGGTTGCGCGACCAGCCTTGCTGGAGTCGCCATCATCGAACTCAGGCTCCTCATCAGGGTCGATGGCAGCCATGCTCACACGGAACTAGAAGGTTTGAGGTCAGCGCGAAGTTTGGTTTGCATCGTGAGGTATGATACTGACCGAGGCGGCGGCATTTGGCACGGCGGGCACCATAACGCCGGGAGGAACCCGGAGGGCATAGACGGCAACCGGTTGGACGGCAGACATTTTTATAAGATTGGTTGAAGAAAAACGAAAATACAGATGGTACAAGGGAATAAGTAGAGAGGGAAATGAACCACCGAAGAAAAACGGGCGTGGATGAAGAAGAAGAAAAGATGCGACCCGCAACTGCAGCAACAGAGATCGTCTTAGAGCTTTGCTCTTTTTTTTCTTAATTAATTTTTTCTGCCCGGCGCATTAGGCCAATGACGTTACATCAAACGCTCTCACCGCTCCTGTGATTTGCCTCTAATCACCGATGGCTTCACCGCCTAGTCATCACCTGATTTCTGCCGCTGACGCGTGATTCTCATGTGGCGCGTACAACTTAGGCGGCTTCGACCAGCCTAAATTGGGACTATTCTGACATATCAGAACGGTCATGGTGGTCCTGCTGGCCCACTATGGGCTCTCGACTTGATGCGACATCTAGCGCTGTGCGCAAGCGCATAGAAAATCGTATGTCATGTTCTTATCCGCTTTTCATTTGATATGCTGGGGTCCACATTCTAATCCGACCTTGTATATAGATGACTTCCAGGATGAAGCGGGCGAAGAGTATGAAGCGTCCAGCTTCGGCGGTTTCGGAGACTATATGCGACGCAAAAAGATCAAATTGCAAAATCTAGATGCAGATATTCGAGCCACTTCTGGAGACTGTCCACCAATATTTCGTGGAGTCGTCGCGCATGTCAACGGCTACACGCAGCCGTCCCTACAAGACCTCCACCGCCTGATCGTCAGCCATGGCGGTGGGTTCCTTCAATACTTGGATGGCAAGACCATCGCGACTCATATTATTGCAAGTTCTTTGACCCCGAAGAAATGCGAGGAATTCCGGCGATACCGCATCGTGAAACCGGCATGGGTCACAGAAAGTGTTAAAGCTGGTCGATTGCTGCCCTGGCACGACTTCCGTGTTGTGGACGAGGGTCAATCCCAGAGAGTTCTCAAGTTTGACGATGGTCGCTTTACCAGCCAAACAAACACTCCTCGGGCTGGCTATCGAGAACAATCAAAATCGAGCTGGTACAATTCTCAGCTCAAAGCGATGACAGCAACTGATGGAAGCCCTGTTCCCTCTACAAGTGCACCCAAAACGCCGCCTCTTTCGACCCAGTCAGCACAACTACCCGAAGCAACTCCCAACTTGCCGTCTCAGCCTACCCAATCCGACTATGGAGACTTTCCTAGTTTCGCTGCTTTAGAAGATGATGTAGAAGGGGAAGCAGTTGCCCAGGAACAGGAACAGCAGCACGAGCAAATTATTCCAGTCAAGCCTAGCATACAAACTTCTATTGATACCACGCCAAGCGATGCGGGTAGCCGTACACCCCGACGGCCGCAGAATTTGCAAATTACCTCGCCGACGAAACAAATGAGCCCTCCAAATCCTCAGTTGACCTCTGAGGAGTATAATGCACAACTTTTGACTGATCCCCGGATGAGAAAGTCCAGTGTGGTCAATCCAGAATTTCTTCAACAATACTACCGAGAGTCCCGGCTCCATCATTTGTCAACATGGAAAGCTGATCTGAAAGCCCAGCTTCAGGCTGCGACAAGAGAGAAAACAGTTTCCGGCACTTCTCAAAGGAGGCCTCCACCAGGAGCTAGGAGATATATTCTCCATGTCGACTTCGACTCATTCTTCGCCGCTGTGTCCATTCTCAAGCATCCAGAGCTTCGCGAAAAACCTGTTGCTATTGCTCATGGGTCTGGGTCTGGCTCCGAGATTGCAAGTTGTAACTATGTTGCACGTGGACATGGGGTCAAGAACGGGATGTGGATGAAGGGAGCTATGCAGGCATGTCCAGACCTTCAGGTTTTGCCTTACGATTTCCCCGCATATGAAGATGCCAGTCGGAAATTCTACAGTTCGGTGCTTTCTGTCGATGGCATTGTGCAAAGCGTAAGCATCGATGAGGCTCTGATTGACGTTTCCAACCTCTGCCTGGAGGCCGGGGGATCGGACGGGAAAGGTGTCTCGGAGGGTTCGATCTACCGCGAGCAAGCCAAAGCCGATGAGATAGCGCAGGGTTTGCGTGATTCCATCAAGGAGAAGACTGGGTGTGCGGTGTCAGTGGGGATTGGTGGCAACATTCTGCTCGCCAAAGTGGCATTGCGAAAGGCAAAGCCTGCCGGACAATTTCATTTGAAGCCCGATGCTGTTTTAGATTTCATTGGGAGCCTTACCGTCCAAGATCTACCTGGCGTTGGATACAGTCTGGGGTCGAAACTGGAAGAAATTGGGGTGAAGTTTGTCAAGGACACCAGGGAACTCACTAAAGAAAGATTGTGTGCCAGTCTGGGGCCAAAGACTGGAACTAAGATCTGGGAGTATGCACGGGGCATAGACAAGGCTGAGGTCGGCAATGAAGTGATCAGGAAATCTGTTTCGGCCGAGGTCAATTGGGGAATTCGGTTTGTCAACCAAGATCAGGCAGAGGATTTTATCAAATCTCTCTGTGAAGAGCTAGCTCGGAGATTGGTCGAGAATTTGGTCAAAGGCAAACAACTTACACTGAAAGTTATGCGGAGGTCGATGGATGCACCGCTGGAACCAGTCAAACATCTCGGTCATGGCAAATGCGATGTCTTCAACAAGAGCGTCGTCATTGGCGTGGCCACAAATGCATCCGATAACCTAGGCAGAGAAGCTGTGTCAATGCTGAGAAGTTTCAACTTCTCTCCCGGTGATCTCAGAGGTCTCGGAGTCCAAATGACCAAGCTCGAGCCGCTGAAGGCTGGTCCATCGACTACCGTCGAAGGCAGTCAGCGGCAACTCAACTTCCTCAAATCTCCTTCGCGCAAGAGCGTTGCCGCCAATGTCGACCCCGATGAACTGGAAAGTCCCCGAAAGGGTGATTCGGCTCGAATTCAAGTCGACCCAGTTCTCAGCAATAGCGCCCACAAGCCGCTGAACATCTCTGGCTCGCAGTTCATCATGCCTACTCAGGTAGATCCAAAGGTTCTCTCCGAGCTTCCAGGGGATATAAGATCAAGGCTTGTAGCCCAAGCAAAGCCACGACAGGAACTGCCACGATCCGGCTCCCCATGTCCGCCACCTCGCCGACGCATAGTCGAGCCTAGTGCTGCAGCGCCGCTTCCGCCTCAGTCCCAATTAGACCCCGAGACACTAGCTGCATTGCCTGAGGATGTTCGTAACGAAGTCCTTGGCTACTATAATCAGCAGACTAGTACTACTGCCCCTGACCCTCCGCCAGCCATTCCTTCGGCCTTGGCAGTACCGGCTTCACACGCCATGCCTCAAAGTGCGTCACTCAAGCTCAAGAGACCAACATCACCGCCAAAAAAGAGGCGTGGTCGTCCGCCAAAATCATTATCAAGCAGCAATAAGTCAATGACTCAGACGAACTTTGCTTTCCCTCTACCTGCAGCTCCGTCTACCGGTATTTCAGTCCCATCGAATCGAGAATCCCTATCTCGCCCACAGTCGCCAGCTGTCGAAGAGGAATCAGAAGTTTCAGCTGATTTCCTCGCTGCACTTCCGGAGGATATCCGACAAGAGGTTCTCGAGGAGCAAAGACGCGCTCGCCTTCAACGAGCTCGCGCTGCCGCTGCAACCGCCTCGAGGCCCGTATCTCAGCCTCAACCTTCCGGCCCTGCCTCTGGTACTCCTGCTCTACCTCCCGTCGAAAAGACATTACCTCTTCCTCCTCTCCCGGAGCGACCTGTATTCACCTCGCGGCGGCTGTCGGGCTTACCCGATCTGCGTGATGCCGTGGGTGCCTGGCATTCTGCTTTTGCGGCCGATGGTCCCTACGGTGAAGACGTAGAGGTACTATGTGTATACCTCCGACGTGTCATTGCCGAGGAGAAGGATATTGATAAAGCGGTGTCTGTGGTGCGCTGGTTAATGTGGTTAGTGAGTGAAGATTCACTTCACCGAACTCCAGTGGTGAGCCAAAGTCCGCCGTCTGGACAGGGTGAACAAGGTGTTGTAACTTGGAAAAGCGCAATTGGAACAATGCAGCAAAGTGTACAGGCTGCATTGGAAGAGAGGGATCTTCCACCGGTGGATTTTGACTAGTTTTGTGTATACCCATAGTGTCACGATGCAATGAATGATGACATAGCCTTGGCCATATAAAGAAGGTTTTTGGAGCTAGCCATTTCGCAAACTCCCTTTGATTGAATTCTCTTCTGGGTAAATTAGTGCGGTAATGGATGTTAAGTGGAGAACCTTGAAGTCTGCCTTCTGGTCGTAGGCTGGTGTTTGGTTTCCTATTTCACTGGAGAACCACCTACAGGTGTACGTTTTCCAAGTAAGTAAGGCAAGGCCATCCGCAGCTTAAGTGAATCAAATTAGTTCTGTGCACGTTGCTGCAAGCTTTCACAGCCGGGAGTGTTCTACCTAGGGTATGGTTACATACATGATTTTCAATCAAATCAATCATAAATCGCCCGGGAATGCACAAATGAGTATCTGCTTACACCCGACGTCATGTGAAATCCACCTTGCTTTTATGCTCTTATTGATGTCAGCTCCAGTATTCTAAGATGCTGCTGAAATTATGGATATGTCCTGAGAGGGGCGATCTGCTTCGCGGAGCCTGCTGCTTGCGGGATGGATATATATATCGTTTAGAAAGTCAGTGGTGTTCCAAAATGACGCACAGTATTCTAACATTTCAGTAGGTATAATTTGATCAGGCTTTAGTCCTACCGAAAATACTAGATCATATTAGTGCAAATATCGTTTCCATAGTTGAGGTACCTGCTGATATCTTAGTCTCGAACCGGCATCTTTTCGAAGATCCTTCTGACATTTCAATGACATTTTTGTATCTGGTCAATGACGCATCTTTTCTTGCCGACTAATATATAACTGGGCTTGTGGTTTAGTGGTATAATACTCCCTTAGCATGGGAGTGGTCCGGGGTTCGATTCCCCGCGAGTCCAGCTTTCTTTTTGCCTTTTTTTTAGGCTCGTGGTGGGTCTAGGAGATTGCATTTATTTTAAGATAAAACAAGGTTAGCGCCGAAAGTGGGAGTGGAGTGCTTGAATTACAAATATCATACTTGAGCATGGGACGCCTAATTGCTTTCCTGCGAACAAGCTACTTTTTGCCACTTCTTTCACAAGAAATCTGGGGTTATCGTGGCGAATCTGTCAATGCTACCATAGTAGGTATTGTACGCGATAGTACAAAAAACTAGCAATGAGCATGATTGATTGTTTAAGCTGTACAGCATTTGTGATGAGGCTGACCAGCGGTTCATGCAATGCCGAGCTTCCATGGTGTTTTGGCCCCCAAAGCCTTGTTAAAGCTTGACAAGCATATCGACTTGTTTGATTGGCTATCTTAGACGGTCTCGGTCATTCACCCAAGGCGTCATGTCTCACTATTTATCTCCTTCCTATTTCTGCGGTACGTCATCCAGGTTAGAATAAGTTGATACATAAGCTCTGCCCTTTCCTAGCATCCAAATTCTAGCGGCGATAATATCATTCATTCCTCCAAGAAGGAACCCGTTAAAACCCGACTCCAACGATGGGTATCGTTTGGTCCCAGTTCTTCCCGCCCAAGCCGACGCTGACGGAGGCCAACCTACCCAGTCAGAAAGGAAAAGTGTTTATCGTCACAGGAGGATATTCAGGGGTGGGCTTCGAATTATGCAAGATTCTATACCAAGCTGGTGGTAAAGTGTATCTCACAGGCCGCTCAGAAGAGAAGGCTCTACAAGCGATCACAGACCTCAAAACCGGAAGTCCAAATTCCGAAGGCGAGATCGTGTTTCTCCCCCTCGAACTCGATGACTTGACCACCATTAAACCCGCGGTGGAGAAATTCACCAGCGTCGAGTCTCGACTGGATGTGCTATTCAACAACGCCGGTGTCTCCAACCCTCCACAAGGTTCTGTATCACCACAGGGCCACGAGCTTCAACTGGCGACTAACTGTCTCGGTCCCCATCTGCTCACTCAACTACTCCTACCGACAATGAAGCAGACTGCTCGCAACGAGACTCAGGCATCTGTCCGTGTGATTTGGCTTTCGTCGATCGTCGTCGATGCCTCCGCGCCATCAAACGGGGTGAACCTGGATGATTTCCTACGACGAGACGCCGGGATGAACCGTAACTACGAACACACCAAAGTTGGAAACTGGTTCTTAGCCAACGATTTGGCGAAAAAAGTTGGCGAAGACGGCATATTAAGCGTGGCAGTCAACCCGGGGAATTTGAAAAGCAACTTGACTCGTCATTTTCCATCATGGGTACCTATTCTTGTGGCGCCTCTACTGTATCATCCTCAAATGGGTGCTTACAGCGAGCTTTGGGCTGGTTTTTCTCCGGAACTCACGATTTCTGACGGAGGAAAGTATATCTTGCCCTGGGGGCGACTTCACCCGAAGCCCAGAGAGGATTTGTTGCGAGCCATGAGATCGAAGGAAGAAAGTGGCACAGGTGATGCGGCGTTGTTCATTCAATACTGCAATGATAAGATTGAGGCATTCAAGTAGTGATGGCCATTGGAAGTACATAGTCTCTTTGCGTGTTAGCTGGATTTCGGATATTATATTACTTAATGACGATGAGTCTTCAATCATTCCGCACTCTTAGATTAGCATCAGGCCATCCAAACCGCTATGCCAGCCCTAGGCAATATAGCTTAACCAACATAGAAATCGCACAGTATGTATATCAAGAGCCATATGTAACGAGAAATCGTCTCGGATGTCCAACCAACATTGATTGATTTAGGTTTCAAATGCCCCACAGTAATCAACACTCCACTCAATAGATCAAGTCTATCGATCAACGGGAACACAAGCACATATAAGCTTAAATGAAGAAATCAACATGTAACATTGCCTCCGTCGCCATCCGAAGATTTCAAGCCCTTTTGACTCCACTTAATCTTCGGAATTGGACTCTATCGTTCGGCACGGGACGTGGAGACTCGGATACAGACCCGAGCTCGGAATTGATCCCAGCGGTCGATATTCCGACTGGGTGGATGAACTGAGCCGGACAAGGCTAATTAGAGCTCGGATAAGTATGGGGCTCAATTTGATCAACTTTATTTCATCTACAATTGTTTGTTGGTGCTTCTAGTGTGGAAATGGGCATCTGGGAGTCTCGTGTTTTGAGTCTTTCCAGGATGGGATGCTGACGAGAATGGCGGCCATACAAGAGGCGCTGGTCACTAATTTTACCGTGGGAACGAGGGACTGGAATATTTGCCACGAGAGAAAGATCGTAGTGCGCTAGAACAAGTAGCGTATGGTATATTAAATTTTTTCCCTCATTTCTTCTTTGAGCTAGTCGGTAAAAACAGTAACACGACACTGAGAATCCAACCAACATGCATGGATACTGTATCTCGTGGAATCTACTTAAAACGGCTTAGTCCGTTACACCGCACAGCGCCTCAGAAGTCAAACGCAGACGGGTCATTTGGGAAACTCGATAAAGCCTAGAAAGTCATTAGTAGTCATTAGTAAAGGAACCCATAAAGAGCGACCGCAAAAAATAATATCGAAATAAACATACCCAGGAATCAAGCTGCGCCCACCAAATTGAACCCTCCAGGTTTTCAAGGAGTCCGGCGTCATCCACACCGTTAAGAGATGCACCCAAGTCACTTGATGGTAGACCACCTGACATTGACTGGAAATCCAGGTTCGGAGGATCAAAGGAGACGGTGCGCTCGACGGTATTGGGAGCTATCGCCCTTTGTTCAACAAGCTGTTTATCGTCAAATACTGTTCGTATAGTTCCAATGCTAGCCTGCTCATCTGAGCCAATATGGCGATGGACTTCTTTCCTTAGTTCACCAAGAATAATGCTGTACCGCCTACTAGGACAGTTTTTGCGAGTAGCTTCCGCCAAGTATTGCTGACAGGCTTCGGCTAACAGGAACAAAGAATGCAATTTCCCAGGGTCAGTGGGACTTCCTGCTGTTGGACTCGGCGCCGTTGCCTGGCGATGTTGTTGGATGATGTGGATATAGACGACTAAGATAGCACAAAATGTGACGTAATGGGTGAACCAGAATGATTGAACAAAGATGTTCTGTTGCGCAAGGTCGTCGACCAGTGTCATGATATCTTCAGCTGCGGAGATACACTTTTGTACATGAGCGCTGACCATTGGATGGGGGTCACTTGGTCGACGGCTGAGGTCGGTAAAGTCATTGAGGAGGAATGAACGAGTAACGTGGATCATGGCGTGGGCGTAGGCGAATTGCAGAACCTGGCTTTGTCGGCAGAGGGGCGGTATTAGACTGGATGGTCGAACGCTGTTGAAGAGAGGGGGTACGCTTTCTTTCCATTTTTCCAGTTCAGATGTGAGGCGGGCAGCTGTTTCAAGTGGAGAGTCCCGCGAAAGAGGGTTGATACTGTACAGTTGTCGAGAGATTTCGCCCAAGATTCGACCGAGGCTTTGTGAGCAGGGTGTTAGTCAATCAAGAAGTACGATTGCGTATTGACCCAAAAGTCTAATTGACGAACTAACCGGTAATGCAGGACAGATGCGATCATCATGCTATCTGTAGATCCTGTCCGCCGTGTCGGGTCCTCTTCCAGCAGATCTTCATCATTCATTTCGCCCGGGAACTCCTGATCAATGTCCTCATCATGAAGTAGCCGAGGCCGTCCGAACATGATACTGAGGTACTTATCCAAAGTGTAAACGCTCCAAAAGACGCGTTTCCGCAATTCCAACTCAAAATGGGAGCATCCATTCTTTGATAGCTTCACGGGAAACTTTCGGTGCAATCCAAGAGCTGTTACAACTTGCAATGCTGTTCCAAAGGAGTACCAGCACTCGTTGGCCCGTGACGATGATAAAAGGTACAGGCATTGGATGAGTCTAACTTGAATTGTCTCCAAGCGTGGAGGCCCCGACTCAAGAGATAGCATATACTTTGAGGCCGCGTACCAGCGCTCACTTTGACTGATCCCGTTCGTTGGCGGTGGATCTTTGTGATGAAGGGTGCTCACTGCAAAAATCATCAGAACAATAGCCGTTCGGGCTACCATAACCCCCACTGGCAGATTCGATATCGAGATATGACTCTCATATACTTGTTTCACCCAGTTCTCCACGCTTCCACGATGCAAAAAGCGGTAGGTCACCATTGAGAAGTCAAAATATACCGCGACAAGCTCCATCGCCGTCTCAAATGATGGCAGCATAAAATCCACATCCTGAGGGTGCGAGTACGGCTTATCGCCAAACATGAATACGGCGGTGTTCGTCGAAGACTCATTTTGCAGCGCATCAGGGATATGCGCCCTCTCATCCTGGTGCAATCTGCTCCAAACGCGATTGATGAACGATACTCCCGAGGAAGGGCCGATGTAGTTGCCCTCAAAGTCAGTCGAACCCGGCTCGGGGGAGTTACGCAATGATACCCCGTGAGGTTGGCTTAGGTAGCCATGATGGCTGCTGACAGGTTCCCTAGCCGTCACAGCGGCTGTGGTGGCACGCGAACGCGAGCCCCTGAACGTACGACCAACCTCTGAAGTACCAGACCCGGCAGCCGTGGCCGCAGGCTCACCTGGGTCCGGCGATGCAGGGAGTGGGTCGGGAGGAAGTCCTCTGGAGTAGGCTGCATTATAATTGCAGGAGAGCGACAGCCGCGTGCACCGAGTGCACGGCAGCGTCCCTGTGCACCTAGTCTTTTTGACTTTACACGAGTCACAAGCTCGAGTGATTTTCTGGCGAACGGTACCATTTTTGCTGGAAATGGAAGGCTGCTGCAGCGGGCCACCGGAAGAGGACTTTCTTTTTCGTCCGGAGGCCGTCGGTGAACTGTTAGATTCTCCCTTGTCAATGGCACTCTCGTCGAGCATTCCAGACCCGACAGGCCCTTGCGTGGGGGGTAAGGCCACGCTAGTAACAGTCGCCATGTCGGGATCTGCGCTGGGCTAGAACTGCCGAGAGGCACATGGGGGCTTTCATTTGATGATTTCCGGGCGTAAGCGGTGTACCAAGAGATGATGCGACTCTAGCACACTTGATAAGGGGGGAATTATAGAAGGAGAAGAATCCGGAGAGGGGGATCAACAGGTGTGGAAGGGTCAGGAACAGTGGAACTAACCGAAGACTGGCTTGATAAGTTGAGCAAAGTGGAGACGAGGTCTGAGGCCTCGGTGATTCTCCGGTCGGCGCGGGGAGACTCTCTCCACCTGATCTCCCCGGATTTTGAAGATTGCTTATTCCAGTCAACTCTCTGCAGACTACTCGAGACCTACAATTACGATTTGTATACTACAACCATTTTTCCACCTCGGAAGATGCATAGAAGAAATCCTTTGCGGGTAACCGTGTGAACGGGTCAGTTGAGAGTGATCATCACTGCAGAAGCAATATGATACCAGTTCCCGAGTTCAGGTACCACTGCATAGGGCCTGGCCTGGCCATCATACCCCAGGCGATTGAGGGGAACCTATGGACCCAGATGATGGGACATGATCCTACTCACTAATTGTTCTGTCCAATCTAAAATGCTACCGTGCTTCTTAGGTGGGACTAAAGATGATCTACAAGCTGAAGTTCGTGAACCTTAAACTCCAGAGTAGATGATACCAAGATAATGAGGTATGATCGTCTTGTACACATATCGATCGAACCAGCCTGGTTGTATGACGATTTATTTGAATTGATTCATTCAGCACATTTTCCAGTACTTCATACTGCACTGAAAAAGCGCCTTTTAAAATCCTGATTTGGCTGGTCCAACAATCTTGCTTGCTTCAAACCAAAATTATCCTGCAATAGGCCTGACCGAGTAGTAGATTTGCGACGTAAATAGACTCTTCTCCTTTCCATAGAAATGATGGTTTGTGCAGAAAGTTACAGACAGCCCAACCTGAAGCAAAAGTAACCGAGGCGCAAGGCGAACTCCCTCCTAGCTCTTTTTCTGCATGTACACGGTGTCAGGTGATCAAATCTGTTCAGACAACTCTGGATCTTTGAGACACCGTTCACTTGTTGCGACAGGTTGCACGTTCCAGCCGAGTAGCTATCGTTCAGGACCACATCCGTAAGTGGCGTTGCCTCTTATCGTCGATGCATGGGAGTAAAATGCTGGGCCGTTGCGCTCCGGGGCCCAAACTTAGCCAACGTCATCGCGAAAGCAAGCTGAAGTTTACAAAATCCCAGTCAAAATTCCCAAGGTAATCAGATGGACTCGTGCACCGAGACTCCTGCGCCCGGGGTCCAGGATCAAGGATATAAGGCCTTCACTCGGATCATTGCGGCCCGTAGCGCGAGCCAGCTTGTGACCCGCTAACAACATACCCAGTGGCTCACATGAGAAGAAATTGAACAGAATACAAAACCAAGGCAACAAAAAGTGAGAAATGTATAGTGCATAAGGGTCATTAACTTCGAGGATGCTCAAAAAAGGCTTTATTGCTGCAGCTTATCTTTGATAGCTCTGTCAGCCTCGTGTGGGGAAAGTTCCTGAGCTGACGATTCTTCAGCACAAGGGATCCGAGCCCGATCGAATAAAAAGAGTAGAAAAAGAACAGTCGCGAATGGAACACAAGCTCATTATCAAGATGAAAACATAGGCAAGAAAAACAAGCTAGCAAATCAATTCAGCGCAAAAAGGAAGGAAAAACACCAACCAAACGGATCCATATCAGAATGAATCGATTTTGGCAGCGTAAGATCATGTCGTGAATGCGATCGCTAAGCATCGGAAAAGTGCAAAATTCCAGACTTTGCGTCCAGGATCAAACAATGATCAAAAGAACCCCGAGTCACTCCAGTTATAATGCAACATGTTGTCCCCAGCGCCGGGGCCTGTAATCTCCGTTCCCGAGTACTATCGGGGATCAAAATAAGGGCCGAGATTATGCGGATCGAGGTCGTTGGGAACGTGGTGAGGAGCAGCAGAAGGATGTTGCTGATGAGGAGGAGGTAGGCCAGGCGGACCAAGTGGTTGCTGCGCCAATTCGGGATGCTGGGCCAAAATCTGTATTAAGACGCTTTGAATTTCCTCCCGTGATGTGCTAGAGCGAATAACATTGACGACGTGCTGTGTAGTTGCGTTGTTGGAATATCGAATAACATTTAGGAGCTGCTCCGTGAACTCTGTTAAGCTGGCCAGCTCTTCCTGTGTCCGTTTCGCATTTGCCTTGCGCCGCCTGTCGGCTTGTTCGTCAAAGGTACATTCTCGATCATGTGTGTCGCATTCCGAGCATTTAGGTGGTCCGGTGCACTATTTGCGGCGCAAAGAAGCATCTTGTCAGATAGAAAAAAATAATAACCGGCGCATATCACGAAGGTATGGAAGGAGCTCGAGAGGCTAAACGAGGTGGAGTACAGTAAAGATCCGGGAGCACGGAACCTGACCACAGAGAAATATAAGGTGAGTTGAACTGGATGATGGTGGTTATTACCCTTGTCCGACGTTTCTGGCACTCTTTACACGCAGTCGAAGCTCTTTTCATCCTGCCGTCCTCCGGAGTACCTCCGCCGCTGCTGCTACCAAGTGGTGGTTGGCCTCCTCCCCCGCCACCGGGAGGCATGGTCCGGGGAGCAATTGGCCTAAAGGCCCGGCCTACGTCGCCCATTGAGCTGGACAGCGGGTAGGGAAGGCAGAGAAAAGGCGCGGTCGAGGAGGAGGTGGAGGAAGAGAGATAGAAGAAGTAGGAGGGAGGGGGGCAAGGTAAAGATGAAAAGAAAAGGAAAAAAGAAAAAGGATGACCGATTAGGAAAATAAAGAAGAATAAGAGTCGACAATACAATCCAGAAGGAGAGGCCCAGTTGCACTAGACAAGACTCTATTAGGCAAGCGCAACATCGAACATACAGTTACTCTATCCCACACGTGGAATGATATCAACTGATCGGCCCGTTGGAGAGCGGTCGAATGAACATGTAAGACAGAAGGTTTAAAATAAACGAGCAAGAGCGAAGAAAAAAAAAGAAAAAAGAGATAAAATAGCTGAAGAAATTCCAAAGTAGAATGAGGGTGGCTGATGGGTGTTTCCACCGAAGCCCGTGCCGTTAATTAGGATTATTTTCTGCACACACACTCACACAACCCTTTGCCGCGTCGCATACAGTACGGAGTAGCCCCAGTTGACAGCCAAAAAGGAGAAAGTGGAGGGAGAAAAGGAAGGGGAGGGGAAAGGGGGGGGGGGAAATGGCAAAAAATATGTGGGCAACAGGGAAAGAGAGGAAGATCGAGAAACTGCGTGTGTGGCGGAAGACAAAGTGGATCTCAATTGGAGCTGACATTCTCCCTCCCGAGCAAGAGAGAGACTAGAAAAGAAAGTGCGGACGGACGAATGGTAATTCTTATGACCACTTACCACTTACGATAGTACTGATAATACCATTCTATGGAAAATAAAAAGGAAAATTGGGAAAGCATAATGATAATACACCGTAGGCTAGTAGCTAGTAGGTGGATGACTTTCCGACCAAAGACTAAAGATGCGTAACCACGATGAAATTCCACTGGAAACGACCAGTGGAAATCAGTACAACAACCAGGTAGGACCCAGAAGACCTCCTGGGCCTACTGTAGTAGACCCAAAAGCCCCCGGGCAAAGGAACCCCAGTCGAAGGACCTTCGACCGTGGTAGACCGTGCTGTCGGAAAACTAGCGCCCAGGAACATGAACGACCTGCCCCGGTCTAGTCGTTTGACGGGCCTAAACGACGAGCGTGTCTCGTTTTCCAAAAGACGCCACACTACACCGATCATTGCCCAAAGCTTACAGTTCCTCTCGAACCGACCCTACGGCAAAGTGTTATGCAGCTCTCCAATTTAAACAAATGTTTAATAATTGGTAAGAAATAGGTGTCGCATTATTGAGGGGGCCGTATGAAATGGTCATCGTACTGAACATGGGTATAGATACACTACTGTACTACGGCGTTAATCTCGACGAGCTAAAAACCGATCAACCCAACGTCTAAGCCCCGATGGAGCAACATCGACGTGGAAAGCGCAAAGGTTCAAGGATCGTATTTGTCGGGTCGACGACTCGACGGTAAATTTCAAGCGAATTGAAATCTGCAGTGACACGGGGCGTCGCCGCATCCACAGACCCTACCCGCCGCGCTCTATACTACTTTGGTGTTGTCTCCCCGGAGCCTCTCTAACTAGTGTACAAGTCCATCCCAGCCCCTCGGTTCGCGCTGATAGACTAAAGGCTTTAAAATACCTTGGCTACCTGAGCCCGTAAAAGAGGGTTGGAAAAGGACACATAAGGAAGTTGGCCGTCGATATAGTTTTAGATCAATATATCCCACTTGAAGTGCATATAGTAGCGTACTCGGACAGTACTGATCTCGGATATATCCCGATGTGCCTTGGCTTTTGGTTGCCCCTCCTTTTTCAATCGAGAGCGCGAATAATTGAAGATACCTACAGTAGGGCCACCGTGGAGGGGCTGGGTAAGAGCTATGCGGACGGTGCAGATTGGGGGATTTTACCGGAATACTTCTCCGGAAAATTGATAGGATGAGAAGTGAAGCCACAGTCATTGCGGCGTCATCGGTTTTTACGATGGTCGGTGTCAATGATAATGTTAGCGTGGTACTTCCACCCCTACTTCATGACTAATATTCTGCCACCCTTTTATTACGACTTCACGTAATTAAACCACTATAATACAATATATTACCGCCTAGTAAGGTGTATGACCCCCCTGCGCGTCGATAACAGCCTGGCAGCGCTTCTGCATCAGATCAATCTGCTGGTCTAAAAAGCTTGTAGGAATCGCATCCCAAGCAGCTCGCACAGCCTCGCGTAGCTGATCATAAGATAGCTTACGATCATAGTCTTTCAAATATCGATCACCGATCCAATCTTTTATCCAATCCCAAACCTTCTCAATTGGATTAAGATCTGGCGAATACGGTGGCCAGTCGATAGGGTATATCCCACGATCGTGAAGCTCCTCAATAGTTAAGAGATTTCGATGAGATGGTGCGCCGTCTTGCATTACAATTAGATGTTGATCTAAATGATTGCGAGCCAGCGAAACCATACCGTCGATAAGAGGCACAATTCGCTCTGTATATCGAGCAGCAGTAATAGTGCCCCATTCCTTCTCCCAAAATAGACAAGGGCCTTTCTTATTATTATAGAATGAGCCCCAAAACATCCAGCCAGGTGCACGAGAAATTCGCTCTCGTACACAAGTATCATCAAATTCCTCACCAGCCCGACGCGTAACATAGATCCGTCGATGATAGACCGATGTAACCCAGGTCTCATCAGTCCATAATATCTTTTCCCACTGCTCACGCGTCCAATTAACGTGCTCTAGCGCCCAGATTAGACGCAGTGCTCGTGTACGGTCGGACAACGGAGGCTTTCGAAGGGCCTTACATCGATGATATCCACGTCTAGCTAAGGCCCTTCGTAAGGTGACAGAACTAATAGGGAGTTGTAGTTCTTCTATAACCCTAGAGTACGGCATCCGTCGTGTCTCTTTCGAAGATGAGATAAACTCGATTATCTCATCAAGCTGTTCTTCTGATAGCTTTCGACCTCGGCCAGGGGCCTTACGTGGTGTAGGCCTCTCATCAGTGCAAGCCTTTTGGACCTGACGCTGGGTAATGCCCAGTTTTGATGCAATTTGGCTATAGGTAAGCCCCTGAGCGCGCAGTGTACGCGCTGCGATGCGCTGATCACGACTAGCTTTATGGCTAGGGGTATGAGGGGCCTGGGGGGCCTGGGGGGTATGATCGGATCTTTCGTGATTAGTCTCCATGGTAGGTAGGTAGGTAGGTAGGTAGGTAGGTAGGAAGGTAGGTGGCTAGGTGGCTAGGTGGAAGGGTTTGAAACATATGGTATTGCCCTAATCCCTATTCGGAAGGCGGTTGGAGAGGGTATTAGTCATGAAGAAGGGGTGAAAGTACCACGCTAACATTATCATTGACACCGACCATCGTATTTTCTCCTTCCTGCGCTCCATTTCTTTCTCATGCACAGTAGGGACGATCGGGAGTAACCAATGATTATTGGTTGATCGTGATAGCTTCCACCGACCTGGTTCCAGGGTTACCACACTTCTATGGCGGGCCTGGATGTTTGATGTTATGTCAGTATTTCAGTACCTCTATTTTTAATTATCATCAATATTACATATTATTTTTCTATGCTTCGCTGCAATTTGATATACCCAAGTCGAATTTGAGATCCTACAGCCTCGGCCTAGCTAATTTAAATACTGATTCCTCCTAGCATGAAGTGTTTCTCACACGATCATCGTACATGCTCGCAACTTCGTACTACTAAAATACAGATCTTTCAATACCCTTCAGCGAAGTGTATTATTAGATTATGCCGATGAAATTGACACTGCCAAAGAACCTAGCTACAGTATGTACAACCCAAGTGGGTATAGCCGTCATCTAGAGGGTCTTTGTGAAGAAAATCATCTGCCCCGCGCACGGTACCGGAGAATAATACAATATGATAAGAATAAGGATACCGAGTTTGTCGCTTTGCTGGGACCATAAGTGGTTGTTATTTGGCCCCCAAATATTATGGTCGCCACTTGGAAGTTGGAACATCACAATGTCAGGCTGCAGACAACAAGAGCCGTCTCCACCAAGTAAATGTGTTCGACCCCACTGTGGCTGTCCCACTTCACAACGAGACGTGGGATAAGCCAACAAGCCAAGGGTAGTCTGCGCCTGAACGTGGCCTGAAAAGCTAGGTAAAAAAGTGGCTTGGACTAAGGATATGCTTTTTGAAAGTTAGTGGTATGGAGTAGTGACGTAGAGGCGCTAAGAAAGGTAACTAGCTGGGTGAGTCTTAACCTTGCGAGGTGTCAATGCCTCTGGCGATTACTACTTCTGGTTAGCTGGAAACTTCAGTCGCCAAATCTGACAAATGAGATTCGAACACTGAGAGGGGGGCTGGCGAGATTCGCCACAGCTGGTGGAATGCGCTGTTAGCCTGTCTTTGTTTCTGGGCTGGTGATGCACGTTAGTAAAGCAATTGGGGGAAATATTGAAATGCCGAAACCTGTGATACAGCGTCTGGTTTATGGTCCACATTATGGGGTCTCTTACAGTAGTAGCATTCCTCGCGGGTCCCTGGGACCCTTTCGATAAATAGTGTTCCTGCTATAGTCCCAGCAATTGCTTTGACACCAGAGCCGCGTGGCGGTGTTACGGTGACAAGCTTCCCTTAGGACAACCCTTTGGTCGTCGCTCGATGTGCCTTGTTGGGATCTGAGTATGACGATGTAGTGGCTGAGGCAATAGTCCCTAGCGGAAACTGTATGTATACAATTCGTCCAAAACATTAAAATAGCACGAAGGACAGAATATCTTTCTCGATGTGGTAATACTTGACATTAGTGATATTCATGATCATTTAATCATCTCCGCTTTGGCTGATAGCTAATCTGTACTCATTAATCTAATCTACTCCTGATTGAAAATGCTTGTGAAGCTTGAGAATTCGATATGACGATCGGGACATTCCTAGGGCTCTCAACGCCTTCTAGAGTCATCATTCTATATACCCACCATTCATTTACACATCACCTACTATGATCACAACCTCCATTCATTACAAGGAGTCCGAACTAATCTTGCCCACAGCCTAATGCCAACCTTACAAAATAGGCAGCTCCCAAACGCACCGCCGCAACGTAACAGCCTGCACTTGTGGAGCCACCGCTATGGACTGTGAATGGTCTCGGTGAAGGATTCCGTCGTTTTTCTCTCAATCTCATCTTAAATCACATACAAATCGGGTCTTAGTCTACAGGTGGATATCCCCTAACCCCTCCACTTGACTCGCTCACCGCATTAGTACGGCTTATTTTGGTGACTAGCATGACACGCAAGAAAGATCCCACAATATACCCTGTACCATAACCCTGGACTCGATCGAGACCGCAAAAAGTAGTCACGTTCATATAGACCTGGCAAGAGAAACCAACGAGGATCGTTCGGTTAACAGAACCCGAGTCAAGGCACAAAACCCGAAGTGCTGTTCGGTTCGTCGCATGCTGGGCTGGCATTTTCGTCTCGATCACGGGAGAAATACTCCTTCCCCGCGATGATTTGCTTGCATATTGCCGAGCAGATCCTCCCTCAAAATTTTACTCTGTTTGCTCCTTGCACCCCGATCCTTGGCTCACCTGGGACAGCTCCAGGACGCTTTTCTCTTCTAAGTCAATGCAACCCGACCCATAAACCGGGTTGCGAGGGGACGCTAGATACGGATCGGCCCCGTGGCGTTGGTTATATTGTACTTGCAACCTCGGAGCGCAATTAATTGAGACAGGGCCAAGCATTCTGCCCCTCTTCGATTAGTTAGACGATCAGTTTTAAGGCTACAACCTTGCTTCCCATGCTAGGGCTTATCTGGCAGAGCACTTATTCTTTCTTGGGACAGGCGTAGCGCCCAATATCGATAGCTTGACTAGATCGGGTTGTCCCCCTATTTGGTCCACCCTAAGCAGGGTGGATTATTGTGTTAATAAAACAATCCTAACAGCATCCTTTTGCCATGCTGATCATAGGTATCAAGCCTCATGATGAACAAGGGAAACTCCCTCGAGATAACTCTTTAAGCTTACCTATACTACTACAGCACACAGATTGACTTTCTCACCCCGCCAAAGCGTAACCACGTACTCGGACCCGTTCTCGTCTGTAGAAACAACCGAGGCCAAGCCCGTTCCCCAGTTTCCTATACTTGCATGCTGCAGACAGGAAGCAAGCGAGCCACACCACAATCACAAAGGAGCGGGGCATATTTCGTATCGCGTACCACAACGCCTCTTTTCACTCATACCCACACACTCCCACCGAGGCTCGCTGTTGATAGGACACGCCTCGCCGACGATATGTGCTCTTTTTAGAGGCTCAATAAGCCGTCAAATTGAAATGCCACCAGCTATAGGGAACAGAACTAACTGAGTCGTAGTCATACACCGAGCCCTTCTTTCGAAGAAGAAAAGTAGGCGCTAACCTTATTTTACCAAGCCAACGAGCGACTAGTAAGAAATTGATCACTGGTTGGATCGGTCCATCATTGGTCCGATTGGATGTGTCTGTCTGCGTTGTCGACAGATTGGGTTCTAGTATCGCGTGTCTGCACTGCCCTGCCCTGTCTATGTACAGCCGGGCATACGCAATATAGGCTGAAGGATAAGGCTTCGATCTCCCACAGCAAATACCGATCGTGTCAATGCATATCGAATCCTTCACGGATCGTCTACATGCCTAAACACAGCACCAGCACCAGGTTCAGCCCCAGTCGGAGTGGAGGGATGACTTTCGAGACATGCAAATGGCGCAATGAAATGAAGTATCAAACGCCTGCGCCAGGCAGAGCCCAAATGCCACTGGAAAGTCGGATGCACTTTAGATTTCCAGATTAGATCGGCAGGCCATCATCGGGGGTTGCGTCTCTCAAGCAACCCAAGGCATTTATCTGATGTCCACATTTCAATCCATTTTACCAACAAATCCCCGAAATATTATTATTACATACTATAAAACAAGGATTGAAGAAACCTGCAAAATCTTTCTAGAAAGACGATCACCAATCGATTGATCCAATCAGGAAACTATGGCTTCACACTCTTAAACTACCACTACAGTATACCTAACTTGCAACCACCTAACTCCCCACATCAAAGCCCATACATGACTTAGTAATCAATGCACATACCCTCCAATGGAACCGGAGGCCGGCCCCCCCGTAAAAGCGGGTATACCGAGACTGATTCCCGGACATGTAGGGACAGGGATACGTAGGGCTTGTCAACCCAGATGAGAATTGCGTGCATATCCTGCAGAAATCATCTCCCTTGTTGCGCGTGTAATGCGGATGAACAACGGACTAGATTTCCGACACAAAGCAAGAATGGAGTGGGGATGGGGATGAGATTAGGTAGCTAGCTATTTTGTAAGAAACTCGGACAGACAGACGACTGACTCCCTCCAGTGTTACGATCACCCGAGATTTTCTCCGAAATTAATAACGTCAAAGCACCCAAGAAAATGAAAGATCTTCGAAGCTAAGGCGAGACCCGCGAATATTCAGGGCTAGGCATACAGCACAACCTTACTTTTCTTGTTTTTAGTGTAACACGCGTGGAGACAAAAGAACTCCAGCCACAATGATTAAGACCATCGGTCGATGATCGCCATGGCTGTGCTACCTGTTTACTACTGTTATGAAGCAGAAAACAGGGCTCTCCGGGGACCAGATATCTTGGCAAAACCTAGATTCGGGGATATACCGAGCCCAGCCACAATTATTGAGATCTGCAGCGGAGGATCACTATGGGAGCTGTACTTCGTACTGTACTCGAAAAGGTTCGTGAAAGATGTGCATTCTAGCCGATAGAGCAACATTGGTACCTATCACAAGAAAGAAGGAGTACTAGGTAATGATTGGGAGGGAATGAATGGAGACAAAAGATTATAGAAAGCTCGAGAGGGTGGTGGGTATTGAACTGTAGCATAACAAAGAACTAGAATAGACACAGAGAAGGGTCGAAAAATATATACGTGAAGTAAGAAAGTTGAAAAGAAGCCGATGAAAATAATGAATGCCCAGCGTCATTAGACAAGAGAAGAAAGCCATGTCTCATAATTCAGACGGCATTTAAGTCTTGGGATATCAAATCAACAAACAAGCCCCAAACCGCAAGGCTGCCCGATGTCAAATCCCGTTGTGTAAAAGATCGGGGACCTGACTGCCATCTTAATAGATCGGTCGGCCTTCATCCCAGCGACGGGACTGTCTGGGGCTCGTAGCAGGGTCATCCTTGCTCTCTGTAGCCATGTGATGATGATCCACATCCCCGTTGCTTGAGGGCGACGACAGGGAACACCATGCACTGTCACGGCGGGCACTGCTGTCAAGCTCGCTGCCAACCCCGCCGGGAGTATTGACACTGCCGATGCCGCCAATCCACTCCCAGCAGCGGGCGACGTCACCGCTGCGTGACTCGCGAACAGCGGCACGCACATTAGCGTTGCCTTCGACGACGCGCCGGACACGCTGCCACAGCTCCTCGCGTCGCTTTCCGTGCAACTCAGAGCGCAGGACGTCATCGCGAAGTTGGCCAATTGAAATGTAAGGCTCTATGGCACCGCCACGGGCATGCAGCGCTGCCTGCGTCGCAAGACGGTCAAGCGTGGTAGCGACCAATTCGGGCACACGGGCGATATCAGAACGACGGGCGCGAACCCGAGCGCGGGCGTAAGCCAGAGCACATGCTGCCAGGATTAGAAGTGAAAGAGGGAGTCGATACGCGAGGAGAGCCAGTCGGATGTAACGGCGGGCGGCGCATCTGAGTGGGAGTCGGGCAGTTGAGGTTGAGCTGAGGACGAGGACGGCGGAAGGTCTGTTATGGCAAGGGCGCCGCTGTTAGTTCCGGTACACAATGTCAGAACCAAGACCTTTTAAGAAAAATGGCCGCGAGATATAAGAAATCCGGAACGGTAGTAGCTAAGGAAAGAATGAAGACATCCTTGGGGAGTGGGTTACACTTACTGCTTGGAGTTGCTGACAACTTCGTCCTTCTCAATGATCTCGCCAAGAGCACCCTTCCAGAGGTCATCAAACTCGGTCTCAGTGAGACCCTTGCGCCGCTTCTTCATCACTTCTTCCTTCAGTTGCGTCTCCGGAATCTCGGGAGAAGCAGGTTTGCCATCCTCATTCAATTCACCACATTCATACTTTGCCCTCCGCTCGCGAAGCTCCTCAACAGCCTTGTCTGCGACAGCTTTGACACGACGTGCCTTCTCACTGTCCGGTTCACAGGTTGGCGGCAGAGGAACAAGACCACCGAGAGAAAGAGGATGAGGCTTAAGGATAAAGTCATGCTCACAGCGAGCTTCAAAGTCGGGATAGCAGAACGCATGGGGCGGGCAGGGCTCGCAACGAGGCTCCAGAACATTAGCCCATTCCGGCACATTAGTTTCTGTCAGGGACCAAGTAGGCTTCCCAAGACCGCAGTAACCGATCTCAATCTTCTCCTTACGCCACCAGGCGCCGAAGCTGCCAAGCACCGAGAGAATAACAAACCAGGACGCCATAATAGTTATGGAGCTCTGCTTCTTCGGCCGCTTTCGAACATGTGTCAATGGTGCATACTGTTCAGTCTCTAGAGCAAGTTGTTCCTCCGGGGTAAACTCCTCTCCGGCAATAACATCGCTCTCCGAATCTTCTTCCGACTCATCGTCTTCAGATTCCTCCTCAGGTTCCTCCTTGGTAGGTCGAAGGCGAGATGCAAAGTCGAATGACTCTCTTGAGGGAGCGTGATAACCATCTTCTTGCTTGACACCGGTAGGTGTGGCTGACTTGCGGGACCGTAAGCTACTCCTAATAACAGGGCTCTCCGTAGATAACCGTCCGCCACTCTTCCGCTTTCCATCATGGGAAGCTCGACGACTGCTCATAACCTCCGAAGGACTGCCACTTTGGAAGGGGTTCTCATCCGTAAAGACGCTATCCTCCCTAGGCTCAGTCTTGACAGATGGTGTGTAATCATCCACCTCGGTTGAAGGCAGAACTGAGCTCCGTCGAAGCTTGCGCGCAGTAGACTTGCGAGGCGAAGCGCCGACCGCAGGAACGGGAGTCGCCAGTGCGTCGTCACCAGTTTCCGTGTCAGAAGCACGGGGGTGCTTGCCTACCGATCGTGCAGCGGTCTTGCGCTTTGTAGTCGCAGGTGTAGCTGGTGCATATCCTCCATCTGTTTCCACGGTCGATCCGCGAACGCTTCGTCGTGAGCCACCTCGTCTTGTCCCTGTCGTTGATGGAGTTGGTGGTGGGTGCATCGAATCGCGCTCGTCTTCATCACCAGTGACAGAGTTCTCTCGGCTCATATCTGTGATACCCGCACTTGTTCTCCTAACTCTCTCACGGTCGCGCAGAATTTTCCTCGCCTGGGGAAGCACCTCGTCTTCCAAAATGCGGATCAACTGCGCCTTTTTCGCAGAGGCTGGATAGGGTACATCGTGACTGACGAGGATCGAGCGTAGGCGAGGCACAGTGAGCAAGTTCAGATCGAAGTCTGCTTGCAGGTAATCAAGTTCGTCCGCCATGGTGGGTTGTGTTTTGTGGGGTGATACGTCGCGGCGACGGGAAGTGTCTAGTTTGTCAAGTTGGCAACAAGTCGCCAATGCACGTAATTTTTGACCGATGTGGTCACCACGGCTGACCGACAAGAATGCAAGGACGGTGACACGGTGCGACGGGGTCCAGTCAAGATTTCAAGACGCGGAAAAGGAAATCCACCGATCGCACCTTTTCTTGAAACCTGGCCTGGGGTTGTGAGCAGAGGAAAAATGAAGTGGATGTTTGTCCACCTGTCCATTAAACCCGAGACGGTTGGTCGGGTTCGTAGCCAGGGCAACAAGCGGGGCGGGTTAGAACGATGTAAGAGCCCTAACTAACTCTCGTAGCGTTTGAATAGGATCCGATGACATCAATGTTGATGAAGAGACGATAAGGGTGAGATGGACACGATACTTCAGTAATAGAGAGATGAGGAGAGGAAGGAAGAAAGAAAATTAATCCGGAGAGACAGTCGCATGATGACGCAGGAAACAAACAAAGCTGACACGTGATTTCTTTCGCCACCCGACGCCTTCCGTTCTCAGTGGGCATAGTAATGGTGGTCAAAGCCAAGGATACCTATGGTTAAGAGGAAATAGGTATAGCCCTATAGACTCCAGGCGGGCAGCTACCTTAGCTTTGTCAACCTGAGCATTATCTCTCACTCTTTCTTCAAGCACATATCTGACGCTCTGGCTCTGAGAGTTTGTCTCTAGTTCAATGTATCAAACACCACAATTATATAACGAGTCCAGCTCGACCACTCCCACTTCGGGCAGGACATTTCATACCAGCCACACGAGATATGGTACACTCGTTATCGTAGCTTAAGCAAGTCGATACTACGATACACCCAATACTAGTAAAAAAGATAGTGAAAAGAACCAAAAAAAGATTGTATGTATATTCAAGCCCCTCTCCAACCATCCATCCTACATACCAATCAAGAGATCAGAATCGGGAACCAGAGGTAACCAAAATACAATCCAAAATCCGAAGTAATTATCAGCAGAAGCCAAAAGCCAAAATCCACCATAGCACCATGCCCCCGAATGCCGCCTAAGAAAAGGAGAAAACGCAATAAAGAAAGAAAAAAGAAAAACACAATCTGAAAACCCGAAAATCTGAAAGACACCCCACCATGTGAGACGCCACCCACAAGACATGAGAAGATTTCGAGTCCAAAAAAGAAAGCAAAAGTGAGAAGAGAAGTGCAAAAGGCGTGATTAAAGTGATCAAATAGGGATCACCGCGTAGATAGATATTTGAGTAGATGAAGATGAAGATGAAGATGTAGAGGTAGAGAAGATAAGTGCACCAGGCCAGATCAGATCATTGGTTATTGCGGGATTCAAAGGACCGCGGATTATCCAAGTGGAGGAAGGAGGATGAAGCGGAGGTAGTGTTGCTGTCTGCACTGAGGTTTGAGTGCAGACTGATACCGCTGTAATGGGGGGCGGGTGGACCACCGGGGATGCCAGCAGCCCCGACAGCCATTTGCTCTTTGAGGGCGCGGTACTCTGCGAGTTGGGTTGCTAGTTGTTGGAAGATTTCGCCGATGGGAGCGGCGTGGTCTTCGAGTCGATCACCCGGCTTGAAGGGGCGCATCATGTTGCGGACTGTGAGAGTGTTGATGGTAGCCTGTAAAATGAGTTAATTTAATCCGGGAACAGAGAAGGGTAGATTAGATAGATAGAGGGAGACGAGACTTACCTCGATACGAGTGACTTGCTGGTCGATCAAGCTTAGCACAGTGGAATCATTTAGTTCGCCGCCATGATTCTTGACCATATTAAACAAAGCGACATTCGGCTCTCTAAGCCCTGCTCCAGTGGGATCCTCTAGAGCGCCGCAAATCCGCTCTAGACGGAGAGTGACTTCCCACAGACGCCAGATATCATCAGTGTTCAAGTTAAGCTTGGATGTCTTTTCCATAGTCGCGGGCTGGCCTTCTTTCTCCAGTTGAGCCTCTTCAAGGGTTGTCAAGCGACCCGCGAGCGAATGAGGATAGACAAGGTATAATGGTTCTGGGTTCTCCAGTCCCTTCAGCTTCCGCTCGCCCTGGTCTTTGATCACGAAGCCTTGGCTGTTCAACTGGTTGAGCTCGCGACGGATGTTGTGCCCAAGGCTATCGACTCGTGGATGGCTGTCAGTCGAACTAGTCGAAGCGGAGCGTTCGGCATCAGCGAAGATCTCCAGGTTACGCTGGATATCGCTCATAAAGTCCGACGACACGAAAATCTGTCCTCCGTCGGCAACGGCGGAGATTCGAGAGGCCCGATTGACCATAGGACCAAAGTAATCCATACGGTTGGTAACCGGGTCCTTTTCACAGACAGGCTCGCCCCAATGGCCACCCATACGTACAGACAGACCGCGAGAGATGATATTCCCTTCCATGTCGGAAGTGACTTCACACTGCGGCTGATCCAAGATCTCCGTAGGCCATTCAGCTTCCAAAAGACTGTTCTGGCAATTGAAGCACCACAGCAAGGCAGAAGTAGTGGTTGAAAAGGCCACCATGAAAGCGTCACCTTCAGTCTTGACCTCGTAACCACCAATGATGCCGAGTTGTCGCCGAAGAATGTCGTTGTGAATGGAGATGGCCGAGCGCATAGCATCGGGGCAAGACTCCCACAAACCAGTCGACTTCTTAATATCAGTGAAGATGATAGCCAGTTCACCAATCGGAGCGTCAACATAATCAAAGCGCGCGAGACGAGTATCGGCTGGCATATCACGAGCCCTGCGACGAATCTTGGTCGAGGGAACAATGCCATCATCAGCGAAAGCAGAGCGTTCCAAGTTCATGCTAGGACGCGACCACTTCTTCTGCCGGCGCTGGAGCTCGCTGACACCCAGAATCATCACCATCAACTTGTTCGTTGCCCCAAAGGCAATAGCCAGATCACGAAGCTTTTGAGCTGCAAGCATGAGGTTCGGATACACATCCCTAGCAACGTCGACCACCAACTGGGGAGTAATATAATCCCACAGCTCCTTTGAGCCTAAGATGATCATTTCATCTTGCTCAGTCAAGGTGGTATGCAATGTGGCGGGAGCAGCGATGACAGCAGGCATCATGGGGAAATGGCCAAAGCATCTCGAAACCGTGAGCACGTCATTCAACTTGCCATTGCGAGACACAAATCCTCCGGCAGCACGGATGCGTGCCCGTTCGCTGGATTCCGCGGGATCGTGAACACGAGTTAATTGGCGCGATGAACCATCTTGCCTGACCAAAATCGCTTGTGCATCGCCGACATTGGCCGCATACAGATCCATATTATTCAGGTACAGCACAGTGGCGACTCCACCAGCCTGGATATCGTCCTGGCAGAGCTGTTTCGAGGCAAGTGATCGGCGGTTATACTGTCTGAGCTCACGGTCATCAATGGACCGGTAAGCATGCCCAGCCATGTTCTTGTTCAGAGCTAAGAATGCACGCCGCAGAGCATCAAGTGGGGTTTCTCCCCGGTCTTGCTGGAGCTTCTTCAGCTCACGCGAGAAGGTCGGCGTGAAGTGCTCGTGAAGATACTTTGCAACCCGGGAGCCACCACTGGACATAGTTGAGCCGTCAAACATACCAACCAATGTCTCAACGTTGTCAGGCTTCAAGCGAGGAACAATCATATCAATGATAGACAGATGCTCAGTCCGGCCAAGCGAGTCTGCCATACCGTAGGCAAGTGAGCCAGCCAGAGAGGCAGATGTCCTCACACGACGGTCCTCGTTCTCGTCAGGAATAGTCGGAATGGTCAAGGTGACATCCATCAGACCCAAAACTCGGAGATGGGTCAGAGACGTGAAGTCAGTCAGATCGGCACCACTTCCAGTCGACTGGCCAACAGTGCCAATATTGGGTTTGATCTCAAGACGCTTATTGCCGGAGAAGTTGAGATACCTCAAGCTTCGATTCCAGTTCCAGTTCCAATCATAGGGCCAATTAGAGACGTTGTATTTCAACGCGTTACTTCCCGCATCGAGAACGGAAAGCTTGCTAACCTTGCAAAGCTCCGCAGGCAGGACCTGGAATCGATTGCCATTGATATGAAGAATCTTGAGATTGCTGCCTTCTTCCAAGTCATCGGATGGAAGCGAGGTGAGCTCATTACCGGATAGGTAGAGCTCGGAAATCAAAGGCCATCGCTTGAGAACCCCCTGTGGTAGCTCAGTCAACTCGTTATAGGACAAATTGACAATGCGAAGCTCAGGGAGACGAGCAAGCTCGCGGAAAATGTCGTCATCCAACTGGTTATCAGCAAGATACAAGTTGCGGAGAGACCCAGCAAAAGTGAGAGCCGCTGCATGCTGCGAGAAATTCGAATCCTTGCGAGATCCGCAGCTCGCATCGGTGGCGGTCCGAGATGCCGTGGAAACCTTCCTTGGACCTGTCTGTCCAATAGAAGATGTAGTCGACGGGTGTCGGTATGAGCCACTCGGGGATGAACCTGACCCCAAGCCGCCAGAAGTTTGACTGGCCCGACGGAAGTTGGGTTCGTCCAGGGGACCCAGTTCCTCGTATGTGGGGGTTCCCGTTAGTGCCGGGGTGGACACAGGAGTGCTGGTCGGCTCGCCAGGAACAAGTGGCTGAGGGGCACCATGTTTGGGGAAGGTAGTCAGAAGGTTCGTGGAAACATTGAGAGTCTCCAACTTGGCGCAGTGCCAAATCTCATCTGGCAAGAACTTGAGGTTACATTCTCGCGCGTTGAGTTCCTTGAGCTCTGTCATGCAACCGATACTGGCAGGTAAGGAACCCAGTGGATTCTTGATAATACTGAAATGCTCCAGGCGTCGCAGCTTGCCAATTTGTGCCGAGATTGATGAAAGATGGTTCTTATCGAGGATAAGCTTGGAGACATTCGGCAAGTTCTCAAACATGGCATCACGGAATTGGGACAGCTTGGCGGATGCCAGGTTAAGAGAGCTCAAAGTCGGCATAGGAGCGTCAATATCAAACTGGGTCAGCGGGCAGTGGTCCATGTGCAAACTGCGCAGCTTGGGAAACGCTCCACGGAACCGAGAAATGAGATTGTGGCCGAAGAATACTTGCTCTAAGCGAGGAAGCCGGGACAAGTTGTCAATGTTGGTGATTGCATTGAAGCGACCATCAATTTCCTTCAGGTTCACCAGCTCTCGGAAAGACTCATCAAGAGATCCGCTGATGTTGTTGTTGGTCATCCAAAGGCGTTCAAGCGTAACCAGCTGACCGATGTTGGAAATTTCCTCAATGCTGTTGAAGCTGATGTCGACGTCAACCAAGCTTCGCAGCTTGCAAAGAAACTCCGGAAACACCTTGAAGCCGTTCGAAGACATGTTCAGGCTCCGGAGATACTGGAAGTTTCCAAAGTAGCTGGGCAGCTTGGTCAACTGGTTATTCGCCATCTTGATGCTGACGAGACCAACCAGTCGGTCAAGTTGCGCATGTTCCAGCTCTTCCAGGAAATTGTTGGAGATGTCCAAGTACGTCAAGCGACTGGCCAAGCTGAAACTCGACGGAAGAAGTTTAGCCTCATTGCCAATGAATTTGATTTCACGCAGGTTGATGCAGCTCTGGATGAAATCCTTGGGCACATCCAGAGACAAATTCCTGGACAAGTTCAACGAGATGATCTCGGAGGACTTCTTGTACAGGGTAATAGGAATAGTGACCAAGCTTCGGCCCTGAAGATCCACGTGGCTGAACTTTGACAACTTGCTAAAGCCAGGATCACCCTCGAGACTGGTATAACCGCTGAGCTTTGTCGGCAAGAAGATGAAGCGGCAGAGATAGCTGTGGTCCTCACGACCAATGTCTTCTATACGGTCCTTCTCAGTATAGCCAACTTGTTCCAAAAGTTGTTTCTGCATGAGGATTGGCCGTTCATTATGATCGAGCTGTCGGGATAGGTCATTTTTCCGGAGCACAATCTCATAGTTATTGAGATGATCCTGCAAGAAAGACTTGCGCCCAAGCATATACAGGATCTCGGCAACGGTTGCATTTACACCCGCGGACAGCGTGGCAAAGGTCGAGTCAATACGGAAGACGCGGATAAAATAGGCAGCGCTGGTAGGTTGTGGTGCAGCCTCCACGACGAGATCCTTTTCCTTCTTGACGGCCCAACTTTCCGGAGCCGACCAGGTATCAAGAATTCCTGCCTGTTCAGACTTGGTCGGGTCCTCCCGTGGTGTGGTTGTGCCATCGGCAACACGTTTCATCTGACTGGGAGAAGCTGCGCGAACGATATCGTCCAAATCCTTTAAATTGGTATCCAGCTTGAAGACATGCGAGCCTTCTTCATCTTGAGCTGCATGCTCTCTGGAAGCATGAGGATCCCCACCAATGGGGAATCGCCCTTTGAGCTTCCGCTTTGTGGTCTCCTTCTTTCGGTCCGAGTCTCCTGAATCAAGGCGAGTGGAACTTCCTTCGAGACTTGGCTGCCGGCGCAGAGTATGGTCATGCTTGGATTTCTCATGTGGTTTGTGCGAGCCCGGCAACAAGTGTCGGACTCGAGTGAGGAGACCTCGTTTATCGTGTGGAGCCCCTGGGGAACTCTGACCATGATCACGGTAAATAGCACTTTGCACACTGGGAGTCGGGCTGGTTGGCCGCCCACCTAGGGTGGTCTGTGAGCTCATGGCACTAGATGAATTGAGGTAATGGTCATTAAATGGCTTCAGTCCGACAGAGAAGTCATCCCGTCCACCGGAGGGACGAGACTGGTATCCAGCCAGATCGCCGGCAAGAGTTGGTTTCTCCTCTTTGCTGCGCGAATGACGGTGTCCATTAGCCGCTCTTCGATGAGTATCTCTGGCCGTACCACGGGGAAGACCCCCGGCGGAGGCGAGACGTTGGCCATCAGGCCCAATTGGCACTTGTCGCACGGGAGCTTCGCCATATTGTGATATGTCGTGAACGTTTTGATACAACCACGGTGTAATCTCACTAGACGGGGCGGGGGTTCCCGCTCCCCCTCGAGCTCGTAACGGCCGCTGTGATGCCTCTGAGCCATCCGAGTTGGCTCTCTCCCGAGACTTGATTTTATCAATTGGGCCTCCTCGCCGACCGGATAAGCTATGTTGACCATCCTCGTCAGGCTCATCTGGCACAGGCCATTCATCACTAGCCGAAGCCTTGGATTTCTTCTTCCATAGCTTCGTGCTGGACTTTGACCCTGTACTACTCGTCATACTAGTAGTAGACGGCCTGCGGTGGTCCCCATTCCAATCCATATCGGCGGGTTCACTAGCGAAAGTCCGCCCGGTAGTCGGGCGAAACGTCGCCGACGCCGGCGAAGCTTCATATTCGGAGGCGGAGTTGAAAAAGGTTCCCGGGCCTTCGGAGTTGGCAGTCGTCACCCACGGAGCAACCGAGTCGAGTTCTTCGGAACGGGTGCGAGGAGGATTGATGGGAGGAGGATGTGGAGTCGAAGAAACGGATCGGGCGGGATCATCACCAGCTCCAAGGACTGCCAGAGCCTTGCGATGGTTGCTGAAACCAGAGCCCTTCCGTTCCTCGGTGGGGGAAATGTCTGGGGAGCTCCACGTCCATCCCCAGTCCATTCCCTGACCTTTGGACGGCCCAGATCTGAAATCATATTTAACTCAGCAGCTGTATTTGTTATCGTGTCCACCGCAGCGCACGGTGCACAGAAGAAAAAAGCATGTAATTCTCGGTGAAGAGCTGGGGGATGGAAGGAGAGAGAAAGAGAGGCGGGGGCCTTACTTGTCCATATTTAGACTTCCAGGAAATTGTTCAGCATTGCGACCGTTAGATGGTGGTTTATTCTGATCCGGGCGCAATGTGTCGTTATTCCGGACAGTGTCTTGGGACTTCCAGCTGCTGGTCGAGCTCTCTGAACCCTGTCGGTCGGGTTGCTCGTGCTCCCGCACGGGCATGACTGGTCCTTGAGTTGGCCGAATCTCTCCGTCGGGAGCTTAATCAAGTCACCGCCAGCTGCGTTTCCAGGTATCTTGCAATCTCAGTGCAGACCACCATTAATAGGCGTGGTACTTGTATCGGAAGCGTCGGGGCAAGAAAGGGGAGTAGGGGAGCTGGCGACGTGCGGTGACGGGTTTGCGGTCGCGGATGCTTGCGCCACGGGGCGGAGCTTGAAGCCGGGTATATAGAGGGAATTCCGTCGGGCTTGGAGCTATCGTAAGCGCTAGAAAAATTCGATCGGAAAGCGTCAAGAGGATCGGATTCGTGATATGTGCGATCTCATCGACGGGCGGGGGCGTTGGGATGTGGATGTTGGGAGGAGGGCGCGTCTGAAAAGCTGAGACGACGATGCGGGCGTAGGCTTATAGGTATTGGGCGTCGTGACAGTGAGGGCATGCCCCTAGAACATTATCTGATAGGAGAGCGATTGCGGGTTAGGAGGAATAAAGCGGATGTGTAGGCGAAGGAATCGTAGTGGGCGTCATACGAAGCGGGTACCAGGTCGAGGAGAGGAGAGGAGGGGGCCGAGTTGGGGTCCAGAGTAGGTCGTGAGTCGTGATAATAAAGCGGCGCAAGAAGAATGAGTTCTCTCGCGAAAGACTCGACCTCGAATCGTTGCGATGGAGGAGGACGCGGTGGTGGAAAAAGACGGGATTAGGGGAGAAGACGATGAGACGGAGAGCTGAAGAGGGTTGGAGGGTTGAAAGAGAAGAGGGTTTGAGGCTCTTTGCGCTAGAGAGCTTCAGTGAAAAACGTGATTGGCCTGTAGCAAGTCCCGTCTCACAGTGAGACCGTCATTCATCGATGCAATCTGCAGCCAGCAGGGAGATCGATTTCGAGCATCTATTATTTTACGATTCGTCGACCGAGACGACTAGGACATGGGGGGGTTTTGGTTTCTGGGGGATGTGGTCCGTGATGCTGTCCGTGCTTGACGGGAGTTCGGTGGAGCTCGGGAAGCCCTTTTTTCTTGTGCTGGCGACGCTTGGCTAGTTGGGCTGGTGGGCTACCCGTGGAAGGACAGCGTCATCGCTGTGCTATAGCTAAGCTAGTTACTGCTCTAACAAATTGTGAATGATCTATCAAATAATATACTTTTGTACTACAAGTTTACATCTCGCATATTGCTTGTAGCTAAATGTCCCATTACATCGGGTCCATCTCCTCCTCCAAACTGGAGCTTCCCGTACATGATAGTTCAGCCACCGTCGATGTATCCACCTGGTCGAGGTCCTGTTGGACACTAGCATCAAAGCGCATGATTGTTTCATTGTAAGAAAGCTGCTGTCTTTCCAAGGTTCAAAGGAAATGAAATGGGAAATGTAACCTTCGTATCAAAGAAGAAAGCTGCAGATAACCGGCCCAATCAAAGCAACCTCCACCAAAAGATTGTATGGTAGGTATTCCACGGAATCACCCTGGAATAACGATTGGATCTTCAGACTCATTGCCTCTTACTTCAAAGACCATAGATCTTCAATTCGGGATTGTACTTTCCAACGTCTGCCACAATCTCGGCCCAGAGCTTCTCGATAAACTTCGTGCCTGCTGGTTGAGCAAGGAACGCCGCACTACTATCTCCAGTTAGCAGATGGTCATTTGTCTGGGTCTACTCGACCAAGTCAATGAAACTCACTCATGAATCTCTCCAGACTGGAGGTATCTTCCATGGCTCTCTTTGCCTACCACCACAGCAGCACGAACCACAACTCGGCCTCCCTCAACCAGTGGCCGCGCCTGGAGCTTGAAGAAGACAGACATGAAGGGTTTGATCCAAAGTGGCAGGTTCTGATTGATATCCGTTGCGACAATACCGGGGCACACACAGTTGATAATGACCTCGGAGGGGGAACAACGCCTGCGAGGCGTTGGACAATGGCATTGATAATGAGCTTGCCGTCCTGATATCGCTTGCCAGAAACATATTTCTTGGCATTATCAAAATGGCCGATGATCGAATCCTCTGCGGCGATGGGATTGGACAACAGAGTGTGACGAGTGTGGCTGTAGGAGCTCAAGAATGTGGCTCGTGAAGGCTTTCCACGCTTGAACGCGGTCACGCTCAACAAGGGGAGCAAGCTGAGGACAATGAGGAAATGCGTGTAGCAAAGTACTTGAATAGGGTATCAGCCAGTGTCTTCTCCAAATGTTCATAACGGGTCAGTGGTAATCAGGGTATGGGTACCTTGCATGAGTCGCTCATGTCCACTCTTGCTCACTTCATAGTTGAAGATGTTCGTGCCACCGTTGCAGAGGAGAATATCAAGCTCCGGAACCTCTGTGTAGACCTTTCTCAGAAAATCCAATCCAGACTCGTAGCCGTCCAGATCGAGGTAGAAATACTCAACTTTCGCGTCAGGATTGGTGACTTGGACCTCAGGATCAGCCCGAAGGTGTGCAAGTGCCGCGTCACCTTTGGCCTGAGAGCGAACGGTGATGATTACACGGGATGCCTTCAAGGTCAGGGACTGGCGTGCGAACTCGAGACCGAGGCCTGAGTTACCCCCAGTGATCAGGACTGTCTTGCCCGCCAGGCTGGTGCCCGGAGGGATGGGCATAAAGTGAGGCTTGGGCATCGAAGCGGGTGAAGCGTCAGTGAGGGTTGCACCGAGACGACAGGGAAGGTGTAGCAGTGACTTCGCGGAGCGAATCACTGGTCTAGTCAAGGTGGAGGGAATAGAGTAACCGGAAGCTTTTGGTTCGTGAGAGTGTCATTATTTGTTTGGTAGGGAAATGTGAAGTGTGACGCGTTGGTCTCTCACGAAGTTTGATAGACATCTCAACCGGGGAGTGGTATAAGCCTCAACCTTCAAGCCAGGGTGTGCGAACAAATAGATGACAGTAGTTTTCTAGACAACGAAAGGAAACAAGATTGTTCATTCCACATTACTGAATTCTCATCTTGCTTCAAAGCTTCATAAATCTATCAACTCCGGTCCTTCGGCGGACAGGCTGCATGGTCCGTCAGCATTGAAGGGCGAGTGTCACCAAGATCACCAAGAGCGTCATTGGCCATAGTGAGCTAAGTTAAAGGACAACCAGAATTGGTTACCGATGATGATTGCTATGTGAAGAAGCTCATTTATAGATTAGACCTCACGTCGTATCCGGGAACTGAAGACTAGCCATGTGGTATCCCGATCGATCTCCAGTGCATCGCGATAGGGTCGGCGTTGCCATCGCGACGGGACACTGACTCGAATGGAGCCTAACTTGACTGTAATGCGGGAGATGAAATCTCCTGGACCATGAGATCTTTTACCCTAGGAAAATATTTGCTCTGTTATCTAATTTCCCTGGCCAAGGTCTTGTACTTCTTGGTATAGGAAGTATACGGTGAGAGGCCAAGGTCGGACGACGCGTCCTTGCATTTCAACAACTTCCTGATTCGATGTGCTCTGGTTATAGCTATTGTTTATAATTAGTTTAGGCTTTAGGCACCAGAGACGCAGCTACCGAAGGTTTCTCGGCAACACAATTTTCATGTTTTGCCCAGATCTTTTGTCGCAGGTTGGGCTGGTGAGTGGTCGATGACGATGGATGCGGGAGGAAATCGAGAGGCTGGGAAGAGACCCACACCTGATCCCTGCCCCCTATTTTTTGTATCAGGGTTCGATCAGTTGTCTTGCTTGATAGTTGAATATTGAGTATATCAATGGTCATATATATGTAGATTTCATTGTAAACAGACATTAAATTTAAGGACAGATCGGAAGGCTTTAGTTGGGATCGGAAGAATGTGACCGTAGTTTTGTGAATAATCTCTTCGATCTGTAAAAACATCCACAGCCGCATAACGTGGCAGAGGTCAGACTCGGGGCTGATTGGACAAATGACAGCTCGACGGGACCCACGGATCCGCGCCCGATGAAAGTGATTGTCACTGGGCAGTAACGACCAAAATGTAGGTGGCTGGCAGTTGCCATATGATGCAGACTCAAACAGCCAAGATCGTGGTTGCTCTAAGTAATTTCCACTTGGTGTTGTTGACATTTCTCTTTTGACTAGTATTTCTTCCCTTTGCATCTTCCCTCCCATTCCATCATCCCATCTCCCTTCGCGTGCATTTCATACGTGAACACCAACTTATTTACATATACGCTACTCCATCTCACATTTGACCTCTGCAAAAAAACCACCCACCATGAAGTTGGCTCTGGGTACGGCCTTGGGCCTGCTCTGCTCGTCTGTGCTGGTCACAGCCCAAACTTACACCGACTGCAACCCTCTTAAGAAGAGTGAGTCGACAAGATTCTAAACGCAACGGTTTCGCCAAAATGAGCTCCAAGCTAACTCTCTCCCACAGCTTGCCCTGCAGACACTGCCCTCGGAAAAGCCGATCAGACATTCGACTTTACCTCCGGTTCATCCTCCCAATTCGCTGTCTCGGGGGCCGTCACCTACGATAGCACCAACGGAGCCGCCTTTACAATCTCTAAGAAAGGCGATGGACCGTTGATTCAATCGGGCTGGTACATTATGTTCGGCAAGGTTGAATTCACCATCAAGGCTGCCTCTGGAACTGGTATTGTCAGCAGTGCCGTGCTACAGTCGGACGACTTGGACGAGATCGACTGGGAATGGCTGGGTGGCAACAATGCTCAGGTTCAGACCAACTATTTCGGCAAAGGAGACACCAGCAGCTACAACCGTGGCGCTTATCATGCCAACGCTGGGAATCACGATGGGTTCCACACTTACTCGGTCGACTGGACAAGCTCTCAGATTGTGTGGGCTATCGACGGCGAGACGGTCCGCGTTCTAACCCCTGCCACTGCCGACACCAACCAGTATCCCCAGACTCCAATGATGATCAAGGTCGGTGTGTGGGCCGGTGGTGACTCGGACAATGCCCAGGGAACGATTGGTGAGTTATCTCGATGCGGAGGGTGAACAAAACGTCCTGACGTTTCTTCTTTAGATTGGGCTGGCGGCTTGACCGACTACAGCAAGGGTCCTTTTACGATGTACCTCAAGTCGATGAAAGTGACCGATTACTCGACCGGAAACTCCTACAGCTATGGCGATCAGTCGGGCTCATGGGAGTCAATCGTCTCCAATGGAGGCAAGGTCAATGGCAACAGTGCGGACGAGCCGACCTCCACCCAGTCGGCACCGCTCATCACCGCAACGGTAGACAGTGTCCCTGTTCCATGGAGTGGAACCCATCGTGAAACCTCGAGTTTCGTCACCCCTAATGTCTGGCCCTGGGTTGCTACAGGCTCGCCGACGTCCACTGGCCTTCCCAGTGGCTGGGAGTCTAGCTCGGGGCAGATCCAGGCTCCTGGCGGGGGTTCAGTGAGTGAGCACTGCCTTGAACCTACCAGCACCTCCTTTGTACCAATCACTAAGACCGATCCTCTTCTTTCACAGTCTACCTCCCAATTTACCTCACTACCCTTGGTTTCCTCGTCGGTTGCCTTTTCCCCCTCTGGGCCTAAGTCGTCTTCCAGACTTGTTACTCGGCCTGCAACGACCTCAACGAGTACCACCAAGAACCGGCACCAACACACTGAATATCTGCAAACCGACGACCCAACCACGACCGAGGTGCCATCGGTCAAGGCTACTTCTTCGCCTACTAGTGCCCCTTTGGTTGGCGGAGGAATCAGCCGGTACCGGGTTCCGACTGCACTGAGCATGAGCCTCGTCTGTGTGCTGCTCGGTGGCGTCTTTGCTTTCCTCTGAAAAGAGAGTCTTTTTTTTTTTTTTTTTTCATGGCATTGTCGAACTGTATGATTATTGATGATGGGATGAACTCGACACGGCGTTAACGACATACATTTTACCCGACCTCCAGCGAACCATTTCGCTGCATGCACAATGATTTTTTTTTGGGCTCATCATGATAGAGGGATGCTGCATATTGGCGCTTGTGACCCCTTGAGCTGTTTTGCTTCCTTGTTTATGATTATTGTTCTGATGTTTACATACCGAAACGGTGATGAATGTTCCTCCCCAGTGGTGCGATTAGCTTTACCCACTCTTATGTATTAACCCTTTCTTGGCGGTGTTGATAGATTTTTATGAATCACACAGGCCTGATACAGAGATGTAAATCTCGGTTCAGTCTTTTTACACACAATTTTTCTTTGGAGGCAAAGTAGACTGTGTTGACCTGTTGTCTGATTGACCCGTTGCTCTGTGGTTAGGAACCATGTTCCGAGTCCACCGAAGACTGACCTCAACATTAGACACAGGAAACCAATCCCAACCGCCACCGGGCATTCACTTGATCGACGGCAATTTAATTGAACATTAATTTTTCATACAACCTAGCAAATAAATGTCTGAACCCCCGAACGCACCCTGTCCATTCGCTACTATGAGCACACCTACCACTTCCGCCCGTATCTTCCTCGTCCGCCACGGCGAGACAGACTGGATCACTGGCGGGAAATTCGCTAGTCGGACTGATGTACCACTTTCGAAAATGGGTGAGAGAGATGTCGAGTTGATTCGGCAGCGGCTTGTTGCTGAGAATGAGATGATTGATCCGACGGGGATTGCGAAGATGTCAGTATCTGCATTACGCTGGATCCCCTCCGACCCTGAAAAGAAGTCACACCAGAACACCTTGCATACTTTGGAAAGAAGCCACTCCAAGCCCACTTGATAAAAACAGAAAAAAGGAATAACCAGCGGATGAGATGAATATTCTGATCCATGGTGTACAGATACTGCTCCCCCCGAATCAACGCCCGCCGCACAGCCGAAATCCTCCAACTAGGAATCCATAACCACCTACACTTCCTGGACCGCGAGACAGGGAAAAAATGGAAGACACCGTCGGAGATCCAGGGTGAGACGGTAGATTCATACATCCATTTGACCAAGTGGTTGGAAGAATGGGATTATGGCGATTATGAGGGGATGACACTGCATGGGATTCAGGAAGCCAGGGTGAAGGAGTATGGGGATCCGACGTGGGATATTTGGAGGGAGGGGTGTCCTGGTGGAGAGTACGTCTATGACAAACCCTTTTTCCCTTTTGTCTGGAGTATGAGATTGGGTTTGGAGTATAAGACTGGGGTTGGGGTGTATGGAAGGAGGCTAAATCTCATCTAGATCCCCACAACAAGTCAGCGATCGCCTCGACGAACTCATTGCCGAAATCAAAAACGTTATTGAGGGAAACTCGGCTAGTTGGCCCGGTGGCCAGATTGTTTCTCATCGGAGTAAGCATGCGCAGGATATTGTGTGTGTGGCTCATGGGCATATTTTGGCTGCGATGGCGATTCGGTGGGTTGGGTTGCCGTTGGATACGGGGATGATGAGGCTGATTTTTGAGCCGGGGGGTGTGGCTGTTTTGGGGTATGTATTGAAAGCCTTTCTATTCTTGATCAGAGACGGGTTAACTAACCGAGCAACTCTTGTTCGTTGTGTTAGGTTCGAGCATGATAATATCAATCAGCCGGCTATCGTTGTGGGTAGGAAGCCTGGTCCTTCGGATCGGATGTTGTGATCGGACTGGGGAGGTGTTTGGGAGGTTCAATATGGAATGGAATAAATGTCTATTCACGTCCACTTGAATTATTGATAGACGAATGTTTAACAGTGGGGTCAACATCGGGGACAACCATGGTCAACATAACCCATCGGCATTAAACTGGAATGAACTACGTCTCGATTCTGATGAAAGCACACCAGGACAATTGACTTTATTGAAGACCCGACTCGAAGAATCCTTTGTGTGTCAGTGCTACCTAGAGATAACTCATAAAGATGTTCTCACTCAAGATGAGATATTTGAGACTATCTGGAACGCAAACAAAGTCAAGGTCTTCACGATGGGGGAACATGATATGGCCTCTCTGTGCGATTCCAACTGATCACACGCCAAATATCATACTTTTCAAAAAATTACAGAGTCTTCCTTGCCATAAATTGAACTCTCAACTTCTAGTTCCCTAATACCTAACCAAGTTGCTTCATCGCCAACCCGCGACACTGAAGTACGCCGGCTGTCCCAACTTGATGCCGCACATAATAAACAGGACTCTATGTAGACTCCTCTCACACCTTCAAAAAAGCCCCCATACGGATTGAAATAATACTATAGAATCTCATGTTCAAGTAAAATAGTACAATAAAAAATATCTAAAAAAAAGTTGTCCGGAGGAGGTGACTTTCACCTCCTCGCATCCCGCCCACCCGCTCTCCCCCGCCTAGGGGTATGCCCGGCCGTCCGTGGAGCTCGAAGCGTCACACTGGCCAAGTACTTTTTTCTTCTTTTGTTGTTTGCCCACTCCTCCAGGGTACACCTGTGGTTCACCATGAGTGGTAACCAACTAGGCTATCGGAGGGGGAGGGAGAGTGATTGCTTGACCTGGAAGGAGGTGATAAGCCTTGTTTACGATTTTTTGACTTTTATTCGCGTGCTGTGTCATTGTCACCGTGGGAGAGTATTTGGACTGTGTCATCTTCGTCTATATCTCCCGTCTACTGTAACCGTAACGACATGCCATTCTCTACTCGAGTACCCCCAAAGCTCCAACCCTGTCATAATATAAGATCTATTATAAACTACTCTACTGTCCTCAGCAAACATCACGCACGTCATGTGCTCATCAAAGTCCTGCAGCACGCAGCACAGTACGCAGGACACAGGATACAGGATACAGAATGCCATGCTTCTACATGCACTCGACCTACTAGAGGCTCTGCAGCCCGAATAACAAGTCAGCTCAACAAAATGCAAGCGAAGCAGTTTTGGCAGGATTAGGCGCGGCACAATATAGACATGGAGTATTTTGAAGCATTGGCCGGGGGAAACTCTACGAGCGTTTCTTTTCTTCTTCTCTTTTCCGTCTGCCTCGGAAATTAGAGGGACAGGGACGTACACGCACATGACTGGCAGACGCAGTGGGTTTAATGCGGATGGTGGTTCCGGGCTGAATTCTTGTGGTCCCTGACACGATGTCATCGAGGTAACCATGTTCGTTTCTTTTTGACTTTTACTGGACTAAAAGTGCCAAGTGCCACTGTGGATGTGGACGAGTGTTGGTAGAGTTTTCGAGAATTAAAATGTTATATCGTACAATAATTCCTGGAATTGTTGTGGGATTCCTACTGAGTTTTATGTATGACCTGAGCCTGAGCCTGAATCTGACCTGAACCTGGTATATGATTATATGATTTGATAGGAGAAACAGATTTTAGATTCTGTACTATCAAACTACATGACCGTGAACTTTTTCATTTCAATTCTCATAGATCGTAAGCTCGTTACAAAGTCAAAGCCAGAGTCAGACAGGACTGGAGAGGGCTACTTGTTGTCTGCGACTAGGGTGCAACAGCCGCTTAATACCCAACCAGGGCGTGTTGACAGGACTGTCTAGTCCAGTATACAAGAAGACATCGTAGATCCACCCGCCGAATGCGCAGCCTAGGAATGGGGCGACCATGGGGACCTATGAAGCACTCAGCGTAAGAAAGAGTTCCAAGAAGACTCAAGAAATAGGTGGAAGGTGAACATACCCAGAAGTAATAATTCCCCGCAGCCCACACCTCATGCCCATACCCCAACATATAAGACGCAAGTCTCGGACCAAAATCCCTAGCCAAATTAATCGCATACCCAGTCTCCCAACCAAAACAAGCACCAATCCCAAAAATCACAAAAAACAGCGCCAATGGCGCTAACTTGCCCGCACCTAAATTCCCATCATCCTTCAACGCAAAGATCATAAACATCAGAACCGCACTAGCCAAGAACTCTGAGAAAAACTGGCCCGTCTTGGTCATGAATTCGGCCGGGTAGGTACAAAATATTCCCGCCGTTGCGGTGGTCGAATAACCCGGTACCGTGCGGATGTGCGCGCCTCCTTCGTAGATATCGATGGCGGATTTGTAGTTTCCGTAGACGATGGCGGAGCCGCACATTGCGCCGAGGAGTTGGGCGAGTAGGTAGATGGGGAATTTGCGCCAAGGGAAGCCGCGGTAGATACAGTTTGATAAGGTTACGGCTGGGTTGATGTGGGCTCCTGAGGAGCCGCTGACGTATACGCCTAGCATAACGCCTAATCTAAGAAGGAATCGATATTAGATTGTAGTTTAGGAGCTTGGAAAGATATGAGCGGGACTCACCCCCAACCCCACGAGATGGACTGATAGTCCCCTTTCTGACCATGACTGAGGAGCACTTGGGCGACGACCCCGTCGCCGAAGAGTATCAAGATCATTGTGCCGAAGAACTCGGAGAAGGCGTCTCGTCCGTATGCGCGAATCTTGTACCAGAGTAATGATGGTTCGCCGGGTACGCTTTCCAGTCCTGAGGATACATCGTGGATAGACGCATCGTGCTTACTTCCCAGATACAGAGAGGTACATCCGCTATCATGACTACCCGGTGATCCTATCTCTTTGTGGGTAGTCGACATTGACTCGAAGGTAGTCGCGGCCGCGGAACCCATCCAGATATTCACTTCGATGACAATGGGGTTATAAAATCAACAGTTTGTCCCGAAAGGTGGTAGGTATCGAAGTAGATGATTTGGAACGAAAGGAAAGGAGCGATGACTCTTTCTAACAGCGTGGTTATCCTGTGATATATCACCGACCACCAGTCCTGGCCGTGTAACACCTTCCACTTCAAACTTTACCGGCCGGCTCTTCGCAAATCGGCTCTATTGGAAGATGCAGGGTCCTCGGAGGAAGCGTGTTTCTCCCTTTTTCTTTTTTCCCAAGCCCGCGTGAGCGTACAGGGAAGACCGGGGTGATAAACCGGTTCAGGGTACAGAGCCGTTCAGACTGGGACAAGGACAAGGACAATGGCGAGGCACAGACACAGACACATAGACAGACTCGGGGGTGCCGTTGGCAGGGGTAGGCGAGGCTTTGATATGTGATTACAATTCCATTCTCCGAATTTCCACAGATGGGGAAATTTGCTGCTTTTTCTCTTTCTCCCTCTACCTTCTTTGCTGCCCAAAAGAGCGGGCAGAATTGAACATGTCACGCCCTCAAAATGGAGGTGTTCATAGTTTTTTTCTGACAGCACATATTTCTTCAAGCCCGATGGTTCGCGTTTGTATGGACGGCCGTTTGACCGGGAAATGCCGGCCCATTTTTGATTTCCGGGGCCAAGAGTATTCCAAGAGTATTCCAAGAGTAGAATATGATAGAAGTGAGTAACAACTACTACCGTAATTGTGTCCCTTTTGCCAATCTTCCATTGGCAGAGGGGCAATAAGCAGAGAGACACGCCTTCAGGTGTGGTGGGATAAGCGGGCTGGTAACACCCAAAAATTGCGCGGTATTCCCAATGGCTCCGGGACGCAGACAAGGTCCCTGACACGCCCAGCTGTGTCAACACAACCCGGGCACCGAAGGGGCGCGTTGGAGGTTGTACGGAGAAGCTTCTATGGCTTCTGTTACCCATCGGCAAGTCGACGGGACTTTCCGAAGACCACGCAGGTATCATTGCAATTTCTAGAAGTTCGAACCGTACCTGTGAGTTCGAAGCTTTTGCAATTGTGAGTGAGAAAGTAGGTAGTTGGAAAGTAGACCGGTGGTCTTCACCGTTTCCAGGGCCGACCAGCGACCAGCCTCCCAAGGCTGGGCGTGGCCGTCCACCTTTCAACATACCGTTGCCTTCCAAACCCCTGGAATAAGCTGGGGCATGTTTATGTCGAGGTGCAGTCTGACGGGTAGTATTTTCAAGCAGAGTTTTCTTGTCCGTGTATATTCTTTGGGGCCTTGGAAGCTTTGGGGCTGGGATTGATGATGACACCCTAATACCCAATTTCGCGCTCGTGTGACCCTTTGCTCAACGCCCACTTACTTTCCTGGCTCTTTGTACCCATATATTGTCGCATTGTGATGACCAGGATAAACCTCGAATACCAGGAGAGGACCATGACATTAGTGAAAAGGCGAAATTGACTTCTGGAGGGCCATCTCGTATCTTGTCCTCCACGAGAAAATCAAACCATCGGATTCGTCGGTTATCGCCGCAGCATATTCATCTCACCGACAGAACCGCGACTGGCAGGCCAAGAACAGTCCAAGCGTCGATCAGGGCAGGGCGTGCCAGTCGGATTGGAATTGTGACGGGAATTACGGTTTGGGCTGGATTGACTGAAGGTTGATGCTCGGCTGGTGGTAGTTGGGTTCGGTGAGTATTTGAGATGTATAGGGGATGTTGATGATGCTGGTGACGATGCTGGTGATGGTCGTGATGGACGTCCTGCTGCAGGTTGACAGACATCATATTGCAGAGTGGAGACGTGAGATTCTCCACGGCGGGGCGATTCGAGGTCGTCTGTTGGCCCCCACAATTCCTCCGGAACCTGGTCTGTGACTCTGTTAGTCTTTGTCTGGATTGTTTGTGGCTTTTGAACAATCTTGTAGTGAGATGAATGGATGAATCCGAGATCCATGCAGTTTATAATGGCCATTGTTGATTATAGTAAGTGTCTCTCGTGCTTCGAGTGGTAGTTCTCGTTCTCAGGGGTTCGTTTGTTTAGGTGGGTTTGTTCCCCCAGAAAGATCGTCGGAGTGGAGAGTGTTCATCTCATGTACAGACGATCTCATGTACAGTAGTACTTTAGAATTCGAGTCTGGCAGGTCTGTTAAATTAGCAACCGTCTGATTTAGATCCTGGATGCAGTTAGTACATGCACGACAAGCATGAAGCATGAAGCAGTCAGCACGTTGGAAACAGACTCGAGTCTCGCATGTGCTCGGAGTATCGCGCCCCGACGTCCTTGACAGTAGAGAGTACTACTAACAAAATTATTATTCTAGTCCATAGACAACACTAAATAATACGCTCAAGCATATTGTCGGCTTTGCCAGGCTCGGACCAATCTCTTGGATGAGCCCCCCACCCCCTGGCTAACTGGTCATGGCTCATCTCCAATAATCCCACCAATCTGTGCGCAGTTCTGACTTTCTCTTGAACCCCCCCCCCAAAAGTCCCCAACAGCTCAAGACCCCGCGTGCACGGGAACTTTTGGTGTCACAGCAGCCTCTAGCAAATGCTATTTAAGAAGGAAGGTTGGACCATCTTTTCATTTTGTTTTTCTTGGTGACTGAGTGAGAGAGTGATGTCGTCTGTTCCTGCTTTTGTTTGATACCCCCCATACCTTCATAGAGCATTCCTTTGCGTTCCGTCCTTAGTAGACTTCCCCTCCATTTACTACCTTCTCGTCCACGCGCATTTATTTGAAAAGTCATGCAGCCCTCCGAGATGTTCGTCGGGTCCATCGATCAGGGGACCACCAGCACACGATTTTTGATCTTCAATCGTGATGGTGAACCCGTCGCGTCTCATCAGGTCGAGTTTAACCAGATCTACCCACATCCAGGGTAAGTGGTCCTGTAGAGTTACAAGAGACACTGCGAATAAAGATCTCCTGGAGGAAAAAAGAATGAGAACTAACCTGCCTCCACAAATACAGCTGGCACGAACACGACCCCCTCGAACTCGTCTCATCCGTGGAAACCTGCATCACCGGTGCCGTCCGATCCTTCGAAAGCCAAGGCTTCACCCGCACCAGCATCGCCTGCGTGGGAATCACCAACCAACGCGAAACAACCGTGGTCTGGGACCACGAGACCGGCGAACCCCTCCACAACGCCGTTGTATGGACCGACACACGCTCCCAAGCCATCGTCTCCGAACTAAAAACTCGTCCCGGCGCATCCAATCTCCAATCCCTCTGCGGTCTCCCGCTATCCACTTACTCCTCCGCCACAAAACTGTTATGGATGCTTGGGCACGTGCCCAAGGTGAAAGACGCCTTTGAGCGCGGCACGTTGGCGTTTGGAACCGTTGATGCCTGGCTGGTGTACCGTTTGAATGGCGGTGCCGCTGCCAACGTGTTTGTCTCGGATTCTACAAACGCGTCGCGTACTATGTTCGTTAATCTTGAGACGTTGCGGTATGATGATACCCTGTTGGATTTCTTTGGAATTAAGGGGAAGATTCATTTACCGAGGATTGTGCCCTCGAGTGATCCCTCGGCGTATGGGGTGATTGTGAATGGTGTTCTTGCGCAGGTGCCTATTATGGGATGTCTGGGCGATCAATCGTCCGCGTTGGTGGGACAAAAGGGCTTTTCACCCGGAATGGCAAAGAATACTTACGGCACGGGCTGCTTCTTGCTGTACAATGTTGGCGAGAAACCGGTGTTCTCAACCCATGGACTGCTGGCGACGGTGGCTTATGATTTCGGCGGGAAACCCGTGTATGCACTGGAAGGCAGCATTGCCGTAGCCGGGTCTGGAGTCAAATTCTTGCAGAATAACCTGTCATTTTTCCAGGATTCGAAGGAGGTGAATGACTTGGCCTTGACGGTGGAGGATAACGGGGGTTGCGTGTTTGTGACTGCGTTTAGTGGGCTGTTTGCACCCTATTGGATTGATGATGCCAAAGGGACGATCTGTAAGTCTCGAGATTTAACCGAAACCCTTCCAGTCGTGTCAGTGATTTGTTCGTGATGTCTGACTTTGCTTTTTCTGTCTAGTTGGTATCACTCAGTACACGCAAAAAGGCCACATTGCCCGCGCAACTCTTGAAGCCACTTGTTTTCAGACCAAAGCCATCCTCGACGCAATGGAAAAGGATAGTGGCAAAGCTCTTTCTGAACTTGCTGTCGATGGAGGTATGAGTAACTCAGATCTAGCAATGCAGGTAAGAACTTCTTTAAGCCTCGATACCCCCTAATCCTAGGATACGGACCAGTGCTAACCACTCCCAACCTATAGACGCAAGCAGACTTAATTTCTATCCCGGTCTACCGCCCAAAAATGCGCGAAACCACAGCTCTAGGCGCCGCAATCGCCGCCGGCCTCGCGGTGGGCATGTGGCGCAACTTTGCCGAACTACGCGACATCAACCGTGCCGGCGGCGCTGTCTTCGAGCCGCAAATTACCCGTCAAGAAAGCGCCACCAAGTTCGAACAATGGGAGAAAGCGGTTTGTATGAGCCGTGGATGGATTAGCACTGACAGCACCGAGGGCAAAGACGGAGATAGAACCCTGAACAACGAAACAAAACCCGCCACCCATGATTCCCAGCACACGAACACAAACAAAACCACAACCAACGGAGCACCACTACCACCAACCGCGAACCGGGGTCTAAATATCCCCAAGTCCGCACCCCGACAAACCAATTCCCCACTAGTCTCAGAGCTAATCACGAGCGACGGTTTCGGAACGACATTGAAAGTGAAGACGAGATCAGCCGCGAATGGAGAATCAGACAGAAATCGGGATTGGGACTTTTCGCCAGCGAAGACGCCATTGATTAGTGTTTCGGGGGATTTGGATGATGCTGATGAGGAAGATTTGTTTTTGGAGTTGAGGAAGGTGGAGATTTTGCAGAAGTTGAAGAAATTGCAGAAGTTGAAATTGGGGTATTTCTAGCTTTGATAGGTAGACCTCTAGCTTACTTGGATTTGTTGCTGCCGCACTATTGCCTGTTCCTTGGCTGATATTCACCATAGGGAAAGACTGAGAGCTATAAGCCAATTTTCGACCTCCAGAGATGTTCCCAATAGCATGGCAGTCCGGCAATCCTGAAGTTATTTCTCTTGGGACTGATGCTATAGCTGGGGCTGTAGGCTAGTTTAGGTAGTGAATGGCCAGCCACTAGTGCCTTATCTTATCTGTAGGTAGATTATGAGGTAGTAATGGTGGGATCATTCGTGGGATCAGATATTGAAGAATAAGCGCTTTTAAGATATAAGTCTATAGCAGAAAACTGAATTCAAGACTCGTTATATGCAGTATCGGATGATCCCAAGCTTAGTGTGCAGTATAAACAAAAGTTATCAGTCAACCGAATTTCCAGGAGGGCAAAGTATACTATCCTCTAGTGAATTAAGATAAAAATGCCGATATACTGTTTATTGAAAGGTCAGGTACTTTACTATCGTCATTAGAGCAAAGGGGCCTTATTCAGATAAATCGCCCAGGTAGAGCAGATATATTCGCAACGTTCGTCTCAACTTAGATCGACTAAGAGAGTGTGCGGTGGCAGCGATCGAGAAGGCTAAAAAGTATGTTAGGCTACAGTCGCTCTTCTGCCTCTTCTCGCGCTTTTCTCTCTTCCTCTTCACAGCGCTCTACCTTTTCCCGTGCTTTTCCTCTTATTCTCGCGCCTCTCTCCCTTTCACAGGCCAGTCTCTCTTCCACGAGCTAACGTCGCATTTCGGCGATGGTTTTTTCTATTACTTATCACAACTAGTATTCAGATAATCGAGCGACAAGAGCCAATGCTAGCACTAAGAGAGGAGGGGAGGGAAAGGGGAGTTTCCAAAATAGCACGGGCAGCGACCCGGCAGGGCACCCCCAGCCACTTTATGACGATATCGTCAAATTTACCAACCTGTTAGCTATTTATTAATGAAAAGTGGGTCCCCTACCTCTTGGCTTCTTAGGCGTATAACTGCACTTTCAGAACTATACTCTAATCTCAGTGTGTGTCTGTTGCTATATAGTACACTTTACTCTAGACGTATAAGTTGATGAGAAGACTGCGGAGAGATGGAAATTACATCAATATTCTTTGGCTTCCTATTAGTAAAGATAATAAACTGCTGGGGCTAGCGAAAGAGTAGGCTAGAGCCGCGACCCAGAAGGATGGTGCCCTATAAGAATCGGTCCCTAGGATAAAGTCGACAATACTAAATATCGCTCGGTTCTAAGTAGTTACTAACAATGACTTGCCAGAGAACGTAGGGAAACACGTGAAACGGGTGGATATAGCACTTCTAGGGAAACACACTCCATAAATGTATGATCTATTATCGTGGAAAGAAGCTAGCATGCTGGCCTAACTCCGGACTAGTATAGCTAGACTTAATAGCTACCTTTATCGGATCAACGTTGTAGAGACGGACTTTGTGTGCATGTGGACAAGCAAGAGAGACCGTGGAATACTTTGTCTTCCGATGCCAAAATTGGACCAAACAACGAATAGCATTGCTGCAATGTAGCTATGCTTACTGGGGTAATCTCTCCTTCTTTCTGAGCGGGAAATCGCCCTCTGATGATCAGCATTAGACGCCGAACTTAGAAGCTGTACTAGCCTTAATACGATTCGCGATGGCTTTGGGCCGACTCGACGCCGCATAACCACGTCGACCGACATAAGGATACCCTCCTCACCAACCCACACCTACCACCCTGTGCCAAATATAGTGGACGCGCTTCAATTGAACAATTGAAGAAGCGCCTTCAAGCCAGTCTACTAACAAAATTACTAATCCACAAGGATCCCTATAATATTGACAGCTGAGAGGACATATACAGCAAGGATCAATGTTTAGGTTCCAAGGAGACACGGCGTATGTATATTAGGACCTGTATTAACAGATCAGTTTTAGTTGCCCTTTCGGCTTAGCCGCCGGGCGTTAATGAATTGTGTGTGTGTGTGTGTGTGTGTGTGTGTGTGTGTGTGTGTGTGTACACTTTACTTCACCTAGTTAGCTAGGAGGTCTACAAATCTATATATCTTAGCATTTTGAATTCAACGAAGAATTTGGGCGGGTACGACATGATATCAATTTTCGGAGATATTGTAAAGTAGAGAGTAGAAAAATCAGCAGGGTTCATAATTCCCAAACACTTCGCGTTGACACTGTGTATCATGGAACAGAATTAATCCCACTGATTATGCAGTGATAACCGTCGGGGCATGGAGAAGGAGAAATTGGATAGTCTGCGAGCCACACTCCATTCTGAAAGCCGTGCGTTGTTCCTGGATCCTCACCGAACGAAGTAGAACAAGGCGTAGTCATACTTAAAGCAACAGAGCATATACCTTGGCCAGAAGCGCGTGAAATCTTTGCGATTGCTCTTGTGGGCGGGCCTGGCTAGGCTAAATATTATAGGTATCATGCAGCCTTGACAGCCTCTTCGTCGCGCTTCTCTGGGGCCTCATAATGGGTGTAGTAGAAACGCTTGTCGAGATTCTCGTCACGCTTCTCCGGGGCCTCATAATGGACGTAGTAGAAACGCTTGTCGAGATTCTCGTCACGCTTCTCCGGGGCCACATAATGGGTGTAGTAGAAACGCTTGTCGAGATTCTCGTCACGCTTCTCCGGGGCCACATAATGGGTGTAGTAGAAGCGCTTGTCGAGATTCTCGTCACGCTTCTCCGGGGCCACATAATGGGTGTAGTAGAAACGCTTGTCGAGATCCTCGTCACGCTTCTCCGGGGCCACATAATGGGTGTAGTAGAAACGCTTGTCGAGATTCTCGTCACGCTTCTCCGGGGCCTCATAATGGGTGTAGTAGAAACGCTTGTCGACCTCTTCAGAAGCCGACTCTAGCTGGTCATTGCCAGGGACAGGAAGCCCCAAGGCAATCCCTGCAGCTACAAAGGAAGCGAAAAGGTAAGGAACATGCATCTTGATGTTGGTGAGGATACTGGCAGGCCAGATAAGAGTCACAAGACAAAGTGATACTTGATGACTGATGACTATTTTTCGAGGCCGGACTATGGCTCTTTATAAGCCATGAAACGGGCTCTTTCCTGCCGTATACTTTATGTTCTAGACAGTAGAGAGTCCATAATTCTTCCTAATGCAGATCATTCAAGTGGCGGTCAGCTGCCCGACGACTAGATTTGAGGTTGCATATCGAGTATTCTGCAATTATGATGCTGTGGAACGTGATACAGGCATTATTACCTATCCCCATCCTCCAATAATGCATAGCTACTGGGCTGCATGTTGCTTGCATCTGTACTGTATCTAGACTCTTCTATATCCTTGAGTGAGTTAAAACGTTCATGCGATTGGAAAGTTGCGAATCGCCGGCATGTTATTGCCCAACTTCATTTTACAAGGACAATTGATTCTAAGGAGCTTCCTTCCGCGATATAAACCCGGACCCAGAGAAACTAAGTTCATTCTTCCGTCAAGCAAGGGCAAATAGAGAAAATTCTCTGAGGGACAAACTACTGCGCCAAATATCTCTGCGCGTAGGGCATTAGCAAGAATATTATATACACTGCTACGAAGCACGCCGCCACGGGTCAGACCCCCCGCCGAGTATTGGAAGAAAACATCTACTATCAGAGAAACTAGATACTACTCCAGAGACACATATAGCATGCTTGTTCTCACTGTTGATCATACAATAATAAGCAACAATGGGAATTGCGCACTCTGCAAGTGTCTAGCCAGGTAGTTTGACGAGTATATCCACTGATCCTCATGCAGATCCTTTCCTTAAAATAGCTAAAATACTTGGTCATTATTGTATGCAAGTCCCCAGCAACGCTAGACTAACTAAATATGGGGGTTGATACACTCGTCCAGAGTTACACAACAGATTACATCCTGATATCACATAGACTAGTGATTTGTGACTGTTTTTGCGTGATATGTGCCTTGCTCACACATGCCCTGCATATTCCAACACTTCTGGGTTCAGCTACGCCACCTTGATCTTCTATGCGAGGAGCGGAGGGAAGCACCGTCAACTATTTTTTGGAAGGGTAGACACTAATCGGTAGTCATCATCGTAGCAATCCCTCCGACACTTGAGCTTGATGCTCTCTATTGGTGTCATTTTCCTTTGGCTCTTCACAACGCCGCTCGCAAACAAAATGGGCCTCTCAGAATTTTGGCAGTACTTCCAACGGGAAACTGAGTTCCATGCCCTCGAAACTGACAGTCATTATGGCAATGAGGAAGATGTTGAGTCAGAGGAACTGTTAACAAAGGGGAGGCTTGCACGAAAGTCGGCTCTTCCAAGAGCCTGGATCTGCTTGACGATTGCGAACGTGATCATACTGAGCATTACCATCTTCCTTGTCTTCACTGCTACGAGGAGCCTCCCGAGCAACGAGAAGAATGCCGTTCTCAGGCCAATTTCATGGTGGTGTAAGTCTCCCCTTCCTAGAAAAAAGTACTTCTCCAAATTAACGAGGTTATTGCGCATTATAGCACCGATCCTCGATGACATAGAGATTCCACGATATACTACAACGCTGAACGGGACGCTTTTTGCGTTACCAGAGGTATCGGTTGCTCGTGAAGAGCCCAGTGCTGATAACGACGTAGCTTGGGCACAATATGAAAAAGTCTTGACACATGTTGTCACTCGGGAGCAGATCATTAAGCTGGGCAAAGACCCCAGGACAGTTGCTCGCTTCAATGATGAATACTGGGGCATGGGAGATGATGCGTACATGGTCCAGCTCGATGTGATGCATGTAAGATCTTTAATTTTTCTGCAACAGCGGACAGAAAGCTGTATTTGACATTGACTGACCTGGGGAATATATAGCAAATCCATTGCCTGAACCTTCTACGCAAAGCTGCTTTTGAGGACTACCCTGGCTATGAGCCCGAGTTAGACGTGAAAGACAAGATGTGGTGGATTCATCTTGGCCATTGCACCGATATTTTACTTCAAAATCTCCAATGCAATGCCAATACTGAGGTCTTGACACTGGACTGGGTAGAAGACCGTCAGGCTCCGTGGCCAGACTTCAGTGTGAATCGAAAATGTCGCGACTTTAGTGCGCTGGTAGACTGGCAACGTGAAAATGCCGTTGACCCAGACAAATTCGATGCAATGCCTGTTCCTACAGATGCTTTTGTGTGGCCGGCGCCTTGGAAGAAACAGGACTACGAACTTGGTATCAAATTAGGCGAACATCATGAGCAGGAAGGGGAGGGGCTTGATGATCCACATATGCATCATAACCATCGGCGTGAGGGAAATTGATTCCGTCAGTGGAAACAAGCCCAAAGATAGCTCGGGTTAACGATCGCTCTACGAAAGGAAAGGAGAATGCGCGCGGGCGATTCTGTGTGTCAATAGTATCGAAATGCTACAGTGGCGCGCGAAAGTCTGTGACCCCCCCTGTTGACCGGTAGTAGCACCGCCTTCCATTATTATAGTCCACTAATCCCCCTAAACGCGTACGGCTGTCGCATATCGCGTTATATACAATACTTTTACCGTCAACCCCACCAATATGCCTTGTGCTGGTTTACCAAATATTAGTCATTGATACAGTTTTATTATATTTAACTATTGGAAGTTTTGGTGCAGCGAAATATGTGGCAGAAAATCGCGGTCAGCTAGGAGGGTCACAGACTTTTACGACGCCGCTATATATGGCTTTTCTTCTGCAAGGATCTCAACATTACAGGTCCACGTAATAGTAGGACACGGTCATATGTACTTCCTGCTTGCAGATTCCCATTAAAGGGAGTAGTTTTATTGAGGTTGCCTCACGTTGCCTAACGCTACCTCACGCGACATCTATACCGACATTACTGAGGACTGGCTGCAGGGCTTCTTCCTCACCGAAATCGTACGCATATATTGAAGGATGTGTTGTTTTCCTACTTACGAACCAGGTTGGTCACTCAAGGTAGACAACTTACTGGACTACATGCACCTGCACTGTCTGGGGTACAAGATTTATAAAGTGCGCTATTTACATTGTTGCTTATTCTCGTCGGATAAACAGTAACAAACAGCATTATTTTTGACTATCCAGGTGTTCTGATAGTGGAGGGTTGTCCCAACACAGCGGGAAGTACAGTAGTAGTCCATAGTGGTGGGGCGCTTCCAAGGTAGATTTTTGTCACAGCAAGCCGATACAGTATGGATTTGTATGCAAGAATGGGCTAATCTATCACACAACAGAGGACTCATGCACAGAGTGATCAGGCGGTAAAATTGACGCCAGTGTAGGCAAGGATCGTCATCGACCAGATTCGTAAGAGGCTGGAGGAATGTGGTCACCGCTCATCTTCTGGCTTTGTTTGTGATCGCCTCTCGAATGTCGATACAAGGAACACCTCCCGCCCGGAGGAAACCCTGCACTGGCTGGTCAGTCAATCTAGCACTTCCCTCTTTTCCTCCGGCGCTTCCTTCATATTATCAACCATGAGCATACCAGGCTCGCCGCCAGAGTTTAGCCATCGGGGCGATGACGAAAATACCTCGTTCCTCTCACGGCAGCCCAGTGACCTGCCTGTGCCGGGTCAATCGGAATGTTGTGGTGACTCGGACTCGGAGCTGTCCCCGCGCACCCGTTTCCGCCTTTTAATTACACTGATCATGATATTGTTAGCCTTTGAAATTGGTGGACAGATGATCCCAGGCCCCATGGTGCGACTGATCGAGACCATCGCATGCGATAACTACTGGCGTCAACACGACCCAGCTCGGCTGCCAGCGCCGGGTCATCTTCCAGAACACCTGTGCAAGATATCAGCGGTGCAAACGGAAGTAGCCACGGTGAAAGGGTATTCTGACTTGCTCGAGGCCTTATTATGTCTGTCAATCTTGGTCTGGAAGTACAACGTTGATGTTAACATTGCCGCAGGTGCCATTTGTGCTATTCCGTACGGGATATTGGCAGATAGATATGGTCGCCGGCGAGCCATCCGACTCACTATTCCTGGATTTTTGCTCAACGCAATCATCACCAATTCCGTCCTGTGGTTCTCTGATGTTCTGCCTCTCCGCGCTATCTGGCTCGCAGCTCTCAGCTGGACCATAGGCGGAGGACCCTCAGTCGCCCTCGTCGTAATTTGGACAATGTTGGCTGATCTCACTACAGATCAGCAACGTGCAAGACTATTCTTTCGAGTCGGACTTGCCAGCCAGATTGCGAGCTTTCTCGCCAGTGTAATTAGCTCCGAATTAATGACACTGAACCCTTGGATACCTTTGCTACTCGGTTGTGGGACTGTCACAATCGGATTAGGTTGTGCGCTTTCTCTTCCTGAGACCATGAGCAGGGTGAAGACAGCGGAAATGGCACGATCGTGCTCGGATGAGCCACCATTATCCTGCGAAACCCCTTGGAAGTCAGAATCCACATATTCTATTGTGCAGAGGAAGATCGCACGTCTCATCCATCCTTTCCTTTTCATCTTGGACCGCAATCTTCTTCTACTCCTATTCTCCTTTGCTGCAGTCCAGTTCGCGCAGAGCTCCTCTTCGTTCTTGACTCAGTATATTTCGACACGCTTTGGTTGGACGCTGTCACGAGCTAATCTGCTGACTTCCCTCCACATAGCGATCACCATTCCTGTATTTATTTTTCTACTCCCATCTCTCTCGAAAGTTCTGCATTTTCTGCCCCTACCAAGGAGAGACCTTCAGGTTGCGCGTTTCAGTGATTTTGCTCTCACCCTGGGGTCACTTGGCGTTGGTCTCTCTCCATCAGTCATATTATTGATTCCTAGCATATGCTTGCATGCCATTGGAGCGGGATTTGCCCTAGCCTTACGATCCCTCATCACGGCTTCGGTTAAACGGGAAGAAACCGCGAGACTCTACTCCGCGATCGAGATTGTGCAGATGGTGGGAGGTACCTTGGGCACTCTGTGCTTCACGAAAGCTTTTAGCTCTGGGTTAAGAATGGGTGGGGTAGCAGCTGGGCTGGTGTGGATATTGGGCAGTTTACTTTACGCGTTGGTGGGACTTGCACTCACACTTGTTAATGTATAAACTCAAGCAGTCTCTCTCATTCCAACAATTTCTGCAAAGCACTTTCTAGCCGTTCCTCCGGCAAGGAAAGTAAGCCGTTCGCACTTGCTTCATAATTCATGTAATCCCCGCCACACCCTTCGACACAAGTAACATAGCGCATGAGTGTTGGGAGACCACTGAAGTTTCCTTGCGATAATTCCTCCAGTGCCCGCCGTTTCTCCTCTTCAGCATTTTGGTAGCTTTCGTCCCACCTTCCCGTCAAACGTCCCAGTGCGCTCAGAATACCATTCTGTGAGACATTGAAGGACTCAATGAACAAATATGTGTTCGTGGCCTTGATGGGTTCCAACAGAGCATTTTTGACCGCCAGAGCGGTAGTGCTGAGAGTTGTCGTAGACCAGTGGTGATTTTCATGACCGTCCAGGATTGTTGCGTGCCTGCTCCGGAAGTCGAATCCAAGAAAATGGGGAACAGCGCTGCGAACAACGGGCGTAAGCGCCTCGCTTCCTCATTTTTTATTTTGGGCAGGAAACAAAGATGGAAAGAGTACCCATTCTCGAGGGGAAAACCACTTACATCTCGAAGAAGGGTCCAGTCACAAAAGCGGTCCACTTCAACCCTTCAACCTCCTTGCTCTGGAGGTACTCTACAATCTGTCTTTTCTGCGTGACAAGAAACGGGGGAAGTAGCTGCGCCAGCTGCTCATTCCGTGTATCATGTCCGAACTCCGATGGCACAAAGTACTTCACCCCAGCCTTGAGCGCAGCGTTGATGATCGTCTTCTGCTGCTGCACAGCTTGTGCAGCGATCGCGCTAATGATCGCGTCTTGACCCCTGAGTAATTCGACAAGTTCGGACTCGCTTGTGTCATAGTTTTCTCCGACACAGTAGGATGGAATATGGGATGGGAATCGACTGCAGTCTGAGGAAGCACGGCTTAAGATGGAAACCTGGAAGTGAGGGTCCGTATCAAAAGCCGACACTAAATGCGGGCCAAGATGGCCGCCAGCACCGATGATGATGACTTTTCGAATCAGTGGTGATGAACACATTTTTTGTTCGATGAAGAGTGATCGTTGATGCTGGAAATGGAGGCTCCAGTATCTCATACAGGTTTTATATGCCTCAAGGTTTGTCTACACCTGTTCTATTCCTGACACTAGTGAATGGGCATCACATTATCCCATCGATTCTATGGCCCCTATTCGTCTACGTAGAGCTCGTGTGATGAGAGTCAACCCTTGCATTACGCAGATCCTATGATCGTCGCGCAGTAATGCGCTGTACCTATTTATTGGCTTGGCATGCGGCTCATGGCTTTTATTCCAAATTGCCCGGCCAACCATACCACAAGATATATTCCATCAATGCTTTGCTCCCGCTAGGTGAAGGGGTGGAATACTTCTCGCCACTTGGTCGGCCCACAACTAATTGCATACCTTTCACAACCTTGATAAATACTGATAGATCAGTCCCGTTCAACTGATACGGACGGACTGAGTGGTTAGACCCGACTGGACTAACCGGCTATGTATGCACGAACTACGAGATCCGATTGTCTACCAAGGAGCGATGATCGATTCGGTCCACGGGTCAATGTCAATTGTCGAGACTTTGACTTCACCTTTTTGTTTGAAGATGCAATTTTTATTCTTCTACCTGCCATAATCTTCGTTCTATTCTTGCCAGGCCGAATATGGCGACTTTCCCAACACCCAGTGCAAAGGCTCTCTTACAAGTTGGTGGCTTTCAAAATTGTGAGCGCCGACCAAAAGACAGTGATTCAATTGCTGACTTCTTTTCTTAGTTCTGTCTATGTACATTGTGCTTTCTGCACATTGTGTATACTATCGTTGGCAATCGAAATAAATCATTGCACACCACAATATCCTCCGCTGCAGGGGCCATAAGCACCACCGCCACAGTAGGAGCAGTACTGGTATCCGTTCTAGGCTCACAACGCTCCTTGCAGACATCCTCCCTCCTTGAGATATATTATACCATCCTAGTGATCACCTACCTGCCACGACTACGCTCACTCTGGCTTAGTCCTCATGTTGATATTCCGCGGAATCTATGGACAGCAAACTACATTTTGACTGTCTTGGTCGCTCTACTAGAATCATGCGGGAGAGGAATCTGCCGGTCGAGCTCCCTCAAGTCAAAGTATTCTCAGGAGGAGGCTTTTGGATTCTGGGGACGTAGTCTTTTTGTCTGGGTATTGCCCACCTTGCGACAGGGCTATTCCCGCAACCTCCAGGCTGAAGAGATTTCCCCTGTAGACCATCCGCTCCAGGGCCATAGAGCCCGTCTTCGGCTACAAGAGGCTTGGAGTCAGTGCCGACCTCGCTATCGGCTTTTGAAAGCGGTCTTTCTTGCTTATGCCTGGGATATCTCCGCATGTATCCCGCCACGTCTGGTTCTCGGTGGCTTCACAATCTGTCAGCCCTTTCTCATCAAGGCTGCGATTGATCTTTCTGGGCAAGGATCCTCGCCACCTGTCAAGGAATATAGGAGGGCCCTCGTCGGAGCTTTTATACTGGTATATCTAGGGATGGCTGTAAGTCCGACCGACAATCACTAAAGGTGATTTGTCAGACTCACTCTAATCTGTTTACCACAGATTTCAAAGGCAGTTTACGGGCGACTGGTCAATCGTGTCATGAGCATGACACGAGCGGGTCTCATGTCTGTCATCTACCAGCGCACCACGGAATTACACAAGTACAAACTCGGTGACTTGCAGGCGGTCACGCTCATGGGAACTGACACGGAGCGTATATGTAGTAGCTTGCAATCATTCCATGGCTGCTGGATATCTGTTATTGAAATTGCTTTAGCTGCTTACCTGTTAGAGCGAGAGGTCGGTTTGACATGTGTGGTACCAATTGCCATCTCCGTAGGTTTGTGCATGCCGTGGTCTTCTACTTGCTATAAACTGTACGCTAATTTATTTCCACGAAACAAAGTATGCATGCTAGGGATCGTACCCGTCTCCAGGCACATTGTCCCCGCACAAAAAGACTGGGTCGTCCGAGTCCAACGGCGTATGGCAATGACTCTTAAAATGCTCGAGAATATGAAGGCGATAAAAATGCTTGGGCTGGATGAGGCGCTTTATACAACGGTTTCCAATCTGAGAGAAGCGGAGTTGAAGACATCGGAGGGCTTTCGCAAGCTGCTGATATGTACTGTCACTCTTTGTGAGTGCATACACTTAGCGTTCAAATGACACAAGACTGACAAAAAGGGAATTATAGCGAATCTGCCAGCAGACTTTGCCCCTTACGCGACATTCACCGTCTACACGGTGGTCGCCTTAGTGACGCGAGAGAGCTCACTCCTTAGCACCCGGGCTTTTACATCCTTATCTCTGATTTCTATCCTAACCGGCCGTCTCCTATCGTTTATCCAATCGCTGCCCCAGTTTGCGCAGTGCTTGGGATGTCTGGACAGAATAGATGCCTATCTTTCCGATTCTGATCAAGGCACAGTACCAGGCAGTCAGACAAAGGGGCAAACGTGGCCTCATTCTGATGAAGTAGTCTCACTCAAAGCATCCGATTGCTCCGTGGCGCCGAAGGAGCCTCATTCCGATGATAGTATTTCACCGTCAACGAAAACAGTGAACATCGCCTGGTCGCTGGACTCTGGCCCAATCTTCCGGAACCTTAACCTTACCACCAATAAGGGAATAACCGTGATAGTTGGCCCTTCTGGTTCAGGGAAAACGACGCTAGTGGAGACAATCTTGAATGACACTATCGTCGCAAAATGTAACCCTCATTTGCCGGCTCCCGCGGTCGGATACTGTGCTGAAACACCCTGGATTCTCAACGATACTATCAGAACCAACATCATCGGTGTGAACGGCCAGTATGAGAAGGACTGGTATACTTTCTGTCTTTCGATGGCTGCTCTCAGCCACGATCTTCAATCGTTTCCGGCCGGCGATCTGCACTTGGTCGGAAATAACGGGATTGCGCTGAGTGGGGGACAGAAGAAGCGAGTCGTAAGTCTACAATGCTAGTTAAAGATGGCTTAACGGAGGACCATGCAATAACTGACCAAGCATGCCTAGGCTCTTGCTCGAGCTATCTATTCCAGGCTACCGGTTCTCATACTGGATGATGTCTGGAGTGGCTTGGATTCGAAGAACATACAGCTTGCTCAAAGTAACCTGTTGGGGGAAAATGGCTATTGTCGACAAGCAGGTATTTCGGTCATACTGACTTCTCGTGCTCGTATGATCTCCTAACCTGAGCTGAAATTGTTTTCTCTCTGCGGCTTGCCTAATGACTCGATTACAGTACCCCCGTTCGCCGACCATGTGATTGTTCTCCAAGGAGGGTCAGTTATTGCCAAGGGATCCTACGAGGACGTGATATTGCGTGTGCCGGAAATTGCCGAGAGATATCCTTCGGACAACCTTGAGGCCATGGAACTTATAAGAAACAAAAGTGGTGAAATGATCGAAGGTATACCCCCAATGACTGAGTCCACGCTCAAAGAATCAGCCCCGGCAAACCCAGCAGGTTTTGGAGAAGATCTTTCGAGGCGAGATAGTACCTGGAGTACTTACCGGTACTATATCAGTCGAGCAGGCCGATGGAAAACTGCCTTTTTTCTATTCTGCTGTCTAGTCAGTGCTTTCTTCAGCAACTTCGTCAGTAAGTTAAATTTCTCGCTTATTGACAAATGATATGAGTCTTATGTGATTTAGCGATTTGGATTCAGTGGTGGTCTGAAGCGAATGGTAAACGGCCAAATTCAAACCCAGGATATTATTTGGGCGTTTACGCCGCTCTTGTGTTTTTGAATGTAAGCTTTTACATCATTGGTTGCTAGTGAGTATTTCCAATTCAAAGTTGTACCGATATCCCGCGCTGAAACTCGAAGACAGTCTGCTCATCATCGGTATCATAAATAATACAGCCCAAGCATTGCACTCGGATCTCTTGAAAACAACCTTGAACGCCCCATACAGCTTCTTCCACAAGACAGACAGTGGCGTCACAGCCAATCGGTTCAGTCAGGACATGGATCTCATTGATATGAAGCTTCCAATGTTTGCAATCGGATTCACTGGAGGTATGCGGCCCATTCTTGCCTTTACCATCAAAGCTGCCTTCCTCTAATCGAGACCAACCCGCCGTTAGCGGCCTCACTCTGCCTCATCAAAGCGATACTTCTCTGTGTAGTCGGCAAATACTTCGCTCTGACAATGCCTCTCCTTTTGGCCGTCATTTGGTTCGTCCAACGGTACTACTTACGAACATCAAGACAGGTGCGACTGCTTGAAATTGAGGCAAAGTCACCCCTCTACACGCACTTCACCGAAACGATCGCGGGAATTTCGACGATCAAGGCATATCATTGGCAGAGCCAATTTCAACAAACATGCGATGAGCATATCAACAATACACAACGGACATATTACATGCTTCTGTCCATCCAACAATGGCTAGCATTCATCCTTGATCTGCTGGTGGCTGTCATGGCGGTAGTTATCGTCTCTATCACCACATGCTTGCATGACAAATTCAGTCCCGGAGAGATCGGTGTCGCCTTGAACATTGTTCTCACCTTCAATGACGCGTTAGCACAGGCAATCACATCATGGACACAAGTTGAAACCTCTATCGGCGCAGTCACACGTGTACAACGATTTCGAGACACAACTCCGACTGAGCTTCGTCAGGGGGCGACAGAGACCCTTCAGTCTGTTCATGACTGGCCCAGCCGGGGAGCTGTTGTCTTTCATCAAGTAACTGCTTGTTACAGGTTTGCTAGCCCCTCCCCAGCCTAGTCACACCGACTGTCGATTGAAAGAACTAACAACAAAAAACCACCTGCAGCTCGAACACTCCCCCAGCCCTCACAAATGTCAACCTCACAATAAAACCGAGCGAAAAGATTGCAATCTGCGGGCCATCCGGGAGCGGCAAGACATCCCTCATTCTGGCACTGCTTCAAATGATAGAGGTCCGATCAGGGAGTATCTCTATTGATGGCCGCGACCTGCAAAGCTTACGACCCGGTGATATCCGCTCGAGAATCAATGTCACCCCGCAGGATCCATTCTTCATCCCCGGGACCGTAGCGTATAACCTGGATCCCACTGCGACTGCATCAAATGTATTGATTGAGACTGCCTTGCGGAAGGCCGGACTGTGGGAGAAAATCTCCTATGCTGGCGGTCTGAGTGCGGATCTCCAGCCCACGAGTTGGTCAGCCGGGGAGAAGCACTTATTCGCACTGGCACGAGCATTGACGAATGACAGTCAGATTGTTATTCTAGATGAAGTGACAAGTTCGTAAGTACTCCGCTTCCACAAATTTCTTTAGAACGTTCAGTTCAAGTTTGTTGTTGCTAATTACTGTGGATTGTCTAGCGTCGATACAACTACTGAAATTATCATGCAGAGAGTAATACAAGAGGAGTTCCCCAACCGTACTGTCATTGCCATTGTGCATCGATTTGGCAACATCGATCTTTTTGATCGTGTCGCTGTCCTTCAGAGAGGCGAGGTCGTTGAATACGATACACCAAAGACTCTACTATCCCAAGATTCCAAATTCAGGGAGCTGTATGTGTCTTCGCTGGGGCACTCTTGCTATTGAGGCAATTAGACCTTTCTGCTGCACGCGTTGGCTGTATGTGTGTCACGTGAATATATGATCCTCGGTGGGATATGATGCTGCCAGGCTTGTGAAAGAACGATTATCCGTGTCAGTGACTCGGTCTTATCATAAGACAGCGCGAATTCTCTCAAAATATTGGTGACTTATCTAGCGAGGGCTTCAAGCTACGAGTGCCAACCGAAAGGGACACTGTACTGCTGCCTTCTTTTGAAGAAATATCCTCAGATGTACCCAGCCCTCGTTTTGCATCGAAATAGAGACTTTTTTTATATGTAGTCAAGTAGCGTCGACGATGTTGTAACCTAGTTGTGCTTAGGATTATAAATAATATTAGATCATTCGCCCGATGTAGCTCCCTTTATATAATATACATGCATCCGCGGTAATATCCTCGATCGGTGGGGGCAGGAATGGAGGTCATCCAACAGAGGCGGCCACCTACGGAAGATTGACAGCACCCTGTCAACAAACTACACCAGAAAGCTATACTGGAGCCTGTCCAAGAACCGAGCGTACCTGCTGACACAGCTACGCACCGTCCACAACTGTCAAGGTAATGATTATCAAAGGTTGTGCCGACGAACGAAGTTCAGTTTGCCTCTACACAACAGATGCTATTCAGGACAGAGGGTGTTAACTGCCCATGCTTGAAGACTAACTTCCAAAGCCAAGATCACACAGCATCCTGTTTTGCAGAAAATTGAACAACCAAAGATGTAAGCCACTTCTCTCTGCATCACAAGGAACATCACTAACCAGCAGTTTCGTGTTCAGCATACTCTTAGTAACATCACCCGATATATCTTATATAGGGCGGGCTTTGACTGCGCAACAGAAAGTAGGCCCTTGCGACTGCTACAATTAAGAAAAAGATCCTCTGCACGGTTACTGTATATAATGAATTACTCGAGGAAGGAATCTAGGTTATTGACGAGGCTAGTCTTTGTACCACGATTAAATTCAACGTTAGTCTGGAACCAGACTAAAAGTTAGCTCGAAAGGCTAAAGCGTTGTCGTGCCTGAGGTAGCATATATCTCGACCTACAGGGTAAGTAAGCGGGTAAACATCAAGGTGCGTATTTCCCTATAATAGCTTATTCTAGTTATCAGACAGCGGCCTCTTTACTCCGTTGACTTACGTTCTAGGTTATTCGATTATTTACTAAAACTGCTATTAATAGGGATAGAAGAAACAATCGCCGAGCTACGACGTGAACTTAAGAAGAGCGACAGGCGCGAGAAGCAGAGCGCCGAGAAGTGGAAGAGAGACAGGCGCGAGAAGAGGCAGAAGGGCAACTTCACCCTAACACTCTATTGCGTCTCCTTAATCGCTACCACTATTCTCTGTCCTAAGCGATCTAAGTTAGGACGGATGCTACCCTTACGAGCTAGGGCGACGCGACCGACCCGGTAAACCGACTTTACCCTAAGCGTATAACCCCTTGGCTTGACTTTCCCTGACTCTAGGAGTAAGTCTAGAGGAAATTCGACCGTAAGCCCTCCTTTACCTCGCGCCCCCTCTTCCCTTCTGATACCTAGATAGATAATGTCGTTACGAATATCTAGAACAGTCCGACCTATTCGGAAGCTTCTCTTCGGAATTTTGAGCGAGACATAGTAGATATCTTTGTCGAGAAGGTCCTTAACGCTTTGCGAGACGATAAAACCTTTTGATGTGAGTTTGGAATATAGGGAAAGGTCACTTAATCGCGCTAACCTATCGGAAACCTCACGAGAGAGCAGCCTCGAGCAAATAAACCTTTAGGGTGCGCGTACCCCCTAACGAACGGCGAATATAAGGTATAGAAGCGGCATAGAGACAGAAGAGGGATAGCGCTACACGAAGACGTAATCGGCGTGCGGAATAATTCTGTGTATACCGTGTGGCTAATAAACAACAGATTCTGGTATATGCTACAGAGTTTAAAGCGCCGCATAAGTTTACTATCCCCGAGTTAGTGGCGGGTCTACACGAAATAGATCTAGCTCGTGGTGTTTTCTTCACTCTTTACCCCCCTCATCATCTTATATTCGCCCGTTTCGTTATTGTTTACTAACCTAACACCTATCGATCGCGTCACGATATCCCGCCGAAAACCGCCCAGGACCCGAGCAACTCGTACGGTTCCTTAGAGGCCAAAACACTTCTAGGATATACACTGCCTGCGGACCTCGGTGAAGAACTACAAACCTAAACTAGATATCGCCTTCGAGATTACTTATATATTAGATACCAAGGTTTCTATCGCGTGTCGCTAGTGCTCTAGCCGCGCTTCGATATGCATTCCCGTGGGTTTCGTCAACTTATCTAATAAGGGTTTACTAACTTCGATAGGCTTCTACCCTTATACTAGGCGAAGCCTACGATCTAGCTACGATTATTACTTAGGTCGAGAAGGTTTTCTAGGAGGATATAGAAGATCCTAACTAGGTTAGCGTCCTACGTGAATAGCCCTTCCCCCAGGCGGTTCGTCAGGAGGTCGCCGAGGTTTTAGTGTGAAGGGCTATAGCAGAATTGATTCAATTATATTAGGCCAACATGCAGTTTACAACAATCTTGAGGAAAGAAAGAAGAAGAGACAGGAGTTGGTGGCGGTCCTTAAGAGTGTCGATCCTGTTTCGGATAGAATCCTCTAGAACCTCGTGAAGGAATAGCCCGGAATCCTTCTGCCAGGACGATATCCGAAAAGGCCACGGCACATGGTTTACTACCGGGCTCTGGCACGTCACAGAGCGTACCTGTTAATATAGCTACGCATATGCCATAATTAGTTATCTACCTACGCTAAGACCTTCGGTCGTGATAACGATAAGTACGTGTGCGGCGCACAAGAAATGGTCACCCACGTGCTAGTACACTGTCCGGAATTAAGGGGTATTCGAAGGAAGCTACGGAGTGAAGCGGGAGACGCGTTTGACAGTGTCTTGAGCCTGCTAGGAGGCTCAACCGACGGTAAGAGAGGTAAACCAGACACCGTCTCACGGGCTAGGACAGTTCAGGCTGTACTAGACTTCGCAGAAGCGTCACAACGGTTCCAGAGTCGCGCGCCACGAGGGCAGCCTAACATTGGAAACGGCAATTAGGCCAAGGCAGGTCTGGACGAGGCTCTAAGTTCGTTTTCAGGATGTGGAATATCCTACATGTAAGTACGCGGATATATAGTTGTTGTAGCCTGCATATCGCTTTTCATTGCGAGGGGTCAGGGTAAATGAGATCATGCATCCATCCATACTGTATTGAAGACGGGGCAAGCGTGGTACTGTATACGAAGTACTTTATGAAAAAAAAAAAAAAAAAAAAAAACGATTATCCACTGAAAAATGAAGAATATCGGTGACTACCTGTGGTACTATCCTGTAACAATGACTACACTGAAGGTGGTTCTTAAAAGTAACACCCTTAAGTGATGACAAGCACACTCTGTACAGTACCGGTGGGGGAAAGGAAAAAGGATGTTCGCCCCAGTAGACTTTGAACAAGACGTTGATAAAAAGGCAAAAAATGAAATTATTCACACAATGTTTAAATAACTAGTTTGGGCGCCCATTGTTTATTATTAACATTAGTTGCGGGTATATCTCCTCACAACCGTCATGTTTTAGGATAGGCAACGTGCTGCAGAAATGAGAAGAAACTGATGGAGATCCGATAAACATCTCCCTCGAGGGAATCCCCAGTCGGGATTCTCCTAGAGGATGATTCCGGGACCAGGTTGATTGTTCTGCTTCGGCCTATTTAGGCCTTCCCCTTCTTTGTCTCCTTTCTTCTTCTGCAGAGATAGTTCTCCATGTATTCGAACTAGATTGTTCCTCTCTCTCTCCTGCTTCCTTGCGTAGTGGCGATAGATCGCCATCAGAAACGTGTATCCCCCGTCCGCGTCAGATATGAGGTTGACTGCTCAACTATTGAGAAGATCATATTCCAAAGCTCGTGCCAACGTACAAATTAGATAGCGTTCCTTTTTGGGGGTTTGTCCCATTTCGGGGGCGTTCCATTTCGAGGGCATTTTGTTTTGGAGGGGAAATGCGTTAGCAGAGTTCCCGTTTGAAAATTATGAAGTCACCAACCCCCGATCAGTCTGGAGAACGTGAACGCCTGCCTAACTCTCAAATCCGTATGCTCAGGTAGACACCCCCCTACACATCTCGCCAAAACGGATCCCTGTGAGCACCAAGGCTAGTCCTCTAAAAAGAAAATTTAAAATTTAAAATTTTTTTTGAATTAATTGAATTTATAAAATCCAATCACAACCTGGTGTACAGAGGATTTCGAAAACATTTTACCGACTGCGACAAAACACGAAGATTCACCACCATGATTGCCGAGGCCGAGGCGCACCACCAGACCACCTAACAACTATTCTCGAGAGCAAGAGAAAGACACGGAGCAGAGAAACACACGCTTCCAATTAAGAAAAACCAGGGCTGTACCACAAGAATCGGTCCCCAGGATGAAGTCGACAGCATTGAATATCGTTTGGTCCCAAGTAGCTGCGAACAATGACTTGCCAGAGAATGTAGGGAGACACGTGAAACGTTTGGATGCAGCACTTCCAGGGAAACACACTCGACAGCTGTATGATCGGTTATCGTGGAAAGAGGCGCGCGTGCAGGTCCAACTCCGGACTTGGACGGCCAGACTCAATGGTTATCGCTATCGGATCAACTTGCAGAGACGGATCAGTGTGCACGTGGACGAGCAAGAGAGACCGTGGAACACTTCCTCTCTCGATGTTATACAAAATTGCCGAGTATCCCACGCACATGGCACCATTTTCACTAATTAGCTGCACCTTTTCTTAAATAAGGATGGAGAACGTAGACGCATTCTCCACCGAATCTTTCTGTGAAATGCCGACCTAAGTTTAGAACTAGCACAGGATCTGCCACATTGGTCAAGCCTCCAGAAGTGGATACCAGAATAATATGCTAGGTAAACGAGATTCCAATGGTCTTGGATAATCTTCTACCACGCGCATCCTACTATTGACATTACCTATCCAGGAAGATCGACCCTTTGTTCAATAGTCAAAGTCACCCTTCACGTGAGCCACCGATCTGCTATTGGTACCGCAGGAGCTCCATCGTGTCCACAGAAGGTTCCTCCAACTCCTTTCGAGAATATGAGAATAGCTTCATATCGAGAATCTCCGTGACAACACGGAGGACGCGCTTTGATTCTCGAAACAAGCTATGCTGCCGACTATTTGCAATCGTGATTAGATACACAGTATGCGTAGATATTTCTTGTGTGGTTCTACCTATATACGTTGAATCAAACTTGGAGCTTAGATATTACGATATCGTAATTACTCTGCAAGGCTGCAGTTGATCTACAGAAAGCCAATCCAGGATGTACCGAAGAGCTCTTATGTCACGCTGAGCTCAATTTGTGAAAGCGTAGACTCCGCGTCGGCTTATCCAATTGGTTGGTCTGTTCGAGCGGACGCATTTGTAACGTTTCCAATCCTTACTTCAAGAATAATGAGGAATTGCTGTATGATTCACAATCATGTATGGATCGACCTCCCTTTAATTGGCCATATTGTAATTGGCTCACTAATTGAACAGCTAACTGGGAGATCTTTTTCACACACTCTCTACAATTTGTGTCAAGCGATAAGTTCAGCCCTTCATTCCAAGTGATCTTGATTGAAATTGCGTACATACTATTCTCTGAATTGCTCAAAATTAGTGAGCCGCATTCAAACGTTTGAACAGACCCTCCAGGAGGATTATCAGATTCTAAAGATCTCGTTTGGCATCGTTCCAGATAGTTGGTCAAGTCCGATGAAAACTGATCATAATTGGGAATTGAATATAACATGAATCGTCTAAACCACGGCTACGAACTATCTGTATGTTAATTCACGTGGTCAACTTTGGTGAATTCAAATTTTCAAATTAATCGTATTCGTGCAATCGGGTCGGGTGGTTAACTCAGCGGGTTAATTGTGACAAATTTGCCGTCCCAATTCATCAAAATTATTCATCTGATTTCATCCGTCCTCCCGAATTAGTTAATCTCCACATCTGAAAACGTTGGAATCTGACCACCTTGCTTGAATACGGAAATCTGAAATAGGCCTTCGGAGTAGTCAACATTGGGGACCAGGATTGACCGCTTGAGTCTGCCAGTTCGTCAGGGTCCTAATGAACTCTAGAGAACAAATGTAAGAGTATCAGCCGTATATTGTTGAGGTGGTGGTTTCAGTTATTCCTTTATGATGAATCTATCTATTCAATGAGGTGACGCCCAGTCGCATAAATCGATAAATTCGGAGGGCCAATTTAGGTCACTCTAGATACTCAATTCAGGCCGACTCTGAAGGCTGAGTATAGCGGGCCATTTTGGATGAATTCGGGACCTCGGTCAATCTATGTTGAACATTTTACGGATCCTCTCGGTAGATCCAGAGCACACTTTAGCCCTATCGTGGACAAGACACGAGACTGTATCGAAAATTATCACCATATATTGCTAAGTAGCTAATTGCAGAGTTACTTCATCAATAAAAGTACTAGAATCACAGGGTGCCACTCAGATCCCCCCAGACTGCTAGCCAGCAAAGGAGTATGAAGTTAAGCAGATCATTCGAATATACTGATTATTTCATCGTGCGTAATTCCGTTCGTTTCCTAAAATTTTTCTGGATCAGTTTGTGACGAAAGATACGAGTTTTCACACTTACAGATACCGCATCAATCTTACGGGAACTATAGCTTTGCGTATTATAGTTATGGCTATGCTACGATACCTGCTACATCTGTTATTACCTTTCAATTCTCCTAGAACGAATCTATCGCACTCCTGCTAGCCCGTCATCAAAAAAAGACAGTCCTCGATCTATAAGGAGTACTTAGATATTAGAATCGACTGCTCCTGTTTTGAATTTCAAACTCGCCATGCTTCAAGAGAGACGTGATTTAAGTACTAATATGTCTATACCGCGAATATTGACAAAAGCAACGGACCGAAACAGACTCTACTCAAAATTTAAACGGCGTGGCATGGGTATTATTCTGAAAAGAGAATCCACGTATTGACGTCATCCACGAAGAGCCCGCTAAATACTGAAATGGCGGACAAAATAAGAGGAGTTAGAGGTCAAAAGGATGCAATATCAGGACTCTTCTGCCGAGTTGGAAATTGTGCGGGCAGCAAGTCGCCGGGTAAAATCATCCGTCGCCGATTTAGTACAGAAATCAAACGATAATAACAAAGATCCAAAATCTCTACTATCTCGTTCTCTCCGTGAGAAGGCAATAGGAATCTGACCCTCTATATATGGCGCCATCGTATATGATGAATTCAGCTTCTTCTGGCACCATATTTACTATATCCTGCTGGGTCTTAACTTCGTTTGGAAAGCGGGTTTTTTCCCTCGTCGTAATTGGTAAGATTCGGTCCACAGTTTATCGAATATTTATCACTGAAGATTGATTTCGGTGCTGTGGCCTCTTATCTCGTAAGCAATCCGTTCGACCGCCTATTCCTTGATTTCGTTGCGTGTTGCTATTCGTTTGTTTTGATTATCGTTAATAGTAAGTCGTTTTATTTAGCTATTAGAGGAACCTAATCTAGATCAGAGATAGCCCCCGACTTAGGCAAAGCACGAATTCTAGTGTAGATTCTCAGTCAGCCCACTCATACAAATTCAGGAAATTCAAGTTAAATATACACCGCAAAAGTCTCTATTACTATATTCATAGTACTTCCTAAGACTCGTAGCCGTTTGCCCAAAATTCGGGATTCAATGCTCTCTAGGTCATAAAAACCGTTCCAAACTAAGTAGTACAGAGAGTTATTAAGCGGGTACTTTCTTCTCTCCTCTAATACCCCTGATATCTTATATATCTTGACTACTCTAAACCGTTACTCGAAGTTAATACTAAGCTTTAAGGCTGAGTTTGCAGGACCCTAGTTTGTTAAATGTCGCTATAAATGTGAAGGGCTGAAGTAAGACTTGATTCAATCTAACTAGGCCAACATGCTGTTTACAAAAAGCTTAAGGAGGGGAAGTTTATCCCGCGCGTTCTCCACGTTAACATGCCAAGGTCCCGTGGTACACGTGACCAACATCGGGCACTGGCCCGTGACAATAAACCTATCTAGAATACTTGTAATGCAAGAAAACTAATCGTAGAGGCATTTAAGGGCTTTGTTTTTAAGCTCGACTTTTTCTAGTCGACTTAAGAGAGCAACAACGCTATCATATACTGCTATCGCGGTACCTGCGTTAGAGATGTCCGCCTTTATAGATTCAGCCATCTTAATTGAAATTCTAGATAAGGGTTAGGTAACACGTCTCAAAAGATCTAGGGACGATACAGTGTAGTACTTGAGTATAATATCTGACTTAGTCAGGTTTCTGATTAGGGAAGGGGGACGGATTTGTGACTCTAAAGGTGGGAGACCTCAACTTTATATGATTATTATCGTTCAATTTTGGCACACTTCAGGGACAGTAAAGTAGCTCGAGTTCCTAGGGACCTAGCAGTGTATGAGCTAATAAGCCAAAGATAGCTTGCATAGTATCAGAGAAGGGTAGGGCCTTAAGGTTCCCAGGAGCAATGTGCTTGGAAGAAATACTTAGCCCAAAGATAGAGTGATTGCTAGAATGGATTTCTGATACGTGTGCTCAAGGTGAGAAAAGTAGAGTTAGTCCTCACACATTGAAAGTTTTTACTCTAGCGGACGATTACTCATGGCAAGCTACTCTGTTTTGGCGTAGTCTCGAGTAGATGTTCCGAGACTAGTTTACTATAATAGGCCTATTGTGGAGCCAGTAGACAAAGGGTTCCAGGAGAATGTAGTCTAATTGATGAGGTGATCATCCAGCAGTCTTTACTGTAACGCAATAATTAGCAGCAAGTGTCTAAAACGAGACGTCAAATTTTTGATGCCATTAGTTTTCGATGGGGCTGCAGGGGCAATCTACAGGGGAGAGGGTCTTCGTGGATACGGCTAGCGTGTTGCGCTTTATTGAGGTACTAGTCAGGCCACGTGCTCAGTAAATCACAGCGCTCAGCTAAGCATCAGTGAGCTGATCAGAGGCTTACATATGCTCACTGATCAGATCAGGGGCGCTCAGAGGCGTGCTCAGATCTACCCAGTGAGCAAAAGCGGCGAGAGTCTGAGCACCAAAACGGAAAGGGAAGGCCAAGCGGTGGCATAGGAAATCTGGTCGGTAGGAAGAGGATGGGATTGATTGGATACGGAGATTGTTCAGGTTCAAGTTGATATGGAAATTTGGGGCTTCACAGGTTCATAGCCTGGGCTAAGAGGCTCATTGGGAAATTTGTGGGTGTGCTAGTATTGGAAGAATGATGATTCAATTTGTTTTGAACTAAAATAGAAGATTGCAAGTCGTCTCTCGTATACATCGCAGTAGGTCAGTGCCGGCTAAACTCCAGAGTCAAGCCACGTCAAGCAGAGGGGAGATGAGAGGATCAATCCAATCCCAGCTACACCACATTCACAATGTCCCATCTCGAAGACACACCCTACCCACATCTCCACCTCTTCAAACACCAGCCCTAACAGCCTCCTCCCCCTCCTTAACAAAAACACAATTAAACTCCGCCCCTGGACTAAGCGTAACCTCAAACCTCAGCACCGGATCCTCAACAGCATCCTCCCCACTAACCGGCAACGCCACAATCTTCTCATAAGCCTGCAAAATTCGAATAATAGTATACCCCATCTCAATAGTCGCAAACTGCTGTCCAATGCAAATCCTCGGCCCCCCATTAAACGGAATAAACTGCCACGGTCTTGGCTGCCACCCCGCAACCCAACGCTCCGGAATCCACCGCCCCGGATCAAAGTAATTCTTCGACCCAGGCCCATCGTACAAATCCGGATCCCGCTGCATGAGCAGCGTTGAGTAGATCACACGGGTATTTGCGCGTACGCCGACGGGGGATTGTCCGTCTGGACCTCCGCCTCGGGGGAGGGTTGTATCTTTTAGTGAGTAGCGGACGTTGAAGGGGACGACGGGGTAGAAGCGCATTGTTTCGTTGATTACGGCGTTGAGATACTTCATTGTCTTGAGGTCGTCATAGGTGGGTTTTTGGGCGGCGGCGCCGACGCCGAGGCGCTCGCGGATCTCGGTGCGTAGTTTGGCAACGACTTCGGGGTGTCGGGATAGTTCGAAGAGGCAGAAGGAGAGTGTGCCGGCTGTTGTGTCGCGGCCGGCGAGGAGGACGGCGACGAGTTGGTCGCGGAGGACTTTGGGGTCGCGGGTGAAGCGGGCCAGGGCGTGGAGGAATGTCTCGCGCTTGGAGAGCTTTTGATCAAGTTCGTCTGGGGACATGGCGAGTACGGTCTCGATGTAGGGCTGTAGGAAACTATCCATGATTTTCAGGTTGCGGCGGAATTCGGTGCGAGACATGGCGAAGTTGAACACGCTGGGATAGCACAGGATCTAATATTAGTTATTTGATCCTTCCAATGGGATTTGATGCTGGGCATCACACAAGATCGGGGAGAGATATTGCTTACCCGAATCGGAAAAGTTCCGCTTGTCGTTGTTGCACATATCTGAACGCCTCGGCGAAACGTGTAGCTGGGTTCTCAAGACTATCGGTTCCCTGGCCAAGTAGGTAGTCTGTTGCTGCGTCAAGGGTATACCGGAAGAACAGTGAGCCAACATCGACGACCTTGCTGTCGTTGGGATGGCCACCGAGAAGAGGGATGAGCTTCTGCACATGTTTCTCGAAAATCTCCGTATCGACGAGTCGCTCCCGTGCGAACATGGGCCGGATGAGCTGGCGAGAGCGTGACCAGAGCTCTCCGTCTGTCGCGAAGATACTGTCGCCGAGGAACTCCTTCCACTCACGGTGGAAAGGTTCGCCTTTGCCGTAGTCTGCGAACTGGCCGGTGAGCAGCGCTTTGATGTTTTCGGGGTCCTTGGTTAGGACTACGCGTGTGGAAATGCCAGCATCGACTTCGGCAGTCTTGCAATTATCGCGGCCGCTGGCTTTCGCGATGGTCTCATTCCAGAATTCGATATCTTTGTGCTTGCGGTTGGCCACTTGGCCCTTGTAGATGAAGTCGAGAGCTGTCGATTTGTTAGCTTTAGTTCCGCCATGTTTTGTGGCCGATCCCCATGCTATTCGAAACATACCATATGGGAGATGAAATTTGACCTTAGGAGCGCGAGCACCCATACGGGCAATCTGCAAGGAGGCCTGGAGTTTGCGAAACACGCAGAAAGTCGTGAATAAACCCAGGAACCACAGTACTGCCCTAGCGGGCGTTAAATCGCCCACGATTGCTTCAATCATGATGGCCAGTTTTTGGATGATCGAGTCTCAAAGGAAACCAGATTCAGTCAACCGGATCAACACCCAGAGAGATCTTTTGTTTTAATATACCAACGTGGGGTTCGTTCGGTCGGGGGCTATGGGGGGTCCATAGGAGATTTCATTTGCACATGGCACGCTAGCGAGGAAACTAGGGGCTGTCCACGGTTATCCCCGTTGCTGGAAGGCTCGCAAGGTGATGATCATCTAAGAAGTATGATCTCAGCCGAGTCTTCGTGTATGAGACAAAGGTACAGCATAACAAACTTGGAACCAAGGCGTCAACTCCACTCCAGCCGACGTCTGCAAGGTTAACGGTGGCCCCGGGAAACCTGCGAGTGGTCCATTCCTCTGGAGGGGCTTATCAATCGGGAGCACAATGGGCCCGATTCCCCAGAAAATCGGAAAAATGGGAACGAGATGACCTATGACAGTGGTGTGATTTGCCGTTTGGGGAGGCCTGTGGAGGAGCGAGCGTGGCTGCTTCGAGACATGCTTGCGAGGTGCTCAACTTTAGTTTACCCCGCTTGTCAAATGCTGAATTCTTGCGTGTCAACTACGTTATTTTATGCCCGCCGAGTCATTTTCTGATCTTATTTCTGTTATGCATCTTATATTTTGATCTGGCTTGGGCGGTATCTGAATAGCTAAATATTTTAAATAAAGCAGTTATGCATACGGAGTAGATTATTCGGTTTTGTGGGGCTGCAAGGTTTGAAGGTTTGTGAAAACCTGGGGGAGTTTCCAGCTGTTCAGTAAAAGAGCCTCGGTTAGCCGGTTTCAGATGTTTCATATGAGAATCCGAAGGGAGAAAAATCGGCCCCGCCAAGAAAAATGAGGTGGTTGGTCCGTTAGTGATGCTGACCCAAGAAATAATCTGGTCTTTTCTCCTTTGTTATTTCTGTTCATGAGTCATGTCGCGGTTGCTGACTGGATATGCTGACTCTGTATACATGGCTCAAGCACTGCTGTGCTCATAAACTGCATTCTGCCCTCTATTCAGAGCGTAGCGGCCAGCCTGCGATAATTACAGATCCACCATCCCAGACAGAGAATTTAAGCCTCGATCTGTGTACTGTAGTTGTTGATACCAAGCAATAGAAGTCATCTATGTATTTAGGGCTCCGATAAAGAATTCCATTTGGCACCTACACGGTGGAGAAAACAGAGATGTCAGATCTATTACACTGACTCCTCCACAGTGGTCTCAGACTCTCAGTATACTTTCACTAAGCCCATGAAAAAGCAAGCATTTTTTGGGGCCAACAGTGCTTGATTACTGTACTTCGATCCTGCATCGGATTTGCGTTTGGTGGCGCATATGTTTACTGAACTTGATGCATCGACTGACAACTTGGCAACTAACTTACATGCCTCAATCCATGCAAAAGCAAGGGGGTGAAAAGAAGCAAAAAACAGAACTCCAGTGAAATGAAAGTACAGTACCTGGTATAAACAATGGTCAGCTCCCATCACCTCAGGTTCACACGAATTTATTCAAAAATGCAACGCTAGCGCGCCCAATATCTTACATAGCAGCATTATCATAATGTCACAGTCAAAGGGCGGGCTTGCTCAGCCGGTGCCTCAAGGTGTCTCCCGCCACACCTGGAAGGCCGAATTTGAATGGTACCGAAAGAATTTCCACAAATTTCTTCATGCGAGCCTTTTAGGACCAATAGTTGTCATATTCTGTGCTGCCCCATATGTTGTTCCCAGGCAAAACACACTCATCATGGCCATTACTTGGGGGATTGTAGGAGGCTTTAGCATTACGATTGGTGAGTGGGTCCCTGAACCCTTTTGAAAGACTATCGACGTCTCCAGCTAAGCCAGCCAACTGAAGGATATCATCGACTTTGGGCTCATCGATCATTCTCAGCATGCATCGGGATAAGAATCGCACTTGCCGTGATTGGAGCTGCCCAGAATCAATGGCCCATTCTATGGTGGGTGAAACATCACCGCGCCCACCACAAATACACAGACACGGACCAAGATCCTTATAATGCCACGAGAGGCCTGCTATTCTCTCATATTGGCTGGCTACTGGGGCTGAACGAGAGCGCATGGGGTCCGGTAGACTTGTCAGACCTGAAAAAGGATCCAGTGGTCGTTTGGCAGGATCGACTATACTGGCCTATTCTCATCACGGTCGGCATCCTCCTGCCCGGCGCGGTAGCTCATTATGGCTGGAATGACTGGAAAGGTGGAATTCTCTTTGCAGGGATAACTCGGATTATTATAACGCAACACATCACCTTTTTGATCAACTCGGTGGCTCATGCCCCGTGGGCTGGGACTCAGCCGTACTCTACCAGTACAACTGCACGGAATATCCCCCTTCTCGCCATTTTGACACTTGGAGAGGCGAACCACAACTTCCACCACGCGTTTCCGACGGATTATCGGAATGGAGTGAATTGGAATGAGCCAGACTTTTCGCGATGGATTATCTGGCTATGGGGAAGACTTGGTTGGGTGAATAATCTGAAAATTGCCAGCCCATTGGAGATAGAACAAGCTCGCTTCAAACGGAAGAAGGAAAGCACCAGGCGCAAAAGTGACAGTGACGAACATATTAGGGCCTTGCCCAAACTCCCTCAGATGAGCTGGCAAGATTTCAGGAAGCGATGTGATGATTTCGACGAACTCACCTGCATAAATGGAGTGGTATATGATGTTGCGGACTTTAAGGACGATCATCCTGGTGGTCGAGATTTGATTCAGCAATCAATTGGGAAGGATGCGACCGAACTTTACTATGGAAATCACCTTCACTCTCCCCAAGCTGATAACATTTTGAAGAGTCTACAGGTCTCCCTTCTAGAGAATTCTCATCACTGAGTTATCATTTAGCCCGTCCTGAATTCACCTTTTCTAAGATGCTTTCCAAAATCGACATATGTATCTACCCATTTAGTCTAGCTTCTGATGACTTGAAACTTACATATGGCCTAATGAATCTACTGATCTTCATCGTGATCTTCATCGGATAAATGGTTACATTCGGACCTAATACCTCATACAACACCCCCTCGAGCCCTGATACTTATACCGGACTATCACCGTTTACCAGCGTATTTCACGCTCAGTGCAGACATGGTGAGAGTAACAACACCGTGAACAGTACCTGCCGTTGCGATGTCAACAAGGCCAAGCTCTACCTCAAGATTGCGCTTCAACCATGCTCGAGCCTCCACAGCTACCAGCGAGTCGACCGAAATTTCGGCCATAGCCGCCCAATCTTCATTCTTCACAGCCGCTGAATACGGCCCCATCAAAAGTGCCATTTCCTTGGTGAGAAGATCAAAAGTGGGAGCAAGTTTTAAAATGTCGGGGTTCTCTTCCACAGCGTGAAGAAGACCTTTGATATTACTGGTTTCTGAAGAGCGTGGCTGGAGGCGTGCAACTCCTACCGCTGGGTCGTGACGGTACCGTGCGTCTTTGCATCGTACATCACCGGAAGCTTGTGTCCATAGGAGACCCAACCCGATCGAGAGGTGATGTTCTTCACTGAATTTGGATGGCGCTCCATCGACCATCTTGGGTGGGGACAATAGCAATTGCAGGGCAGCTAGGAGATGGGTCTCGCGGAGAGGAATGAAGCTTTTGGACCGCATCACGTCCAAGAGCTCGGGACGTTGGCTGACATAGCCGACATCGGTGATCCAACCAACATCGAGGACAGACGCTACTAAACCCAAAGACTGGCGGTAACGTGCGAAGGCACCGAGGAAGGTATTGGCTGCAGTATAGTTTGCTTGTCCAGCAGAGCCTGCTGCTGCTGCGACGGAGCTGAACATGACGAAGAAGTCGAGATTTTCACAGCGCAAGGCTTCGTGCAGGTTCCACACTCCATCGACTTTGGGGCGCAATGCTTCTGTCCACTGGTCGTGCGTCATGCTAAAGAAGGGAGAGTCCTGTGAAACATCACGTATCAGTCTCGTACTTTCGTAAATCTGGGAGTGAGAGACAACGGCTTACCTTCATGAGCATCGCCATATGGATGACTCCTTTCATCGGCTTGCCGCTGGCAGTGACGGCCTTTTTGACATCCGCCAGGCTAGCGACATCACCCTGGATCAAGAGGGGATGGCACCCTTGCAACTCGAGGTCGTAGACAAACTTTGAATCACTATCATCATCTCCGGCCGTACGGGAAAGGAAAATGAGGTTCCTGGCACCATTTTCAACCATCCATTGCGCCACTGCACGGCCCAGGCCACCTAGACCACCGACCAGAAGATAGGCGCCGTCCTCGCAAAAAGATATTTGTGCTGGTGTTTTGGTCATGGCAAGTGAACTGGCATCATCTGGCATTTCAACAACGATTTTACCCATGTGCTTCCCCTCTTGCATATACTTGAATGCGTCAGTGATTTGACCGGCTGCAAAGACACGCATCGGCCGAATAGGCTCAATGGATTTCTTGGCCAACAGGGTCGAGACTGTTTTCAAACACCTGTAGACTGATGTTAATATCTGGAATCCTGCAAGAATATAGAATAAACTCACTCTAGTACGACCTGAGGTCGTGATTTGGCGAGGGAAAGAATGTCCACTCCCACAAATGATCTATTGGCAAGGAACCGATCCATGGGCAGCATAGCATGACCCATCAAGTCGCGTTTACCAATTTCCACCATCATACCTCCTTCAGCTACACATTCCCATGATGCGAGCAAGAGATATCCTGCCAAAGAATTGAGGACCAGGTCAACACCTCGGCCTCGAGTTCTCTTTAGCAGGTTCGGCGCGAAGGAAGTACTCCTAGAGTCAAAGATATGCTCTTTTCGAATTCTAAAGGTTTCAGTGAGATGTTGTGCCTTTTCTTGATTGCCGACCGTAGCAAAGATCTGTTAAAGTTAGCAATAGTACAACGATTGTGCGAATCACGCCCAGAAATGCATTTGTCATGGGCTCTCATTTGAACTCACCTGTACACCGAGCATCTGACAGAGCATGATGGATGCGATTCCTACTCCACCAGCAGCAGAGTGAATCAACACCGACTAATATGAGATCAGTAAGTGTTCATTGATAGTTTTGGCATAACCGGGCAAGTTCATACCTGGTCTTTTTGCAGTCGTCCCACGTTCAGCAAACAGTACGCCGCGGTAGTATATGCACACCCGATGGTGGCAGCTTGATCCAAGGGAAGCTCAGCAGGTAACGCGACGACTAAAGCTCCTGGAACAACGACACGGGTACTGAAAGCCGGCGAAGCCAGAAATACCACTTGATCTCCTTCATGGACATGTGAAACGTTACTTCCAACACGTCGAACCACTCCGCTTCCCTCTAATCCAATATCGCTCTTGCCTTGCAACATTCCCAGGCTCATCATCAGGTCCTGCCCGTACGGTCAGCTTTCCGACACTCAAAGTAAGAGAAGAACTCACTTACCCGGAAGTTGAGGCCCACGAATTTTACATCGATCTCCACATCATCCTTTCCTAGAAGGGGCAACTCATTCTCGATCCACTTGAAAGAGTCCAGAATCCCAGGCTGCTCAACTGAAAGGGTCTTTGGACCTGCCGGAGAAGGATCCTCGAGAAGATTCTCAGGCAAACTACTCCAGTGGTATCTTGGAATATAAATCACTCCACCCTGGATAGCATATTCATGATCCAGTGTTTCATCCTCTCGCAATCGCTGTTGTTGGAACTTCTTGTAGATCTCGACGACGGCACCCTCCGAAGTTTGATCGAAGTCGTCCACCTCAATTGTATCGAAGTCCATTTCGTATTCCATGCGCATTGTCCGCGCAAAACCTAGAGTTAAACCATAACGGGGATCTTGACAGCGCATTTGGGAGCTGCGAGTCATCCACAGAACACGGGTGGATGTGCATGACGAAAGGTACTGTTGCAGTTGGGTAAGTTCAGTTTTCGTCAAGGAATACAAAAAGGGTTCTTCGATATCCAAGAAAGAGATGACGTCTTCGTTGGTAGGAGGTGGCTCTGAAATCGTACACCAACGAATTGGGTAGCCCATAGCCTCTATCTTTTCAGCAACGCCCATTGCCCATTGAGGTCTCTGCGAATTGTAGAGCATGTTGACTGTACTTTCTTTGCTATATGATGGCGGAGGAAGAGATGCTAGTATTGAGGTCATGTAGATCTCCGCTTCGCCCGGGGCCGAGTGGACATTCTCAAATCCGGCTTCTCGAAGCTCAGTGTGCCAACGATCTACCGAAATATACGGTGCGTCGATACGGTTGTCGTTTTCACCTATCCACCAGCCGGGGAGCACACCCTGTACACATTAATATCGCTTTTCGTACATGTGCATCTGGTGCAGCAGAGCTTACCATGATGAAGTCTATTGGTTGGGCCTCTTCGGGTATGTTAGCTCGGTTCTCGTTGCACAGTTGTCTCCAATATTTTGAAACTCACCAGTGCAAATTTCTTCGATCAAGACTCGTCCCCCAGGTTTGAGGAGAGAATTGACATTTTTCAAAGTCTCTTGTATGCTGCATGTTGCATGAAGTACCTGAGATTAATGTGAGTATTTTTGCCGTCCTAAGCAGTCTCAATAAACTCACATTTGACGCAATGACTAAATCAAAACTTGCGGGTTGGATCTCCTGGTCCACAGGAGGCTGGCTGATATCCAAGACCGCATATTCAACACCTTCATATCCTTTGAATCGTTCCATTGCTGGCTGGAAAAAGGCAGAAGAAATATCAGTAAATACGTAGCGAGAATACTGACGGACCACTCCTTCAGGATGGAGGCAATGTAGGGCTCTTGCTGTTGTCGCTCCCGTGCCCGCTCCAATCTCAATGATCTGAAGGTCGGGTTGAGAGTGCCCTAGGAGCCTCAAGAATTCCTCGTAATTTCTGCTGGTGCCAGTGTTGTAAAGCTGCGATAATCTCTCATTTTCCATCAGCAGACCCAAAGGTTGGCATCTACCCTGCACGATGTCCGTGCAACTTTCCAAGACAGCAAGCGAAAGCTCAGCGAAATGTTTACTGAGTGGCATGGTCTCATCAATCTGCCACTTCAGCCTTGACAGTATGTTGGTCCAGCCATCTCGAGACACTTGTAAGAACTCTCTGTCTTCAGATGACACACTGGAATGGATATTCTTGAGGATCTCAGAGGATCTTGTAGCCATCCAATTTTGGTACTTGCGCAGGTACTCTGAGGCTGGCTCCAAATCAGCGATTAGCCGTGCAGTTTCAATGATGCACATGTCAAAGAATTGTTGTCGTGGAGCATAAGTCTCATCAAATGTAGACATCGATGGTTTGGAAGGCGTGAAAATACACCCTTTTGGCAGAAAATCCACGTCTGGGGCCCACATCAGATTGGTGCACAGTTTCTGATCTTCATCTCCAGGCGATCCTTCATCAAAGCCCATAAACTCGACGCCATCAATTTTGATTCCCACTTCGGCCCCCCACTGTGCCCATGCAAAACCAGAGGTCATCCCTAGAGATGTTCCAGCTGCGTTAGCTTCGAGAAACATGTCGGGTCCCGCCTTGCCAACGAAGACTTCTTGAATATACACAGGCATTCCTACACCATCACACTTTCGAGACAAACCATTGGACATGGCAACTGCTACGAGTTGCAGACACTGATCAATGATAGGAGCATCAACGGTATCAGAAGACCCATCTCTTTCTAAGCTGGCAGTCGCTGAAAGATGTGTCGGGTGAGCGGATATATGCTGGAGCAGCCTGAATTTTGGCCCATATTCGGTTCCTCGCTCCTTCAGGTTTTCGTACCAAGAATGAGAAGTTACAGATCTTGGTAGACCCCTGATATCTCGTGGAGTCGGAGAGGACGCTTCGCTTCGCACTTGTCCTGTACAATGTTTGACCCATGAACCCATCCGGAAGCTTGAAATTGAAAATTCATACCAACCCGAGCCAGGCTCGTCAGTCGGTCGAGCTGGTCGGAAGTTTGACACAACTTCTATTCGGCCACGATCGTCGAGCGTCAATGCCTTAGACATGCGAAGGTTTCTTAGGCGATACTTGTCGGACCCGGTTATCTGGCGCATGGCTTCACCCGCCATAACGATATATCCGGCGCAAGGGAAGACCGTCGACCCTCCAATGCGATGATCCCAAAGCCAGGAAACGTCGTCAATATGGAGCATGTTTCTCCAAGAGGGCTCAATCTGCGTCGATTCGACGACTCGAGAACCTAAAAGCTCATGGTGGGCATACTTGCGGCGCCTCCATTCTCGAGTTACTCGGCTCTCAGACCATTCAACTTCTCCACTTTGCCAGGGGTAAGGATCAAGATCAGTGAGAAGTTTCCCGCGGCCGTTAATTGCCTCGAAATTTGGCTGGATGCCCCCTAGGAATAACTCGCCTGCTGCCGTCAGGAGAGCCGTCACCTGACATTGGCCGCGAATGAGGCAGGAGGCATATGACACCTCTTGCTTCACATCGTCCAACGCTTTGTGAATGTCGCGAAGAGGTCCTGCAAGAGCGGAATGCGGTCCAATTTCCAAGAAGAATGACCCAGCATGATCCTGCATAATGGACTCAGCAGCGCCCCAGAACAGGACGGGAGACACAAGATTCTGAACCCAATAGTTGGAGTGGAGTTGTTTCGGGTCGACGATAATTTGCCCAGTCACACTGGAATACATTGGGATCATTTTATCCCGTGTCATGATGTAGGGTCGAATGCTGGTCTCATATACCTTGCCGACGGCGGTCATAGAACCTAGTTTCTTTTGATTAGCTTGCTGAATTCTTGTCTCGTCACCTTCCGACTAGAACGGGGGATCAGTACCTGAATGATATGATCTATTGACACGCAGCATTCTGCACAGTGCATCTGGGAAATCTGGTTTGATCTTGTTGATCACCTCCTCCACTTGACGGGGCTCTCCAGATAGAGTGACGCTGTTGGGACTATTTTCGCATGCGATGACAACACCGTCTCGTAGATACGATGCCACTTGCACCCGGCCCAGGCTAACGGCGGCCATTGCTCCCTCACTGCCCACTTCGTCGACCAGCAGACCACGGTAGTAGCTTAAAGCAATCGCAGACTCAGCTGTGATTGCCCCCGCAGCATATGAAGCTGCGATCTCACCACTCGAATGGCCGATAACTGCCGCGGGTTTGATGCCCCATTCACTTAGGAGATTCACTAACGCAATCTGCAATGCACAACACAGAGTTTGGGAAAGCTGAGGCGTGTTAATTTGATCAGAATTGTCCTCCGCAAGTGCGACTATTATGAGACTCTGTCAGCCCTCGCTCTAAACCAGAAGCAACGACTGACTTGGGGCATGCTTACCTTCTAAACTCCACGATGGAGGCCTTTTCAAGGTTTGTAAAACAATATCTAGGGACTGAATACTATCTCGGAAGCTTCTGAAGGTTTTCATTAATCCTCTGCCCATTCCCGCCCACTGGGCTCCTTGGCCCGTGAAAACATAAGTCAGGTCAGGAGCCCGACCGGCAATGGAATGCTTGATTGCTCCCATCTCCGGCGCTATACCGTTCTTATTGACCAAGAAGCCCCTATGGGAAAGATGTTCGCGACGAACACCAAGGGTATATGCGAGATCGCTCAGACGACTTGGATGCAGGCTCCTGTACTTCAGAAGACTCTGCTCTCGACTTAACAGGGCTTCTTGGCTTTTTGCAGAAACAACAAGCAGCCGGGGCGTTGTTTCCTTCACTTCATCTTCAAGAACAGAGTTGGGCATTAAAGATGAGAACGAGTCAAGAATTACCTAGATATTCGTCAGTGATCTGTTAACAACTTGTGTCAAGTTGTGATGTTCTCACATGTGCATTTGAGCCACCAATTCCAAAATTGCTGACACTAATCCTCTCCTTTCGATTCTTTGGCCACTCAGTAAGTTTTTGAGGAACACGAAGACGTCCATTGTGCCAAGGAACTAAAACTCATGTTAGTCATTTCCAGTTAAAGATACGAATCGATACACACTTCGTGGATTCGGTTGATGGAAGTGGATATTAGGTGGAATTAGCCTGTTCTCCAGCGAAAGAACTGCTTTTATGAGACTTGTGAGTCCTGATGCTCCTTCTGAGTGACCAACATTGGCTTTGACCTGGTGTTGAGGAGTCAGCATCTATTCCAGTCCGCGAAGTGGGAAAGGTCAACCACACACCGAGCCAATATATATTTCCTTGAGGAAGGTCTTGGCTATCGCGGAGCATTCAATTGGGTCACCTGCCAAAGTACCGGTGCCATGACACTCAATGAAGGCAGTCTGCGAAAGATCACTGATCAAGGCTCGCTTGTATGTTTCCCGTATTAACCTTTCCTGTGCCTCGGCAGAAGGCGTGGTGATTCCCGGGCTTCGACCATCGCAATTGACCATAGATGATCGAATGACAGCTCGAATCTGGTCTCCATCCCTCAATGCATCATCTAAATGCTTAATTAAAACTGCATTGACAGCTTCGCCTCTTCCGTATCCATCTGCGGAAGCATCAAAACATTTAGATATGCCGGATGGAGAGAAAACGCTGAGGCCCGAGCCATGCATTCCGACTGTAGGTGTGAAGATCAGATTGGATCCAGCTACAATAGCCGCAGAGCAGTCTCCCATCAGAAGAGCCTTGCATGCCTGATTCAGAGCAACCATGGAAGACGAGCAGCCGGTTTCGATTGTCATACTAATATTTCTTTAGTGAAAGTACGACTTCGTGCTCATGTTGCGGCGTTCTTACCTAGGGCCATTGAAATGAAACTCGTAGGAAACCACATTGGCAAGTGAAAACTTTCCATGTCCGATCATATGAAAGTTGTGTGCATTTTGAGAGTCTCTGACTTCTATCTCTTCCCAATCTCCTCCATACGTGCCGACAAAGCAACCGATAGGTTTTCCGTGCCAGTCGACCTGCCCAGCATTTTCGAGACAGTCCCATACCACCTGGAGAAGCATCTTTTGCTGCGGGTCCATCCGAGAAGGCTGTAGCCCCTCCATGTCAAAGAAGGAAGTGTCTAATGTCTCCAAGTTTTCCTCGAGGTAGTAGCCGCGTCGCATTCTTACTGAATGCGCACCAGTCTCTGAGTAGAATCCCTCCTCGTTATACCGCGATCTTGGGACAACGCAATTTCCATCACGTCCTTCACTCAGCAGTTGCCAGAAATCCGCAGCAGAGCGCACACCTCCTGGCAACCGCATCGACATGCCGACTATGGCAATAGGATGAGATCCATATTCCCCAATTCCGTGAACGGTAGTAGAGCCCATGCTGACAGCGTGTACCAGTGTTGAATTGCCTTACAATCGGTGCCGTTGTCTCCGTACCTTGGAGAAGACAGGCCTTTGAATCACTTCTCAATCTCTACAAAATCCATATAAACTAGCGTGTTCTTGTTTACGAGAATCCATTTCAAAACAGGATTTGTCGATCAAAGTTACATCTCCGAATTGTGACGGTTATGCAAGGGATAATCACGTCCGAGTCCGAGCACCAAAAGCAATTACGAACGTGCATGAACTACTCCGTATTAATCCTTACTATTGCGACCGTGAACTTTGGCGGCTTCCAAAAAGGTGATCTATCGATTGACATATTCGAGCAAAAGAAAGTATGGTCTCTACAGCGCGAAGAGTCGAGTTGACCTGTGTCTTATCTGGAATGTATGAATTGTCCCCCCAGCATGGAATGCCCAGTTGTCACTCGACGCAAAATGCAAGGGTCTTTTGTTGATTTTCAACCATATTTAGGAAATTCGGTCTGAATTTCACTGATGGGAAAGTGACACACTGTTCAGGGGCAGCAAAGAAAGAAAACACTCGTGGCGAAATTCTCCTATGTCTCGATGACACTTCGGAGCCTTTTTTCACGGAAAGTTCTATCTGCTAAAGTCGCGCCGGTTCTGCTGCAATGGAATCAGAACTCCTGGTCATTACCATCTCAGTGATCTGGATGGGCGTTCCGTTTGGAATCTATGGACTGGGTCTCTTGCTTTACGAGCATCTTGTGAAGTATGATCGCTTGCGGTATGGCTGTTGTGGGCTCAGTGTCCTCTACTCCTGCTATTCCGTACAACACCCAAGCGCGGGTCCTCTTTTCAACTATATGACCGGATTCATGGCTATTTATCATCCTGTGCGAGCGATAGAACTTCTCATCGTCTCCAACCCACTGTCTATGCGGCGCCTGAGAAAGGTCGGCTCTCTCTACTGCTGGGAGTCCTTTCCACCACCGAATGACATTCGTCGTATTTTCTGTATCATTGACTTGCTTGCAAATCCACGAGCCATTGGTTGGAGCCATGGCCCCGTAAGCCATCTTCCCCCTGCAACTTTGATAATCAGTGAAGGTGGTGCTCGCACTTCATGGAAGCGGGTTGGCGACTGGAAGCCCAGTCGTCGGTCCTTCATTATGACTCAAACACGGCGCATTCTTATTGCATATTTGTGGTTTGATATGTATCTAGCGGTATTCGCTCCCAAGAAAGGGCTTCTCGTGACTCGAATGATCAACAATGTCTCTGAAAGCCTTGGGGCGCAACTGACAATCGCCACGAGCCATGAGATATACAAATGGTTGGGGCGTGTTGTACGTATTATTAGCGCCCAGGTTTTCCTAGACGGGTCGCATGCATTTTTCTCTCTTGTCGCCGTTGGTATCATTTCGGGCATCTCAAATGATATCGCGGGGGAGACATGGGCACATCCGACTCTGTTTGGTGGTTTCCGGCTGTCTTCACCCAACCTGAAAGGTAAATATGTTGCATAAGAAACCAGGCCACTGAAGCTAACTATTTTTTTTTCCGTAGACTTTTGGGCCAAATGGTGGCACGACGTACTTCGACGCCCAATGTGGTCCGTTGCTCAATGGCTGATGCCTTCCGACACGTCCAGCAAAACCCATATCTGGGTTGTGTTTGCAATAACTGCTGCCTCACACGGCATGGCATCATTTACGTCCTCTCGGCGTGCTATTCCTGCAACAAGGGTATTCATTGCCTACTGCTTCCAGCCAGTGGCAACCATATATCAAAAAGCAAATGCTCAGTGGATTGTGTCGCGAACAAAGACGGCCCCAACAGCAAGTCCGTTTCTTGTTTGGATTATTGAAGTGATTTCGTCAATTACTTGGTTACTCTTGATACTCCCTTGGCAACTGGATGATCCTGGCCAGGAAGCATTTTTTGCATCTTTTCGACTCCCTCGCACTCCATGGAGTACACGATTAGTGAGATAGTTCCATAGTGGTTACATGAATTTTGCTGGCTGCTACGGCCATGCAGCATCGTTTCGTGTATGTAAGAGATCTCAAATTTATTTTAATTCAACTACTACTGGTAGTGCAACCCACGTATTGAGTGGCAGATTTGAGGTGTTCATAGAGGATAGAAGCAACGGATTGTACTCCGTGGTTTCCAGATTTCCCAGTAAAATTACCAAACTATATCATCGAATCTAGATCTCGTACATCCAACCACGGACTCTGAGGAGTTACTTCCATTGGGTAAAGTATGTCTCCATTAGTTCAAACATGGTCTTGCACTTCAGAATGTCCGGTCGATCTGCCAAAGCTCTGTGAAGATTTTCAGTCCCATGAATCACCATTGCATCCTGTTTGTTTTTCCACCAGATTGAACCTTCCGTTAATTTCTCCGCAATGATTGGCGCAATGCCACTTAGACGGTGGCCGGCGGCGTTTGACATTAGCTCTGCCCATTCGGAAATCTCGACAGCGCGGAGTGGCTGTGAAGTTAATTGGCTGAGCATGCCAAATGTTGCTGACAGGTCGATGTTTTGGTCTTGGTCTGGATGAATCAGATTGTACGCCTGACCAAGGTTATTGTTGCAAAGTGAGATATGCAAAGCAGCCGAGCACACAAAGTCAACGGGGACAAAACAGTTTCGTTGGGCAGGGGGAATCGGATATGCACCCAGACTAATGCAAGTCGACATGAGGCGATTGACAGCATCGTCTGCATTTCCTATTCCCGTCACACTGTGTCCTAAAACGAAACCAGCCCGATGAATTGCGAGAGGGAATCCATTCGAGATAGCATCCCACGCGATGCATTCTCCAACATATTTGCTGAGTGAGTAGCCAGTATGGTGCTGTAGATCTCCAGAACCAGGTGTTGGCCTCTCATTTTCTGGCACATATGTCGGGCTGCTGAGAAAGCCTGATGGGCCATATGCGGCCATGCCCGAGAAATAATGAACAGGTTTGAGGCGACGAGTATTGGCAAATTCGATGACATTCAAAAGACCGAGAACATTGGTATCCCGATGAGCAGAGTATGGTAGAGTATAGTTGACAACGGCGCCTAGATGGAAAATGGCACTGCATTGACTGGATAGACGAATATGCTCATCGGCTTCCAGACCAAGGTCTTGACGGGTGATATCTCCTGGAATAGCTCGAACTTTGTCCCAGGACTGAATTGGCGTGCGAAGCTTGGTAAATGCTGTTTCAAGCCGTTTCATCGCTGTCGCCGTGCAGTCAGCACGAACCAGGCAAGTGACGGTCTGCAATTCGGGCATAGCCACCAACATGGACAACATGAAGGCGCCAACGAACCCAGTGGCACCTATCAAAAGTACGTGCCCTTCAGATTCAGCGTACCACTCGGTTATCGGCTCCGAGATGGGCTGAATAGCCCGACCGAGTGTCGCATCTTGGACATACTGAAGGTCTTTCTCATTTGATGTGGGCGTAGAATCTCCCGCAGAAACCTCCATGTTGGTGGCTACTTGATATTTGGCACGTAGCGCCTGGACCGTCACCTTTCCAAGGCCTCCGATTGTTTGCGCGTTTGAAATCTCGACCAGAGGCAACTCCAAGCCGAGATGGCGGCGATACCAGCTTCTGATTTCGATCATAGCCAGGGACTCGATCATCATGTTGTGGATATCATTCTCGTCCATATCGTCGATGTTTGCTAAATGAGATCCAATCTCCACACCGAGAACTTTAGTGATTCTCGCTTGGGTAGCAGGGTCATCAAGTATATGAGGATTACTCTTCACAGAGTCCATCAGTTCCTTGAGATCCCCGTCCATCGCAGATGCTACTGGCTCAGTGGTTGAGATGACATTTGACCACATGCTATAGCGCGCGTCCCGAGTCCAGGGTGGCACGACACCGGGACTAGAGAGAGGCTTGATAGTTCCGAGACCCAGCGCTATTTGACCCGACAGACAAATTGCCAGTTCCAGAGCCTGGACTAGCTGGTATTCTTCAACAGTTCGCATCGAGGCGGACTTTGCACGTTGGATGAGTTTGGGTGCATTCTCATATGCAAATCCTGCATCGTTCATCAGACCGAGATCAATAACACTTGCTGCAAGTCCGCGACCTGATCGATACTGGACCAAAGCATCTAGAAACGCGTTTGCTGCTGCGTAGTTTGTTTGACCGGGATTTCCACAGAGGCCAGCCAGTGAACCGAAACACACAAAGAAGTTCAGTCTATGGTCAATGAGTGCGTTGTGCAAGTTCCACGTCCCCTGTACCTTTGAGGACAACACCGAGTGCCACTCGTCATGCGTCATCTTTGACAGTAGTTGATCCTGTTTGAAACACACACAATTAGTTTTAGTCTTGAATTTCAACAGGAAGTCTCAGCCTACCTTCAACACCATGGGCATGTGGATAACCCCGGCAATACGCCTTTTGCAAGCGGTCACTGCACGCTTCACATCCTCTATATTGGCCACATCTCCTGCGATCGCCGTCACTGAACAATTTTGGCTGCGAAGTTCTTCCAGGAATAACTGAGACCCGAGGGAGGTCGCGCCTGACCGACTGAGGAATACCAAATCTCTGGCTCCCTTCTCGACCAACCAAGTTGCCACAGTGCGACCCAAGCCACCCAGACCCCCAACGATGACAATCGAGGCATCAGAGGGAAGCGATATAAATGTGGAACCGGGGGAAACTTGTAGCTCCGAGGCATTATCGGGCATCTTCACAACAATCTTTCCCATATGTTTCCCGGTTTGCATAAACCGGAAAGCTTGGCTAATGTCCGCTGCGTCGAAAACCGTAAGAGGTCGAATGGGCTTAATATGACCTTGACTGAGGAATTCCATGCATTCTTGCATCACACTATATTCCCAGATCAGTCAGTCCACTGACACAGAGAATTCTTCAAAATCGGTAACTTACCTCTGGAACTGGCTGATGTCTTCGTCTATGATTTGTTTCGCATCGACACCGACGAAAGACCTGTTTCCGGCAAAAACATTCATGTCCAGTTGGCCATGTCCTAGAAGGTCGCGCTTTCCCAGCTCAATCATTTTTCCAAACTTAGCAACACATCTCCAAGAAAGATGTAGAAGTTCGCCTGAGAGAGAGTTGAGGACGAGGTCCACTCCGCGATTTTCAGTCTGCTCCATCACTCCTTGTAAGAAAGATGGGTCTCGAGAACTGAAAATATTATTCCGAGGGATGCCAAACGTTTCCATAAGATGGCGAATTTTATCTTCATTCCCAACAGTGGTGAAAATCTGCCAGCGTTAGCTAACGAAATTGGGAAAAGTGATAGAAAGAAATAAACCTTGGCTCCTATCATTTGGCAGATTTGAATGGCTGCCAATCCAACACCACCACATCCACAGTGTATCAAGACAGACTGGCCTTTCTGGAGTCTGCCTATGTGAATGAGTGAGAGGATTACCGTGCCATACACACAGGCAATTGTGGCCGCATCATCCAAGCTAATGCCGTCAGGAAGAACGAAGCAGCGCTCCCCAGCAACGATTTTGCGTGTGCACAGAAGTCCATCGCCAACAACGATCACCGCGTCGCCAACATTGACATGCGTCACTGATGAGCCTACACGACGGACGACACCACTGCCTTCGACACCGAATTCACTTCTATCGCCGACTACACCTAGAGCGACCATCATGTCCTGAATATAAACAGTCAGCCAACAAGCTTCCGAAACCCCTCTTTTGAGTCAATATGCTTACCCGGAAATTCAGTCCAATGTATTTCATGTCGACTTCGACCTCGTCATTTTGCATCTCGGAGTGCGCAAGCTCCGACCACGCAAGTGTGTTGAGCAATCCATATGATCCAATATCTAGGAACTTGGCTTCGCAGTCGGTAGGCCTTGTCGTGGACAGCTCCTGGCGAGCGCTAATCCAGTGAGCCCTACTAACGTGAAGCCTTCCTTGATTGTATGCAAATTCACGGTCGGGATCTACCATTGAACCGTCTCGTTGTTGGTTCACGTGCTCTAAAACCCGAATTGTGGCACTGACAGATGAGTCGTCAAAGTCATCGATCTCGAGGGTATAGAATTCAGGTGACACTTCGTGTCTGATTGTTCGGATGACCCCCAAAGTGAGGCCCAACCGCGAATCATTGCACGACATCTGAGAGCTTCCTGTGACCCAGAGAACATGAGAGCTTTTGATTTGACTGACGGATTGCTGGAACTGAGCGAACCTTTCTGGAGAGATATTGTCGAAGAATGGACCTTCCAGGTCCATGACTGAGATCAAATCTATCCCTGGGGGAGGGTTCTCTCCGAAAGGGACCCATGTCACAAGCTGCCCTCTTCTCTCTAGGCCCGTTGCCAAGGTGCGAGCCCAATCTGGCACTGTGGACAGATACATAATGGCGACTTCCTTTGAAGAGTTGCTGATCAGAGGATATGACCGCGATGCAATCGTTGTACCCGCATGATGGATTGATGAGTCTTTCAGTGTCAACATGTCAGACACATTGAAACCGTTCTCTTTGAGTTCTTTCTCCCATTGCTGGGGGGTTATAGAAGGCTTGCTGAAGGAGGGGTCCTGTTGAGCCCACCACTCGGGAAAGATGCCCATCACGTATGTGACCAAAGGAATTGTGGAAAACACCCCTTGGTAAAACAGTCGACCTCCTGGGGCAAGCAAAGTGAAAATGTTTCTCAGGCAGGGCGACATCGGCATGTCGGCATCGAATGCCTCCGAAGCGATGATCAAATCAAAGCCCTCAGCCTCGAAGCCCTGCGCAATAGGGTCACGGGCAATATCGAGTAGTGTGCACTCAATTTTGGGAGCAAAGGAAAATAAATCTTTTGCACGACAAACGGCGTCTTCCGTCCTGTCTGTGACAGTATATTTTGAATACATAGGAGTGCCATTGCTTGATGTCAGCCCGCATAAGGCTTGGGTGACTGCGAATCCATTGCCCAGCCCAATTGTCAAGACTCGCATCATCGGGTTAGAATGGCCAAGAAGAGAGAAGAGTTCGGTGCACCCTGCCGTCAGTGACAAGGACTTGTACACACTGAACAGAGATTCTGCCGTATTTCCCAGTTCCTCAGGGCGGACCCTTCCCTCCACTACGCCATCCGAAGCGATTGAAACTTTCTTTACCAGTCTCAACAGAGGTGCCATGTCAGTGTGATCTTTCTCGATCTCTTTCGTGATCTCGGTCAGATGATCAGATTGGCAAAGTGAGTTTTTGCTATTCCCGTTTTCTTTCCTCGCATTCGCTTGGGAACAAATCCAGCGTTGGTATTCTTCAAGGTGGGAATTATTCGGATGCAGTGATTGAATCTTGTCCGCTGTTGTTGTGATAATCGATCCAAAGAAAGCATCCAAGAGAGTTGAAGCGTGATTATTCAATATATTGGGCAGAAGGTCTTCCCTCACGGAGACCAGGTCGACATGCGGCTTCCAATCAATTCGGGCAACCAAAGAATCATGTCCTGTCGTGTCATCCGAATCTTCCACTCCGAAAAGTATGCATTTTTCAATTGAGAGAACAACCCTTTTCTCAGAGACCATCATTGCGTTGCCAATAATGGAGTCACCAGTAGGATTGCACGATGCATCAATAAACATTACCCCACGACCTGGAGCAACATATATGTTTTCGATTGCCACTGGCATACAGAGCTTTGTCATATGACGAGAGGATCCGCGACACATTGCGACGCCAAGCATCTGAAGGTTCTGATCAATGATGGTGGGATGAAGGGCATAAATACTGGCGTGCTTCGTATCGATCTCATCACTGTATTGGATACGGGCGCTTGCTTGGGGACCACAGGGATTGGCAGAAATGTTCTCCAGTCTTCGAAACTCAGGCCCAAAGTTTAGGCCGCGCTTTTTCATCACTTCGTACCATGACTTGGAAGATACCATGCGTGGATATGAGTTGATATCACGAGGTACATATTGTTTCACTGTTCCGGCCCTCACCTGGCCAGTGCAATGCTTTTTCCATGCCCCATTCTGGTACGCCGATATTGTGAACTCATACCACGGAGAATCCGTCGTCATAGTGAGTCTTGCCGGGCGAAGGCTGGTCACTAGCTCTGCGGCTTCGCTCTCTTTGAGCGCCAACGGCGTCTTCATGGTCAAATTATGGATTGTGTAATCTTCCGCCCCAGTTGTCTGTCGAATCGCCTCACCAGCCATGGCGATATATCCAGCGCAGGGGAAAATGAGTTCTCTGCCTAGAATGTGATCCCATAACCAGGGCACATGTCCGACAAAGAGAACTCTCCTCCATGAAGGTTCCAGGTCTGTTGATTCCAGAGAGCGAGGCCCTAGTAGCTCGTGATGTGGCTCCTTCGGGTTTCTCCATTCACGAACCAGCCTGGTTTCGCTGAAGAAACTCTCCTCGTGCAGCCATGGATAAGCTGGAAGTTCCGTCAAAATCGAGGCACCTTTAGTATCATTGACCACATCCAGGTCAACAGAGGCCCCGCTACTATGAAGTCTTCCAGCAGTCGTAATAAGAGCCTTCCACTGAGGCTGGCCACGAACGAGGGTCGGGATATACTTGGAAGTCTGATCGGCATCGTGCTTGCGTAGAATTTGGCGTAGCGGGCTTGAGAGCGTTGAGTGAGGACCAATCTCAACAAATATTGTTGGCAGCCTTGCTTCTTGGAGCAATCGCTGAACGGCACCATTGAACAAAACCGTTGATTGTAGATTTTCCCGCCAGTATGATGCATCCAGGACCGTCGGATCCACTATTACATTGTTTCGGGCTGTCGAGTACAGCGGGATCATTTTTTCATTATGGGATATGACCTGCTTCATCATGGCCTCATAAGAAATTCCGGGTTCCTTCATGCTCTCTGTAGCAATGTTAGATTCAATGGCAGTAGTAGGTACGAATTGTGGGCTCACCAGAGTGATATGCCACAGAGATTTTGAGTCGTTTGCAAAACGTTTCTGGGTCATCTGCTTGGATATTTTCAAGAACCTTGTCAAGAGAACTTGCGGTACCAGACAATGTCACGGACTGTGGACTGTTATCGCACGCCACAGCCACATCGCCCAGCAGGTACTTCCTGGCCTTGTCGGCCGGGAGACCAACTGCAGCCATGCCTCCAGTCTTTGTAGTCGCCTCACCAACAGCTTTACCCCTCAAGTATGATACCGAAATTGCCACACCTGCTTTCATTGAACCAGAAGCATAGGCAGCGGCGATCTCACCACTAGAGTGACCTATGACTGATGTTGGACGTACACCCCATTCCTCGAGAAGGTCTACCAGTGCGATCTGTACTGCTGTGGAGAGCGGCTGGGCAAATTCAGGCTGCTGAATCCTGCAGGATTCATCGTCTTTCACAAGCTCTTCTGTATTATCAAAATTGTTAGATCAGATCGTGTATTTGCACGAGTATACGGTAATATACCTTCCAAGGTCCAGCTAGGAGGATTCATCAGCAGCGACAACTCCTTATCCATGGCCCTGATACTTTTCAGGAAGCGTGATGATGCAGTCATCAATTCCTTTCCCATGCCGGCCCATTGTGCACCCTGGCCAGTGAAGACAAATGTGATTCCAGATTGTATGTCGCGAAACCTCTCAAAATCTGACATCGTTCCATCGGGATCAATGATGGCGAACGCTCGGTGAGCCAGATGTTCCCGTCTAGAGCCTAGGGTATATGCCAGATCATTCACTGGACATGGAGTTTTGCTTGTATACTCCCTCATGTGCTCCACGGCCTTCTGTAGGGACTTTCCATTCTTTGCAGACAGGACCAGCACTCGAGGGCTTGTCGTATCTGTGGATCGCTGTTGTTGAGCGTGAGACAGGGACGAAAGAGACTCCAAGATGACCTTCATATCGTAAGTAAAAATCAAAACCAGCCAATGGTTGCCTTGAAAATACCCACGTACATGTGCATTTGTTCCACCAATGCCGAATGAATTCACGCTCACTCGTTCGCACCGACCGTCAGGCCATGCGGTCGGGCTTAGTGGCACTTTCAGACCTGCCGTTTCGAACGGAACTTCATGAAAAAGAGTTAGCAACTAGGTGCAAGTAAAGTCCATAGTGTTTGCGTACTTGATGGGTTTGGATTCTCAAAATGCACATTGGGAGGGATCATCCGCTTTTCGAGTGCGAGGGCAGACTTGATAATGGCGGTTATCCCCGATGCACCTTCCGAATGTCCAACATTGGCTTTGACCTATATAATTGTTAGTGAGGCTCTGAGGAAACTACGAGATTTCTGGTTTGACCGACCGCTCCAATATGGATGCCCTCAGGGAAGACCTTCGCGACGACAGATGTCTCTGCCGTATCACCGGCAATTGTCCCCGTTCCATGGCATTCGAAGAATCCTGTCTGGGAGATATTTTCAATGCCAGCCTTCTGATATGCGCGTCGAATGAGGCGCTCCTGGGCTTCTGAGCCAGGTGTGGTGATACTCGGGGTTCTTCCGTCACAGTTCACAGCGGTCGATCGAATAACGGCGCGAATAGGGTCGCCTTGTCGCAAAGCTTCCGCCAATGGCTTAATATAGATGGCGTTGATCGCTTCACCTCTGCCATAGCCATCAGCGGAGGCATCGAATGTCTTACAAAGTCCATCGGGTGATAATATCATGTTATCGGAAATAGACATGGTCATAGTTGGTGTCAGGATAAGATTCGATCCGGCGACGACGGCCGAGGAGCATTCACCACTATACAATGCCTGACAGGCATCGTGCAATGCAACCATAGAGGACGAGCAAGCCGTGCGATATGTGATACTAACAATTTTCTTAGAACCCAGACTATACGGAGCAGTTTAATTTGTAATACTTACCTCGGCCCCTGTAGATCGTATTCGTAGGACACGCGATTCGAGAGCGCAAAGTCTCCTGCACTTACGACATGAAATCGGTCCACGTGTTGGGTATCCTTGCTAGACATCTCCAGCCAGTCTTCTCCAAAGACGCCAACATAGCAACCAATGCTTTGACCACGCCAGTTTGTCTGACCACCAGACTCCATGCATTCCCATACGACCTCCAGGAGCAGCCTCTGCTGTGGGTCCAGCTTTGCTGCTTCAGTCTTGCTCATGGAAAAGAACGACCGATCAATATAACCAACGTCTTCCTGTAGAAAATACCCATGACGGGTTTTGACGGTGCCCGGGCGGGTAGCGTTGTAAAATGCGTCCGCCCCATATCTTGTCTCTGGGACTTTGCAGTGTCCATCTTTTTTGTTGATCAACATGTCCCAGAACTTTTCCGTCGTGTTAACACCTCCGGGAAGCCTGACTGCCATGCCAACAATAGCAACTGGAAAAGGAACCTTCATGGAACAATCCTGTCCCGTAACATTTTGCGACGATTCCTCGCACGCCGCGTGGGCCGCAGTAGCAGTAGGATTAGCTTTATCCTCCGGTTTTGCTGAGCCATCAAGCGTTGTTTTCGCTGATATTCCGGTCATTTTGGTCAATCACGAGCCGAATCGTGTGGCAAGATGTATATTGTCTCCAAGTCTCGAGGCGGGGTAGAAAAATAATAATTAGGAAAGGAATGCTATGTACTTGGGAAATTTTTTGCGCAGACTAACACACATGTCCAGTGTTTGAATGATCGAACTATCTATCGCTAGGCAGATGAAGAACTCCCTAATTCCACTTAGTCTTCGCTTTGACTACATATTATCTCGGGAACCCATGTTAAAAATGATGTGTTTACTTTTCCATGACCCAGCTATGACATATCCTCAGCTCAACTCCCCAGGAAAAAGCAATTACTGTGCTCAACTCTGCCTCTGACAGCCGTCGCCCCGCACACAAGCTTGATAATTTACCAGCTGCCAGTTTGACGACTTATTGAACCATAATCCATAGTCCACATTCTTTGTGCTTTTTTTTCGCTAATCAAGGAACCGAAGGATCGTGGTTCATTCTGCGCGAGTGACGGCCCCATCATGATGCAGGGGGAAATGCCCCCTTGCGTACCCATAAACATCTACCGTGGTTGCTGTGATGACAACCGCCAAATAATCTGCAGCCCAGGCGATTGATCAGCCGCTCCATGGTTCACGAAATCTGGCTTCTGCAAGGCCGCATCACTCCGTACATGAACTTGCATAGCGCTTCTAACGCTAATTTACTGATGTATGCAGTCTATTTACTAACTAGTGAATTCTAAAATTGCCCTCGCATGCAATAGCAAAATCCGTAGGATCCCCCACTCAAAGGAATACTGCCCAAGAAAACTCAACAGCTTGTACGGAGTACAGAGGAGCAATCTATTTATTATTTCGCTTCTCGAAAGCACCTTCATCCCACAAGACACCCCGACCAGTCGCTCTGCTCCGTTCAACTACCTTCTCCACTATGCGCGTCTTGAAGACCCTTGTCACTTTCTGCTCGCTGTTTCTGGTGGCCTCCGCTGCGCCCGCAACCCAGAAAGACAGCGTTATGAGCAGCATCGCTACTTTCTCGGAGGCTGTACAGGCAAACAAGGATGCCATCAACCGCTATCACGGTGGCTCTTTAGCCGCGATTCCTGTTGGTCAGAAATGCTATGATTGCTGGTATGCCCTGAGAGAGGCGCATTCTAAGCTCACCGACGCCAAGTTCACACCAAGCGAGTCCGAAGAGGTCGTCAAGCAGTTCACCTCCCTGAATCAAGATTCCATCGACTTGCTGAATTTGTATCGTGACAAGGTCAGTTATCTTCAATTCTCATTGGAATCTAGATTGGTGATGGCTAATGTTTCTTTGTAAACAGGCACCGGTACTAAACCAGGCGAGTGTCAGCTTCATAGTACCAATCATGATGCAAGCTTTGTTCCGAGAGGCAGACGACTACTCCGCAGCACTCCAAGCTCTAATGCCCGAGAAGGATATCGCGCCCATGAAGCAGATAACTGTCGATCATAAGGCTGCGTGGGATGAGGCATTTGCGGCCTACGACCCTACCCGCAATACAGCGCCAGTGCAGCAGTGGAAGTCCCTGATGTCGGTTTTCTCGCCGGCTTTGACGTATCTTATCTGAGAACAATGCAACATTAAGGTTGAGTCTCTTCCAACTATGCTGGAGCGTGATTTTTACCATGCATCGCATTGGAAGTTGTGTTCACTAAGATTTCTTCAAGGACTTCGAGAAACGAGGATGGCATGAAAGAATTTCGGGCACTTTGTCATTGGTCGGAATAAGCCTACATCGCAAGAAATACTGTATGGTGAAGCCTGTATCTGTTACACATTCTCCTATAACGACAGCTACCGATTGGATGCTTCAATACTAAGTATCTCTGACCTACCTGAACAGAAGGGTGTAGCTTTCTCTTTCGAATCAACCAACCTCGGCGAACTTGGTTTAGAAACCTCGGCTTGCAGAGTAAACTAGTACCCATATAGCAATTAAAGCGTGTCATAATGGAGGAATACTTGCCAAATGAGTCACCTCGAACCAGCCCTTTTGGCCCTCATTGAAGTACAACTTCCTCATATGGTGTTTTTGTGTAGAGGAACGACACCATATCTATCTACGGTGGCAGTTCAAAGGTCTGAGTCTGGAAACCACAGAAACGGACCAACCGAACATGCTCAACTACCCTCATTTGGAAGCTCTTCCTAGACATCGTTCTAGATATCATTATGGATAGCACAGGTACCATATTTTTCGTCTATCGTTCAACTCATAATTCCAAAGTGATTTGGAGAATTTGTCGAGGTTTCGAACATATAAACTCCACTGGACCTCGATGTTCGTATGAGTCCGTCTTGAGACCTTGCAAGTTAGTATTCAAAGAAGATCCAGCGCTATGGAACTCAGGGACAGTTTCTAACGGTATTGTATACGGAATCAATAGAGGAAAGAGAATATATCCGTGTTAATCGAGAAAGAATATGTACAAAAAGAAGATATAAGTGCCTCGGGAGAGGCACGAGAAGCCTAGCCTTCTCGAGAATATTTCCAAAAAAAAAAAATCCACTCCCAAAAGACCTAACGCGGTCATCCTAACGTGAACACGGAAAGAGTGTATCCAACTTAGAAAGAGAAAATCTCAGAAGTCCCAAGAACCTTTGTACCCTGACGGGCAGCAACCTGAATATAGTTAGTAGGTGGACTATCAACACTAACCACGGTCTCGAAGCCAGTTCGTTGCGCAATATCAATCTGCGTCCCGTTAACCGCGTTCGCTGAGGCAGCCGAGTACACCACCCAGTTATCATAGTCGGTGGCACCATTCCAACTCATATATACAGAAGCACCTTCGCTGGTCTTTTGGACCGTCAACGAGGGCTTCCAGAATGGAACAGCGCTCCATTGGCAGCGGTAACCGCGGTACGATGCGATGGCATTGTCCGGGCCGAATTGCGCGCTGAACACGACGTTGCCGTCACCGTCAAACTCCTTGACTTTGGAGATAGAGCCGTAGTCCATGAAGACGTGTCCATCAGCCTCGTTAAGTAGCTGATAGCTGCCCTGGCTAACTGAGTGGATGGGGTCGTTCGGGTCAGTCAGGGAGCGTAGGCTAGTGACCTTCTTGTTGACCAGGTCGATGGAGAGGCTGATGCCAGTGGTTGGAGTCTCGGAGTCAGTCGGGGTATTGGCGTTGTTGAACAGGTTTAGGACCATGTCCTCATCAGTCTCATTGTACACACGCATGTCATGCTGCCAGCTGAAGTTGGCGCTGCCGACCTGGGCAAAGTCACCACCGTTTGCGCCGCTCAGTTGCCATTCGATGCTGCCGTTGGGGAGGATGTGGTAGCCAGACCACATATGGCGCAGGGAGACGAGGTAGCCGTTGTTGGTCGTGGTTATGGAGTTGATGTGGTAGGCATCGTAAGGTTTCTCCTGGGAGCCGACGTCGGCGCCCAGCTTCTGGTGCGAGGAGTTGAGAGGAATTTGGTCCTCGTGGTCGAGAGCGCTCCAGGAGTAAAGGACCTGATTAGTGGAGATGTCGATCTCGTAGAAGTGGCTATCCAGCATCCACTCTGAAGAATTGCCGCCGAGGGAGGTCAGGTCGTGCTGGGTCACGTTGTAGGCAGTCACCAGGAGAGTGTTGCGGGAGGTGATATGACTCTCGTGAAGGTCAATGTACGAGTCCTTGGCCACGTTGTCGGGAGTGACGAAGGCGCCGGTCAACGTAATTGTGTGAATCTCTTTGTAGGTGTTGTCGAGGATGTGCACAGCTCCGTAACCAAAGCCCAAATCCATCATAGTGCCGGACCAAAAAGTGATAACATCTTCACCATTTAGCTGTTGCACACGGAAGTTGGCCGTTACCTCCTCGGGACCTTCATAGACCAGGTTGCCCTCGTCGTCGTAGATTAGAGCCGCCTGACCAGCAGGCTGGACGCCCCCACGAGGACCAAGGAAGAGATAGCCCGCCTCGGTGGTGCCAGTCTTGTTGACCTCCAGCTTAGGTGGTTGGAAGTTCATTGAAGTATAAGTCGAGTATGGCCAAGCCGCCGCACTCAGCGACGACAGCAGCAGAGTGCTGCCAGCAGTGTACCACCACCGAGCCATAGCTGTTCGTTCAATTTGCAAGCCCAAATAATAGAATGATAATCACGCACTAGCCTAATTAAAGACAGACAATGGATGTAGACCGAAAGAATGGAGAGAACGGTAGATAAACGAGTGAAAGCAGTGGGAACTGCAAAGGCGTGCTTTTCTAGAACATCAAGCAGGGCTCGATGAGCCCCGACGGGGAGCAGTTCATATAAAAGTGGTTCCAACAGCCATATTTCTTCGTCCGCCGAGACTCCGCGAGAGAAGTGATGGCCCTGAAGATCACTGCCGTCCCACACACCATAGTGAGCGGGTTGAAATCTGGTCATCGTCCAACCAGATAACCCAGCGAAGATGATCGTCCCCCGGCTTTCTCATTACAAGCAACGACGATACTTCAAAAGTATGGATAACCCGGCTTGGCCACCGTCATTGGGTGGACCGACCAGCGAAGCTCTTCATCTCTCTGCAAATCTGTTACATAGGAACGAGGGTCCTCGCGTTAGGACCGGACCAGCGTCGAACGGACGTTTCATCTGCAGATTAGGACAGGGGTGAACCAGGTCAATTTGCTCCTCGAGTAGGAAGACTCAATCTGATACTGCCGGGGTAAGTGCAATCAGTAGGTTACAATCAAGTCCCGAGATCAGATCCAACCAGGATGCTGTGTCAGGCAAAGAGTTAAGCCTAGGGTGACGAGATCGGCGAGCCGATCGGTCTTGGCGGCGTGTTCCGCAAAGCCAGATATCCACTCTGGTTGGGCATACCCTGCGTGGCAGGTCGCGTGGAATAACTCCCGACTCATCGCCAGGAACACACCTTTTCCGGTCTTGCGCTGGTTGTGCCGTTTTGCCAGAGATGTGGAGGGCCGTGGAGCACAGATAAACCACGATGAGTGGCGGGCCCAACAGTGCTAAATGCTGGGAATTTGGTTGACCCCATCACCCCTGAAGAGAAGGCTTGGTAGCGATCGGCTCGGACTATACTGAATGAAGCAACTGTCGAAAGCGGCGTCAAGGTTTGGAATCGCAACTTTGGAGGGGTATCGTCTTGCATAAAGTGTGTGATATACAGAGCACGAAGTAGTGGAAATCAAATCCGCAAAATTGTCTTCTCCGAGTCATGTCCGTGTCGCGCCCGCCGGCCTGATCGGCCTGGCCGACGGGGATCGTCGTAGGATGGACGGGTTGATAAGGGTGGAATGAGATGATCCGGGTTCAACTGATCTCGAAGAGGCTGTCAAGAATCTAGGATCCGTTGCCAACGGTCAAGCATGCAAACATGAAGGGAAGGCTGGACATCAGCCAAGTCATTCTCCCAGCTGTCAGGTGACAGACGATCTGGTGGATATGCCAGATTAAGCAATCTGATACAAACGAAAACGGCCAGTTTATCAGAGTTATCAACATTATGCTAATCGAATTCATCACTCAAGAAGGCTGAGATCTTTTTATTTTGAATAGAGGGGACATATCACGCTATCGTGGGTAGGAAACGCCACCTAGCCACTTAAAGGACCATAAGATCTCGAATTTTTACGTTGCAGTGTCCGAGCACATTCAAAGGAAGATGCATAACGACCAGAAAGAAGCATTTCTCAAAATCTGCTTCAGTAAGAATATTGGACTACCGAATACAGTCTTTTCTTCCCCATTTTCTGTCACTGGGCTGACTAGATACTACGACAACAATAGATCTTTAATCCATGAGTCGATATGGGGACAATTACCCACACAAAATGGGATGCTTGTTGAAGGACACTATTAAAATACTTTGAATTCAAGCTCATCATATTCTTTGGAATGATATTAAAAACAGTAACTGCTAATGAACCTCAAAGGATCTAGAACAGGGAGCTCGAGGTACAGACCGATCGCAAAAAGGCTCCGGATACAACTGTACTTTACTGTGCGAGTTAGCCAAAATGATGGGTTTCCAATCGTGGAAGTTATGACTGCTTTGTTCAATATCGGGCTATCAAGATTGGTCCTCCAAGAAGACTGATAGTCAAGTAAGGGAAGAGTCCGACCTATGGTTAGTGGCGCTTTGCTATCTCGCAAATCCGGGGATAGCCTTTTCTTGCGGGGAAACTCCACCTCAACGAAAATCAAATAAAGAAATATTCACTAGCTAAGGCCCAGATGACTCGAATAACTCAACCAAAGTGACTTTTAGTGCAACTGATTTTCACAGTCCAAGCACCAAAAACAGTTCTCTCAGACCGCAAACCAAGCCATCCACTGCAGCAACACCCCCTTGCGCTCGTCCCTAACAACCAACTGTTCCATGCATATCCCGTTCCAAATCCGTTTTGTAGCACGGCCATCACCCAATTCCCCGCAAATCAGCATCCAAGCTCCCCTGCTGCACAGAGCTTTGGCTCCCACTAAGCTATTCACCGGTCGCCAATGACGAGCATGTGCACAGCATCGTACTCGGTTGCGAGCCGGTCGGCTCTCATGTGGCTTCAGAAGAGCTAGCCTAGCCTAGCCCCCTCAAGCCTGAGCCAGTGAGGTTTCACTTGTGGTAATGGGTTGCAGTGGCCTTACATCAACCATGTGGTGCATCACTACTTCGGGGCTTTTCAGATGATCGGCACTTAATACAGACTACGTTCTGGCCGTCGTTGCTTCTTTTCTTTGTCTACATCGAACTCACCCTTGGAAATTTTCTTCTCCGCAACTTTGCTCAAAGGTTTCTGATTGACTAGGGAGGGCATATAGCTTACAACCCTCTTGTGGAAGTGAGTTCGTGTGACTCGACCTCCTCTTGCTCTAACTGTACGTTCCTGCTAAGCTCAAGTCGTACTTTTGCTCAACAGAGGTGTAACGACGCGATGGGTCGCAAGCTTGGCCTGTTTCGAGCAGCATATCTGGTCTCGGCCAGCTGCATGGGCTCGTTTGCGTTCGCCTTCGATACCGGTGTGATCAGTATGTCGACCATTAACCCAAAGAGTCTCTTCCTCATAGCATAAATCCCCAGACTGACGTGATCATCCAAACAGGTGGCGTCCTCTCCCTCGCATCCTTCCAGAAAGATTTCGGATACACCAAAGCCCAAATGACCAATGTCAACTCCAACGCCGTCTCGATCTTACAAGCAGGTGCCTTTTTCGGCTGCTTCTTCGTCTCTCCTATTGCCAAGTTCTTCGGCCGTCGCACTGGCTTGATCATCAGCTCTATCGTCTTCACTATCGGTACCATCCTGCAGGTCATAAACTCCGGAACTCTAGGCACATTCTATGCCGGGCGCGTAATTGCGGGTTTGGGCATCGGCGCTGCCACGGTACTGATCCCGATGTATTCGGCGGAGATGTTGCCAAAGGAGATTCGGGGTCGACTGGGGGCGTGTTTCCAGCTATTCTTTGCTATTGGGGTCATGATTGCGTACTGGGTAACGTATGCGGTTGATAAAGATCAGTCCCCAGGCACGAATCAGTGGCAGACAGCGTTGGGGCTACAGTTGCTCGGATCGACGCTTTTGCTGGTTGGGATGTGCACGGTCAAGGAGAGTGCGCGTTGGCTTGCTGCTCGAGGGAAGCTTGATCAGGCGCGAGAGTCGTTGAAATGGGTTCGTGGAGGTGAGGAGACGGAAGAGCTGCAGAAGGAATTCGATGAGATTCTCGCAGGTATTGAGGAAGAGGCACGGGTGAAGGAGAATCTTACTTTCAAGGAGCTACTCCTGCCGGTCAATCGGTATCGCCTCTTCATCGCCGTCACCATCCAACTCTCCGCCCAGCTTACTGGAAACACCTCGCTGGCATACTATGCGACTCAAATCTTCAGCTCCGTTGGGGCTGGGAGCGCCGCCAAGTTAGTGACTGGATTCTTCGGTCTCGTCAAGGTGTGCGGTGTCACAATCTTCCAACTCTTTGTGCTGGACAGAATCGGGCGTCGAGTTCCATTTATTGTAGGCGCCTTTGCCATGGGCTCTTTCATGCTCATCATCGGGACCTACATCTGCAGGCATTGCATGTATCATCATGACTTACGCAGAGGCATTCAGCTACAACATGTCCTGGGGCCCGTTACCCTGGCTCTACGTTGGAGAGATTTTCTCCAGTCGTACTCGCGAGTTGGGTGTCACGGTGGGCGCTGCGTCGCAGTGGCTATTCAATTTCATGATGTCGCAGGTCACACCACATGCGATCAACAATATTGGCTGGCGCATGTTTTTGATGTTTGCCATCTTCAACTACGCCATCATCGTTTACTCCTGGTTTGTCCTCAAAGAGGTATGTCATGTCATTCATATCAATCTCGTCGAGCGCATTTATTGACCGTATCAAATAGACATCGCGACACTCGCTAGAAGAGATGCAGGAAGTCTTTGGCGGCGGTCCGAAGGAAAAGCAAATCGAGAGAGCCGACCATGAAGAGCATGCCGAACCAGTCTCAAAGGAGACCAAGGTTGGATCTCAAGCCTGTTAATAATAAGCTTGTGATGTCGGTCGGCCGGGATTCGGATACTACTTGCACCCCGAGTTTCCACTGGCGCGGTCTCGACTTTAATAACTCATTGATATTTACTCTGTACCAAGTTACTAACGCCTTTATGCCCCTCATGAATCACACTGTTTTCCACATTCACTCCACAAACACGAGACGCTAATCACCCCCGTTTTTCCCCCATTACCACATCACCTCCAGCCCATCTTGGATCTCTGAGTGTGATTTGCGAGCTTCCCCGGCTTTCGGCCCCACGTAGACGGGAAAATAGCGGAGGCAAGGGCTTGGCATTTAGCCAGGTAGTAGAACTTTGCACTCGGCCCCCCGAAGCACAGAAGGATTCGGGATCCAGGAACTTCCTCTTTCGCGAGGTGTGACAGAGCAAAAAGAACATCATATCATTTCTGACAGTGGTGGAATCTATAAGCTGCATCGTGACTTGCCATTTTGGGGGTAATCTACAATCGTAGCCCCTTTTCCTCTCTTTTCAGGACCGCTAGAACTTAATTGTAGCTTTGAACCGGAAACGCAACGTTCTCGAACAACTTTGGAAAAAAAAACCCCGCAAGCCGAATCTTTCCCTTAACTTCGTGGCCGACGCCACGCACTCGGCCCCATCCCCAGGCACCAATCCTCTCGTGTCCCCGACTCGTGAATGGAAGGTTCCCCCGGAACGACTGTCAAACAGGCTTTCGTACCGGCGTCGAGCACGCGACAGATTGGTTGTATGCCACACTTGCTCATGCGGTTCTGGAGGCCGGTCCAATGGAACTGAACCAGCCCGGGAAGTGTACGCATGGCTATTGGCTCCTCCGACCTACCCTGGATAGAACTATGTGCTATGGAGCCTATGCTACTATGAGACGGACCTATATTTGTTCTGGCTACAATTGCTCTTGTTATTCAGCCACAAACCTCCCCATATTGACCTCTCGGATCGATTGGCAAACGCCAAAGGGCTCCCTAAGCCGACCGAACTACGATCCCCCAGGGTAACGGTGGATCTCTTCGAGGCTATTGTACTCGACCAGACTCTGTATATCTCCACTATAACCAACAATTAACGTAACGCAGAGTCAATCTAGAAGCCACCTCAAACACACCAACCATATGAAAGACCCCTCGTTAATAACATAGGGGACAACCTAGAGTACCTGGATGATTGTCAACCGAAGGATTCTCTTCCCTGCTCCTCCCCCCCCCTCTTTCTCCTCTTCTATCGATCGCCGTCAGCAGAGACCACTGCAAGGTCGCTTCTTTAACTGATAATCTAACAAAGCAAGCCTTCTTTTGTTTTGAATCGTTTTTTGTTCTATCTTTGCCGACATTTCACTTTTCAATTGAGCTGGAGCCAATGGGTTGCCTGGTCCGAGCTGGTGCTTAAAAGTCACTTCGTTCACGCCAGACTCCTTTTAGAAAGACTAGCTCGGGCACTTCTCCCTCCCCTCTCAAGACAAGCGAACTCTAATGCGCGCCTGTGTGCAACGGTTCTCCTTACAAGACGGCACATTTGGAACATTCGATGAACTTTTCTTCTCCCCATAATTTCTTCCTCGCTGTCTTCCCAGTTGCGCAATTCACGACCGCTGCCCAGCACCCTCGCTGTATTTTCGAATTCCCTCGTTGATCCCTGCTACTTTCTTCTAGCCCTCGACTAGCAGTACCATGTACTAGTATCTGCCATGTCTGATCATACTGGTCGGCCTACTGGTGATGGCCTGGTCCTCGAGGCATGGGGCCAGGGTCTGATGGTTGGTAGCTTGCTGATCATGGCGGCTATCACTCTCTCCAACATGAAAAAACACATCCTTCTACACAAGCTTATCCTCGCCGAAGTAAGTACCCATTCCAATGCCTCTATCTCCCAATTCCTCCGCGGTCATATATGACAGAAAGAGACTTTCACCCCCCTGTCCCCATTGGACTTGTACCTGCATGAAGAAACATGTTGTGCTATTCCACGAGGCTAATCCCGATCCCTCCCCCACACAGTTAATCCTCGCCATGGGCCATGGTACATTTATCTTCCTGCAAGAGCCCGCCTATGGCTGGTACCTATCTGTCACGGCAATCGGTCTCAATGTCTCCTGGGCGCTGCACAACGTCATTGCCTGGATGAAGAATAGACCGTTTTTGTCTCGGCGAGTTTCGATGATTTACATCATCACTGTCATTCTTTGTTGGCCGTATTGGATTGTCGAGATATATGCCAATTTCACTTACTTCAACAATATCAATAATCTCTTTCACACGACTCGCCCGCTTGAGCCGATCTTCAGGTAAGATGGGATATACGTTTAGTTCATTTCTTCATTCGATGCTCATTAAGTCTAGGGACCCCTGGTGGGTATTCACCACAATCTCCCTGTTTTACACCATCAAGCGCGAGTACAATTTCGGATTGTGGGAACTTGTCTTCATCAGCCCCCGATTCGGAGTCATGCTCGCCTCGATGTGTCTCTCTATCGCATTCATCGTGGTAGATACCTGCAGTGTTCTCAACGCCTTTAGCGATTCACTGCCTCAGGGCATCGAGCCATTCTGGAAGGTATTATCCACATCCATTTCCCCAAAAATCGACACCTTCTTTTCTTACATTTTCCCCTACACTCTGCGTTCACTCCCCCGCTGCCAATACTAACCTCAATCTCAACTCAGCTATCCTTCATCTTCAAATGTCTCTGCGACACAGTCATCCTCGACGACTTCAAAACAGCACTAGACCGAATGCGTGCATACTGGCTCCGAAAACAAGCCAGTGGGGAGATCCTCCTTACGAATGCAAATACCGTTCGTTCACCACGTCGTGATGCCCAACAAATTGAGGACATTGAGTCTGCACCGGGTGCACACCGAATGGTGCGAAATAACAAATCTTTCTCCATGCCTCGGGTCGTGCTCAAGGATGACATATAATATCGATAATAAAGGGGACGGCTATCCTGGGTGTTAGGTTTGGGCGGTTGGTTGAAGGTTGGTTCTGGTGGTATGGATTTGTACATCAGCATGGCGTTTTGGTGCATTTCGATCGTTGGGTTTTGGAGGAGAGGGGTACATATCTCGGATGAGAACTCAGGATTGAATAGGGTATGGGTCTATGGGTCATGCTCTGAAATATCGATTATTTGAACCTCTTTTGCTTCAATTGTTGAGATCCCATGCTCATGGAGAAGTCTTCAACGGGGCGGCTACGAAGAGATACTTTCATTGCCCGAGAGGGTTATCAACAACGACGATCATTCCAAAAATCCCACTTCTGTGTGCCATATTCTCATCTCAGTGACCGTAAGAAAAGGTTTGCAGCCAAATCTCCTCCAAAAACCACCCGGGCGCAGTCCATCCGCTGTAGAATCATGGCAAGTTGGTGATCCACAGCGGATGTGGAATCATTTGTCTTTGGAATCATCCTGTGAATAGCCCCACATTTTGCCCTTGGCTCAACTGATTGGTGGATACCACGAGACTCCCGGATTGGCCAGACTTGACCAATTCCAGAGGAAAGTGCTGACAAGAGCTCGGGCCTGACAGGTGTCTGTCCTGACAGTAATGGAAGGTCAATTAAGCACGATTCATTAACAGCTAAAGGGGCAGTGTCTTCCACATCAAGCACGTAACTGGAGACTTGGCGAAACTCTCGCCATAACCTTCTTATTTCTCTCGCTGTGAGGCTGGGATAGTAATTGGCCCCCATTCTCAGTACTAGCGGCTCGCGGCAAGGCTGTCATCACGTCAAGCACGCGAATACTATTCCCCTCCATTCGTGTTCAACCATATTCCCCGCATTGGATCATACCGGCGCATCAATGGCCCAGGCACTCCAGAGCGATGACCAGCCTCCTCACGGTCCGGAAACCACCGACCCCTCAACTACTCAAACTACTTACGATAGACGGCGCGAGCAGGTTAGGCGAGCTCAAAAGTGAGTTAGCCCTCCTAGCGGGCGCCAAGGCATTGCTAACCATTCTTCAGAAAACATCGAGAAAAGAAAGAAGACCATTGCCGTTTGCTTGAAGATGAGCTTTATCGGTTATATCATTTAATTACTGTGGACGGAGAACTCCAGAGTCTCCGCTTTGAGAATGAGATCCTTCGAGATATCATGACCCGCCATTCAATACCATTACCTCCGGGCATAAGACTGCAAGAGGCATCATGGGCTGAAGTGACGTTCACCAATCATGGTGGACATGACCAGCAGTTACAAGTCAAGTTTCCAGAGTATCAGTCTTCAGCCGATCATTCGTCCGGATTCAATACAAATACAACCACCGATACAAGTACCCCATCTATGCAGTCAAGTATCCCTTCTACTGAGCTCTCAGGGATGAGGTACATCTAATCCCCGCATTTTATTCTTTTCGAAGGCTTTGTCTAATTTGATAACCCAGTAATCCTACATACTACAACAGCAGCATAAATCTCGCTCAAATGGGAGTAGATTTCGTCTTATCGTAAGTATACTCCAATCAAAAATAGTCACTGCGACTAACTTTCTAGAATCGAACGACCCTGTCTCTTCCACACACACTCCCCCGACGCGGACGAGCCATCAGGCCATGCCTTATCAATGCAAGGAATCCTGCTCTCCGGAGCCCCACAGGATCTTCAAGATAAAAGTGTGTGGGAAGTTCCAGCCCGACAACTTGAGAAGCTTTTTGAATTATCGGGTTGTCTCGGGCTGGATGGGTACATCACCCCTGTTCAAGCATGGAATCGCATCGTTGGTCGTCTGGATTTGAGTCAGGTCTTGGACCCGAGGGTAGAGGAGTTGAGGTCTGCTATGATTCCGCATGTTAAGTGTTATGGGTAAGTATTTGGAGCCAGCAGAGGGAGTGATGATTTTCATTAACCTACACATTGCTGACAAACCTTCACAGCTTTGGTGCATTGATTGAGGATGATGTATTTGAGGATTTGTTTCAATTTATCTTTGGGCAATGATCTTGGGGATTACAACTTATAATATTTGAAACCGTGGAAAATGATGACCAAATGCGTGCAGATGTAAAATCCAGCGAGGAAAAGTCTGTAGCACCAGTACTCTACTCTTTGATAATTTAAAGTTTAATTGACATAGGCATCTTGACGCTCGGGCTGGGAGACTAAATAGGTGGGACCAAACGTTCCAGAATACGAAATGATTCCAAAGCATCTGGCGGTGGGCCGATCTCGAGTAAAAATGATTCCTCATACATTGAAAATGATGAAACTTGACTGACACGCTTTGGAATCAATGGGAGTACTTGGATCACAATAATATGAAGTTGATTCCAGCTCAAAACTACAAGTAGTTGATGAGATCCTTCGTTGAACTATCCATTGAGTCCAACTTCCATACACAAAGACCTATCCGCAACAAATTCAAATCGGATACCCATCAAGATGCCTGGCTTTGGAAGTTGTGTCTGTGGCAATGTGTCTTTCCAGTATTCTGGTGAGCATGCTAATCTTCAATCATTACAAGAAATTCCCCCAATCTAATATATCTATCTTCAATCACAGGGGAACCAGCTATGACAGCACTATGCCACTGCAAAGGCTGTCAAAACTGGGGTGGTAGCGCATTCTCGTCCAGCGTAGGCGTTCCAACCACAAACTTCTCAGTCACCAAGGGAGACCCCAAAGATTGGGTTCGAGCTGGAGATGTGTCTGGCAAGGAGAATCGACACTTCTTCTGCGGAGGTAAGTCGTGACTTACTTCTCACCACAATGATTTCAAGACACTGATTGTTACAGATTGTGGATCGAATCTTTTTTCGCGGCCGGAGGTTTTGGAAGGCATTACGCTGATCAAGAGTGGCTGTCTTGATGAGACAAATATCCCTATTTCGCTGGAGATGTTTGTTACTAGACGCTGTGACTATGTGGCACCTGTTGCGAATGCTGCGCAGGTACCTGAGATGCCTTGAAAATGGTTTTTGCTGGGCATCGACTATCCTGCGGGTTATTTTACTCGAATGCGTTGACAACAGGATAGTTGGCTCCAAAATCTCAATAAAAAGGCAATGCCTTCTTCATTCTTTTAAACTTTAAACATCTAATCAATTCCTTCACTATGTAGTACATATCATCACGTAAATTCCACCCATTCACAATATGTAGGCAATACTGCATTATCCAGCCTATTAAACTCTTCCATTACCCATGTGTTTAATTAATGTCTGGCATTTTTAATCCGGCAGTCTGAGTCTCCACCTTGATCGAACGAGGGAAGGTCCACCCTTTACCCGACGTCACCGGATAAAAGATAAAAGCTTCAACCCCCACTACCACCATTACTTCACTTACCCTCCATCTGTACTTTTTAACTCTTCAATTCCCATTTACTCACTATTTTCTCCTCACATACACCTCTATAAACCGTCCACCTCCTAAATCAACTCTACAATGGCTCTCTCCGCCCCCAGCACAGACGTACGTCTCCCTCTAATCCAAATCCCCAACCCACCTATACTAACCTCCCCTCCCTCACAGCCAACAACCCTCCTCGCCCAAGAATCCAGCGAGCCCTACCTCTTCCGCACCTTCACAACCGAAACAGCCTGGACCCTCGGCAACGCCCTCCGAACCCGCCTCCTCTCCCTCCCGCCCTCACACCGCAAACCAGCCCTAATCTCCATCTCCCTCGCCACCGCAACCGGGCCCCCTACCAGTCCCAGCACGCAACACATTCTCTTCCAATGCGCAACAGAAAAAGGGACCGTCCCCGATAACGAGAATTGGGTGCGTCGCAAGCGAAACACCGTCCTGCGGTGGGGGATGTCCAGTTGGGCTATGCGGATGAAAATTGTTTCCGGCCTGGCTGGCGCAGCAAGTGCGAATGAAGTTGAGGCGGCGTTTGTGAAGAAGTTTGCGTTGGCGAGTGGCAGTGGGGGGTGCTGTTGCGGATGAATTTGCTATTCATGGGGGTGGGTATCCGATTCGGGTTCGGGGGGTGGAAGGGGTGATTGGGGTTGTGGTTGTTAGTGGGTTGAAGCAGGAGGATGATCATGCTGTTGTTGTGGAGACCATTAGGGAGATTATTGAGCAGGGGAATTAGATGGGGCTCAAGGTGGAGATGGATTATGTGTATAAAGTACAAAAGAATATCAGTACATCAAGAAGAAAACAAGACTACGACTAAATGGAAGATAGAAAAAGATAGACTGTATGCAAAAGGTATCATGGTATTTAAAGAGCCGGTACATTCAAGAAGCCAGGCTCGAGCGACGGGGGTATCGACCCGCGCAATTCTTAGTTCTTTAAGACTAGAAGCACACAAGAAAAAAAAAGCAAACAGAAAAAGAGAAGAGAAAACTCCATGGGTAATGCCTCAACAAATAATTTTACAGTTCGTCGTGGTCCAGAGGCTCATCATCCTCAGGAGGAGCACCAGAGCCATACAGCTTGCTGGTGATGGGGTAGGCCACGCTGGACAGCTGCTCCTTCTGCTCCTCAAAGTCCTCGGCGGTAGCAGTGGCGGCGTTGTCCTCGAGCCAGTCGATAGCCTCCTTCACAGCGTCCAGAATGGTCTGCTTGTCGTCCTCGTCGATCTGGCCGCCGAGGCCGTTCTCGTCACCGACCTGGGCCTTCAGGGAGAAGGCGTAGTTCTCCAGTCCGTTGCGGGCCTCGATCTTGGCCTTCATGGCCTTGTCCTCCTCGGCGAACTCCTCAGCCTCGGCCACCATGCGGTCGATCTCTTCCTGGGAAAGACGGCCCTTGTCGTTGGTGATGGTGATGCTCTCGGCCTTACCAGTGCCCTTGTCACTGGCGCTAACCTTGAGGATACCGTTGGCATCGAGGTCAAAGGCAACCTCGATCTGGGGAACACCGCGGGGCGCGGGGGGATACCGGTCAACTCGAACTTGCCGAGCAGGTTGTTATCCTTGGTCATGGAACGCTCACCCTCGAAGACCTGGATCAGGACGGTGGGCTGGTTGTCAGCCGCAGTCGAGAAGATCTGAGACTTGCGGGTAGGAATAACGGAGTTACGGGGGATCAGCTTGGTCATGACACCACCGGTGGTCTCAATACCAAGAGTCAGGGGGTTGACGTCCATGAGAACGACCTCGGTCAAGTGCTCATCACCACCGAGAACACCGGCCTGAACGGCAGCACCGAAAGCGACGGCCTCGTCAGGGTTGATACCCTTGCTGGCCTTCTTGCCACCGAAGTACTCCTCGAGAAGAGCCTGGACCTTGGGGATACGGGTAGAACCACCGACGAGAACGATGTCGTCAACCTCGGACTTCTTGACCTTGGCATCCTTAAGCACCTGCTCGACGGGCTTGAGGGTCTTCTTGAACAGATCAATGTTGAGCTCTTCGAACTTGGCGCGGGTCAGGGTCTCGGAGAAATCGTTTCCGTTGTGGAAGGCCTCGATTTCGATGCGGGTGGACATCTGGGAAGACAGAGTACGCTTGGCCTTCTCAACCTCGCGCTTCAGCTTACCCATGGACTTGAGATCCTTGCGGACATCAACGTCGTTCTTCTTGTTGTAGAGCTTAACGAAGTAGTCCATGACACGGTGGTCAAAGTCCTCACCACCAAGGTGGGTATCACCAGCGGTAGCCAGAACCTCGAAAACGCCGTTATCGATCGACAGGAGGGAGACATCAAAAGTACCACCACCAAGATCGTAGACAATAACCTGGCGCTCATCACCAGTCTTATCCAGACCGTAGGCGATAGCGGCGGCGGTGGGCTCGTTGACAACACGGAGGACGTTGAGGCCGGCGATAGTACCGGCATCCTTGGTGGCCTGACGCTGGGCGTCGTTGAAGTAGGCGGGAACAGTGACAACGGCGTGGGTAACCGACTTGCCCAGGTAGCTCTCAGCGACATCCTTCATCTTCTCCAGAATCATGGCGGAGATCTGCTCGGGGGTGAAAGTCTTGGGGGTCTTGTTGACATCGACCTTGACCATAGGCTTGCCATCCTTGTTGACGACCTTGAAGGGGAAGTTCTTGGCGTCCTTCTGGATGTCCTTGTCATCGAACTTGCGACCAATCAGGCGCCTATAGAGAGTAATTGTTAGCGATGTCGACTCATCGGGTAAAACCGGCCATGCTGGCCACAAAAAAAACGGCAACCGAGGAAATACTCACTTCACATCAAAGACAGTCCGTTGAGGGTTGGCGGCGTATTGGTTCTTGGCGGCGTCACCGACGAGGCGCTCCTCATCAGTGAAAGCCACGTAGGAGGGAGTAATACGGTTTCCTTGGTCGTTGGCGAGAATCTCAACCTTGCCATTCTGCATCACACCAACACAACTAGAAAAGACCACAGTTAGCTCAACGTGTCCAATTGACCTACACGAGGGTTTGATGGAGCTTCACGAACCTGTAGGTGGTACCCAGATCAATACCGATAACGGTGCCATAGTTCTCAGGTGAGTTGTCCTCCTCGGCGTGGGCAGTAGTGCCGAACAGCGCCATGGGGGCAATCAACACGAGAAGAAGGTAGAAGACGGTGGTCCAGGTGAAGCCCTTGGACACACCGGCGCGGCTCGCGAGTCGCGACATTGTGAAAAGATATGAGGGGGGTAAGGGAAGAAACAAGAAAGTGTTCAAAAGATCGATCCTCTACAACAAAGAGAGTATCAAGAACGAAGCCGAGTCGAATAAGCTTCTAGGCGCGTGAATAGATGAGTCGCGCTGTAAGAGACTCTTTTCAAAACCCTCAGAATTGGTGAATAGGCGGGAGGGACCCGAAGGCGAATGGGGGGAATGAAGAAGGGGAAAGGGGAGAGAAGAAGATGAAGGGCCCTCTTGTATGGAGACGAAGGGACCGACTTCGCGCAGCGGCCATGCTGGCCTTTTCCCAGACGGTTACTTCTCGGGCTGTGATTGGCTGGGAGGAGTTCGGTCATGGGTGAGTCAGCACTGATCAGGACCCAACTTTAATCAGGCGTTGACCGCCTTCTACTTTAGTATTTAGTCTAACCAGATCGGGTAAGTATTGATGGACCCCTGGCCAGGGAAGGAGGCGGTCATCAACCACTCAGGGACCGCCACCGATGTCGAACTTGCTAGAAGCAGCCAAGCGTTTTGCCCCCATTCTATCTTGGGGTGGCTCAATTTCGTCAGAGGGGAGCCACGTTTCAAGATGGGATAATAGCCAAGTGGCCTGTACTGGTATATGGAATGGCGACGGTACAGCTCCGTGTCAAGACAGGATGAAAATCTGTCCTCATGTTTACTGCTATGGTAGGGTTGAAGTATCACCATCCTTGTCGATCAAGAAGCATGGGGCCAAGAATCTGGACCAGGGGGATCTACAGAGCCTCATACATGGAGATCAGGGTTTACAAAGTATGCATGCGCAAGGCATCCACAGTAGGAATCAGAGCAGATTGGGTCCATACTTCTCATAACCCTTAAAGGCGAGAAACTAAAGCCGCCCTCAAAGCCAATTCCAGTGGTCATGTATAGTTAGTTATACAATAGGGCATATTGTCAGTACATACATTCTAGCCCTATTATCTACTGTTAAGCTTTTAAGGTTTTGGGCTTCACTATACGCATCGTTAACCTTGACGGATCACACAGTATGCTCGGATATTCATGTATCTTAATCTATGTTCATTTCTAGATCATGACGACCAAAGATTCATAGCATCATTTGCAGGACTGCCATTTACTCCAACAGCCCCGCGGCCACCGTCGTCCCTCCAGCACGTAGCACAATCCTCGTCGGCGCCTCCAAGGGCACAGCCTGGTCAATCTCCACCACCACACGCGCTACAGTGCCAGGAGCCACAATCTTAGGTCGTTTCTTCAGCGCCAGCCCCGAGGTTTTATCCAGCGAGGCCACGAGCTTGCTGATGCGACCAGGCACGTGTAGACGGCCACGATGAACATCCACTTGCATAGGCATCAAGTGCTCAAAGGCCAGGATCTTGGCGGTAAAGCTCGTGACGGTCTTGATCGGTGCCGAAGCTCGGCAGACCACATCACCGGAACGCAGATGGATCGGGTCAATGTTGGCAAGGTTGAGCACGACGTTTTGACCTGCGACGGCCCAGTCACTGGGCTCGCCGTCCACCTCCACGCTGCGGATCAGGGCAGTCTCGCCGCTGGGCATGGTGAGGATTTGATCACCCATTTGGAGACTGCCAGCGTCCAGGCGGCCTGAGATGGAGATTGGGTTCTGCACACCGCCGCGGAACACGTCGCCAATCGTCATGCGTAGCGGCTTGTCCAGAGCGTGAGTGTATGGCTCTGAGGTTTCCAGCTCCTCGAGGAGTGTTCGCCCCGTGTACCATGAAGCCTTGGGGTCTGCGCTGCGCCGGGTGATGTTGTCACCTAGTACGCCAGAGCAAGGCACGAAGGAGATGTTCTTGGGCTGGAAGCCTGCGGTCGTCAAGAAGGCCGAAATCTGCTGCTCGATCTCTTGGAATCGCTCCGTGTCCCATTGCACGGTATCCATCTTGTTCACAGCAACGATTATCTTCTGAACACCCATGCTTCGAACTAGAAGAGCATGCTCCTTGGTCTGACCCTTCAAACCGGACTCGAACTTGCCCACACTGGAATCGATAACAAGCACCGCAAAGTCCGCCTGACTGGCGCCGGCAATCATGTTCGGCACAAAGTCACGGTGACCCGGTGCATCGACGATGGTGAAGGCGGTGGTTTCGGTCTCGAATTTGTTGGTCGCAATGTCGATGGTAACACCACGTGCACGCTCTTCCGAGCCTTGATCCATCACCCAGGCAAGAGCAAAAGAGCCCTTACCAATCTTCTCAGCCTCTTTCCGATACTTGTCTAATGTACGTTGATCTATCGCTCCTTGATCTGCCAATAACCGCCCCATAAGTGTACTCTTTCCAGCATCCACATGTCCTGCATCTCGTCAGCCATATAATTTCAACTCCCTCAAGGGAAAGAATGCAAAAACCCACCAATCACAACAAAATTAGCCGACTTCTTCCGTGTAGACTTGTTGTATTCCGCCAGCACATCGAGGTTCTTGCTTTTCACAGTAACCTTTTCCTCCACGGAAAGATCCTTCATGCTGCCGGCCAGATCGGCTTGGCCCTTGGCTGCCTTGGAAGCAGCCGGTTTGGATTTGAATCCTACACGTTATTAGGCGAGTGGCTACTAACCCTTTCTGCGGATCGCCAAACCTTTTGCTGTGCTTTGCGCATTCATTACCACGTCATCGGGACTGGGAGCTGCAAAGTCAAAGGGTTCAGCATGGTCCTGGCCGTAAATATGAAGCAGATCCACGTTGTTCGAGTTGAGGTGGCTGGGCTCAGCCATAGTTGGGCCTGCTGCGTTGCCTAGGATGACACTGGCAAAAGTGGATGGAGAAGCACGGATATTTGGTGTTGGTTGTTGCTGCTCTGCCTCTTTCTCCGGCTCTTCTTGCTTTGTAGGTTCCGATAGAGATGGTGGGGGAGGTTTGCTAGTCTCAGGCGCTGGCTGCTGCCGAGCTGGCAAAGACGCAGATGAGCCTGGTTTGCCCAGTCGTCGCAGGCCTCCATTTGTTTCAGATGCCTTTGACAACTTGCTGGCAGCAAGCCGCTCAGAAAGAGACAGAGGTGTCACTGAGGGCTTGAGCGCCGATCCCTCTGAACGCGCAGGTTGTGGCGTTGATGGGTTTTCCGGTGCTGCTGCAGCCTTTTCGCCTTCCTTCTTCTTCCGTGCTGCCGCCAAAGCAGCTAGCTTCGACATCTTGCCAGCAGATTCTGGTGCACCACCCAGCAATCCCAGCCGCGGGTACAGCGGTTCAACGAGGATCTCAGTTTTGCGGTGGGCAGGAACGTTAAGCCAAGGGCAGTCGCGAAAGAAATCGGCCGCTGAGAAGTGCGCTTCGGCAGGTAGAGGAGCAGGGAATCCTGGCACTGGAAGACCTGTTAGAACAACGCCCAAACTTCCAGGTACCGTCAGTCTTGAGGTCTAGGTGAACAAGTGTGAGGTGTTTCACCACCAGGAACAAGGCTCGGCCACATACCTGAGCAAGAGAATTGGACAATGGGATCACCACAACGGGAGGAACGCGCAGATTGTGTTTGTTTCCCGAGCCCAGCCACGAACACCTCGACCAACAAACAAATGAAATCAAATCCACTTACCAGCCTGAACCTTAGGTTTCTGCACAGCTGGTGCCGATTGCTTCTTAAGCTCCTTCTCCTTCTTTCCTGCACACACAAAAACCCCGGTGTTAGCATCAACTCACTGAGTCATAGCAAAGCAAAGCAAATACACCCCCACCACCAAAACCACAACACTGTCTCCAAGACAAGGGAAAGTCGAAGAGGAGAAAAGATACATACCCCTCAAATAATTCACTGCCTTCTCAATATCATTATAATAATGCCATAGAGCTTCCTGGACTTCCTCCGTCGTGGCCGTTACCGACGGTTGCCCCGCGCGAAGCTGCCCCAGGACCGCCGCGGTACACTGTTGCAGAAACTCCTGCTCCTCGGGATCAGGCGAGTCGTACCCATCATCATCCTCGAAGTGATCGTCGTCGTAGCCGACATTCTTCACGCGGTGTCTCGACATCGTGTGTGGTTGACGCGGGGTAGGTAGAAGGGAGAAGGGAAAGTTGTTTGCGACTTGGCGGGGAGGAAGCGGAGAGGAGGAGAGGAGGGGTGGTGGTTAGCGCTGGAGGGGGGAAGGGAGTGGTCAATTGTGGAAAGTAAGGGGTAGTTAGAAATGGAAAAAGTCAGAAAATGACAGGTCAAGGTCTCTGTTGCTGAGACGATGTTCTTGAGAAAGTCGAGTTCGCGAACAGAAAACGGAACGTGTTTTGTTGGGTCGAAGCGATTCTTCGGTCCACGTCATTCTCCACTGCGTTGCTGAGGCTCCCGCGATATGTCATACCATAACTTCCTGTAGAAAGATAACTCGACCATCCCATAGAAGCAATAAGTGTACGGTCTTTTTGTGAACATCCAAAACTGTGAAGTAGAAATGTATTCGTGACTGTGTACAATCGCTATTGCATCCATAAAACTACGTCTATGCAGTCTCAAAGAACATGCCATGTGCTATAGGGACCATCGCCAAAAACCAAAGGAGTAAAACAAGAATAAAAATTTATTGGCATGCCTCGAAACTAACCAGCCCACTGCGCAAGGCACAAGTTCATCGCAGCGGACTGCCACCGAAAAAGTCGCCCGCGCCGGGGCCAGAGAAAGTGCCATTACTAGGGGTTAGGGCGATCGAGCGCCGGAAAGCCTGACGGGGTGTAGTAGGAGCGCTGGCTGGGCCAGCTGTAGGGGTAGACGTGTTCACCGGTGCGGCGGCCGCTGCAGAGGCTGCAGTTACACTAGCAGCATCGGGGGTGTTGGGTGTGTTGCGGCCGCTGTTTGAGAGGGCGACGGCTGTACCAGGGCGTGAGAGGACGGCGGCTGTGCTAACGCCACCGTTCTTAGGAGGGGGTCGGAAGCCATGCTTTGATCCTTCGCGGAAGATTTCTTCTAGCATGTGGGCGACGATGCCCGCGTCTTCGTACTCTTGGAACTTCTTCCACAGGCGCATAGCCATGCGGGCGTCCTCGATGGAGTCGTGGCCGTGAATGACGTCGGAAGTCGGCTCTTCTTGGATGTATTCTTTAAATACAGCCCAAGCCAAGTATCGGAGACTGAGACGACGGTTCTTGCTGGGGTAGAAAAAGAGGTATTGCGTGTCCACGGTTTGGGACTTCGGCACCTGGATGTTGATCTTGCGGAAGTCCGAGGCCAAGCCGTGACCGACAAAGATACATCCTAGGTTCAACAGGAGCCAGAGCTTCTTGTATGCTGCCTTTAGAGGAACGAGATTATGCTCGCTAGTCCGCGGATCGAGGTCGCCGGGTTTGATACCGGAGTACTGAGTGACATAGTCGACGATTGGCTCACGGATGGTGATGTAGTCGTCGATAAAAGGCACACCCTCGTCCACGCCCGAGGCCCGCAAGACCGAAACTCGGGCCAAGCCACTCTTGTTGGGCCGGACGATCTCTTGGGACCCGTCAGCCTTGACATCAATCTCGGCCTTTTCAAGGTCCACGAATTCGGTATCGAGGGCCACGGGTGTGCCGGTTTGTGGCTTCTCTTCCTCGGTCAGTGTACGGCAGGACTCAACTTGGTGGCCACCACTGTATTATTTGTTAGCATGGTACTTTCACTCGGGATCGCACTAAAGCTCAGGAGCTAATACTTACTTCAAAGACCACTCGCGGAACAGCAGAGTGGTATCCAAGCAGCTCTTCCAAGAGTCATCGACACCATGACGCGCGCTTCTTACTTGGAAAGCCAACACACAAGGCTGCTTCCACGGCTGGGTAAAGCTAAGCGCCTCTTCACGATCCACCTCGGTAACCAAGAAGTCGTTGAACAGATGCCATTTATCCTCTGGTTCCTGAGTCTCCGGCTCCGAGATGGAAACATTGATAAACGATACCAGATGCGGTTTCTGATGCTCTGGAATATCGATCTCCGCCACTAAGCCTACCAGATCGTACACCACAAGTCCGGGCGTGTTATTCTGCTCGCGTGACCGAAGCTCATCACCCTCGAAACACATTACTTGTCCATTTTCAATGACCACACCGACAGCGTCCGGCAGCCATCCGGGAATCGACCACAGACGACGACAGATAGGATTCGTCAAGGCAGCATTCAGGACAAGGATCAAAGGCATCCGGTGAATAGTCTTCCGAATCATCACTTGCTGGTAGCGCCGGCAGTAGTTGCACCACCCTCGGTTCTGCGTCTCGCGCTCGATACTCGCGCGCAGAATGCTGGAGAATCGGAACGCCGGGTTGCGTCGTGCATGTTTGATATCCAAGTTGGGATAGAGAAGCTCATTTGCAAGAGAGTTACCCGGGCGTACAGTCTCGTTCTGGCAGAACATGCACCGGATGGACTCCGACGCAATAGTAGCCAGGCGCTGGTCCAGCTCTTCAGAGCTAGGCTGGATCATCCTGAAATCATGTGCAATCTGCGTGAGGAAGAAGCGATTCACGGCCTGAATCGCGGTGGAGAGAGATTTGTTTGTAAGGTTTTCCTCAAGGAGACCCAGGTTAGAAGCCTCACGGAAACTGCTGAATGTTTTCAACAAGTTGGTAGCCTGGCAATTCTGACCATTGGCTTTCTCTAGCATGTCGAATAGATAGCCCAATTCGCACAGGAGGCAGTGCTCAAAGATACAAGAACCAGCAGCATGGGTCAGGGAAAGATTCCGGAAGAGAGGGATGAATTTGAGGAGTTGAAGGAGAGAATTCGTGAAGGAGTTGGCGATGTGAGTCTCCAAGCCAGAGAAAGTAGTTTGGTTGTAGAATCGGAAGTCAAAATCGTCAACGCCGAATCGACTGTACTTGATCTCGACGTTGCTGTATTTAAGAAGGGGGTCATCCTCACTCTCGCCGTTGATTTTCGCGCCCGCCAGTGCCTCGGCCGTGTCACTAACAGAACCCCTCACGTCCGACTTGCTCTGATCCCGAGCCTTCTCGCTCAGGAACTTGGGTGCAATGAGGGCAGGCTCGGCTGCAGCTAGTGCACGGGTGTTCTCGACTTGATACCGCCGAGTCTTTCGCGGATTAGGTGCTCCGTGCCCGACTTCCGCTTGGCGTAGATATGGCAGCAGAGACTGGTCCAATTGAGGTGGCGGGCTTCCCACTTCGAAGACGAGATGGCTCGGCCATGCAGAAAAGAGACGATCATGGTAGTAGGGCATTCCGACCATGTTCAAGGGAGTCTCAGGAGACCAGTCGATGGGAGGTGGTCGAGTAGGTACGTCGGCAAATTCAATCTCCTTGCTCATCTCGTTGAAGTGAACCTTGTTAGGTGATCCCCAAAGATGAATGGAACACTCCGCATCATTGATGGCAAGAGCCTCTCCCGATGGAGAAAGGTCAAGGCCCAACATGAAAGAAACATTCGCTTGTCGTAGATTGATCGCATTCGGATTCATCAGATCCACCACTTGAAGCTGACCGGTCTGCGAAGCCACGAAACTCGTCGTGTGTAGTTTCGGGTGCATCCGCACATACGCAGCACCCGCATGGAACGGGATAGGTGGCAACGGCGACAGCGTCTTCAAGTCGTACACATTCGCCAACGGATCAACAATCGGGGACCCGAGATGACGGACCGAAAAGCCGCAAGTGACCAGCAAGTCGTTCCGCGCATCCATATCATTGATAGCAGTACCATGCGCCTTCCACGACTTAACGACCTTGAAATCTGCCAGACTGAGCGCGTTGACAGAACCCGTATCCGTAGCCGCGCAAAGATACCGACTCTTCTTCATGAGGGTATAATTCGAATCGGTATGCAACTTATCCACGATAGTGCCCTTGTCGATATCAATCGTGAACATGGCACGCTGACACCCCGCTACCAGAACCCGATTCGTCTGCGCCGTAAAACTCATACAGCGGAGATCGGTCATCTCCTCGTGTGCCAAATGCCATTGTGTCAAGCCGCGCCGCGTGATCATATGCACACTCTTCGAAGATAGGGATATCACACCGCGTTCGTGAAAGAGTATCTGTCGCACCATACCTTCGGAGACAGGATGCGCGCGAACGGAGGTATAACGCTGCAACTCCGGTCCGTAGAAAGACGAGACTCGGCCCTAACCAGATGAAAGAGAGAATAACATGAGCCCAAAGTTCTATTCCGTCCTACATGTACATAGCAAGAGTCGACACTCACATATTCATTTCCCGTCCATAAAAGTTCCATAACATCGTCAAATGCCACCGTCGTCGCAATCGTAGGTAACCCGTGCACACTCGGCGGTGGCATCGGGATGCGCGACAACTCGTCCCAATCAGCCTCCATCGCGACGGCGGGCTAATCCGGGCGAACGCGCCCAGATTATAATATCAGATAGCACCTGTCTCGTGAATTGAATGCTGGCTCAGGGTCTACAACCTTCACCCGGATGAGAAAAGACCGAGTCCGAGCATCGTCTGCGAGGGGACGCGATTGCGGGGAAGCTATCAGAAGCCTTTGGTGCCGGGCACCTGCCAGATATGGCGCGTCGAAAGAGATATCCGAGTGAGCTATCAGGTATCTGAATTAGTTTCGATCCCGTCACAATGCGAAATCGGAGGATAAGTCCGCCTGGGCCTGTTGATGCGTGTTGTCGTCCGTCTGAAGACCATCGCGGGACTAAGGAGTGATACAGTCACGTGATTCCTGCCCGATAGCGCAGGAAGTATGAACTACAGAGGAGCAGAGGAATATGAACCATGCGTTATAGGGGGTGAGGAAAAGACAAATTGAGACTCAAATGAGGCGAACACGCTATCGTCATCATATAAATGAGCTCAAATTCTATATGAGGAGAGCGGCCAGAACTAGGCGTGAAAGTAATGTGACCGAACTCATTTTTGTCGTGAAGCATTTTAATTAGTGCATCTGGGCAAGAACAGGAAAAGAGATTTTTACAACCCTGGTTAAGACCAAACACCTACACCAGAGAACAACTCATAGGCAGGCTTAACTTCGCGAATCAATCACATTGCTAAAGAGCCCGAGGTATAAGAAGCATATGTACTGGCAAATAATTTAGACCGACTGTCATCGATTGGCTAAAACAACAAAGGCCCAGTGAAAGAAACACGAAAACAGGGGGAAAGGTAAGGCTATTCCATAACCCCGCAAGCAAAAGGAGAGATAATAAACACCACCATTTCCCTGGTATCAAGGTATCACCCAACCGCAGTTAACAAAGATATCGCATAGCCATGTTTATCTGTAGAAAGAAGCGGGGTTTGACGCAGGTACTCCAGCCTGCGAGGGCTGGTACGCTTGGTATTCCCCGGTTGGCGGAGCCGAGGGCGCGGGATTAAAGGCAGTGTACTGGGCAGGTTGAGAAGCAGGAGCAGCACCGGGGATAGGGGGTGGTTGGTGCGCGGGTGGGGATGTTGGGTATGGGGCTTGCTGTGCCTGCTGCTGCTGGGGAGGGAACTGGTGGGGAGATTGTTGGTGCATTCCAGAGGCAGACGGGTCATCGGTAGAGTAGACGGAAGGTGAGTAGTCCTGCTGTTGCTGTTGCTGCTGCTGCTGCTGCTGTTGGAATTGCTGGTGGGCAGTTGGAGGAGCTTGGCCTGAAGCCGGGTAGGGGGGACGTTGGTTGGCAGCAGCTGGATGGTCTACAGGCGAATCGTAGACCGATGTTCCGAGTTCTTGTGGCGAATCATATGTTGACTGAGGGCGGTGGTGTACAGGCTGGTAGGAGTCCGGTTGCGGGGTTTGCTGCTGTACCAGTGGCTGTGCCAGAGGCTGGGCTCCACCTGGGTACTGAGAACGAGGATCGGGGGAGTGAGACGCGGGTCGGTATGGCATCGACTGTTCCGCGCCGTAGTACGCATTGGGCTGCGACTGTGGGGTTGGTGTATCTAATACCTCAATGAGTGGATGTTCAACTAGACCGGGTGGTGGGACAAGCAAACCTTGGGGTCGAGGACTGAAGTATCGCTGATCCGGTTGAGGAGCACCCTGAGGAGGACCCTGCGGGTATCCAACAGGGGCCGCGGCAGGATATCCGTATGGTGGCTGTCCAGGACGTCCATACTGAGCCTGTGGTGGATGAGCCATTGAGGCCTCCAACAACGACTCGTAGTCACGACGAGCTTTGATGAATTTCTCGTTCAATTGAGTGAACTCATCTATATCATGATCAGTCATATCAGTCATAACAACGGCCAAAGCAAGAATCAAGATACATACCTTTCTTCTGCGAGTACTTCCCAATAAGCTCAATCAGCTTAGGGCGAATGGCCAGCGTAGAGTGATAAAGGGTAGTAATCTCCTCGTTCTCCTGAACGTTCAAGTCCGAGCTTCGAGTGCTCAGCAGTGTCAGGAGCTTCTCAACGTTCTTGATCTGGCCAAAGACCTCGCCTTCCATCTGTGCCTCCCGGTGCAGCTCTTCCACAGTAGGATCGGGAAGCTTCTCCACATAGTTCAGAGGGAAAATACCCGTCTGTCCGCGTAAAGAACCCTTCCACCAATCCTTGTACACTGATTCCAAGACCGCAATGATATCACCCTTGCGGAATTGAAGCTCTCCGGGCTCCGAGGGCTGGAAGTCGAACAAAGCTCTGACGCGGGACACGGTAGCCGCGGATGTGCCCGAGGGAACGGGCTGAGAGATAGCAGCATCGGCCGTGTTTGTTGGAGCTGGCGCGGACGCAGACGAAGATGCAGCTGCCGCCGAGGAGGACTCAGCTTGAGGTGCCGGGCCTGGTGGCGGATTCTTATCCTTGATGGAGAGTGCAAGTGCCATCTGCAATTCCTCTTCTTCCTTCTGTCGGTCGACATCGGTCATCGCGCTCTTAACGGGCTTCGACGGAGGCTGCAGGTTGGGGTCTATAGAATGATTGGTCAGTAACTCAACCAGAATGCTGGCAGAGAAAAGGTACCTACTTTGAGTCTTCAGCTTCATGTAGGCCTGTTCCATAATGCCAAAATCCGGGTTTGAAGAGAACATCTCTGTCCAGTCCTGCATCCGTTCCAAAATTTTCGACTTCACTTGTTGATGTGTGTTCTAACAAGTCGTCAGCAACCATTATGTCGTGGAAGGGGTCAGCTCCACCTACACGATCAGCCGCCAGGCGCAACAGCGCATCAGTAAAGCTCCTCGAGGCCAGCTCGCGATGAATCTTGGGGCCACAGTTCTGCGACAAGGAATTTCCAAGCTGTAGAAGTGAGGTTAGTAAACCCATACACCAAACTCGAAGAGCGAGATACGCACCTCCAAAGTATAAAGCTGCACATTGGCATTCCTATGCGCCAACCGTTTAATCATAGCCGCAACAGCCTCTTTCGCCCTATTTAACCAAACTCATGATCAGCATTCAGCCCCCATAGCAGCCTCACTCAATCCCATTGGGCGCAAGTGTAAACAACATACCCCGACTCTTCCGCAGCGACCTTATCACAGACATCCTGTCACCACCAAGCCAAGTCAGCTCCTGGGATCTCAAATCCCCTCATTTATGATTCCCGCCGCTCCGCATCACGCACCAGAATATATTCCCAATTCTCAGAAGTCAGGTTCTCGTCTGTCGCCTTGGCTATACGGATAATCGCGTGGTTAGTATAAATCCACAACAAAACATCTCACGAGTCTCGCACTCCGTCGCAGCTCAGCTCCGGGGAACTCCCATCAACTCCACCTCCGACTGCAGTATCCAGCACGACTTACCGACGGCGTCGTCAAAAGCATTCTGCTGCGCACGAAACATTGCCACGGGTATCTCCTCCAGCAAAGCCGAATAGTCACGGGTAATACGTAGCTGTTGTAGGGTATCGGTAACGGTATCGTCGGTAACAAGTCAGGCACCGCTCCGCTCCTCGGCTTAAGCTAAGCAGTTCGATCGCGAAACAGATATCCAAGCGAGAGTACTCCGTGGCTAGCCTCAATCAACCAGAACCAGAGCCAAACTCTCCAAAAAAGAAAACCGAGGACGTAACCGTGTAGCTAGCGACAGTCGGGGCTCCGTCCAGCACTAAATGCGGGGAGTGGATTGGGGGGTTGAGGAAGAAAGCAGGGTGCGGTGCGGTTGAGTTGGTATTTGGGCCAACACTCGAGCTGGTAAATTTGAGAGGTGTCGATGTGCGAGGCGAGTAAGTGGCGAGAATAGAAGCAAACGTAAGCTTCAAAGGAAATCAAGTGCTGCGCTTGTCTTGACGAACGGGAGTTTTCAGGTTCGATGATCGTGGAAGCCTGCGTGTTGTGTCAGTGCTTCTGGTTGCCGTCCGGGCGGAACTGAGTCAGCAGAACGATGACGACGGTGGGAAGTGGACGGGGGGAGCTTTTAGGGGCGAAGCTCGGATGTACTTATTCTTAGTTCAGGGCCCACGGGAATTGGTGTCTGCCTTGGATGTGAGAATTTCTTCGAGAAGAGATTTTTTGCTCTGGTTCTCGTGGCTGAATAATGGATTTTGCTTAAGCAGTCAATTTTGCCCCCCCTTGAAAGACTGTCAGATGTAGGCTCCGGCTTTTTATCGGTGTTGATTTGTTACATTGCTGGTGACTGAGATAAATATATATCCACACGTATGTACTTCGTACACTCGTACTCGTTTAGTTTGCGGCTGTGACGATATCTTTCCATTGACCACTTCAACCAGCATTTGCACAACCTAATCCCAAAGGTTAAGAAGATATAGAAAGATAGACCAAGATCGCTCAAACCCAGTGTAGCATCACAAGAAAGAATCAACCCACGGCCGAAAATATGCGAAACCAAGCGCAGTATGAATCCCACTTATCAGAGAGTCACCAGCAGTACATGGACACAAAGCACAACCCACGGCAGAGAAAGCATCGGGCGAGGTTCAACCCACTTAATCACCACACTCGAGATGGGCATCCTCGAATTGCACGGCAAAATGCCAGATAATAGAACTACATAATGCTACAGACACACACATGGCCCCTGCAGGGAAAGGCGGAAAGGCAACAAAAGAAAATAGGGGAGATAAGATAAGATGAGATGGAGTGAATGGAAAATAAAGAAACAGTAGAACCCAGCCGGCCTCGTCCTAGTCTTCCACAGGCAGATCAGAGAAAAACAAACAAGACATAAGACCGAATAGATCTTTTTTTCATCGCAAAGCACAATGAAAAAGGACTGATAAGAATGAGAAGAAATAATGGTTCAAATGGGAATATAATAAATAGATCAGAAGAGGTAAAATAAACGGGACTGACTCCAACGACATGGTGATGCGAAATATGTTGACATGCCGGAATCGAATCTAGAAGAAAAACATCGGGAGTGACGGGGTATCTGAACGAGACGAGACGAGAAGGGGAGACAGAAACAGAATGGAAAGACCAGAAGAAAGTAAAAATGGAGAACCGAAACGAAACGAAACATTGACATCGAAGGAAGAAGACAGAAGAGGGAATCTGGTCGATTAAGCGCCGCCTTTCTGCGCTTTCTCTTGGGCGCGGCTGATACGCGCAGCCTTGACTAGGGGGGCGAGGTGAGTGAGTGGAGAGCACAGGCCCATGAAGGGATGCTGTATAAAATGTTAGTGGGATGATTCAATAGAAGAGTTGGAATTGAAAAAAAACCAGGATATGAGCTGACATACCTTCAACAAGTCGTGAGCCGAAGCACGCTTCTCCGGGTCGACCTTCAGGGCCAAGTGGAGGAAGTCACGGAAAATGTGCGACAGTTGATGCTCATCCTTGATCTTGGGGGTTCCGTTTGTGGCGATCAAGTAGAGGGCGCGGAGTGGCGATTCGGTCAGATAAGGTGGTTCGCCCTCGATCATTTCAATGGCCATGATACCCAAACTCCAGATGTCAACCTTGCGACCGTACTCTTTGCGAGTGACGACCTCGGGCGCCATCCAGTACGGGGTACCGACCATGGTGTTGCGCTTGTTGTGGGAATCGTTGATCTGGGCACAGAAACCGAAATCGGCTATATAGGATATTAGTATTGTGTTGCAAGTTAGATTAGAGAGGAAACGGGAGATCGTACTCAGTTTGATGTTACCCTCTAGCGAGAGCAGGATGTTATCTGATTTGATATCACGATGAATGACACCCTTTGAATGCAAATGCTGAAGACCGCTCAGAGTCTAGAATAGTTTCGTCAGCAATTCCGTAACCCAAATCCAAAAGCTTGTTCTAGGGGTACTCACCTCACGGCAAACAGCGGCAATCTGCCCTTCACTCATAATATTGAAGGTGACCACGTCCGTCAGACTGCCACCCTCCATGTACTCCATGACAACCCACAGATCCAGCCCATGCAAAAAGCTCTCCAGGAAATTAACAATGTTCTTGTGCTTGCTATCCTTCATCACGAGAATCTCGTTGATGATTAGGTCCTTCTTCGGCTGGAGGTCGAGGTTCATCTGCTTGATAGCCACGCAGTTGTTGGTACCCGTCTCATACGCGGTGTAGACACCACCGGAAGCACCTTGGCCAATCTTGTTCAAGCTGTGATACAATTGAGTAGGATCGCCGGGACGGCAAATCTGAAGTAGACGCTGGCGCACATCCATGACCGTGCTCTGACGCTGCTGGCGTTGTCGTGGGCGGGCGGCAGGCGGAGCGCGAGTGCTGGGAGACGCTGAAGCTGGCGACGGATCCGCGGATGAAGGGCTAAAGTTGGTAGCCAAAGGCGGAGGCTGAGGAGGCTGCTGCTGGGTGCGCTGGCTCGTACTCCGATCCAGCTGCTTCGAAGCAATTGCTTGCTGAGCAGCCGCCATGACCTGCTCCTGTTGCTGCTGGTATTGTGTCGGAGAGTCGATCACATTGTGCTTGGGGACCGGGACGCCATTGCGAGAGTTGGAGCGACTGGGCTTGGGCGATGCGGATTTCACGGGTCCTGTCTCGGGCATAGGGGGTGCCCCGTATGATGCGCCATATGGATCTTGAGTAGGTCGCTGCGGCAGAGCAGTAAAGCTTTGCGATACGGGAGGTTGCGGCGGTGGGCGGGCTGGAGTCATGCCGGTTGGGGGCTTTGGAGGCGCACGATGGGGGACCATACTACCCAGAGGCGGGGACATGGCGGCGGCTGGCGATACTGCGGGAGGACCCCGAGGAATTGGCGGCGGCGCTCGCGGGTTCTCAAAACTACTTTCATGATTTTGCGGGAATCGGGGGCTACCGGGTGGCGAGGTTCCCGTCGCGGGTGTAGTTGTCGTCGTCGTCGTTATCGTGGGCTTGTATGATGCATTGTCGAACTTGTGCCAGACCTCATCATCATCTCCACGTGTGTTCTTTTCGTAGAATCGCATAATATCCACCATTGTCTGCGGGTGTTCCTCCTGCTCCTTCTTGGAGATACCATTTTCCTGCAACAGCCGCTGCCATTCCTTTGGCAGACCAGTGAACTGACCAGTCTGGTTATCATATCCCACGTGCGTTACATGCACTGGATTCTCTGGGGCAGAAATCTTAATGTTGCGAGGTGATCCGAGCATGCTATTGACAAAACTGGAGAAGCTGGCCTTTTTGCTTCTTCCTGCCCGAGGAGGGGGGGGCCCGAGGCGGCGCTGGCGGCGCCGTTATTGACTTCATCAGAATAGCGCTTATCATGGTGAGACCGCTCGGTCTCCCGATGCGCAAAGGAGTCCATCAAACGATTCGGTAGGGCGGTGAAGCTGGCTGATTGTCGGAGAGTTTGGCGGCCTCGTGGGTCGTCGGGACTGGTGTGATGAGAACGCAATGGCGGTGGCTGTGGTTGTGATTGATACTGCTGGGGTTGATGATCGGGCTCGGCGCTATTCTCATCAAGCGCACTGAGCATACCCCGCGTTTCAAAGGATGAGTTATTGAGGTCATCCGAATTGCGTTCATTATAAGAAAAGCGATTGGAGCTTCGAGTCCTGGAGCGCGAGGAGCTGCTAAAACCGGGGAAATAGGTCGAGGACCCCTCATCGACGACGGGGGAGGGCCCACCACTGTGCTGGCTATGTTGGCTGTGCTGGCTATGCTGTTCGAGCGAGGAAGATGAGGAGCCAAAGGCAGCGTTAGAGCGCGACCGGACGTGCTCTCGACTGCCACTAGGAGAGGAGCGTGGATAAACGGGGGCGGAGGGGTGACGTTTGAGCGAGGTAGTGCTTTGATGACTCCGAAGAATGCGCGAACTGAAGCTAGGGGGATCCTTGTGCAATTTGCTAGACGGGCGGCGGAATTTCAACGAGAAATTACTTTCTGAACTCATGGTGGGCAGATTAGGGGGTGGTCACTGTCGCCGGGGGACAGGACACAGGACGAGATTGGAATTGGGCCGAGGAGAGGGGGAATCAGGAGAATTTTCCAAGGCCAATTGGGGATTGGGGAGATATCTGCGACCGTAAAGGTCACGGTCGGGGGCGGGTAGGCCTGTGACTGGCAGTAATTCTCTGATCGGGGATTATAATTAAGGTGGTGTGTGGCGGGATCGAATAGTAGGGTCGTCAGAATTGGGGGGTGAGAAGGGGGAGGATCTTTTCTGGAATGACGAGAAGAAGAATATAATGAGAGAGGAGAAGGTGAGTGTTGCTCTCTTCAGATTTGAGTTGTGCCAGTGTCAAAAATGGCCCAAAGTGGCCGGGCACGTGGAAAAGCGGAGAGAGAGGAGGAAAAAAAGGGAGGACCACTACTAGAGCACTAGTACTGACTGTAAGTCACGCTTCTTACGCGGGTGGCTGGTTGGCACCGATGACGCCCGGACCTGACAAGGGTGGCAGGTTTGGCAGGATAATTCGACACGATAGATCGATTGAAAGCAGGATAAATTATGATCAAGATTTAAATATATTAATATCTGTATAGAATTGAATATTTTCAATTTCTATCACTGATATAATCTTCTTCTTGACTACCAATAACCTTGATTGTGATCATACTACTCATACTTCTTGGTAGACGGACTACTGTCTCTCCTCTTCACCTCTAATTTCTCCGAAGCATTCTAGATTTTCGAGGGCCCCCTCTTCATTTCCTCATTTCACCCGAGTGGATGGATGAACGGGGCTAAAGTGGGCAGCAAGTGGACACCCAACGTTGGGCCTTGACCAAACGCGGGACAAGAATAGAAGTGGATTGCTTCCACTGACTAACCCAACCTGGGACGATGGAAATGATTCCTTTCCCTAGCGTCAGACCAAAGTAGGTTAAGTAGTACTGCACATCGATACTAGTCTCATAGTTAAGGACAGTACTGTAGTGCTGGTTCTTCTACGGAGTACTGTGAAGCTTTGAGGGCAATTTACCCATCTCATCAATCATAGCCTACAACACAGTTGACTCGACAGCACTGTATAAGAATACCATAGACAGAACACCATTGCTATCCGATCACCTCACTTTCTGCCGGTACACTGCACTGCCATCTTAATCCATTTCCTCCTGAATACTCGCAGGTCGCCTACCTGGAATAAGATCGCCTAATCAGCATGATGATGAACGACTTCCGACCGCCCGTGATTTTCGCCCCCACTCTCAGCTACGGCATGTCTTGATATCAGACACAAGAAGACGGTCTCTTCTACAGATCTTTAATCTGCAACGTCACACTAAATAGATGGAGACTGATACACAGTTCCTCCGAGTCTGAATTCACGATGTCGCTTCAGCAGCCAGTCTCCAAGCTGTGGAAGCGGACAAGAGAGAGTAAGCCCAAAGTGCGCACTGGCTGCAAGACTTGCAAGTTAGTACAAGACCCCCATGCCAGACCCCCTTGGCTAATTTGAAATTAATCTATAAACGCGTCACTAACCCTGATCTAGATTTCGACGAGTCAAATGTGACGAAGGGAAGCCCACTTGTACTCGGTAGATTAACCTTCTTTCCATTCATTCACTTGGCTTCCCTTTCTTGACTTTGCCTCCCATCTTCCTGGCTTTATCAACAACTAACAACCCTGTAGATGTACCAAAGCCGGAAGAATTTGCGAGGGCTATGGAAGTGGAGCGCCTAAATCAACTTCCCACCTGGCTAGGCCACTAGCCCCGGCACCAGCTATTGACGACCCCATCGAACCGCCCGCGCTAGAGTTCTTCTTCATCAAGACTGCTCCCCAGCTCGCAGGCTTCTTCGGGAGTGCCTTCTTTCAACACAGCGTGCTCCAGCAAAGTCTCGCCGAACCAGCCATACGCCAAGCGATTGCAGCCATAGGCATTCTACACGAGCAAACAGCGACAGGGAGACAGAGTCCATCCCCAAGTAAACGCCCGCCAAATGTCCACATCAAGCTATACAACCGCTCCATCCGCGCAGTCCTCGACAAGGTCGCCGTCAGTCCCAATGCAACCCCATTACTCGCAATGACAAACGTCCTCTTCACATGCCTCGAGATCTTCCAGGGGAATGCAAAAGCCGCCGCAGACCATATCACCGCGGGTATCAAACTGCTGCAAGCATGGCGCGAAAAGAATGGTGGGCCGACCATGCCCTGGGGCCGGAAGTATACTTCTTTCGAGGTGCAATTCATGGAGACGGAGGTCGCGCCGCTACTGAGTTTATTCAACACGAACGCGGTCGAATGCGCCGGCGGACATCGCAGTAAATTCCTCTTGAATCCTGTAGACGAGCACGGCGCATTACTCCTCGCCACTCGATTCGAGACTGTCAACGAAGCTCGCATCGGACTCATCGATATGATCACCGATGTAACATGTGTCTGTAGCGGGTTAGACGATGGTCTCATACATAGACCCCTCGCCGACATCGACGCCGTCGTAATCTCGCAATCCGTACAACAGAATCTCGAGCGATGGCAACGAAACGTAGATGATCTAATCCGCCGGCAAAAATGCACCTGGGATGCGAAAGAGCAGCAGATCGCAGACGTGATCAGCATAATCAGGCTTGCCACTATGTTCGGTGTACGGGCATACGAGGCCCAATCCGAGTGTGAATGGGACAATCATCGACCCGAGTACGAAGACCTGATTTGTTTCGCCGATGCTATTTTTTCAGATCGAGTCCGGTTTCCGGACGAGATATCTCGTACACTTAGTTTGGACTTTGGATTGATATTTCCCTTGCATGCTGTGGCGTGGAAATGTCGTTGGCCTAGCTTACGCCGTCAAGGATTGGACTTGCTGTGTCGCAGTTCGAGGCGGGAATGGCTCTTTGAGGCCCAGCATTATCATGCTATTTTCTCTCGGATTATGGAAATTGAAGAAGCGAGTTGTGGTTTGCCACCGGGTGTACAGCCTCAGGATGACTGGTTACCTGCTGAGCATGCCCGGATTTGTGACTTTCTGGTGGAAGGGAAGCCTAACCCGGCTGGAGAGATTGCTGTCTATGAAGTGACGTTTTTTAGTAGACCTCAAGGTAGTAGCGGTCCCTTGAGGTCAGTCACTGAGCAGATGCGATTAGGGTCGTCGCAGACTGTACAGGCTGCGGTGCCGACGAATATGTTTGGGCGTAGGTTAGAACGCGAGGTGGAAGGTCACTGACTTGATATTGGGAGACTGATAAATGGTGTTTACATACAAGGATTCATAGAAATGATGTAATACGAATACACAAATGTCTGACTGCTAGAGGTCTCAGCTAGTACCTCTTACCCCATTCACCCTGATTGGCATTCATATGGGCCTACTTGTGCTTTCATCACCTCCACGTGACCCTCGTTTGTTGACATATACGAAGCCATCCCTCACCTTCAACCAACCTCAAGATTAGCCGCTCAGTCACATTTCTAAAGCAAGTTTTACAGCTCACCTCCTTCATCAGTATTTATTGCGCTATGGTAAAACCTCAAGACAGATTCTTCTCCGAGGGCCAATGCTACTTCGATCCAAGCGAAAACCCCAGGACCGAAACTCGTTGCAATGTCTGGGACTGGGATCGTCTGCCGATGGTCAAAGTCAAAGGCACTGCCAAGCTGTTCCTTCCTGACGAGAACATCGAGATCCAAATTTTGGCACAGTTCGCTGATTACCTGTCCTCGGAAGTTCGGGCAATTACTGTCGACGATAATGGGCTCCTTACTGGCGTCTCGACCGATCCGGAAGAGGATGATACTCTATTTGTTGCATATCTTCCCTTTCAAATGCTGACTCACTCTCTGATTGCTGCACAATCCATTACTCTAACCTTCAGGAGCTTGATCGACTTGGACCAGGTGTTGATCTCTTAACATACAAAGACGAACTCGGGATTACTCAAAAAGTCGCCTTCAAATTCAACCCCCTGGACAAACCACGACGAGTGCAGATGGCCTGGGACGAGCTCAATCTTCTCAAAAGTCTACCATCACATTCAATTATCGTACCCTTTGATCGCGTTGTCCTCGAAGATGTCGAATCTCGGGTAATCGGATTCACAACGAAGTACATTTCAGGCGGAACACTCGATAACATAAATATTCCTTTTCGATTTAAATGGCTGAAACAGCTTACCCAACTCGTGGATTTCCTGAACCTAGAACTGGGAATCATGCATCAAGACATTGCACCTTGAAATATGCTCATCGATCCCGACACACAGAACATCCGCCTCTTTGACTTTGACTGGGCTGCGAGCGGAAAGAAACGCTTGCTTGATGGTTGAGACGACGTGACTGGGGTGGTATTCAGGATATACGAGCTCATCACCAATGATAGACGTTTTGCAAGTATTCCCCATTGGGATCGGAACATAGATATGGTGCAGGGTCTCTCGGAGTGGACTTGTAATCGAGAGCTGGACTCTGACGTATCGACGTTCCGCAACTTTTTGAACGAATGGGTAACGAAGCAAAAATCTGATGGGGATATGGAACGATACCTTCATGCACCCGACCGTCTCACTTGGCCGGATTTACCAACTGCGCCCGACTAGGATGTACCCTTCGAGATGGGCAAGACTTCAGATGGAGCGGTGAATTGGGCAACGGGACCACGGTTTAGACACACTGCGATGGAGAATGGGCAATATTGTTTTTGTTGGGAGAGACTGCCACAGAGGAGCGTGTTAAGGAATGCTTAAAATGGAATGCATCAGATGATTTATAGAATATAGCGCTTAATCACATAGTAGCCAGTTGGAGTTTAGTAAGGGACATGGCTCATTCGTACAGTCGGCCCCTTATGGATTTCGCTCAGTGAGCGTATCCGGCTGCTAAACTCGACCCACGGAGTATGATCACGTCGGGAGCTCATAGAAGGCTCGGTAATCAGATTAGTACGCCTAGAGCTGTACTCTAATCTACACGGTGAGACCCAGCGACAACAAGGTGGGGATATAGCTGATTTCCTCGTAGCCTAGCCATAGAGCTAGCCCGATATGAATCATCACGAACAAGTCCTCGCCCCAGGTTGAGCCCCTAATCTACGTTATTGAATGGCCTCGGCACTAATGAGTTGGACGACGTACGAAGGACAAATTTCTTCGCGTTTGGTTAGAGATCGGCATCAACGCCTGCCTTCTCACTCATATAAGGACGTATAATGGACCTGTCACTCTGGCTAACATTCAGGCACAGGGCCACGCGTTCTTCTCGTGATTACCTTGCATAACTCACAAACGAACATGGATGATTTGGCTAGAAGTAGTTTAGTTTCCGCGAGCTGGGGAGGGAGCTGGAGGTGGGTCGAGGGTTTATTCAAACTTCAGTATGTCGAGAATTAACTCAGGAGACCCTTTGTTGAGAGAATGGATGCACGATTCTTGAAACTGACAGCATATGAGTTTTCAGAGCTAGCGTATGTTTCTGTTTACAACTCTCTCAGCCATGGAGCACGATTGCACGCCCTATGCATCTCTATACATACCGCCCCCCACCCATGTCGTCTTGGTAGGTTGTCCAAAACTTTCTTGCACCTCACAAATCCCCTCTAAAACTCACGAGATTTCCCCTTAGAATGACCGTTAAGAAAATAAGACATCAGCCGGTCACGATAGGAAGCCCACCATGGCAAAATTTCCGGAGAACCTCAAGGGTGGGTCTTGGCTTGCCGATCCGAGCAATTCTCAGAAATCGCCGAAAGCCCCCCGAGCAGAATCCGCGGAGCAATGATGTTCAACGCGATTGAGTTTGTGCGGAGTGGATTCGCCTGACATCATTTATTAGCTGCGCAAGCTCCTCCCATTGCCCCAATCTCTTCAACACTACAGGAAAAAAAGCAAGGACATAAATCTAGCTCCGAGATTACTGTACAGCATCCCTGACAACCATCATTGGACGCGCAAGCAAACAATTGAAGCAATCAAGCAGCGCGATGGTGTCCGGCCTCTCCCACGCGAGCCTGCAGGCCAACGCGTCCACCATCCCTTCCAACTACTTCAGAATCTACAACAACGATTTCCTGAACATCCTCGGCTCCGCGCCGAAGCTAGAGCTCCTTCTTGAAAATAATGATTACCCCTTCGCCCACGAGGCGAGCGTGTACATCCCCACCTCAGACTCACTGTTCATATCAAGCAACCTCTTCACCGATCCGATCACCAATAAATCCACCATCAAAGTCACCAAAGTCAACGTGAGCGCCCACCCCGTCACGGCCGAAATCATCAATACGACAATTCCCATGCCTAATGGGGGCGTGAACAACGGCAATGGCATCCTCTGGGCTGCGCAGGGCACCCTCAACGAAACAGGCGGTCTGTTCCAAATGTCCGCGACAGCACCGTACAAGTCTGAGTTGATCATCGGGAACTACTACGGTCGGGAATTCAATTCCATTAATGATGTGGTCGTAGCTAGTGACGGCGCGTTCTGGTTCACGGATCCCATTTATGGCTGGAAGCAGGGGATTCGTCCCAAGCCGCAGCTGCCGAACCAGGTGTACCGGTATGACCCGGCGACTAAGGATGTGCGTGTCGTTGCTGATGGGTTTGGTCGGCCGAATGGGATTTCTTTCTCGCCGGATGAGAAGACTGTGTATGTCAGTGATACGGCGGAGACAGTTGGTGATGGGTCTACTGATTTGCTGCTGCCAGCCACGATGTAAGATTGATTCTCTTTTCCAACCTTTTTGTGGGGTACAGGCAGCTATGCAGCTCAAAAAGAGGAAGATAGCCGTGTACTAATAACCTCTATCCAGCTACGCATTTGACGTGACCACTATCCACGGACAACAATTTCTAACCAATAGACGCGTCTTTGCGATGCCAGGCGACGGAATTCCTGACGGAATCAAAGTTGACCATGACGGCAATGTATACGCAGGCTGCAAAGACGGCGTGAATGTCTGGTCAGCCGGAGGTGTGCTACTAGGCAAGATTCTGATCAAGGATGGGACGTCAAACTTTTCGTTTGGACGTGACGGGCGCATGTTCATTTTGAATGAGAACAAGCTCTTTGCGGCGCAACTGAACCGCACTGTGCGTGGAACGCTATTCTAGACTTAGATATGCGATACGAGATATACGGAGTGTAGGTGCGAATGAGAAAAGATGGAGATGGCGTGATCATGCCGTTAGTCGAGATGATATGTTTCGCAGGCATGAGATGTACAGAAGAGATTCGATCTGGGATCTGGGACCTTGAATGGATTGCGATTGCCATGAATCCTGGGTGTACAGGGGTTGATGGTGTGACACGACTGTACTATAATCCAACCACACTCGAGCTATTAATTCTGCTACTGTTTCCAATATCTTGCCATCGTGCCTAATCTGTGGCCCGTATTTCATCAGCAGGTACCATGGCATGCTGATACGAGCACATTCGAGGCACTATTGGTCATAGCTAAATCAAGCTTCAACGTGCAAGCCCTGCGAACGCCCCTTCCGCGTCATCAGTGATGAAGATGCTTCCATTGTAATCAAGCTTAAATTTGAGGAATGTGTGGTTAACGTGGACGGTGCCTGCATCTGTCGATCGCAAGGATGTTCTTGATGCGAAATGAGCAATTCAAAAGATGAAGATGAAGATATGGGAATAAAAGCTGACTATATATCCCCTAGAGTATAACTTAGCGACTATTTACTTCCTGTCAAGATATGGTAGTCAAACGGATGATCACACTAACTTTAGTCTATGATATAGTCACCATCGGGCGCGGGGTCCTCAATAAAAACATCATCTCAAGATTGAAGCAAAGCCTTGGAACTTGACGATACCCGAGCTTTCCATTTTCATCCTCACTTTTCACCTGCGTGCTGTATTCCGGGTCGGCTGGCTGTCTGATGTCAGAATCCCACTTGATCACTATATAACGTCTCTTTGGCCCAAGCGAGGGGAAATCCCGAAAGTCAGATTGTTGGACACGGGAGAAGGAGGGCCAGCGAGGCTTCTCTATGGAGTACCGAGGAACGCCTTTGGACGCCTTTGGCTAACCTTGACGGGAGACCCGAGCACGCCATGAGTCTCGTGTTTGCAGTCATCCCGATGGGCGCAGTCATGCATGATGAAGATACAGCGGAGAGCGGGCTATGTAACACATCAAGATTCGTGATATGACTGAGTTAGACTACTAGGTACAGTACTAGGTAGGGTATAGAAACCCTGGTCCTACGCGGGGAAAACAGGTTGGTCACCGACTGGGATTAGCTGCTAGCCTAGTCAGCTCTAATCTGCGGCACTTCTCCACATCGCGCCCATCTCGTAACTTTCCCCATGACTCGCGTGATGACATCGGCTCCAAAAGCTCGCAAACAACATGGAGAATGGAGAGTTGTCTGCCAACCAACGATGATTTATTCCCGACTGCCCTGCTGCATGACGATGGCCAAGGTCGGCCATCGGCTATGCGGTTTTTGCCGAGGATTTCGCACATCCAACATCTTACCGTTCTTAGTGCATACATACAGCCAAGGACAGCGTGCAACAGCCAAGGACCTGCCAAGGACAGCGACTTACAGCGCCCGGAAGGTCGGTGTAGTTAACCCCCAATCTTCGGGGATTGAACTACGACATGCATGCAGGAATAGCCATGAGCAAGCCAGCTATGATGACAGCTCCCGCAGTGCCACGCCTGTTGGTCTCGGTCTACAAGGCTCCCTTTCTACCATGACCACGGGAAAACAGATGCAGATGCAGGCCATGCTGTTCAGCTCCTCGGAGCTGTTCCCCTTCCAGAGAAAGAGAGCCCTGACAGTCTGGCGGTCTTACAGCCCCCTTGACCCTGCGGAAGAAGGATATCTAGCTCCCCTCACTCTGTACTAGTCCATCTCCCTTCTCGCAGCATGGTGTCAGGCAAATACCAGCATAATAAACCTCACTTGACCAAAGGGCGATCAACAACGATCTTTTCTAGTTTAAACCATGACTTCCCCCAACGTCCTACTAGCGGGAAATCGAACCGTCCAAGGCGATCCTTAACGATGGTCAGCACCGGCTCTTGCGACCGAGCACAGTTCAGCTGGCGATCGAGTAAGACTCGGCTAAGCTTATTGGCGCAGCCAGTGCCGGGACAGTCCCCACATGGGGGCCGATCATCAGCCTCCCCGGACTGGAGTCACTTTTTGGGGCCTAAAGCCTTAAAAGTCAAATTGAATGGGGAAGTTGTGGAGGGTAGAAATTGACACAAATAATGTCCCCAAGTTTGAAAGTGCACATGACCGATGTGGTAGGTGATACAGAAGGGGAAGAAGACTTTGCTTGAAATTGGCATAGCAACGAGGCATGGCAAGATAGTGGCGTTTTGCGGAGTACTTTTTCATACATTTGGTGATGTATATCTTTGAAAGCAGACTGTTGTGCATGACAACAAGAATCGAGTACATAAACACATTTAATCGAGCTTGATGTACTCGCAGTCTACTTCAACTCCAAATAAACAAAACCTTGCAAGATAATACAGCAGCCCAATAAATCAATAGCGTATCTCAGCACGGATGATCCCCTTGCTGACATTTAGAACTTCCAATTTTATTTTATTTTTTCTTTTCGCAGGGGAGAAAATGTGGGCCCATGCGGCCGCGCACTTCCAGATTGCGAATCATGCACAGTCGGCAACATCTCCCCTCTTCCCCCTGGTCTCCCGACAGGAGAGGCCCTACACTAAAGGGCTATGCAGCTGGGCCCGCTACCAAGATTCTCGATCTCAAGTTGGACTTGGGTGGAGCTGAGGTACTTTTTAGCGTGTGTATCATTATGATAAAAAGTAGCAATTTGGTGCGCTCTTTCAGGCTCATGTGGGGTCACTGGAGAGGGCTGCCGTCTTGATGCGAGACATCATAAAAGGGATAGCTCGGCACAGCCCGTTTGATCTCTCATATAATCTTACATTAACAATCATACTTTCAACTAGACTATTGAAAACGGCTGACTTGTATTAAACTGGAACCTAGATAGTGTTTGTATGTATTAGAGGACATATGCAGATATTCAAAATCGTTATACTTTACATGACCACTGTATACAGTCCGTGACATCGGATACCTTTCCTTCCCAACAGATCCTCCTATAGGCATACATCTCAAGGCATACACAGAGCGGGTCTATTTGCAAATTACCCAGAACGTCAATGATCTACTTTCCCCATCTCTCCTGTCCCAAAGTCCACTGCCCTTGGCTTCGGCACTATCCCTACTATGGCGCCCGAGCTACGTCGGAAGGGGGGCAGCCTAACGACTGATACTGACATGTGCCTTACATTCATAGGATGAATATGCACGGAGAATGAAGCTCTGATTGGCGTGCCCAGACTGGTCCCAAGACCCTCTCTTGTCCTTGACTACCTACCAAGGCGAAAGACGCACCCGCAAAGACGACATCTGCTTGACCCTCCACGGGCGTGAAAGCCATGAGCCCTAGAAAGTAGTCCGAGAGGGGAAACAAGCAAAAAAAAAGGATCAACATAAATAACTTGTCCTCCCCTTCCCCATGGACGAGACTTTGATTCTTCTAGAATAGACATAGCCGGCTTTTTCGACATTCCTAGTTCTACTCTTTTTGTTGCCCTTGTCGATCTCCCTTCTCTTCTTCTTCCTTTCTTGCCGCAACAATGCTGGCTATATTCTTCTGCTTGTTTATAGCTTTGGCTAGCGCTTACCCAGCGCGAGGCCCTTGTACGGGAGACTGCTGGACTCATGATCCTGCTATGATCCAGCGTGAGTCGGATGGCACGTACTTCCGTTTCTCGACGGGCACTGGTGTCAACACCATGACATCTCCTTCATTGAAGGGACCCTGGACGGACGTGGGTGCGGCTCTGCCGAATGGTTCCAAGATTACTCTCGATGGCGTGGACAGCAGCAACATCTGGGTATGAAATCAAACCGGATATCGAGAACAGCGCTAGCATATACTAGAGCCAGTTCTATTTATACCAAAAGCCCCCTATTCCCGAAAGAAGCAAGCCAAGAAAGCTAACATCCCTGTCCAGGCCCCCGACGTGCACTACCAAGACGGCACATACTATATGTACTACGTGCTCTCCAAACTAGGCACACAAACCTCTCAAATCGGCGTCGCAACCTCCAAAACAATGGAACCCGGCTCCTGGACCGACCACGGCATCATCGGCGTCCCCGCCAACAGCGCCTATAACCGCATCGACCCTAACTGGATCACCATCGGCGGCAAGCAGTACCTCCAATTCGGCTCCTACTGGCAAGACATTTACCAAGTTGCTCTCGAAAGCCCCCCTGCAGGTCGGCTCCAACATGCCGCACCAGATTGCGTATAACGCGAGTTTGAATCACCGTGTCGAGGGCTCGTTTTTGTATCAGCATGGGAGCTTTTATTACCTGTTTTTCAGCGGTGGTGTTGCGGGCTCGTATACGGCGACTTACCCCGCTCAGGGCGAGGAGTATCGTGTGCATGTTTGTCGCTCGTCGAGTGGAACCGGGGGCTTTGTGAGTGGATCGTGATCGGCGGGCCTGTGTATTGTGGGCTCTACTCCAGAGGCATCATCGTGACTAACAATTTTTGTCTTTCTCCCCTCATAGGTTGACCAGGCTGGAACTTCTTGCCTGGAATCTGGTGGTACTATTATCCTTGCTAGCCACGATCAGGTTTATGCACCCGGTGGACAGTAAGTTCGCCCCCATCCATCATCCCCACATATATACTTCCCCCGCCCGAATAGATCTACGCCCAGTCCAAAATGGATCAGACCTCTGACACATGTGACAGGGGTGTTCTTACCGACAAAGATCTCGGCCCTGTGCTGTACTACCACTACTACTCGCTCACGGCCAAAAAAGCCGGCGGCACTGGTGTCAAGGGGTACCTGTATGGCTGGAATGAGCTGGACTTTTCGACCGGCTGGCCTGTCGTAAAGGCCGTTTAATGCTCTGCTGCGGGGATTTCTTTCCATCAACTTTCTTCAACTTCTATACATATAGCATGGAGGGATCCGGACGTTTGCGAGACTTGTCTGGGTGTCTCGATCTTCTTTCTTTCTTTCTTTCTTTCTTATCTGTCCATGGTTCGGGGGTTGTATACTTGATACTTGCCCTGTTTTGTGCACTCGTTTGTTCGATACCCCATGCATGGCGGCTGCTTGGGCAGCGCGCGCTTGACTGACAGGTGGTTTATGTCGTACTAATTTTTATATTACTCATGTGGGTTTGGCCCATTGAGTTTGCCCTTAGCGGGCTGATGCACAGTCACTATCATCTCGAAGATCTGCATATGATAATAACGATCTTAATAACGCACTCGTTTCTTCGTCACCCTATATAATTTTTGAAACACCCGGTCCCGCCCGCACATGTCTATTAGTGTACACTTTATGCACGTTTTGTACATGGCCATGATCAAGTCTAGTCGCAGTCTCTCGGCCCACTTGGCAAATTTGTCGATGTATACAGAATGCTTGGCGCGCATGCCATTCCACCATAAATCCCACTCAGCGCCCCACGTACTTGAGTTCCAGCGTGCGCAGGGGCAGATATGAGACTGTTGTAAAGACAAGGGCTAGCTCATTGGCAATATCGCCGCCATCGGCTCCAATCTTGGCCGCGAGTGCGCCGACATAGTACGTCTCGACCATGCCGACGATCCACCCGGCGGCGCCACAGAGGAATGCCGTTAAACCAGCATAGCCAACGGGCATCTTGGAGGGGGTGTTCCAGGCGTCGAGGTCGTAGTTTGCCAAGCTACCTTCCCGGAAGTAGTAGTGCTCGATGAAAAGAATGGCAAAGAAGGAGGTGTTCCAGTATCCAAGCAGTGAGAGGAAATTCTCCAGCACGTCGAGCAAGTGGTCGCGGCCGGCGATGCCGAGGGCGAGAATACCGCCGAATACGAGGATAGACCAGATCACGCGAGGGACCTTGGCGAATGGTGCGGCGAAGAGTTGCGCGGAGAGCGCACCGGAGTAGATGGCAATGCAGTTTACGCCAACTATTGAGATTAGAATTAGCATCGAGAGATCAGCTGCGCGTTTGAAATTTGAGTTAAAACATACTGCCAGATAGGACCAAGAGCACCAATAGGAACTTGGCGAATCCGCTGGGGTAGATGATCTCCTTCAGGATCTCACCAATGCCGTTCTCATACGCAGCCGCCCACTCGGGGTTTGTACCGAGCGCAGAGCTGATACAAGCACCCAGTAACATGCCAATGCACGTGGGAATCGTGATACCAAAAGTCGTATACAAGAAGATCTTGATCTTGGGCGTGTCCACGGGGTAGTGCACATAGAAGTCAGAGACAATCGAACTCCACGACGCACTAGATCCGTAGACCACACTGATCAGACTCAGGACATTGCCAGACGCCGTCATACCAGTGACGGTAGGCGGTGCGGCGAGGTTCGCGCGATGAGCTGCCTCGCCGTAGATGATCATGAAGATAATGAAGAACATGATCCATGCGTACTTCTCATACAGCAAGACACCGCGCAGTCCGATGAAGCTGAATAGTAGACTAACGCAAGCAATGATAACGACGCCGACTGCGATGGAGACACGCCCATCTGATACAGCGCTGAGGGCTAGACCGCCAGTGATGCAATTGACCGAGGCCCAGCCTAGTTGTTCGATCACGTTCAGCAGCGCGATGATGGAGGACGGATAGAAGCCCAGCGAGTATCTGGAAATGGCGACCTGGCGCAGACCAGTACCAGGGCCCATAGTAGCACACCAACCCTATAAGCGAGCAGAGAAAGCAGACGGTCAGTCCTCGTCCAGCGCACAAGTCGCATTGCAATATTTTCGCGAATCAATGGAGAAAGTCAAGATGGGAAATTGCATGCTCACAGTCACAGCAGCACCCAACAGCGTCGCAAAGATCACGATAGGAATCGTCTGGCCCAGCGACAACCCAAATTGATTACCCAGAAACCCGGTACTGAAACAGCTAATATTCATCGTCGCCGACGCCCACATCAATCCCATAACCACGGCGCTAGGCGAGTTACGATTCTCGGGATGCACACGATCCAGACTATGCGACTCGATTCCCATCTTGCGATCCAGATATTCCTCATAATAGCGGATTGTCGCAAAGATCCCGGTCGGCTTGGAAGTCTTCTCGGGCTCGTCAACCGGCGACACAACCGGCTCGGCCTGCAACTTTTTCTCCATATCCTCGGTGGTGTTGGTGGTGGCCATAGCTGCGACGGGCTGGCGATTATCGCGCTCGCGCGGCAGTTTAGGGCTGGCGGGTTCGGGGGGAAGGTGGTGGTGGGGGAAGAGAAATGAATGGCAATTGCGACTTTTTTTTTTTCTAATCTCTCCGCACGCGAGTAGACGAGGAAGGAATCTGGGGCTACAATAATTTAGTCACAGAATCGTTTTGCTGGTCGGCCCGTTTTTGTAGTGGGCCGTAGGCCGTCTGATCGGGTTTGTATGAAGTTCTTTTTTTCTTTTTTTTCTTCAGTTTGCCACTGGTGGTTTTGCTAGGTGGATGGGCCAGTGTGGGGTATGTTTTTGGATTGCTTGTCCTATCTGTATGATTGCAGATTATTGATACAAATTATTGTGTTACTTTGATGCTTACGCTGTTAAATCTCCTCTCTATCTAGTTCTTTCTTCAGGTTCAATATCTGGCAAGGATCAGCTTTGGGTTAAGCTTTGGGCGGTCCGACGAAAATTCTTCCGTTATCAGGTGGGGTCGGATGTCGCCGAGGCTGCTGATTCGATCGGTTCGGTTATTCTGATTGGAAGAAGGGTCTAGTATTGAGTGCTGAACAGCCTGAACTGGCTATTGCCAATGATATTGCTGTCATAAGAATAAGCAATTGGATAGATTGTTGCACAAGGTCTAGTTTGACCTGCTCAGTAGTTACTATCCACATAATAGTCAATTGCAGATATCTCGGAGTCAGTCAGTGACAGGTCTTGCCGTCACTCCGAAGTTCGTGACTGGTGGTTTGCCGGGACATTATTCATGCTGTATGTCCGAGGAAAGTGGTCGATGGGCATGGATTCAATGTATAGTTTGTATGAAATATAGGCTGTATTCCAATTTGGTTACATGGATGACTGCCAAGAAGGAACGTTGCCTTCTGGGCACGTGGTCCGCCTAGTGTTCGCACAGTCAAGTGTCAAGTGTCCAGTGTCAACCCTGACATTGACACAGGATAATTACATAAATAGTAGTCATTAAACAAATGTATCTAACTTAATTGCACATATACATAGTTTACAAACTCAGTAATGATACATATCCAGGTCTCAGTACAGTCAAATCACTGGAGATGGTGAATTAGCGACTTTGCAGCTCGTGGGTGGGTGTCATATCCATCGCTACTATTAAGCAGTATCACCCATTTAAATAATTGACCAACCATTTTGATCCTTCAACTTTTCAGTTCTGCACAATTCTCTCTCTCTAACGCAGAGCCTCTCATCAAAGTCTTACAGCTAGCGTGGTCGCCAGTTGACGTTCTCGTGGCCCGTCGGACTCGGAGAAAACTTCCCCGGAGCCTCGAACTGGCCTTTTGTGTACTTCTGGGGATCTCTCTGGACCTCACCTCCAATCTTTGTTCACCTCTACCCCCTCCCAATCACCTCGTCTCCGCTTTTCTTTCCTCTCACCTCTCTCCCCCCTTTTCCTTTCTCTCGGGACTCTTGACTTTCTGGGCTCCTAATTCTTCCTGGGTGCTTGGTCCAGGTTCCCCAGATTCTCTCAGATACCGCTTTCCCCCCATTTCTCCCGAGGATTTGCCTTCAACCAAGTGGTCAATTCCGGCTCGGATCTTCCCCCATCTCCAATCAGCGAGGTTTTACTGAACCTGTGAGTGGCCAATTCCTCTCTAGCTGACTTGCTACCCTTCTGGCTTTCTTTTCCTCGGCCAGCCAGTGTTCGGCGTGCGGTGTCATTCCCATACTGACCCATGCCAGTTCTGATTGAAGGCAGTTCCCTGCACAGCCCCATCGCTATCCTGTCGCACGCTTACTCGTCTCCCGGTTAATACCCCCTGGTTCATCATGGCTGCCGAAGCATCGACCGCCGCCAACGGCGCCTCCAAGTCGCTCGCCGCTATGCTGGAGGAGCAACATGCCCGCGATGAGGCTCACAAGCCCACCGTTGAGGAAGTTGTGGATGAGGAGGACCTCAAGCACCCTCCTCCCTTGGCTACTACGAATGACCAGCCTTTGCCCCCTGTCCTGTCCCCCGCCTCGGAGTCGTTGACCCCCGCCGAGACCGCCGCCCCGGTACCTGCCCCGAAACCTGCCGTGAAGAAGGCGCCGGCCTTTGACGTACAATCGGAGGAACTGTTCCCTGCCCTCGGCAGCGGACCCAAGCCCGCTGCCCCTGCGGCGGCTACATGGGGTGCGAAGAAGCCCTCTGCGGCAGCGGCCGTTGCCAATGGCCGCCCCTCCAAGCCAATGGGTATGTGAGAGTGACAGGAGCCCGGATTCTGGAATGTGGTGTGCGGTTTCTAACAGTTCTATGCAATAGATGTCCCTCGCGTGATGTCACTCCCCGGAAAGCACATGGAGCAGCTTCGACTGGCCCCATCCCAGATGCAGCCCCGTGGGCAATTGAAGAAGCCCATCAGAGATATCCTGCGCGATATCTCTCGGAGATCCAAGGCCACCGTTGATATGCGCGGTGGCCCTGGTGGCTCTATCATCTTCGAAGGCAAGGGCTCAGTTGATGCTGTCCGCCAGGCGCTCAAGGAAGTCGCACAGCAAGTCGGATCGAAGGTACGCCCCACGAAACTATTCGGACCAAAAATCACATTTCTAACTTGAGATCTTCACTTGGGTAGCAATCCGTCCGCGTTCCCATTCCTACTTCCGCACGAGCCCACATCATTGGCCGCCAGGGATCGGTGGTTCAGGACATTCAGACCCGCACTGGTGCCCGTGTGCAAGTCCCCCGCGCTGATGGTAACGGTGCGCCTCTCGAGGAGGACGACGACGACACCATTGATATCTTGATTGAGGGTGATGCTGTGGCTGCGGAGATGGCACGCCGGGAGATTGAGGCGATTGTCAAGGAACGCGGTTCGAACATGAGCCTGCGCTTGAAGACCATCCCCCCGGAGTTCTTCCCCTTCATTGCCGGTGCACACGATGCGCAATTGCGCGAGATTGAGGAGCGCACAAAGGCGCAGGTCCATGTGCCCCGCTACGATACATGGTCCCAGCCACCTCCCCAGGAGGCCAACCCTGGCCACGTGCAGTTCGTGCCTTGCCCCGAGAAGCACATTCTCATCTCCGGAGAGCGTGCTGCTGCACAAGAAGCCCGTGCCGAGATTGAGCGCCTGGCCGCTGACCTCCAGCGCAAGCTGACCCTTCGCCAGCTTGCCATCAACCGTGGCCAGCACCAATTCATCCTCGGAAATGAGGCCGATGCTCTCCACAAGTTCTTTGCGCAGACCGGCTGCGGTATTGTCCTTCCCCCTGCCACCGATGAGAGCGAGTTCCTCACTATCACCGGACCTCTGGACCAGATTGAGGCCGGTATCAACCATGCCATGGATCTTGCTACCAGCATGCAGATGGCGAGCATTGACTTGTCTCGCCAGCATCCCAATGCCCCTGCTGGTTCAAACGCCCATGCCCGCGCTCTGACCCAGTATCTCCGCCGCCGCCAGATCATCAAGCAGCTCGAGTCGGCTTACGACGCCCGGATTGCTCTGCCCCCTAGCGTCGATGGACCCGTCACTTGGGAGGTCTACTCTCGTGATGGCAAGAACACTATCCGTGCTCGCTCCGACATCATGAACCTGGTCCAGGCTCATCCCCCTTCGCGTCTTCGCCACGTCCCCATTGACCCCTACTTCCACCCGTACCTGCGTTCCCGCAGTGCCTCCAAGCTTCAGGGTGACTATGGTGTCCACCTGTTGGTCCCCGATGACATCAACAGCTCCGAGGTTGTCCTTGTCTATGAGGGCCCCTCTGCCTCCGCGTCCAACTTCGAGGTTCCCCGGCAACGTCCCTCTCCGGCCGAGATTGCGGCCTTTGAGAAGTCGCTGCAGGAGGCTCAGGAATACCTGCTGAGTGCACTTGGAGACCAGCAGGATATCGTTGCCACCACTACCTCTGTTCCTGCCAAGTACCAGGAGAAGACTCGCAAGTTTATCCTCCGTGAGCAGGAATCCAAGGACGAGGAAAGCATCCCTGTCCGCGCTCTCGTCGGCGACGCTAAGGGCGGAAAGTGTGAGGTTGCGCTGCGTGGACCCTCCAGACTGGTCGCGGAACTCGTCGCCAAGTTGGGTGCCTTTGTCGAAGAGCAGGAGAAGGACGACTTGGAGCGTGGATACACCACCTCCTTCGACTTCCCTCAGAAGTATGCCAACTTCCTCATTGGCAAGCGTGGTGAGAACATCAACAAGCTTCGCGAGGAGTTTGACGTTGATATCAAGGTCGAGAACGGTAAGGTCGAGGTCAAGGGCCCCAAGGCTAAGGCCGATGCTGCTCGCATGCGCATCATCAACCTGGGCAAGAAGCTGGAGGATGAGACCACTCACATCCTGAAGATCCCTGCCCAGTACCACCGTGAGCTGATCGGCCAGCGCGGCAACCAGGTTAACCGTCTCCAGGACCGTTACTCGGTCCGCGTTCAGTTCCCTCGTGCCACTGCCTCTGCCGATGACCAGTCTGTTGGCGATGCTCACAGCGATGCCGGCGCTGCCCGCCCTGGTCGTCCCCAGCAGGCCGCTGACGAGGTCCTGGTCAAGGGACCTAGCAAGGGTGCGGATCAGGCTCGCGATGAGATTCTGAGTCTGCTCCAGTGGGTCGTCGACCACTCGCACTCTGCCACTATCTCTGTCGCCCAGAACCAGGTTGCTTCGCTGATTGGTCAACGTGGCCGTGAGATGGACAAGCTTCGTGCGGACACTGGCGCCCAGATTGATGTTCCTAGCGCGAATGATGCCCCCGATGCTTCGGGCCGTGTGCAGATCCGTGTCAAGGGTACTAAGCAGCAGGTTGCTGAGGCCAAAAAGGTTCTGCAGCAGCGTGCTTCTGAGTTTGATGCCACAGTCACCAAGACGATCGATGTTGACAAGAAGTACCACAAGGCCCTTATTGGTGGTGGTGGTATGTTCTCGTCCTAACCCTCTCTTCTTTTTTCACATCATGCTAACGTTGGATTGAACAGGTGCCAATATTCGCAAGATCGTTGCCGACGCTGGTGGTCCTAACGATGGCAGCGCCGCTCGCATGGTTCGCTTCCCCCGTCCTGACAGCACTGAGTCCACCATCCGCCTGGAGGGTAACGGCAAGATCGTGGACAGCATCGTTGCTGCTATTGAACAGTTCGTCAAGGAGCGCCAGGACCAGGTGTCTGAGACTCTAGATGTTCCTACTGCTCAGCACCGTATGCTGATCGGCCGGGGTGGCGACACCCGCCGTGGCATTGAGTCCAAGTTCAATGTCACCCTGGACATTCCCAAGCAGGGCTCTGGCCGCACTGATGTTAAGCTCAAGGGCCCTAGCACTGCCGTCGCTGAGGCCAAGGCTCACATTCAGGGCATGCTCAAGGAGCAGCACGCCGAGACCGTGGAGGTTCCTAGCAACCTGCACCACGCTATCGCTGACAACGGCGCCATCTTCCGTCGCCTGCGTAATGACTACCAGGTTACTGTCGACCACGCCGGCAAGGCTGTCCCCGCCAACCCTGCAACGGAGGAGACTCGTAGCGGTGCCAACGGCGCATCTCTGCCCCTGATTACCGATGACCCCAGCGCTGCTGCTGATGCCCACTCATGGAAGGTCGTCGACTCCAGCGCCGGTGGTGATGCCGATACTTCCCCCTTCCCGTGGGTCCTGACTGGCTCGCCTGAGAATGTTGCCAAGGCCCGCGCTGCCATTGAGAAGGCCATTGCCGCCTCCGGCCAGCAGTCTGCCACTGGCTACTTGATCCTGCCAGACCCCAAGACCTACCGCTTCGTGGTCGGCCAGGGTGGTAGCCAGATCAACGCCATCCGCAAGAAGACCGGATGCCGCATCAACGTGCCCAAGAACCAGGCCCAGGGTGAGGCGATCGAGATTCGCGGTAACGCCGCCAGCCTCGACGAGGCCCGGGATATGATCCTGGAGGCCGTCCAGAACGGTCTGAACGGCTCTGCTCGGTGATGATGCGTAGCAGATGGATAATGCACTTGGTTTTCTTTTCTTTTGCGAACATTTTCGTGCGACCAAATCAGCGAGATTGCGAATGAAGAGTCGACAGAACATACTTGCACAGGGCATATACCTCATCCCCTCTTCCCAAATTTTTTTTCTCTTCTGCTCCGATTTCCCACCCTGTCTAGTCGGGCGGGCAGGGAATTCTTGTTACTTTTCTCTAACTTGTCTTTTTTTGCACTTTTTGACCACTTTTACCATGGTACTTAGTCTATTTCCCTTTTTATTAAAAGAACGATTCTCTTCTCTCAAAGTCATGGATGTGTGTTTTGTTTCTTTGCTTATTGATGGTGGCTGGAGAGCAGTATCTCGCGTGGTGTAACCAGATGATGAATATAGGATTCTTCGATGCCTCGCTATAGGAAATTGTGAGAGTACCTGTGAAAGAGCCGGTTCCATAAACATTCACACGGAGTATTCTTTCCCAATGGTATCTGCGAGAGTGAACTCTGCGTGAGACTTACAGTATCGAGGATCTTAATGTCGAGTGTACAACTTCTATATCTAGCAGTCGCTGCATTAGCCCCTTGTACACCCCAGCATTACAAGTGGGGATAATATCTCATCAACCAATAGCTTGACTCCGATAAATTTTGAGATGAAAGAACCTGTCTATTGGAATCCAACCCTTTCTATTCTACATGTAAAAAAAGCGCTACCAAGAAACCACCAATCCCGAGACTAACATCTCTCATGAATGCCGATTGCCCTGACCATGCCGCCGATTCATCTGCAATCCCAGGGTAATAAAAGCCCCAAAACTCCCAGCAGTCATAAGCACTGGCCCCCAAAACGCAGGCACAAACTGTCCCTGAAGTAAATACCGCCTCATTGACCAATACCGAAAGAACCCATATCCCAACGACCACAATCCGAGTAATTGACAAAGCCTGGAAGCGGAGAAAGATTCCAAAGACACCAATGAATTAGAACCGGGGAAATAGAGCGTTGATGTAGCTGTCGATGCATCCTTATTCTTATTTGCGGATGACTTGGACTGTTGTTGTTGGTCTTGGGCAAGCGGGACATGTGTTTGCGGCGAAAGAATAGCCCCCAGATTAAGTTTTGAGGATAGCACTTGATCGATTTTGTCGAGACGGTCTAGGGCCAGGGCCATTGCGGCGAAACCGAGGCCTGCGCGGGTCCAGGAGAGGAATGTGCGTTCGTTGGCGTGGTGGTCGCGTTGTTGGGAGCTTGTGTTTTGGATGCGTGTTGGGAGGAGGCGGCGGAGGAGGGATGTCATCTTCTTTTGGAGAAGGAGATAGATGTGTGACTGGGGTAATTGGGATGGGATGATTTAAGTTCTGGATGTCATAGATTATTTGATTTGATGTGACTATCGATTGGATTTGGGTTAAGATGTAAGGATCAACGGTGCCACGCGGAGGGAATTGCGCGGAATGGGGCTGTTGATGACCGTATCGTGATTTATCTCAACAGCTAATGTGTAACAGTATGGACTAGGTAGACACCGAGAGCCCATACTATGTGCGTAAAACGGCGATTGATATATGTGGAGACTTTCATCCAAGATCCACTATCCTTTAGACACCCCTAAACGTACGATCCTTTTTACCAGATCAAAGTCCTTCTCAGCGGATCTCTCCTCCCCATGACGTCCGAGGTTCCATCACTCGGACCGGAGATTCTTCAATCTCTCCCCATTGATTGGACGCCATAGACCCACACCCCTGCACTTCCCCCATGTACCCCAGCATTAAATTTTATATCAAACCAATTCATTTAAAGCTCTAAGAGTACTCTACGCTGCTGGATTGATCCCCCAAAAGGTCGTATGATTATCTCGGCGATTCGTTGTATGAGGGTTGCGATTCTTGGAGTTGTTCTCGGTCGAGAAGGCGTCCGTTCGGGCGAGAAATGGTTTACTCGGGCGAGAGGCGATGGCATCATCGCTGTCTTACTGGTATCGTTACTGTTGCGAGTTTGGTGGGATAATACGACTATTTATACTGTAGTTGATATTTGAATTATATGTGCTTGATGTCTTGATCTATACTCACTTTCAGTGAGAATAATGAATTGGTGTGGTTGTTGCTGCTGTGTGGTAGGGTCATTACAGTTCTAGTAGCTCAAAAGTGGATATAAAACAAATACTTCAAATTTGAAAATCGATTGGAATTTAGATATATGCAGACCTATCACCAGCACCATAGAAAACTAACAAACTCTCAAGCATCATCAAACGATCATCTACCAATCCAACCCACCCAATTTCAACGGCAACCTCAACATTCGATGCCCCGACTCTTCCTTCCTCGGCAACCGTCCAGCCCGAATATTAACCTGCAACGACTGATGCAACAACCTCGGCGCACTAAGACCCCTATCTCTCTCCGTCCTCATCTCCACAAACTCCCTCTCACTAACCACATCCCTCAAATGCTTATTCTGCTCCCTCTGATCACGCACACTCATCCACGGCACCGGATCCCGTCCCTCGGGCGGATAATCATGCCCAGGCCAGATCTTGACATGATCCTCTAGACTAAGAAGTCGACGACCAGATTTGAACAGATGGGCCGCGTCGCCGCCGGGAAAGTCGCAGCGCGCGGTGCCAATGTCTGCGTGGAAGAGCGTGTCGCCGCAGAAGACGTTGTCTCCGATTTGATAACCCAGGTGATCGGGTGTATGACCAGGGAGGTGAATTGCTTTTGCGGTTAGTTCGCCGACGGAAAAGGATTCGTCGTCGTCGAAGAGTTTGTCGAAAACACCGAGGTATTCGTCCTTGGCTAGACCGTAGCGTTGACCGAATAGCTTCTGTACTTGTTCGATGCGTTTGCCAATGCCGATGGGTGGTTTGAAGCCTTGCGTCTGGGTGAGTTGTTTCTGTAGATATGATGAGGCTGTTAAGTGATCTGCATGGGCGTGGGTTTCGAGAATACGATCGATTGTATAACCCTTTTCTTTGACGAGGGCGAGTAAGCTATCAGCGGCGGTAGTTGTGATGGTCTGCGTGCAGGGATCGTAGTCCAGTACTGGGTCGATGAGGACGGCTTTTGATGTAGCGGGATCTGCTACGATGTATTGCCATGTCCCGGTGTTGGACTCGAAGACATTGTCGATAGTTGGTTGTTTTGCTGTGGTGGCGTTGGTGCTGTATGTGGAATGTTGGTGCACCCTGCTTGGATGAATATTGCCAATTGAATATTTTGGGCGACATATGGAGATTGAAGAGACTTTGTTGAATGGGGATTGTGTCTTTTGAGGCCTTTGAGTCATGTATGTCGCCCTACTACCTTGCTGGAGATGGGGACTGATATTCTGGCCACAAGGAATGAATGACGTACTGGATGTCGACCGCAGACCCGCTGCAGATGACCAGCGACGTGAAGTATGAGTGCGAATAGACTTCATCATTGATTACTTGAGATAATAATGAGAACATGAACGACGTGACATTCAGAGCCACGGGAGCTACAAGAGAATATAAGCCTAAAAGTATGGATGACTCGGGCTTCAGGATTGCCCCCTTGGTCGCCGATTGCCACCGAATCGGCGATTGATAAAATAAAATGTCTCCGGCCAGAGCGGAGACTTAATCTATAAATGAATCAGATGTTTTTAAGCCTCAATGTCCAATCCCATTATCCCACTATAATGTTCTCCGTCCCCGGATCTCATCATGCCAGCCGCAAGCAGTGGATCCCGTAAGCGCGGCGTATCGTAAAGTTACCGGTCGATCACGGCCGAGACAAGATACTTTCTTCCTTTAATAGTTGCTGATGCGGGCTTTTCTTCTCTTCCCCTTCCTCCTTTTACTCTGTCCTTTCCATCGCGATCAGTTCTTGACATTATTTCCTCACTAAAATAATCAGAGAGTCACAGAGTTGTACACGATGTTCGGCCGCCAAGTATCATCGGCAGCCCGTGCGGCTGGCCGCACTGCGCACGCAATGCCAAGCATCCGAAAATTCGCAACTGCTTCACCTGTTGCAGCGACTGGTCGCGCTCACAAGGTCGTCGTGGTCGGCGGTGGCTCGGCTGGTATGGCCATCAGTCACCAGCTGCTACAGTCTGGCAAATTCGCCCAGGATGAGATCGCAATTGTCGACCCATCGGAGTGGCACCATTACCAGCCTGGTTGGACGCTGGTCGGCGGTGGCCTCAAGACCAAGGAGGAACTGCGACGTCCTCTCAAGGATCTGGCCGATCCCAAGTTGAAGCTCTACGCCGAGAGCGTGGCCACTTTCTCGCCTGAAAAGAACTTTGTCACCCTCGGTAACGGTGACAACCTCAGCTACGAGCAGCTTATCGTGGCCCCCGGTCTGGCCCTGAACTGGGGTGCTATCAAGGGTCTCCCGGAGGCCCTGGCTGACCCCACAGCCCCCGTATCCTCAATCTACGGCTACGACTCTGTCAGCAAGGTCTTCGGCACTATCAAAAAGCTGGAGAAGGGCAATGCCATCTTCACTCAACCCGCCGGCGTGATCAAGTGCGCCGGTGCCCCGCAGAAGATTATGTGGCTCGCCCTGGACCACTGGAAGCGCGCTGGTCTCTACGACCCAGCCGACCCCGCCAGCTCACCAATCAAAATTAACTTCGCCACCGGCTTGCCCGTCATGTTCGGCGTGCCCAAGTACAACAAGGCCCTGACCGCCCTGCAGCAAGAGCGCGGCGTGAACGGTCTCTTCCAGCACGACCTGGTCGCTATTGACGGTAACAAGGCGACTTTCGCCCGCCCCGATGGTCAGGAGCAAGTCACCCAGAAATTCGACCTGCTCCACGTTGCCCCCAAGATGGGCGCCCCGGCTTTTGTCAAGAACAGCGCCCTCGCAAACGAGGCTGGCTTCGTTGACGTCGACGACAATACCACCCGCCACAAGAAATTCGCCAATGTCTGGTCCGCCGGTGACGCCTCGTCTCTGCCCACCTCCAAGACCGCCGCGGCCGTGACCTCGCAGTCCCCCGTCGTCGTGCGCAACCTGCTCCAAGCAATGGAGGGCAAGGAACCCGATGCGCTTTACGATGGGTATACCTCGTGCCCTCTGTTGACGGAGTACGGCAAGGTGCTCCTGGCGGAGTTCAAGTATGGTGGTGAGCCTAAGGAGACGTTTGGTGATTGGTTTGGTATTGACCAGGCCAAGCCCCGTCGCTCCTTTTATTATCTGAAGAAGGACTTTTTCCCCTGGGTGTACTACAATGCCATGGTCAAGGGCAACTGGGCTGGACCTAAGGGGTGGATCAACTAGATATTTTCCCCTGCATTTGCAGACTTGATTTGGATTCCCCCATGATGTATTGTATGGAGTTTTAGGTTAGACAAAGGATTTACATATTTTCAAATGACTTTCTCGTAAATTACTTTGATAGAATGTAGAATGGTAAAATCAGACTCCATATCATCCTTCCATATACATCTCACAGTCAAATCGAACCATCAATCCACCATTTTATATTTACTTTCCATCTCGAATTTTCTCCTGTCTCAACCGATGCAACTCAAAAACCACCTCCCCCAACTCCTCCACAGGCCCATCAACACTCACCCCCGGCGCAACATCCTTAATCCCCAACCCCGCCACCGGCCCCTCACTAACCCCCAACTCCCCCATCCACCCCTTCAACTGTTCCGAAGAACTAGCATACACAATCCGTCCCAGTCCCGCATACGCATGCGCAGCCGCACACATGGGACAATGCTCGCCGGAGGTGTACACCGTGGCTGACGCGCGGTCGGCAGGGCTAAGCTTCTTCTCCGCCCAGATGGCAAGCGTGAATTCCGGGTGTAGACTGACGTTGGACTCGGTGTGGATGCGGTTGCGGTGTTCTTGGAGGATGGTGCCGTTGGCGTCTACGAGGATTGAGCCGAAGGGGTCGTCGCCTGCTTCGAGGGCTTCGCGGGCTAGTTGGATGCAGCGGTTAAGGAAGGTTTTGTCTGTGGGGGTGATCATGGTGGTAGTTGATGTGGAGATTTGAGTTGGTTGGAGCAATGGTTTGATGGATGATTGAGATAGATAACACTTTGTGTTGGGGGGTGAGCCTCGGTTGGATCTATCAGCTATGGAGTGGCCCAGGGTAAGATATGTGTCGGAGCGGAAGGGAGGTTTCTTCCAGACAGCAGTTGAGGTTGGGATAAGCTCAATTATGAAACAAGTGACTACTCGTAGACGTCTATAGCACCTGACGAATGGCAGGAGCCAGGGAAGATATATTCATTAAGCTAAGGCGGGGTAAAAGAGATCGGGCGGGGCCGGCCAGCCAAGCAATCTATGTATGCTCGATAGGTTTGATAAGGTTGTAGCTCACCTTGTTGTTTATTCTCGAGCAAAGGAGACATCAGGTAGCGGAATCTTCCACGTTGGTTTCTTTGTATCAAAACCTACGAATGGGAGGGGGGAGGGGGGGGCTCCTTTCCATTTTCTTCATTAGCAACTACCCACTTCAAAGGTCCACGCAGGATATACGACTACCGGCGGTCATGGACGAAGACCGAAGACCTTCGGTCAAGCCAGGTAGCTAACTATATGTCTTCTGTTACCTCTTATTCAGATTCTGTTTAACTCTCTTCCTTCCATTTGCGGGCTAAATAAACCAGCGATTCTCCCCAGCATACCAGTCACCGTACGACCGAGAGCAAGTTCAAGTTATCGTTTATTCAAACTTTATAAAACCCATTCCTCAGTCCAGTAGTATATTCCCAGCGAGTATTCTGTGATCAGATGCAGTATATACACTCGCTCGAAGATGCAGATAATCTTGGTCAACAGTGCGTGCCACGCTTTTCCTATGGATGACGAAGTTAACGAACTGCCCAATTGGGGGCGAGCTTGAGCCACGCACATACCTCGTCAACGCTCTCCACAAGCAGTGGTGCGTCTTATTCCCGATAAGGATGCAATTCTTCAAGCATGGCTTTCGGTCAAGACACACTATACAAGGGTCTTTGGTGGGAGTATACATGATCCCGACATGTATCCATACGCGGCAGGCGATTCCCTGAGTATGGCGAAGAGATGTTCGGTCAACTTCCAGTGGGATTTTTTCTCCATGAGATCCAAGCTGGATACCCACGAATCTTCGTATACCTCCACCCAGTGACTCCATCCATCGTGGAACTAACGACCCACTCTTCTCTGTTCTGATGATGGGGATTTCAAGGCGCTCCTGCCAAGGTTGGCGATGAAGACATATGGACTGGAAGGTGTCCTTCCGATCCAAGTCATTTGGAGTATAAGGTATGGCCGCGCTTGCTCAAAGTCTCATAGTACAATGATACAAATGCTGACAATAGAAAGGATATATCTTAAGGCGTTATCCAGTCGGATATGATCTTCGAGACCGTGATGCTTTTGTGATATAGTCGGAGTCTTCAGCTTTTGTTGACATTTCTGTGGAGAGAAGGAAAGCCGTGAGGAGATTCCTAGCTATAAGGAAGGAACCAAAGCCCGCGATTCCCCAGCACCCAAGACGAACGTCACTCTCTATGTCGCTCACACAAGCTGAATCTTCGTCATCTAATTGTGTCTCTGCTACCCCAACTCCAAACCCTACGCTCTTCCCTGAAGAGAGGGCATTATGTGCCACCTTATCGACGGCCAGCACAATAGCGAAACATAGTCCTTCGACCGGAGACCATATTTACACGCCAACGGTGTCCACCTCGATGATCTTTTATCTTTCATTTCATAGACTATGGGATAATTTCAGCAAGGAGGCCCATCTGGCGGTCTCGTACGTCCGCTTATGGATGAGGTATTCTACTGCCTCTGTAGGATGACTCTACGGCACTCCAGCGCCCTCTCCAAGGCTGGTTTGACAGCATGGTCACATTCGCACCTCACAGATTCCCTTCGACCCACCCGTGATGATCTGGATCAAAAGCCAACATGGTTTCTAGCGTACAAGGCGTTTTACGGACTTTGTGGCAGCGGGAATACTGTCACTTGCTTGGTAATATGGAAGATTTGGTCGAGCACGGGCTCTCGGTGCTGATCGCAGTGCCGGTTTGGATAGAGTCAGTGGTGATGGCGATGTATCTTCCCCTGATCTATCACGGCATACAGTCACCATCTGTGACGGCTGGAGCTTTAGACGCATGAAGGATTTGACACCGAGATAATCCTACGAATTGCAAAAGGTGGATATGCCTTTGTTATGAAAGTCCTTCTGCAATTCCATTCTCGGGTGGGTCATTCTCGATGAATGCCAGCATGTGAAATCCATGCAACTTGGCCTCCATGATTGAATTGCAGCTGCTGGAAAACGCCTTGCCTGAACTAGCTGGTACACCAATGTGGAACTGGATCATGAGCCTCGATGCTTCACTGTGGTTTTCTTATCAGCTTTGTTGCAATATAAGTGGCCATCGATTTCGTCTCTCTGGATATTTTATACAACCCATCCGTCGTGATCAAAATAGGCAGCTACGCAAGTATCATCCAGATTCCATCTTTGAAGCTTTCCAGATCTACTTCCTTGAAAATCTTGATGGATTGAAGATACCGGGATTCTCCGCTGTGAAGATGTTTTTCTTCTCCCCACTTCTATTGCCCTTCCTCTCCTCTACACTTCATCCGCAGGTTTTCTCCTCGATATTTCAATTCTCGTCTCGAAGTACCTACCAAATTCTTGAACTTGAATTGTGCTTCTATCCATTCTTTGAGGTCTATAGAGACAACTCTGGACATGAGGGTCTTCTCACAGTCGCCGCAATTTAGCGAGCTGAGTGGCGTTAATATGGCTGGCAGGCGCCTATTTTCTGGGTGTGGCAGGATCAAGCTTCCTCCCCAGTTCGAATCTTCGATGTATCTTGGGCTCCATTGTTCCAGCTTCTCCCTCATCAAGTGCGTTCTAGTTTAAGTTTATCTCTCTCTTCCTTCCCAGAATCCTCTCTCGTGTCTCTTCCTCGGTATGTTATTATTTTGTATATGTTTAGTTTGACAGTGAAAGAGGACAAACTATTCAGTCCCGGATTCACTATCATCAAACACATTGGCAGTATCTCTAGACTCATCATGTTTGCTTCACTTGCTACCCTCCTCTCGATCCTAGACCTTCCATGAGAATACCTACTGATGTGTATTTCTACCGCCGCCTCATCTCCCTTTCTTCTTTCATCTTTCTGCTCATCACCAGTGTCCTTGCTCAAAAAGCTCCACTCCTGGTCGCCCGATTTTCTCCATCTTCGACATCTCGGTCTCTTCTTAGCCTTTACATTACTCTCCATCAATCCTCTCTGTCTCTCTTTTCTCTTTTCTCTTCCCACCATCACTCGACAGGAGTATCCCGCGCAACAATATCCAGCTTCCTAGTCTACAATTCCATCTCTCACTTTCGACATCATCCCAAAATCTACCCATCATGTCCGACACTCCTGGCTCCATTCCAAATGACTTCGTGTGGACAAGTGAGTGAATCAATATGACTGAAAACTCTGAAAACCATGATCTAACGACTCTTCTCTAGCATCCTGCCACTCTACCACGGCCCTTCGTGAAGATCAGACTCAAGCCAGTGACATTGAATTCACCGTCTCGAAGCCCCTCCTCTGCAAAAAGTCCTCATACTTTGCCGCTATGTTCGAAGGCGAGTTCATCGAGGGGCAGACGCAGACCGTGAACATGGAAGAAATCGAGGGCGTTGTCTCTCCGCAAACCATGCCAGCTCTCCTCCAGTGGATGTACAATCGCCAATTCGAATTCAACACTGTGGAGCCCGAGGAGCAGATCACAGCCGCAATTGAGCTTTCACGACTCGCGGACATGTGTGACGTCCAGGATCTGGGCGAAGAGATGGCCAAATTCATCAAAGAGGTGCTCATTGAGAACCAGGACCCCTACCCGGACGATAACGACTACCAGGATAGGAATACCTACGCGACGACCGACGAGCACATCAATTCGGCAGGCTACTTTCCTCGTCACCATGCTGTGCGAGGTATTCTGGCTGCAGCTTCGGTCGAGGGATTCTTCAAGGATAAAGTGTACAAGTTTGCTAAGCAGGCTCGAAACCATCCCACGTCTGGAATCGATCTTCTCGAACATGTGAGAAGGCACTGTATACCCTTGAAACAAGGACTGGGGAAGCAACGGTGAAGATCTTTTACTGGGAACAGAATCCGCGTCAACGGTATCCATCATTACCGCTCACGGATGGATTCTGTGAGTAATGAGGCATCCTCCTTCTCATGCTGATATCGTTCATTTCTCTGCGTGCTCTTTCTATCGTCCAATGGATAGTCAGGAAATGCTTTTCTCTATGTTGCAAATCAAATATCTCTCCGAACTTCAACACCTTCCACTCGTGGTGGTGTCGCTATCTTCGGACTTTTTTGGTTGTTTTAAGCTTGCAGGTGCTTTACTGCTTTTTTCGAGTTAATACGATGCAGGTTAATTGACCTATTGACTACATAAATTTCCTTCTTTCCTATTCCCTACTTCATTTACGTAGTGACGTCAAGACGTCTTCAATTAAACTACTCCTATCTCCCTGATTCACAGTCCAAGATAAAAGCAATCCATATCGATCTATAAATATACACCTAAAAACAAAAAGAAAAACAATCTCTATCTCCCCATCTCCTCATTCCCCTCTCCAAGTTCCCTCTGGGACTACCGGGCTTACCCCACATGAGTACATCCAGTAGGTATGTCCACTGTATGGCATTCGCGGGCACCTTCCTGATTCCCTCCACCCCCACATCCACAGCGGAAGTCCACGCCCGAACAAGTAAAAAATCCCGCTATCGGCTAACAATCGAGTACTCGGGCGCTAGAAACCTTCAATCTGGGAAGTGCCCACCGCACGGATCGAACAGTAGCACTCGCAGGAGTAAAGCGAAAAAAAAAAGAAAAAGAAAAAAAGAAAGAAGAGAATTCAATGCCAAAGGTAAAGGTTTAGCAAGAGTGAACCGCAGAGGATGAATCTGCGGAACGGAAAAAGGTACTCCATGGGTTGAAAATGAACAAGATAACCAAAAAAAAGAGAAACTCTGCCAATAATAAACCAGAAAATAAAGTAAAAGAGTACCAGTTTCTCCAATCTCCAAAAAAAAGCGTCTCTCCCTCCTCATCCACCCCCGCAGTCTATTGTTCCCCCCACCTCACGATGGCGTCCAACGGGGGAAGAGTCTGTTCCTGTGCCGTCGTTTTTCTTTTTTCTCTCTGATCGACTCATACCCCCTACACGCTCACACTTCTAGGCTCAAAAACTCAAAATATCCCAGGTCTCATAAGAGATTATTTACTGAGCGGCCTGCTGGGCCTGGAGGTAGTTGTAAGCACCGTAGGCGATGGCACCACCGATGAGGATGACGGCGTAGAGACCGACACCGAAGCTGCCGGAGGAAGATGAAGAGGAGGCGGAAGAGGAGCTGGTGGAGGCGTGGGCCTTGGGGGCGGGGTCACCGGGCTGGAAACGTGTCAGTAAGAAGTGTAGGATAAGGGAGTGCACTGCTCCCGATAAGGGGATTTGTTTGAATCGGAAAACATACCAGGCGCTTCACGTTGCCGACGAGCAGACCGTCGAGGATCTCGCGGGCTTCATCGGAGTGGCCGACATCCTCGAAGGCCTCGGAGCCGTCCTGGCCACCGACATCGAGGAGGACTTCCTCACCACCGCTGCAGGGGAATTGTTAGCATTTCGTAGTTCGCATAGTATTCCGGGTAAGAAATAGAGTCAATGAAGTCGGGGAGGAGGAAACAACGAGGATCGGCCCATTTGCAGTGAGGTTTCGGCGATAGGGGTATACCGTCGCGGGGCCCGATCCGCATCGGCGCAAGCGGGTGGAGAGTGCTAGGAGGGATTCAAGAGGAGAGAAGAGACGTACGGGTGCTCATCGACGAAGCTGGTGCAGTCGTAGACCTTCTCGTGGATGACCATGTACAGGTCCTTCTTGGTGTTGTGGGAGGCAACCTCCTGGAGAGTGAATTCCTTGGTGGCAGACATGGTGATGGCGTGGTAGAAAGAAAGCCTGGGAATTGCGCGATCGCAGGAATTAGCCCAGTGTCACAGAATAAGTATGGTGACTCCGTTCAAGGGAGAAAGACACTGTCAACGAGGTAGTGAGGGGGACCCTGAATGGGCGGCGGGCAAGACGAAAGACTATGGGACTTCGTTCTCCGTCGGAGCCAGCGAAAAAAAGCCCGATAGGAGGCGCCGATGGCCGCAAGATGGGACGCGACAGACGAGGAGGGAATGATCAGGATTAGAAGAGGGGGTACTCACGTTGAAGAAACAAGCGACAGAGAGAAAGAGAAGTATATGCAGGAAAGCAGCGGGACGAGACGAGGAGGAGGAGGAGGAGAGAAGGAAAGAGACCGATGAGTTGACGATTGTATTATTATTGGGTCTTACGGGAACTCCCCAGGTACTAAAGGCGGTGACCCTCAAAGTTCAAACTCCACTCGACAAGAAAGTGTCCCTTTTTTTTTGCTGGTTTACTACTGGCCAGATCTGCCCTGACTAATGACTAACATCCATTTTCCCCTGCCGTGAATTTCACCCGGTGAGGCAAACTCCTAGGGTTAGCCGGGGTTATAGAAAAGATCAGATGGCAGAAAAGAGGAGGGGCTTATCTGGTCTCTGTATGCAATACTAGGGGACTAAGACTAAGAATCTGCTAGGAAAACATGTCCCGATTGCTTCCTGGCGGGCCTGCAGTGTAACAAAAGGTCGAGACTTGGAGGATCCGATACTCGGCGAGCCTATCAGCGGCTGCTTATTTGGGGGCCTCGGCGCATATGAAGGAGGGGAGGAGTATACTAACCACGGGGGTGTGAAAGAGTACAATTGTAGTATATTATGATCGTATAATAGTCATAACTAGAAATCTATAAACTTGTTGAATATTTATTCAATTACTCTGATTGATTTGATTACTATATCCCGACATCTACAATATTTAATCTAGTAAACAACCCCCTCGGAATCCGGTCTTCATATCGGGAGATGAACTTTCCCCCTTTCGGTTCTCTACTGATCAAGTAAATTTCAATTCAGCAATCATATATAGTAAATTATCATAGTTCTCGACTATGATCTCCCCATCGGATCTCAAATCGGATACTCTACTCTAGTATACGTCCATCTCCATTTCCAAGTGCCATCCTCCATACCCATCCCATCCCCATACCCTCGGGTGAACCACCACTCGGGTAATGGCCCGGTACCCGCATCTACACTCACAGTACGGAGTAGTAAGTACATCCATACGCTCAATACTGTGCGGAGTGTATTCCCTACTACTGTGTACATATTGTAATCCATCCCAACTCCGCACTCACCCACGCAGTCCCCGCTTTCCGCGCCCGCGGAATTGTATGGAACCAGGTTGACCCTCGGGTTGATCAGCCTATCCTATCCCCAGTATCCCGCGCTGATGGTGCATAACCGGTGAATCCGATACATGGCTAGGATCATAATCCAAATGATTATTATCGCGCAAGTTGTAATCGCCCACCTTGTAACTATAATCAAACCTTGGAAGCTAGGTATACATACATTCTTCACTGTAGTTCCGTCGAAATGTCTCTCGGAATATTCGTTCCGAACGCTTCTTTCGTACTGTACTGATAACGTGATTCGGTTTATCAATCTGCGATAGACCCCGCCGAAGTAGATCAGTTCGGAAGGTACCTACTCAATGTACTTAAGACTGTATAAGGTACAGAATGTCATTATTTTCGAAGCAGTCGTCTTGCATATTTAGTCTCTCATCCAAGACTTTCAGGTCATAGGTAGACAGCTCTGACGGCATGATGCATTTCAACACCCGAAATGGATGCGAGTACGGAGTACATATATATCCAACCTCCGAATCTCCCCAGCGCCATCTCTATCCAGTCGTGACTATCGTGACATGACATGCAAAACAAAACAGAAATCAAAGGAACCACGAATGTCCAAGAACGATGAATATGAATCCCAACCGCAATGCCCGGAAAGGGCGGAACGGGTCAGCATAGAATAGGGGATCGTTAAACAATACAGAATAAAACACAAAAAACGCTAACGCTAAGGCTCATTTCGCTGGAACTCGCTCATAAAACACAATATACGCCTGCTCATTTTGCAGTCGGTCGCGCGCCCGCAGATCCCGCGGGTTAAACTCGGTCGTGCGTTCGTCGTCAAACTTTCGCCAGCACTGCCGTTCTGCATCGCGGACCAGTGAGATATAATGCCCACTACCCATAGAGGACCCGATATGCCGGAGCACTCCAAAGGCATCATATGTGAACGGGGGCGTAGTCGAGCCCATCATAGCGGGCGTGCTGGACTCAGCGGGTGGGCCGGTGGTTGGGTAAGAGACGACAAAGTCGTCCATTCGGAGACCGTAGAGGGGAAACTCGATTGGAGTGTGAATCTTGCGCGCGCTTTGAGTCTTGGATGCTGAGAAGCGCTTGAAATGGACGACTAGGATTTGCGGAGCTCGTGTGATGATAATCTGCTTGGTCGCGATGCGGTCGCATTTGCAGTACGGGCATTTCCAGACCTCGTCACCGCTAAGCATCTCCTCTTGGCAGTAACTTCGGAGACACTGGTAGATGTCACCGGTGCCGTCAGGTGGGATTTCGACGCTGATACTGTAAAAGGCTTCGTACGTGGTGGATGTTTGGCGACAGGTGGTGCATTTCAGTCGACTGGCGTGCTGACCCGCAAAAAGTGATGAGATAAAAGAGTCTTCTCGATGGCAGTAACGATGCCATTCAATTTCCGATACTTTCTGCACAGGCATACGCTCACGTTGCATTTCTTCGGAAAACGTCAAGGGTCGCAGGGGGTTGCGCTGCCAATTGACGTTGAGATCTTCGTGCAGACAGTCTACAAGGAAATCGAAGAATTCCTTTGCATCCTGTTGTCGATCAATCGCCCACTCCCGGTTCAAGCGACCACAAAAGTTGCGGAAAGAAGTAGGCATGATGACTTCCACATCGCCTTTCCACAGCGATCGGATGAGATTGGCATACAGACCCGGCATCACCCCTTGGGAGCCCTTCCAGTTCTTCTGCACGTAATATCGATACCGATCGTCGATGAAGAACTTGCTCACCATGACGGTTGCACTGAGACATTGAATCGTCGAATTCATGTAGCAGGTGACACCAAAATTGTGCAGACCCGTCCGTGGAAGCTTGAGACGGTTAATATAAGAGTTTGATGTGTACAAGGCGACGCGATTCGCTGAATTTTGTCGCTCCAAATGGGGTTGAATGTGACGACCGTCGGAGACGCCGCCGTAGCTGGGGCGAGGAACTGCAGGAGGTGGCCGTGACGGAGCCAACGGGACAGGAGGAGCAAAGTTTGCAGAGGCAGATGGTCGAGAGTCTGGGTGCATCATAGACTGCTGGATATGTTGTGGCTCGGGGAAGCGGCGTAAAAAGGCTTCATACGAGTGCACAAACGGAGTGGTAGGTTCTGGCTGGACCCCATCCTCCTGGGGCTCCTCGGTCAGCGGCTCCTCCTCCAGATAATGGCTGGTATCGATCTCCTCCTTTTTGGACCTTTCTAACCATGCAGACAACTCTTCCGAGTTGAGCGGCGTGAACTCGCGCAACCTCCTCTTTCGTACCTCCAGGCTGGAATTGGCACTGGCCATGGTGGGAACCCGACCCAGTGGCTTCCCAGGTCTCGGAACGGGCTTCTTGGCCTGCAGGGAGCCCATAACCGCAGCAGTGGAGGACGTAGCAAGTGACTGCTGCCCAAGAAGATCGATCCATGCATCCAGTCCACCAAGCAGCAGCGCAGGTGGCCGTCCCGCCTTCAATGGCTTGTATTCGTTGAACTCATATAGGGTATCGTGAAGCGCTCTCAAGTGTGGCGCCGACGTCCCTACAGGGGATCCTGCAAGATAGCTGACGGAAGCCGTCTGTTGGTCATAGTATACCACAAGGTCGAATTCGTTGCGCCTTTCAAACAAGGTCTGTTCATATTCGGGAGACACGACGAGGCGTTCCTCAAGCTCTTCAGCCGACACGTTCTCTTTCAGCACGACTGGCTCAATGCAGATGATCGACTTTGCATAGATGTGACCATTATCATACTGGTCTCGAGGACGGACATCGATAACCAAGACATTGAATTTTCGCAAGTAATCCATCAAACTCTCGGCTGTGATATGCGTGTTATAGGGCAGGTCGGGAGAGTTACTCCGTGTTCCGCGGGCAGAGTTGACCCCATTCGGAGTTCGGGATCGGTACGGATGATCGTCGAGACTGGGACTTGGACTACCATGCGGGGAGTTTGTAAATTGGGAGTACCGCTGATTGAATGATCGCGTGCTCTCGGTTGATGTCCGGGGAGGGTTTGAAGGAGCCTGGGTGGGTACTGTGTAGATCGGACTATAGGCAGGGTCGGGGGCGCGTGGCATGGAAGTGTTCAATGGCAGCTTTGGAGGAATCGATGGGGCATGACTTGAGGTCCCCATACTGCGAGGGCCCAGAGGGCGTCTTGATGGGGAACCGTAGAGGGAGCCATAGCTCGTTGCAGCGGTGTTAGTGGTATAAGCAGAAAACTGGCCAGTGGAACCCGATGAAGATTGCCCGGTAGATGTGGCAACACTAGATATAGACGCATCGCGAATCTGGGAGGTTTTCAGCTTCGCAAAGCGTTCTGCTAGAGAATCGCCAACGGAGACAGAGGACCGCTTGGGCTGTACTTGAGTATCCGGCATTCGCTGAAACTGCGTTGGACTCGGCATCCTCATGGAAGCGTTGCTTGACTCGTTATTCTCGCGACCTCGCACGGAGCTAGAGGCTGGCAGCGAAGTCGACGTGAAAGAACCAGTCGGCTGCACATTTGTATTCAAGTTGTCCTCGATAATCTCCCGCTTGATCGCATCCATCGTCGCATGCTTGCTTCGCACCGCCTGTATTGAAATAGTGGGGTTAGCTTCTTACACATGTGATCTACTCGACGACGCGCATTGCCAAGCACTAGTAGTTCAGCGGAGCCGGGGAACGCACCATCATCAGCGCTGCGAATTCCTTATACAATTCTGGACTTCGCGTTTGTATGGTCGGATATTCGGGATGGTGGGGTATGAGGTTAATGGTGATCTCGGATGCGCGCAGGTACTGTACATAGGCCTTGTCGGAATCGTCACCGTCTGCGAGGATCTTTGCTTGTTCAAAAGCCGTAGCCGCGGTTCGCAATAGGACGTCAATCTGGGAGTCGTCATATGAGCCTTGTGTCCTCCCCGCGGTAGCTCATATCCATCGTCTGTACTAACCGGCGTCCGCTCGTTCACCTTCAATAGTGCGGCCTGGTCCTGCAGGTCCTTGATATTGGGAAATCGAGGTTGTGGTGCTGGTACAGAACCATTCGAATGAGGGTCTGGTCTGGTGACCTGGCCGTTGGAATGCATGTTGCCCCCCACCGAGTAAGGACGGCTGTCCTTCCACGGTGGTATGTCTGGTGGAGTAGGTAAAGCCGCCGCATCGGGGGGCATGGTCGAGGCAGCGAGCGTGAGATGAAAAAGCTTTCCTAGCGCATGGTTTGGAGAGAGAAGATAAAGTGGACAATTCACAAGGCAACAAGAATAACGAAAGGACGAGACAAGAACCCAAAGGCCAAAGACCAAGGCCAATGTGATCCAGGAACTGGAACCAGCGGGTCTTCTGGGGTACAACGGAGTGACAATACTCTCACCGCCCCCGCGCCTATGACGCCAGGAGCTTAGTCACTCTGCGGGCTGCCTGGAGCTCCATCTCATCCTGGATTCAGTCGACGCGACTTCTTTGTGCTTGTACCTATTCTCTTGAAAATTGTGCGCGTTATTTGCGTGCTGCTCTCAGCTCTCCATAATGGCCGGCTGGTTTTCCTCAACGTCGCCGCTCGATGAGCAGATCGAGCGGGCGACCGGCTCCTCCCTGTACGTTATCACCCACCCACCTGCTGCCTAACAGACTTCGGTTGACGACCTCCGGGTTGAAATATACCTTTTGAATGCATGAGGCTGACCAATGTATCAGAGAGGACATTTCCCTCAACTTGGAGATCTCTGACATGGTTCGATCGAAGAGCGTCCAGCCCAAGGAAGCCATGAGGTCGTTGAAGCGTCGATTGGAGAACAGAAACCCAAACATTCAGCTAGCTACGTTGAAGGTTAGTGCCGTTTGCTTGCCTTAACTTGAAAACAAAGAATGAAAGCTGACATTTACACTGGTCTCCTAGTTGACCGATACGTGTGTTAAGAACGGCGGCACCCACTTCCTGGCCGAAATCGCATCCCGTGAATTCATGGACAATCTGGTGTCACTACTCAAATCAGAAGGTGCTCCACTGAACCCCGACGTCCAGCGCAAGATCTTGGAACTTATCCAGAATTGGGCGATGGCGGCTCAGGGCCGCATGGACCTGATGTATCTGGGGGAAACATATCGAAAGCTGCAAACCGAAGGCTTCCAGTTCCCACCGAAAACGGAGATGAGCGGTTCTATGTTGGAAAGCAATGCAGTAAGTGTGGCATTCCAAGCTTTCAGTTCGCCTTGAACATGGATCATAGTAACTTGGACTAACTCCCTCACTTTAGCCACCCGAGTGGATTGATTCAGATGTCTGCATGCGATGCCGCACCGCTTTTAGCTTTATGAACAGGAAACACCACTGCCGAAACTGTGGCAACGTCTTCGATCAACAGTGCTCAAGCAAGGTCCTCCCGCTTCCGCATCTCGGAATCCTCCAGCCTGTTAGAGTCGACGATGGGTGCTACGCCAAACTGACCTCAAAGTCATACGTCCCAGCCGGCTTTGCCGATCGTTCCGCGTTTAAGAATAATTCCATCACCAAATCCAGTACTATGGAGCCTCGGGGTGCCAAAGCAGATACAAGTTTCGACGATGATCTTCGCCGGGCTTTGCAGATGAGTCTTGAGGAGGCGGAAGGAAGAGGCCCGACTGGATTTGTGCCACAAACTGGAAATACACCTCAACAAGCCAAGCCAGTTACTGCTCCTGCTCCTGGCCCTTCAAATGTTGAAGAGGAAGACGCAGACTTGAAAGCTGCCATCGAAGCCTCCCTACGAGACATGGAAGAGCACAAGCAGAAACATGCGGCTGCATTGAAGAGCAATCCTCCACCGTCCACAACATTCCGTGATTCATCTAGCACGCCCACCCCACTACCAAAGAACCCATACGAGCTCAGCGCCATGGAGGCTGAAAATATCCACCTTTTCTCTACTCTTGTCGATCGACTACAGCATCAGCCTCCTGGAACCATCCTCCGAGAACCCCAAATTCAAGAACTTTACGAGAGCATTGGCACGCTTCGACCTAAATTGGCCCGGAGTTATGGAGAGACAATGAGCAAGCATGGTAAGCCGAGACTCAGGAACTATGATACATGGACTTGGTAAAGCTGACTACTGATTGTAGATACTCTCCTGGATCTCCACTCAAAGCTCTCCACTGTTGTTCGCTACTACGATCGAATGCTAGAAGAGCGTTTATCTAGTGCCTACTCTCAACAGAACTTGGGCTATGGAGCCATTCCAGGTGCCGCACAATACCCGACTATGCCCGGTGTCCATGCTCCGGATTTGAAATCTGGCGCCGAGAACTATTATTACACGAACGCACCAGACACTCCTCGCGCTTCCACATATGCATCTCGCCAAGTTAGCAACAGTGGCTATGATGCACCTCCTAGCGGAGTGACGAGCCCGGGCTATCCCCAACCGGCACCCAATAATTGGGCTCAGAACCCATATCCGTCTTTGGGATCACCTCCGCCGCAAAGCAACGCCATTCCCAACCACCCGGCTCCGGGATCGGCTGGTGCACCTCAGTACTACGCGCCTCAGCCCGAGCAAGATCCCTCGCAGTCGCATTACTCCGAAACCCCGTATCACCCTTCCTCAGTCATGCGGCGAGATTCACAATACCAGGCGAGCGCACCCCCGGTCGGCCCCAGTGCACCCGAACAGCACTCGCCTGAGCAAGTCCATTCACCTACATACTCTAGCGTGAATCCCGCGGGGACTACCCTCCACCAGCAGCCGCCTGGCGCGCCTCAATCCTATTATTATCAACCCCAGCAACCCAGCACGGTACCTTCGGGATACCCACCAATGACGGCGGGCCAACCGGGCGCATATCCGGATGCCCCCCAAACGCAGCCCTCCGCCTCTCACCAACCAGCCCGCCCCGTGGAGGAGAGCTTGATTGAACTATAGTGTAGATGCATCTCTCTCCGGCGTTTGATTCTAGTTTACTGTCTTTGCCTCTTTCTCGCTCTTCTCCTTTTTGGGCGTCTACGTACTCGATGATACCTGAGACTTTTCTTCGTTTTTTTATGGTGACCTGATTGCAGAATGTAACTACTAAATTACCACATGCTTATTGCTTTAGCTCCAGATCGGGAGAGAATTGAGAAAGTATGGAAACTCAATTTCCCCACACGGACCCAGTCAATTATGTCGACGAGTCAACACTGTAGTTAGTTCCAGTGACACCATAGCCAGTTAAAAGCCATGCACGAAGTAATACGAGAGTCTATACCTGGCTAGCTGAAGAAGACTTTCATTCATTTTCCTACACATTTCATTTCTACAGCTTCCCTGATACTATCATCAATCTTCTATTTGACTTCTCGGAAGGTTCCATGTCAAAGGGTCCGGCGTTGGCTGTACCGTAATATTACCCGAGTAGCACTCGCCCCCCCATCGCCGAAGACAGCGAGATCGACTTCCACACCTTTCCTCCGGTCTTCTTCTACTCCAGTCTTCCACCCCCCCCAGCTCTTCTTCCTTACAACCTCCCGCTCTCCTCTTAGCAACTCTCTCCCACCCCCCATCGCCATCGGTTGTTCCACAACCCGTAGGCTCGAGCGGGGCGGTGTGAACGCCTCCCTGCATTCGAACTATTACAATCTGGTTGCTTTTTCGCCCTGCACGTCCCAGCTGCCGTGATACCTGCTCTCTGCCTCGGCCAATCCCCTTCCATGCCCCCGGTACATTAGTGATTTACCCGCCGCTCTCTGGGGAGCTTTTGCCGCCATGCCAACCAACACTTCCTCCCCTGTCAAGCGCCCCGGCCTGGGCCGCCGCGCTGTGTCTTCACATGCGGTCGTCACGAGGACTAACGCAAACGCCGGCGCCAACCCCAACGAACTGTCGCAATCTCACTCCTCCAGGACCACCACCGTACATCATAAGCCTCACCGCGCCCATGTTGTGGGCGGTGGTCACCGCAACCACCATCGAAACCCCTCTTTGGGAAAGAACCTGAACAAACTCCAGCGCTTCCAACTCGGCCCCGAGACCAGTGGCCGAAATCACCAGCGCAAGAAGTCGGCCCCCGCAACTCCTATCGGCAGCCCCAAGGGTCAAGCACATGTACACTGGGCTGGGGCGGTGGATGACCATCCCAAGGACCATTGGATGAAGAGAAACTACTCGACCCCCATTCTCCGACGGAATAATTCAGCAGCGATAGTGAAGAAGACCCTGGTGACGGAGCGACCACACTCGAGCGCTGGAAAGAAGAAGTCGGTCGGATTTGAGTTGGGGGATGACGATGAGAACGACGACGCCGAGTGGGAAGATACCACACAATCACCCGAAAGTACGAGGCGCAACTCCGTCGCCCCCTCCAACCATAGCGCGGATAACAATCAGGTCTTGGTTGATCCTCTTACATTCGTGAAGCGGCCATACCCGCAAATTTCCCGGGCAACCAGTTTGCCTGATTCTATCACGAGCAAGCTTGTACGGGAACGGGAATACCCTGATCTAGACCACGAACACGACGACGAAGAGGAAGAGGAGGACGAGGAGGAGAACTCCGACGACACACAAAGGCCCGGTCAACCCACAGACCAGGGCGACATCGCGAACCGCCTCCTGAGCCCCTCACACTCTGCCAAGGCACCGCCTGCCATGTCCTCCATCTCAGCGATGGCGAAACCGTCGGATTCAACCTCACGCAGCACCTCACTCAACCTGACTGGTGGCCTGGATGCGGCTCGACGAACTTTCTCTACATCCAACCTCGGCATGGCCCAAATGCCCGGCAGTCAACCAGGAGCTACGTCGTCCTCTATGGAAGGCGGCGTCTCCAGATTCATCATGAGTAACAAGTCCGGTCTCCAGTCGTCTTCACGAACGGACTCCGACCCGAACACTCCATCCTCATTCCTACCTCACTACCATCCGCAAACACCCCCATCTCCGAACCGCGCGAACGGCAAGTCTACCGCATCGCCGGCACGTCCTCGCGGTGTCGATCTACCCTCGCGAACCCAGCAGAAGCTTTGGCTTCAACGCACAGCTACGCTGAACAACTCCCCACCCGACTCTCATGGCGTGCCCACAACGGTATCACCGTCGAATATGGACACAGGCTTTGTTCCCGGCGGCCACTCTCGTGGTGGCTCGACCTTTGACGGAGCTCGTAGTATGAACGGCAGCGGCCGCGCTGGAGTACTGGGCCACGATACCGAAGCGCGTCAGATTCGCAAGGCGTACGAGAAAATCTCATTGGAGCTCATGGTGGCTCGTCGCTTCCAGTCACCCACGGCCGACAGCTTTTACCGCCTGCGCACAGTCGCCCGCGCATCCGCAGTCAGTGCCGAGAACGCATCTGCACTGGGCAAGCCAGTCCAGTCAGCCCCATCACTGCCCCTTCTCCAGCGTGGTAATCGTCCTACTCACCTTGGCTCGAGCGCCGAGACGAAGTCGCAGTTGCCTGATCCCCACTCCTCGGCCTCTGAAGACCCCGCCACGCACAGCGAATCCACCGATACCACCCAGGCAGCTCCATCCTCCCACCCATCCCACCGGATCTTGTCGACTTCCGATGAAGCTGCGCATGGCCTGACCGGTGATCATTCCTCGGATGACTTCCCCGCTCTGAGCGAGAACGACCTGATGATTCGGCGGATGTGGGAGACTCGGGAGGTAGCCACCTCTGGTTGATTATGACTATGGCAGGTCTTTTCCATCATCATTTTTATGACTTGATCTTTTTTTGTTTTGCAATTCCCCGGCGTTGTTGGCGCCTTGTCATGTATGGTCATTCTGGACAAGGCTTTCTTGATTGTTTTCTGCGCGCATGGACATATCTGTTTTTTTCCGGAGCTTTTGATGCTAACATAATTCCCGATATGCAAATGGAACGCGTCTGATAATATTGACATTCTACCTTTCTCATGGTTTGTAGCTCATTTTCTTCCTCTGTAGCCCAGGGGAGGAGCTATAGGCTCCTCCCAAAGGGGCTGGCAATTTGTGTCCAGCCCCAAAAATTGCCCAGATTGAGTACGACACAAAGGGGTAATTAATTCCTTGGCCATCACTAGGCGTAATCCCTAGTGTTTCATTGGCACGATGCACTCTGGGCTATTTTCATGGTGCCGGACCGGGTACACTACTACAACTCGGCAGCGCGGCCTTCCGGGGGATCGACCATGGCGTGACTACCAAGCCCTAAGATGATTAATCCTCCCAGTCTGATTTGAACCCCCCGTTAAGTATAAGGGATTAAGTTAAGTATATACATTTCTGATTACTGACACTCATTCAACACAGCAACGGTCACTGAATCAAAATGGAATCATTGCCACAGCTGGTCATCGGCCAGGTCCTACGAATCTCCGGTTATGGCATCGCTTTGGTGTTGATCTCGGTTGTTCTGAATGTCATCAACCAGCTATTTTTCTACAGCGGGAATGAACCTCCTGTTGTGTTCCATTGGTTTCCTATTTTGGGGAGTACGATTAGTTATGGCATGGATCCGTATCAGTTCTTTTTGTCGTGTCGACGGAAGGTATGTACTAGTTTGAATTGAAGGATTGATTTGGAGAACAAGGTCTAATTTTGGTACTAGCATGGTGATATCTTCACTTTCATTCTCTTGGGCAAGAAGACTACTGTCTACCTGGGCACAGATGGCAATGAGTTTATTCTCAATGGAAAGCTCAAGGATGTCAATGCTGAGGAGGTCTATGGCAAGCTGACCACGCCGGTCTTTGGGTCGGATGTTGTGTATGACTGCCCGAACTCGAAGCTCATTGAGCAGAAGAAGGTAGACACCCATTTCTCAATAGTCCTCCCTCTCTGAAAGACGTCGACAAAGTCTTTCTAACATCTCTCTCGCAACTAGTTCATCAAATTCGGCCTCAGTCAAGAAGCCCTGGAATCTTACGTCCCTCTCATCGAAGAAGAAGTCAACCAATACATCAAAACATCCGGCCATTTCAAAGGCAAATCCGGTACCATCGACCTCGGCGCCATCATGGCCGAAATAACCATCTTCACAGCCGGCCGCACTCTCCAAGGAGACGAAGTCCGAGCAAAACTCACCTCCGAGTTCGCGGATCTCTACCACGACCTTGACCTCGGTTTCTCGCCCATCAACTTCATGCTCCCCTGGGCACCACTACCGCACAATCGTAAGCGAGATCTTGCTCATGCACGCATGCGCGAGATTTACCTTGACATCATCCGTGAACGACGCAAGACTGGTACAGCCGAAGAAACCCAGACGAAGGATATGATCTGGAATCTGATGCGCTGCGTCTACCGCGATGGAACACCCATCCCAGATAAAGAAATCGCCCATATGATGATCACCCTACTCATGGCCGGCCAACACTCCTCATCCGCAATAAGTTGCTGGATAATGCTCCGACTCGCGTCCGAACCCTCAATGACCGAAAAACTATACAATGAACAAATCAACACCCTGGGCACGTCCCTCCCACCCCTCCAATACAAAGATCTCGAAAAACTCCCCCTCCTCCAAAACGTCATCAAAGAAACCCTCCGCATCCACTCCTCCATCCACACGCTCATGCGCAAAGTGAAAAACCCCATGCCCATCCCTGGAACACCCTACGTGATCCCAACATCCCACACCCTCCTCTCCTCACCTGGTGTAACAGCCCGCGATGAGCGCTACTTCCGGAACCCGATGAAATGGGATCCGCATCGGTGGGAGGAACGTGTTGAGGTTGAGGATGACTCTGATACTGTGGATTATGGGTATGGGGCTGTGTCGAAGGGGACGAGGAGTCCTTATTTGCCGTTTGGGGCGGGGAGACATCGATGTATTGGGGAGAAGTTTGCGTATTTGAATTTGGATGTTATTGTTGCGACGCTCGTGAGGGAGTTTCGGTTTTTTAATGCGGAGGGGAGGGAGGGGGTGCCTGAGACGGATTATTCGGTATGTTTTGTTCCTCTGTCTTGGTTTATGCGGTTTACTGACTGATTTTGTTGTTTATAGTCTCTTTTCTCGCGGCCGATGCAGCCGGCGACGGTGCGGTGGGAGCGTCGTTAAATGTGCAGTGTGCTATGTCGCCAAGTGTGCCATTAATAATTCGCACCTCTAGGGAGGGCTTACATCGCTCACTGGTATTGAGCGAGTTATTTAATAGCCTGTCTCAGATACAAGCAGCCTAATTAGATTGTCCCTTTATGGGCCGGAATGGAATATGGATTACTTTAGGCGGGTGAAGTACGTAGGTCATTTGGCTGATTATCTATGCCCTAGACACTGCCCGTAGCATTGACTACCCTACCCTTTTAAACTGGAAGGGTTAGGGTAACCAATGCTATGGAAGTACGGGTAGTGAGGTTGCTAGAGAGGCGCATACACGCCTTGAATGCTTGTCTTACCAAGCCATGCCCCCGTCGGGGCGCATTTCCTGCGAACAAGTATGCCAGTCATCGTTGTCAGCCTCAAGCCAAATTAGCGGAGTGAATTTCCGTCAACACTCGCTCAGGGGTCTGCCCATTAAAGCAGCCAGTCATCGATCATGATTTCAAACACCGTGTTCCTCAAAGTCGCACCTATCGCTCGATCGGGTCTTAACTATTGATCTCGTACATTTCGAACGGGGCTTAGCAAGACACAAGCGTGGCATAGATATCTCATTAAATCCGGGCAACCGCTGAACAGTCACCAGGGGTAAGCACCAAATCTGAAATCTGAGGCTGTTTATATAGATCCCCCGGGACCCCTTTTTTTGTGGGTCTGCGGAACATAATTTTCAGCCTCATTCATTTCCCACACAATCATAGCGGAAAAGATGCGATCCTTTATTGGAGTCATCGTGGTCGGCTGCTACCTTCTAGGCTTACCTTTGCCTGTTTTCGCCAAAGATGATCCAAGCTATAATTCCACTCAAAATTCCATCCCTAGAATATCACTGGTCTTGGTGGGTTTTATGCCTGGGTCGGATCGTGAGTAAACCATACGAGTGCCTTCGAATGAACTACATAGCCAGTCACTGACCTTGAACAGGTACTATAATGCATCTATGCAAGTTGATTTGATCGTCGAGAGGGGGTACAATGGAACCACCGCCCCATGCGCTCCACTACAAAATCGACTATGACCGTACACTGGGACTCAGTCTTGGTCATCACGGACCGGGGAGCATATAACAAGGGATCGAACTCGGCCAACGGGGTGTTAATCATGACACCACCCAATTACAACAAGTCTAACTTGAATCTCCTGGCAACAGATTGGTCCTTCCAGCCACTATGGTGGGCATTGGAATCTTCGGCGTAAGGTAACACCGATCGAGGTCCCCACTAAGGCTCTTCTGAACCTCGAATATTGACAGACAATGATTCTACAGACCGACTTGGCAGCCAGCAGAGAATGGAACCGTGGGCGACAGCTTCAATTTCACAACAATCAAGCTCTCGGATTCCTTCTCCCTTGCAGGAACACTATCAGAGGAACTAAATGCCGAATGGGCTGCATATACAAACGAAAATGTCTCGCTACCAGGAACGTGTAACTCCAGCTACTACAACGGAAACTACACAAGTTGCATATCACAGCTGCCGGGAGACGAGTGGTGGAGCACACGAGGCTGGACGGACTACAAAGTACCCTCTGTGAACGTGACATTCGACGAAAATACCGCCAATCTCGCTCTTGAGGGCAAATTCTCAGCATCTCCCTATATGAGAGCAAATGATACTAATTATATGGGTGGTTGGTGGACTAAAGGCGAAATTGATGATAATGCAATGATCCAGGGTACAATCCAGCTGACTTTCATTTGGCACTTCGTGAGCGCTATTCGGCAGATGGAGCCGCCGCTATCGAAGTCCCCATACGATCTCGATATGATCCTCGGGTTAGTGCTTGGCTTCGCAAAGGAAGAAGATCGGATCATCTGAGGCAGTCGGTGTCGTGGGATACAAGACCCCTGGATGGTGAAGCGGATGGTATATCCGACGCAGAAGACGATGTTGCGCGGACGTTCTGACTACGCGCTGTGGTATGGAGCACAAGCAAACACAAAAGCATACTCAAATGTTGAGGGGCTCACAAGTGCAATTATTACTACCTAATATTGGAGCTTGAAAACAGTTAGAACTATTTACTTGAGACTGTGATTGAGATGTCGGTGGCGCTCTTGATACTGGAGGATGTGAACAAGGCAAGTGTCCGTTTGTCGGGTGTGTACTGCACCAAACTGCCTTCGGGGGAGACTTGGACCTTATATCCGTTGGGAAAGGTGGATGGAGGCAGAACAATTTCGGTGGGCGCATCAATATTAGGATCAGACTTGAACTGCAGCTTAAAAGTGGTCGTGTCCTCAGAAAAGCTGAAGCTGATGGGAGTACCAGCAATCGCAGCTGGATATGCACGGCTATAGTGCTTCGCTAGTTCGGGATAAGGCTGACCAGACGTGCCATTGTACAGATTCTCGTATGCCCAGCCAATCCACGAAACCATGTTTGCGTCGGTTGCCGTCATGGCCTCTGTTAGACCCTGCATCTGCTTATCATCGCCCATCCAGAACGTGAGCTCGGTCAGCACGCCAGCAGTCTTAAGGCGCTGGCTGTCCTTTTGGCGGTTGCTGAGCGTGGTAGAAATAGAGCCCAGCTGAGGTGGGCTGTAGTAATGGAATGACTGCACCGTCTTCGAGCCGTCTCCAAGAGGGACGTTGTTGAAACCTGACAGAACGTCTAGGGTAGCGCCTTCAAACCAAATGAGCGTAGTATTGTCCACCGTACGAATCTGCTTCGCTGCACGGTTCCAGAGCCCTTCCATGGCCTTGTGGTCGGCAACACCTGGCACAAGTAATGTCGGATCAGCCCAAGTGTCACCTACCCATGGCTCATTCAACAAGTTATAGCCGACTACGTTGGTTGTCTCGGCATATCCCGATGCCAGCTTTTTCCAGTAGGCGGCAAAGGCATCACCAAGCCCGTCGTAATTGTTGTATAGCCGGCCGAATGCATTGCCTATCACAACGGACGTATAACTCAGAGACCAGTCAACAGTACCGCAAAGCGACTGTGGTGATGGGAAGCCGTTTCCATCCACGGGGAATGGTGTCAGCTTAAGTGGAAATGGGTACATCTCGCTGCTCGGCACCCAGTTTTCCTTGACGAACCACTACAATGCCGTGTCAGTATCGAAGACTCTCACAATACTCTTGTGTCTACTTACGTCAGGCACACCATGACCGCAAAGTTGCCGTGCCAGGCAGTCCTGATGCACGTCTACCAGAACGTAGATGCCATGGTCCTCAGCCATTTTGGTTTGCTCCTTCATGATATCAAGGAAAGTCTGGTTGTACGACCCACGCACGGGCTCTGCGCCAGCCCAGTGGTGACCCAGCCGGACGATGTTAAGACCCAAATCATGCATATTTTGGACATCTTGCTCGCTAAATGACGAGACACCTGGAACCCACTCCAACGGCCGATACCATGGTGGCTCCTTCATAACAACATTGGTTCCGTGGAAGAACCGCGTGCGATTGTATTTATCGACAATTTGGTGCGTATTTTGGTTCACCTGGCTGATACGTGCCATGCCTGGATGAGCCTTGTACCAGCCCTCAGCATCTTGAGCTAGTGCAACCGGTAAAAGTGTGCTGAACACCACTAGCCATGATGAAGCGGTGATTGGAGTGAACAGCATATTGATGCAAAGGTCAACCAAGTCACTAGCAGGTGAGAACTGGTAGATAAATAGAGTGAAGAAGAGTCCAGATGATTCAAAACAGTCAAGCGAACAAATGCGGAGTATAAATGCCCTGAAATCTTCACATGCAGCAGGGTTACATCTTGTTGATCAAAGTGGAGACAGGATCACACTAGTGTAAATAGTACTGTAGTGTTTTTGACACTTCTTCGGAAAGTCTTGGCTTTGGGTATTGGTAGAGCGCAGCTATCCTCAATGGTGGACGACTTACTAGACAGTATCCATGAGCACCATCCTTGTACCTCTAAAGGAGAGGTGTTGCCGTAATGTCAGAATTAACATGGATGATGTCGCTTCAGTAGAATAGCCATCACCGCGAAGTGCCCCCACTCAGTCGATACTACATACTAGCGGGATCCCCGCAGTATAGTTAAGAGAAAGCCTGCACGAACGTGTTCTTGCGTCTGCAGGGCAGACAAGATCCGTGTTGAGTCCTCTTCGGCAGCACATGCCAAAGGTGCGTCGTGTCAGCCGCCTGGTTAGCATCGCTGGATACCTTTAGTTGGAGTCAAAGAATAATTTACCAGGTAGTAATCAACAGTCTAGCTTTGTACGTCAAAGGAGCTTCGATTGTTATATAGCAGTTCTTCATCCGCAGATTAAACTCGAATGGTAGCGAATCTGAAAATTCTCCGATACCAAGTGCCAGATCACCCAAGGGAGAAGGAAGTGCATAGAATCAACCGCGCTCTTTCAAGTAGCTACATATATTCCGGTTTCATGGGCATCAAAAAGCTCAAGCCACGATCACCCACGTCCAGTTTGTCATAACCACTCTCTGCATGTTCAGCCATAGGAGACCGGAATGCTGCCGAATTTATCAACCTATCATAGAACACCGACACTTGACCATGTTTCAAAGCCAACTTCAACTGTAAATGTGATCAACTACTTAGCCCCCCCCCCCCCCCCCCCAAATTGCAATCTCAGTCAGATAATGACGTTATAGCTTTGGAAACATGCACCCCAACCCTCAGGTCGGCCACGCCCACAGTCGAAATTCTACTAGCGTGGTAAACGCAACTGACCCCTTCCATCGTCGGTTTTTATTTGAAACCCGATCCCCGATTCGCTTAGCACTTTAGCGAGTTCAAAATAACCTTGCCGATAAAAATGATCATCATTTGCCTCTTCTTTGGCATAGAAACCCCCCATGGTCTAATGACCGATATGCGGGAGTTCTCGATTCTTCAGCAACCGCTTGTAGAAATCACAGCGGATTGTCCACCCTACTGCGCTTTGCCCTTCGGCCTGGCACTTCCAATACCAGCACCATATCCATACACCAAGGTACCACCAAGACTAGCAGCGAATAGCTGAATTGCGACCACAGCGCCGCCCAGCCCTAGTAATGGACTCTCGGGCACGTACACAGGACCACCCGATTGTCGGCGCACCCACCAGTATCCCGCCCCAACCAAAAGAGCAAGATCATTCAAAGCAGCGTGGGCGAACAATGTCTTGAACTTGGGTTTCACGGTTTTCTTGTCTGCTTCAAGAATACTACTCTGCTTCGTTATCATTCGGCTGGCCGAGACAATACCCGTCGCGGCAGCGGCAACTCCACTCACAAGGCCGGCGGACAGAGCATAATATGAAATGATGGTAAGCTCGGTGGTTTCGGGGAGATAATTGAGTGTAGCCGCTGGGATATATGAATGGAACGCATTCAATACGTCAACTCCAAAGGCTGTGCTGATCAGTGCGATTGGCCAGTGGACGACCGCTGGGTGTAATGGGTGACTACGGAAATGTTACTGGGATATTCCGGGAGGTAAAGCCTGCAACTTGAAGAGATAGTACTCACTTGGTCATGGTGATTCGATATAGCTTCAAAGAGGAATCAAGCACACGTTGACGAGGGACAATATGTCTTCAATCCGGAATGGGATGGTTGTCAGTGCAAGTTCTGTGGGCAGGGGGCTGGGAGGCTGGAATGTCACTGGCTCCCTCAAAGGCTCCGGACCGCGGGAATCGTCACAGGCCTGTGAGTTTCTTCGGCAAATGCAAATGAAATCAGCTGCCCATCGTTATCCTGCATGATGAGAAGCTTGTCCATTAGAGGTCTAAAATATCAATTCATGGTGTGAAGAGACAATTTCAACCCCATTCGACGTCATTGCGCCCATACATTCTAAGGTGTCACTACCTACTCCAGGGGAGATCTCTAGGAATTTATCGTTCGGTGGCCTCGGCAAGACGTCGGCGTTGGCGAGTTATCACATACAATCCCTATCGAATAGGAGAAGCCCTAGGCATAATCATGATTCTGCTATTCTAGTTGAATATTGTTCCGGCGACGTGTATAGTGAAGAAGAAGTCGGATGGTGCCTAGGACTAAGGGAACTGGGGATAATGGTGTCCATGAGCAAGGCTTTTCCCATGTTCAATCACTTAATAGAGGATTTAATAGCGGATCCGATAATTTAAAAATCGTGATCTAACGAAAAAATAACGAAAAAGCAGAGGGATCGCATGTTAAGAGCCTCTGTTGGCCACTACTTTTGTTGCGCGATGGCCGGATAGTAGTAGCTGATAGAGGTTCTAAGAATATAAAATGGGATCAAACCAAAAAGATCGTGATGATGCTACCGAAAAATTTGGATTCGATGAAAAACCGGAGGAATCGTATGTTAAGAACCTCTGTTGACCACTGCTTGTCTTGCGCGAGAGCAGGTTAGCAGTGGCTGATAGAGGATCTATAATGCAAAAATCGGATTAAATGAAAAACCGGAGGCATCGTACATCAAGGACATCTGTTGACCACTACTCGTTTTGCGCGATAGCAGGATAGTAGTAGCTAATGGAGGATTCAATAGAGAATTCACCACAGTACCGTGTCTCCCTTACTTGAAAGGTTTAGGTGAAGCCTAACTGAATGATGTATGAGTATAAAGGGTAGAATTTCAAAACCGACGGCCCATGGATATTGTATTGCAAGCTCGAAGCAAAGTCTATAGAATCCTCATGAGGATCAACCGAAACGCCAATTTGTCCAGTGTGATTGCGAAGCCTGTATTCCAGGATCCGAGAAAGAGAAATAACAAGATAGAAACTTGGGTGTAAACAGGACGTTATCAACATCATCTCCAAAGGCACAACAAAAAGGACAGTGGACTCAAGGCCAACATGTCCTAACAAGAAGATACAAAGAAGGAGTGGAGCATTTCCAAAAAAAAGAACATCGTTTATCCTCGATCCTTTCCCCTTCCACGCTGATTTCCACCCCCACGTCGACCATTCTTTCCACCTCCGGCACCAGAAGAATGATTCCCGCCCACACTTCCCTGCACAGGCACCGGAGCAGACCCATTAACATTCACACTCTTCTTTGGCGTACCGGACACCGAAGCAGACGCAGTATTCTTATTCCCCTGAGAACCCGCACCATCAGGCCCAGCATTCTTATTTCCTCTTCGCTTCCGCGAGCTCCCAGCCGCACCGGGGCCCGCTTTCCCACCACGACCGCCTTTCCCAGCAGGCTGCTGCTGCTGGGCAGACTCAGGCTCAGGCTCAGGATCAAGAAGACCCTGGACACGCTTACTTTCCTGATCCCACCATTGCTGGAATTCCTGCTCAGCTTGGATTTCTTGCAGGTTGTGCTTGGCGGTGGCTGCTTCGCGGATCTCGTCTTTTTCGGATTGTTGTTGGAGGAGGATGGTTGCGAGGGAGAAGGAGCCGCCGGACGGGGAGCGCATGTATGGATCTTGGCGTGGGATGTGGCGGATGGATTGGATTGCTGGTTGTGGGGAGGCTTTGGGGAGTGTTTGGGGGAGGGAGGTTGGTGGAGCTGAGGGGGAGGGTTTGGAGAAAGAGGGTGGTTGTGTATTGCCGGAAATGCTGCGGTTCTGGGTTTTCACTGGTGTGGCCATTGGCTTGGATCGTGGAGGAGGAGTTCCAGCAACGGTTTGTCGGAGGGTCATGGCGGGCTTTTGAGGTGTCTTGGACGGCTCGGATGCTGGTGTACTTGGTCCGCTTTGGCCAGGCAAGGGGTCTTTGACAGGCGTCGCTGGAGTTGCTGGAGGAGGCAATTGCCAGGGATTCTTCGGCACAGACTTTGCCTCTTGCTGTGCGGCAAGCTTCTCCTGCATCTGCTGTTGCTGCATCTTCTTGCGCTCCTTCTGGGACAGCTTGCCGTTGAAGTTGCCACTGCTCTCGCGTCGATTCTCCATTTCCAGAGTCAAATTGGATACTCTAGACTGTGAAGTTTCGCCCATGATATCCCTGAGATCCTTCTTGCCATTTAAGGTGACAGGCGAACCCCAGGGTGCAGAGCCTGATTCAGGATGAGAAGCCACAGCTCGTTTCTTGTGCATTGCGATCGCCCGCGTTTCAGTCGGAGACTCTGGCAGTAGCCCCTCTCGCGACGAAGACATTCTTTCGTCAAAGGAGCCATCGCCAAGTGATTCACCTTCTGGAACACTTGCGCCCAGCGCGGGAGAATCAGGATAAGATCGATTCTCAATGCCAAGTCCACGCATGACGGTTTTTCCTTTGATGGAATCTCCTGGTGAAAGCACAGCTTCATCGTCCATCTGGAACATGAGATCGTTGGTGGATTGTCTCGGTTTCAGCATCGGGCTATTGACGGAGCTTTCGGTATCTCTTGAGACACTGCCCTTTGACTTCCGCGCCAACGGGGACGCATTGACCTTGTCATTTGCAGAGGCTCGCGGTCGGTAATCATACGATTCCACTTCACTAAGACGAGATTGTAGGGTCATCGCATCGATGCGTCGCTGTTTGTCTATTCCAACGGAGCTCACGAGCTCTGGATATTTCTCAAGGACATAGTCTTCTGAGTTGCGACCGCGCGAGACTGGGAAGCATGCCAATTGATTTTCATGGCAGACAGTGTCAAGCATTGTAAGAATGTCTTCGTCCAGATCTTCCAGGTAACGATTGGCAAGCATGGCCTCAAGATTTAGACAAATGTACTCCAAGGAAGCCTCTTTGAACTCGGAGACATAGATCGGCGCGACCGAACTGAGAAGATAGGAAATATTCCTAGTATGAACGAATCGACCAAGCATCTTTTGACAAATTTGCGACAAGCGGTCGATCATCAATTCGTTGGCCACGAACATGACATCCAGAAGCAAATCGATGAGATCATCAAGTGACTTGGTTCGGACTTGATCGAACAGTTGTTCTTCAGTGTCAGCATAGAGGTAACGCAAGACAAAGTCAAAGGTAGACCGATTGATGTGCTTGAGGTCGACATGCACCTTTTCTGAAGAATTTTTTCGACGAGACGCAATCCACCCGCCCGCAGAGCGGCCATGGAACAGAGCATCGAAGAAAGGGCATCTTTGACAGACCACTTGGCTGTGGACTTTGACAGAGTCGCCGTTCAAGTCAACAACCACATCCGCATCGCTGAAAAACGAAGGGTGGTTGATCGCATGAGCCATGTCCATTTTCAAGCTCTTCTGAGGCTCGACCATCAACCTCGCAGCGCGTTCCAGCATTGAGAGACCGAGATGAGTAGCAACCTTCATGATCTCAAGGCGAACCTGACGGTACCGAGTGGCATTCTCGGGCGAGCTCCTGGCTTGATGCCAGACGTCAAGAATGCCATCGGTGTACATGAAGAACACGACATTCATGACAGTCAAGAAATCCGTACCAAGAAGCCGAATTTGAGTGATCCCATCCTTACCGTACTCAATGTCAAAGACATCGGGCACAGAAGCGTAATAGGACTCGCGGAAGTCTTGCAACGCTTTCCGAAGGACAGGACTGCGGCCAGCTAGAAGGAACTCGTGCACTGGTATCCGTGCGTCAGATACGGAGCTGGTCATCCACACTGTTCCCTCAGAGCGGACAGACAGAAATTGGGTTTCGATTTCGGATGACATGAGGATTGCCCTTTTGATAAGCGCTGCAGAAGAGAGAGGCATTGGGCTGTCGGTAGCATCTCCTTCCAGAATTGCCTCTACATCGTCAAAGTTAGGAGTGACAAACGGCGAGAGAGGTAGGATATCATCCCAGAGGGTACTGCTGTCAATGTGAATCTGTTCTCTGGTCACATCACAGTCACGCTGCGCAACCGCATATGCTCCGAAGGCATTGCTGCGTACGGCCACAGCCCTGGACAGTCCCGGAATTCGAGCGAACTTGTAATCTTTCGAAACACCCTCCCTGTTCTTCGTTCGCTTTTCTTTCCTCCAAGCTGAGCCTGACGTGGTGCAAATGATGATGGATCCGTCTTGACCGACATCAACATCACTTGCAGCCATGTGAGACTTTTTGACAGACCAAGCTCGCTCAGGAGCAGCCAGGGAGTTGCGAATCTTGGCAGGGTTTGTGGTGGATGTTTGGGTTGAAGGATCTTCTGATTTGTTCACATGGACAGTAAAGACATCACCAGAGCTAGCGAGGGCGCAGATTGTGTTGCCGCCACAGGCGAGCTTGACGACGTGATTCACGGAGCTGTCGTATCGCGTCGCCATGAAGCTATCCCGGATGAATCTCGAGCTTGCTTCGAGAGGGAATGAGAGTTTAGAGTAGCCATACTGGGAGAACACCCAGACCTCGTGGTTCTGTAGGAGTACCGCCGTGGCACGGTCGATAGCCGATACCATCTGAATTGGGCACTTGAAGAGAGAAGCGCCAACACGTCTTGGGGTTGTCTGAACTTCGAGTGATCGCGCGTCGGAGTCAACTAGGCCTAGTTGGCCCTCATTTTTACCAAACGTGTAGAGGCCCGAGTTGCTGAAAACGACCGAGTGAATAGAGGAAGCAGCAGCCCCAATGATAGTCTCCTTCTTGAAAGGGTTGAAGATCTGTCGTGGCGTTGACTGAATAGGGACATCGTTTTTATTGCTTGTCCTGGGTAGACTGTATCCGAGTTGACCAAACTTGTTGCTACCCCAACTGAAAATCTCACCAAACTCAGTAATAGCCAGACTATGGTCTTGACCGAGCGCAACGGACATGACCTTTCTCCCTGTCAACCCGCCTGTCTCAATACATACAAAGCTGAACCGGGTAGATTCATCACCGGTTCCAAGACGACCACCGGGCCCGAAGCCACACATAAAGAGGTTGGCTTCCGGGTCATCCGTAATGACGGCAGTATGCAGCTTTGACATGAACATATTTTGAAGCTTCATTGGCTTGTTTTTGATGACGGTCGGGAGTTCGTTCGGATTGCTATGGTCAACGAGATCCTCGAGACCAAGCTGTTCCATCTGCTCCTGGTATTCGCGGTAGAATCGGTACAGCAAATGATCAGGGCGTTTCAGTACGATTCGCTCTGGAAACTGTCGATCATCTTGATCCCCAAGCCCAAGGTTCAGGTTCTTATTACTGCCGAGAGTGAAGACCTCGTCGGCGGAGAAGTCGGACCGCGACTTTAGAGCACTTCGCGCAAGATATGCGCCATCTTCACCTTCCTCTCCGTAATTTGAGCCAGGGTTGGAAGCAACGTCACTACCCTCGATGTCGGGGACCATCGACCCCGGCCATCTTGCTGACGAGACCATCTGCTTGATATCCCGAGATGTAATGGTAGACCCGTAGACATCGAACGGGCTGTAACCCTCACGATCCTTGATCTTGATCAAACTCCCACTTTGACTTGTGTGCCCCGGTTTACTATAATCCGTCATATCCCGCATGTCCCGCGCCATCAACGCTCGAGCAATGGTAGCATTGCCGGCATACAGAGCTCTGTGCAATGCGGTCCATCCACTCTCCCAGTCCTGCGCATATATATCAAGGAACGGAATTTCAAGCAGCGCGCGCGCAAAGCTCGCAGCTGTGGGCTTCGGTGAGGAGGCGATATGGTGCAAGAGTGTCCTGCCAAAGTGATCGCGAGCATTGACATCGGCGCGCGACAAAGCCGTGTTGCCGCGTGGAAATCCAGATCGGTCGGGTAGAGAGGTTCCTGGCGATGCGGCTGATGTTTTCCTTTGTTTCGTTGGATTAGGCGACGATGCGATCATTGACCCGGGGCTTCCAGTCTTTGACGACAGACTCGCCGCTGCGGCCGCAGCAGCTGCGCTAGACACTCCAGAGGCTCGCGGACCCGCGAACGTCGCGTTCGCGATGTACCGTCTGAAGCTCTCCACATCATCTTGAATGAAATATTCCCAAAGCTTGCTACTCATGTGCCCGGAGTGGTCGTATCGCAGAATCTCTTATCAAGCCCGCGCCGGAGCGTCGCTGTCACCTCGACCGGGGTGAACTGCGACGGGGAAGCTAGGTGATAAGAGAATTCTGGGGGGAGGGTTCGGACTGAGGGTGGGAGTGTCGATTCGGGATAAATCGACGCGTTTTGGGGCTGTTCACGATGCGATTCCGATGAGATTTGCAATATATGCGCGGTGACACAAATTCGATTGTGGGGTTTCGCAAGGATAGGGCATACGCGGTGGCGATGACTTGTCCTTATGTGCGAGGTGTCTTGCGGAAGGACTCGGGTCTCTCCTGCTGACAGAGAGGGGAACGAGGAGGGGAACGAGGCGCGATCGCGACGGAGCAAAGTTCACGGCGTGGTCGAGCGTGTCGAGTTGGTCGAGAATCGGGTTACTCGGGATTCCCGTGGATTTCTTAGATTTCTGTATCGTTGCCCTCCGTCATGCTCGGTCCATGGATCGTGGACCCTCTTCATGTTCTGGCCAATGACGGGCCGCACGTCCCTCCATGCGGCCCCATGAGAGGTGGACGGGGGCTGACGATCAGATCCGAGCCGATTGAGCCCGTGGGGGAATGGGGAACTGCTGATGGCTGGTGCGGTGATGCATATTAGAGAGCCGGAGAGGTTCTTTTGCATCTGCGTGACATTCCTCGATCTACAGGAGGAGCTTCCATTCCCCCGCACTCCCAACAGATTAATGTCCGCCATTACCGCGCCATCTCTACTCTAAGAATAGGCCGTGGATATACAGACTTACCTAGGACCTCAGCAAGTCTACCAGGGTTTCTAATCGTAATTAATCTGGCCCTGCCCTTGCCGACGCCCGAACAGGTAGAAGTATGTTCCACTCATAGTTACACAGTGTTGAAGGTAGCGGGACTACACTTCAATGAGCAATGTTATCACCAGGTTGACTAGCACATCATACTTTCAATGATCAAGGTTGACCCCGCTTAATAGCTCTAGGCTGATATACCTCATGCGTTCCACCAATCTAGTCCTTTGACACGCCTTTAGCATGCGCGTCCCGGTCAACAATAATGGTTTCCACGTCCTCATCAGTACCTTCCTGGGCAGCCAAGGCAGCTTCCCTTCGTTTCTCGCTGGAAAGAACAGTTAGTACAGCCGGTCTTCCTTGCATTCAGCAAAATGTACATACCGTCGGTGGAGGATAACGGCTGTCATGAAACCAGCCCAGAGCAAAAAGAAAAACACAAGCGACACGGGCCATCCTTTCTTCCACCGCGGGGCGCCATAAGGGCCTGCAGTCGGAAAAAGTAGAAGCGGGACCCAGATGTTGAAAGAGTAGCCAAAGGTCATCATAGATCCCTGTCAAAGTTAGCCAAGTTATTTACAGAACCTTGATCAAACCATACCAAAATCAATGCTCGCTCTTCAGAATCATCTTTAACGATCGTATTCACGGTCGAATACAAGATGGGACTCAAGCAGCCAGCGAAGCCAAAGAGATACCATGCAACGAATCTATCAGAACGGAAAGTTAGCATAATCCGCACTAGGGGATTGCTAGTCAACTTACTTTAGACCGGTGGGAATAAACCAGACAATCATACAAATCACAGAGAAGAAACAGCATCCTGAACCAATCGAGAAAATTACCCATTCGGGGTAGATGGCCGCCAGTGTACTTCCCAGCCACGAGGCAACAATATTAATCGCATACATGACCGTCGGTAATTGATTAATTTGAGTAACCGAATAACCTTCAGCCTTGAGCCACAGATTCATATAACTCATGGGATAAGAGCAAATGATCATGCATCTAGTCATCAAGCCATTGATGTTAGTTCTCACAACCGATACTCAAGCACCACCTCCGTGAAGTCGTATACGTACGCGTAGGAGAAAATGAACACCCAGATATGCCAGCGCTTCAAGCTACGCTTGAAGACATCCGCACTCAACTTCCCCGGTCGACGAATCTTCGCTCTGGCCAGTCTCTCCTTGGCCAAGTTTATGTCGCTCTCTGTCAGATAGAAAGGTCGAGGAGAGTCTGGGACACCCGGGAAGATAAAGAAGCCAAGCAAGGCCACGGGAATCGTGAAGATGCCGTCAATGATAAACAGCCATCTCCATCCTGGCATGCCACCTACCCCGGAGAGATTGGTGTAGGCAGCTGCCTGTAGATAGCCACTAACCATGGTACCGAGTGCATTACAGATAAACCAGGTGCCGGCACGCTTGAAGAGTTCTGGGCCTGAATACCAGGAGCCTGTGTTTTTTCTGATTAGTAAAGCTCTTTTTATCATTAGGTAGCTGATAGAATGCTTACCGAGGATGAAATGAGTCCCAGCAAAAACTGGCGCTTCTAGCATGCCAACTAGGAATCGAAGGGCATAGATCTGGTTGACGCTGGTGACGCGGCTTTGAGCGAAGGTGCAGATCCCCCACAATATTTCCAGTCCAGGGAGCAGCCATCGCGCGCTAGTTTCGTAAGGTTAGTTGGTTGCTTATTGTGGCGAAAGATCTGCTATCTCAACATACAGTTTGGGACGCGACATCAACAGTAAGCCGGGAACTTGGAACACAACATAGGCTGTGAAGTAGCAGACATTGAAGTAGTTCAGTTCATTCCCATGGAGGGAGAAGTCCTCTTTGAGTCCGCTAACATAGGCATTGCTGATATTTGTCTGATCTGTTCATCACCAGTCAGATTGACTTCTTCAAAACACTCCAACCATGAGCATACCTAGATACTTCACAAAGACTAAGTTATATTAGCGAGAGGTACAAATCTGGACAACAAGTCAGGCTTACAGCATAGACAAGCAAATACCAAGATCGACAAATCTAGTTTGAACAATAACCTGGAGGAAGATCAGTTTCCTCGCCTAAACACATGACGGAGGGATTTGATATACCTTCTCTCTTCCGACGGATAGTGAGACGGGTACCAGTTGAAAACCTCCTTGAAGACTCCAAGGGCGGAGTCCCTGGGCCTGGGCTTTGCTTCAGCCATAGCTATGTCTCCCCGGCACCTATGGGTGAGATTTCGTTCGCTGTGCGGATAGATTTGTAGAATAAAAAACACATTGTGGGTAATTATATAGCTAAACTCTTTAAGAACCGGTGCTTGTGTCTGCCACTATATCATTCGTGGTCCTCAATGTAATTCATCCACATAGTGTCGCCATCGTGATAACACTCGGAGTCTGTCCGTGCCAACCATCGCAAAAACATTTCAGAACAAAGGAATGGAAATGCGGGATGAAGCTAATGCATCAAAAAGCTGAGAATTGAAACGATAGGCGGTTAATGCAGAACAGCACGGGTCCAGTCAATGACCGCGACATGCTGACGAAGTATGGCGTGAGCAGGCCCCAGTTTCAAAGGGTTCTCACCAACCGAATATACCCCGTTATCGCACGACTAATGCGGACAGATTTATGACGTGCTTTCTTTATCGATCAGGGTAGTTTGCCGAATCGTGCGGGGTTGAGATCGGTTGTTTGTGCCGATATTTTGGTTTTATATGCGGTATCACGCTTCCATGGTGATGGTGTTGGACATGACTTGGGTGGAGACAAGATTCGATAAAGCCACAACGTCTGGAAAATACAAAACATCAACTTCGATATGCCGGGAAAGATCATTGACAGTTACGATCACGTTCCTGTGACCAAGGAAGCTTGTGAGTCGACCATTATTAGCCAAGGCTTGATAGAGCTCTCGCTAATACGAATTAGTGGACTGGGCGGAGCTTGTTACCCTCGATCTGAGCAAGTATGAGCAGCCCGGCGGCAAGGAAGAGCTTGTAAAACAGCTAGAGCATGCTGTGCAACATGTTGGTAAGCTTATATCCTTGAGTAATGATATTTGTGATAGCTGACCGGGAAATTTCAACAGGATTTTTCTATGTGAAGAACTTCAACATCAGCCAGGAAGAAGTTGATCAGCAATTTGCTCTCGGCCGCGAATTTTATGCTTTGCCCCTCGAGGAGAAGCTCAAGTATCATAACGCGGATGACCTTGCCAGGGGGGAGTACAATGGATATCGACCTGCCGGTCATCGCATGTGAGACCCCACTCGCGAAAGTCATCATATTATTCATCCTTACCAAAGATGTAGCCTCGGGAATGGAGTCAAGGATAATGTGCAAGTTTACAATATCCCCAAATTTGATGGCTATCATGAGAGGCAGCAACCACCAGTGCTGTTAGAGAATATCGCCGAGATTGAGGCTTTCAGTCGCGTATGTATACTAAACATACACATCTCATCTTCCTTCAAAACCAGGAACTCACGACAATGTTCTACAGAAATGCCACACTGAAGTAGTAGAAAAGCTCCTCCGTCTCTTCGCCATCCTCCTCGAACTACCAGACGAGGACCAACTGGTCCGCGACCACCAATACAACATCAAGGGCGAAGACCATCTACGCTACATGCACTACGCAGCCCGCAGCCCGGAAGAAAACGAAAAAGTCGGCGGCCTCTATACCCCCGGCCACACCGATCTAGGCTCGATAACCCTACTATTCCGTCAGCCTGTGGCTGCCCTTCAGATCCTCAACTCAGATGGGGATTGGAAGTGGGTGCGCCCGCAGGACGGGACTATTACGATTAACACCTGTGATGCATTGACAGCTCTTACTGGTGGCTTGATCAAGTCTAGTGTTCACCGTGTACACACTCCCCCTGCAGACCAGGCACATGTCGATCGGCTGGGTGTTCTATACTTTGCCCGGTGAGTACAGTACCCTTGGACAAGACCTGGATGGATGGTTTGTGCAGCCATGGAATTTTCGTATCTGACTCTTCTCTTCCCCTAGTCCTAATAACCATGTTGTTCTGGACCCGATTCAGAACAGTCCCTTGCTGAATCGGCTTGGTCTCACGCAGAATGCTTTCACTGAGATTGGGCAACATCTGACTATGGAGCAGTGGGTCAAGGTGCGACAGACTCAGCAACAACGCCGCCACAAGGATGTTAAGGTGTCGAAGGATGGGAAATACACTTACGGGGAGAAGGATTTGGAGATTATTCCTGGTCTGGAAGCTAAAATTTACAATTAATCCCGACAGAGATAGGTGACACTACCCGCCTGTGCCGCGAGCCTAGGAACGAAGCCGATAGATATCTTTTACCCCGGACGGTGCTGTTTTCCCTCTAATTTCCGCGACACCGGTGTCCAAATTGATCCAAGTAGATAATTGAGTCATTTTACGAGGCTATATATCTCTTCCCAATAAGTAAATACCCCACCTCAAGCTGCAGAAATGCTCGGTGCAGGTACAAAACCTAGGTATGGAAGCGGGCGAACCCCAGCAGGTCCAATATACATATCAAATTTGAAACGCTGATAGATTTCCAAGATCATTTTTTAGCAGTCACTAGTTGAATGATATACCATAGAGATAGCATCTTTGCATCAAAAGAGCTGATTTGGAAGAAATTTAGAGAGATCTCTCAAGTAAGGGTGAATGAAGCATGCTTGGTTGGTCCGTTTCTCTAGTTTACAGACACAGCCTTTCGAACTGCCACTGTATTCTCGGCCAGCGCGATCTGATGTATGAGCCCCGGCCCCAGATTCTAGGTAGAGAGTAAAAAATGGGCTGGATGTAGAAGCATCTTCAAAATATTCACCGACTTCCTAGGCGGCCCCGCTAACCGAAGGTTTCTTCGAGAAGCCTTACCCAGTTGGTAGCAAATCCCGTGCTTCTTGAACTAAAGAAAGTCCATGGCACACATCGCTTCGAATACGGTAGAAATACGATTCCTCGATAACAAACCCCGAAGCTGTTCCGGTTTCCAGTAACCTAATGATTGACTTAAGTCCGAAACCCTTATAAGCAGGCACATGTCAAGGACTCAATAAAGACTCAAGATCGTTCGTCGTCGGCTTATCTATCACCCCGATCACCATCTCACCTAGCCCTCTCGCAATTGACTTTGTCTCCGAAGACCGTCCACCGTCCACCAAAACAGTGCCTTGCAATGTCGATCACAACCAGGATTACTATGGGACTTATGGGGTGCTTACTATGAGTATGGGGGCTTACCCCAAGAGTGCGGGGTCACCGCCGATCTCTCGTTCTCCAGTGGTTTATTCTCCGTGATCCACACCCCAGAACCGCCCACAGCGCAAAATTGGATCAGGAACACCAGAGTTTCTTCACCAGAACACCTGACATTTTGGCACGATGGCCGGAAAATATCGGTCATGTTGATGACACCCTGTCCGGGGTTATAGACTTCCGTTACGAGGGGGATGCAACTCATGGATTGGTCGTTTTGGGGATGACTGGCGCAGGAACGAGGAGGGACTCCAGGGGAAAGGGAAATGGGGATCACCGCGCCCAAAAGTTCGGGCTAAGCTGCCTCGGTAGGAGGCTATCGTCACATTCACTGGGTCCAGCGGATGGTGAATATTTATGGCCTTTCCCTCCGGCTTGGTTGTGTGTGATGTGGGAATCATTCAAGACTTGTTTCTTCAGAAGCTTGACTCCTAGCTGAAGAGGATCCTGATCAATATGGCCTCCTTTCGTGGCTCGGTACGCCTGGTCGTGATGGCCGTTGTGGCTTTCATGCTGGCTATTGCTTCTGCTCGACCAGCTTCTATGCGGCTGTCGCGCTCTATTCCCCAGGCTCCAGCCGATGACCCGTTCTATCAGCCACCAACTGGCTTCGAGTCCCAGGCGCATGGTACCATTTTGCGTGATCGTGAGATTAGTGTCGCTTTCCTGGGATTGATACCAGACCCTGTCAAGGCATACCAATTGCTGTACCGCACGACGTCCATCAACGGTTCGGCTATTGCTGGCGTGACGACCATCTTCGTGCCCTTGAACGCGAAGAAAGACCGGTTTTTGTCATTCCACACTGCGTACGATAGCTCAGCAACCATCTGCAATCCGAGCTACAATTACCAGCTTGGCGCCGCGCAGACCGACATCATCTCCTCCGCCGAGCAGTTGATTCTGCAAGTCTACCTGCTCATGGGCTACATCGTCACCTCGCCCGACTACGAGGGACCTGATGCAGCCTTTGGCCCGGGCCACTTGGAGGGAATGGGTGTGTTGGATAGTATGCGAGCCGTTTCCAACTTCAAAACATTAGGCCTGTCCACTGCCACGCCTATGATCGTGGGTACTGGGTACTCGGGTGGTGCCATTGCAACCGGTTGGGCAGCTTCCCTGCAGCCCACTTATGCCCCCGAGTTGAACATCAAGGGCTGGGTGCAGGGCGGGACACCTGCCAACCTGACTGGTACATTGGTCTTCGTCGATAACACGCTCTTCAGCGGGTTCCTTCCTGCTGCTGTTGTGGGTCTGGCGATGCCCAGTGCTTATGGTGCCGAACTGAACCCAATTATCGAAAGCATCATGACTCCAAAGGGTGCCAAAGCTCTGGAGACGGCAAGGACGACCTGCGCGGTCGGAGATTTGATCGCCTTTCCCGAGATGTCTTTGCTGTCCACGGATTTTCAAAGCCTGGGTGACCGTCTGCTCTACCAACCGACAATCCAAGCAATCCTGAGCAAGAACATGCTGGGCGTTAATAAGACGGAGATGCCCACTGCGCCGGTCTTTGTTTACCACGGGACGCAAGATGAGGTCATTCCTTACACTAATGCGTCCACGATGGTCAAGTCGTGGTGTAGCAATGGAGTCGATGTCAAATTCACCACTTTCGCCACGGGTGGTCACGCGACAACGGAGGTGGTTGCTCTCCCGGATGTGATCAACTTTGTCAAAGCTGCCTTTGCCGGTAAAACGGCGAGCGGGTGTTCGAAGAACACCGAGCTTGGTAGTATCCTCAATCCCATTGCCCTTGGTGTTGAGCTTGAGCCTATCCTGACCAAGTTGATTGATGTGCTTTCCCACCTTGGTCAGAGTGATTCGAAAGTCAAGCAAAATTTGAATGTGCTCAATGAGGTCGTCACCTGGTGATGATCTGCTAGTCACGTTGGGAGGATTCCAAGGTCTATGATCTATGAAATGGTAATGAGTGGAATGAAGGGCGGTTTAAGTGTCATTGTGATTCTCATTTTATGGATGCATTATGAGATGGATGAATGGTAGAATCTATAGGCTTTAATCTAATGTTTGCCTTGTGATGATCATCTCTTTGTCTGTAACTCCATTGTTAAACACTATTCTTTAGGTTTAAGTGTGGTACATTCTGATGCACGTGTGTTCTAGGCAAGCCTGATTGACCTCAATTTTGCAACACCCTGGCTGGAATTAAACTTCAATGATCCTTATTCCGTGCTCGCTTGCGTCATTCGCGGCTCTGCTCTGCAGTGCGCCCGGCGGTCTGCCTGGTTGTAGTCGCGTACTGTACTGAATACTGCAGCACCGCCCAATATCTAGGGCTTTTCATCCGATTGGAATTGCATCTTCTTCATCCCTGTTCAATAATGAATCATCTTTAGGCAGCCATAAGGTCCAGGCCTAGATAGACAGTTCATGGTGATTGTCGATTGAAATGCATAGCCTCAGAAGAAAGGGGAAAGAAAGTAGTTAGCGTGACGATCCTCCGTACCGAAGAACAATGAACTATGGGAATAGTATGGGTTCTTGATAATGGATAGTAAGATTTCTTCAAGACATGCCAGTCATGAAAATTCCGTCTGTTTCAAGTCTTTAGTCAGTCAGTCAACGTGATTGTGCTCGGACGATCAGCTGGAGATGATCAGCTGGGGTTCTTATCTTTTGGTCTCTTGTGCGGGAGACGAAAGTATCGTACTGCGACCGGGTAGTGTACGATGTACAAAGTATATCGTACAGTACCAACTCGAGTAGATGCACCACACCCGTTAGGTCTTTGCTTTTCTCCGATTTCCGCAGTTGCAAGGCAGAAAAAGAAAAGACCTATCCAGACTATACCAGTCATGTAGTCTGCAGTATTCTTTTCTCCAGGCAGTTGCTCTGATCAGCTGTAGTGTGGCGTTTCCAGGCTGACTTGAACCCTCGAGACCTGTCGAGTCACCGGGTGTGCGTCACAGACGAGACAAGCCCCAAACCTTTGGAAGCCTCTCCTCTCCACCCCTGCTGCACACCCACTGGTTCACTCCTCCTCCATCCCTTCCCTTGCTATAACCAACCCGCTAGTCATAAATCCCATCCTCACCTACTACATATCCCGACCATGACATTCATAGTCCCGTAGGTTGTCACAACGTGCTTGCGCTGTGAATTCCCCCAGACCGATCTGGCTCCGCTTGTCAATGCGGAGAAGCTTCACTGCCAGGGCTCCGAAGGTCCGCAATCGCTAGAGCAACCATCCTCGCTCTCTGCCTGACCCCGTCAAACGATGCGCAGCTTCCTCCTTGACATTTAATTCGCTTGCGCTCATCTTTTCCATCTTGATTCTCTGCCTGGAGTTGATCGGGCTCTTCTTCTTCTTCTTCTGCACATCTCTTAGCATGCCTGCGGCTCCAACTCCACCGCCGTCTCGTTGCCTTCCTGATAACACCCTCCGCCACTGCTGATAGCGCTCGCCTCCCGACCTCGTTTGTCGGGGTAAGCTCTGTTACGTCGGATTCTCACTATTCGTCCCTAACCATCCTCTTCACAGACTCACATCATGCATCAGCACCCCCGGTCGCCGGCGGTACCCTCGTCGGCACCAAAGATGCCCGCCAAAGCGTCTGCCGCTCGGGATGACCTCAAAGACTCCGACTCGGTGCCGCCTTCCCCCACCACTGACGGGCGGTATCACCCCGCCGAAGGTCTGGGTATTGATGGGGCCGCGGATCAGACGTCAAAGTCGTCGGCAAGAGACTCTGGACCTCCGGGGAGAGAAGCCATGACAAAGTTGAATCAGATCATCTCGGTAAGTGATGAGCGGGGTGCCTCCATCTTCCATGAAAGTAGTCTTGACTGACAGTCGTTCTTCGATTTGATGTAGAATTACCACACAAAAGCAGCCCTCATCATCCTTCATTCGCGTGTCGAGCTCCCTCCTGCATATGCTAAGAATTCCGATACCCCAAAAGTGAACCGTTGGGTAGGTCATGGTCATGGCGCGACCGGTCTCTCATCGCCCCATTTCAAGCTTGCATGCTGATATATTGGTTCGGATGAAATAGTTCAACGTCGAATTAGAAGATACCGATGTCCTTCGTGAACAGTTGTGGACATGGCGGACTTGCGATGCCGCCACCAACAGACCCCCGCCGCTTATCATCGAGACCTATCTGGACTGCACGGGACTCACGAATAATCAAAGCCTGGTGATTTTGGATGATAATGGGAAGCGATGGGATGTGCAAGACTCGATTGCGGGGTCTCGTGGGGCCGGCTCACATACATATCATCCGAACGCAGACGAGGTCATTCTGGAACGATGGAGGATCGAGCTGGGCGAGGCCAGTAGCAAGCCTACGGCTGAACTGGGATCCATCTTGCCGACGGTGTACAAGAAGAGTATCGTCCTCTTCCGGTCATTATTCACATATTCCAAGTTTTTGCCGGCTTGGAAGTTTTCGCGCAATATCAAGGTGCGGTGGAGTCCTGCATTGCAGGTCAAGTACCGTGTACTTGATCCGAGTACTGCTGCTCGCAGTGATCGTGAAAGGTTCAAGACGTCGCGGGATCATTTGACGCTGCCCCTCTACGAAGGGAGTGTGAGGACAGTGGATACGTACAAATTTGGGACCACCGAGTCTCCTGCAGGACCGTTTAGCGTGAACGTCACGTACCGGACGAATTGTGACTTCCGTATTGATGATTCAGAGGCACTGTTGAGCTCACGCTTTATGGGTGCTGACGATGATATCTTCCGCCCCTCGTTGCCTTCAGAGGATGTGAGTCCTCTGAGCCCTGAGATTGGGTCGGTGCCTGTAGGGCGAAGGACCGTGGAGCATCCGGATCGTTCACGCGCATACGGCAGTTTATCTACCTTTCACCAGGTTGGCCCGACAGGTGGGACTAGCCCGATTTCTGCGTTGCGCGCGGCGAGAGATAGTGGCATTGGATCTTCTTCTCCATCTGATGCGCACTCCAGGCGACTCCTGCCTCCTGCACGAATCGCACCACCAACCGGACGCGCCGCTCAAATTGCGAGTGAAAGCTTGTCAAGCTCCCCTCGTCGCCCCTCCATCTCTTTCCAAGCCTTCAAAGCTCCTCCACTCTCCGCATCTCCTGCTTTAGTGGACACTCCTCTCGGTGTATCGCCTCGCACTACATCTACTCGTCTCTCAGGCACTTCCGCAGAATCACGCGTGATGCCACCTCCTTCTTCCGCGGCTTCAGCCCGCAAGCCTGTTGCTCTTGCGTCTGAGCAGGCCATTTCATCTTCTACTTCCGCATCCCCCAAACCTGCACCTATCTCCCGCTACAGCAGCTCCTTCAGCCATCGCCGGGGTCGTCACTCCACCGGAGGCGTGGCCAAGACTGAGGACGATTCGAGTGGCAAGATCAGCGCCGCCTCTTCGAACGTGCAGCCAGGCTCTGGCCTGCTCGCAGAACTCACTGGCACAAGCGCCGAATCCTTCCACGCCGATGATGAGAAAATCTCAGAGTTCCTGAAAGAGCTAGACAGTGGAAAGAATCTTATGAACACCAGCAGCTCTACGTCAACCCAACTGGGCCAGCGGAAACCCACTTCTGCCTCCGTAGCCCTCGCTCGATTCCAGCGCATGCGAGACTCTAATGCGGCGCTCTCGGACTCCATGTCATCATCTATGCATCTGCACCGCTCATCAACCTCCTCGAGCAAGCAGCTTTCCGGTGTACCACCCATGATCTCTGGTACCTCTATCTCCACTGCATCATCACCCGGAAAGCCCATTTCACCCCATACACCCCACACGCCAGCCATCCGGTCCCGTCTGAGTTCGAACAGCGTTGCAGATGAAATCTCAACCGAGCATGACCGTCGAGGCCCGCACCTGGAGCATGACTCGCCCCTGGAAGAGAATCCCAACCTGGAAAACACCCAGCCAGGTGCCTCGACCGCGGGAGCGATCGATATCCCAACCTCCCCGCGGGTATTCTCACCGGCATACCGGCGCTCCAGCTCCGCCGCCCAGCACCGCCGCCCACACTCAGGCGACGACGAGGAAATCTTCAACCTCGTAATCCGGAGCATGAGCATGGGCGCCGAAACCCCCGGCCCGCTACAACAGCGGAACCCCGACCCCAAAGCCCCGACAGGACGCCGGCCATCCGAGGACCAGGACCAGGACCACTCCACCACGACCAGCGGCACCGCCACGCGCGGTCAAACCATCACCGGTCCCTCGGGGGCCTCGTCCTCGTCGAACCTCTACCAGCCGCGCTTCGCCAACTCTCGGGGTCGGGGCTTCTCAGGCGGCCACTCCCTCAGCTCGGCGTCGAGTAGCCTTGCCCGCGGCGCCACCATCCCGCCTCACCTCGTCGAGCGTGATGACCATGACGGGAACGCCAGCGGTAGCAACAGCGGCAACTCGACGACCGAGATCCGCCGTGGTTCCCTCCAGCGGCCCGGTGCAAACCGGGCCCCGCCATCTCAGGCCGTCTTCGAAGACGACGAGCCGCTGCTGTTCGCTATGAGCGACTTCGGCGCCTCCCGGCGGAGTCTGGAGGAGAACCGCCATGGTAATCATGGCGCGGACTCGAGCGGGAGCTCGAGACGGGGGAGCGGTCGGAGGGGAGCTGGGCTCCCGGGTGGTTGGTAGATGTGTGGTGGTTGTGGTGGTGAGTCAACTCCAACTTCAACTTCGGTTGTGCTGGATGGAGTTGATTATTCTTTTTTTTCGTCGAATCTAGTCCCCGTTTCAGCCAATACCCCCTTGCCTTGCCTTGTCTTGTTCGTGTCTCTTCTTTCGGTTGAATGGTGACTTCAGATAATTTTTCTCCTCTAAAACAGTTCACTTTCATCTCTCCATATCTTCTTGCGATTCATTATCTTGCTTTTTAGGTTGGCTGCTACTATAGACCGGATTTCTCTTCTGTCCAGCAGTCTCGTTTTTAAGTTTTTCATCTAGTGCATAGAGATTGGTGTGGTTTTGACGTTGAGTTTTCTGTTTCCCGTTGATTGTTCGTCTGGTCTCTGGTGGATGTGTTGTTGGAAGGGGGTGCATTTGCTGATCTCTGCACGATCGATATGGCTTGATGTCTTGTCTTCTTTTGGCGAGTCGATGCCTTCCGTTGTGGGCTTTTTGTGTGGGATTATTTCTTCGTTATACCATAATTTGCGTGGCTTGGCTGGATGGAATTTTGCGCATTTTCTTAGAGCAGACAGACAGATTACAATTCAGATCATTTGCGTGCAAGACACTAGTAACTTACCAGTTTTTCGTAGCCTAGATGAGATGGAGCGTGACTTGAGAGCACTCACGCTGCCTACGTCCTCCATTGTAACTGCAATGGTTGGAGGACTGTTCTTTGATTAGATACGCAAGTATACAGTTGAAGGAGGAACTCTGCTACTACCAAGGATCTTAGAAAAAAAAATACTTTTGGGTGCTGGTTGAGGTATATAACAAAAGAAGGCTCTAAATGCAGAAGGTGACACCGTCATGCAACATAAACCATGATAAGAATACACATATCAAGCCCAAAAGAACCAGGCCTATCAAATCAAGTCCGAACAAAAATCCCCTTTAAAACGCCGTTATGGTGCAAACACTAACACCACCTCACATCTTGCGGAACGTGTTGCCCGAAGCACTACGACGTTCCTTGGCCCGGAACTCGGTCTTATCATATTGAACCTCGGGCTTTTGCTTCCTCGACTTCGAAGCGGGCATGAAACTAACCTCGCGTTCACCGACGACGCCGTTCGTGCGTGTGGGTCTTTGCTTCGTCTTCATGTTCTGCGCGCGTGAGCCGAATGATCGGTCTCGGGTGGAGTTTGTGCGTGTGGAGGAGGAAATTTGCATGCGTGGTGGGGGTCGCTTGGTGCGCTTGTAGTCTGCGGAGGAGATCTTGGTAGAGGCCTTTTCTCTAACGGGCTTTTCAGCTTCGCTGTCGGAGGCTGAGTCGTCGTCGCTAGAGCCGGGGACGTCATCGATGGCTTCTTGCTCGACGGCAGTCAAGCCGCGTTCCTTCTTTGGTGGAGCGTCGGGGATGGTGCTGGGGTTGATCAGCTTGAACTCGAAGGAGTTCTCGTCAACGGCGAAGTCTTCATCCTCGAACAGCTTGTTGAAACGGTTGTCGCCCAGAACACCCTTCTTCTCGGTCTTTTCGATCTCCACGGCAGGTGCATCGACCATGTCGGCGTCACCGCCACGCTCCAGGACTTGCTTGGCCCTGCGGCGCTCTTGCTTCTCCTCTGCGTTGAGCAGTCTCTCGGCCAGCTTCTTGTTGACCTTGACGGCGGCCTTCTTCTTGCCACGGATACGGCTCTCACGCTCCTTGTCGATCTTCTCCTTGACACGCTTGGCGCGCTCTTCTTCCCAGATGTACGGGTTCGTGATCAATCTCGCCTCCTCATACAAACGTTGAGCAACGAAGTAACCGTGCATGTATGGTCGCAGGAGGTTGGTGCGACCAATGAGGTGCTCCAAGTTGAGCGTGCGCAGTTGGGGCACGGTCAAGAACTTGTAGTTGTCGTAAATAGAGCCAGCCTGGGCGCTGGTGAATGCGTTGGGGTCGTTCGGGTCCTCGGCCATCTCTTCGACCAGGTTGTCCAAGAACGAGCACCACTTGGGTGCGGGTCCGAGCTGGGGAATGAAGAAGGAGTGCTGCTGGCGGCCTTCGTTGGCAGTCAGGAGCATTCCGCTGTCCTTACACCAGGCCACGTCGTTGATGTCCACAGCGGGCTCCACAGAAGTCCAAGGGGTACCATCACGGGGATCCCAGATCTTGATAATCCTCTTATCGGCCGACATAATCTTAGGATCCATGGTCGCCTCTCGTGTCTCGGTTGACGCTTGAAGGAACTTGAGGGTGTGAATAGGGAAGCCATATCCTTGGTCCTTCTTTAGCAGAGGGACTGGCGATCGGAGATCGTAGAGGTGAATCAAGCCGTTAGACGAGCCGGTTCCCAGCGTCAAACCGTTACGGTGGAACTCCAGTGCGGTGATTTCAGACCGCGTCACGTCGCCGACAGACTGGGCGGGTGGCAGGAGAATGCCCGCTCGGCCCTTGGCTCTGGGATCCCAAAGCTCCACTGTTCCTATCGATGTACCAAATGCAAGAAGGTTGTGACTCTCCTCCGCGATAGCACCTGTGTTAACTGAACCGGTGTTAATACCGCCTTGCAAGGCACCGCCTCCAGCAGATGTAAAGTCATCGCCTCCGACTTCGATTTCGAAAGATCGCATGTATCGCCCAAGTTCCATATTCAGCCGAAAGACCTCACCCAGACCGTTCTCGTTGACACCGACAGAGGGAATCAACGCCTCAGTTGACTGACGGTCATAGACAAGGTCACGTCCGTATCGTGGAAGCCGGGTGGTGTAATGACATCCTTGCGGGGTGTGGAATTCAAGAGAGCGGTCGCCTTGAAGGTGGAGGGATTTTGAGTAGTCGGACGAGAGGAGCAGGAATTTCGTGTTGAGAGCTACGGTGTGTCGTGCCCATGACAGGGACAGTTGCGACAATTGGTGAACATGAATCTGAGGTTTGTATGTGCCTAGTACAGATCATGTTAGCTGCATAATAGATAGCCACAATTCCTGTTGTGATCATACCTGTACTCATAACCCATTCACCATCCTCGCTGACCTTGACGCACTGACTGGCCTCCTCGAACTCAAAGTCCTGCAGCAACTCGATGCGATTCGCATACTCCGGGTCATCCTTCAAGCTGCGCTTGCGGCGTCGTGCCAGCCATTCGGGTAAAGGTCGGGCTGTGTTGGAGCCCGAGATGGTATACACCGGTACCTCGGACTGGTTTGACAGCTTCATGGTGGCGAGGTGAACAAGCTTGTAACTCGACTCAACTTGATCGTAGAAAAAAAATGCGCGGCGATAAAAAAAAGATAGCGATAGGAGCCACGTGACATGCCCGTGCGGATCCCGGTGATTGGCCCGAGCGTCCCTCGAACTTCCCCCGGAATTGCGCATCGCGGCGTCGTTGTGCATTTGCGACAAGATTCATCCGAGATCGGATCTACCTGTGTCCTCTGCGATGAGTATATACACTTGATGGGGCTACCTTTGGCTACCGTGCGCTCAGGGTACTTGTTGTGGAGCATCTCATGTGCTGGAAATGACTCCTCGAAGAAGCCTCGATCACCCTGTCTCTATCTGTGCCTGCTTCCCGGGGCTGTCCGCGACTGTTGAACCATGGACTTTCCCGGAGGCGCAACCACCAACATACATCTAATAGTAAGCATTCTAGTCGGGTAGATGTGGCCAGCAGCTAACCCGAGACGCTAGGATGGATTCTCCACCATCTACTGGAGGATCTACACTGAGGAGTCTGGCATTGCGACTCATCCTCAGGAAGGGCCTGCCAATGGCTATACGATATTGAAGCATCTTGGCCGTCTCAAGAATCTAGAGGCGCAATTGAGACATATAGGTTGCTTAGCATCATGCCCAAGACGGCTAGGCCTCTGGGTATTCTCTCCTACCCCAACATTTGAAAGCCTGGGGCCAGTTTACATCACGGATGGAGACGTCGAGACGACAAAGATTTTTTTGAACACAACCACTCTCAAAGGTATGTACATATAAAACACTGACGTGGTGAACACTTTGCTCATTTTCCCTGCAGTCTCGGCATCGGGAAGTATCGCATGCCAAGAGTTGATAAAGGGCCTCTCATCCGAGACTCAAAATCAACAAGGTTCTCTACCGACGCCATCACAACGACCGCAACAAGCTCAACCTTCTGCGCGTCGATCTGATGGGTATAGCAGCTCTGTTGCTGTATATTCTGCCTTTATTTCAGCTGTCACCGGTGCTTTGAGTTTGCATCTTGTTCGCACTTATGGTGCTTTACCTATTGGTTCACGAACCCTTTTTACTGCAGTGGACAATATTGGATATGAAAGTCCCAGGATTGACAATGAGGGTCTCTTCTCTTCGCCAAGCTTGACAACGCTGAATGTACAGTTGAATGCACCGGGGACCTTGACCGTCTCTACACAAACCATCATTCAGGCTGGCATTACGAGGTTATCTTCCCCCCGCGACGATATATCAGATCTGTTTCGAGTACAGCCAGGGGCAGATCTTTGGCTATGTCCTAATGGGGCCATCGCCAGACTGGTCACCGCGAACATCGAGTCACCGACTGTTCCTTCGCCTGGGTTTCCTGCATCTGGGGATACGCTCGCCAAAAGAATGCAATGGAAGCTGGACGTTGTGCAATGGTTGACGAATTTCGGTTTGCACATAGATTCAATAGATGAGGAACCTTGGGTTGAGGTGGAAGTTTGGGAACCCTTCTTTGCCAGACTTGCTGGCGAGGCATGGCGCCAAAGTGACGAGCCTCAGTCCGCGCTTCCATTGAAACGCATGCTTTGGCCAGCAAGGTTCTGCTTTCGAAGAACCGGTTTGCCGATACGGTCTGCGTGGCCAGAAGCACCTCTCGAAGAGCCTCTTGAGTTTGCGGAGAGGTGGTCTTCAGACGCAGGGTCTATGAAACTTGCTCTTCCCTCTCAGAGCGTTCCTACGTTCGAGGAATCCCAACCAAAGGACGAGGGAATGTCTCCGCCCCGAGTTGATCATGGGGATCATTTGGAAAGCCTCTCCCGAATGGCCCAGTACCCAGACCTTCAAAACACCAACCTAGTTTACCCAACACCACCAGAAGGAGCTACGGCAGCTGGAGCTAACATCCCAATCCAACATGATGCTTATCCCGACAGCGATCTTCTATCTCCCGAGGTGCCGCATGACACCAAACCCCTTCCAAGTTCTGGGCCATCCCCAAATGTTGACATCGGGACTGGTCATTACGATGCGAGCGATGACGATGATCTCTTTGGAGAAATGAATGACAAAGACTTTGGATCCAAGGGAATCACCGACGCAGATTTCAGCTTTTTCGACGATGACGATCAAGATCTCGGCGATATGGCGGATCCCATGCTCGTCGACCAACCTCAAGAAATACCCCAAGAACCAGTCGATACGATTCACACCAAGCATGAACCCCCTCACGTCCAGGATTTACCTGCCGCGGCTGTTTCACCTGAAGCCCCAAAGGTGGAGGATGAGCCCAAACCAGAGGAAACCTCCATTTCAATGAAAGATGATCCTGAGCCGGCTGACGAGCCAATGGAGTTGGAGGAGTCATCCGAACCATCTCAGGGCCCACCTAGCCAAACCATCAGTCCTCCGCTGAGCCCTGTGGAGATTAAGAAGATCCTTTTTCCTGGCTCACAGACTGAAGATCGACGCCAAAGTCAAGAAGACCAGACTCAACAAGGCCACTACCAGCCCGTCGCCTTCCAAAGGAAACTAGGGGCCTGGGATCAAAAGTATGGAGCTGCAGGAAAATTCTGGTTCTCTGCCGGGGGTGCAATCAATCCCTCAGTCAATGATTTGAATGAAATTCCAACCGTTGGCTTGCCAAATCGTGCGCGAACATCAATTTCGGCAAGGAACAAGCCAGTTGCCAAAGACTTCTTGCAAGCAGTAGAAGACGAACGTGAACGGGACTCTTCGGATTCCACCGAGAGTAGCAGCGAGGAGGAAGAGGACAGCGATGACCTTCCTTTTGATCATGCATCGACTCCCGTTGCTCTTCCTCAACTGAAAAGAAAGCGGGTTCCTTCGGAATCTGATATACAGTCTGCAGCATCTCCCGCCATATCATCAGTTGTCGCCGACGGAGGCACGGGAAGCAAGGCCGAGAATATTACATTCTTGGGCAATTTTCTTTCCAACTTTTCCGATTGGACTTTCACAGGTTATTTCTCGGCTCTTCAGATTCAACAACTTCCTGTCCTCATTCGACGTGAAGAACAGATCCCAATCGCGCAGCTTCTTGTCGACCAAATCACACAGTCATCACTAAACCATTCCTTGGGCCAGCAGGTCGGGTTATTTGCGCTTGAGAGTGAAGGAACATCATTTACTGAATGCTTCGACGATGTAGCATTCATGGGTAAAATTCAAAAACTGGACCTCAAGGGGTACACATCTCTACAAGAAGACAAGACCCAAAGTTCTTCACAATCCCAGCAGCCTACGAAGGAATCGAGCAAGAACTCGATTTCAAAGTTATGCGCGCCGCATCTACGGGTTCGTCGTGGCAAGGACTATCTGGAAACACTTCCTCCTGCCATGTCTTTTTGGGAGACATTCGGCCTGGAACCAGCTCACGGGTCTAAAGATATATCAGCTTACTGCATTCATCCTCAAGCTGCCGGTCAGGCAGCAGAGGCATTCCTTCATCGATTCGGACTTTCCTATGAAAGCTGCAATTTCGGTACACATTCACGAGGCGACAACTCGACGGGTTTCGACAACGGTCTCAAGTCGTGGGACTCTGAATCGTCGGGCTACACTTCGATGATGCAATCCCTCCTAGGCCTATGTGAGGAACTGGCTGCGGAGCTCTCACAGGCTGATGTTCCTACAACAAATAATAGTGTTGTCTACATCATCAATCCCTTCCCTCATGCAGCAGCTTTGGCGGACATCTGTGCGGCTTTCTGGAACCTCTTCCAACAATTGGTGGCCGATGCTGAGCGCCGACAGTCCAAACAGGTCAATGAAGTTGTCCTACAGATCATTCCGATGGAATTTGTCATGTCAGAGGAGTCCATGGTTATGCCAACACAAACCGAATATGTGAACCTTGCGCTTGAAGTCTACAGCCGCTGTCGCCCGAAGGATGCCGAATCAAACCCTCTACTCTGCGCTCCAGCCATCCTCCTAGCTGAGAATCTGCCCAAGAATCTCAACTTCCGCCTTTCCCCTGACAAGGTATCCCCCTTGCAAGACGGGCGAAGCCTGCATATAGCGTACTCGAAGAGCTGTGACCAGCGTTGGGTGTCAGCAGCGTGGTCCGATGGGACAGGATCGCTCCAGACGAGCATGTCTTACTGTCTTCGTTATCGTAACAGGGGTTCCTCCCGGGCAGTGTCTGAGGTGCGCAACGAGATTTGGGCTACTACAAAGCACATTATGGATAAGTTCCAGGCTCGCTGGAAGGTTGTCCTAGTCAGTACCGACCCGATGGACCCGGACGAGGTTGATGGTAAGCCCGATCCCTTCATCCCCACTCAAGTTTCGATTTCTAAATTTTAATCTCAATAGCATGGTCGAATCTAGCGGAGCAGCAAAACAAGATGCGACCAGCATCCTTAGAGCTAACCATCATCACTGTCAACACCATCCCCGACCTCACTCTTAACACCCCTGCCTCTTCAATGAGCTCGGGTGTTCTCAACCCTCACTTCTCATCTACACCCGTTTCGACCCCAAACCCAAATACCAGCATTGCATCACCCGAGCAAGCCGGCAATGCACCTACCCCAAGTGCAGTTTATAACGCGTCGACGCCTACCGAGCCCTCTCTCGAACCAGACTCCGATGTCGTCCTGACCGACGTCTGCGACGATTCGTGGGCAGTTATCCTCTCGCATCGCCTCAACGCGTCTCCCCACGTCACCGAGCTTCGTCCCGCGCTGGTCAGCGGGTATCTTCTTCGGCGCAAAGGCGCGACCGACAGTGAGGGTGTCTTCTCAATGACGGTCAACCTCTTATACAGCCAACGGCCAGCCATCTCTCACGAGAGCGTTTTAGGGGACATCCTCGCCATGTATCGGGACTTGTCGTGTCTTGCCCGAGCACGGGGTATGCGCAGTGTGCAGGGCAACACGCTACCTTGGCATATAGCGACAGCTTTACGGGCGCAGGAGCTGCTCAGCTACGTTTTCTAATTGAGAATTTTCTCAGTGTGCTTTTTTTTCTTCTATATACCGTTGTTTTGGCGTTCGGAGATTTTGATCCACGAGGTGTGAAGGGTATGGTTGCATTGTACTGTGTTTATGGTTAAGGGTTAGTGGAGATACCATTGGTGGCATGGATTTGATTTTCCAGGAGCGTGTAACATCCCATGCATAGTTTTCAGGAATGAATCCTGTTGATTTCTTTAAGGGTCTTCTTGCTAGAGAACTTCCCCTCGTATCGCTGTAGGCCCAAAGCAGTGCACAACAGCGTTCCGTAGCGAAAGTTGGGTCGGGCTATACTTGATTATTCGGGACAGAAGTGAAATTCAGGTAGTTAACTTAAACTTCGCCAATTTGATTCATCATAACGAGTCATGCATCTCATAGTTTAGTAAAATATAGCAGGCAGACCATGTCCATAAGAAAGTCTTCGTGAAAAGTACATCCAAGAAAGAAATAAAAGTGCAAAACAAAAAGCCAAAAAAAGAGAATATTTCCCTCCCTAAACGCCTTGAATAGCGAATTTGCCGGCGCATATCAACCGCAGCAAAAACGCAAAATATGTAATAAAGGGTAAGCGCAATCAGCGCTGAACGGAGACATTCATATCAAGCTCGTCGCAGCAATCAGAAGGTCGTAAGAGAAATGGGTATCGTATCGTGTCATTTTTTTGTGCGTTCGGTTCGGTCTTTCCGAGTGTATGGTATATGCGTGAAAGGAAGACAACGGGCAATATGTGAATAATGCCGAGTCTCGAGTCTTGGAGTGATGCAAGGACGGTTCAAGTTGGGCTCACTATCCGCCTTCACTCTCCTCGTCGGAGATTCGCTTGCCACCGAATGGACCGAGTTGGTGCTTCATGGCGTAGGCGATGAGGACCCCGAATGAGATTAGGATGAAGAGGACGATGAGGATGATTGCGATGGCAATGTTGCGTTTCACCATTTTGGAAGGTGGGACCCGTGAGGGTGTTGTAGATATTGAGGAGGTTTAAATCGTTGTAGAGGTGAATTATAGATGATTCTCGTATGAGTGAGAGCTCAGGTGATTGAGAGTCGTTTGGTCAATTGAAGTGAGCACCGTTCCAGTTCTTGCTGGATGCTTCGTTGCTGTGGGCGGGGAATATATACTTTGAAGTATACCTGCAGCACAGTAAGATAATTGAGAAAGCTACCCCTTGGTGATAGAAATTCCAGCAGCAAGGGCAGTGCTGCTTTGGAATAGAAGGATGAGAGAAGAAAAAATTACATCAGTTGGAATGTGAATCGGGGGTTTTAAGGGAAAACTTGATGTTTCCCAGCCATGTGCATTTTTTTTGACGGGGAGGCTGGGGAAGTCAAGACGAGGCGGTTGGCGGTTTTACGTTGGGCGCTAACCACTTTGGGTTACTAGACTGGCCACGTCGGGCTGCAGATCATCATGATTGGAACAACACACAAGAATACCCTCTCTACATTACTTGTTTATGTTGTTTCTTGAAATATAAGGCAGTTTATTGATTTGTTTCTTTAAGGTGGAGGCAAGATTCAACCGTCATCTCATACGATCATCCTTTTCCATATCTTCAGTGGCATCGGACCAGCTCAGGTTCGTAGTCTCACGAACCGCGGGATCCCAGTCGGCCGATGGCAAGGCAAACTCATAATGATGCACCAGCGAAGCAATCAAAACAGTCTGCTCGAGATAGCTGATACTTCGGCCAATACAATCTCGAGCGCCCGTACTAATGGAACGAAAAACGGCTGCAAGGGTTTTCCTTTCTCGCCCAGCCAGCGGTCAGGCTTGTACACATCGTGGTCTTTGAAGTGATTCTTGGTGATGAACCACATACGCAGACATACTGACTGAAATATCGCCGGCGATGAAGTCATCAAGGATTAGTGCACCCTCCAGTGGTGTTCGACGAGGAAGACCAAAGATCACGGGTGGCAGCATCCGGAGACTTTCGTCGATACAGGCACGCAGGTAGGGTAGGTGCTTGATCTTTCCATAGGATGCGACGACTTCATCTTCGTTGAGGGACTTGGTCAAGTTCTTCACGGAGCTTGGCCATGCACTTTGGGTTCTTGAGTAAGAAGAAGAGAACATTGCGTAGCGAAATCGCCGTTGTGTCGTGGCCAGCGTTCATCATGATGTTGATCTCGGCAACGATCTCGCCCCATTCTAGGTTTTGCGGTGCCCCATTCTTATCTTCCATCATGGCAGTAAAAAAGTCATCGAGTTCCTCACCAGCCATGTACCGCTTCAAACGAGTAGTGGCACGGTTATAGACGATACCGCCCCAGTCACCGTCCAACTTCCACATCCGCTGATAATTCGGCGAGATGAGTTGACTGACTCGCTTCAAGGTCTTGAACCGGTCATACACCCAGACTAGCTGGTACGACACACGGGCAGTAGCGACATGGCAGTCCTGGAAGGAAAAGTCCTTGACGGTTCCATCTTTGTATTCCGCTTGACCTGATCGGAACCCTCATCCAAGAGACCCAGGTCTTCGCTAAGGCCGATATTTGCGATTGCCGTGGCGGCGAATAACACAGTCCAGTTGCGATAGTCCACAGTCAGATCTTTTGTTTCCGGTATCGTGCCTGGCGACAAAGAACCGGTACATCGAGGATCGAATGCTTTGATGAGCTTTCCAGTAACGTCGGCAACTTTGAACTCCCACTCCTCCAGATTCTTCAATGCATACGCACTGGACAGGACTTTTCTCTTCCGAGCGTGGTCACTTTTGTCCACGACATCTGCAAGATGGGCGTGTGTGCCCGCTGTTTCGGAGTAGAATCGATCCTTGATACACGTCGTGCCATGCCCGTAGATATCCTTGATATCTCGTAGATCCGAGATAGAAAGAGCATTTGGACCGATTCGTAGGACTGGGCTTTTTTAATATGCCTCGAACAAATTTCTAGAACAAAATCCCTTGTGCGATTCGTAAAGGAAGGGGATGTCGGAGATACCAGAAAAGAAGGTGAAGTTGGGATACTTTCTCAATCCTTTTGCGTCGTAGTAATATGTGATCAGGGGTGTTGCGATGAAATATGGCAACACGAATGCTGCTAAGGAGATGGCGTACATAATGGCGCGCGAATGAATATTGTGATGGAGTCATCTTGAAGAGCGACTTTTGATCGATGGGTGTTGATATAGATCCTGAGATGAAGCAGCTGATCAGGGAGATGTGTTGGCTAGAAAATTTCTGACTTGGAACATATCGCCGCCATGCATCGAACTGGTTACCATTTGTCCCCCAAATAGGAAGGGCGCGGCGCAACGTGGGGAAATTTCCCCGCATCCGATATGTATTTGTCTCTGGTCGAATATAAGTGCAAGAAATAGGTGACATCTTGCATTTCAATAGCCTATATCACTACACTAGGTGGTTCTAGATTTCAGTTGCATGCACTGGAAATCTCAAGCTGGTATTTTCCATTTCTGGCAATCGACGCCAAGACCAGATCACCTATGCCAACCGAGTTTAAAAGATGGGGGAATCCATCCTTTGAAATATTGCATTTTTCCAGTTTTCAATTATTCAGTCAGACGTCACTCAAATGAAATAGATGGCTAACTCTATCGTCTCTATTTCAGACCTCTGTCATCCCGTGAGTAGTGCGGGGTGATTCTGTCTATACTTGCCTATGTGTGCTTTACGATGCGTCGCCCAGGGATTGTCAAAACTGGGGCCTTAATAATCTCGGAAATGGCTAGAGAGACTGGTCAACTTGAATTTCAATAAAGTACAGCACCTGACGTATGGGAAGACTGATTTCGCTGGTCTCGAATCATCCATGTGAGCCATCGAGATCGATTAGAGTTGTTCCATGCATGTTCTACCACTCAGAATAATTGGGACGGCTCTCTACATCGAACTCAATATACAATAATGACTCAGACTATCCAGTAAAAGATGTGTATTATATCAATGTTCCATCCTTGGCTTGCTGCACAGAACATTCGATACCTCATGATCATCGGAGTTTTCTCGGTCGCGACTCGCCTCTCGTGATTAGATCACTAGGTTGTCTGCACGGTTCAACTTAGATAATTTGATGAGCATGACAATGGCAATGTCCATTGTTACAGTATCAGCAGTCCCACTTTCTTCAAGCTCGTGGGAATAATAGTCTTTCTTATCCGTGCTTTCTCAATGATCGCCATTCCCCCCTTCGGAACAATGGGCTATCACTATCGCGAAGAGGCAGTTCCACCGAGGAAACTACTCGGGCCAGGAACAGTGGAGACGACCACCGGTGAAGATCATCGCTCAAAGTGAACACGGTCCTTGATCCCCCTTGTCCTCCAAGGCACAACTCAACGCCAAGTGGAGGCGACAAAGGTCTAGCGATCATGGCGCGCACACAGATATCATGATCATCAGAACTTTAGCAGGACATTATCCGGTATGGGTAACATAGTGCCGAGTCTATCATATAATCATGGGCATTAGACGGAATTTCTCTGGTTCAAGTTCGCAACGACCGTGCGTGTCGATCGGATACACGGAGAACTGGGCCTTTGGGGCGCCTGATGATGGCGATCGACAGACAACGGGACTGTTACAATACTTTCTTTCTTCCTAGGGCATCAATGCTATGTATGTGCTGCTACAATGTAGGCTGCTTCTGTTTGTATAATGCCTGCTTTCAGCCGCCGAATAATTCCTGGTCGCAGGGAAGAAGAAAGTTTTTCGTTGCACATCCCTGAACCCTTGCAGGGCTTGCAGGGGACAGCCTGCAATTTTGCGTTATTTGTGTGAATCCATTTGGAATCCTGGATGCATAAGCGTTGACGCTGTCGTGTGTCCAGTACTCCGTATTCCTCACCCCGTACTCCGTACAAAAGCAATTTTTTCCAGAGAATCACTTTGTTGACAACCGACTGGCCATAAGGTCGGCATTTATTGCGCTATTGAAATCTATGGACCAGCCACACCCAATCCTTTAGAAGGATTCGCGGGGCACTGGGCGGGGAATTGACAGGCGCAAGCGCAATCCAGCCATGGTTCGAAAAAACAATAAATGGATACAAGGATAGTGTTTACACTTTACATACTGCAAGTCTACAAGTCCCAGTTCGCCACTGGTGATGGTTAAGACCTAAGCGAGCTGTGAGGGGGGGGGGGATAAAAATGGGGCCGAACTAAAGCAGTTTAGCTTTGCCGATAGTCCCTCATTTAGCCGCCTAGGCAAATACGCCGCTTTCATTGACATTCCGGGCTTTCCTCCATAGCCCCCAATCGTGGGCGTACGCTAAGGAAATCCACTTGGGCTGTTAAATGATCCGGCTCTGATCATTTGCTTGAATTGATATGTGCCTGATCAGAACGATATCAACCATTTCCCCTGTAAAAAGTTGATCATAAGTTAATCGGGGTTCTGAGTTGCGTGGTTAAAAGAGGAGGGAAAAACAAAACAAAAGACCTTACGCCGAATCTCCGAACGTGGTTCTAGTGGAGAAGAACGGCAAAAAGAAAATTATACTCGGACTAGAGCTGAGGTTCCATGGATTGAAGTTCGATTCCAACGAGTGAAGTCGAGAAACTCGACATGTCAGTCTCCAACAGGCAGCGAACCCCGACGAGCATGACATGCCCTGTCCTAAATCTCCACTCGCTAGTCTGTGAGTTCCTAAGTTCCAACTTCCAACGTGAGAGATTGATGCCTATTGCCATTGATACCATTGGGAAGTCTATTGGCAATTGACGATCTTCCTCGTACGTGGCAATGTATCTCCGCGCCGTAACGGGCCCGCGTGTCTCCCTCCGGGAGAAATTGAGAACGAACTAGTCATTTTTACTGTCATGCATGGGTTCGTGTGGTTTAATACTTGCGCTCTGCCGCAGTTGAAATCCCAAATTGTACATTGTACAGTTCCGTCTCTGCCTGGGCGCTATCCAGCTAGCGCCACTTACCATATGTGCCCCGCCCCTGAAAGTTGAAACGTAGACAAGGTTCATGGCTGCGAAGTTCTGTCGTGTTGTTGGCCGCTAAATGTACTGTACAGTATTGTCGACTGTATTCTCCGCAATTTTCCCACGAGGCGCTAAGACATAATCGAACTCTGTTCTTTTGGCGAGGCTCGGTTGCCGTTGTCGGGTCAATTAAGTGCAGGGTCAGGGTCATTTCTGCCAAAACTCATGTCCCTGGAAGTCAGACTGCATACTGTACATAACTCTCGAGAAAACATTAGACACTACAGTACCTGGTTACTCCGCTCTCCATCTCCTTCTATAAGCTTATATGCGATAGCTTCCTCGGTGGCTTGCCCAGTGGTTTAGGAAACTGGATCCCCCTTAACAAGTTCACACCAGCCCACAATCTTAGTTCTCCAGCGGGTTATTTCAATCGATAGATCTGCTTTTCTTTCCTCATTCAGCTTCGCTCTAAGAGAGGCGGGCCCGCCCAAACAGCCCCACTATCGCGTTAGCGTCAGGAACGAGGAACGAGCAATACTATCCACCACAGACTACTGGACTCACCACGGAGTACGGAGCAATCATTGATATTAAAAGAAAGTGGTCCCGGCTTGATCGTGATCTTCTTCTTTTGACCTCCACTTGGATTCTCAGTCGCTCTCTCACCAGGCTCCATCACAGTCTTTACCGTCTATGTCCATGCGAGGATGACCACACTCTCTACCTCACGAGGTCGCTCGGCCTTGGCCGTCAGCATCGTCTTTACTTCTCTTGCGACAGCATTGGTACTGGTTCGGATTTATACTCGGGCTGTATTGGTCAAGCAGATGGGAGCGGATGATTATGCTATCATGATCGCTCTGGTAAGAGAACCTACCGACTAACCAAAGGCTTGCTATACTCAATTGACTGACTCATTTGTGCTGTAGTCATTCTCATGGGTGTTCTTCGGTCTATTCGTTGGTGGTACGTTTCCTTATTTTAGCTCATGAATTTAGCAATGTTTCTAACTTTTGTGCAGAGGTTTACCACGGCATGGGTGAACACTATGTCCTCATCCCAGCGGCAATCTACAAGATACAGATGCTCGTAAGCTCTTTCCACAAATACATCGTCGGCCACTTTCAACATAGTCCCTAACCAACTTATCCCATCTATAGTGCTTCTGGGCCTCCGTCCCAATCTACCAAACCAGTCTAATCACCACCAAACTGTCCATTCTCCTTCAATACCGACGAGTCTTCTCCACAGCACGAATGCGCCTCGCCTGTAATATATTGATTGGTTTGCTCGCCGTGTACGGAACATGGACAATCGTCAGCGCCTGGGCAAATTGTGTCCCTCTCGAGAGATTCTGGGACCCCACTGTTCCGGGTTTCTGCTTCGATAAGAAGGCGTTGTGGTTCTCCAACTCGGCTGTTCACATCTTGACGGATATCTTGATTTTGATCTATCCCATGCCGGTCCTTAAGTCTCTACAGCTCCCGAAGAGACAGAAGTTTGCGTTGATGGCTGTCTTTGCTCTGGGTGGATTGTATGTTCATCCCTCACTTAACTTGTAATTGTCTTGCCAGACAGATTCCAGTGGCTAACAGTACCTTCCAGCGTCTTAATCACCAGTGTCCTCCGTCTGAGGAGTCTTCTCGTGATTTCCAACTCTACCGATCCAACCTGTGAGTACCTATCTCCCTCCAATCCCATCGTTCCCATTCCTTCCAGAAACCACAATCTAACCAACCAACCAACCACACAGACGACAACGTCGGCGCCGCAGAATGGTCCGCCATCGAATGCAACGTCGCCATAATCTGCGCCTCCCTCCCCAGCACGCGCGCCTTCCTCTCCAAACTCCTCCCCCACATCTTCTCCACCGGCAGCAACGGCTACCGCAGCCGAACAACGCGGCCCTCCCGCACAGGTCGCAGCCACCTCACCGGCACAATGACAAACACCCAAGTGCAAGCCTCCGTAATCGGCGGCCGTGATGAGCGAGACTACGACATGGACAAGCTGTCGCCTACTACAGCGTCTTTCCGTGCCCATGAGAAGTATATTGATAGTAGCAAGGATGGCTTTGCTGGTATCAAGGTTACGACATTTGTGACGCAGGAGTCTATCGCGCATCAGCCTGAGAATGATGAGACGGGTAGTACGAAGGATCTTGTGCATAAGCATAGTTTTTGATGTTTTTGTTATGACCTTTAATGTTGGTGTTGGTTTGGACTATCGTTAACTTATATGTTTCTTTTTTTATTGATATCCCCCAAATTATTTCAATTTATTTTAATGTTTATACTTATCCTAGTCTTATGTGATTCACTCCAGAAAAATACTACTATTCGCAGCTCTCCAAGTCGAAACAAGCCAAGATGGTTTTGCATCTCCTTACCCAAAGCCGGCACTAAACATAGTTCTAGATTTCGAAGCCTGTATCAATTCAAGAATTCATGGTAGATAAACAAGATTGGATGTTAGCATATATTTCGCTATCAACATACAACAGAAAGTATGCACACAATAATGCCATCACAAAAGTCCCAGCCCATTTTCGCATCTAGGAACAAGAGGAATAGTAATAACATGCATGCTAAAACCAAGTGGGGGAATTCATAGGGGTACCATAGCGAGCCAGGTCTCAAGGCAATAACAAAACACCATACATATGTGCAACATCCAACAAAGCGCAATACTACCATCATGCTAGACATAACCACACAGCCACAGCATTACTAACTCATGTCTCAATTCACCATGGAGGGGGAAGAATATTTATTCCCACACGTTAGAGAAGAGGTCATCAGATCCACCACCAAACCCGCCAGCCGGCTTGGAGTTCGAGGTTGATGTAGTACCCGAGGAGACGGGGGCGGCGCTTGTCCAGCCTCCAAAGTCCTCATCTGCTGCCACGGTGGGAGTAGGCTTGGGTGGTGCGCCCCAGCCACTGCCGATGTCATTGGCGGTCAAGGTATCAGGGAGTTTCATCATGTTGGATGAATGGGTTGCGGCCGGCGCGGGGGCAGGCTCAGGTACGGGGTCTGGGCTTCCCCAGGCATTGCCTCCCCAAGGATCCATGCTAGCGGACATGACGTTGGCAGCAGCAGCAGTTGCAACTGGAACGGTAGGCTTGGCGGGCGCTGAAGGCTGGATGGGAGGGCTTGAGAGGTTGAATGCAGAGCTCATCTCCTGCTGGGGAGAAGAGACTATGGGCCTAGAGGGCGCCACAGATGCTGCGGGAGCGGGAGGTGGTGAGGACAGGCCGAACAAGTCGTTCGACAGAGATGAAGAAGGAGGGTTAGGCTTAGCGGACTTGGTGGTTGGGGAGGCAAATCCACCAAAGCCAAAGTCCTGTCCACTGGAGATAGAGGCATTGCGCGACTGAGTGTTGTGTGCGGACAGAGTGGGAGAGGTCAAGCTCTCGAAGAGATCGCCGCTAGCCGAACTTGAAGGCGAGGTGACTCTGGGCGCCGCGGGTGTTGACTTGGTATTCGGGAAGTTGGTGAGACCGGCAAAAGGAGATGGCTTCTCGACTGGCTTGACCGGGGGAGGGGAGGTGGTAGAGGGGAAGCTAAGCCCGCTGAAGGCATCCGTAAGACCTCCCATGTTCGACGCCGCGGAGGGAGGCTGCGGAGATGCCAGGTCACCAAAGGAATTGGTCCGCGCATGTTGAACGGGAGCCGGCTGGGGCTTCGAGTACAATGATAGAATGGATTGTTTCAGGTCTGGTCGAGACATGCCGGTGGGAGCGGCGGGTGTTGATGCTGTGCTCGAGGGGCGGCTGCCGGCGGAGGGCTGGGCGCTGCCGAAGAAGTCCAGACCGAGCAATGAATCAGCAGGCTTGTGAGCCTTTTGCTGGGGAGGCGGCGCTTGTCTGGGAGGTGCACGAGGTGTAGGCTCGGTTGTACTGGGACGAGGCGGGGCAGAGATCATATCATCACCGAATAGGTCGATCGGGGCTGGTTGACGTTGCGCCGGGGGTTGGCTGGGTGCGACGACTCGCTGCGATGCGGAACGTTCGATCTTGGCCTTTTCCTGGACAACCGCAAGAGGCTGATCGGTCAGTGGTGCTGATTTTGGTAGTATGGCCTTTGTTCCATCACTCACCACGTCATCATCTCCATCACTCAGGGTAGAGGGGTCTGGCATTGCTCCTTCCATCACCCAGCGCTTGGCCTCGTACTTGGTTCGGATAAAGTTCTCGATCTTACTATCCGCATATAGAGTTAACAGATGGTCTTCAATGATATCAGAGTCACAATCGACTTACGCTTCCGACGGAACGTGTCCAGGTGCCAACTTGGCCTCCCAGTACCTATTGAAATTTTAGCACAGATCCACAACAGTCAATCGCGAATGACTGACTTGTTCGCCCGCCCATTGCCCCATCTCACGACACTTTGAAGTTGTTCATCGGTCCAGGCATCCAAATCCACGGACTTGACCCGACTAATATGTGTGCCCATGCCACGGTGAATGCCCGAGCAACGAATGCAAATGAAAATTCCCAGATTCCAGGACGCCCATCGTGGATCTAAACAAAGGAAGATCAGTAAGCCAGGTTCGAGTGAAGGCAACACGGCACTGCGTGAGCGTACCGATATCTCGGAGGAGGGGGGAATGGACACTCACGCTTATTGCGTTTGCAGTCGGCACAAATCTTGTTGGACTCGAGCTTCAGCAAACTTTTGATAGTCTGCTGGTTCTGAGCCGCTTGGCCCGGCGTAGCGCGACGAGACATATTCCGAAGCGACTGATATGAGGAAGTGGAGAAGTGGTAAAGGAGAAACAATGGAAAGTCGCTCGCATGCGCAGGCCAAGGTGGCGGTCGGCAATGCGGCCTAAGGCTGCCGGGTGTTTACGGTGGGCGGTGAGTTCCAGCTGTGCAGTTCGATGTAAAGTGGCCGTGAGCCCAACGGGAAATTAGCTGCTCTTAGCTTTCTAGAAGAGATATGGAAGTCTCATTCAAGGATGCGGACGCCAAACTACACTCGTGCATGAGATTAGTCCAATCTTGCTATGTGGTTGGACACCTGACAGATCTACAACCCCCGAGGTCCTTGGGTAGCGCTTAAAGTACGTCCCAGCCTCGTTTTCTAGAACACTTTAAAACATTGATAAATAATTTACATCCAATCACGCCTTGGCCGTCTCATTTGACCCCTTTGCTGCTGCACCTATATCCTCAGTAAACCGCAGACTAACGCTATTCACGCAGTGTCTCTCATCAGTGGGGGTTGGGAACCCTTCGCCCTCAAAGACATGGCCAAGATGGCCACCGCAGTTGTTGCAGACAATCTCAGTTCTCTTCATGCCGAGTGTGTTGTCCACATGTCGCTTCACAGCTCCGGGGATGGAGTCGAAATAGGCCGGCCAGCCACAGCCGGACTTGAACTTGTGGTCGGCCGTGTAGAGCGGGGCGTCGCAGCCAGCACAGGTATATACGCCCTTAGACGGATAATGGGAATCATATTCTCCAGTGCCAGGGCGCTCGGTGCCCTTCTCACGGAGTACACGGAACTGCTCTGTATCCATTCATGTTAGACGCAGGTTAGACGCAGGATGAGATATTGGAATTCGGGGAAGACGAACCAGGGCTCAAGACAGCTCTCCATTGATCCTCGCTTCGCTGATCGGGGTATGACATGTTTTCAGATGATTCTTCACTGTTGGCTTTCGAGCTGAATAGAGCGCCTAAGAAGGGGATTGTCGGTGCAGCTCTGAGAGCCTTTGCGCCAGGTGTCAAGCGGGGGGTTTGTCGAGATGAGGTCGTATATAAGCGGAAGGGAAGGGTAGGTTGGGCTAGGATGCGATGCCTAAGAGGAGTGGCTGTGCGAATGATTTGAGATCTCATGAAGGCGATAGAAGATAGTCGAACTTGTTCGGCTTGAGTGGACTGGATGTGGTGGCAGTGAAGACCTAGACTCCATCGCGATCCGGGCCCCTTTACGTCATCATGCGGGGAAATTATCCTCTCGAGTAAGCTGATAAGCTTAAGAGAACTGCTCCAAAAATAAGCACAAAGTATGGAATCCTACAATTTGTCATAGTTTCCGAGGATAAGATATGTCGAGAAAATCGAAATTCCAAATATTCAATAAATTGCACAATGTACCCAATGCCTCAGGCACAAAAATGAAAACTCCGCCGATGTATGATGGGTATCTAGCGTAAATGCAGCCACACAAGCAGGAAAACACCGCAAACCCCAGCCATTCCCCAAGACATGCAACCACCCTCGCCCACGCCAAATGCCAACACCTCCCAACTGATGATGTCAAACCAATTCGAAGATGGGAGAGAAATGAAGATGAAAACTGCGAGAAGAGAGAGTATGACCACAAGCTCAGCTCCCACCCGACAAAGCACCTTTGCTTGGTGAAACCTCGTCAGCGGCGAGCGGCGCCAACAACAATCACGAACCCTCGGCCAACCTCCACACGCCAACCATCACTGATCAAGGCCTTGCTCACAGCCGGGCCCAGGCGGGACACACCATCCCGACTGTGAAGACCAACGCCAGTGATGATCTTAAAGCCACCGTGGACATGCTTACCTCCACCACGGACGTGCTTCGTATCTCCAAGGCCGTCCCACCAGGCCTCGACTCGCTCGCGTGCGATGCGAATCGCCTGGGGGACTTGGCAACCATGGAGATCGACGTCCCCGTTGGTGGATTGTCTATCCACAAGCCGCTCAGAAGCCGCGGAGAGATGCCGCATGGCAAGCTCCCGCTGTTGCTGCGCAACCTCACGATAATATTGTGAGGCGCCTCCATACAAGGGGTCAGACTTGGCCTTTCGGGCCGCCTGTGCCGCTTGTATGTTGGCAGTGGTTTTGGCGGCGAAGTGGGCGCTTGCCACTGCTTGCTCGCCTTCATAGTCAAGCCCACTGCGCAGGTTCTCTTTCTTCTGGCGGCTTTGTGTGTCGACCATGTTTGCCTCGTCGTCGAGGTTGAGTTTTGGAGCCGTGATCTTGATCAAGTCGGCCACAGAGAACTCTGATGGCTGACTGATCATCTCAGCTGCCAACTCATTTGCGGCGGAGATCATGTTGCGTGTGATTCGCAGCAAGCCAATGAGAGTGCTTTCGGATACGCTGGGATAATCAGCCGCAAGCTCGTCCAGTTGTGACTGTACGACGGGATCATCCTCAGTCTCGCCAATATCCTTCAGCGTGTGAGCGACGGCTAAGGCCCTGATTGTCGCAGACAGTGATCGGTTGTTGGCTGTATATGCGGACGCGACCTTATGGCGTGGGAGATCAGGCGTGCGTGAGCAGATGAACTCAACATCAGCCTGACCTTTCTCCCATTTATTCGTCGCAGGCGGGTCATCGGAGGGGGACTGCAGACCAAATGAGACTTTGTTGTTCTTGTTGCGCTTTTTCTTCCGTCCTTTCTGGCGGCCAATGTCAGGGGTCTCGTGCGCGAATCCATCAAGTCCCTTGGGGATGACGACATCATCTTCGTCGGTTGCTTGATCGAAGAAAGACAGGTTAAGGAGGATGTCCATTGATTTATCAATGTCTCCTTTGCTGTTCTTCAAGCTCTGCTCAACATTGAATTTGGAGATATCCGGGAACATGGCGCACAGCAAGTTCACCTTCTCCTGCTCGCTGCCACCGACAAACTGGACAGACCCATCGGCAGCAATGGTGTATGTTGAGTTGAGAGTTGTTTGCGACTTTGAACTTCTGCTGTCGCTCCCATCCAGGAAGAGGCGTGATTCCAGGCTGGTATCGGTCTGGGTCTGGCCAGCACTGGATGGTCGCGCGGATGAGGCTGCCCCGATGTCGGCATCATCCACATGATCATTGGCTGTGCCTGACGGGTCAAATGGGAGATCCTCTTGCTGGATTGCTAGGTCCCTGATGGAATCTAGGGTCTCGCGCAGGGACCTGACCTCATCGGGGTTCTCCAAATCAAAGTCGGTCGTGATGGCAGCAAATAAGGCAGAGTCAACTGGAGGACAGTACTCCTTCTCCAGATCCTGCAGGCCCCATTTGTGTCAGCAGCTAAGAGACCAAAAGTACCTTGAGCCGTCACACAAGGACTTACATTTCTCAGATCGTCGCTGCAGGACCCCATGGCGAGATATACACGCGTTTTGGTGAACGCGGGGTATGGTGAGCCTGGTCTGCCCCGATATGGGCCCGGCCACAGTGAGAAGAACAGGAGAAGCTGTGGACAAGTCTTTTTAAATTTTTGACCAGAGCAATGAAGACAGGGATCGTTCCAGAAGGGCTGTGGAACACGGACTGTGACAGACAAAGCCAACTTGTCAATGGGAGGAAAGATGACATAACTGGAACCGCCCAGCGCCCGCAACTAGCTCTTTTTCTGCCGGTTGAGTGGAGGATCCCCTCCTTGACCGCCCTATTACCCCTGGCAACATCTGACCGCCTTGATGAATTTGATGGCGGGAGGTCCGGAGCAGCTGTGCAGGTGATTCCACGACATTGAATGTGGGCTGAGACTCACCCAGAAGATTTTGGAAGTTCGAGGATCCCAAACATTCTACTCGTTTCCCTTGGAACTGCTAACCAGTCTACAGAAGCTGCCAAGGTTCCCAGAATGATCTAAAGGTAGAGCTATTCAACAGATACATATATCTCCAGCTGGGGGATTATGTATCGAGGATATTCGTAATAGAACCATTATTGTATTTCACATTGATTAAGGACATATATAGGTCCACATTCATCCATCAGAAACATTAGTATCAGTTGCAATATAGATTCCCGAATTCATACTATTCAACAAAATCAGGCTAAACCCTAGACACCCGAATCCTACCAATCATCAATCATAGAGCCTTCCCAGCCAGACCATCCAAGCAGTCATTAGTGGGCCAAATCGGAGCTTCTAAATAGCGAGAGCCGCCAGGCCAAGGAGAATGCTGCCGACATTGCTAGGAGGGATGAGCAAACCAGCAGCATTGGAGGTGGTAGATGCCGAAGCGGTAGAGGTAGTTTCCATTGTCTTGGTATGCTGAGTAGTGGACATGGTCGTCTTTGTGGAAGTGGAAGTGGATGTAGAAGTTGTCTCTGCAGGAAAAGATAGTTAGTTACATGCTTATCTACTGTTTGAGGCATCAAGCATGAATGAAAGCCAAGACTTGGCACCATATACTGACCAGGAGTACTGGTGCTTGTGGAGGAAGTGGAGGATTGTGTTTTGGTATGGGTAGTCGTAGTAGAATGGGAGGTGGAAGTAGAGGTGGACAATGTAGAAGTAGATGTTGATTTTGATGTAGGGGCTGAAGAAGTAGAATAATGAGTCTTTGTAGTAGTGCTGGAATGGGTAGTTTTTGATGATGTGGATGTACTCGAGATAGAACTCGAGGAAGAAGTACTGAGTGTTGAAAGAGTCGAAGTGGATTTTGGTACGGTAGAAAGGGTAGACAAAGAAGAGGAACTTTGGGTAGACGCACTGGTAGAAGAAGTCGTCATAGAAGATGAAGTAGAGGTAGAAGCAGAAGTGGATGTAGTAATAGATGAAGAAGCAGTGGTGAGGGTAGACGCAATGGTGGAGGAGTGAGTAGTAGTCGGAGAAGAGGAAGAAGCAGTCGACGAAAAAGTCAAGGAAGCAGACGTCGAAGCAGTAGTACTGGCAGTAGTCGATGCCTCCGGGGAAGTGAAAAGCATGGAAGAAGAAGTCGCCAAAGCAGAGGTAGACAAAGATCCACTAGCAATACTGGTTTCCTTACTAGAGCTAGAGGCTGATGCAGATTCAGCCTTTGCGTCAGTCACTTTGAATTGCTGTGACTGAGCGAGAATGCCATCGCCGCTACTGGCCTTGAGGTCGATCTGGTAGCCGCCGCTATGAAGTGTGTCAGTTGAAGTTGCAAGACTCCGATCTAGGAAAAATAGTCATCTACCCAGTATCAGAGGCAGTGAGATCCCGGTTGTTGGCTTTGATGGTATAAGATCCTTTGCTAGCGTCCACGTCGGAAGCGACAAGAGTAGAGACACTAGGATTGACAGCTTGATTGACAAGATAAAGATCAAAGGTGGCAGGGTCGGTCCTAGTTTTGATTATTAAAACAAATCATCAAGGGGAGGGATGACAATAACGAGCAAGCTTACTCCACCGAATCCCACTTGATTGTAACTGGCTTGCTCCAGTCAATCTTCTCGCCCTTTGGCGGATACGTAACGAGAATGGCTGGCAGGAATTCTTAATGAAGCTCATATTCTGTGGGGAAGTATAGTACCTGTAGTTGTGACAGTGAAAGCTACCAAGGAGGATAGAAGAGCGACCCGCATGATGATTAACTTGACACTAATCGATGACTAGAATGAGTGTATCTGGTACCCTTGAGCCTCGAGACCTGAAGTGAATAACAAGCAATAAAGGATAGCTCGGGTAGAAGAAGAAAAACCGAGTGGATTTCGAATTGACGGGCAACTCACTTAACCTTTATATCGGCACTGGGAATTCTTGGAATTGATCGGATTCTAGGGAAACTACAGGTATCGGAGCACAGCGATGTCCAGCACAGTACATCATGCCTTGTACTTCCAGCTTCAATGCAGTACAAAATCCGAGAAACACAGCGCCAATATACTGCTTATCGGGAGCAAATACAGGCCAATCATCAGAGGTTCTGAAGGCTGAAGACATCCAAGAGCATCATCTCGGCCTGGACTGGAATGGGTGAGCGGATATGTGCTGCACAGCCTATATGATTCGAACTAGACGCGCGTCATACTACCTTCTTGGTACCTGTATGGGTTACAATAGAGACACTTCTCTCCATATTCATGCTTCAAGCAGCAAGGTGGCCAGTTCAGATACACTGGCCGGGATCACCGCTGTAGTCTGTTCAGGGCAAAACTCAATTGGCCCTAGTGAAGGCTTGAATGGACTGGAGGATGTCAATCAAGAGAAGGTTTCCTTGGGATATCTCCATTCATCCATTCTGACTTGTATGTACTATCAATATTTGTGGACATGTTTGAAATGGTGCGAGCTCCAAGAGCCGATCTATTCTATTCAGACCCTCGAAAACGGATTGCAATATAGGCATAGGCAATGAGATATCGGACCGTCAGCCAGCAAGTCCGAGGTGTCCTAGCACATCAAGTTCTTGGTCTTGACTGATAGTCTATGAATTGAGGTAAGACAAGGCCAATGTCCGAGCTCAAGAGTATCTTCAGCCTACTTCTGATCCATGCCCAAGACGAGAATGTCGTCAATTCAAACCTTGCAACATAATTTACTACGACACCAAACAAGCTCGAAGAGGTAATTTCTACAAAGCTTCCAAGATTGTGAATTGAGAATATAAATATCTGCTTTATATTGACTTTCCCATATCGCTAATCGAGGGGGCGATACTTTGTGTGACCTCGGAATAGTTTGATTGGGAACTACACCAGGTTGGAGATAATTGAAATGGTTCAGCCTGGAAACAATCCAAATATCCTCATCGGAGAACTATGTTGCACCTTACATGCCTATTGTGATTGTCACTAGAGAACTTTCCCCGTCGGACTCGACGCGCGTTTGTGCTCCTCGAGTATACGGTATAGTCGGACTATCTTGGCTGCCGATCTTTCTACCTCGCTCAATCATAGACAGTCAGTATACCTATACGTGACAACGGAGATAGATTCTTCCTTATTTGACACCTGGTGATCAGCTTTTATGCTTTTACTTTCGAGATACTCGTACATTCACATTTTTTCTCCCTAGCTTGAGAGATACAACATTCATTAGGTCGTACAAATATCAGTCCCGGTCACCACCTTTCTCTCACTGCGTAATGATGCTCCGACCACCATCTGCAGTGACACGCTTGCGCACACGAATATGGACATGACCAGCCCCTAGTTGAACGGCATAGTGGTTGCCAGTAGTGACATCCTCATCATCCGTAGTCTGTTCGGAGTCGCTGCTAGTAGAATCACTTCGTCTCATGATATCCAGCAGAGCGGTCGGACAGAAAAGCAATGCTTCGCCGGTCTTCAAATGAACAATTTTCCGGAAGAGGTCCCGCTCCAGCGCGTCTTTGGCCTCGGCCTTATCGGAAGCTCCAGCGATGTGGGCTTTGATCGCTTTGAACCAGGCCGGGGAGGTAAAGCGGTGGATGATGGTTAGATTGCAAAGGTCAAGGAGGTTCGGCGAGATAGTGGGCTCCTGGGTGGCGATGAGGACGCGTGTGCCCAGGTGTCGCTGTTGTCGTACGATGGAGAGAAGACTTTCCGTCAATTCCATTGCTTCGGCGGATGTTGACGTCAGGAACTATCAGAAGGAAGGCAGATGCGTTAGATTTCACTTCACATTTTCGTCTTATAATCGTGAGATACATACCTTATGAGCCTCATCAAACGCCAGGATTCTTCCCGATTCATGGCGATCCTTCAGCACGAGCGAGATGCAGATGTTGAACAAGGCACATGCATCATCCGGACCAACAAATGGGCAGCTCAGATCAATGATAGTGAGAGAGCCCTTGGGAAACTTCCAGATGTCATTCGCAAGAGATTGCTTCTTGGGCTTCACACTACCGTTGGGCATAGTGCCGGGCTCGAAGAAGGATTCCAGCACATCCAGACGCATCTGGAGGGGAACCTTTTGAGCCGTCGTGAAATTCTCGGCCTCAAGCTCCTTGCGAAACATGGTGTAGTCAAATTTCTCACGTCCTTGATTTGCAATCGCCATATCTCGAAGAATCTTCATCACCACCTTTTCAAGTACGAGTTAGCTGAGACCTTGTTCTGGATGCTAACTGATGAAGCACTTACCTCAATATAGAGAGGCTGGTTTGAGACGTTGTCAATTCCCATCAGCGTCTTCATCATGCTGATGTTCAGTCCTTTCATTGGAAGGTACATCGGTTCAACCTTCAGCATATTGGAAACCTTTCCCAGTCCTACAAGATTGTTGTAGGCGTTCTTCATGGCCATGAAGTTCGTTGGAGACACAAGCACACGAACGGGAATTTGAGAGGAGCAAAGGTAAGCAGCCTCACAAAGTTGGGTGTTTGAAAAGCCCGTAAACTTGTCATAGTGAAAGACCACACCGGCGAGAGGTGCGGTGAGTCTTCCAGCAGGCGAAGAGGCGATCAAAGAGTTTTCCAGCAGACACGACAGAGTATGGCTCTTTCCACTACCCTGACTGCCACAGATGAAGGTAGACCACGGGGCTGCAGTGTTGGTATACACCAGAGAGTTCTGGGTATTACCCTGCGGAAAGGTGTCGAGACGATGACCGAGGAGACCATATTGAGGATAGACCTGGTTCTCGGAATGACTGGAGGATTCTCCGTGGTCTTTTGCGGACAGAACACTGCGTGCAGGCAATGAGAAAAGCGGGGCAGTCACCATCTCTTCTGGTAACTGGGACTTACCAGAGACTGACGAGCTTGTTGCGCTGTATTCATTGAGGCTGAGAAGCTTGAGATGCTTCGCAGCCTCAGCGTTGAAGTCCAGAATCGGGGACATGGTTACGACCAGGACGTTTAGGGTTCAAATATCGAGGACGAATTTTATGGTGCGTGGGGATATGAGAAAGATGAAGAGGGAGAGCGTGGGCGCGAGAGAGAGGGAAAGCGAGCATGGAAGTTGAAAGATCGATGCGTGGAGGAGACGACAACGTAAAGATTTTGCCCAAAAAGGCAAGCTCCTTTAGACAAACAATCCCATCGACACGGTAGGCCCTCCTCTCTTCTAGAAAGCCCTTATCACCACTTTGCTCTATGCACTACTCTCCGTCTTTTTTGTACTTCCCCAACAGCCAATCAGCGTCGCAGCTAGTGAACCTCGGTCCATCCCCACTGACCCCAACAGCTTCTCCGCAATGAACCCCGAAGCTGACCAAGTTTATAGCCATTCCAATTCCCAGATTCCCTTCCCAACTTCTCAACTTCTCAATCACCATTGCCACAGCTCAAACATAAACACACCATCCATCATGCCCGTGGCAACCCTCCACCTCCTCTCCCTCACCAAATCCACCCACCCCCAGTCCTTCCTCCACACCCTCAAACAATCACCCAATATCAAAATCATCGTCGCCTCACGTCCACGCCATATCGTAATCCACCCAACAACACTCGACCAAAACCCCCTCGCAACAACCCCCTGGGATCTCCTCATCCTCCTAACAACCACCCAACCTACAAAGAACAACACAGATCCATTCCCACCAACCCTCCGCCAAAAAATAACATCCGAATACAAACTAACAACCGGCATCCCCTCAAAACTCCTCTCAACATACCCAACCCGCAACTCAACCCTCAACCGCACAGCCCCCTCAATCCCCCTAACAGGCTCCCTAGACAAACTCCTGCACGAAGAAACAAAAGAATCCTCGCAGACCCTAGAAGTTTCCCCGGAACTCCTGCGGTTCATGACCGAGCTTAGCAAAAGCCATACCGGCCCCGTTACGATGTTGAACCTATTGCATTTCCACCATCCGGATGGGAAGAAGAGCTATTACCAGTATGGGCAGGCTTTTATCCCTGTTGCGGGGAAAAGGGGTGGTGATGCGAAGTTGGTGGGTAATGTTGTGGCGCCTGGCGAGGGACTTGAGGATTCGAGGGGTGATAGGGATAGACCGGCGCAGGAGTGGTGGAATGAGATTTCTATCGTGCATTACCCTTCTATTCGGCATTTTTGTGATATGTTGGCTGGGGAGGATTATCAGGAGATTAATGAGAAGTATCGGTTGTCGGTGAGTTTTACTACAAACAGATGGAATGAACTGGACTGCTTGTTGGGTGAAATGCTGACTGAACTTGTGAAGGCACTTCGTGATACGTTCTTGTTGTGCACGACTGAATTTGATGTTGAAGGTTTGGGACCTTCGAAGCTGTGATGTAGTCTTACAGATCTTGTGCCTGTAGGTGCAAGTTCGTGGATTGGAATGCCATCGATAGGGATATGGAACGAGGACAGAGAAGAACATTTACGAAGAATTGAATTTGCTTGATTAAATGGGTATCTGGAAAACTAAATTGAAGAACATCCCGCCCCCTTCACTGAGACTTAAACGAAGGCTGAGAACATGGCAAGTCTGCAATGTACCATCTCATTCCCATCAGAGACGATGCTCCTGCTTAACAACGCTGTCATTGGGTCGGTCCCAGGTTCGAATGTGGCCTGTGATTGAGAGATCAGTAAACCTCTTTAAACTTCCCGAGAGAGCAGGGCATACCTTCAAGAGAGGATGTCATAATGCAATCCTTCTGGAACCCAAGCCAGCAGAGAGGATCCTCGCCCACGATTTTAGACTGTATGCACGATTAGTTTCATGACACGACTTTAGACTCCAGATAAAACCAACCATAATAGGAGGAAGAAGAGCAGTCCGAGCACGGGGCTCAACGGGATGACTAGCCAACGGGTCTACATCTCCCTCAAACTTCTCCGTCCGGTTCGAGTCTGACCGCATCCGATTACCGCCACTATCAGCCCGGTGACGGTTCGATGTCTGCGTAGCCGGAACAACGAGACTGCTGCGGTGACGAGTAGATGCTTGATGATGCTATTACAAAGTTAGACAGAAACAGGATAGATGAATGGTAAGTGATGACTTACAGCACGGGGCCGGTGCAACATGCCAACACTGAAATCCCACAGCAGAAGACGGCAGTCATCTCCGACACTGCCGAAACGGTAGGTCTTTTGGTCACAGCGCCAGGGATCAAATGCCACTGCGGATACCCAAGAGTTGTGACCCTGGCATCGGGCAACGATTCTACGTTCGGGGAAGGACCAGATCGTGACTAGGTCATCCTGACCTCCGGTCACGATGTACTTGCCGTCAGGAGACCAGCAGACGCAGATCAAGCCGCCGTAGTAGCTGCGGAAGATATCCAGAACCCTATCTCGGTTAGCAAATGATATTTATCCGGAAATAGATGGTGGCTGGAACCTACTCTTCTTTCAGGTAATCCATGAGACGAAGGGAGCCGTCATCCAAAACAACAGCCAAATGTCTGTGGTCCGGGGCGAACGAAAAGTGCGAAATTCGCTTATTTGCCAGCTTCCACAACGCAACAGGGTTAGTCTTCTGGTTCTTCGAGTTGACCGACTTCAGAATCTCAATGGGCAATCTGGCGGGATCTTTCTCGGGGTGACCAGTGAGCTCCGGAGTAAACAAGGCATCCTCCTTCTCCTTGTCATAGACCACCAAAACACCATTAGCGTGCGATGCCAGGAAGAGGTTCTCAGACCCAGGCAGCCACTTAATGTTTGTGACGGGAGAGTTATTGATGACTCCATTCTTGTTGATGCGAGCATACTTCTGCGACATGGGCTCGTACCAAATGATATCACCGGCCGAAGAACCCATCACGATATCCAAATGCGAGGAGGTCTTGGTCATTTCGTTAATATCATGGCAAAGCATGTGTGCCTTAGTAAAGAGCACCTTGGTGAGATGCTCCTCCTTCTGTGCCGAATTGAGATCCAGCCACTGGAAGGCCCGGTTGATATTCGCAAAAGCGAATACACCATTCGGGTCGCGATCACTGAGACGCTTTGCCGAGGTTTCGTGCGTGATCACTCGGGAGACAAACGAAGAGCTGCTCTTGATAATGTTGTTCTTAGGCTTCCGTCGCTTCGCGGCGTCCTTTGCTGGCACAGGTGCCGGTGCAAGAGCGGCATTTCCATCTCCGAATGGCGGCGCCGTGATGCCGGACTTCAGGAAAGTTGGAGGCTTCTTGCGCGGGTCGAGGCTCACAAGGCACACTTTGACACCGGCAGTTGGAGGCGACGGAACTGTCGCAAGTGGGTTTGGATTGATGATTGGTGCTTCCGATGGATGAGGAGGTGGTGTCGCCAGCAGAAGATCATCCTTGAGTGTGTAAGTACCTGCAAAGAGATTTAGAGTTAGTAACGTGGCTTTGACTCGGCTGCAAGCGGTGACATCTTCGGAGAGAAGAGGCGTCTGTGTGAGAGCAATTACCTTCTCCGACTTGTAGTGGACAACCACCCTCCGGGTGAGAGATTGTGTTATTCGTCTCGACTACTGGAACCGCCATGCCGTTCGCAGCCCCCGCCGCATAGGCGATAGGGATGGTGTAGCGCGGAGGGGGTGGTGGTAAGACGCTGGTGATCGAGTTAGTTGTGAGTTGGGGCAATGAAATCTTCGAGTGAGAATAGCAGAGTAGCGCGCAAAAGTTCAGCTTCAAGCGCCGCCAACGATTGCGTGCTCCGACATCCGATGTAGTATGATGTGAGGTGGAGTGGAGCTATGAGATGACGTCTTGGGAAGGTTCCAAGAGGACCAACTCTTTAACGAAGAAAAACGAGAAAAACACAGGGATCGAAAGAGGAGGATGTCTTACAACATGGTTATGGTTTGGTAGGCTTATACTTGCGATTCGAACCAAGGCGTATCGGGGTGACACAGCACAGGTCGCTCTGTGCTCTGCAGACAGGGGATGATGCCTGATCTATGCCCTTTTGTCGCGGATAGAACCAGAATTGACCAAAGAGGAAGGCTAATCAGGCGTTGATTATTGTCTCCGATTGGATCTGGTGTACGTCGATGGTACTGCTTCGGGCGGGAGGACTGCCGGTGCGCTCGTTGCTCCGGGGTGTAAAGGTCGGTGGTGGTTCGTGAAGGACCGATAGGGGTTGGTGATGTGCAATGAGGATACCGGGCACCGTATATACAAATGGACGTTGATCCAAGGGCCTGGGGAGGAGTGCGGAGGTCGAGGACCAGGGGAGGAGGCGTTGAGATCAGCGAGGCGATGTCCGGGGTAAAGTCGAGCGGAGAAACTCAAGTCTCGTGCCTGGCGGGGGGTCCGGGCGAACTCCGGGCGAGCCGATCTTGGCAGACCGGAGTACAGTCGAACATCAATTGATTATACTACGTACCGGATACAATTACGGCTAAATGGAAAGAGTGCAATAATCAATGGGGTATTATTCTAAACTAAATTATCAAGGAAGAGGCCATTTATGGCCCGCTACCACTGACTCGTCGCCAAATCATTACCGCTGCGGCCCCCGCGCAGACTACTGCCCCAAACGCGATACCCCACGCCATCCATTTCCCCTCAACGTCTTCTTCGCTACGAGGGAACGCAGTGCTGGGCTCCATCGCGGCTTCTGCAATATGCACAAACACTTCCTGGATGGATGTCCAAGTGACACTGACATGGAGGGGTGGGCTGGGGATGTTCAGCATGGCTGTGTACTCGTGGGGCTGGTACTCGGCCCGCTGAGTCGTGCGGTCCAAATCCGCCTTGAGTGCGATGAAAACGCTGGGTAACTCTTCCAAATGGGGATATTTGGCCCGTAGAGCTGGAATATATGCAAAGGAGTCCGGATCGGAGGAATCGTAGGTGTAGGCAATGACGTCGCACTGATCTAGGAGTTTCGCTTGGTTTTCAAGAATAGCAGGCTCCAATTCACCTAGTTCATCCATGATCAGGTAGCACTGCTTTCCGCCGGGAAGTTCAACTGTGTTCACGGCTGTACGAGGCTGGATGGTGGGATGGTATGTCGTGCTGAATCCTCGCGAGAGGAGAGCATCGAGTAAAGCCGACTTTCCAGAGCCGGGCGCTCCAAGAACATGACATTGAACCACATTTCGTCCAATCCGCCCGGGACGCCGCCGACGCTTGCGAGGTCTCGTTACCTTCAATGCAGCGGTAGTAGACGTATTGCTGCGGTCGGAAGACTCGAAGCCCAGGTATGCCAGATACTCGAGAGTCGTTTTCGGGGACATGAAAGTCGTCATACTCCATTGGGCCAGCCATCCCTGAAGAGTGACGTGGCCTGCTTCGTTGCGAACTGTCGAGGACGGGAATGAACCATCGGCCCATGACGCGGGAAGACCCGGGGTAGGAGCAAATAAGGACTCCAGTTCTGCATTGTTCAATCCACCATCGTTATCTTTATCGGACAGTAGGAACAAATTCACGAAGAAGCGATATCCTTCAGGGGAGAGCTCGGCCGAGGCGAAAGGCGGGACTTCGAATCGAGGGTGGAGGAAGTTCTCTTGCAACGAGAGATTATCGGTATATTGGAATGCGCGCAAGATAATCCATACCGTCTCATGGCGACCCTTTTCCGCGTAAAGCTTATTCAAATGGATGAATCCCTGGCAGTCGATTCCAGACTCAGTAACGGACTCCGGATAGCCCTTCTGAATAGTGTCCTTGATGTGGGCCAGGTCCTCGTCACTTAGTGGCTTTCCAAAGCACCGTGTCTGAAAATCTCCGATCTCTTTATCCGACAAATATCCATCGCGGTCTTTGTCGCTGAGATAGAAAATACGCTGTAGCGCAGAAACAGCCGCGGGCTTCAGAGCAGCCTCCTTGGAATCGAACAGGGGCGCGATTGGGTGGGTGACGGCCTTTTGACAGACGAAGAAAGCCTCATTGACATTCCTGTGCTCACGAGCACTTGTTCGAATGCACGAGTCAATCTCCTTAAACTCTGACATCAAGGGTAGCATCTCCTCCTCTATGACCTGTGCCTCGCTATGCTCCGCCGCCAGGTCCGACTTGTTCGCGCACAGCACGACCGGCACATTAACTCCAAGCGACCGGAAGTAAGGTAGCCAGAACAATGCGACACGCTCGTAGCTGTAGTGGTCGGAGTAGACGAGCAGAATGACATTCGATTTCCGGATCTCGCGCGCCAGGTTGTTCCGCTCCTGCGGCACGGCCGAGGTGTCGACGACAGTGGTTGTGGTGACATTTTCGGGTGTTCCAATCGTGGGCGGGATGGTGATCTGGGGGAGGATAGGCTGAATCTTGTTCGTGACAAAGACACCCTTCACCAGCGAGGTGATGAGGCTGGACTTGCCAGTGCCTTCGTCGCCGCAGACGCAGATCCGGACTTGGTGGTGTCAGCATAAGGGGTCTTTGAGTCTCACGATCATAATATCGGTCTTACCGGTCGCCATTTCCAATTTCAAACGATCCCAATTGCCACTATACTATCAGCATGGCCGTGGCTCTCAAAATCCGGGGCTCCGAGGAGTGTTTAGGGATAGCGATGCGATAACGGGACGTTGTCGCGCATTAGCGGTGCCAAGCCAACATGTGGGTCCGCGGCCCTTTCAATCATGCACCCATGACCTCACTTTTGGAGGTCTACCAGGGATAATAACCTTTGGTAAACGGAACAACGCTTAAGCCTAGGTATCTAGGGAAACCTTCCAAGATGTAGTCGAATCATATTAGAAGTTCTCCCCATAGAGCGTTATAGAGCTACACTTAGTTCAGGGCCCGGTCTGGCAGCTGATGCGAGCCCATGGGGGGCCCTCGCCTAGTAATAGCCATACATATACTTTTCTCTCCGGGTGAGATCGCAAGTTCAGGCAGTACCACATGTGCCCGCCGATTACGCAGGGTGGAGGACAAGAGTTCATTTGTGTATCAGTTAAAGGTATGTAATTGCCAATGAAGATATAATGCTTGCTCTCGCTGAGGGGCGTACATCATCCAATATCCAAGCTCCCCGCCTGTCCGCAATATGACCATGAATCGTCCCAGCTGCAACGGGGTAGGTATCGGCACAAAAGTTGAAGTCAATCCATGTAGACGCGGGACTGTCATTCAAACACGGAGAAGGCTTGAAGCGAGCAGGAGATTCTCGAAAGAGGCAAGCGAGTTCGGATCCCAGCCATGGTTGATTCAGTGGCAGCTAAGCAGGGCGTCCGTCGCGCTTCAACTTTTTGACCTCCCTCTCCAGTCTCCTCACCTCGTCCGCCAAGGCGAAGACCTTCAAGATCGTTAGCATTGTTTCAGAGAAGTACTTTGGAGGACATACCCAAACAAGGAGAGCTAAAGTTCCAAGCTTGGAGAAAGTAGTTTCATATTTGCAGAAAAAGCCAGACGTCATGGAGAACAAGCTAGACGGTATCAACCGAAAGCCAGACAGTATCTGCCAAAAGCCGTCTGCCATCTTGCAGATTGGAGTGATGGACTATGGCCGGTGAGAGTGGGACACGAGGTACGACTTGGGTATGGGAGTTGGGAAAGAAGACGTATGTTCAGAGAGATTGTAGGAGGAAGGGAAATGTGAGTGGAACAGAATCGTCTCTCTCCCTGTCAGGAACGCTCCTGATGTAATCCTAGACGGAAAGGACGGCGCGCTGGTGGTGAGGGACGCTATGTCGTAGGTTTTCCTTATCTATACCTTTTGACCCCTCGATTGCTCTGTTATTTATTTCAGATTGCGTGGCCGTCTTTTTCTTATCCAGAGAGCTCATGATTTCACAGAGTAGTTGTATGATACTGTTCTGCATGGAACCATTGGAGCTTTAACTTCGACAAGCTCGACCCTCTTTCTCACCATTGCGATTTCCGTGATCATTTGCTCGCAAATGTCAGCGGCTACACCAAGCTTTTTCATTCACCAAAATATATCTGTTTGCTCGTGTACAAACGATATGAATTCAAGATGAAAGAAGGCCGGATGCCAGGCTTTATAGTGGCTTTGAAATGTCTACATCAGAACACTAAACCTTAGGCTCAAGGTGGTTTTAACGAACTCGATCTAGATTCTTGGCTAGAGTCAAAGGGGGTTCTATTGTTTCATATCCAACTGTGGTGATTAGGATAAGAAACTGGAACGAAAGGGACACATTCAGAATCACCGTGAAAAGGGTCTCAGGAGAGGTTGAATGGCCTAATAATCAATTGGGACTAAATTTGCCCCCTTAACAAGGGTATCAGATTGAAAAGGACGGTTCATCCGGTTTATCACCACCAAAGCTGAATTCAAAGCTCTTACTTTATTCCAAAAGCCGATGATGAAGTCACGAGCGAGATTTGGTTAATGAAGGACGTGTTATAAGTCAAGAGGAAGCTGCTGAGCAAGGAGCGATATGAGTTTATCGAATTGCCAAATAGCGGAGAGAGAAACAGGAGATGGCTACCATATACTTCAAATCTGATCGCGCCTGTGCCTACGCAAACGCCTGCGTTTGATCCGTTTCATTTTTCATCTCAAGTCTTTAGTCCTTGAAGTACTCGACTGCTATTACCATAGCTCGTAGTTATCAAGTACTCTGGCTGATAGATCCATTCAAAACCTCAGGGAATTTGAGCCCATTAGTGTTAGCATCTTCCAGAATCTTGGTAGGCGCTTTGTATATTTGGGTCCTCGGTTAGAGAGACACGAGCCTTGGCAAGAGTCAAGGGTTGACTAAATAGTCAAGAGGCCAAGAATGACCAGAGGAATTAGATGGGTTAATTGGCTAGGACAAAAGACAAGCAACGAATGCAATGATCAAGGGACTAGTTCATAAGAAATAAGAAAACAAACGAACTACAGTTGCCTTGGACGAACCGTCCCGCCTCACCCGTCACTCACCAGGCCCACATGGATGGAGGATCCGCCCCAATCTTACTAACTGCCCGACCTTTGGCCGCAGTTGGAGCATAAGCCTCTTTCCTCCTCCCCTCTTCTCCCCTCTTTCTTTCTCTCTCGTTCCCTCCTCATCCCCCCTTTTCGACAACCACCGCTACGATGCCTCTGGGTATTCATAACCCGCTGCCGTCGTCTTTGAGCAGTATGTGTCCTGATCTCCCGTGCCCGCTTCCCCGCAATTGCCTCCGGCTAATCCGAAACCTTCCCCCATGTGAATAGGTGAATGCAAAAAGGCGGCCAAAATCTTGACATCCTTTGTGGACCCCAGGCAGGCCTTCGGTCCAGAAAAGGTCATTCCACCAGATATTCTGTCTGGTGCAAAGGTAAGAGGAAGGACTCTGCCTGCGCGGGGTAGAGAAGAGGCTTTACTCGGCTGACACTTGGCCTTCTCTAGGGTCTTGCCATTCTTACAGTCCTCAAAGCCGGATTCATTGGTTCTGGTCGATTCGGATCGGGTATTGTCGTTGCACGTCTCGCTGATGGCTCCTGGTCGGCTCCCTCGGCGATCATAACCGCTGGCGCGGGTGTAGGTGGACAGATTGGATTCGAGCTGACCGACTTCGTCTTCATTCTCAATGACGCATCGGCGGTCCGCGCATTCTCGCAGTTCGGAACACTGACACTGGGTGGTAACGTCTCTCTGGCCGCTGGTCCGGTCGGTCGCAACGCAGAGGCTGCCGGCGCGGCCAGTACCAAGGGAGTCGCGGCGGTCTTCTCATACTCGAAGACCAAGGGTCTCTTCGCCGGTGTCAGTTTGGAGGGCAGTATGCTCGTGGAACGCAAGGATGCCAATGAGAAGATGTATCAAAGCCGTGTCAGCGCCGCCCAGCTTCTGACCGGTAGTGTGCGACCGCCGCCTTCGACCGATGCACTGATGCACGTTCTCAACTCGCGTGCGTTCCAAGGCAGTGGACGTGCTGGCGGCGACGCGATGTACAATGACACGCCTGTTTACGACGACAGTCACGACGATGTTGTCTGGGAAGGCCGGAGGGGTGAGGCCTACGGTCAGGGCTCGCGCACCAATCGCAGCCGAGCGAGCACCTTTGACGACGCTGCCGGTGGTTACGAATACCGCGACAAGCCCCGTCGCGCGAATACCTCTTGGGACGATGATGTATACGATCGATCCCCGGGCGGTCTGGGACGTTCTTCGACCACTCGCGCTGCCCCGAACGACTCATACGGCGACTATGGACGTAGCCGCAGCAACACCACGCCTCTCGACGATGACTACAGCTACTCGGACCGCCGACCTACCCGCCCCACTGCTCCCAAGCCGGTCTTTGGTCAAAGGACGGGCCAGGGTGCGGCTTTGCGGCAGGACCAGGCGATTGCACTGTACACGTTTGATGCGGACCAAGATGGAGACTTGGGGTTCAAGAAGGGCGAGATCATCACGATCCTGAAGCGCACCGAGAAGGCGGAGGATTGGTGGACTGGCCGGATTGGCGATCGTGTCGGCATTTTCCCCAGGTAAGTGCAACGTTCTACTATGGATAAGGTCTGGGATGTGGGCTAATCTAATTTGTCTCAGCAACTACGTCGATACCTCTTCTTAGGCTTTACACTTCGTTGCTTTTGTTTTCTCTTTCTGCGTGCTTATACCTGCTCTACGCTTTTTTTCTCTCTTCAGGTCGTAGGCTACACCTACTTGATTCCCATCCCTTCATGAACATACGGGGCTTGATTGGTTGGCTTGAATATACCGGGGCGTTGGATCCGTGTCATCGTCGTCTTCATTCTGGAACCCGTATTCGCTTCACCCTTTTGAGCGCTGGAGTCTTTCTCGTTCTTATTCTCATGTCTGGCAAGGTTCTTGGTCATTTGGAATTTAGTCTTTCAAGCGTGTGGCTTTTACGCGCAGTGGCGCACTCTCTACAGCACGTTCCTAGAGGTCTCGTTTCACACCCACACCCGTCATATTTGAGTGGGAAATAACCTTTTCTTGACTTCCACTTGCACGTTCAGCCCTAAGCCAGCTAGCTGGAGACTTTTTTTTTCAGCTCAAGCGCGTACGAATCTATTTCACTTTATTTTACCCTTCGCCGCGATTTGCGCTCGGGATGTCGTTTACGCCAATACTTGCACAACCGCTGCCTACATCTTTTCCGCTGCCCGTAGTCAAGTGACACTGCAGGTATATACTCCCCAGGCGATTAGGAGCAGAACAGCAAGACAGCCCCTGAGAGTCGCGGGACCCTTGTCTAAAAGCAAGGGCACTGACTCGAAGGAAATAGGTTGTATGAACAGTTTTCCTTATCAATCTGGCCCCCTCAAAAACCCCCGAGATCGTCCTGTCATCGTCGATCCATGACAACGGGGCTGATTGCGAGGCTTACAATGTCAGAAATAGACAAGGTTCTCAGCCTCGACCTGCATACTGCCCGAGCCACGGATGAAGAAGCCAACAAAAGTTATTCACACCTCTACCTGCCCTTCGCATGATCGTACTTGTATACTTCAAGTCCGACGAGGTTGAAATCTCAACCGAGGTGGACCACTCGCCTGCTGTCGATCATCTGTGGCTGGAACAATGAACTGAGACTGAGATGCCACGAACAGAGAGTTTAGTCAAAGACCGAGAGAGAACAAGAACACTATGAATTCATCAATGATGCAAATTCGGAGTAATAATGTTAGAACGAAAGTTCCGAGAAGGCCCTTTCGAAAGAGGGTCGCGTGTAGATCACCGGATTTCCTCCAACCAGACACGGCCAGACAAAAAGAAAACAGGGTCGTGATCGGCCATATGGAGAGAGACCCGTGGAGTGACTGGAGTCGAGCTGATGGCCTAGGCGTTCGAACTTCTGACCGTATTGTGCCGTAGCCAGAAGAGCCCAAAGTGGAGCCTCAGCAATCCAGTGCCTCGTGCGAATAGTTGAGAAGGCGTTTAATCATGCGCGTGGTTCCATGAATGTTGTTAGCTTCAGCCAGGTGTAGTTTTGTAGGTGTAGGGAAGTTCAAATGATGACTTGGTGGATTGTCAGGTGCTGCGACCGAATGGAAGAAGAGACTAAGAGACTAAGACTCTCGGTCTCTCCGCCCGCCGATTCCCCCCAAACTCATCCTAACCTCAATAGTCCCCTCCTCCCCCATCTGAAACTAACAACACTTTTTGCATACTCGGTCTTTTTTCTTGCTTGTCGCCTGGCTCTGCTCAGTTCCTGCTTTGAATTCTGGCCTTTTCTTCTTTCTCACTGTCCCACAAATGACAGCTCGAGCACGGTAGCTACCGGATAGCCCGCCCCCGACTCTTTCTTTCCGTGTCCCCCGCTTCGATGATCGTTCATCTTCTTCCCCAGGTGGTACATTGATTCCCCCTCCTCCCCTCCCTCCAGGCTGTGCCCGCCCTTCGGTCTTCAGGGTTATTTCGGGCTCTTTTGGTTCCTGTATAGCTGGTTCCCATGCAGGTGCGTCTCTTCAAATCAATTTTCCTCTCCCTTGCTGGCTTCGTTGGGCCCGAGATTCTGGAAGCGCCGTACAATTTCCTGCCTTGGCTCGCCCCCTCGAGAACGAGGGGTGACCTGTATGGCGCTCCAGTGCCATAACATTGAGTTCATTGGCGCAGTCAAGACCTGCAAAGCACGCGAGTTGTCCCCTACTAACAAATTTCTTATCGGTTAGGCTTCCACGAGCGCCCCTGAGGCTGGCGGAGGACACACGACGCGGAGAGGCCATGCAACACATCTTTCGATTAGCGACCCTAGCCACCATGTGACCGAAGCCATCGGGCATATGTACGACGACGATTATGATCACCGCCGGCTCAGCTATATAACGTCCCCCCTCGGCGAGGCAATCACAACTATCCCGCGACACGCCGCCGCTTCCGAGTCTTCGCTCTCCCCCTCGACGCCTCCACTGCGATCGCCAACTGAAGGACAACCGAAGCAGAGCAATGGACATTTACGGTCACCCCTCGTGGGCCAAAGGTCTTTTGACCGGGACAGCGAACCTGGGTCCCCGGACTCGACGCGATCGCCCTCTGAAACCGCCACATCTTCTTTTCCTCTGAACGATATTGACTACGAGTCCAACCCCGCTGCGGTAGTCCAGGAGCTGAATAATTTGGCTGCGATTCGGCGCATGTCTATGGATGTCGCGGCTGCAGGCGATCCTGATCTCCCCTCATTTGGCAGCAACTTTTCGATTCCGTCTCTACCGCCCTCCCCCTCGGCTGATGAAAACGACGCGTCACGGTTATTCTGGGTCCCGGCGAGCTTGCACCCGGAGCTGGCACCGAAGGAGTTCAAGTCATTCCTTGAGAGTAAGGCCGATGTGATCAAACGTAAATCGGGCGACTTTGCATCGTCTTTGTCACCCGAGCGCCAGGGATCGGGGAGCGGGCTCCGCCGAAAGCGATCGATGCTGTCGAAGCAGATTGATGATTCCTCCGGTTATAAAGATGGCGCTGAGCGGTTGGAGCGTCAGCGTTCGCAAACGAATCGACGGGATGGGATGTTGAGTCCAAACTTGCAGGAGCTGGAGTCTCTGGTGGACGATACGAAGCTGGACAGCAAGGATTTATTGGTGCGAGGGATGCAGAACGCGAGCATTGCGGCCAGCGAGGATAAACCGATTCTACCTCCAGCACCGCCAGGCCACAGCCTACGACGATCGACCCGGACGCAATATAAGAAGGGAAGCTTGAAAAAGGGCGAGAAGGTGCCATATTCAAAAAGGGTTGGGAGGGCCCTTTCAGAGTCTACCCATACGGGGCCACCCGCGATCAGTTCCCCTTCAGAGGATCAGCCGATCCTTGGATCAATTCGTGTCTCCCCAGATCCGGCTTCCAGCACAGTAGGGCGAGCAGTTCGGTCTCCATCTACCTCGTCCCATGGTACAGCCTACACGCAAGGCTCTGCGACTGGCTCGACCTTCGACTCGATTCTTGATAATCCCGAGGGTGAGCATCAGGAGCAATTCTCATCTCATTATCAGTCTGATGCATCCTTTGATCGATCGGATTCAATCGGAAGCAATGCAAGCTCTCAACCACGACAGTGGCATTCTCGCATCAGCTCCAACGGCCGCTCAACCCTGGTTACTCCCCCAACCGAACAAAAAGTTCCATCCATTATCGAAACCCCTCCACCTGACAACAACCGTACACCACCAAGCTCAAGCTCTCAGCCCGCTCGATCGCCGGATCGAGATGTGCACTCCCCATACTCTGGCAAGACATCTCCAGTACACGATTTCGCGCCTAGCCAGCGGTCCCCGATGGGTCGCCCACCTGGGAAAGAACCGACGTCCACTCTCGATGAATTTGCCAACCAGCCGCAGATGATACCAGGTAACAGTATGCGGACCGACAGCCTTTCATTCATTCCAACCCTTCCGGAAGAGCGGAAACCAGAGGAACGCAAGTCCGAAGGGAAGAAGTCGAAGAAGGATTCTGACGGTCGCAAGTCCAGCTGGCACTGGCTACTGGGTAGTGAAGAGAAGGATAAGAAAAAGGAGAAGGAGAGCGATTCGAAGAGGAATAAATTAAAGCATGCCGAGAAATCACATAGCAATGCGCGAATGGACGTCTTGCAATCGTCCATGGACAACACGCCAAAGGGCCGGGAAAGCCTCATACTGGACCGCCTGGATCCGAAATTGGAGGAAGAACGGCGTAAAGACGGTGCGCGGCGAGCTTCTGGCGAGTCCAAGAAAGAAAAGGATGGTATTTTCTCATCCATCTTCGGTGGTGGACGCAAGAAGCACAGTGGAGAGGGCCATCACCGGAAGAATTCATCGCGGAATCTCTCTCCTGACCCTCCCATGCGGGAGTTGCGGGCTGATGTCGATTATCCCTGGACTCGATTTTCCATATTGGAAGAGCGAGCCATCTATCGCATGGCCCATATCAAGCTCGCCAATCCTCGACGGGCTCTTTACTCCCAAGTATTGCTGAGTAACTTTATGTACTCATACCTGGAAAAAGTGCAGCAGATGCACCCCCAGATGGTTTCTTCTTCTGGCTCACAGAGGTCGTCCAAGTCTCGTGACCAACCAGATGAGTACCTGCAATATCAGCGATACCAAGAAGTAAGTGGAGCGTCGGCCTTTCCAGATGAGGAGTTAGATGACTAACAGTGCTTGGCAGGCCCAAGAACAACAACAGTATGGGGACAGTGCATACGATGAATCCATGTACGACTACGACGACGATCCGCACGATCGTTACCAGGGCCAAGGAAGGGGTGGTCAGCATGGCTATGAAAATGGCCACGCCTACAACTCGGGCCACTACGGGCAGTATGGACACTCGTCCTTTGGCGACGACGTCCAGCTCGATGACGACGATGACGACGATATGTGGTGATCCAGGAGCTGACGGTCACTCGTTTTTCCTTATCCAAGTTGTTTTGCGTGTCTTACTGCATTTCTCGGTTTCTTTTTTTCTGCCCTGCACGGAAATACCCTCGCCTTGATTTGTTCTGGTCGTCCATAGGACCTGTACACAAACCCTGCCTTCTGCTACTATCCATTCACATACCCCCCTTTCTAACCCCTCTATCGTGCTGTCTCACGATTCATGTCCCCGCTGAACGGTGCCATGCGCCCATTTCAGCGGTGCTTTCATATCATTACACATCTACTTCGATCGGTAATATTCCAGAAGCCTCGGAGCCTAGGGTGATACCATACCCCCGTACTTTCATCCTTTCCCATCCATCCATTCTACTTCACATTCCATCGGGCTTTGATCAGTCCCTGTGCTCCATCCAGCCGTTGTGGCCCCGGCCTGTGCATTGCCATATAGTTTGTTCACACACACATGGTCTCATTTCTCTTTTCGCATAGCGTCTGGGGTTTGTTTTGGACTCTCCGTTTCTCTTTTTTTTCTTCTTTTTCGTCTTGTGTTTTGTTTTTGAACTTTTTCGGTTCTAACTTGAGTCCATACCATACCATACCATCAGGACCATTTTTTGTATTCTCCTTTTTGAAACCCTTTTGAACTAAATTATTACTTTTCTTCATATGGATTGTGAGGATTTTTTTGTTGTTTGGGTTATTATAGTGATTGGAGTGAACACGTGAGATGAAGGTCATGGATATCATTTGAAAATCTTATGATGTTGTCATCCTTGCTTCGATCTTCTAACCAGGAAACTGCATTTCCCCTTGGAAGTTAGGGTTCTATCTATGCCTAACAGCCTAAACGAGTAGTCAACGAATCCGTAATAGATCCTTTCATCCCAGCGCATTAAAAAGGTGACTCCAGCCTGGAAATCCAATCTCTATGTGTATATCTGACCCAAATATCTACAATCAACCAGCCCTGAAGCTATCAACAATCCAAATAATCCGAATAATCCTCATTCTCCTTCAACCCCAAAGGATCTCCCAAACACAAATGCTCCGCCGTCCACCTCAAATCCTGCTCCCACCTCCTAACCTCCCAATTATTAAAATCCCTCTGATAATCCCCCAACCACCTCCAAACCCTACCCCTCTGCTGGACATCCCTACTAGCCGCCCAAGCTGTCGTTAGGCAAATGATCAAATACCCCGATCCGACGGGCCTCAAATCCTCTGATATCTCAGCTAACATCAAAATCTCCTCGGTGAAAGTGTACGCGTCAGCTTCGACGGATTCACGATGTGTGCCTAGTGCTTGCAGCATGCAGTTGAAGAAAAGTGTTATCACGAGGCCGATGCCGTAGATTCGATCGTAGTGCACGCTTAGGAGGCGTTCTAGACAGGTGCGGCGTGTTCCGGGGGGTAAGGTCGAGGCGAGGGAGAGGTCTTTGTGGAGACTTCCTTGTTTAAGTTTGTCGAGGTCTAGTTTGCAGGCGAGGTAGAGGGTCCAGAGTTCGGAGCGGACGTTTGTAGGGTCGGTTGTGGTTCGGAGGAGGTGTTTTGCGCGGCGCATTAGGCCGGGGGCTCGGGAGAGGGTTTGTAAGAGGCGGCCTTCTGGGTTTGCGCGGTCGTAGTCGTTTACGATTAGGGAATCCCATTCTTCTTCGGTTAGTTGGATGCGGTGGTTGAAGAGGCCTTCGAAGAGCTGTGATGTCATTAGTATAGATTCCAGGGTAAGTATAGAGTCTGAATAGACAGTCCCAGGGAGAAGGGAATATGGACTGGTACTTACAACACTCCCGCGTAGGGACATGTAAATCTTTGCTTCGAACTCATTGCGGGGTCCAAAGTTCTTCCGAGCTTTAAGAATCTGTGTGGCACCTTCACAATGGCCAGACCATTGTTGGGTGGTTGTCTGCCCCAGAATCGTCTGACAGATAAGCAGGATCATTACCGCGGCTAGTGTATTGGTCTCCTGTGCATGAACAGGATCATCGAGATAAACCCGTAACGTGCGCAGTGCAGCCGAGTACTTAGTCAACGCCTGCACCGATCCAGGCTGGCGGTTACAAAAGTCCGTATGCGCACTAGTAACCGCATCGACGGCGCGGTCCAGTGCATCATTAGTGCCTAATCGGCGGGGAACGTCTTCGAGAAATATGCCAAAGCTCCACCCGAGATTGTACCGGATATCAGTGGAGCGTTTAATAGCTTGAGTGAAGGATTCTGCCAATCGGGTTGTGTTGTTGCTTGGTTTGGCGTGGATGAATAGGAATTGGTTGCCGTTGGGAGAGCAGGGTGTGCCATTGGATGAGGAGATATTAGATTTACTGGTCGTAGATAAAGTGATGCTGTTATGTTCTCGTCGAACTGCCTTGGTGAAGCGCTTTTCTTCTTGGAATTTAAAGCGTTGTTGGCCGGAGCCTACGCATGGTATCCTCAAGCGGAGACATCGTCCGCAGGTTGGCTGTTTCTCGTCGCACTATTCCCCGTGGATCAATTTCTCAGAGCTCTAGTCTTCAAGGGATCGCATGGACATACCTTTTTCTTCTGCTTGCGGCATGCTTCGCAAGCCTTGCCTGATGGAACACCAGGCATGTTCTATCTCGCTAGTGGGCCCAGAGGCCCTGAGAGCACGTAGCGTGGGGTAACAGCGGAACCGACGTCCCTAGTTGCCGGCGTAACGTGCAGGCCTTGAGAGATTTTCAGGAACGAGATTTGGAAGTTATGAGGCAATGTGACCCGGGTATGTCCATTTTGAGTCCGACGGAACGCTCAAATCTCCGATGCTGGGGTTATTTGGACATGCCAGGGCTGAAGGCACAGCCATGGCCGTCATCGTCGCTGATGGCTCGGCGTTGAGTCTAACCGAATTAGGCTGTATGTGCCGCTGCGACAGGGCGAGTATGTGGATGCTGATTGGTTGATGCTCATGTATGTGGGCACATCTGCTTGGGGGCCAATTCAGCCTTCCCGTGGCGAGTTCAACAGAGTTCTGGAAGCTATGGGGATCAAAGGTTGGAGAGTTTTGAGTTTAATGGGTCTATGAGGCTTGGTTTGCAGATTCCTGAGGCGCAGAGTGGGTGATCGTTTCTTCTCTGGGATCTATGTAGCGCTACACTTTAAAATAGCTTACTTCATTATGTTGCGGACACGAAGATGAATAGTATTTAAAGTAGGAAGATTCCATTCTGATCCATAAAGTAATATCCACACAGTTTCCAAAATGAGTTCAGACGACAAAGTTGTCAGCTACTACAAATACGAACCCAGCCATGTGCTGCCTGCGGTCTTTGCAGGCGTCGTATTTCTCAGCTTGGTGGCACATATCTGGCAAAACTTGTAAGCTTCAAAAAGCCATGGAATCCTCATTGAACTGTAAACTGACTTCTCAAAAGCCGCTACCGCTTCTGGAGAGTGACGTTCTGGGCATTCTGGGGCGGTTTACTCTTTACAGTAGGCTGGATCCTGCGATGCATCAGCAGCTATCACCCAGGGAATATGAATCTCTACATCGCACAAGCCGTGTTTATTTATCTTGCGCCTCCCGTTTACTCTGCTGCCGCATATAACATCGTCGGTCGACTGATGAACTACCTTCCCATGCACGCCGTGTTCCACCCCGACCGCGTACTGATCGTTTTCGTGTACGCCGGTGCTGCAGTCGAAGGTATCACCGTGGCAGGCGCAGCCAAATATGCAGCAGCCGGTGATGATGCAGCGCAGTACAAGAGTGGTGGTGTCCTCATTGCCGTCGGCCTGATCCTGCAAGCCGCCGTTGAATGCCTGGTAATCGCCGTCGTCGCAATGATACATACACGAGCAGCCAAAGCCGGAACACTCCCTCGCAACGTGAAAACTCTCTGCATGTCACTATACGGCACATCCACCTTTGTCCTGCTTCGCTGCATCTTCCGTGCTGTGGAGTCATTTGAGATGTTCGGCAACATCGGCTGCGAGGAGAACTGTGGCCCCATTCTCAGCAACGAGTGGTATCTGTTTGCCTTTGAACTGGGTCCGATGCTGATCTTCACTTTTTGGCTGAATCTGCTCCATCCCGGTCGCTTTTTGCCGCGGAATAAGAAGCGCTATCTGGGCACCGATGGCCGCACTGAGCGTATGGGACCTGGGTGGAGCGATCGCCGGGATCCATGGGAGACGTTCCTTGACCCTCTTGACTTCCAGGGTAAGATCAAGGGACAGGTTTCTCATGATCAGTACTGGTTGAGACCCGACGAGTGGTCCATCTGTGAGGACGGTAGCTTTGCCGAGGGAACTGCATCGAATGTGAGGTCAACGCAGACGAGAAGGGAGAAGGTGCTCCGGCCCGGTGAAGTTTAGTCTTTAGACGATTTTGAGATCTTTTCTTTTATTCGTAGTGACGGTGGTCGTGATGGTGCTCTCGGTTTCTTTTTTCTTTGATGATTGTGCAGTATCGTTCGCTTCTCGAATTGAGAGGTTATGTTTTTATCTATAGATCAGGTGCACAATATCCTAGACGGTTTTAGCTTGGATAAATATCAGTCTTTTTTGGCATTTCTTTGTATTGACTGACCTTGTTTGTTGCGATGGGACAGGCGGCGATAAAGTCCAGATCCTCGGAGATAGTCGAACTGCGGCACCACCTCAACCGAGGGTGTGGTGGCCTCAGTGGGACTATTGTGGGATCTTGTGGGACAAACCGATCCGGTGCAAGCCGCCACGCGATACTGTATGTTTATTAATCCAAGTTTGGATATTCTCCGTCGTTTAGGGCTGCTTTATTCTTCCTAGGTCGTCGGAAAGACTGTCAACAGCAGTAGTTTATAGAGTTTGGGCGGAGACCGTAGTGTATGCTATTGATTGATGATAGGAATGACTATTGAACATAAACCTTCGCTTAGTTGTTCCAGTTACTGCAAGTCATGCATGTACTAGAAAATGTGGCTCCGGAGAAGCTGACGACGAATTGTCCTGTTTCATCGGGATTCATTTCACTGCGCGGCTGTAGAGCTTCAGTACCAAACTCTGACCATGTTTCAGAAGACTTGACAAATGGGTCCATTCAACGTTTCAATCCAATAACATGAGGATCTTACAATGTCCATTATTCACGAGTCATGCAAATTCTGTCGTTCGTGAGTTCGACCGGCTGGAGCCGCAACTTGTGGGACGGGACATCTAGTGGAGCTCTAGATCTTGGGTCGACTCGAGCCCATAATGCCGCGCGGACCCCTCGGCAAATACACCCCCTGAAACCACGATCCCTCTTCTACCGAAAGCTTCCAAGGTGGAGAGAAGAAAGGTACTCTGATTGGACCATGAACGCGGTGTTTGTCCGTGTTCTCAGCCCCAAGATTCTAGTATGTAATCTTTCCCTTGGTGGAATCTCACCACATGTTAGCGCACGGATTTGACATCGGATTTGGTTAGCCGTTTGACCATGCGTTCAGATTATCGTGTTTATTAGACTAGTCGATCAGGAACTGGGCTCCAGCTCAAGATCTGAAACCCCACTTAGCAGATGACTGCCATCCCTCGCTTGGACCTTGGCTGACCGGAATTTCCTGTATGGCCCGGGGTATCTCTTAGGCCGAGGAACGAGGAACTTCTCCTCCAATGACTTTTCCTTTTCCTTTGTTTCTTTTCGTTATTGCTCTCAATCAACACCCCTTGGCTAGGGGAAGCGCAGTATCATGCGCTGGACAGTCTGACCTTGATTAGCGACCTCCAAGTGCTCACTCAGAGGATCGAGACAAAAGTCGCTTCAAGATGGGTTACCCTATGCCCCTCGTGGACCGAAGTCTGGCCATCTTCGTCGTGTCCGTTGTGATGATGATTATATCCATCGTGACCGTTTCACTAAGGGCATTCGTCCGATTGTACCTTGTCCGAGGATTTGGATGGGATGATGCTCTTATGATCGCATCTCTGGTATGTAATTGAGTCCGAAATTGTCCGAAAAATATGATCTAAACGATTTCCAGGGCCTTTTCGTAACTCTGGCTGCATGTTGCATGATTGGCTCTACAAATGGCATTGGTCACGCTTACACGGACTTTACTAGTCTTGACGTCTATAAGAGAGCGTTGCTGGTAAATTTAAACTCATGCACCACTGTTGGGTCTTGGCTAATCACAATCATGCTTTCATAGTGGTGGTGGCTCGGTCAAATGCTGTACATCTGGGCATCAGCCGTCGCCAAGATCTCGATTGCCCTCGCCCTATTGCGACTGACCGTCAAGAAAGCCCACCGCATCATTCTCTGGGTTAATATCGGCGTCATCATTGCTATTGGTCTGATGTTTTGGTTCGTCCTACTCCTTGACTGCCAACCTGTCTCATACTTTTGGAACCGAGTGGACCCGAGATATTCCGGAACCTGTCTATCAGTCGATATACTTCTCGACATTGCGTATCTTTACAGCGCTTTGACTATTATCTGCGACTTGACACTTGGAATTTTGCCTGTGTTCTTGGTCTGGACATTGCAGATGAATCGCAGGACCAAGATTGCGGTCGGAGGGATTCTAAGTCTAGGTGCAATGTATGTAACAGTCTTTCCGCCTCTGTGGATAATACGTCTAACTTCGACCAGTGCCAGTGTTGCCGTGATTATTCGACTTCCCTTCCTACAATATTACGCGGATACGGATTTCCTACGTGAGTCACTCTGCATCCATCCTTGACACCAAAGATCAACCAGACTGGCATATAAGAGAACATGCTAATCAACCCCAGGGAACACATATCAAATCGCCATCTGGTCAGTGATTGAAACAGGTCTCGGGATCACGGCAGGAAGTCTGATCACCCTTCGCCCACTCTTCCGCTGGCTTCTCGATGGAAGCGTGTCGTACGGACGGAATGTGGCAAGCCCGGGAAAGTACCCACTCTCCAGTCTGAGGAGCGACAATCTGAAAGGCTCTAATGACCCCAGCTACTGGAGGCCTGATCTGAACATCAATGACGACAACGCTATCATGAACACAGTATCATCGCCACGATTGAATTCCTATCGATATACTAATAGTAGCCAGGAGGCTTTATATCCAGAGCTGACACCCGTCCTCTCGGAAAGTGGTGTCACTGTTCAGAAAACATTTGAACAGACTGTCTCGGAGCGGGGAGGGTAGCTTGGTTGTTGTTGTTTGGAACATTCGACTTGGAAGTTTGTCTGTATATAAATTTTGAGAAAAAGTGTGTCAAAACTTGCGCATCACTGCCATATCTTCTTTTCTCCTTTGACACTTTGTCAGCTACCTTCATGTCGTGCATTGCGCCGTGTGGCATTGATAAGGATGAAATCCTTGGCCCCCGATGGGCTGAACTAGATATCTGACGTCTATTTTAAAGAATCCGCCCTAGTCACTCAGCTGTGCACAGCCAACCGCAGTCAGCCTGACTTCACTTACATGGCTGAGATTCAATGTCCGACCGCGATGAACCCGTCATCCTTTTGACTTTTCCGATTTGCCGATCTTGTTTGTGACGAGCGCGTGGGCCTCGCAAAAGTGGACCCTGTACTACCACACCATGCATCGACGGGAAACTATGAAGAAGTTCCCACGCGAAGCAGCACCAATAGCAGAGTCGGTGTTTCCCTTCCCAAGAACGGCCCCCAGCAATTGGCTATTTTGTTTCTATACTCAGCTGATGCCAAGGTAAGCGCCCCCATCGTATTATGTGAGCCCAAACAATCAGACAAATGGCGGGGAAGCCGAATGATCCCAAAAGGGCTAAGCGTCCCAACGCGCCTTGATTGTGGATAAGGCGTTCGTCCCCAGCCGCTAAATAGGGGCAAGTGTCATGTAGCTTCATGCAGACACGGACTGTAGAAGTGATGGGTCAAGGCTATGGAGCCAGCCCAAGCTGTCAGGAGGAGCTGAAAAGGGTTTTGGGCATGGGAGGGCATAAATAAAACCCTCTGCACCCCAAGTGGAGTGGAAGTTTGACCTCTGAAGATCCCACAATCTTTCAAAAAGTACTGTCGCGACTTTTTCTTGACCCTTCGCGAAAATGGGCGCCTTGGATATCTGTGAGCTGCTCGGCGACGAGCCCCTTCGACAACGGGAGGATACCAAGCTCACTCCTGTGCGAAAACGAATCATCATATGCTGTGATGGCACATGGCAGTCTGCAGTTTCGGGAAAGAAGAACGTTCCCTCGAATGTCACCCGCCTGTGTCGCTCATTGAATCCCGTCGGAACCGACAAAGATGGTAACCAGTGGCAGCAAGTTGTCTGGTACGACTCCGGAGTTGGCACCACTGCGCTGGCGCTAGGTGATGCCATTGAGGGTGCGACCGGCCAGGGCATGGAAACCAACGTCATTGAAGCCTATAACTTCGCCGTCCTCAATTATAACCCGGGCGACAAAATCATGTGCTTTGGTTTCTCGAGAGGAGCATACACCGCTAGAACCATTGCCGGGCTCATCTCCGATATTGGAATCTGTCAAAAGAGCGATCTCAACAAGTTTCCGGATCTTTGGGCGATCTATAAGAAGCTCGAGCCGGGGAAGCGTTTCCACCGCAGTGAGCTTTGGTTTGACTGGATGTGGGGCAAGGCCGATGAAAAGCAAGGCGCGGGCGATAAGAATCACCGCGAATTTATGTACGAAAAGGCTCCCCAAGGAGACTGGGCACAGGAAGGGTCTCGAGATGTGGAGGTGGTCGGTGTATATGATACCGTCGGGGCATTGGGAATGCCAGAAGTGCTAGGGATTAAGCTCCCATCGAGTGAAGGATGGCACAATGTTGGCCTGTCACCCAGTAAGTCCCTGACCATTGTCGCTTTCAGTATGCAAAGCTAACATCGAACCTGCCAAGACATCCAAAACGCTTTCCAATGTTTAGCCCTAGACGAGAGGAGAAAGGCATTCTCCCCAACTCTTTGGTATCTTAATAAAAAGACAGCAACAAAAGAAGAGGTGGAGGCTCATATGGAAGATGAAAAACAAGCTGAGAGGCACTACTGGGATGTCTTGCAACGTGCCAAGGAGCTGAAAGCTGGAGGTAAAGCCACCGACGACGCAGTGAACGCCGCGGCCAGAAGTGTTAATCGGGCTGCAAGAGCCTGGAATAAGGCAGCCCGGAAGCGAGTGAGATACCAGAACCGATACGAGCAGCACCCGGTCTTAAGACAAGTGTGGATCCCAGGTTTCCACGTCAACATTGGGGGTGGAGCAAGCGATACTCTCAAGGACGAAGGTGACATGGAAAATATGTCAAACATCGCCTTCGCTTGGATGCTTGATCAAATCAAGGGCCATGTCTCTGTCAATGAACAGGTATTCACCGAGGAACAGACTGACCGTGAACGGCATATCGAGGAGCTTAATCTAAAGCTCATCAAGGCAGACACCATGCCCAAGTCGACAATATCCAAGTCTTGGCCAACATGGGCTTCATCAATTGCCAGAACCACTGTGTCATTAGCCAAACTTCCTTTCAAGAAAATCCAAGAGGCGACTGCAGAGAAAGCCCGAGAGATTGGCTGGGGAACAGGTATCTTGTCGGACCCTTACACCATAGCATATTGGCTCAACGGGCAGAGGAGACGTACCCCAGGCGAATATGCCAAACAAAATGGGGAGTCTATGGGCGAGACCTGCGAATACATCCACCCTGTTGTGAATTTCCGTGTCAATTGGTTCAAGGAGATGCACGAAAAGGACTCGTCACATCCGATCTACACACCGATCCACCCAAAACTCAAGTATGAGCGTCGAAAGAAGGTGGATAGGGATGGCAAGCCATTCTTTGAATACGAAATTGGCGGCTGTCTCACGCCTTTGCCTGAATGGAAATTGGGAGGCTTGGATTCTTACGAGAGGCTAGCCATTGCGGGCAAGGCGGCGTATGACTATGTGGACAAGCTGGATGAGGAGTTGGAAACTGGCATTCGGACAGTCCGCCGCTCAGCAATATCTCCCAAGAAGCCCCCTGCGGAATCTGCTTTGGCTACTGTTTCAGACTTTGATCTGAAAATCCCAGCTGAAGATGCTCCCACTCCTTCAGTAGTTGGATCCACGGCGGATGAGACTGTCACTGGAACATATTGTCGGGACACAGAGGTCAAGCTCTGATTGAGACATCGGTTGTGGAGGACCATGTTTGTTATCAAAGCGTTGTTAGTCGAAAGTTTTTTCAAGCGTCATGGTTGTGTATCATAAATTGTTTTTGATTTTTACAATATTGCATGCATCAGCCTATGATTGCACGGTGCCTATCTCTAATTTGTCGGTTTGCTCTGGTTCCTCGCGGGGTGGGTAGTGGCCGATCGGTGTTCTCAACTGTGACTATCAAATTTGAGTGTTCAAATTTGACAAAACTTCAGGACGGATTTTCTACCAATATATCAAGAGACAAAATGAGCAATAATAGAGTAATTATTGAAGGAAAACATGCCAGGATACAGGGAGTGGTGGTCGCATCCGCTCCGTTTCGCCCTTCCCGGCATTGCCGACCCACTTCCGTCCCCGCACGTTTTTTCAATCCCATCCTGCCCTATGGACGTCAATTCGCGATAATTATCAGGGTCATCGTGACTAAGGCCCTCTGAAACGAGTCGGTGTACCCTACCGATTGACAGCCTGCAAAAGAATCACCTTGTCCAGCCAGGCTGGGCACGTGACTATAATGGCACCAGCAGAAGGAGAGCGGCCGGCGAAACGGGCAAGACAAGCTTGTGAAGGCTGTCGGTGAGTACGAGGATTGACTATTTCGCGACTGTAAGCTCATAGTTGTTCAGGCGAAAGAAAACAAGATGCCCTGGCGAGAAGCCCGTTTGTTCATTCTGCACCAGGCTCGGACAGACTTGCGTGTATGCAGGAGCCGAAGTCGTGGAAGAGGCGTCCTATCTGAGGAATATGGTAGGAAACTTCCCAGTATGTTTTGGGTGTATCGCAAGCCTGACCTATTCCTGAAGGACGACCGTGTCTCCCGAATTGAGGGTAAATTGGAGCAGCTTATTGATTACATCGCGTAAGTTTGGCGTCACTCTGCTTCAAGTCTTCACCCCTATCCGAAGCCTAATGACCCAGCCGGCAACCCAGTCAAGATAGAAATCCTACTTCAGTGGTCAGCCATGATTCAGAACCATATACCGCTGGGGGCTCGGAACTACCTTCTAGGGGCCATGCCCTCGCGTATGTTTCCTTTCGGTCCACCTTCCAAGCAGTATCTCTAACAATCATTACAGCGGACAACCATCAGAGCCCTCAGATGCCGAGTTATTTCTCACGTTCTGCAACTCCCAGCCACTTCCCTTATTTTCCCAGAGCGTTCCACCTGCCTCCCTCAGAAATAGAGACCCGGAACTTTTACTTGCCATGGACGCCCATTGTATTCGGTTTCGTGGACTGGGGATCAAAGACAAGGAGCTTGAACTTGAAATCAAAGCCAAGACTGAGCGCGCCTGTCAGCTTGTCATGGGGCGCCTGGCTGATGGAAATGTAGAGCTATCTACGATTCAAGCGCTCTGTCTTCTGAGCCTGCTTGAATTCACAGGTGAGATTACAAGGCCCCTAATGGACTCTCTGGCTAACCATCGAGAATTAGTTGGACACCTCGTCCGGGCTGGATTCTATACCAGAATGGCGAGTTACCTCATCCGGAATGTCCGAACTGGTGACCGTGAAACTCTGATGGACAAGCTAGACACAGAGAGAGACGAGAAGAGACTGTGTTACGCAAGTGTCATGATGCTACAGAATCTTCAAGGTACCTCACAGTCATGGTGTCTCAGGGAGGGCAACGACCGACAAGGCGAATCCAGTCTTGCGACTCCATACTTCGAGAACTTAGTATCGCAAAGGTACTCTCGCAGAGAAGGCAGTGACTCACAACTCGACATTGGTATCATTTCAGCAAACATGTGCACTAGCGAGTTGTGGTCTTTGGCATGCAAGTATGCCATCAATAATGGGACAATCGACACAAAACCACCGTGGCATCCCCAATCAGACTACACTATGATTTCTTACTGGCATACTGAACACGAGAGCTGCATGCCTTTGCGATTTCGCCTCCACGCAAGTCGATTCTCGGAACATCCTCCTGAGGATCTGCAAACAAATCGTGACTATTGGGGCCCTTGGCTGTTCTTTCAGATCGTATGGCATGCCGTTCCTTGTTTACTAAATCACCCTTTTCTCCTCTCCGTACGCCTGCGCAATTTCCGGCGAACGATGCCGCAATCTTTCCTGCGAAACTCCTTTGAGCAGCTCACCTTGCACTCCGGCTGGATCATACACTTCCTTGAGCTTATCGAGTCGAAGAACTTTGAAGTTTCGGATCCCACCCTTGGTCACTGTGTGGCTATCGTCGGGACTATTTATCTCCAACATAGCTTTGTTGAGGACCAAAACTTTAGTACAAAGGCGCAAACAGGATTTGACAAATGCCTTCGGTTCCTGCACAGGCTAGGTCATCGATGGCCTCACGTGGACCAACAGGTAAGACCATCTCAAAAGGAGATTCTTATGCATTAGCCATAAAATCGGTATTGACACTTCCTAGGCTCGACAATTGGAACAGCTACGTGATAGCATATCATCCGGGGGCGTGATTACGGGGACGGGAGCCACCCCAAACTCTCGCCAGAAGTGGTCTGTCAATCTACAACTTCTATGGAAAGTTCTGGTATACTCCCATGCAAGCAAAGCACCAAATCCGGCTGGTGATATCTTCGGGCCTGAGCTGGCGAAGGACAGCATTGCATATTCAGGAATCTCGTCCACTAATGACATTGCCGAACCTGATTTTGCTTTGATTGGGTCAGCTGGAATTTCGGGCCATAAAACTGTGGTACCAGAATGCGTGACATATCCGCCCGAGCAAACTGAGCATTCGACCCAATTGCAACAAGAACTCGGGCAGATATCACCATCTGTGCCTATCGCACATCTCGCCGAAGATCCATCTTTAAACTTTGTCGGTGAGGAGACATTGTTTTTACAGATGCAAGACTATGGAAAGGCTTTTGAGGACTGGCTTAGTCTCAATCCAGCTTGAATCTTTATTTACGCTGGTTGTGTGATGTGCTGAGATCTGGAATGTCAACTCAGGACCACGGCCCGCTTCCGGGTTCTCCACGTGCCGAGAACACGGCATTGGCCGCGTTCTCCGTGTCACACCTCCACACCTCAAACCTTTTATTGAAAATGACGCCCTTGACAAGGTCTTGAGCATCTAATTGTCGTGCAAAAATGTCGCCTTCCAAGACTGACTCAATCATCATTGTTGGTGCTGGTGTGTTCGGCCTCAGCACTGCTCTGGAGCTGAAGCGCCGGGGCTATACTGATGTCACCGTTCTGGACCGGTACAACCCTCCTGCTGTGGACGGAAGCAGTGTGGATATCTCGCGTATTATCCGAATTGATTACGCGGACCCAGTCTATTGTCAAATGGCCTACGAGGCGTATCAAGGCTGGAAGAATGAGTACAAGGATCACTACTATGAATCCGGCTTTGCACTATTGTCAGAGACGCCAGAGAATGACTGGATTACGAAGTCCGCGGCGACTGTGCGAGCCAATGGCGGCACTGTTGAGGATCTAGATGATGCGGCCACCCTGGTCAAGTCATATCCAAACATTCAATCCAATCTGGCTGGAATGAGCGGATACCTGAACCGCAGGGGTGGATGGGCTGACGCAGCCGGGAGCATTCAAAAGCTGGCTTCTCGTTGCAGTGTGGAAGGTATCTCCATCATCACTGGACCTCGCGGAAGTGTGGTATCACTTCTTCGTGAGGGTTCTCGGGTCGTTGGTGTGAACCTTATGAATGGAAGCTCTCTTCATGCCTCGCAAGTCATCCTGAGCACGGGTGCATGGACAACTCGCCTCCTGGATGTTACACACGCTGCATCGTCTTCCGGGCAGCCGGTCGGCTTTATTCAGCTGACTCAAGACGAGGCACGCTCTCTGGATAACACACCCGTCATGATCAATATGACCACTGGTGTCTTCGTGTTCCCTCCGACACCTGGCAGCAATATCTTGAAGCTTGCGCGCCACGGATATGGATATGCCAATGAGGTGACTGTGGAGACGGACGGTGTCAAGCGCACTATCTCGTCGCCGAAATTCGATAGCAGTAATTCAGAGACAGGATACCTGCCCGAGGATGCTGACGAGGATCTCAGGAAGGGTCTGCGTCAGTTCTTCCCCAAATTCGCGGATCGACCCTGGATGAACCGCCGTTTGTGCTGGTACACGGATACCCCTAAGGGAGATTTCATCATCGACAACCATCCGACTCTGGACGGCCTTTTCGTGGCTACCGGAGGAGCTGGACAGTAAGTTTTCTCCTTATGGATTTTCACCCTGTTCCATCTATCCCGTTTGAAGGCAGTCCCAATCTAACATTGTTTCTAGTGGATTCAAATTCCTCCCTATTCTGGGCAAATACATTGCAGACTGCTTTGAGAACAAGGCATCAGAGGAGTTACGGCAGAAGTGGAGACTCCAGCCGGCACTTCGCGATGCCTCCAGTGGTAATGGCATGAAGGGTGATGGAAGTCGGGCAGGTCCCCCGTTGAGAAATCTCACCGCCTTGGAGAAGGCCAAGCTGTAAACTCAAAAGCGACGGTTATCATTGATGTCCAAATTGGAATACTCATCTCTACCAGATTGGACAAGAAGCTATTTCTACCTGCATCTGAATCTAGAATATCATCGCAGTCATACGTGGAGATCAGTAGGATAAAATGGTAAATTCACAGTCAGTATCCTTTTCAAAATAAGTCATGCGTTCTTGCAAGTTGTCCCATGACAGACCGAATTTCGCACTGATCCAGTAGCTAGGTACGTCAAGAAATGACTCTTGTTCGCTTCGAAGCTTTCACCAATAAAGACTGGGCAAGATCACTGATCCCTAGCGAGCTTTCGGCTGCTGAAACTGAATAGGCACTTTTATCTTCTTGCAGGGGTGGAAGATTCGTGTCAATCTCAGCGACGCACTTTGCCATTAGATCACGGTGATGGAGAAGGTGGTAGAACAGTAGAGTCGTGGTGGCACTAGTAGTATGAGTTCCAGCGATACTACGGTAGTGCAATATTGGTCAGTTAGCAAGCTGGCGCATTGTTCGATGCCGGTTTTTGAACAGTGAAATAGAACGCACATAAACCCAAATGCCTCTGTCTCAAGATCAGTCTGTGTCAAATGCTCGCCCGGATCATGATGTTTTGCGTTGATGAGATTTGTCAGGATATCCTTCCGCTCAGATGTGCTGGCTTTACTATCACCAGAGTTTCTCACGACGTTCAACCGAACGTTCACGCAACGTGAGGCCAGGTCAGCGCAAGCTTTTCGTCCATCAAACAAAGCCTTTAAACCTTTATGTGGATCAAGTGGTAGCCATCTCTTCAGTCGCGCGGTCATCATCGGCCAAGCACCAGTGACTGCGGCAAGTAGGCTATGCTCAATGACGGGTGGGACACGAGACTCATCATCGGATACAAGCAATTGAGGGTTGTCATTGCCTTATATCATCCGGAGTCAAGAAAGAGACCCCCACCATTATATTCTCTATACCACATGCCACATCCACAGAACAATTCCAGTACCTAGTGTCACAGTCTCAAGACCGGGCATGGATGATGGTTCATAGTAACGCTCTTCCCCGCACGCTGTTGGGTGGGAGAAAATGTGGGGAACCATAAGTCCCCACACAAAGACATTTCGAACTCCTCGCGATGTCACTTTGGCTTCATCATTGCAGAATTTATTCTTCATTTCGGTTGGTAGATACTGTCCGGTTACAGGATTTGCATTTACATGGTCGTCATGATTTTTGGACATTGCAATTATCGTAGACTCCTTTAGTGACCACCAAAATCGACTTTAGAGGGACAGGGCTCCTACCTGTGTGGTTTCCACTCTTATCTTAATTTAAAGGGACAATATCAGACAGTCTTTTTACGATATAGTCGTTTCATATGCTCATTTAAGTGAAAAATGTTGCATATCAAGATCTAATTATTTTGCTGCCTCATAAATGCGGCAACTAGTATACCCCGCATACGTAGTCGTACATGGACGGGCTTGTCTTTAGCCGCAAATTCGGTATTGCATCTTCTCCTTCACCTCGCCAACATGCGACAACATCGCAAGGATCTGCCATGTAGAATCCCATGTGCACAATGTGAAAAGACTTTTTCCAAAGTGGAGCATTTGAACCGCCATCAATTGGCCCGTAAGTTTCTCCATATATATTTCTGCGGGTAGATGGACAAGAGGACGATTGGAAGACTTCGCACTAAGCCATTGTTATGCAGATACTGGAGAACGTCCGTACAAGTGTCCAATATGCACAAAACACTTTGCCCGAAGGTAGGCACATCGTCATTCTCACCTTCGACCAGCCATTGAATTTATTGACCAGGGATGTCCTCCTTCGTCATCGCCGGAATCATTCCTCAGAGGATGGCGGAAGGCTGCCTGTACGTTATTTCAACACTCTTCGAAGCTGCCGAAAATGTGAAATTAACCTGTAAAACAGACCAATTCAAAACCGCAAGGTCAGAAACTTGCGGGAAATCCTCAGGATGGGTCCCCCAACATTAGCATCAATAGCCCCATTGGTGATATTGGCATTCTACCAATGACAGGCGGGAGTACATATTCGGGAGATATTCAGTCGATGACTGAAGAATCTCAATTGTCAGATATCAGCGGAGTTGCAGACTCAAATACCGAGTTCTTGAGTCTGCTTTTCAATTCTCCGTTCGAAGAACAGCTCACCTCCAATGATACCCTTGACAACAGTCTCCCGCGGAACTAAGCCATCAATAGCCTCATTCATCCTGCCATGGAGGTCTTTGATGGGCCTGAAGACACGACCGGCACCAGAAACAACGATGAAACTCTGACTGAAATCAGAGATATTTGGCCGGGGAATCCACAGTCCGCCACACGGCCACAATTCTAGCAAGAGATCGCATCCAATTCCGTAGAAAACATTTTCTCCAGTCAGAGGACCGGTATTTGTACGGACTTCGCCCCAAGTCTTACGGATGAGATCGATACCGTCGACATCAGTCTCACCGTCGAGGTCAAAGATGGCCTTCGACGCCTGAAGAAGAACATACTGACATGCCCCTGTAACAACATTTTTGTTGATCAGGCAACATGTGGGCAGCGTTATCTTTGCATAAACACGACAGAGGTATTTGACCCAGGGATTTACCTTTACCTTCACAAATATCAACCGTCGTATCCAGTTCTACACCCTGGTACATTCAAGCCTGAAAATGTCTCAGAAATATTGCTATTTGTGATGTGTATGATTGGGATCTCGTTCCTTAAAACCGAAGATGCTGGCGAATTTCATTCGACAAACATACCCGGTATGCAAACTTGATGAGTTTTTTTGGAATGGATATGGAGACTGACCTCACATTAGGCGGTTTTGAATGAGGTGTTCACTCAATTCGTCTTTGTGACAACAGAATCTCGAGCGCCAGCTGAGATCATGAACCATCTCGTGCTTGCCCATCATGTGCTTTTCATATTCATTTCGACTGGGGTGAGTAAGTTAACGCCAATTGTGTATAGCTTTTAGTCTAATCATGTCTTGAGGGAAACGTTGCTCAAGAAATGTCACAAGCACTATACGTGCATGCTATGATGGTATGTGGTATTGCTGAACCCTATTTAGAGTTGGACTAACAATCTTGACAGACTGCACAACAATATGGTTTCCTCGGACCAAGAACCGACGAGAGCTATGAGCATTTTTTGCCCTCACATCTAGAAACCACCGTGCGATGGAAGGCGTGGAGCAGAGTGGAGTCAACAAAAAGGTACGCCTTTTAGCTATGGGCATGGCGTCTATGATCTAATCTTATTGCTTATGCAGTTTAATCATAGGTCTTGTTTTGCATGACTCCTGGCTGTCCGATCTATTTACCATGAACCCTGTGATACGAACGGATGCCATCAGACTCTGGCTTCCTGAAGATTATACCTTGTATCTGGCACCGACAAGCAGTAAATGGGTCGAGCTCCTAAGCGTCACATCCCATGCCACCCAGATCCTTGACTTATCAGCCCATGACTTCAAATTTTCCCAGTCTACAGGGCAAAACATGCCTTTTCCTTGTATGGGGTTCTATGCACGGCCTTGCTCCGTGTCACGGCCGATACTTACCGCTTGATTCGCAGTTCTGACTTGGCCCCTCCAGAACAACATCAATATGTACCTTGGAACATTTTGCGCCTGGATAAGAGAGGCAGTATTTCTGCTCCACTCCTCACAGAAATGATCCGGCTTTACGATGATACTTTCAAAAACTCCAACCCAAACTGTATCGTGATTTGGCATAGTGTCTGTATCTCAATGACTGCGGATATCGACATTCTTTCGCGTGCGGCTGGTCGTGATGGCGCCGAGTCCATGGTAGAAGCCCGCAAAGCTCTTGCTTACTGGGTACAAACTGCTTCAGCTCGACGAGCGTACATTCAGGCGGCTCAAACCTTCAGGATCCTGTCCCATCGCAAGCCAGCCGATGGTACTGCGTTCCAACCGGTTCGAACGCTGTCACGGCTGCCCTGGTTCTTGGGGTGTATATCTTGACTAGCACAAGATCTTCACATTCAGATACCTTCAATGATGAAAAGCCCTTCGATCTAGCCAATACTAGTATGGACTGGAAGGTGGTTGGCGACGAAGGATTTTCAACTTCAGAGTCGTCAATCCGAGACAACACGGAAGGAGTGGAGAGCGACGCAGTAAGATGTATCCGTTTTGGTGGGCCAATTGTAATTGATCGGAAGATCTATGATTCAGGTGCGCGCCATGCCCAGCGGATTATTCTTGAGTTCGCCAGCCTTCTAGATGAAGTGGGAACGCACTGGATGGCCGATTATGCAAGACTGTTGTATATGACTCATGACACGATGGCGGAATAGAAACACATCTTTAGGATCTTTCCTTGATGTTTTCCAGAATTCAGTCAACAGTCAATTCAAGCTTCGTTTGACTTCTTCTCGTTTTCAAGGTAGTGAGATCTCTTTCTCATGAGGTTATGCTCCGCTTTTCCTCTCTTCTTCGAGCAATGGCTGCCTCCGTGGCCTTACCCTCAAGTAATAGAGGGTATTAATTTCATGTAAATTGGGAAACAATCCCAAGAGTCAGTCAATCATAAGAAGCAGGAAGTATCAAGGACAGTCTAGACGTTATTGGAAGCTCTGGACCCACGGCTAAGAGTAGGTGGGTCACATGATCTGTCATCCCCCGTTATCCCCGGCCGAGCCACCACCGTCGCCTCCATTTCATCTCGCTCCCATCACTCAGTCAACCCTCCAAATAGCTCGCAAGAAGGACCTCCGGGCCAGTTTGACCGTACAAGATGAGCGACGCTTACGAACGTGAGCAGTATGTTCCCCTCCGCTTACTTGATACGCTTGAGTGTCGCCAGCCAGCTATCAAGAACCACCCACTCTCGATCCACTTTCCTGAAGCCAGCACGGGGTTCAAGAATGAAACGTTAACAACCGATATGCAGGCAAAATAATGCGCTCCTCAGTGGTCTTTCATCCAAAGTCTCCGCTCTCCGATCTGTGACCATCGACATCCATGACAATGCGCGGGATCAAGATACTATCGATCATTCGGTACGTCTCCACAGCGGAGGATATGAGCCAGAGCTGGCGTTTGAGGAGATCCTTCCAGATCGTGGACTTGGGTTTGAATACGGCTGACATAGATTTTTTTGCACAGAACGAAGTTTTCTCCTCCTTCTCCACGAACCTCAAGGGCAGCGCCTCCCGCCTGACACGAATGGCAAAGCAGGGCGATACTGTCGCAGTGCTGAAGGTTGCCGGTATCTTCATCGGCGCCGGACTCCTTATTTACATCATCCTTGGCTGGATCTTCTGAGTGATGGCCCATCTCCTGAAATCGACTCCGTTATATCGATCCCTCCCCTCGTTGCCACCCCCTACTTTGCAGCCCCACGGCCATACTCTCGCTGGCCCGAGAGGTGTTCCTATACTTTGATGACACGACCCTGTCGAAGCCATATCCGCCTACACTTCTAGACCTTTAATACTTGTCATTTTCGCCTGGCCTGTACTTGAGTACTGTCTTCGTCCGCCCGTCATACTACAAGCTGGGGCCAAGAGCCTTGTACGCCGAAAGAGTCGCCACATATCCACCGTCATTTCATATTCCATCACTAGATTGATGTCTTTACGAACCTTGCAAACCACCGAATGGAGTTGTTTTTGGTGCGAAGGAAATAATCTGTGCTCGCATCTTGCATTTTGGTTTTGATTTCGAGGGCCTTGTTTCCAGGCTACTCTGATTCTGTGTATTATTCTGTTGTTACTAAAGAACATAATTCTTGCCCAAATGATTCTTGGGCTTGTCCCATTGCCAGCCCCTTCTCCTCCATAAAGCACTGAACTTTGTGTTGACAGTATTGGAGCTGTCCGAGTCCGTTGTGCCGAAGCATCCTTGTTATAGTATGTATCCGTAGCTGATTATTCTGTTTACCGATGGCAATGTCTCACAGACTACAGAGCTGGACGTTGAGAAATGGTGCGTCATGCAAGACCTGATGACTTCTAACAGGTTCACTGTAGTCAGCCAAGTCAATAATCAGGAAGTGCCTCTGCCAAGGCCTTGTCCTTCCGGCGTTACGGATCTCTCGATTTTGGGATCCCCGCCCCCAGGAATGCTGTTCTTGGCAGCCATTCCTTCGGCATGCCACTCCCAGATTCGGCGGGCCAAGCTATTCGAGAAGGTTTAGAGTGCTAGCTCGAAGCGGAAATATTCGATCCAACTTGATCTTTGGAGAGAGGTTATTCAAGACTCAAGATGGATGCGGTGAATTATACGTGACACTTCGAAGAGGCTTCATCGCCATGTTTCCTATAAGCCTACCTAGGCACTTTCAACTTTTCTCGACAGCATACAAGGTGCAGAAGTTCTCGATAGGTCTCGATTTATGCGTACTTTGGTGCCGATTGCTGCCTCCCATCCGGCATTGAGCTGCTATCATGACGAGAGCCCGGTATTATCAAGCCTTACTAGCCGGGGCCGTCATAGCTACGGTTCTATTGTTCCTACTGGCCCAGGTTATTCGTTCACATAACCGCAACGGTTTCGCTATCTTCCATGGAGACCTTCCACCAATTCCCGAGTTTGAGCCTAGCGACAAACCGGAACTGCACGAACCCACTATCAATGAACCAGAGTCAGAGATCCAGCAAACATCAACAAGCAATTCTGTCCCATCTGAAACACCCTCGAAACAATGGGATGACTCTTGGAACGATAAGAACTTTTGGCCTAACATTTCCAAGTCGGCGCAGACTCCTGCATCCGTATCTACAGGCTGGACTCTCCCGACGAATCACATCTCGCACACCGCGGTTGAGAAGTACGTCCGTTCAATTCTAGACTTTGAGAATGACTCGCCCCCCGGGTTCGAGCGTGTATCTTGCCCCTCAAAGATTGGATCCCGATACAGTCTACTGCGAGCCCAGGCAGCAGGCAGCGGCCAGGTGCAATACTTCTTCGCGCTGAGCCTACGCCAATCTACCGGGATCATCTCTCGTCTGATGAGCAGTATCATCGAAGCAATGCGATTCCTCGGACCAGAACATTGCGCGATTTCAATCGTGGAAGGCCGGTCAGACGACGGAACGTATGAGATCCTTGCAGCGCTCAAGATGCATGTCGAAGCTATGGGTGCGCAATTTTTCCTTACCACCAGCAGTATCAAACCCAAAGCAGAAGGTGAAGACCGAATCAAGCGTTTATCCGAACTACGCAACAAAGCCCTCGAGCCCCTCAAAGTCAGTGCTGCCACCGGTCCAATCAACGAGCTGGCTGGTATGTTCTCGCCAGATGCGCTTATTATTTTCATTAATGATGTCGGGCTGTGTCCGGAGGATATCCTCGAATTGGTCTTCCAACACGTCAACCAAGACGCGCATATGACCTGTGCTTTTGATTGGATCTTGGATGGTACACTGTTCCACGATGTTTGGGTCTCGCGCTCGCTGGTCGGGAATACATTCTTTGAAATCCCGCACGATGGCTCGTGGTCTTACAGCCAAGATCTCTTTTTTGATGATCCGGATGGAAGGCGCCGGTTCGATGAGTTCCAGCCTTTCCAGGTATACTCATGCTGGGGAGGGATGGCTGTTCTAGATGCGGCGCCATTTGCTGAGGGTGTGGTTAGTTTCCGGTCTTCGAAGCCTGGAGAGTGCTTGATGGGGGAGCCGATGTTGCTGGCGAAGGACCTTTATCGGCGAGGGCGGGGCAAGATTCTCGCTGTGCCGGCGGTTAATCTTGCTTATTCGGATAATGAGGCAGTTGGCACGAAGGATGTGCGAGGCTACGTGCATGACCATATTAATGTATCCAAGTCCAAGTTGGATCAAGAGGAGATTGTTAGTTGGCAGCGTGCGCCGCCTGCGATGGTCAAGTGCCTTCCCACTTTTGATAATCCGAGTTGGGTTGAACCAACATAGACTTGGTTAGGATAACGATAATGGATAGATCTGTTCTTTGATTGGATTAGTTTCCTGCTTAGGTTTTCATGATAATGGGTACCAAGGATATGAGATGTTTTAACCCTTGGTTTCTCATTGTGTAACTTCGAAATAGTTGTGCCCAGTCCTTTGTTCGAGGCAGCACTTCGTCCTCTATTTCCCTCCAAGACCAGAACGATAAGCTCCGGCTCGCCATAGCCAGCCTTCAAAACAAAACCGGCACTCCGTCCCACTCTAGCGGAATACCCGAAGAGGACCCCTATACAAGGCCAGCCCAGCTCTTCTAACTCTATCCCATGTGGCGCGATCGCATGGCACGATTGGTGCGTTGACAGCGCAAAAGGTCTTATCCCTCCTCCTTGGCATCTCGAAGATCTACCCGAAACGCATAGATAGCTCGGGTCCCGCTTAAGCTCGGCTTATATTCCGGCCCAGCTCCGGCCCAGCTCCGGCCCAGCTCGAACTATCTGCGGCTGATTATCGGAAACTGCGCTGAAACAACGATAATGCCGTTAAAGGACGAGCACTGAACCGGGCCTCGGCATTTATTATCCCGAAAAAACGAAAATTTTCCACCGTGATGCTTAGTGATACTAGGCAAAATCATCCTTGGCATCAAAACATCATCATCAATCCAGGGGTAATAATGAAAAAAATATGCCTGATCTGTGACTATCAACCCGGAGGCGCCGAGACTGGCCGAAAAAAAGAAAGCTACACAGAATCCGCCCAAGCTGCCTTAATTGTTGCCCGCGGTGGGTCACGATCTTATTTTCGTAGGTTTGGCGTGCCGCAGCTCTGAACGGCAATTGGCATTGCGAACGAACTTTGCGGCCACCCCCACCGGCCCGGCTGGGCGCAGGCTCTTAGATCCTGTACAATAAAGACATACTTAGCAGAGTGCTCTGAGTTAACATATTGAGTCTCTGCACGGACTATCGAAACTATGCTCCGCGAGTAAATTGGTATCATCATCGGCGGTTCGGCAAAGTTCAGCTCGGAATAGTAACCGAGCTGATAAGGCTAGCCAAGCCCGGGCAATTTTCTTATTGTACCTGAACTTAGTATATGTATGATTTTCCACGCGCTGTCGGCGGGTTTCCTGGTGTGGGTCTTGGCGTGCTGAGATGAGGAATTGCCACCAATTAAGGTGTCAGTCACGGTATGGTGTGGCTAAAGGGGACTGTGCAAGAGATGTACGGAGTACAGCATATGTAATCAAGGAGATATCTACGGATTACAGAATATACGTTCTCAGTCCCGTAAAAAAAAGTCTGCATGCTTTGTATCAAGTCGAAAAAATCGGGTTTTATAAAGTGTCCACTGTATTGAGTTTGATGCGGTAGAATCCGCTTTGATAGGATATACGTCTTGTTCTGTAAAGATGGACTTGAGGTGCTTTGCACGTGCTCTATGGAAATTCACACCGGTTACTAGATAAAGCTGCCCTTGCTGCTGTGTCTAGCATATATGGATACGCGGTAGGAGAAGATCCGTTTCTGAAAAAGGCTCACCGTCAATGATCTGCTTCGGAGTGGGGCCGACCGGGCCAGGAAAACCCTGATGAGGACCTTGGAACAGGAGCCAGAACAATTTTCAAGCTACGTAGAAGAACCTTGGGCTATGACATCGTACTTTTTTGGCTGAATGGGTTCGCACTTTAGCCGTGTGCTGATGTCATGTCCTGTATGAGGAATGATTGATATATATCAAGGATAGAGATTCTTGTTGATATATTAGGATCAGGACTTGTGTATGTAATATGCTATCTTCAATGGCGAAATCATGAATCGCCATGGCATTATCGTGATGGCGACACAGACGCGCAATAATAAGATCGGGCAGAGAAAACCGGGACGAGGTCGGGATTCCGGTGGAGCGGGAATGCCCGAGGCTCGAGCCCACATGCGATGGCATCCCGATAGGGCCCGTAGTCGGCACGTAGGCCGAGATAAAAAAACCGTGAGTGCTAGAGGCCAGCAGGGTCAGGGGCTACTCTATGTAAAGGGTCGGTGCATTGCATTGTATCATCGTAACGTCCAACCCGGAAACCACAGCGATCAAAGTTGTACAAAAATCCTCCGACAAACCCCTTTATCAACTTCATATTGGTTGGGTTCAATCCAGGACGAAAATATCAAAATCAAGCGCCACATCAGAGAGCCCCATCGACAAGCAAAAGGGATCCATAGCCTGCCCGAGACCTTATCTTGGGTGGACAGGTCTGTGGCCCCTCTGGCCATGGTTCTTGGATACCACTCACGTCAGGGCAGGCGAATCGGTATGCGCAGCCAGGGAATTGTTGATGCGTGGGGGTGTTTTGGACTGTGGCCGGTGAACAGTTTGACATCTATGGTGGGCCCCTTTGGGCAGATCAGTGGCCTTTTGGGATATTACAGGCTTTACTGCGACGTTGTTTAAGACAGTCGCTGGGTCATAGAGTAGATGAGCGATTAAACTGTCGTACATCAGCGTAGATGGATTGGCCTGGAATGAAAATCTACTTAGTAGGAGTGGAGAGCTTGATTAATAGGATAGCCTGGATAGGCCTGTCATCATATTGGGAACCGGACTATTAATTGATGCCAGCCTAGATACATAGAGCGTTCACATGGCCTTCAGGTGATGGTCTGCAGAGCATGGCAGCTACTTATGCACGTGCTTACTTGTCGCTGCATTGACCAGCATCTTCTTCCAAAGTGACTACGGGATACTCCTCGGCAGTTTTATAGAATACCTAGGTTCGGATGGCCTTATGCCCTTATAGTACTAATATCACCTGTAATTATCAGCCTAGGGGACCTGCGTGTCAGGGCACCTATGCATGGGATTTAGACTAGGCTGTCTGCAGGTTGGCGGGTCGCACGAACGCATGCCTCAGGAGGTCTTTGTTTCGTCAGGCAGTACGGAGTATACAGGAGATCATGCATGTATGGTACCTTTGAGATGTTGCAAGATAGCGGCATGTATATCACACATCGTGCAGTGCAGATAATAAGTCCGAGAAGGCACGTATGATTGTGTTGTGTAACATCACCATATGGAATGTTTTGCAGTATTCGGATCGTCGAACGGGATCGATCGAAGGACTGTGCGGGAAGGGCGATCCCGACGAAATGGCGTGATGGGACGAATGGATAAATGAAGGCCCCGCGGCAGATGGGCTGATGAGACGAAATACAGGGGTATCATTATTGTTGATTTAATTCTACTCGGAGTAAATCAATCGCTAAGCAGTCATTATGAGATGCATGTGAAATAGATCCGTATACTGTAGATGTATACTAATCCAAGAATTAAACTATTTTAACACATGCTTCTATTACTCGGTTGACTTTTTCGACTGATCTTATTACAGCGCTGACGTAAAGACTCAATTGTGCCAGATCAACGTCAACCGCCCTGAAAAATAAATCATCCTAAGCTGACATCTTTGGGATTTCTTACTTTATCTTCTGATTAATCCCCCCTATTGTATCATCTCTTTTACTGGCTTTGTTATTACTATTCTGGGCCCCTCTCTCACCCAAGTCTCATCGTTATCTTTGACCTACCAGCTTAGTCAAATCCACTCGCAGCATCTTCGTCCCTATCGCCACTTTGTACAGTCCCGGAAACGGCACCACTCCACTTCGACTTCAGTGGGACCCGTTTGGTCGGACCGGAGGGCCATTCTGGACATGAGCCCGTAGATCAGGATAGCAAATTTCGAGTCATAGCCTGGCCCGTTTATTTTTTTTTCCAGTTTCTCACTTTTTGCTTTTGTTCTTCACACATCCTCGCCTCGAGGTCTGCCTTACTGTCAAACCTTCCAGACCATCCCTGCGATTCCTCCTCTACACTTCCCCCTCATCGCCTATCCTCTCCAGTGATCCAATCGCTCCTCAATCACTGCTGCGAAGGGTAAAACCCCTGAAATGGCGCTCAGCTTCTTTAGTGGCGCCGGAAGCGCCAGCAACGCCAAGTATTTCGACATTCGGTGAGTGGGACCGCCTTCATGCGCGCAAGTATCGGCACTGACCTAGTTGTAGCTTGAATGATGAGTACATCGTTTTTCGCGGCGGCGAGCATGAGGCCGCCAGCGCTCATCTGAAAGGTACTCTGGTGCTCTGTCTGTCGGAGCCGCTCACGATCAAGCATATCCGCTTACAGCTGACGGGCATGTCGCGCGTTTGGTATGTGAACCCCTCCCTCCGCCGCCCGCCGGCGCCGGATGACCCCGCGGTCGCAAGACCGTTCGGAAATTTCAAATACTAACGAATATAATTCCTATAGCTGGCACCTCCCCTCTAGTTCGACCGCCGGCGGCCGCAAGTCATGGAGAGAACGAGTCTTTTACGATAAGACATGGCGATTCCGTGACCCTGGCAAGGGAAAGACTGAGATCCTGGCGGCCGGCAACTACGAGTACCCATTCGACGTGGTGCTTGAGGGATCTATGCCGGAGAGCGTGGAGGGCTTGTCGGAGACCTGGGTGATGTACCGCTTCAAGGCGGAGATTGGGCGCAAATATGCCAAAGACATTGTTGCACGGAAACCCCTGCGGATCATCCGAACTCTTGATCCCAGCGCTTTGGAACTGTCACACGCAATGGTGAGTTTGCGATCGGCGCCGATCCGGGCCCGTGGGAAGTTATGCTAATAGGGTAAAACAGTCGGTGGACAACATCTGGCCTAACAAAATCGAATACTCCATCAGCACGCCGACCAAGGCGGTCGTCTTCGGCACTTCCATTCGCGTCGATTTCAAATTGATCCCGCTACTCAAGGGCCTGAGCATCGGTCAAATTACGTCACAACTCATCGAAAGCCACGACCTCACGCTTAACCCAGAAGATCCGGACTCTATTCGCAATACGTACAAAATTACCCGGACGATCTTGACCGACGAGCATCAGGTGGATGAGGATAATTTCGAAATCATCGAGGAGGCCGCAGAGGGATACCAGTTCACGCGCTATCTCGATATGCCACAAACATTGACCCGCTGTCTGCAGGATACGGATACCAAGGGCATCAAGATCCGTCATAAGATGAAGTTCCGTATTCAACTGCACAACCCCGATGGCCATGTCAGCGAGGTAAGCTAAGGAGGAACTCCGCATGACTTCTTTTCACAAACTAACAATTGCGATGTAGCTCCGAGCGACTCTCCCCGTATCCATCTTCATCTCCCCCAACATGCCCATTGACGAAAACAACAACATCCGTGACCAAGTCCCCGCCGCCGCGCGCCGAACGGTAGACGAATTCGCCAACCAGGCCCCGCCACTGTACAGCGAACACCAATTCGACCAACTGTACAGCGAGCTCGACCCCAGCGGCTACCGCACTCCAGGCCCCGGCAGCGGTGGCCCCGGCACACCCTTCGGCCCTCTGAGCCGCAACATCTCGGCAGAGAACCTGGCGTCCATGAACGCCTTGACCGACACTGATATTTCAGCCTCTGCGCTTCACACCCGTCTGACAAACCTGCACGCCAACCGCCTCGGCCACCAATCCCCCAACGAGGTGTCTCATGACTCTCCTACTGAGAGTCACCCCAACTCACGACAGCTGAACGTTCACTTCGGAGACTATTTCGGTCCTTCGTCTGGTTCCAACTCACACAGCCCGGGCAGCCCTGAACTGTCCCGCCGAACCTCGGACGAGGTCGATCACGAGCGCATCCCATCCGGCATGGCTACCCCGTTCCACCCTCAGTATGCCGAGGTTGAGACGCTCAGTCGCGTGCCTAGCTACTCGACTGCGGTCCGCGCCGCCGTGGGCCCTTGTGACTCCAACCTCCCCGACTACAATGCCGTGATTGCTAGTGACCTGCCCACTCCCCCGGTCCTTCAGTCCCCCCAGCAGGCCCACATTCGCAGTGGCCGTAGCAGCGGGTTTTCTACACCTCTAGAGGTGAATCGCCCCGGATATTTCCATGCTCCCGGCGCCAACGCTGACGATGCCGAACGCAGGCTCCGATTAGTACAGGCCCGCGGTAGAGGTTGAAGAGAACTCTTTCTCATGATACCCTTCCTTCCTTCCTCTTCGATATTCTCACATCCCTGCTTGCACTCTTCTCTCTCTCTCTCTCTCTCTCTCTCTCTCCGGATGTGATTCTCTCAAAAACTCCTTCCAATGTCAGTGCTGGCCACGATACCATCCCATGTTCCCCACCTTTTTGCATGATTCTCTCTCCCCTGATCTGATTCTCACAAATTCCCTCTTGTGTTGGTGCTGGACACGACACCATCATATGTTCTACATTCATCCGTCCTTCCCCTTCTCAACTGGAATACTTTAGCATTCCTGCTGAAATACCGTCTTCTTCATCGCATCTCCTAGGAAATGGTTCATACCCTGCTCTTGTTTTGTTTGTTTTCTCGGCGTTCGGATACTATTTCTCCATAGACAGGGTGGGCCATCTCGGCCATCTCATAGACGGGCATGATTGTTTGTTTTCTTCCCTTCTTCTCTACGAACCAGCTGAATGTGGAGAACCCAGCCTCCCGCAGCACACGAGTCACGCATATGAATGTATTTGATTTTAAACACCATGTACTCTAATCTTTCTACGGTATCTACTGGATTTCCCTCCTAATAAAATCATCATAAGTGAACGAACATGTTGATCTTTCCCCTCCTTTAGAATTCGACTACGATCAATTTTTCTGTTTGTATCAGTTGTATCGGGTAAATCACTGTCGATCAACCATCTGCTGCGCCCCGGTCCAAGGACATTTGATGAACAATGCAACCTCACAATCCGCATTCGATAGTTCAGGTTCGGGCTCCACCACGATGTGGCGTCGAACAGCCCTAGGACTCCCGAGGACGTGGTTACATGGGACTAGCGTGGAGAGCTACGTGTGACTGTCAACAGTCAACACAAAGGAACAAAACCGTAAAGCAAGTCAATAAAAAAGTGAGCTTCGAAAAGTCAAAAACCACCATTTCAGCCTACTATCCTCATCTTACAATCTTGCATCGTCATTGCAGTCTCATCTTTTAGTGTTGGGTCTAAACAGCCACAACCTGCGGGCTGTGACCTCATCGGCGTTTTCGACCACCGATCGGCAGGTCAAAGAATGCGAGAACTCAAGAACCATCCCACCTTGTTGTACACCTCCACCAGGCCTAAAAAGAAGCCCAACATCCTCCTTCCCCCCACTTGGACAGTTGGCATAATTTCAACACTTCATTTTTCTTTTTCGCCCTAGTCTATCTACAGTCTAGCGCTTTGCGTTCAGCCACAGGTGCCACACGTTCATAACCCACTACCGATCCGCCATCCCGCCTTTTCCATCCCTCCTATTCCCCGGCTTTCAAAAAAGATACCCAAGGTCAATATTCAGCTTTGAACTGCTGAAGACAGTGGATCTCCGTTCTACCAGTCTATAAGACACTCTCAACTGACACTCGTCTCTACCTCTCTCTCACTCCGGCGTTGAGACAACCTCCCCGCCGACATGTCGACTCCCGTGAGCCCCGTGGAGCACAAGCTCCCGCAGCGCTCGGCGACTGTGAGCAGTAGCTTGACCCGTCAAACCTCCATCAGCGACAACGAGGCGATTCCCGACACCGATAGCAACGAGGTGTGTACTCAGTGCCCTTGGAGGAATGAGACTAGAGGGGAAGGGGTTGGAGATGCGGGGGAGCGTATTCCCCGCGATGAGAGACAACCGCGGCTAACAAACACCTTTCTTTGACATAGACTACCAATCTCCTTTTGGAGCGCCTGCGGGCATGGAAGCACATGTGCGGAAACCTCGAAGACTATGTTTCCACAACTGCCAAAATTTCCAAGTCCCAATCCAAGGACCACGAGAAGATCTTGAAGGTGGGGGTGAAATACATACCATGAGGGAAGGATATAGTTGCTGAACTCGGAAACTATTACAGACCGTGAGCGATCCCTTGAAGGAAGGCAATCACTTCAGTGCCAGCGCCGGTGGTATCAATGGCCTGTTCGAGAACATGCGCAACAATTCGCAGGTATGGACAACATAAAGACCTACCTCTGGCCCAGCATGGAACGGCTCCTGACAGATCTTGATATAGGGAATGGTCAACATGTACCTCGAGACTGAGAAAAACCTGAATGGTAGCGTGCTCCCCACTTTGGAGCGCCTGCACAAGGAAATCAAGAACAAATCCAAGGAGCTCAAGTCGGGAGCTGCCAAGGGTGCCAAGGTCGTCGAAAAGGCCCGCCAGGCGACCCAGAAGCACATCGAGCTTCTGGGCCAGCACTCGGCCTCGCATGATGCCGCCGCCAAAAACAAAATTGAGACACACCACGACCCTTACGTCCTGCGCCGTGGTATCAACCACCGCCTGAACAAGCAGGTCGCCGAGGAGAACAACCACCGCAATGACATCCTGGCTGTTCAAAACTCGTTCGCACAGTTCGAGGCTCATGTTCTTCAAACCATCCAAGGCGCGCTCGAACAGTTCTTCCAGTTCATGGGCGGCCAGCTGGACCACCAGCGGGCCATGTATGCCGATATCCTGGCTACCGCGCAGCGCATCCCAGCCGACTTTGAGTGGATGAACTTCTGCGTCAGCAACGATGCCAAACTAGTGAACCCCGACTCTCCCCCACGCTCCTTATCGAGCATCACTTTCCCCAACATGGACCACCGCGCCACACAAGCTCTGATCGAGGGCTCGCTGGAGCGCCGCTCGCGCGCTGTGATCAAGGGCTACAGCACTGGTTACTACGTCGTGACACCTGCGCGCTACCTGCACGAGTTCAAGGACAACGACGACTTCCGCAAGGACCCCCTCCCCGAACTGTCCCTGTACCTGCCTGACTGTATCGTCGGCGCTATCGACGGCGTCAAGTTCAACGTCAAGGGCAAGGACGTGTCCAGCGGCAAGGTCGGCAATGCCTTCCACACCAACACTGAGCTGAGCTTCAAGGCACACAGCCCCAGTGATGCCGAGAAGTGGTGGACTGTCATCAAGGACTGCACTCGTGGTACGGCCCTGGCCGCCGCGGCTGTGCCTCCACCTGCGGCTACCTCACCCGTCAGCCCTGTCGCCACTAGCCCCGCGGCTACTAGTCCCGCAGCTATTAGCCCGGCCGGTGGCGCCTCGCAGACTCAGCCTCCTGTCTATGCCGAGAAGGAGAAGGAAGCTGCCGCTGCTGAAAAGAGCGTCGATGCCAAGGATCACGCTGCCAGCCCAACTGCAGGCCTGAGCCGCTCGACTAGCACTGCCAGCCACTTCCACGGCTCTCCTGGCGGATCCGCCGTGCAGGAGAAGTCTTAAGCCGAGCTGAGTAAATGATAACCGATAAATTTCCACTTCACAAGCTCTGTTGATCTACGCAATACGATTCTTTTTCGGGCTTCGGCTACATACGTGCTGGATTTCCATGATGCAGTTTATATTCACACCTCACATTTTGCGTTCTCCTCGGTTTCTAGTCATTCTATCTTGACTTGATTTGACTCGCTCTGCCCTTAATACCATGTGCTCGTGAAGATATGGGCTTCATCCATTTCCCCTTGATACCTTGAGCTGACCTCCACCTTCTGGCTTTTGGTTTCACGTATATTGATTTATACATAGTTGATTTGTCTAATATCCCGCAAATATGATGTTTTCAATAACAATAACTTCCCATGACGACTTCTCCTGCTTTGCACAGTGCCCGAAATGTGTGAATGGTAGAGGATATATATCCGCGACCGTTCGTTTGGTGGCAGCGTCGATAGCTTGGTCTGGATTTTTCGAGCTTGGGACTCAAAGTATAGAAAGTTTGTATGATGTGCAGGCGAAACGCTGCTCATATCTCGCAGTGAGATTTGGAGGCCATGGTCTTGCCCGAGGGCTTGATCTGCAAACCTCACGTCCATGCCATGCATGGTGTGAGACCGCGATCTTCCTGTTGCAGGCAGACAGGAAGGGTTTCGTCGACTCTCAGCCACTCATTCAACCACTCGTCATAGGCCCAACCTTCTTTCCTTTGCCTTGGATGTCTGGGTGGAAACCTTCAGCCGTGAGTTTGTGTTCAGGCCGAGTAGATTAAACTTGCGGCGGCAGAATACAGTAGGTTTCTGAATATCGAGATTCTGCGGGTATTCAACGAGTCGCAGATCGCAGATCGCAGATCGCACAGGATCGTAGAGTGACGTGTCTCCGAGAAATGACTCCGAATCCATATTGGCTCCCACACCAGTATCGACAAGGTGCGCTTCATTCGTCACGGTCGTTTTGTTATAGCTCTAGCTTGGCGGGTTCTCAGTCAAGAATCAGGTTGTATCTCTTGCAGACGGCTTATAGCCTCCTGCCCCTTTTGTGTTGGAGCAGGATGTAAGCCTTTGATAACCCACGTTGGTGCGGTCACCATCCTGTCTTGGTGAGGATGATCGAGAGGTCCTGGTAATCTGTCGGCGCGGCCATATTCTTTCCTCCACGCTATTCCTTGTGGCCAGGTAATTGGTCATCTCTCATCGCAGGACTTGAAAGCGAGGTGCCCGGAAAGCGTTCCGAAGCGATTGCTGGTTTGACACGATGGCCAAGAATGCCGCGTCTGGCCCATGTCGCTCCAGAAGTTATCGCCAATGAAGGGTCGCGATATACCAGAGCCAGGGCTGATCAGAAAAAATCCATGCGGTTCTCGCCATTACGCACAACTTGGCAGTCTCCGGGATGTCATTACACCCTCCGTGCCCAAGAGGTGAACTCGCGAGGCCATTTTATCGGTATCCTCCTTGGACCTCCCAGAAGGGTAGATTCAGGGTATATACTCTCACTCGATGTGTGCTGTGGGAGTCGATGGATGTAGCGACGGTGTGAGAAGAAGAAGTGATTTGAGAGGACGGCCGTGGATGGAAGGGTGTGTAAGAAAGGGTATGCAGGCGGACATGTTTGAAGAGGTTCGATATCTAGAGAGCGGTTGTAGCGCGAGGCGTCAGGGCGGGAGGAAATATATGGAGAGGTGAAGTTTGAAAGGGTTGGAGAAGAGAAAGGAGGGCATTTTGCATTGGGGGAGATGGCGTTGACAAACAACTAAATGGTGGTTTCACTGTTACTGGGCTAAGTTGTTTGCTGAGTGGTCACTGGAGAGCATTTTATACCGGCTCCCAGCAAGTCCAGTGATGGCAGAAAGTGGGTTGCGAGAGGATTCAGTAGAGGAGCATAGTAAGCTAGGCGGCAATTTATCCCGCCGAGATAGGTTCATAGAGGGGGCCACGAATACAAATGTATCTAGGAAAGAGAGTTGTCATGAATTCATGGATACACTTTAGAAGACGTTTGCTCTTCAGGTAGGCAATCCTAGTGTAAGACCAAAATACAGAGCGCAGCGCTGTTATGAGCCACAATTATCAATATTGCATGCATGGTACAGAGGTAGGTCAAAAATCCTCCGGGCTCTCGAGATCACTCAATTTCTCGCCCAAAAACCGCCCAAGAGCCGCACATTTAGACTCCAGCGCGAGCAGCACAGACGGCGAAGCAGACAAGTTCAAACTAGCCAGTCTGGATAAGTCCGCACTCCGGTCGATCTCGTGTTGGGACTCGAGAGCCCCGTTGTGTGTAGGTGCATTCGAAGAAGGCACGCCACTGTCAGCCTGTGACTCATCTAGCGTGGCTCCATTGCCAGCCGTTGAGTCACTTGGGCCGTCAACCGCGAGGTGGTCAGGCCCATCGCCGTTTATCGTGTCGTCGAGCTTGTTCGGGCCCACGGCGGCCAGGAGGACTTTGTCCGCGATACGAGTCACCACGGCCACCGAGTCATCCAGCTCAAAGACGATCGATCCTACGTCGCCCAGCGACATGGATTGGGCCGTCACGTAGGAGGATGGGTGACTGGCGGGATTTACCCCTGTGAGGTTTCCGCTTGATGCGTTTTTGGCGTAGCAGGTATATGCGGCGCCGTAGGTCGAGCTCAGGTTGCGGAGCTGGCGGGAGGATAGGGAGGAGGCATATGCGAATACGGCACCGTTGGTCGCGAAAACGCTGTAAAGAGAGGAGAGGCTGGTTAGCTCGTGTTCCCCGCATCGATGTCAGTTATAGGAGGCACCTACATCATTGTCGTGATCTCCGGCGGGGAGAGGTTATCCTCCAGTAGATCACCCAGCGCCTCCGAGTCGAGCATCTTAATATCTGGTAGACCGGGAATCATGGTGTCGTCGTCGGCGGCGTCCAGGCCAGCCGGGTCAAGTTCGTGGATGTGAATTTCCGGTTGTTTGATGGATTGACAGTGTGCCTCCACGACCCAGTCTTTGGGAGGGGTCCACGAGCAATCCTCGGGGAAGAAAAAGCAGTTGTCGCTGTAATCCTCGTCGTCGTGATCGTACTCGATGGGCTCGTCGGAGCAGTCAAGGAGGTTCTGGGCGCACTGGGTGTCACAGCGGGCCCAGTACGGGACGAACGGGGCGTCCGAGTGGGGCGCGGCGTGCTTCGCGAAGTAGTTGGGGGAGACTGGGAACGGTTCGAATTCAGCCATTTTTAGACCCATGGCCGACAAGAGATGTGTGTAAAGAGAAAAGGGAGCCAGTAGCGTCTTTTTCGTTCCAACATAGACCAAGTAGAAGGAGGCACGAGGGCAGTGTTTGCATAGCTGGTGGGGAGGATACAGGGAAGGAAGGAAAGCGTCAACGACCACGAGCTGTCGCGGAATCTGTAGACTACCCAAAGGTCAAGAGGACTGTTTGTCCGGCCCAAATGGCGAGTCACGATAATTCCAGACGTGCCCGGTGGCACAAGAGCAGGGTTGGAGGGGCATAGGAGGTGTATTTAAAGAGCAGGTTGAGGTAGTAGGTATTGGGAGGAACTGCCCAAGTAGGACTACAGTCATGCGATCGCCGCGAGGCTCCGCGGGCAGACAACGCCACGAACATCTTGCAGGTCAAGGGAGAGGAACGTGTCAAATATAGAAGCTTTGATTGGGGAGCGTGTCATGAAGGGGACGGATTGGGGAGCAGGACGCGTGAGGGTCTCTAGCAGTGCTAAGCGCGGGTGTGCAGGAAATAATGGGGCAAATCAAAAAAAGAAAGGAAAAGGTCCAGCCCGAGTCTTTGACAAGCTGTTTGAGGGTGAAGGGTTCATCTGGACCCCAAAAGGATACCAGAATGTACCTAAGAGCAGCTCGGACCAGCTTGGATCAGCTAAGACGGATGCTTGAGCCAATGGCAGGTGGGGACGATCAACTCGGAGAGTGGCGGGGTTGCAGGAATCAAGAAGGGGAGAGACAGAGAGAGCGAATGGACAAGGTCGAAGGGGATAGGAAAATTCAAACGAACCTGGGCCTATGCGAAGGAGTACCGCGTCGAGTGGTGTGGAGGTGTGGAGGGGGGTGGAGATTGGGGAAAAAGAAGAGGAGAATGGAGACTGGGAGAAGGACTCGAGGTGAATGGATGAATGGATGAATGAGAAGGAGAATCGTGGAGGTCGCAGCGCATTAAAGCGATCCGCGAGATTCGCGCGGGGGCCGCGCTGTTAGCCTGCTGCACGGATTTTAGGCTTTCGGGGCTTGTTATTATTGGGCCTCCTTTTGGCTTTGGCCTTGCTGCAAGTTCGATGTGGCATGCAGTTAGGGGTTGAAAAGTAGTCGGACTACCCCAGACTCTACGTAATGAGGGACGGTCATAGTTAGCTAGCTTAAAAGATGAGTGATCATGGAGAATATCGTGCGATTTGACACCGATATATACTCTTGTTATACTCTCGTTCCAGTGTCCCTATACTTTGTAGTATAGCACACCGTAGTAGACTATAGCGTACTGTATTATAGACAATATCAAGGTTCTTCTATTAGTTCATCTAGAAGACCGAGGCTAATCAGTTATGAACTCCAGAGTTCATGGACTACTGCTAAACTCGCCAGTCGACCGACTGACGTAGGCGGAATTGCCCCACTTCCCCCTCACGGCTGACAAAACCCCCCGCTGGGTGAACAAATCCATTCAATTCATATCATGTTCACTCGACTTCCACATCTCTTCCCCAGGGTACTTACTCCATCTACTCGTATCCCTGGTAAATGCACCCCAGACGCCCAGCCCAGCCCCATCAGATCTAATTTCCCTCCAATCACTGACCATCAAATTCTCAGCTACTCGATCATTCGCCAACATGACGACCGATCCCTCTACCTACAAGCTGAACCGTTCGTCGTTTCTCCTCCCCAACCTCATCCATCACAACTGACCATCATGGCCACCCAGACACGATGCTGCGGGTCAAAGACCCCAAGCGATCGCTGCAGTTCTACGAGTTCCTTGGTATGAACGTCATCCAGAAGCTCGACTTCCCCGAATGGAAGTTCTGCAACTACTTCCTCGCCTATAATGGCCCGGCCTCGCTGCAGGGTGGTGACCGCCACTTCACCGACCGCAATGCCGTGTTGGAGCTCTGCCATAACTACGGTACCGAGGATGATCCCAACTACAGCGTCGTCAATGGTAACACCGAGCCCTACCGTGGCTTCGGCCACCTCGCCATCTCCGTGGATAACATCGAGGCTGCTTGCAAGCGCATCGAAGACGCCGGATATGCCTTCCAGAAGAAGTTGACTGAGGGCCGTATGCGACACATTGCCTTTGCCAAGGACCCCGATGGCTACTGGGTTGAGATCATCCGTCGCTCGGATGAGAATCTGTCGACCACCACCGACCCGGGCTCCTATCGTCTGAACCACACCATGCTGCGTGTCAAGGATGCCGAGACCAGCTTGAAGTTCTACCAGGAGTCCATGGGCATGACCCTCGTCCGAACTGTCGAGAACCCCGATGCCAAATTTAACTTGTACTTCTTGGGCTACCCCAGCTCCAACCCTGAGATCAAGGAGGGTGCGAAGAACGCCGTTGCCGAGTGGGAAGGTCTGCTTGAGTTGACTTGGAACTACGGCACGGAGAAGCAGGAGGGCCCTGTCTACCACAACGGTAACACGGACCCCCAAGGATTTGGCCACATCTGTGAGTTTCACTGTATCACCTCGGTGTGTTGATTCTATTCCTTGCTGACACATGATCTTCTGCGTGATAGGTATCTCCGTCGATGACCTCCAGGCGGCCTGCGACCGGTTTGACACGGTTAATGTCGCCTTCAAGAAGCGCCTGACTGACGGGCGAATGAATAACATTGCTTTCGTCTTGGATCCCGACAACTACTGGATCGAGGTGATTCAGAACGAGCGCATCAAGCGCACTTCCAACTGGTAGACACGGCCCTCATGACATGGAGTCCTAACAGGAAAGGCCTCCATAAGTAGCAGCTAGACATGCACTACGATGTACATACAAAATTCAATGTAGTGGTCTCGCCTCAACAAGGCTTATTATTGCTTCTGTAAGAGTTTCAACAGTCTCATAATCTCGACCACGAGACTACCTACGTGGAGTCGTGGACCAACCGGCTTATCCCCGATTCCCCTCATAGGCGGGCGCAAGTGGACCCTCTCCCCCGCCCCCCAGACTAACATTTCGCGAACATTTTGTACCAGTCCGAACTTGCACTCTGCGTTCTCGACTCCGTTCAATAAGAATCTCATCATATATAGACCATGGCTGCAACGGACTCCGCCGAGGTGGGATGACTTGACTCGCGGCCTCGACAGAAAAGGACTGCGCAATCTTATTCCGCGCAATTTCGACCGCCACCCCCACGCCCAACTCAGAGCACCGCATCGCTGGATCTTCACGAGGATACTCAAGTCTAAGTCCTTTCTGAAGGCAAGAAAAGGGGCAAATCATGTCCCCAGAGCCAGAAAGGCCCAAGAAGGCTCCGCGGAAGCACGTCACGACGGCTTGCGTGCCCTGTCGTGAGAGTAAGATTCGGGTATGCCCTCTCCCACACACTACGCCTTGTGAGGATCGGCGGTACGAATACAATTCTAATCGGCTTCCCTCCACTTCCAGTGCGACGGCTCAACACCCCATTGCCAAAATTGCCAGCGGAAAGGCAAAGACTGCAAGTATCAACATGGAGACGATAAACGCAAGTAAGTATAATTACATTCTTGGAATACTCCTCCACATTCACCGTTGCATCCGAAGCAAAAATGCTCTCGGCCCGCTGCTAGCAGCAAGACTCGGCATCCCGCCGATGTCGCCGAGAATCAAGAGTATTTAGCCCGGCTAATATCAAACGCAGGGTGTCTCTTCGAGCAGCGACGGAGCTTTTCTCTGCGAGAATTGACCAATTGGTTCAATTCATTCAGGATCAGGGACTTGAGCCGCCATCTATGAATGCCGATGACGAGGCGGGCATGAGTAGGGTTCTTGATACTTTGCAAATTCCGCGAGGGGTCGCCAGAACGAAGATATCTCCTGGAAATGATCGAAAGACACGGACTGACGTGAATCGCTCTGTGAGATCGGATCAATCTCCAGCGCAGAGTTCACCGAGCACGACGCCGAATGGTCAGTCCCAGCATCAGTCTCAGCCTCAGTCCCAGCCATTGTCCGAGATTCCTGCTACCACTGCTTCACCTTCGCAGGGAAATATGCCTAGTCGGCAACTGTCATCCGTGGAACCCTGGAGTCCGGTCGCTATGGTGCGAGGCGCCCCGGAAAACCAAAACTTTGTGCACTGGGGCTTCACGCTCCCAACAGCCGAAAGTCTGGATACGATATATGCGAATATCAATGGAGTACAGGGGTTACCAGTCAACACAGGACTAAGCCGGGATAGTTTTCAATTGGGTATGGACATGGCACAACAGCCGGGCGTCCTGCTAAGCCAAGTCCCGCAAGACCGCGATCGCGACCACGAGTCAGACAGCGATGAAGAAAACGAGGCCGAGAACGACGTCATCGAGCAATTATCCCATCGTATTGGTACACTGAAAATTGCTGGAGATGGTCATTTGCGATTTTACGGAGCAACCTCTAATCTGAATTTGGTTGATGTCTCTGCGACACAGCAGCGACAGCGGCCTGATGCGCGTACTGTGCGTCACGATGGACAAGATATTTTGAATCATCTTCGGGTTGGGCAACCGGTTGATCAGGCTTTAGAAGATCATCTCGTCGAGTTGTACTTCACATGGCAGAATCCCAGCATCTATGTTGTGGATAAGGAAATGTACATGACGGCTCGACTGAAGTGGCGCAATGAATTTGACGACACCCCGTTTTACTCGGAAGTGCTCACGAACGCCATGTGTGCTATCGGCAGCGCCTTCGAAGCACGGTATCATCCGACATTCATCACATTTCCAAAATCGCTGGCCGAGTTCTTCGCCGACAGAGCCAAGGCTTTGTTGGAAATTGAACTTGATTCGCCTTGTGTGGCGACGGTTCAAGCCCTTGTTCTGATGAGCTGTCACGAAGGCGCGTCCAATCGTGACGCACGAGGATGGGTGTACAGTGGAATGTCGATGCGCCTTGCTTTTGACCTCGGATTGCACCTTGACATGACCTCGTATGTCAACCAAGGCGATATGAGTGCCCACGAAGCAGATGTCCGACGGGCCGCATTCTGGGGCAGCTATATTGCCGATCATTTCTGGGGATTCTATCTAGGTCGTCCGTTCCGAATGAACGCCGGAGACGTGACTGTTCCAAAGCCTGCCTCCACTCTTGGCGCAGAGAAGGAAGGAATCTGGCATCCGTACGGCCTTCAGGCCATCTCCAAGATCCTAGAGGACGGTCTCCAAAATCCCACCGAGCTAATCAGCCGGCAATTCGTCGTTCTATGGGAGATGGTTTCTCCCGTAGGCCACATTCTATACGGCTGTTCAGATATCTCCCGGCACGACCTTCAAAGACTCACTTTCCAAGTAACCGAGGACCTTTTCGCCTGGAAAGCCAACCTGCCCTCAACTCTCCAAATCGACCTAGACGACGACGCAACACCAAAACTCCCGCACCTCCTCGTCCTGCACATGCAATACCACCAAATAATCATCTTCTTCCACCGCCCCTGGGTCTCGAAGAGCTACATCCAACCTCGCGCTCCACGACAGGGACCAGGATACCTCCACGCCCGTCGCATGTGCGTTGAATCCGCTACGGCAGTTGCCCGTCTGCTCCACATATACGAGAAACATTATACATTCCGACGGATGAACAACCAAGTTGTCGCGATCATTTTCAGTGCTGCTCTGATGCTTCTGTTCGTCACGGTATCTAGTTCCCCACTGATGCCGTCGAAACCGGGGAATCAAGTACCGCGCACCCGCGTAATGCGGAGATGGTCGCGTACTTGAACCTGTGTTTCCGTGCCCTCGATGAATTGGGCCAGTCGTTTGAGAACGCGAAGCGTACGCGTGATTACCTTGTTGCCCTGCAACGACGTTGGCAAGCTCATATGCGGCGCACGGGACCTGCTTCGAAGAGGCAGAACAGCAGTGCGAATTTAGCGGCGATGTCGGGGCAGGTACCTTCAACACAAGTCTCACATAAAGAACATGCCACTGATTCATCACGGAAGAAATCGCGACTGGGTGATCCGGGCGCACATACCCGCACACAAGATGACTTGATGGCTACTGTTCATCAGCCTTACCCTTCCTCTCATCAATACTCCTCTCATCACCAACCATCTTTCCAACACCACCCTTTCTCCGCACAAGCAGCACAAGTCAGCGAACTTGACTGGATCCGTAACACGGATTTGAGTCTTCTTTCTGATGGCCATGTCAATGGTAGCTCAAATGCCATGGGCACTATATCACAGTCCCAGTTTCCTGATGATCCGGGCATGTTGCCGGATTTGGGAGATATTGAAGGCTGGTGGAGTCCGCCTCATGGGACGTCCGGGATGGGAGGGACGTCGATGTAGTTTTGTGTTAGTAGAGTGGGGGTGTACATGATTCGACTATGTAGCATTGTCTTGGATACTTTCCATCACCGCATTTCCCTACACTTCTGGCCTTATCATTTTGTGAAAGATCAAAGCTCTTTCGGATTTGAATTATTAGCGTTCTAACATCTCGGATATTACATCAAGACCAATTCGCACCTTAATATCTTGCACATATTCCCACTCAACGTTATAATACAATTGGCAAAGTCGAACCATAACATTAGGCCAGTAACATTATCCCTCACTCATCAGATATCCTCCCATCAAAAATCCTCTCAAACCAACCACCCACCTCCTCCCCAACCCCCAATCCCACTTCCCCAACACCCCTCACAAGACTAACCCTCCTCTCCCCAAACCCCTTCTCTCTCCCAAAAAAACAAGCCCTTCGCATAACAGAAACCATTTCCTCTCCCTGATCTGCAAGAACAGTCTCACTGCTTTCCCCCTCGTTCCCTTCAACATAAACCCTCACCCAAGGGAGGGTCACTTCTAACCTGCGCACCCCGTTACCGCCCCATCCTCGGCCTCCGGCACCGTAGTCTAGTCCATAGGGTGGCCAGCGTGATAGCGCTTTTCTGCGTCGAACGGTTGTGTGGCCTGTTTCGCTTAATTCATCATCTTCCAAGTCGTTTTCTTGGTTTGAGAATGACCCGTCTAAATCAGCGGGTCGCGTATTCTTCAGCACTGGAACGGGATACTCCGGTCTGGCCAAATACACCGGAAACGCGCTTGGCACATCACGACCCGCCGAGCGAAGAAATAAAATCGGCGAAGCAAACGCATCAAAGCAGCGCTCCGGAGAAGAAAATAGTGCCTCACGCGCAGCAAGAAGCGGGACTATATCGCGTGGAGCGGTAGCGCGAATATTTTTCTTCTTCGAGGCGCGTTTTGATGTTGGTTTTTCGCTGGTATTGGCATTTGCCTGCTCCGTTGTGCAGTAGTCATCTAGTCCTACCCAGTCTGTGACGGGCATTATTGATGCAACGGCTTTCACGGACTGGGCTTCTGTTAGGGCTAGCATTAGTGCTAGGGAGCCGCCGATGTGGGAACCGATGACGCCGAGGTGGGCGGGGTTGAGATTGGTCTTTATCCAGTCGAATGCGGCGAGGGTGTCGTGGATCGGGGTTGGATATTTGTAGAATAATGGTTGGGATTGGGGTTGGCTTAATGATGATGGTGAAGCATTAGGCGATGTGTGAGTGGAATTCTGGATGGTTTCTTCATTTGATCTCGGTGGCGGTGATACCGCGCCGAGTCGGTAGTTGACTGTCACGACAGTGGCAGATGTCATCGAGGCCAGACTCTGCTGTGGCGATAGCCCGCCATGATTGGTGCCATTGGCGGCCCATTTTAGATTGTCAAGACTTAAATCATGAGGTTCATCCCCTTCCGGGACGGGATACGCGTGTCCCTGGAACAAGGGACCTGGCCGGAGGTACAAGATGACATTGGGACCTTGAGAGCGCGAATGGCTCTGCGTGGGCAAATTTGAGGCCACGGGTCGCGTCAGACTATCAAAGAATCAGCATCGCACGCCGTACGAGTAGTGTAGGAATTTGATTATAAGGGATTCGTCCACCTTAGTGATATGCTTCCATTGTTTCCAATGGGGAGATCGAAAGACTCGTCAATCCAACCAGATGATGACGATAGAAAGCGCGCACGAAAATATAAAATCCGAAAAGAGCTTCGTGTCTTGGGTCTAGAAATAATCAGACGACGCGATGTATGTACTAAAGAGCGCATCGCGTTTGTGGAGGTGATGAAAAAAAGTTGTTTTTGTCGACGGGTTGACGATGCCAGCTCCGGGTGGGGCCTGGTACGCCGGTTACCTACTTGCGCAAAATCTCCTAGGGGAAGTGTCTACTATAGAAAAGAATAGAATTTACACGCTCAAGATTCAGCGGCGGTGTCTAGATTAAGCGTACTTAATATCGATTCCCTTTCATGAATCCGGGGTTCATGTGATTGTCATCGTCGGATGAATAATAACCCGTCGTGCATCCTGACGTGGGTTCAGGTTGAGAGCAATTGTAATTGTTTTCTTGGGATGCTATTAATATATCGTTCATTCTTTTAAATGGGGACAATTTAGCGGTCTCCACAGCAAACTCAAACTCCTCATTTTATGTAAGACGGAATGGGTAAATGCCATCGCTAGTGCGCTCTTCCAATGGACGATTACCAAAGCCTCGTTGTGGCTCAATTCTTCGAACCACTGCCAAACCTCTCTCAGGAATCGTGTCACCAGTTTGCATTGCACCGCATTGCTCCAATTGTTCTCCCCAACACCACCGGCAAGGTAGGTGTTCAACCTAGCCCATTCCAGGGAAAGCATGAGCTATACCGTCATATTACACACTCATTCCACGGACGCAAATCATCGTATTGCCGTCCAGTTCCGGAGCGACAAGCAAGACCTTTTCGGAGTCACCGAAGCTAGCCGCATTCATGGACCTATTGTACCCCTGGTAACATACCAGGGCATATACGAAGAGCTCTTTGTGTACACATCCCCTTTTGCCGAAGGGATACCATATATCAGTGTCTTGATGTCTTCGAACGACTTTCAACTGCCGCTTGAGAAGAAAATAGCGACTGTCACAGGCCTTGCAAACCTCATTACCCGAGGAGCCAGAACGAACACTGCTGTATTTGATACTGCTATATCTAACCTCACTTTTACCCTTGAGAAACCCGTCATACGGTCAATAAGTACATTTTCCGACATGCAACCCTCAGAAACAAAGTTTCTGCTTGTATCAACAAGCTCCTACTACAGCTATGCGATATCGCTACACTTCCCGTCACCCTTGCCCATCAGGATCTCGCCCCATTCAATTACCTCATTGACGACTGTACGGGCCGGGTTCAAGCTGTACTAGATTGGGATGGTGCTCTTTACCTCCCAGTCGGGTCTAATTTCCATTCCATAGATAACCTTTTCGGGTTCATGACCCCAAGTTGTTGGCAAGACACGGAAGATCGTAAGGAACTAGAAGAAGCGTTCTACAATCAGGCTCTAGATAGTCTTGCTGTGAAGGGGTTTAGCGGAATAACAAAAGAGCAACTAGAGTCGCAGAAGGCGATCGGGATACTGCTGTATGGTGTGGAGCGGCTTCTCAGGTTCAAAAACGAACGAGCCGAGCACTATCTGGAGGGATATCTTCAAGCTTTGTCTTTCATGAGCGGATTCATTTTCTCGTATTATATCAGTTATGGATGGGACCTCGATGAGGGCGTTAAAGAGCGCCGGAGTAGAGTGTGGGCGGAGTAACTTACAGACGATCGACTATGCTAGATCAAAAGAAGGGAAACCTAGGGTCAAACGAAGAGGGTAAGCCAGAAGTTCACCATGTCCTCTCACGCACGAAGACCCTCTTCACAGCCCTTATACGAAGACGGTGCCTATCCCCCCGACTCGAAGTAGAGGCACACCTATGAAGGGGATGACGATGAGATTGCACACTAGGCACGGTTCTACTGCGTATTGGTGAAATCTCGCATTGAAGAAGTCCTGCAAACACCTATGACTTGGCCAGCCCCGTGACCTACAATCTTTGCACTTTCTTTAAGAGTATCCTTCTCACCACGTTCGTTACATAGCGGTATACAGATACATAAGCAGGGGTCAAGCAGTTTTACGAGTATCATTCCTATACGTCCGTGTATTATGTCTAGATCACAGAGACTAAGAACTATCCTATTAAAGTAATTAGACCCTAGTGGAGTAGAAATAGGGTGATGATGTCCCATGCAGCGGCTCCCTTCGTGGTGAAAATGACAGCCATTGAACACAGAAACCGTAACAACAAGTCTGCCAAAACACCAGGTAAACTTAGCTTCACGCCCACATTTTGCCCAATCGATGTTGCTGATTAAATTAAAACTATTTAGGTATGCCCCTACGGGAGAAACTTTCGTTGGAGATCTTCTGGCTTTTGCATCGGTAGGAGCCTCGTCTCAGCGGATATTGAGCGATCTGTAGGCAGAGCCACGAAGCCACGGTGCCCTCAGTAAAGTTTCATGTGAAGACTCATTTGATTTTGATCTAGGTTGAAAGACTCAGAGTCGCAATATATGAAGATTGTAACCACAAACGAAGAAAATAAATCGCTGGATCATGGTTTGCAAAAAACAAGAGATATTCATCAATCTGTGGAACGAAATATAGTTACAAAATCGCTTCTAAAGATTTATGAAATCAAGGCACCCAATATACACGACCTCCTCCATACGTCCAAGATTAATTGGGGATTTGACCACTCCAGAAGCTCTTCTCCAACGTCGCCGACGCCGCGGGATCATCTCGATCCAAAGGAGCCTCAGTATCATCCTCCGGCACGGGATGCATAACCTGCAGACTCAACTTCGGGTCCAAAGAGTAAACACGCAGCCCAACAACACAGACCGCATTCCACGGATCCTCAGCCGGACCCTCCAGATTTGCGAACGGAGGACGATTTTTCGGCGATTCAATTGGCATGTCCAAGTCACTATCGAACTCGAATCCATCCAGGAGTTCCAAATCGGTAATATCCAGATTATCATTGGCAAGACGGGTGTTCAAACTTGGACGGGGAGATTCTGTTCTCCGACGCGTTGAACCCGAGCCACTTGCGTGTCGGGCGTGAAGGCCATTGAATTGGATGGTTGGCACTGACCCGCTTGTACCGTTCGTAGCGGGTCTGCGATCACTCACATCGCTGGAGATACTACCAACTTCAGTCGGTGACTGAGTCGCCTTGGTATCGGCGAGGATTTGGCCAGGAATAGGCCCGCGATCTGGCGAGGCACCATTTGTCATTCTGCGCGGTCGTCGTGCTGCCTGGCGCTGTTGACGAGCAGACATTTTGCGCTCCCGAATCCACTCCTTTTGCAGCTTGCGCTTGGTCTCGTCGCGGAGTTTCTTCCATTCGCAGGCCTTTCGGCGCTCCGATTCATATCGTTCTTGATCGGTTTCCGCGACTAGACCCTTTGCGTGCGCGAGATCGTAGGATAGTCCGACTTGCACGAGCTTTTCGCGGTGGGTGGACGCTAGGCGGCGGACGGTTTCTTCGGTTGATTCTTCGTCGTGTCGGTAGGCGGTGATTTTCATGAGGACTTGGTAACGGCCGGGCTCGAGGTCGATTTCGGCATTGACGGATCGGGCCATGAAGTGGCTGCTGTGGCTGCGGACCATGTAGTCTTCGTCGCCTTCTTTTTGGAGCCGGAATTTGAGCACGAAGCTGTATTCGCCGGCGAGACCTTTGAAGTATCGGGTGTCCAGCTGTAGCTGTTAGTATGATGGATATTTTTCAGTAGAATGAATACATACCTGAGAAAGCACGATGACAGTAGGTCCAGCCTCGGTCACGTTCATGACAAATTTGGTGCTGTGATAGTCGGCAGACCAAGGGACATTCAGGGTAGTCCACTGCTGAGTGATGGTCCATTCATCTCCAAAGAGACGAGTCCGGTCGAAATGTTGATATTTCTTGAGCAGATCCTCATACGAGATCCAGAAGAATCCATCATCCCCAAACTTGTGCCCCAATAAATCCATCCACTCCGTCGTCCACTCCTTCGATCCATCACCCCAAGCACCATGCCATTCCTTCTTTCCCCAGGGGTTTCTCAGTCGCAGTAACCTCTTGCCCTTGACTTCTCTCGCTTCCATGATCGAATATGAGTGATTCTCCGAGATACCCTTCCGATCGCGCGGCGGGGACCGTGTATCCAACCAGTTCGAGAATAAACCAGTACCACAACCAAACAAGAACTCTTCATTGACCTTCATGAGCTCTTCTGCCCAGAACCGGTCCTTGTCCAGAATGTTACTAGACAGGACTTCCGACGTTACACCTCCAGTCAAATCCTCGATCGCTTCACCAACGAAGCCGCCTTCAATGGCGGAATAATCACCGTGAGCTTTGGCGAATGCCTTTTCCAGGAGAGGCAGCCAGGTTTCATTGGGATCCACGCATTGCGCAAAGTACAGTGCCCGTGAGCCCGTCTGCCAGACACGGCGGTACTCTTCTTCGGTGTCGTTGCGGTTGATCAGATCCCAAGTCATTCGCTCTTCGTTGGACTCGTCGTAGTCTGCAGCTCGGAGATATAGTTTGTCATCCACGATGCATTGCTGCCATTCGCCGTCTAGCATACGCTGTCAGTCATGCATTCTCACATTTTTGGGACTGGAAGTGTCCACCTACCGCGATAAAACACGAATCCATAAATACCAACAGTCTCATCACGAGCAACGCAGATCTTCTCGATCAAACCGTCCTTGTTACCCATTGTGCACAGCGCAGCCATCAGCCAGCAGTCACCATCATACCCTTGACGCACATCCGATGCCGTCGGTCCATTCACATAGAACTGGGGGTTCTCAAAGATTTCCTAGTATCCAGATCAGCAAAATCGCCCCAGAATAATGCAACTCCAATCTTCCACCTACCGTAACTCTCTTCACACCCCTCGGCTTCATAATATCATTAACCTTATCCAACTCATCCAAATAATGTCTCCGATTCGACTTAAGATCCAACTCAATATCAAAATGCGGATCCGTATACTTCTGATTAACCCGGCGACACTCCTTAACAATCCGCTCAACGGACGTCTTACACTCCCGCCGCGCCTGTTCGTACGATTTCACCGCTGCGTGGCCCTGAATCACACCATTAGGCACACGTTTCGCCCTCGTGCGCGCATACGGATTATCAGGCAACACCGTATACACTTTTCCGGGGTACTTGGTGTTGAATTGTTCCCAGAACTGCTTGACGAGTTCTTGTGGGGCTTGGCGACGGGCGCGAAGAGGGGGTCGACTATTTGAGCGTGAGGATGCTGGGGGCCCCGTGTTGCCGAAGCCCATTTCGTCGTCGTATTCCATTGTCAAGGAGAATATGTAGAGCAGTGGGCGGTTGTTTGCAAATAAACTATTTCCAGGACTCCGCACTGGGGAATGGAAAAAGAAACTCGACCGTGGTTCTGAGCGGGGCGGGGAAGAGTTAGAAGTAAATAATAACGATAGGGTATCTTTTTTCTTCTTTGGTTAGACTTTGGTCGTAGTGTAGGTTATTTTTCGCACTGACCAACACACTGACAGAGATTCACTTCCAACGGGGGCCAAAAAACGAGCAGTGCCTGCTATTAATAAGAATAAGAACCCTAGCGTAACTTATCAAGTCCAGTCCAAGCCTCCTTTCTACTCACTCTTCCTTCTCCAATTTACCCACATTTGTCACTCGTGTCCCGCACCGGAGCTGCCGAGCACTAAAGCACTAAACTTGCACCGGGCCTCCGGATTCGCGGATTCCATGAAATGCATGGGCTGGCCACCTTAGGCGTTCGCCGTAAGGCTGCAGGTGCGTGCGTTAGACTCACGACCAGCCACGAATAGAAATCAAAGTAGACAGGCCAATATCCCTCGCGTGGCCCCCAAATTAAGTTATTGTCAGACCTGCTCAGCTTGGAATGCCTCGCCGCGCCCCGAGAGAAACGGCCCCCAATGGTTCCGCCCCGGAATAGTACATTGCTACGGACCTACACTAGGGTAGTGTAGTTAGTTAGTGCAGTACGTCCCATGGACTGGTACAGAGATGCACTCCTGCAGAAACCTGGCATGAAACTCCGTTACCGTTCCTAGAATATGCATGATGAGGACCTGCTGGGTCTGCGGTTTCCAAGAATAGCGTATAATATAGAACAAATAGTCGAATACTCGTGTCATTCATGATTCATCGTCAAGCTTGTTTCGTATCCGCTCTGTAACTCTGTCCGTAGAGTGGGGCCTTTGTTCAGCTTCTGACACGAGCTGGGGCACTTTGAATCGGTGGCGTCTGATTCGCTGGTTGACCGTGGCTGAGGATGATAAAGAATACAGGGAAATCGAGTCCGAGCGACGGTGTAACACTAGGGATCTAGACTGGTTGCGCTTCATAATTAATGGAAGCTGACATCGGCTGAGAATGCTAGGTCCCAAATTACAACTTCTACACGAGCGGGGATCGAGATAATGTTCTCGAAGAAAGAAAAAAGAGTTTCTGTTTTATCCACCGAAAGGGGTATGTACGCCTTGCATTTCACTAAAAGCAACGTTGATAACAGAGCAAAACCCGCCCTCCTTAGTCACTCCCCATCCCAGAAACGCCAGATACAGAGAATGAGAAACTGAACAAGTAAAAGAAAAAAGACATCATAGGTCCGGGGTCGGCGTTACCGTAAATGCGATCTCCGACGTCAAGCTAAGGGGTACATGAATAGATCAGGAACGAGATCGTCTTTTAGTGGAAGCCGTTGCGGGGGGCGCCGACTGTGCGGCCCGAGTAGTACGAGCTGCCGTTCTTGAAGTATGGGTGCATGCACGCCTGCTTGGCGGACAATCGGTGGGCGGGATCGTATTCGAGGAGCGCCTCCAGCAGGGCAAGACCATTCTCCTCCAGACCGGGGACAATGGGGGCATCGGGGCGCTTCCATTTGGGGAAGGTAGCCTTGTAATCGGGGAAGGAGGTGACACCGGGCCATTCGACCTCATCGGGGGTGCCGAGGACACTATAGAAAGGAGAGTATTAGATTCATGGGCACAGTGATTTGTTTAAAATGGTTGCATACCGGAAGATCTTGAAGATCTCGTCAATTTCAGAGTCACCGGGGAAGAGTGGCTTGCGAGTGCACATCTCGGCGAAGATGGCACCGACGGACCACATATCGACTCCGGTGGAGTACTGACGGCCACCAAGCAGGATTTCGGGGGATCTGTACCAGAGTGTGACGACCTATGATGGACAATTTAGCATTTTGAGACGATTGGCATCTCTCTGTACTCAGTACATACCTCGTGGGTGTAAGTACGCAGGGGAACACCAAAGGCACGGGCCAGACCGAAATCAGCCAGCTTCAGGTTACCGTCACGGTCGATAAGCAAGTTCTGGGGCTTCAGATCACGGTGCAGAATGCGGTGACTATGGCAGTAACGGATACCCTCAACCAGCTGGGCCATGAACTTCTTGACAATGGCATCACCCAGTCCCAAGTGGCCGCTCATCATGGTACCATCGGGCAGGGCCTTACCCCGACCGCCCTCGCTAACCGGCAGAGCCTCCATGTATTTCTTCAAATCACAGTCGAGGTACTCAAAGACCAGGTAGAGCTTGTGACCGTCGGCGTGGACAATGTTGAACAATTGAACGATGTTGGGATCCTGCATCTCCTTGAGCAGGGAGATCTCGCGGATGGCAGTGCTGGGAACGCCTTCATCTTCAGCCTCGAGACGGATCTTCTTCAGGGCGACGATACGGTTGGGGTGGTTCAGTTCGCGAGCCTTGTAGACGACACCGTACGTTCCTAGAGAGTGTGGACGCGTGAGATCGGGGTGAACATAGCCAGACAAAGGGACCATGTTAGGGACACCAACCTTCACCGATTTTCTCGATCTTCTGATAGTTCTCCATTGCGGATGAACCTGCTGGGGCAGATGAGCCTGCTGGGAATGGTCTTCGGACCATCATCTTAGCTGAGGAACAAGAGTCGTGGAATGAAGGTGACACAGATAGAGGAGAACACAGGTTGGAGGGATTGGGAGAAAGGTAATGGGGGAGAAGCAAGGAGGGAGACGAGCGGGAAGGAGCTGATAAAGCGAACCTACACTGGAAATTGGATCTTCAAGCCGCTGCAGTGGTTAGTTCCAGGCCCCACGCCGAGATATTTGTCGCGGTTGTCGAGATTGTCGAAATTGAAGATATTCGCAGTCAGAATCGCATGGTGGGGAGGCCACAAAAACAAACAACCTCCCCGCGCCGCCAGAAGGCGGTGAAGCGCGTACCTTGTCCTTGTGCGGCGCTTCGCCGATCATCTCCGTCGAGATACTTTCACCATGGCCCAAATCAAAGGCCTTAATGCTCATGATCGCCCGCCAGAGGCTGTCCGGCAATGCTACAAAAAATTCACACGATGCTCATTATCAGATATCGACCATGACCCCGGGGTCCTCGACCTGCAACGACTAGATCCTGACCGGCTTCCTGCCAGCATCACCGTCTCGCAATACATGTCCAGTCAAGATCTTCGGCTGGCATTTGATGATTTCATTCGCGGTGGACATGCCTCAGACAAAGAACATGCGCCTTTGGCTGAGAACATACCTGTTTTTACACACAATGCAGTATCTGGTCAGCACCGACTTACCTTAGCTACCCTGACACTGACCAGCCAGGGAATATGAAGCAACCTAACTCCGGACAGGCCTCCTGATGATACCCTCACTATTCCCTCCCACCGTTCAAACCGAACTACTATCTCGTCTACTCCACCGCGACCTGCCCAACCCCGAACATAAGACCAACCTGCACCTACACTACGACGTCACATATCCCGAGACCTTAAAGAATCAAGACACCCCGCAGTCATTCTTCGCGGATGATCCAACACGAGTACTCCAACCAAAGGATCCCAAAGTGCATAAGCCGCTTAATATCCAGAGTGTGTTGGAAAAGAAGCTCAGGTGGGTCACCTTGGGTGGCCAGTATGACTGGACTGCTAAAGTATACCCATCTGAGGCGCCGCCACCCTTCCCACCGGACGTGGCGAAGCTGTTGAAGGCGGCATTTCCAGAGACAGATGCCCAAGCAGCGATTCTGAATCTATACTCCGCCGGAGATACTCTCAGCGCGCATCGCGACGTTAGTGAAGAGTGCGACGTAGGCTTGATCAGTGTGAGTTTTGGCTGTGATGGTATATTCTTGATAAGCCATGATGATGGAAATGGTGCGGAAGTCATTCGACTTCGGTCAGGTGATGCCGTGTACATGGATGGTTCATCGCGGTTTGCCTGGCACGGCGTCCCCAAGATCTTGCCTGCCACCTGTCCCAGCTGGCTGGCGGACTGGCCATGTGTTGGAGAAGATGCGGCTGGCTCTGCATATGAGATGTGGAAAGGATGGATGTCTGGGAAACGGATCAATCTCAACGTGAGGCAGATGACCAGTTTTGCTCCATGAAGTAGCGAAAGTGGCTTTGCTATACAAACCGAGAAACGCCATTTGGGGTCATGGCTGCTTATTGAGCTATCGATTGCAGTCCTGTCACTGCTATGAAGGCTGAACTGGCCATCATAATGAGGTTTGGCACTGATATCGCAGGTCTCTACACCTCAAAGTGCACCCCAACCCGTCTCCAAAATGACGCCGTGTCTTGGAGAATCCCTGCGATGTAATCTTCATCAGGGCATGTTGGGGTCGAGACACTGATATCAAGATGGAATACCCCATCGGATGGTCTTGGAGTCGATTGTCGAGTCTTTTTTGATAGGCCGTTGATAGCAGCACATCGCGGAATTTCATGTTCCGCTAATGTTCTCCACCACGTACTCTGTACAACACACCTCTTCTCAAATACACAACATAAATATGTCAGTAAGCGACGTAAATACGAGGCTGATTCTTGGCATATCAATTCCTGATGATTCCGAGGTTATTAGCCCTCGTTGCTTATCCTGTCTGCTCCGCGTCAAACCGTCTCCAAATGACCCCAACCCCAACTTCCCCGCCCACGCGATGAGAGAGAATAACTACTGTGAAGCAAACCCGCATAAATAACATAGCTCTCCACAGCATCCAAGGCTAAGACTGTAACTGACTGACTACACTGATCTCGAATAAATTTCAATCTACAATAAACAATGGCTACTGAATCTCCCTGGCGTGTCCAAGGCGAAGCCAAACGCCAATCTATCCTCGACGCCATCCCCGCCAAATGGCGACTGGCAGACCCCGTTCCTCCTCCCACGGAGCTACGCGATGTAACCGAAAGCTATATCCAGCAATATCTCAGCGAGCGTGAGATTGAAATTACCGAATCTGATGCCGTTGACATTGCAGCGCAAACGACTACGGGTCGCTGGTCTGCCGTCGAAGTTACGGAGGCCTTTTGTCATCGTGCTGCGTTGGCGCATCAATTAGTATGTCACTTCTCAGTATATAGCACTGATCTTGATTGTAACTAATTAATGCTCGTCCAGGTCAGTTGCCTACACGAGATATTCTTCGACGCAGCCATCGAAAACGCAAAGAAACTAGACGCCTACTTTGCAGAGCACAGGCGTCCCATCGGCCCATTACACGGTCTCCCCGTTAGTCTAAAAGATCAATTCCACGTCAAAGGCGTCGAAACGACCATGGGCTACGTCGGTTGGATCGGTACCTTCCAAGGCAAAAAGGACGACCCACGCTTCCGCACAGAAGAAAGCGAACTCGTACGAGAACTGCGCAATCTCGGCGCAGTCCTCTATTGCAAGACCAGCGTTCCAGCTACCCTCATGTCCGGCGAGACAATCAACAATATCATCGGTTATACATGGAATCCGAAGAACCGCCTCTTATCCTGCGGCGGCAGTTCCGGTGGCGAGGGCGCGTTGATCGCTTTACGCGGTTCACCTGCTGGTTTTGGTACTGATATTGGTGGGAGTGTTCGGATTCCTGCGGGGTTTAATTATCTTTATGGGCTTCGTCCGTCATCGGGAAGAATGCCTTATCAGGGCGCTGCTAATTCGATGGACGGGCAGAGTACTATTTTATCTGTAGTTGGACCGCTTGCGCCTACGGCGCGGTCTTTGACGTTGTTGTTTAAGAGTGTGCTTAGCCAGCAGCCCTGGTATCATGATCCGCTTGTACTCGAGCTACCGTGGCGAGATGCGGTTGTTGAAGAAATTCGTTCTTGGATCGAGCAGGCAAAGGCCGGAAAGTCAACTCTGGCCTTTGGTATCATGCACTGGGATGGTATAGCGCGCGTCCATCCGCCTATTGCTCGTGGATTGAGAATCGTCGAGCAGACATTGAAACGACTCGGCCATAAAGTTATTCACTGGAGTCCGCCATCTCATGCCATCGCCGGCACGTTGGGTGTAAGTCATGCCTCTTCATTCCGAACAATAAATCCCTCACTAATCCAAACCAGCACCAAGCATTCAACATGGACGGCGGCGCCGATGTAAGCCACCATTTCGGTCTATCCGGTGAATCTAAAGCAGCCCAGATTATAATCAACGACGGCGTCTCGATATCCATGACCGAGCTCGCCGCACTGAATATCGCTAAACGCGAGTATCAGAAGCAATACATGGACTACTGGAACAGCACTGCAGGACTGACAGGTACCGGGCGTCCCGTTGATGGACTCTTTTGTCCACTGGCACCCCATGCGGCGGTCATCCCCAATGAGTACCATTATGTGGGATATACCTCTTTCGTCAATGTTTTGGATTATACCAGCGTGGCAGTGCCAGTTACATTCGCGGATAAAAATGTCGATGTGCATCCAGCGGATGCATCTGTCGCTGAGTCGGCGGAGCATATTGAGTGGAAGTGTAAGTTATGATTTGTGATTGCTTGTTAGGGTATTTAGCTAACGTGGAGTACAGATGATGCTGATACATACCACGGCGCTCCGGTGGGAGTTCAGTTGGTTGGGCGGAGACTGCAGGAAGAGAAGATGCTTACTCTTGCTGAGTATCTCGGCGACGAGATCTCCAAGACTGTTCAAGCAAAGTAGGTGATTAAGAGGAATTGAACTTGAGCTCTTTCTGGATGACCATAGCACGGAAATCTTAGCTGATTGGATGGACTTTCGTTCATCACATTACGGTGAACCAATTCTCAACTTTAGCTGTGAACAATTTAGTGGGAATCATGCGTCTGCGTGTATGATTGTATGTTCATTGGGTATATTATATGTAACGAACAGCCCCGTAAGGGGTGGCGAGACTTTTTGCTCATTGGTAATTCGACCCAACGCTTTCAGTGGACATAGTAGTATGATCATCCGCGAGACGCGGATGGAGGTGTCTGCCCTGACGGAGCAGCCAAATTAGATAAGAGGGGAGTAGATGAAGGCCACGACCCAGGGCCAGGGGGTCTGGTTGTCGCCGGCTCGGCAGTTGAGAGACCCTCGGATCCATTCATCAATCGTGGACGCTTAGCCTGTGGACCAGGAGCGCTAGCACTCGGTGGGCTGCGAGGATCAGCATGGGAATAAGGTGAGGCATAGTTGGTCGACGATGCCGGGGTAGATGCGTTGGCAGGATCTGGGCTCATTGCAGCAGTGTTTTGCAAAGGTCGCAAGCGATTCGGGTGAGTCGATGTATCCTCACCTGGTCGCGGGGGACGAACATCGTGGTGAGGATTATCCGAGTCCAAAGGGTGCGCGGTCGAACTATGGCCCACTCCACTGCGTCCCATACTCTTATCATGCATCACAACACGCTTCCATTTGGAGACTACACTATCAAAGTCCCACCTTGAGGATTCAGGACTGATCTGGCTTCCCTTCTCATCCAATTCGCGTGCCACATCTCGGGATATTGGAAGCGTGTCTGGTGGGAAAAGAGCGAATTCGCGTGGCCATTGGCACGAGCCCAATCGTTCGACCTGCGCGCGAAGCTGATTCGCTTCCTGTTGCACCCGGGCAAGTTGCTCGTCCACAGACTTGCGCTTCTCAAGCTCGCGGGCGAACGCGCGCGTGATCTCAAGCTGCCACGCTTCGCGGCGGGTTTCATGGGGGAGTGTGTTCCAATGATTGAAGGCTAGTTCCAAGTGCCGAATAGACATTTCCTCGTGTTGATGTGCTGTCCGATAAATCATGGAATTGTCAAGAGTGGCCCCAACATTCCCTGGGCGCACTGCCGAGTCTTTGGAGAGGAGTTGATCGGATCGCCATTGTGCGACTTTGGAACGCAGCGCCTGGCGAACAACGTCGAGGTGTTCCCTGCCTGGCGGTTGGAGTGGGAATGAGGTCGGGGATGAGAAAGGATGAGAGGCGAACAAACTCGGTGGAGGAGGGAGGAGCTGTAGACAGAGGGAGGGGAAAGTCTGGGCCTGGATCTCGAAGTCGAATGGTGAAAGGCGTGGTCGAACTCGGGAACTATAATCGCATTGTCAGCTTTGATGGGACAGGAGCCGAAGGAAAGGAGTCGAAACGGGACATACGTTGCTGCCTTGATGTTATCTAGCACCTCGCGCAATGCCAGCTCCAGTGCTTTCATGGTATCTGGATTATTCGCGGTGGCTCCTCGGGACGCGAAATCCGGCAACTGCAATGATCCCGCTCGTGATTGAGCAGGCGCGATTCGAGGCCCATCTGCAGTACGACTCGGGTTGGGTATATCGTTGATCACGCCTGTTGCGTGCCAGGTGGGAGTGTTAAACATCATGCGCACTGGAGCGTCGCGTGATTTGGAAGCCGAACTTCCAGCTGCATTGGTTCCAGGCGGGCCCTTTCTTTCCGCCTGGTCTGGGCTGCCATCGCGCTTGCCAGAGCTTGTGCGAGCCTGTCGACGAGTGATTCCACTTCGGATGCGCCGAATCTCCTCCACATCGTGAATCCCATCCGGCTTCTTTTTGAACAGGAACTGGTCCAGATGACGTCCCAGTGACGATGATGTAAATGCCTGCCCGCAGTATTGACATCTCCGATCTTTGAGAGCCGGGTTGATTGCTGATTTGGAGGCTGACTCCTGGTCATGTTGGTCGTCGGCTTGCGACTGCTCAGGTGTGTCTCTGGGGACTGATTCCGTCATGATGGACAGCTCGGGGGAGGCGGAAAGGGTGGAGCAGGAAAGAATTCACGCGAAGGTGGAATGGATGCAAGTGCTCACGTCTCATGCACTCATCACACAGGGAGTACACCTCACACGCGCGACAAATTGGGGAGGGAAGAATTGGGGGCGGAGGTGAAGCGAAGTTCCAAGGAGGCACCCCAGCGCCAAGCTTTGGCGCGCAGACTTGATGCGGACCCGCTCACGAGGGCCGAGGGCTTGTTTACATAAGGAGATTAAAATTCAGCCAGGTGCTCAGGTTTAGATCAATGAAATTGACTTTAAAATGTTGAGTCTGTTATGTGAGCTAAACTATGCTACTGAGGTTTTTCTTCCTCGGTGGCTCTATGCAGTTGCACTTCATCCATGTAATACTCAGTCAGCCCTGATGTAACCTAACTGGGGCCCACCACCCTTAGGTTTTCCAGCCGAGAAGAATATGGAATTGCAATTTGGAAAGTTTAGGATAGGCAAAGAAAAGCAATGTTTACATTTAGATACAATTGGAAGAGATTGTGAGATATACGGCGAGTTAAGTCGGAAAGGTCACTACCTCCGGGTCCAGATAGATTGGGACTAAAGCCGCGTGTTCATGAGGATGGAACTACAGTGGTCCACCAAAGCCATATTTCAAATCACAATTTAAAGGAAAAACCAGGAGCTTTTGATATCGAAATCATTTGTAAAAGCAATTTTAGGAAAATTAGCAAGACCTGTCCAGTAATAGGAAGCTTGTGCACGGGCGTTCCACCAAGTTAGGGTTAGACCATTTCTCTCCCAAGTCGGGCTTTTGACTAATTGATTACTCTATATTTTCTAAAAAAAAGGAAAGAATTGAGTGAAAAGAAGTTATTCTTAAGGTGCAGTTATCCCTACATGAATTTGTACCCGCCTGCTACCCTTGAGCGAATCGAGAAGTGTAGAGGATCTCGCCATGGTTTTGAGACAGTATCCAGATATTGGGATGCTCTAGATACGGTCCACTCCATTCCCCTACCAGGTCGAGCTACCTAGGATCGCGCAACGAAAACCCTTTAAATAAAGAATTGCCTACTGCACCATAGGCCATAACCTTACGTCTCCAAGGCCGCCCATCCAATATAGTTCAATGCGCAGCATTCTTGACCTTTTTGGTCTTGCGCTCACTAAGCCAACGCTTAAGACCTCGAACTCCATGAAGGTATAACCAAGAAAAGACGAAGAGAAGCATGAAATTGAAGATGACGAAAGCCCATAATATCCCCTACTCATGAATATTCAGATGGTGTAAGAGAGAGGTAAAGGTAAAAAAGACTCACATAATCTCTCCACTTATTAGAATAGAAGACGTTGAAACCGGCAGCCTGCCGAATTGTATCATGGTCAGTCCACACTCCATGTATATATTAGGACACCGAGTAGAGCAACTCACAAATTGATTGCCCGTCGAGTATTGACAAAATGCACATAACCCATTTCCAGCATCACGGAGACGACCACCCGATTTTTGCGCATACGAACCTGCATATTCTTGGCATGTCAAGCCAGGTGGAGGACTGAAAAATGCCTCTTCACGCTCAACGCAGCGAACAGGTACATTATGTGTGACCACGCCCAACAGACCTTCAAGCAGGTAGTGGAACGGTGTGAGCCAGTACATCCACGACTGCCAGAAGTGTGGCAAAGCAACATAAGGCACAACGACACCACAGAAGGAAACGACGAACGTGAAGAATGAGGGAACCAGTAATGATGCGAACAGCTCATTTGGCGAAAAGGCCGCGATGAATTGCCCGAAGCCAACATAGAAGCATTCGAATAGCATAAGCATCATCCAGGTGTAGCCTGTACTGAAGGAATCCCTGGGGAACCAAACGCCCCAGTACCTGCATACTGTAAGTACCTATGTTCAATATGGGGCTCAAATATTGCATACCAGCAGTTGAAGTATATGGATCCGGCGACGATGGAATACGGTAGTTCTGGGAGAATGGTGCTAATTACGAATGCGACCCAAGAATAAATCTTGGAATTCGACTCGCGTGACTCGTAGATCCCACGGAAATGCAAGTAGCGTGGCTGTAGCTGCTGAATTAGAGGTGGGGAGATGGTCAAGGTCATGAAGATGGAGAAGAGTCTTGACTGCATGTCAATATAGCTGTTACCCAGATGCCAGAATGTAAAGGTGTTGAATAGCCCGGTGAAGATGTGCAGCATCATTTTGCCCTGCGTAATCCGACTGTCAGTATAGCTTGATAGCTTGGAGACAATAACAACTCACGAGGACATAATCGGGCAGCCTCCAATAAGCGACGAAGGCTCGCTTTGTCACTGCAACTATCTGAACGTATAGCGGCATAGCAAACTCGCGATCATCTTTGGTGACCCCATCTTGCCGCTGGTCACGGCGTGAACTGATGATATTCTCCAAATCTTCGGAAAGCTGCTTGGATTCAGAGGAGTTTTCCCACACATCACTCCAGTCTTGTCCTTCGTAATCAGGATTTCCAGCGCCGATAACTTCAAGAACGTACTATATTTTATGTAAGAACAAGCACAATTTTCACGAATTGACTCACTGACCTCTGCTGGGTTGGCTTTTGGGGGGCATTTCTTCCCCCCATTGCGCTCGAAATACTCAATCAGCGTTTTGGAATCCGAACCCAGGGCACCGTTGTAAACAACTCTTCCACCGCTCTGGAGCAGAAGCAGTTCGTCGAATTGCTCAAACAGCACAGCCGATGGCTGATGTATAGTACAGAGAACTGCTTGACCAGCATCCGCTAGTCGCCGGAGGAAGCGGACGATATTGAATGCGGCTAGTGAATCAAGACCAGACGTGGGTTCATCCAAGAAGAGCAAGAGTTCTGGTTTGCTGGCAAGCTCAACCGCAATAGTAAGACGCTTACGCTGTTCCTGATTCAAACCCGAACCGGCAGATCCGACGGTGGCTCCAGCAATTGAACGCATCTCAAGAAGATCAATGATTTTCTCGCAGTAGTCATACTTCTCCTGCAATGGGACCTCTTTTGGTTGTCGCAAGAGAGCAGAAAACCGTAGAGATTCGCGCACCGTGGCTGTGGGCTCATGTATGTCCATCTGCTCTGCGAATCCAGTTGCTCGTTGGAAGCTTCTAGGAAGTGGTCTTCAAACCCAATTAGTCTGCGACTAGGCACCAAATGAAGGCTCACTACTCACTTTCCGTCAACTAGAAAACTTCCGGCAACAACGCCAAAGTTAATTCGCTGAGCTAGCGCATTGAGAAGGGTAGTTTTCCTGAGAATCATTTAGTCAATGAATGTTGAACTGTCGGGAGGCTCGACTGTACCCTGCACCCGATGCACCCATTAATGCCGTCAGTCGTCCGGGCTTCACATATCCATTGACATTCTGTAACAACTTTCGCTGTCCACCTTTGTACGGAATTGTGTAATTCACGTTCTGCCACGTGAATATCGATGTGTTCTTCGCAATATCCTCGACCTTCCGATCGGCCTCATCATCTTGCATGCCTGAAGATCGTCCATCTTTCTCAGCTGACTCCATATCTGTTGGTGGTCTGTTGCCCTCAATTGCGTCTTCGACTGCTTTCGGTGCCTCTCCTCTTTTAAACAACGTGACAGAGCTCCCGCCTGCATTGGGCTTCTGAATCTCCATCCCGAGCATGGTTAGAAACACGAAGAAAAGAAACCAGGCTATGAGTATTCCAAAATTTCGCCACAGATGAGATCGAGAATAGGTAAATGCAGCCTTGATGTAGTCGGAACCTTGCACAACTAGATTGTCTGGACGGCTCCCCTGGATTGCGCAACTTTGATGTGAAGAAGATGCGTTGGGACCGTCAGGGACAATGTACGGCGGCTCACACTTTATCCCAAGATTGTGAAATTCATTTGCCATCAACGCTTCGAATGCGTATTGGACTGGGTTTATCCAGATTAGCCATTTTAGCCACGGGCGCATCTTCCATGGTGGAATCAGGTAGCCTGGGATGTAACAGTTAATGGGAGTCCTCTTGGAAGCAAATTGGCCTCGCTCACCAGTGTAAACAATGAGGGCTTGAATGGCAACTCCAGTGAGCCGAGTAGCTGGAATTAATTTAGTAAAGGGATCTGCAAATTTACTAGGATAAAGTCTTACTGACCAACATCCAATGATGCACACAGCGCTCCCAGTGAGCGGAAGAAGGAGTACATGGTCATGGTGAGAGTGAAGATGATTAAAAGGTTGATAAAAAACTGGGAAGCTGTTCGTGCGAGATTCGACATGCTGGGGAGAGCTATTAGCTTGGCTAAAATAACTCTTGACGGAGAGCGTACAAGTAAACAATGACATCAAAAAGAACCACTTGGATAAACACCAATGGGACATCCACGACAACTTGTGCGAGGGCGTATGCGGCGGGTCGATAGAAAGAACTATACAAGGTTAGAAGCGTCACTTGTATGGCCAAAGCATTTACTTACAAGCTCTTGTGTTTCATCAATATGGGCCGACTCTCGAACGCGGCAGTGAGTTCAGCCAGTGCAAGTAGAGCATTGAATAGAAGGATAAAGAACATCACACCCCCTCGTGTAAAGACTCCCGAGCTGTATAGGTTTGTTATTTAAGCAAATTGAGTTAGGGAATTCGGAAAAAAACGAACCTGGTGTTAGGAAGATTGTAAAACAGGCTTCCTACAATGAGAGCCTGAAAGACGAGGACACCCCATTTGCCAGCTAGAGCAGCCCTATCACCAAACATGACAAGAAATTGGCGATGTGTGAGAATCGTAACCTGCTTCCAAAATGGAACAGTATAGTTCTTCTTGGTCTCTTTGCTTCTGGCAGCCTCTCTCTCATGCTTCTGAGCTTCAATCTCGTCCTCAAAGCTTTCAATGTCGGTAAGCGTCACTTTGAAAACATCGCTTTGCCGATACGTAGCTTGGAACTCATCAGCAGTTCGTGGGATCCGATCTTCCCATCCAGGCTTGACTCTTCTTGCATTAGGATCACTGACAGAGGTCAGGAAATCAGGTGTTGTCCATCGTGGAGGACATTCAAATCCTAGATTTTCAAAATATGCCTTCGCCTCTTCGGTACGACCGAAGAATGCGCACTTCCCACCTTCAATCAGAATGACCTTATCGAAAAGATTGAAGAGATTCTCTGAAGCCTGATAGAGAGCTACTAATGTCGAAACATGTGCTGTATTGGTGAGACTTCTCAAGCTCTGGACGTACTCGAGCGCAGTACTTGCATCAAGGCCCCTCGTCGAGTTATCCCAGCATTGGGTGCTGGCTTTTGTTACCATTGCTTCACCGATGGAAACTCGCTTTTTCTCTCTAGCATTTGATGGTTTAAGCATGATATTGACACGGATTTCCTTTTAGATTCACTTACCCTCCCGAAATCCCGCGAATCAATTCATTCCCAACCCGGGTTCCAAGGGCATGTTCGATCCAGAAGAGCTTAGCGATTGCCGAGAGAAAGGTCTGTTGATAATCCTTTCGAGTTTCTCCTGGAATACGTGATGGTTTGTCTGGGGTTCGAGTTTTGAGTGCAAATAGCAAGGTATCTCTGACAGTCAACGTGGCATAGTGAAGATCATCCTCGGGATTGTATAATACTGTATGGTTTAGTATGTCTCATAACGAATACTCAAGGACCGTGAAATACCTTCTGAACGATACTTCTTCTTCATGGTGGTGGAGTCAGTTCCCCCGTATCGAACATCCCCTTCGACACTCTCATAACCATAGGTTTGATTCCCGATTGCTTTCAAAAATGTTGAGCATCCTGACCCAGGGCGCCCTAAAACCAGCAGCATCTCCCCTGGATGCACGCATCCCTTGGTTGAATGTCAGACCCAACATACATCTAGGCTCAGCTTGAAGACGTGTTACATACCGTGAAATCATCCAAGATGGTCCGTATCTCTGGCTTCCCAGCTCCAGCACCCTTCCTTCCACGAGTCAAAAGCCCGTTTATGCGCCTCGGCAAACCAAAAAATATATCTCCATTGGTTGGTTGAAGAGCTGCTCCAAGCCCTAGGCCTTTTACTGTGAGATTTTTCCAAATAACGCCAACGTGTCTGGTCTGCTCTTCTTCGGAATTGGCCTTTCGCTCATGCCCAAACATGCGCGAAATCAATCGCTCGATCTGTGCCCATTCTGCACCCTCATGGCCGGAAGCATGGCTCCGTCGACTAGACAAAGTCTTAGCAAGCGCACCGTTATTTAGGCTCTCACCCTCAGAGAACATTTCAGGTTCACTCGACGCTGTACTTTGTATTGAGCCATCAATATCTGGGTTGTCGGATCGCGATAACGGACTGGTTTTTGCGATTGTGCATTCTGATGATGGATTAGCATTATTTTGATGATTTTCTGGCGTCATTTCGCTCTCGATGGACTGATTTGGATCCATACTATCACCCATATTATGGAGGAGATAGATGATTCAAGTCCTACAGCTTGGTGTGTAGCAGAGAGTCACACAAGGCGTAACCAGACAGATGCACAGTTGTCCTGAGCCGGAAGTAATTACGCTTGATAGATATTCAAATGGAAGGAAAGTCGATGTTCAGGATTCGTAGCGATTACGTCAAATATCACAATATCAAAACGACCAGCATTGTACTCGGTCTCGGAGGTTCAGTTTCCCGAGGACCTACGACAGCCTGACTAATATTACTTTGATCGCGAAAACGAGCTCAAATCCCAGTGAGATGACAAGCACTACATGAATTTTCTGATTATGTGAGCTGCATATCCCGATCTGGGCAGTGCCACCATACAAATTGTTCTCCGGATGCATGATTCCCGGATAGCGGAAGTGATCGATCATGAAGTCATCGATCTCATCAATGTTTGGGTCGAACTTAGCCGGGGAGGAGAAATGAATAATTGTTGATATGGGTTTATACGATTATTTTTGTACGGATGATTATATTTAAAAAGGGGCGGAAGTGCCTACTCAACCTTGAGTCAATTGCCAAGAACTCTCTCGCTCTTATATGTATGGTTACAGTTACCTTGAGATGCTGTGCCACAACAAGTTTTGAGCAAGAGCTACTTCGGTAAAATTTTCTGTTATCAATGATTGGTTTTTATTTCGGCAAGCTAAATTTTCTCGGTCACTCTGAGGAAAAGTAGAATGCTTTTTAGCTTACAGTGGCGCCCGTTATTGCCTTCCATGTTAACAACGCATGTGTACATAGATGGTCTTTCAAATCCTAATCACATGATGCGCTAAATCCCAAATGATTCGTGTGTAAATTATCAGTTTTGTATGTACGCGGCGAGGATGCTCGCTCTTGTAGAATCCAGTATTAAAGATACAACGGTCTACATAGGCTGAAATGTCCCGTGCAAAATGACCAAATTAGTCACTCTGGCAACTTCTCTCCTCCACCTCTCGGATGCTTCACTGCAGAGGGCCTGGAGTTTCGTCAAATATGGGGAGAAATGGTGGGCGGGATGCTTGAAACTCAAGATGACATTCAGACAGCCTGCGTGGGCAACTCTACGCAAGGCACAATGAGAGAATTAAAGCACTGGCGGCTATGCTATTAGGGTTTCCAGTCTTCAATTGAGGCTTCCTTGAAAGACATCATGTGACTGATTGAGCCTGATTCAAGCGGGGCCACAAATGATCATCTTGTTGTCTGTCAGACTCCTGTTGACTTCTCAATTCCGCCCCGGGGTTAGCCTTGGCCCCCATGCATTTATGCGCGGAGATGAAATTCTTTCTTTGCTTTTGACACCCTCAATGTCAATTTAAATCGGCGAAGAGTCGATCATCGAAGACACTCTCACCAAGATGACTTCGCGTATCCCAATGCCTGGATGGCTCGTTATACTCGGCCTCATCGTCTATTACCCTGTCATGGGCGCCTTTTATATCATTGACGGCCCGTCCATTGCATATCGAAAACTTAAAAAGAAAAAACCCATCCGACCTTTACCCCGTGATCGCAAACGTGCGTTGACACTTCCATTACCTGAATCGTCCTCGCCCTGGTACCGTAAGGGTTTGCGCCAGAAGACATTTGACCAATCGCAATCCCCATTCTTCCGACTAGCCCTCGAACTGCGGGAAATTATATACCATCAGGTAATTGTGCCTTCTGATGGAGTTGATCTTCACGTGGCTATAACGGGCTACCGGCTGTGTGGCATCCCGTGTAGTGAATCGGATTCTTCTCACCGGGGGTGGCAGCACAGCTGCTGGGGACCGCTCGATAGGAGCGGTCGCTCCATCAAATATTCCGATCCTATTCTTTCTCGTTCAAGCGGGATTTTTGGGCTTCTACAATCTTGTAGGAAAATGTGAGCCACTTCGCCTTTACTTCATGCTGTTACTTCTACTCTCTGACAGTCATCTAGGTATTCTGAATCTGTAGACCTGCTCTACACAGGAAATACCCTAAATTTCAGATCAACGAAAGCAGTAATGGCTATGGAACAGGTGATCGTGCCACATCGTTTGAATTCCATCTCTTCTCTCCATCTCGATACCCAGGCAATCCATCTATCGTTTAACACCAAAAACGGTAGTTTGAAATGGCCTACGGATGTGCTGTGGTATTGGAAAGGGGCATGTGATGTTCTTTCAAAAATGCAGGGTCTTCAAAATCTCGAAATCTCTTTGACTAGAGACAAGCTCTGGGCGTCCTGGGACCCCGATATCGACGGGTTGGCCTGGCTTTTACAACCCCTAATGGCCGTGCAACAGGTTTCAAACTTCAATGTGAATATTTACTGGCCCAGGCCAGTTGATCTAGAAGTACTTCAACGCGAGCTCGGGGGGAAGCCTCCCTTTCGCCTTGAAGTAGTGGTAACCGACATGCCTAACTGCCACCTCTAGATGGGTTAGGCCATATAAGTCTCAACCATTCAAGCTCTGCCTGGCACTATAATCTAGAGATTCCTGGGGTGATTTGGGTTCCTCACTGTCAGAAGTCCCCATAGTTATCTATCTCTCACGTGTAGGAAAAGTGGGCGTCTCAAATTGTTGTGTGGTACAGTGGTTGGTTGATTGAAATAGAGAAAAAAAAAACCAAGTAAGTCGAGGAGATAAGAGCCGTAAATATGATTCCTTTTGATGCAGTGTCAAACAGGAGCAGGCAGAAGATAATGTCGAGGCAAAGAGCAATAACTTACCGCATAGGTTTACTAAGGCACCCATTTTCCTTTCTGTTTTGTACAATAAATTACTGTGGTTTGCTTGCCATACGCTCAACGCAACACCGTGTCTCTGAACGATCTATGGGGTTTAATCTGGCACATGATCTTCGTTCTTTCTCCTATTTACAAACGAAATATTCATCCATGATTGGCCTCAGGGTGGCGGACATCTGTTCCCCCGCGAACACATCCTCTTGAGGCCGACTGATCACCCTGCCGACGACACCTGTCACCCTCGACGGCTATGGTCAGACTAGTCAACAAATTTGGGGGACTCGGTACGCTGTAATGAGTCGCTAAATCTCATGCTCCCTACCTTTCTCAGAATACGAGATTCTTCTCATATCTCCGCCAACATGCGCGTCATCCCCAAGCCCCCGAGATTTACCTGGAAAGATGCAACGGCACAGGTGAGTTTTTCCAAGCACCATTACATAAATCAGGGCGCGCTAAGTTTAATTCTAGTTTCATAGAAAAAAGAATCCCAGAAGAGGACTTGTATCGATACACCCGACATCGGATGGCTGTAAGCATCTCAGCTCGTCAGCTCAGTACATCGGCTCATTCACGCGTGAATATAGATTCAACGAAGAAAATGAACTTGCAAAACGCTATATGCTTGCTAACCCCGCTCAAGGCACTAGAATTACCAAATGTGTGGAAGGCCTGCACAATAAAGCCTTCATCTTGAAAATGGACAACGGGTCCGAAGTCTTCGCGAAACTCCCAAACCCCAACGCCGGACCTGCGCATTTCTCCGTTGCCTCGGAGGTCGCCACTCGTGAACTGGTAAGATATTCCATGTCGTTAGCTGTTGTCATTTCACTCACTGATATTCATAGCTTCGTGATGTCTTCGATATTCCTAGTCCTCGGGTCTTGTCTTGGTCTTCTGATGCAACAAACAATTCAGTCAAGGCCGAGTATATCATTGAGGAAAAGACCCCTGGTCTACGACTTGGCTCGCTCTGGAATAAATGGCCTCGGGAGCTGAAACTACGACTAATCAATCAAGTGGTTGATATGGAGAACGAACTGGCCAACGTTGGCTTTGACAAGCAGGGTTGCATTTACTTCAAGGAAGACTTGCGATCACTTGTCGGAGAAGCCGAAGACATCCATGCGCACAATGTTGATTGTGATCGATTTTCTGTTAGGCCGTTGACCACGAACGAGCTGTGGAGTGGAACTAGCATGAGCATGAAGCTGGATCGTGGCCCTTGTAAGTATTTGACGTATCGAATTTCCATTTCCTTGTTTCTCATACTTCCCCATGCGCAGGGAAAGACGCGCCTGAATACACTCGCGCAATCGGCCAGAATGAAATGGCGTGGATCAAGGCACATACTGTTCCTCGAATGAACTTTACCAGCCGAACCAGAACAGAGAGCTTCCTGAAGATGGTTCTTCCTATTTAGAGAGATATATCGATGTCTCCTACCTTATCCCCCAGACAAGCGATAAACCATCCTCTGCCAACGTCCTCTAGCATCCGGACCTTCGCCTAAATAATATCTTCGTGGATCCAGATACTTCTCTGATCACCCGTATCGTGGACTAGCAGTCAGTATATATCGCTCCCTTGTTCTACCAAGCTAGCGTTCCCAAAATGTGTAGACACCCTAGACCTATTCGCGAGGGCTAGGTCATTACCGAACGACCGGCGGATTTAAGAGCCTGAGTGAAGACGAGCAGAAAAATATTGACGACGATCTAGAAAGCGAAACCATACACAAATACTACGAGGCGCAGGTGTATAAACGAGCTCCTCGTTATTAGGCTGTGCTCCAACAACCGGCAATTCCTATCCTTCGGACACCTGCTTGGATTGTGAGTGGAGTATAGGAAAACCGTGACCTTTTCTTTCTTCGCGATGCTCTCATAAACAGTGCAGCTCGCTAGGCGGAGCATTTCCCAGAAACCCCTTGCCAGATAGCCTTCAGCAGTGAGGAGAGACCGAGCTTCATTCCAAGGAAGAGGAAAACATCAACGGAGTTGGGCAAATGTTGTTGATGTTTCGGGAGCAAAGTGTACTCCCTGTAGATGGGATAGTTGCACCTGAAGACTACGAAGTGGCCTTGGCGAACGAACGCAAGTTCAAAGAGATCTTCATCGGGCTAGCGAAGGATGAAGAAGAAAAGAGCTGTTTAAGAATCTATGGCCTTAACAAGAATCTGGGAGGGTCTGAGGTTCAACCACCATATTGGAAAATTTCACCTCATGGGCTATATTCACTCTAATAGCAGCAACAAAAGACTAAAGCTACTTTGTTCGAGTAGAGACGACTATTAAGAATTTCGGTCAGGATAAGGTTGAATGTACAATGAGGTGGGGAAAATCGAGGCCCTTGGGTAGACATTTGAATCACAAGGGAGTAGTAATAGAGCCAACCGAATTGAAGATAGAATGGATTAGTAGGAACGCCTCATCCTAACTGTTTTGCGCCCTTGACATCGGGCACAGAAAGTATAGAAGCAGACGCGCTAGGGAGGTGTTAAGGCAAAAAAACCAAACAACAAGTATTGCCTTAGAAGGTAGCACCAGCATATTATGGCACCTGTTATTGTGAATATTATGTAATTACATACTTTGTCTAGCTTGAACAGACATATTTTGTTGTTATTTCTGTCCATGTAACCTTTGCTTCCTTGGTGGCCATTATCTGTGAAGTCGAAAATCAAATAATGTTGTTCGGTCATGAAGAGACCTACTGTATTTGATGCTCCTTTTACTGAATTTTCCTCGGAATGGAACCACCTTAACCATCATATTCCTGGCCTTCATGTTCGTAATAGTGTACGTCTCATCCTTTTAAGTTTAAAAAGATCTTGAGCAGCTGGATGCCTTGTCCGTCAGGCAACACATGCATCTCGACGTGTCACTTCACGGTTGCATTGTCTCGTACTTGTGTATTTCTCCATCCCCAGTACCATCGCGGTACCTCGCGGAATGTTACTTTGATTCGTCAAATTTCTGGTCTTTTCTAGGTATCCAAGACGCAAACCATGGCCCATGCAGGTAAATTAGACCTGTCGGGAGAAGGGATTCGCATGGTGAAGCGGACTGGCCAGTCGGAGCGGGCCTTCGACCTCCTGTCTGTAGATATACGTCAAATTCATTTGGGGCGATCTCCTTGAGTGATGGTAATGAGCGTGATAACATGGAGATCAATAGCCCAGACGAATAGTCAGTGCGGCCAGCAACCAGCTTCGAGAGATGTATCGATTTCCACAAGGAAGTTAAAACAGCCCTTATTCCTAATTGGGACTATCCATCTTCTCACTGAAGTCCAATGGCCGCCACAGCGGTTTCCCTTGGAATTAGTCGGCCCTGAGCGATATTTGGTCGCCATTGAGTTTGTCCGATACACCAAGTATAAAAACCCGGTAGAACTCCAAATTAACCCGTCGTAGATTAAGGATCGTCCTTGCTTCCGGGCAGCTATCCTGACAAAAAACCCCACAACCAAAGGTCCAACTTAATCAAAACATACATTTCGTGCCCGCTGACCGGGTCCCCTCGCCCTTGTATGGCGAAAAATCGATACTGGTTATCAACTTGGCGAATATCGAAGAGTAGGATGACGATAATCTTATCCAATGCTACCACAAGATACTCTTCGATGCAGCTATTGGGTGCCAAATTTGGTCTCCCGCCCAGGAGCTTCTTCAACCCATTGCACGGCAAGGCTGACACCGGGACAGTTCGGCCAACATACATGCATTGGCTATCTTGGCATATCACGCCGGGTGGTCGCGGTTTAGTGTGATCGACGATCTTACAAAGCACCAGTCCACATGGCAGATCCGTGTTGGTGAGAGTGAAGAACTAAAGTATGGTCCCAGTGACTGTCGAGGGGTCACCTAGTAACTCTGGCACTGAAGAGCAAATCGTTGTGAATGCTATGCGAACGGAGTACAGCGAGAGGCTTAGCATCTTGGATCTACTGGACCCTGATTTCGACTTGCAGTCTATGGAGGATGATGGCGCCGGTTCTGCCCACCATGAAACGGATTTTGAAAAATGCACAAGGGTCCACGACCCTGAGGCGCACGTTTTGGCGGAAACTACTGGGTGCTTGTTAGTTTCGGAGAGTATTGTTAAGGGTATGGCAGAGGGCATTACTACAGCCCTGTCACCGAAATCACCGGCAGAGTTAGTCCTTAATGTTCTGAAATACGCCAATAATGATCTCGACTACAAGAAGAAGGGTTGGTGGGACGAGCCAGTGAGTCCACCGTCGTGGATGTCTACAGAAGAAGACATCAGTTTCCGTTTCGCGCTCCTCTTCCCTACAACTGAAGAAGAGCTTAGCAAGACACATGCTATACTCCACAATACTATCAACAAAGATCGTCAAGATGCCACGATAACGATTATAACCATCTCTCCAGATCAGCATCGCGTCAAGTCCCGCTGTGGTTTCATAGAATTCATGAAGGAATGCAGGTGCCTTCGGGGCAACAGCATTTTTTTGAACTTTCTCCTGAGCCCGATCACAGAAATTAACATTGTATCCGCAAACTTCAGCCTTGTGCACCAGGGCCGCGATAGCGAATTGCTCGTGACTCAAGTTCCATTCAAGAAGATCGTCGATATCAAGTCGCCGTGGCTGCCCGTACTGAAACATTCCCGGGAAAAGTCTTCTTATGACTACTATGGACCTCTCTTCTACCTCACGAAGCAGTTAACCGAGGCACAAGGCCGAGCCGTTTCAATGGACTTGATCATGCCGAATATCTGGAATCTGGATACTGATTACCTTAAGTATTGCGGCGAGGTTCGAGGGGACCGCGAAGAAGACGGTACGGACCAGGATATCTGTAATATTACTTGGAAAGTCTGGCAGGACGGGCGCCAGAAGCGAGGGTTCTTCTGCATTGATAGACAATCTGGTGAGGACCAGACCGTTCTATTTGTGGCATTCGATAGTGTGGATTATCGGCCCACACAATGGGGGCCGCACCCGAGGATGCTCTATGATCCAAGCTTGCGGGGGTTTCCATCAAGTCGCATTGCTGCTAGAGATACTGGAATCATCATTGAGGATTACTCAGTCCATCGCAGGTTCCCAATGCTTGAGCACAGATTCCGAAGGCCTGGGTGGCCAGCAAGGGGCGTTCTTGAAGGCGAGACGGATAGCCCGGTGTATGATCTCGTGGACGATTCCGTGGATGGTTTCCCGGATGATTATGCGATGATTGCTTGATTGATTCGTTGGAGAATTCCTCGGATGATTCCTCTGGACGAAAATCCTTTGTGGTACGGGATGAATGATGGGAATCAGTGAGTGCCAAAAAGTCAAAGCATGGGGAGAAGGAAACGAGAATCAATTATGTATCCTATATAGAAGCGGTGTTGTTAGCAATTCTAAGGGCACATGAAGAGGTGATCGAGCATTGCAAGGCAAACCACAATCCTTTTATCTGTAGACTCCGAATTCAAATGTTCGCCTCGATCAGTCCGTAACAATGAGATCACACTCCTACGGCCCGGTAATCATCTCGCTTGGGAGCCCAGGCACCCCGATTCTGATAGAAGTTTAGGTCCAGTGTTGCATCTTTGTAGGAGCAGTGGAAGACATTTCTTAATTCACTCTATGCAAAGGAGGTACATAGCAAGCTCCGTTGGCCAATCAAATCAAGCAAGGCACCGAGTGGTGTAAGCCCCTAGCTTACCGGCATCGGAATAGATATCTGCCCCGCCACAAGAATCCCATTCATATCATAAAGCCAACATCTCAAAGTCGCATTTGTGGAGTAGTAACCAACATACTCCCCTCGAAAGCTCGCACATTCCAGAGTGAAGAACACAACATCACAACCCCGTAGATATACTGATGTAGCGTAAGCTATCTGGCTCTGAAGGATTTCCCCATGCACTTCAATCTCTTGCGCATACTTTCTTGTGTGGGGGAACATTTCAAAATACTCCTCACGGTAAATTTTTCCAATCCAGACCAGTCCTTCTTCTGGTAAAGGGTGAATCACATACTCCTCCCATATACAAGGATGGATTATATCACCGATTCGTAAATGATCCCCATCCGGTTCAACGTTTGCTTCTGTGTATGCTGGACCATTCACTGCCTTTCCATCCTTCTCCACAAGTCCGACTGATGATCGAGGAGGTTGCTGAAACAACATTCGCTTCCAACTTGCCCCATTTTGCAAAAAGCGCTCGCTATGCTCGGGATCAATCCGAGGTATCTTCGCCCCTCCTTCCACTGGCGGCGTTCCCCACTTATATGCCTGTCTTGCGCAGAACCATGGCCATATACACTCTGCCAGTAGCGGGTTGCGGATGCCTCGCATCCCTCGTGGTAATGCGTATCTGACAGGCTCAAAAAACAGGGCGGCCTGTAGATCATGCGAGTATTTGATCACACTGTGCCATTTACGGCAGACTCTTTGTGCAGTCGTGAGTAACGTGCGCATGTTGGTATTGAGGAGGATAAACTCCAGGATCTCCGTTATCAGGAAAACCTTATGGGGCCCTGAAGAAGCCATAATTAAAAGGCAGGTGGAATTTGGGAGCGAGACTGTTGGAAGACGATAGGATTGAAAGGCACAGTCCGGTAGATGTGTACGGACGGTTCTTAAGACACTGTCAGAAATGGGTTAGCTTCGTATTTAGTACTATAATTTCGGGCAAGCTCTTACCCTAAAGAGCTTAGTCGTACGGGTAGGGCTGCGGCCGCACCCCTCTCTATACTCAAATAATGAAATGACCCAGTCATGTTCATGCTGAGCCGCGCGATATGCGCTTTTGCTCCCGAGTTTTTGGTTTTGGTTCTCTTCCTCCTCCGCAGCGTGGAGGATCCCCAATGTAACCGATTCGGATTATTACCTATGTATTCCATAGATTCATCATGTTAACCAAAACAATATGTGAATTGAGCCTTAGAATTGAAATCCATGTACTATACCTGGTCCACTGTCCAGCAAGAGAGAGCTTCTTGAAATTTACGCTTCCCATGCTCCACGCCATAACATGTACCACTTAATGTCTCTGGGGGCATGGCCGCTCCTTCCTTTAACTGTCCAGTGAAGCCCTGGACAGTTGTTTTCTTCCATGGCTATTCTCGCGTTTCTCTTCAGCTGCTTGATATTGTCCCATGATATCAAATGAAACATGGGTTCTGTTATATTCGGTCGTTTGGCTTTCAAGTTATGGATGTGTGCCTGGACACCAGCCGCAACACTCTTAACGCAACATGCCCTTCCTAATAGAACAAGACATCGGGATGAAGCAAGTTCCGGAGGTTCTTTAATAAAAACATCCAGGTTACGTACTCAACATAAGAGAGCTATTGCTATTACCTGGGCATACATTCAGCAAGCCCATTATCCAATTCTCAACGGATTTACTAGAGGTAATCCATATTTAATAAGAGAAATATCTTTGCAATCACATTGCCTATCTTGTTCACATTCTAAATCAAGTGCCTCGATATCGACACAAGCATAGCAGACCATCACACATCAATTACCTCCGCATTAATCGTTTCCCCAGGATCAGATATCACGTAACCATATCCCACTATCCCAAGCCATCATCTTAAACAAAGAAGACTGAAACGATGGAAAGAACAACCATCACAGCAGCCAATTTACCCAACTCGAAGCGGGTAGCCGCGCTAGCAGCAGTCGAGCTAGAAGCCGGAGCAGCAGTCGACGAAGCAGAAGAAGCAGACGAAGCGGTCGTGCCAGCAGCAGAGCTCGTGGACGCCAAAGCCGTGGAGGAAGTCTTAGTGACGATGCTCGAAGAAGATCCAACGAGTGGAGTACTAGCTGGGGCCGAGACCGAGGAGGAAGAGGAAGCGCCGACAGGTGAAGAGCCCGAAGGAATAGGAGTGCTGACAGGTACTGAGGTGGGAGCGGGAGCAATAGAGGCGACAGAAGAAGACGAGGCAGCGGCACAGGTCGAGTCAGCCGTAAGCTTGACGCTCACACACTGGGTGACGGAGTCGCTTTCGGTGGTGTAGATGTTGTCGCCGTTGTTCTGGCCTGTTGCGCAGGCGACGAAGCTGGAGCTTCCGTTGAATTCGAGGCTACCGGAGGAGCTTAGGGAGAAGCCAGAGGTACCGGCGCTACCGGCGTCGCACTGGAACTGGGTGGTCTCGCCTGCGGAGGATACCGATTAGCTATTGATTGATGGTGATAAGGTAGAGGAGAGGAGGAAGGGGATATCTTACTAGTAACCACACAGCCACGGCCCTCGCTATCGGTGATGACACCTCCAGACAGGCAGAACTTGGCAGCTGATAGGCTGTTGTCACCAACACGGACCTTTCCATCGCTCAACTGGCCCAGAGAGCCAGACTTATCACCAGAGGCAGTGAGGTGGAAGCAGCAGCTGTCACTGCGGCCAACGAGGGCGTTGGCACCAACAGCCAGAGTCGCAATTGCAATGAAGCTCTTCATTATGGCAGGGGATTGCAACAAATTGGACGAACTGTTGAACTGTTGAACAAGGAGTAAAGAGTTTCAAAGGAGGAAGAGATGCACCAAGTTCAATTGCGAAAGAAACTGCTTCTATTCAACAAGGAGCAAGAAAAGAGGAGCCTTCCGGCCGCAGGAAAGAGTGGGTAGATACTTATACTCTCGCATCACTACTATCTGTGACAGGGCAAACAACACAGCCCAGCCCAACAAGGTACAAGTAAACACTAAACAGTCGTACGTAGGAACTTACCTTATGCATCATGCGCCAAGCTTGACCTACTCATTGTGGGTAATTGATTGGCTGGATGGTAACGCTTAATACGCCACTCGGCCACTAAGTACCGTTTAAACCGGGTATTGCAATGGCAGCCGCGGGGTGGAGTGACGCTATGGCGGTCAAGACGCGTGGCTTTGACTGGATCTATTCAGCCAGTCAAAGTAAAATAACAAGATATGGGAAAGTATTTAATTTGTTTTGACCTCCTAGGAGGCTGGAGATAGAAATTACTCTGGCAAACTCGGCATTGGCACCTGACTAAAATGCTTGTCGACGAGTGTGCACATTGGCAGTGTGACAGGCTGATCGACAAGGGGAAGAGACCACACTCGTTAGATAGATGGTATTACAAGTCTTCAATGATAGCTTGTTAGAACTGCTACACGTACCAGTTGTCTTATCTGTAAGGCCGGAACAGCCAGGAGCGGGTCAGCTTTCCCTGTTCTGTTCCTGGTAAATTCTGACTTCTCGCCCCAGATGTGGATCTAGGTACAACAAGTATTTTATGGCGATTAATGCGCCAGGTACTGGGGCCAATGGGTCCACATACTGTTGTTTGTGTCTATGAGAGGTCAGGTGGGCTCCATAGAAAGCGAATTTGCCTGAAAATACGTCAGTTGAGTTTCGTGACAGCCCTGACCTCCCCCTACTATCATAGCACATAGCATGGCAGATAATCGGCCCTGTTCTAGACTGGCTATCTGAGGGCAGTTATATAATGATCCTATCCATGATTAGCTAAAGCCTATCGGTGATAGTCACTTGAAGGAAGCAGTGCATGCAATAGAGTCAATTGTCTAGAAAGCAAAGGGCTTCCGTGGCTGTGCTACTGCCAGTCTATAAACCGAAGAACCAATCTATTCATACTCCTCCCTAAAGACCATAATCCTCTCAACGTCCTCTCCATCCCGACCACGCTCAACCCAGGCACGCCACATCCCACCACAATTAAAGTCAAAGATCACATTGCCCCGGCGTAGCTTTCCCCGCCTCCCAGTCGAACAAACAGCACACGCTGTGTCAACCTCAATCCCAATAAACCCGCCCTCGCCTTCACCCGTGACTCCCCATCGAGGCCCAGCAGATTTCTGCAGTGCACCTTGAGGACCAGCCACGGACTTGACAGCCTGGCCGAGGGAGAGGCTTTGCAGCCGAGATAGCGAGGCAACGGAGTGTGCGGCTGCTAGTCGGAGAAACGCGTCACCATCTCCAGTGCCGGAGATGGCGATGGCTTTTCTTGGGCTAGTTGTGTTTATGTCTTGAATGAACTCGCGGCAAGAATGCTGCATGTGGAATGGCTTTTCTGGTGCCTGACGTAACGTACTTGCATGTGTGCTAGATGGGCGAGGTGAATAGGCTGGAGGGTCAGGGCTCTGACTTTTGGGACGTGGAGACAGGCAGCTCCGCAAGCTATCTTTCAGGTCCGCCCAGAAGTCAGGTTTGCTAGCAATGGAGCCGGTTTGACGGTCGCCGATACACAAGACCGAGGGATTTGGTACACCGGCCTTTCCGTTCGAGGCTATAGTAGACGCGGCCTCTGGAGTAATTGGGTGCCCCGGGAAACTTGCATCCCAGGCATCAGCCCAAAACCCTGCACCAAGAGTTGGGGTATCCCCAATGCGACCGGGAAGTTTATTCGTCTTCCCGCCAGTGCTAGTAGCAACAGCCAAATTGCCCCATTGATCAAGACAGACACATCCAACTGTACCCTGACTCAAAGATATAGGTTCTTCTTTCCCTTCAAGTCCACGCCGATGCTCATCCCAGCGACGCTGTGTCCAGAACCATTCGTCAGGCTTGAATTCAAGACCCCACTCTCGAGCAAGAGTCTCAACATGAGGCCCGGCCAGCTGGGGGTGCATACTACCACCGCCGTGCTTGGGTTTCCCATCGGGTGTATAGCCGGTTCGTAAGAGGGACTCCCGCGCGAGTTGGATTGGATGTCGCACGTTCCTGACGTTCATGACAGCTGCAGCTTTCTTCATTTCGCCGGGTCGGTTCTGATCGGGGTCTTGGACCGTTGTAACCATGATGGAAGCCTCCATTTCGATTGTGCCCGCTGTAGTGAAGACGCTGCCACGTCCGCAATTGAAAAGTTCGTCATCTTCCATGAGGGATACGGCGTGGACGGCGGCATCGAGAGCGGAGGCACCCTCTTTGAGGAGGGTATGGGTCGAGTGGAGGTAGGACTGGAGGGAGGCGTGATGTTTGGCGTAGAGATCTGGCGGGAGCTTAGCGCGTTGGATATTACCAGCACCTCCATGGAGGATGAGCGCAGGCTTGAAAGTTGCCGGAATATGGGACATTTCGGTTGTGGATAAATGGGAGGGGGTGGAAGAAAACGAGTCTGGAGGGATGCGGGGAAAGATAAGGCGGAGGTGACGGAAGTCGGCCTGCGTAGCCCGAAATCTCCATCACTCTTGAATCATATCGCGTTGAAACCGGTCTGCAAATCTTGTCAATGTTCATAAACCCTGCTGGAACCAGGACTTCTAGACTGAATGAAACGTCGAATTGGAAAAGTGCGACCGAAGCCCAAGTATATGCAATAAAAATGCGTATTATGCCTGTTACCAATGCGTTAATGTACAAGACTCCACCACGTCCCGATCCGAACGCTTTTTGTTGCAGCAATGAGCAGAGATATTCTTTTGGAAGGCCAAATGGCCACAAAAAAAAAGAAACCACACGCCGGTCCCGATCCTGGGAACCAGCCAGAGGATGCCGTCCACAAAATACAATGCTCCGAAAACAAGGGCCGAGGAAAGGCGGTATAAAAAGGGTGAGCAATAAAAAAAATAAACAGAGCAGGAACCTCTATGCCATGTCGTTTAAAAATGAAGACCCGAACCAAACACCTGAGAAGGGAGATTCAACGTGGGGATGTGTTTATGAAGACAGAGATCGAAGGTGGGTTTGTCGGCCACCGGAGGAGGGATTCGATCGTGAGAATGTTGGGTAGGGAGGATTTAAGCGAGAGCCTTCTGCTCAGAGGGAGGGGCGGGAGGGAGCTAAACCGGGATAAGAGTCAGCGGATGATTATCACTGGATTACTGCAAAAAATGCAAAAGGACAGTCAACGAACCTCGAGCTTTGTGTTGTCGGCCATCATACGCTGGAAACCGATACCAACACCCTCAATGACACCCAGGAAGACGGCACACATAATGGCAGAGTTACGGGCGGCCTTGACACCACCACGGACAGCCAGGGAACCACCAGTGAAGAAACCAGCGATAACTAGAGAGTCATTAGAATGGGATTCCGCCGGTAATCAAGAGATACAGTCACGTACTGCTGTTCCAAGGGTCCTCGGTCTTGCGGATACCCTTGATGGCGCAATCGAATGTAGAGAACTGGACAACTGTCAGAATGCCATACCACAATAATTCACCATCATCAAGCCAAACTAACCAGGCCACCCCAAACGCCAAAGTTACCACCGAGCACAGGAGCGCGAGCCTTGATGGCAGTCAAGGCGCCTATCCGGCGCTCACCGTAGGGGCTGTTACGGAAGCCCTTGACACCGTGCCAGACAGCACCACCAATAGCACCCATGCAGAAAGCACCACCGAAATCGCTCAGGGCGACCCAGGGGCAGGGATCTCTGGAGTGATCCATTATGTGTGAGGTTGGAGGAAGAGGAGGAAGGTCGGGTTGAGCAGGAGTTTTCGAGGTCGAAGAAAAAGAGACGCGATCGACAAAGATAATCCGATCGGATGAATGCTAATGTCGATAATCAATAATAAAAGTGTCGCGATGGACAGGGAGGATAGTAAAGGCAATAGCCCAAGGCGAGAGGCAAACCGGCGATGAAGTGATGATGTCGGGGGTGCGGGTGGAGGACTTTTTCTTCGTCTTTGCTTGTCCGGGGGAACGTGACCTCACGTGATGATAAACCCGGTCGCCACCGGGCAAATCGGGAGCTTCAGGAGTCGCCGGTCAGTCTAACAGTAGTAAGGTAACAACAAGGTTAGGATTTGGCTTCCTTATCCGGGGGAGGCAAGAGAATAATCCGGGCCAGCCCATAATTACTTTTGGGGAATCGGGGAGGGGCTGTGCCACTGGTTAGAATTTTTCTGTTAGTCTTTTAGTCTTTATGCTTTGGCCACAGGATGAGAATGAAAAGATTGTCGGGGACTATACGGTGATTGCTCGGCATTCCGACTGGATCATACCTCTTCGAAAGTAGACTCTTCGATTGGGTATGTCGGCTTCCTAAAGTCTGTATTTTATCAGTAGAAGCCGACCCTCAAAATTATCTCACCAATTATACTAAAAATAAGTTGAGAGATACCGTACCGGTTATAGGTATGTAGTTAGATGATTAAGACATTTAGGAAGATCTGTTCAAGTTAACGCGTCCCTAGGTAAACCTTTGCTCTGTTAGACTACTATAACAGTTGGACATACTAGATTATCTTCTGACGTGGATTCTAGGAGGACGGCCCTGAGAGCAGTCACCCTAGATCCAGGAATCAGAAACTTCTGTGCTTGGGCCTCTATCTGCTGCCATCGACAGGGATGGCATACTACATCGGCCAATGAGGGCACCTTTAATGCAAGACCAGGCACCTTCCCCTGTATCTTTGGCTATCATCAAACGGTGGTCAACAGGTACTAACGTTGGAAATTAAACCCAATACACAATGTCAAATAATTAATTGACGAGGAAATCCATATGTGAGAAATGCTAAGGTATCAAAGTATATGCAAAAAGGCCAAAACTCTCAAACCCTCAATTTTAGTGCCACCAACCTCACCCAATCAAACCAAATTTCCACGGAGCTCCTGCTCACGCTCAATCGCCTCGAAGAGCGACTTGAAATTTCCGGCACCGAAGCCAGAGAAGTTGTGTCGCTGAATAATCTCAATGAAGACAGTCGGACGATCCATCATGTGCTATCACCACAAGTCAGTATTCTGAACACCTCGCTTTTCATACAAATCTTCTCTCTGGACCCTCCACATACCTTAGTGAACAACTGCAAAAGGTAACCACCCTCATCAAAATCAATCAAGATATCCAAGCTGCGAATAGTCTCAAAGTCCTCCTTAAGAACGAGACCAGACTGCTTCAAACGAGCCTGCATGTCGATGTAATATGTGTCGGGAACCTTGATGAACTCGACGCCACGGGCCTTCAAGTTGGTGATATCGCGGATGATGTCGTCAGTCAACAGGGCAATGTGCTGGACACCGGCGCCGTTGTAGAAGTCTACGTATTCCTCGATTTGGGACTGCTTCTTGCCCTTGGCGGGTTCGTTGATGGGCATTTTGACGATTTCGTTGGGAGATGCCATGACGATACTCTTCAAGGCGGAGAATTCACTGGGAAAAGTCAGTTTTGGTCGCTTTGAAAGATATTAGAACTTGGTGGCAGTTTTAACTTACGTGCAAATTTGGCTGTCATCAACGGACCAGAAACGGTGGAATCCAAGAGCTTTCTCGTAGCTGGAGACTAGTTAGTAATCTTGACTCTGATATTTCACTCAGCACAAACAAAAACGGGTGAACTCACTATTCACAAATCTTATCCATCTCATCCCAATCCTGGTTTCCAACACAGTGATCAATCCGCTTGAGATGAACACCAGGCAAGAACTTAGCCACAGGATCCTCCGTCCCGGCCTCAAGACGATACCCAGGCAAGAAAGCACCATGATACTGGCCACGCTCAATAAGAGTATGCGTCGTCTGACCATAAGTCTGAATAGTAGCGACCTTGACTCTTCCACCCTCGTCCTCAAGAGTACGAGGCTTAGAGACAGACTTAGCACCATTCTTAACAGCAGCATAATAAACAGCATCGACATCGTCAACCTCGAACGAAACGTCCTTCACAGCGTCGCCATGCTGCTCAAGGTGGGAGTGAATCTCGCGCAACTGCACCTGCTCCTCGGGGCTGAAACGGTCGATTTGGTCCAGGGAGCGGAGCGGCGAAGTCAGAATGAAGGTGATGTCTCCGTTGCGGATGACGTGGGAGCACATGTGTCGGCTGCCGGTTTCCAGGCCACGGTAGGCGATGCGCTTGAAGCCCATGCGGGTGATGTAGTAGCTGGCTGCTTGCTTGGCGTTGCCGACGTACCAGTGGACATGGTCGTAGCCGCGGTAGCTGGCGATGGAGGAAACCTCGCCGTTAGTGGAGGGAGGCGGGGTGGTAGAGATAGCTGAAGGAGCCATTTCGAATTTCTGCTCTCTATACTGAAGTTGTGTTTCTTTCTTTGCTCACCGATTGAAGAGTGAAGAAATAGTCAGAGTTAAATGATGATAGTAGAGAAAGGATGAAGAAATAGATCAGTATTTGATAGTTGATGGAACAGGGGATATGTTGGGAGACGCCACACATTCAGTCTTAAATCAATCTCCACCGTCATTCAGATTTCCCTCTATTAACCGCAGCGGATATCTTCAAAATTCATTCATCATCATCGGCACTTTTTTTGCTGGTAGGCTTGCGGATGTCCAGAAGGTCTCAGCTGGTTTCCTGTGCCAGCCGGAAATATCCGCCAACAGCCGGGCCGAGTCCAGCGGTTACTACATCGCCGCGTGGAGGTTCAGTGGCCTTGACGTGATTTCTCTAGAGGAAAGCAAAATAACTTCTTTTCTTTTTTGATCCTACTTTACACGTACTTGCAAGCTAGAGTATCTTACCTTGAATCTCTATCAACTTTGCGTGGTCAAAACATTTACTCCATCTCAACAACTCCCGAACTATCATCATGGAGACCATTACCCAAGCTCGTCCATCATTGACGAACAACGACGCCGCAGTCCTCCAAGCTCTCTTCGACGCAGAGTCCTCACCCTCATCCGGGGTCAAAGTCGACCCAACCCTCCCATCCTGGCCCGCAGCAGTAAACATCTCCCAAACAGACCTCACAACCCTCAAAACCCGGGAAACCCAAATCATCCTCAACCTCCAAGCCACCTCAACACCAACAGAAGAAACCGTACAAACAGCACTCAAAGAACTCAACACTCTCCTGGAAGAATACCCAACCTACCCACCCGCCTACACAAACCGCGCCCAAACACTCCGTCTCCTCGCCGACCTCGAATACAACAATCACACCACACACAGCGCCAAGACCGAGTCCGAGCCCGAGTCCATCACGGACGAATCCCTCTTCACCCCCGAAGCCAGCGACCTATCATCAAAAATCTTCGCAGACCTAGGAAAGGCGATTACACTCGCCACCCCGGTCTCACCCGCGGATCCAATTTCATCGGTGCAGGCGCGATTGTTGGCTGATGCGCATACGCATCGCGGGTATTTGTTGTTGAAGGCTGCGAGGGTGAAGAAGACCCGGCCCGGGGTGGAGGTGGACAGTGTAGGACCGGAGCGGCTGCGTGGTCATAGTGCGGATCAGTTGGAGGAGATGGCGAGTCGGGATTTCTTCCTGGGTGGTCGGTATGGGAATAAAGTTGCGCAGCAGATGGCGGTGCAGACGAATCCTTACGCGAAGATGTGTGGGGCTATTGTGAAGGAGGCAATGAGGAAGGAGATGGAGGGTTGAGTGTTGAGCGGATATTCTAGAATTTATTTGGCTCCACTTCTTCATTCCAATAGATATGAAAATGGGTCGGATTTTTCATCGATAGAGGTATCGTCAATTCATTTCGCCAAAGTTGGCTGCTATTTACACATAAAAATCGCTATTTTCAACAGAGCATGCATTTCCCGCGTCTAAGCCTTGTTGGGGTTCTTGAAGTGGCGCTTGAGAGGCTCCCAGCTGTGCTGGTTATACTCCTCCTGCACCTTTTCGCATGTCTTCAGACCCCATTCGGAAACACCGACCATCAGAGAACTAAACAAAAACAGACTGTTAGCATGTGAAAGGATAAGAGACAAGCAAATACCCAATTTATACATACCTCTCAAACATAAATGCCATGCTGCCATCACCGACCTTGTTCGGCTTCAACTCAGCATTGCTCGCACCCTCGAACGCATCCGAGTCGGGACCATGGGCACTCATCACGTTATGCAAACTAGCACCAGCGGGCTGGAAACCACCACCAGTCTTCGCATCGTAGCCACCACAAATTAGACCCATGAACTCCGACATGGTGTTACGGTGATACCACGGAGGCCGGAAAGTGTTCTCCGCAACAAGCCAGCGAGGAGGGAAGATGACAAAGTCGGCGATTGCAGTACCAACGTGATCGGAGGGACCAGTCAGGACAGTGTAGATGGATGGATCGGGGTGGTCAAATGAGACCGAGCCGATGGTGTTGAATCGGCCCAGATCGTACTTGTAGGGGTAGTAGTTGCCGTGCCAGGCGACCACGTCGAAGGGGGTGTGGTTCTGGCGGGCCGAGAATAGGGTGTTGTTGAATTTGCTGTACAACCTGTATTCGGCGGGTTCCTCCTCATCTTCAAAGGCAGCGACGGGGGCTTGGAAGTCGCGAGCATTGGCTAATCCGTTAGAGCCAATGGGGCCCAGCTCAGGCAGCTGGTAGTGGCCCTGGTACAGCTCGCAAATGTAGCCTCGCACGGGGCCGGCGGGGAGAGTCACACGGTATCTAGTAATGTTAGAGACCAGGTTATACTTGAGGACAAGTAAATGGACTTACCGGACACCACGGGGAATCACAGCAATCTCATTGGGGCGCAGAATAATGCGACCCAGCTCCGTCTGGATATCCAAAACGCCATGCTGAGGCACAATCAAGAAGTCTCCGTCTGCAGAGTAAAAGGCCTCCTTGCCCATATCTTTACCGGCCGCATAAAGCAAAATACCCAGCCCCTGCTTCAATGTTGGGTCTCCCGAGCCTGCGACCAGGTGCAGACCATGAACCCAATCCACCTTCTCATCCAAGTCGAAGGGGTTCCATCGCAGTTGATTGGGGATATGGTGCAGCTTGTGTGTCTCGGTGGTCATGCGGGTGTGGTAAGAGTCGGCATCTTCTGCGACAAAGTTCGCATGGGCAGCAGCGGGGAGGATGCGGTACACCCAAGTCTGCTTGTTTTCATGACGAGGTGCAGTGAAGGCTGTACCGGACAGTTTCTCTGCGTATAGACCGTAGGGAGCCTTTTGCGGAGAGTTGTGGCCGACGGGAAGTGCTCCCTCGATGGCTTCGGACCTATCCCGCGGTTAGAACTTAGCAAGGATATTACCAACTACGCATTTCATCCGGAAGACATACTCGTGGTAAGAGTCGAAGCCGGTCTGGTAAGTGTAAGGATCTGGGTGGGAGAAATTGGTGACGGGCATGATGGGCGGTGATGATTTGGGGGAGAGGAAAAGAGCGAAGCGCAGATGGAATGTTCAAGAGGCCACTCTTTGTATTCTACGGCCGAGGAAAAATCGAGACAGATTAAGTTACAAGCCAAGGTACAGCTGCTCTTCTGCAGTATGCCGTACCCTCTCTTTCTCGCTTTCTAGCTGGTCCCACGTCACCCGCGGCACTTTACACCAGCGTATCCGCGATTATCCCCGCTCTCCTTTCCGCAGTCTCCAGTCCCGGTTGGAGGCGGGGTATTCTGGCAACGGGCCAATTCCGCACTGCTCGGAGCCCGTTTCTGGTAGGAGACTCAAGTGCCAACAGTTAAGTTAGCCCCAGCAAGCTGTGTTTTTTTTTTCTTTCATTCTTTCTTCATCTTTCATTCACATCAGCTGTTTCATCATGGCTTCCTGGTTCCAGATCCCCAAGAACTCTCCGTTCTCCTTGGCCAACATCCCCTTCGGCATTATCTCCGCCCAGTCTGCCTCGCGCGTCCCTGCAATTGCCATCGGTGACCATGCCTTGAACCTGAACACCTTCGCCTCTTCAGGAGGTTTCTCACAATTGCCTGCCATCCAACAGCATTTGAGTGTCTTCGACCAGCCGACTCTCAATGCATTCGCTGCTCTGGGCCGCCCCGTGCATCGCCAGGTGCGCGAGTACTTGCAGAATGTCTTCCGCGCCGACACTCAATTCCCCCAAGTGCTGAAGGATAATGCAGACCTGCAAAAGTCCGCGCTCGTGCCCCTTTCTCAGGTCACCAACCACCTTCCCATGCAGATTGGCGATTACACTGATTTCTACGCCGGTCTGAACCACGCCTATAACATTGGAGTGCTCTTCCGCGGGCCGGACAACGCACTGCAGCCCAACTACAAGCATCTGCCAGTGGCCTACCACGGCCGTGCTTCATCAGTTGTCCCTTCGGGCACTGATCTGCACCGTCCCAGCGGCCAGATCCTGGCCAACCCTGCCGCCGATCCTAAGATCCCTACTTTCTCCCCTTGCAAGAAATTGGATATCGAGCTGGAGCTGGCGTGCTTCATCAGCAAGCCCAATGATCTCGGCAAGCCGGTCTCTATCGAAGAGGCCGAGGATCACATCTTCGGTCTGGTCCTCATGAACGACTGGTCCGCCCGTGATATCCAGGCCTGGGAGTATATCCCCCTGGGTCCCTTCAACGCCAAGAACTTTGGTACCACCATTACTCCCTGGGTTGTCCTGATCGATGCCCTGGAGCCCTTCCGCGCGCAGGGTTTGGAGCCCGGCAACCGCGACTCTCTCCTGCCTTACCTGCGTGAGAAACGCGCCGATAATGCCTACGAGATCCCCCTTGAGATAGAGGTCACCAACAAGGGCGGCCAGCCTACCCTGATCTCCAACAGCAATGCTCGCAACCTGCTCTACTCCTTCCCCCAGATGGTTGCTCACCACACTATCACCGGCTGCAACTTGAGGACCGGTGATCTGCTGGGTTCTGGTACCATTTCCGGCAAGGAGGCCAAGACTCAGGGTAGTTTCCTTGAGCAGACCAACGGCAAGACCCCCATCAAGCTAGCTGATGGTTCGGAGCGTATGTTCCTCGAGGACGGCGATACCGTCATTCTGCGCGGTAAGGCTGGTACCGAGGGTAACTACGTTGGTTTCGGTGACTGCGTTGGTACTATTCTTCCTGCCGTCTCGTTCTAAGCGGTATTGGCTATGAAAAAGGATGATGAAAGATGTTGACGAAAGTTTTCTTTTGATGTTTTGATGAAATTACTATTTTGGCACGGTAATTAGTTACTAGAATTCGCAATAGCACACATGAATGATCCGGTCATTGATATACCGGGAATAAATCAATACTACTATCAAACCTTCCCCCGTAGTCTCCATCATCCAACCAATCCTCCCACCACAAAAACAAATCCACCCTCCAACCTCCAACCTTCTACTCCTTAACCCTCAAATCCTCCGGCGTATCCTCCTGCCTCTGCCAATGCCCCATCCGAACCGCCTCCACACTCTCCAAATTCCTCACAATCCCATCCACAACCGGGAAAGCACTCAAATCCACCCCCACCCTCTCCGCCCCCCAAGCAGCCGGCACAAGACAAACATCCGCCATCGTAATCTCATCGCCCACACTGTATTTGCCCGCACAACCAGCCACAATAGCCTCATAAGCCCTCAATCCATCCTCAATCAACTCCCTCGACCAGACCGCCCGATCCGCACCCAGCGGGGCCACTCGCTTGAGGATTCGCAGGTTGGTCACGGGCTGGATATCGCAAGCGATGATTTGGGAGAGGGTGCGGACTAGGGCGCGGCGTTCTGGGGAGGTGGGGAGGAGGGGGGGGCCTTGGGGGAAGGCTTCGTCGAGGTATTCTAGTGCGGCGAGGGATTGGGTGATTGTCACTGAGGTAGGGTTGGACTCGCGGGTGATGATTAGAGCTGGGACGGTGCCGGAGGGGTTGACTTTGAGGTGGGTTGGGCTGGATTGTTCGTCGCGGAGGAGGTTGATGAAGATTGGGGTGAAGGGGATGTTTTTGAGGTGCAGGGCGATGCGGAGGCGTGCTGAGCAGGAGGAGCGGAAGTATGTATAGAGAGTTACTTGGTCGGGCATTTTGAAGGTAATGGTGGTTGGGTATAACTGTTATAGAAGACTGATTGGATGTATGATGTATGATTTGTGGGGGAATATCAGAGGAGGATCTGGAGAAAGAAGCTACTCGGTTATGCTTCTACCTATGCTAATAAACATCTGCTAATTAGTAGTACCATCACCTGTGACTTTCACGGACCTCGAGTTGCGGTTTCATCAATCCGTCCTAGAGATTGGTGGAGGCGCGGAAATTCCGCTTTCCCCGGCCGTCGCTTTCCGCTGGGGTTGAGTGGGGTAGTAACAACATGCATGGACTGCATTAGACTGTAGTACCCTAGATTATGATCAAATCATCATCAAGGTGCATAATGACAAATTGCTGTTTCTCTTAATGCAATGAAATGCAGTTGAGCCAAGAAATGGGAAAGATCTACATTGTCACAGCTAACATACCCAGAATCCAAGCACATAGATCTAAGCATACTACCTCAATCTGCATCCAAGCGCGACCAGGCCTAGGTTTAATATGCTGTTAGGTAAAAATAATGGAATTTTTTCGCTCTTGGGACAGGGGTAACCTCTCATTTTACTGTTATTGCGTTGGTCGTCGGCGCTTATCGTGTTCAGGACGATCTGGATTTGTGCTTTAGTAAGGTTAAGCAGTAAGGTAAACCCCTAAGGTAGCTGGCATGCATGGCTTGAAGTCGGCCTCAAAAGGGACACTTGCTTTATCCCAGGCTATTAGAAACCAAATGCCTATTACTACCATCGTTAAAAGCTCACCTTCGAATTACCTGATGAAGCAGCTGTGAGCACCCAATATCGTACACGGTCCACAGAGCAACAACCAAACACCGGGTATCTAGCGGAGTGCGCTGACGTGATTATGCCTGATGCAAATACCTTAGAGGGAATGTGTACCGTAATAACTTGTTGTTTGTTGACGGGGCTGTCGATATGAATACCTAGTCATCATCAATTCAAACGATGGTAATGGGCACTTTTATCCACTTTTGACATAGGTCTGAAGGTATTTCGAGCATATATGTTGAATTTCTTCAATTGTTACCTGTCTACGTCCGGTGTAATCAATGTCTAATCCCGTCTGGTCCCTGCCAGCATTCTATAACTAGGGCAACCCCGAACCATTTGATAAACCCGCTTATGACCACCTCTTTGGATCAGGGATTAGTATTATTATGCAGGCAATATTACAGTTAATTGACTTTCAGATCAATACTTACTTACTTCTATTTCGTAATTGATACACAAAACCTGCTCTTTCATTGATTCCTAATGGATTCACCATGTCAAAATTGCCTGGAAGATTCGAGGTCACTCACAGCGTATTTGCAACGCCATTACATTAGACTAAATTGGCGTACGTCAGCAATTTGTATCGGATCTACAAAAAATATGGGCTTAACAGGCTCAACAAGTCTCCATATTAGCCTCGAACATATTCTCGTGGAGAAGAGAGCCGCAATTCACGAGGATTGTACCCTCGCTGGCATCGTCCGAGCCCTTGTCTTAGTCTTACCTATGTGTTAAAAGGCTATGAATGAATTGACACTTATCGGAAATTCTGGGTATTCAATTCAAAGCTCGACTACAGTCACTGATTTCCAGCTAGCTTATTTTTCGAAAACAAAACGTTTTCGTGGATTTCTGATAATGCATCACTGTCCGTTTATATATACTTCCGTGCGATGAACGGTTTGCTGATGCGACACAAGCTCCCACGAACTCGGTTCAATCCAAATAGCTATAAGATTAATGACGAATTATCCGGCACTTCTGAATACCATTCCCCATCCTGTTCATGCGGGATATCCATAAGTAGTATTTACATGAGTTTGTCTCAATTCGGCATACCCCGTCCACGATAACTGGATGCGTCCTCGGCCCGTCGCGTCAGCCTGGCCCGGTTATCAGCGGCAATTCATCCCTCGCCCGCTCCCTCCCAAATTATTCACTCCAAAACATCCACAATCCACTCCTCCATGCAAATACCCACAGGAAAATAGCCACTGCTAGTCGCGATCGCCTGATTCATCCGGGCGAGACTTCTTGTCGCGCTTCAGGCAAGTGGTTGACGATGGACGGGGCCAGGCCATCCCGTCCCGACCGGCCGTATCAGCGCACTTACAAGGCATGCATCCCTTGCCGGCAACGCAAGGCAAAGTGCGATCTGGGAACGGGACCGGACGGCTTACCGATCGGCCCACCATGCGCACGATGTCGTAGAGAGATGAGAGAGTGTGTTTTCCCCGAGAAACGGGCCTGGGAGAGGTCCCGCAAGCGCGGTAGGTCGATCGTTGCATCGAATCCGCTGTCTCTGATTTCTAATCCGCTTGGGCTAGGACGATCCCTCGAGGACAATGAGACCGATATATCGCCGGGTGAGGAACAGTATCAAGGTGCTGTTGTCTCCCCCGATGATGCTAAAAGACAATATGCGCAAGGCCATCAGCCTGTACGATACGCACAGGACTCGACGAGTCCGTTTCAACAAGGATGGGGCTTTGCCCGTCCTAATCCATCCCCACACAATGATCATAGTTCACAGATCGGCATAAGTCCCCAGCCGATTTCAGATGGCAGTCTGCATGCACAAACATCCCCGGCTCATGCATATCAAGAGAATCGGCACCGGTCTAGCTCCACGCTGGCGAACTCAATGATGCGAACAGTTGTCGCGAGTGGTAATGATGCTTTGAATATTTTGTTTGAAGCGGCAACTGCCGGGCAGGAGGACAATGCACCAAGCGACGAGAGCCCTCCCCGTGGAGGTGCATCCAAATCAGGTGGCTCCAATGGCCATCAGCGGGCGACACCGAAGAACTTTGAGAGTCCGGGTGCCTTTGAGACTGCTTCACGGGTAAAGTATCGCGTCGAAATGTCAGATGTGGCATCCGAAACATTACAGATCTGGGAGGCATGCCGTTTCGTCAAGATGGGGTGGTTTACTGCCAGGGAGGCGGTTACCTTCATTGACCTGTAAGTCATGTCGTCGAATGTTCTGCACAGATAGAGCCCTCTAGCTAACGGAGGATAGGTTCTACAAAAACATGTCCTGCTTGTCACCCATCCTGACAGACTTTTATGCCAACCACCAGAACCATTTTACGCTGATCAGTCGAGAACCCGTATTATGTTCCACCATCCTTATGATTTCTTCTCGTTATCATGTTCTTCCAGGCGCAGGTGGCGAATCGAGAAACTTCTTCATTCATCATCGACTCTGGCAACACTGCCAACAATTGACAATGCGGCTCATTTTCGGGCAAGAAAAGTCTACGAAGTCTAAGATTAGGAGTCTCGGGACAGTGGAGGCCCTCTTGCTCATGGCTGAATGGCATCCTCGCTCTCTACACTTTCCTCCTGAAACGGATGGCTGGGATGATGATCTGATCTCCATGGACCCCAAACCTTCTGAGCATTCCGAGTCTAAAGACACATCGGCAAATCGGTGGATTGAGGACATGATTGAGCCATCAAGAAGGTCAGATCAAATGTCTTGGATGCTGCTGGGATGCGCCCTCTCTCTAGCCCATGAATTAGGCATCTTCGAGACGGAAGAAATCGATGCCCCTGGCGATGATCAACAATGGAGAGAACAGATTAAACTGCGGCGACAGCGAGTGCAACGACTTCTTTACGTCTACATCAACCAGCTCGCTTGGCGGATTGGTTGCATGTCCCCAATCCCACAATCCCTCAACCACGCAGTCCTCGGCGGGCGCAAACCCCGTGGCCTCAGTCAGCCTGGAAGCACATGGTTGATATTTATGGATTCTTGGATTGAGCTCACCAAGCTAGCGCAGTCTGTCACGGACATGTTCTTCCCATCAGCCAAGTTCGCTCGTCAACAATTGCATAGCGGTCGCTACGTCGGACTGCTTGAGCATTTCCGGCCTCTGCTCAACCAGTGGAAGGACAAGTATCTTCAACCAGATACTCTCGACACTGCATTCTATAACGATCTCTTCATCGAGTACCATTTTGTCCGAGTATACACCCACTCTGTCGGAATGCAAGCCGTTGTTGAGCGTGCAGTCGCAGACGCTGATCTCAACAACCTCGATGACGTCCGGCCGATGACTATCGACCCCACAGACTACGAATACATCCAAGAGGTCATCGACGGCTGTTGCCAGATCCTCCAGAAAGTCACGCACCTCGCAGAGGTAGGCGCGCTACGATTCTCGCCCGTCCGCATCGTCCTCCGCATCACCAGTGCCTCAATCTTCCTAATGAAAGCACTCAGCCTGGGAACCCGACAAGCCACACTCAGAGAATCACTCGAAGTCCTCGAGAGAAGCATCAGTGCTCTCAAATCAAACGCACTTGACGATGTCCACCTGAGCACTCGCTACGCAACACTCTTAGACATGCACGTCTCCCGCCTGCGCCGAAACCTCCTAGCATCCTCCAAGACCATGAAAACCAACACCAACAACACGGCCACGATTAACAACAGCCGAGGCGCTACCCGCCGATCCTCAATGGGTCCTCCACCCTGGCCAGAAAATGGCGATCGATCCAATACAATCAACACCCCCGTGTCCCAGGACTTGACTTCCGATCTGGGCTACATACCTTCCTTGAATGATATGGCGGATGACTGGCTCTCGTTACCATTTGATCCTTCAATGGCGCCTTTTGGAATGAGTAATAATGCTCAGTTCCCGATGTATGAGGGTGGTGGGCTGGATTTTATTTGGAATCTTCCGTCATAGATGTACTTCGCGTAAATAAACAGATAGCAAGATACCCGCAGAGTTAGTTATAATAATCATGATCAATGTGTCAGATGGAGAGTGTAAATCTAAACCAGCTGGAGCTCAGCCCATAGTTGCTACAAAATGGAGGTGACTGACTCCCTAGGTTTTCCCGGCAGTAGGTAATACTCCCAAAAGATCATGACATAAGATTGAGATAACAGAATAGCCCGGCTCTTCTAGACCAAGTATTCACAGTCCCAAGATTCAAATCTTCGGGTAATTCCCGATATTGCTGCATTGAATCTTGAAGGTGCACATATTTTACTATTTTTTCATGTCCACGACAACGAGAGTGCAGTGTGAGATGCTAGATGCTGGCGCAATGCAATAATCTATACACCAATCACCCTAGAAACACCTTCAAAGCCCTACTTCTTCTTCGAGCTAGACCCACCAGGCACAGTCCTCCCACGCCGCTTATACTTTCGAGGATCTACCATCCGTTAGCACCAGCATGACGCAGTCTAGAGAGATAGTACTGCATACCTTTCCGGCTCATAAGAGCCCGATTCCTCGTTCCCTTACCACCTTCCCAGAATCCACTACCAGCCTTACCGATAAGCGTAGCTCTGCAAACCCCGCAACTCTCTGGTCTGTAGATTTGCTCGCGAGAGCAGAAGCCACTGATTATATTAGCATATCGCATTTTGCGAGTCTTTTGGTTCTGGGGTGAACTTACCAGATCATACGGTTGGCGTGTTCATTAGGATGATCCGTTTCCGCATCGTGACATCTAAAAACAGAAAACTCAGCATAAGTTATCCGAAATTCCACCATAAGCTCGTCACGGGATGCCATACTTATCACAAGGAAACACCTTCGCACAACAACTAAACCTAAACCAACGATAACTCTTCCCGTAGTGTTGGCACCGACCGCGTCGAGGAAGTTCCTGCCCAGCAACAATACCGAGGACTTCCTTTGGCCTCTTTTTCAATGGCAGCGCGGAGCGGGAGGACATCGCCGCACTACCAACGACCAGGAACTTAACCTCGGGCATCTTGAAAACCATCTTCCGGTGGCAGTGCCGGCAAATTGCCATTGCACTTTCGCCGCGGACGGCTGATACGCCTGGGGCGTGGTAGGCGGTTGAGCATTCGGAGCATGTTGGGATGAAGTTGCTGGAACACGAGTTAGTCAGAGAGGAAATTTTAGAGCACTAGTGACAAGACATACCTTGGGAGAAGATCGAGGACTGTGCAGCCATCTAGGTCAAGATACCCTGCGCGGTTCGCGTGCGAATGCATCAATTGTTTCCGGAACCCGATGCTCATCGAGTTGGCACATTTCTTGCACGACTCGATTTTCGGCATGTCCTTGGGATCCGCGAGCTGAGGGACATTCTTGATATCCATCGATTCCTTGCAGCGCTCACATTTGATAGTGATGGCGAGGTGGCTTATCTCCAGCAGTTCGATGCCATAGAGCTCCAGGAAGGGGAATGAGAGTGCAACGCCTCGGCCTGGAGTATCCAGAACCACGGGGACAGGAGCACCGCCTTCTTCAGAATCTAGGTCGTTCTCATCGTACTCTTCAGAGTCTTCCTCGTAGCTAGATTCGTCTGTTATGTCGCTGCCGCTCTGATGCTCTGGGACAGACCATTCGGGTGGACGAGGGATGACATGCAAATGAGGTCTGTCTCCACTACTTTCGAGAGGAACACCAGCTTCAGATTGGGGCGCTGAAGTATCCTCCTCTACCTGGAGGTGTTCGTGCTGGGCTTGCTCTGCAACCTCAGGCAGAGGTGTCTTGGCAAAATTGTGCATGTTGCTAGCCAGGTAGTTGATTTGTGATACCAGATTCATCTGGGAGTTTGTATCGAACCATTGCGCAAATCCGGCTTCTACGGATCTGGCTTCCGGGCTGTTCACACCCTGCATCTCGATGGAGCTGTGCTCCAGAGGGTAGAGTGATGGTACGATAAGTTTCACCGTTTTCACGGCTTGAAGAGACCTCGGCAGACGGTCCTGCTTGGTGGGTTGTATTGGGATATTGAAAGACGTTTCCGAACGTTTCTGGAATAGCGGAAGTCTTCCAAGTCGGCCTTCAAGCTGTTTCGTCTCCATTGCCCTGCGTTTTTCAGCCTGGGCCTTTTGTTCGTAGGTGTAGCTTGGAGCAACGATAGTCGGTTTTGTTGCTACAATCGATGTGGTAGTAGCCGATGTAGTAGGAGTCGGGCGAGGCTGCACAGGGGCAACTGAGCTTGTCCTCTGTGTAGGCGCTGGACTCACAGCACCGCTCCCAACATTAGCCACAAAGGTAAGCTTTGGTCCTCTTTCCAGAGTAGTCAAAAGCCGTTCAAGCTGTCTATCGAGGGTATTCACCCAATTGAGCAAAGTTCCTCTGGCGTTAGTCCGAATTGCAAAGTCAACGATATCATCAAATCCCCTAGACACATTGGCCTGGAAAGCAGCCTCCATTTCAGGATTGGTCACGGTAAGTTTCGGCCGTCCCTTGCCAGGATATGTATTTGGCACATGAAGAACGCATTGCAAGGCGTCCAATTCGAAAGGGAAATCGGGGTCCGAAGGAGCCAGCCCGAACGAGAGAGTCGAACCATTCTCATCACTCTGCTCTTGTGGACGGAAACGTCGCCTCAACTGATTGAGTTGGAATTCCCTCGGGTCATTCTTCTCTACCTTTGAGACCGGTCTGGGAGTCTGGGCCACTTGAGGCGTTGTCACAGCTTGCTTGGACTCGGTCTCACTGATATTCAAGTCCTCAACCGCACTAGCTATGCCGGAGCCTGGACTCTGGGCATTTGCAGTCGACGATTGTGGTCCAGATGACTGGCTGGGTGTGGCCTTCCTCTGCTCGATCGTAGCGGCATCATGAATGAATGGACATTCCGAGCCGGCACGGCAACCTAGAGCGACACGTTAGTATTCAGTTGCATAATCATGACATATGGTATAGACGAAAGACCGAGGTCAAAAGTCCATACACAAAAGCACACGCGCTATCGCACAAGCCCATTCTTCCTTATCATGGGCTATCAACCCTCTCCCGCCTCATAGGTGAACACGAGATAGCCATTTTCAGACGGCACATGCTTTCCTGAAGAGGGTCTGTGCCCGAAAGACGCGTACGTATGTATCTCACATATCAATCCAGCAGCTAGAAAGATGTACATCGGTCCAACTTGAAACTGCGTAAATTCTCAACAGCTACGTACCCTTCTTGGTCGCAAAATAACGACATTTGGCCCTTTTCTTAGCGGCTGATTGGTGCGGCGCACTCGCCTCCTGCGAGGATACAGCGCCACGCGTTCGCGCCGGGCCTGCCAACTCATCAAGGGCGGCGGGCGGCTGGATTTCTGTGCCTGTGCCAGGTTCTTGCAGTGAGCGTGTGATCAAAAAGGTTGCGGGCCGTTGGGTCCGCCCCGAGGCATCAGATAATGAGTATGAAGGGGCCCCGGCAAGATGCGGGTGATCAGAGGGGCCTGAGTGGGCATGAAGGCATGAGGACTCAGCCACCTGCAGGGTTGATGTCTGGTTTGTGGAAGTGTATATGGGCATACATGCTCTCGCCCTTTTGCGAATGGATTAGGCCGACAGCCTCCAAGCATGACTGGGGCAGGGCGAGACCTGCGTTGACTTTTGGGGGCGCTACCATGACCGGCGCCATGTGTGGCCGGGGCGGATGGAGATAGGGCTGTCACTCACGCTGCACTTGGGGCTCTGGACCCGCTGGGCTGTCAGTTGACCCGTTCTCCATGGCGTGGGAGACTAGGAGTACAGTAGGAACGGATCGGGGCCAGTTCTGGAGGTTGACCAAATTAGACTGGAGTGCGACTTGTCGAAGTGACGTTTGAGTTGCCAACGCAGAGATCGGGTGACCTGCCCGGGGATCGACAGGACCAGATCTGCGGTGCGAAGTTGGGTAAGCCGCGATGCACACAGGGAATTATGGAGGGGGAATAAGTACCGAGTCCGGCGAGGAGGGAAGGAGAGAATGTAAGGAAGAAGCAATTGTAAAACCAGGACTATTTGAGCAGAACTGGAGTATCACCTGGTATAGTTTGCCGTCCGCTGTGATAGTCCTTGTAGTTATAGTTCCCAATAGCAAATAAAAATCGAGGTGAATGGTCGGGCGGTGCCAAGCCTTCAGACTGTCAGTGATCTCACCGCGGGGTTGGAGAGTGGGCCGTGATTCAATCTGAGTCACGCTTTTTGCTATTCTTGACTGTCAACCGCAGTTCACTCAGAATGACTCGTCTATAGTAGTTAGTAGTATTCAGTGACTCACAGTGGATCAGATTGAATAGTTAGACAGATATAATCAAATCTATCTAAAGAAAATTATGCTGGGTATTTACCAAATGCACATCTAATCTGACTGATGTGCATTATTCTAATGCCCGTTTGTACGGAGTAGTGAGCCATGTATCCATTTAGGTACAAACTACCTTTGTCTGTACTATAACTACACAAGCATAACAAAGCTTTATCATTCTTCCATCTAGTATTGCATATATGCATCTCTATCTCTATTGCCACTTATTCAGCACATTCAATCCCCCTCCCACAGGAGCTTCAGGGCAATACGAGCCGATAGCAACCATACAGACCGACTCTTCAGAAATACACCATATCACCCAACGATCTTCATAAAACCACACCAATATTTCAACAGCAAGAAATATCTCCTCATCTGCCCCGCTGGCTGATTCAAAGGATTCGTGAAGAAGCTGGAGGTGAGGGGTCCCGTATGCTGTAGCTGGAGATGTATACCATTAACCCCGCTATGCAACACCACCACAGGGTGGCGAACTTGGGCTCATATGGATGTTATAGACGGAGACAATCGCCGCCACATAATAGGGTCCAATATTAAGGAAGGCGATAAATGCGCGCAGGCATACGATGTTCATGCAGGGGGAGCGTTGCCAAGTATCCCGGTATACTGCTCTGGGAACTCCGAGGGGAAGCATATCATCGTAGGCAAAAGTACTTGATTCCCAGACAAAGAACAGATCTATGTACTAACTATGTACTCTATCGATGACTGCAACCAAACTACCTATTTAGGAAAGTAGCCAAGAGAGGAGAAACATTGCGCTTGGTAATCAATAATAGACTGTCCATTCGATCCCGATTTCACGCCGATATCCTTCCGAGTGGACAAAGACATTGCGCTTAAGGTTTATCAACCCCCCTCAAACTCGTCCCCAACAAAGACTGACCGAACATGGATGATGGATGGAAGGAGCGGATATTCGGGCGATACAATGAGAGCAAATCGAATCGGTCACGCAGCCTCTCCGACCCCGGTCCATACCCTGTCTGTGGCTTTGATAGACTCTGCTAGCTGCAGCGGTCGGAATTCCCAGGACTGGGGAAAGCTCGGCCCTGCTCGCGGCCATGTCGGAAACGGTTGCAAGGGAAGGGAGAAGGGGGGTGGTAAGGTATGCGATACTTTTCCACTGCATTGCTGATACATACATAACTACAGTATCTCAGACTGTTTCTTTAATTATCGGGCGGATAAAGCGTCAAATTTGATAATGATAATTGTGCACATACAGTAGTTTCTTATTGCTTCTTTTGCACTACTCGCCATAGCTCATAATACACAAGGGGAATTATGACATCGTATTAAACAGTACTAAATCTCCCTCTGGAAGCGAGTGTGTCAGCGTGTATCATTGACTCCACCGCGTAATACCAAAATTCCGCTAGCGGTATGTAACACAGCCCAATCGGGATAGTCAGGTAATTGCGTATTTCCATGCTAATCCCAGTTAAGATTAGCGTGCATCTGCAGTTCCAAAGCATCCAACCAAATCGTCCTTCCAGAACCCTTCCAGAAGGCCGCCGCAAAGACCATGGGATTGTCAATCCGCCGACCACGGGGAGCATCACTCAGGGCACAACTCAAATGCAGTCGGTACTTTTGCCGGCATATCATTCTGCCCTGAGTCGAAATGCCAACTTGTATACTGTAACCTACTTCTTTCCCATCAGCGGGGGAGTCGTGGAGTTGGTCTAATGTAAGAATCACTCTTCCCCCGCACGGCGTGTGGTGGGCTTAAGTGGCGGTGATTCGCCGGAGGACAGCGCTCCCCGATGCGGATGCACGTGAGGGCCCACGAGGAGAAATATGATACGACCAACCAGAAGCCTTGTAAATCTCGACGCGGAGTCACGGATTTCGCGTGGGATTTTGAATTTTGGGGGCACACAGTTTGATCATACGCGGTGCTTCTCTTCAGTGTCCACTGTTTAGTCACCCCCACGACTCTTCTGGGAATTTACATTAGCCTTGGGCAGCCAATCCTGGTGCCCAAATTCTCGGCATCCCACCGAGCCGGTTCGGGATCGGTGCAAGGCTTGACATGTTCCATGTTCCCTATATGCAAGGTATTGTAGCCTAGAATATGCAGTTGAATTGTTCCGGTGGGGGACAATAGCTCGGCTGGCCACAGGATATGCTATGGAGGCAAATCCGAGCCTATAAATAATTGTAACTGAAATTAGAAGTCGAGACAAGAGAGTACAGTACACGTACGGAGTAGAGTTTTCGAGATTCCCTTGAAGAGATTTCAATGCTGTTATCAAGGGCCACCACAAACCGGTTTAACCTCTGATCAGTTCTAGAGCTCAATCGACCCAACAGGAAACCCGCACTGATCGCTGCGAAGTCGATCAACTCACCGGTGGAGGAGTTCCAGAACACAGAACTTGACTGGCGACAAGTCTCATTGCATGTCCATATCTATCAAACGATCCAGTAACCACCTGCGGAGTAAACCTCATCGAGTTCTCCAGTTGAAAATATACCAGATAAGGAGGCAAATAATCAGATCAAAATAGATTCAAGAATCTAGTTCCACAGAGAGTGGCGCGTCTGGCACATACGTATGCGTCGCAATGCCTTGCTCCCACCTTTCTGACATTCAGACTGAGATTCAACATCGGCCTCACATACAGAGTCGGCTTGCCGAAAACAATCCCTACGAAGTATCCAATCCCACCCTCACCAATCAGCAACTCGACCACTGTCAGAGCGTCAACTACACAAAACGAGCATGTCCACTTTCCGACGCACTGTCATTTGCCCTAATCGCCTCGCCGTTTGACTCCTCCCATTCGTGGGGGCATCACTATCCAGAACAGTGGGCATCGGAACCACTTCAATTGTCTTGACAGCCACCAGAAGGGGTAACTACGGCGGACATCCGGCGTATGGAGGGAAAGTAGCCCTCAACGAGGTTAAAAACATGTCACTGTAAAACATTTCTGTACCGGTGAGTCGAGCCTGGGAGGCTGGTCGACTCATCATAGGTCCTCAGGTGTGCGGTTGACTCCACTGAATATCCACATGGTGGGAGACCAGGAGAGCTGAGATCGCAGCTTGTAACAATGGGTCTTGACTCTTGTGGGTATTACATACATGGCTTGCGGATCCTTTTTAAGTAACGTGACTACATTGAATATGGATTAGGCGGTGCTTGGGAAGTCTGGAGGTGGCTGGACAATTTGACATGAAGCAATGGTCTACTTCGTTTGTATACTTAATCTAGAAGGAGGCGGTGCAAGTCCTGCACCGGTCCCGCCGCGATTCCTCTTTTACTTACTACTGTAATATCGCTTTATGTACGAGTACATATAAGCTCACAGACACCCCTGCCTACGTCCCAGAGCAACGGATAATCAATGAATGTATACCGTTAACGTGACCATCGAATTTTGCGGCGCAGGTACCATCCACAGTCTACCCTCCACAAGTGCCCTGGTACACAAATTTTTTGCAAGTCACGCCCCACGAAATTCGGGGGCCTTCGGAAAACCGCACAATTGTACATCCACTGGAGAACAGGAGGCTCGAAGAAGAGGAGAAATGAGATCCAGCGTCGGGCGTTTTAGGAACGGAAGTGTGGGGAATGAAGCATTAAAAATCTGTGAATCGTACTTTTTGGAGCTTTGGTGGTCCACTTTTTGAGACCGAACTTTTTCTTGTGCGTTTGAGGTACTTTCATTTGTTCCTGTATTATTGAACTTACTACTACTGTAGGTCTTAGCCGCTTAGTGACGGTAGACGTGAAGAAAAAATTACATATTTTATGTACAGTATGCACTCGTCTAACTAATGATTTACTAGGCCTGTCCAGGATGAGTCGAAGACTCGAAGTGGTTCCTAGAAAGGTAAGCTTCGGAGGTTATGGCTACGTCATTGGGAAGGGATAGGCGCCCGGGGAGGACGATTTGGGGTATAACCGTAGAGGCATGAGTTTGACATTTGTGACATTACACGAAAACGGTCAAATTTACGGAATGATACTACTCAAATTGATCTACGGTTCTCAATATTGCCATACCATAGGACACGGCAAAACGATAGTTTGCGGACTGAAGGAACCGAGAATATCTAAAGTCATGTGTTCGGTCATGTGTTGATCCACCTGACCGAGGTTGACATGACATCAAAATAACGAAGTGATGAAAGAGTATCAACCCGTGCTTCTTCATCATAGATAGACAAGCTACTGCTACAAATTGACAGGAGCTAATTAAACATGTGAACACCGTACCTGACAGCCACTTTCCAGAAGAACCCGAAAAATGATCCCCCTCGTGATCATGACTTGATATGTATGATGAAAGGCTCCTGCATCATACTGATCACGATGAGGCTACATTACACCCGGGAATGAACTTCCAATCACCCCTGACCCTGGATCCTAGCACAGTGCTATCCATAGCTAACTACTTAACCTACCCTAACATGGCAACTTTGCACACCTACTCTACCAACACTCATCCCGAGTCTAGACCTCCCCGCCAATCGATCGACATCTCCGATCGTCAATGCTGTGGCAAGAGTATGAGCAACACAGCTGCAAGAGCTTGAGCTGTACGGAGTACCTCTGTCCGTTCTGTCTGTCTAGCTGTCTATTCTGGGTCATGCACAACACAGGATCTGAGCGCTTATCTCGTCGAGTGACATCGATGCCACCACCACCACCACTGGCAGTGCAGGAGCTAATGTAAAGTAGATGTCATGGATCCGCATGTGAAGCGAACAGTGCTCAACAAGTTTGGAGTGGTTGGAGAATCAGAATACTTGATTCTGGAGGTCTAGATTCTGAAATTCGTAACGAGGCGTTGTAGTAGCTATGATCCATGTTCTTTGGTCATTACTCTCGGCAGTAGCTTCTATCATGTAACTATATCCGAAGTTCTTCGGTACCTACCACTCCGTATACTTAGTGCTTGGGAGGCGAAAGCCCCCTTCTCGGTGACGCCGGAGAATAATATCCTTCTTCCCCTAGCCACTCGGTACTTTTGTCTTGCTCTTTTCTTCCTCCCACCTGACCCTTCCCCTTCCCCTTCCGTTGGTGCCTAGCTTTTAGTATTGAATAGTTATTTTCTAAGCGGTAGCCCCCATCTTAAATTAAGAAGTCCTTAGCCCAGGACAAGCTAACCCATTCACTATTTAGATCTGAGATTACCCAGTGTCCCGGTGTCCCATGAAACAACCGGTGCCCACCTAGGCAGGTAGTAGTACTACTGTTGTATGTGTACCAATAACAAAATCTTACACTACTATCGCACAATCATACCTAGCTATCTCACGCTCAATGTTGATACTCCACTACCTCTACTACCGTGCACTCCAGTCTCCTCCTGATCTGACATACTTCGTAGTTCGTACTGTACATGTACATCCAGCCCTATCCCTATCTACCCTTCCCACACGCAAAGCAAAGCCGCCACCGAGCCTCCCAATTAACCCATGCATCGTAATCACGCCAAAGAACAACCTAGACCACACCAGACGACCTAGAAGGCTAGAAGGTCCCTTTCAACTTCCAAGTCCAGCCCATCTTACGTGTCAGCGCCACCAAGCCCAACACCCACGCAAAATCCCACAAGATACTTATTCCACCAGCCATTCCTCCGTAGTAGAACATAAGTAGATGGAAACAAGGATACCCCCCGGGCCATCAGCCACAACGCAACGCTCAATGTTCTGCAGCACTCCAGAGCGCTCCAGCGCCCGTCCCTCCTACCCCCCTCTTCAACCCTCCCACCAGGTAGTAGGTAGGTCCAGACCGCCAATTCCACATTCAATGCATGGCGCCAGCCATGATCTGAGAGTCTGCATGTTGTGGCTTCACGCACGACGCTTGAAGGTAACTGTATAGGTGGTCTTTTTACGGAGTAAAGTCTGCTCTACAAAAGGCAAGAGTCCGATACGAGGCAATGCATGAGGAAGCAAGGTTGGTCAGAAGTTTGCGTTCCATTGCCAGGTTTTTAGGTCTTGCGTTCTGTTCTGTTCTTGCGCTTGGAAATTGTATTCATTGGGTATGTAGCGTACACGGGGATAAGGTAGGGGATGATTGGGTTTCGTAGCTTTGCCAGGACAAAAGTGCAGGCAGCATCGAGAACCGGGGGAGCTAGAAGGAACAAGCGCGTGGAGTCTGGTATCATAGAGTAAAAGCAAAATATATGAGAAATGAAATGGAGAGATTCCTAGGTCGTAGCCATAGGAGAGATTGCTCTTCTAAATCCGTCTCTATTCGAGAGGCTGCGAAAGAGAGATACAGGACAGCGCTGATGTATGGAGAAGAAGCAGTTTTTTTGAGTAGAACATTTTTGGTGCGAAAGCTTTCCAGCCATGAAAAAAAGCAGGTTGAGAGACTGCTTAGTGTGATGCTCAGGGGAAACACCGTCTTGCGGAAGAATGAAGGAGAAACAGAAGTCAAATGTTTTATCAACCGTTTCGAGCGCCCGAAAGTGAATCGTGGAGAAAAGGTAGAGATGGGAATCATGGTAATGTAATAACGGGACGTGGGATATTTGAGCTGTACATGAATTAAGTTCGTAAGGGACACACGATAACCTCCTCCTGGTCCTGATCTGACAGGATGGAATGGTAAAGTAGAATGGAAAGGTTGGTTTCCAGAGAAGAAGAATCCAGGGAGGGACGACAACGCCCAGTTGAATGCTGTAACCGGAGTACACCCCGAGAACCCCAAGAACCCAATTGAAACCGACCCCCCTTGGCCCCATAACAGTTGACATGTGAAAAAATAGAAGAAAGCAAATCCGTAGAATGCGCCTAGATGCAATGCATGATCATAATCGTGAAAAAAGAGTCGCTATGTCGCAGGACAAGACATCAAATGTAAGAAGAGTGTGGCAAACAAGTCCTCGAGCCCAAGTGGACTCCAGCTTCATGTTTGCATTACCAGCCCTTGACGTGGTACTCCCATGGTCCATAGTCAGTGGTGTAGTTAGTCCAAGAGCCGTTCTTTGCAAGGTCTTTATCGCGAGCGTGGCTGTCACCAGCAGCGGATGAGCCGACCGCGCCCGTTACCCGGTGTGGTCCCTTGTGTCCAGGGTATTCCTGGAGGTTCTTCACATCGTGTGCGGTGTGACGGCGCTTAAGGAAGGCGTTGGCGGTCGCGCTCTTCTGCTGGCGCTCCCAGAGAAGATGTCGGCGAAGGGACTCGGTCAGCTCGGTCGCAAGCATGTTGCGACGGGTGGTGCGAGGTGAATGGGCAGCGGACTGAGGGTGGGGGAGGCTTCATGACAATTGGTTTTGATCGAGGAACGTCGGGACCGCGCATGGTCAGACTCTCCTCTTCATTCTCTGGGGGAGAAGCTGGAATAGAGGGACCGTTGGGGGATGTCAAACGGGATCGCTGGAGTGCTGGACTGGACCGGAAAGCGTTTCCTTGCATGCGAGCTGGCTGGTGCATCATCATAGTCAGAAGCGACCGACGAGAGACCAAGTTCGGGCGCGAATCGACTCGCTGGAAAAGCTCCGGTCGCTCGTCCACGCTAGCATTGCCACTTTCCGTTACCGAGTCCTCCCAGTCCGAATCCTCGTCATCCTCAATGGCGCTCTCCGAGACCTCGTCGTCAGTTTCGATGGCGTCCTCGTCGGAGCGAAGAGGGCTCTTCGATGGTCGGATTGTGTCGACGTGGTCGCTGAAGGAGGCCACCTTCTTAGAGGGGCTAGGGTTGCTCGTTGCCGGCTTCAGTCCACCAGCAGTTGTGTTGTTCTGCGGAGCCTTGGGGCCCATGCGATCTTCGAAAGAGCTTTCATCGTCGTCACCAGAGGATCCACCCAGTGTGAACACGCCACCCTTCTTCTTAAGAGGGGAAGGCTTGAGCTGCTGGACTGTTGCAGCAGAGGGACTCGAGTTGGCTGCCAGGTTGGTGTGCGATCGGAACGAAGAGGAGATGTGCGAGGGCGAGAAGCCGCGGACAATGCTGGGCGACTTGATCAACTCAGCGCGACTGGGGAGAACTCCAGAGGAGGAGACGCTAGTATCAGATGCCGTGGCATTGGCTGAGTCGCTATCGTTGCCTTCGGGGGCAGTGGTGGAGCAAGACTCGGTCGATTCACAGGGTTGCGGGGTGGGACGAGGGAAGGTTGGAACCTGTCGAGCAGTAGAGACGGGGGGAGGAGCAGGAGTGGGAGTGGAGGGACGAGGAGTAATGTCGACAACTGGAGCAGCAGGCTGAACCACGGGGGTCAGTGGCTGCAACTGCTTCCGCTCCTTGATGTTAAGAACCATGCGCTCCAAGTCCAGCGAGGTGATGTGCTTCTCCTTGCCACGACCCAGACTCGCCAGGGAATCTTCACGGACGACGGCAGGTCGGTAATCGGAGAATTGAGGACGCTTGATGTGGGCTTCGATCCGCTCGGCTTGGTCGGACGCGGCCGACTCAATACTGGCGGAGAGCTCCGGGACGTCAGCCGCCTCGGAGCGCACCTTCGGCATGGCGGAGGAGTTCTTCGCTTTTTCGTGTTCGACACAGAAAGTTTCATGGGTCCAGAGGCGCCAGCTTAGGTTCTCCAGGCGTCGGCCCTGGTCCATGTAGTCGGCACATTTTGAGAAAACTGTGCGAGTCAATTCCAGTCAGTCTTTAACTCTTGAGGGTCTGGTCCGCAGACAGGCATTTCTGAGGTATTCCAACTTACCCATCCACATTCCATGAAGCGACTGAGCGTTTGCGGTATCCACCTTGTGAATATTGTCCGCGTCCACGGACAAAACCGGGGTTGTTAGAGGCATGTTGACGGCGCCACAACTAGGGTTGGAGTGGCTGCAAGTGTGAGATATCGTGAAAGTGGTGTTTCCGGGGTCGCCGTCTTCCCCGAGAGTGGTCGTACGGCGCGTAGAAGCTGGAGTCGAAGGTTCACGAAGGATCTGCGGTCAAGCAAGAGGTGTTGGAAACTTCGAGTCTGGACCCTGCACAATGCTGCAGAGAAATGGTTCAATCGAAATTTCTGAGCACCAGGTGTTGCAATCTAAAGTTCGGGGCACTGAAACCAGCGAAAACACGAGTGGAGGCGAAGAACGGGTGAGTTGGGTGGTGAATCGAGATTTCCTGGCGAGCCGAGAATTCGTCAAGATTCCGTCAGGGCGCCACCGAGGTGAGAGATGCGGAGATGGTAGTGTTGGGTAGGCGAGAGATTTCCGGGCTGCGATACGCGTTGAAAGAGGGATTGACGCGTTCCCGGTAGCTGAACAGATGGTGGCAGGGTGTGGTGAGTGAGGTTGGTGAGGAGAGAGTGGAGGGAAGGAGAGAGAAGGAGATGGGGAAGAGGCAGTCGGAACGATAATAAGAATGACGGGGGCGGCAGTGGGTGGAGTGGATGTGGAAATCGCAGAGAGGGGGAGTTGGTATTAATTTTTTTTGGGAAAAATGCGAAAATAAAGCCCAAAGGGGAAGTTTTAAAGAAAAGAAAAATGGATTTAATCAATATGGGAGTGTATTGGTGGTGACCATACGACAATACAAGGAAAGAAGCCGGCCTCCGTACCAGAAAATCAACCCAAAGTCAAAAATCCCGAAAATCAAAAAAATAAATTCCCAGTGGGCCAAAAAAGGGCCCCAAACAGGCCGAGGCCGGTGAAGAAAAATTCAGTCGCATCACGGGGCCCGATTCTTTACGGAGGACGGAGTACGGAGTACATCCACGGTACTTGCGTCTTACGCCTCGTACACGCCAACCAGCTATGGTCATCGGTCGTCCCCCGGTATCTGGAGAACAGCCAGCCCATCTGCTACCCTTGACTCCTATTTATTTTACCTGGGGCCTTTCTTCTTCCGAAGTCGCCCCGAGCTGGTAATAAAAATCGTGAAAGGGCGGGTATTGCGCCCGTGACTCAAGGTACATTACTGGGCTGTTTCCGGACCTGGTACTGGCAGATCCAAAGACTGTTCGCAGTGCTATGTGCAGTTAGCTAGCTGGAGTACACTCCTTCATAGGTAGTCGAAGTTGAGCTGGGTATTCTATACTCCGACTCCAGTATTATTGACCATAGAGAAAGGTCTTAGGAACCTCGCAAAATTCGATGAGAACCTGTGACCAGCTGGGGCAAACTAGCACATCAGCAAAGGGGGAATCCCAACGAAATCAAATCAAATTCAAATGTACTAGGATGAGATGAGTAGATGTGTTGCTTCGGTAAATGACTTCTCCTTGAATGCATTCACTAGAGAAAGAAAGACATAGGTCCATTTCGGTTTCTAGGCCTCCTTGCCCAATCCTCCACGCCACCGGCTGGTCGTTTGAACAATCGCCATCGCCACCATAGTTAGCCAAATGCTGGTCTTGATGATCCCGATCCTTCAGTGATCCTAGACAACGAGCTGGCCTACTGACTGATCAATTGTCGCACCACCAGTTATTGGCCCGCCTAACAACCCTCCCCAGACCGGCTGACTCGCCCACTAGGGAAATAAAGAATCTCCCTTGAGATGTAGTTTAAATACCTATAGCCTCGAGGTACTTCCCATTATCTATGTCTTTCCTAGTTAAGGAACAAGTATATCCAACATCTAAATGCGGAACAAGAACATTCGTAATGCGTAAGATCTCCATCTCGTGGTTTAGCTATTTTCGTCACGGACTGGGGGGGCTGTTTCTGGGGGAGGGTTGGGGCAGCAGTTATGTGGGACAGACACCGCCGTCCGCAAGGAGTGATCGCCTTGTCCTTTCCCCAATATCTCTCTAAGCCACGTTGAGAGGTCACAGATTCGGAGGACAGCCTCCCCTGCTCGTTTTTGGATTAATTATTTGTGGGAGGTGAGCAGCCGATAGTTCAACAGCCGATGGTGATTTCAATTCCCGGATAGGCTGTTGAAGTTGAGTCCATACTCGCAAGCGAACCATTTCAGCTCTAGATCTTACTCCATATACTCCGGAGAATAGAGTTAACAGTGAATGAATTTAGTCATGATATCTGCCTGTTCTAATCTACTAGGCTAATTCCTACCGATCCCTTTTTCTTTTGATTTTCATTTTTCCCACTAGTGTTATGTACGGGGGATCTGCCGGCTGAAATGCGGCAGTAGAAAAATTTCCAGGGCTGGATGGCTGCACCCAGCGACTAATATTACCCGGCAAAAAGGGATAGTCGATCGAGTTCGAATATTCTTCGTCTTTCTAGGCCAACTGCATACATACCTTCCCCGGGGAACCTGTACCATATTTCCGTAGATCACCCTCACCTTGAAGATATTCCACAATTTGCAATATTCACCTAATCCGTCCTTTGGAGGCATGATCTCTTCTGCAACTTTCCATTGTGCAAGGTGATGCTTCCACGCCGCGATCGGTCAAGGCCCGAGCCCATTTTTTAAGGCTCTGATCCGAACCAGCCAGTATCAGCTGGGATGAAGATGAATAACTATGAAGTCAGCCAGAACAAAGCCAGAGGTTAACGCCAAATCTAAATCTAAATTTTCAAAACTTAACACTGTCTACGGGACCTCGACGCGGCATATCGTTCACTACTGACTACACTGACTACTGCCTCCTTCGCACCCTTATCTCCCCGAGATGCCGCATCCTGGTCACTCTGCTAAACTCCTCCAAACACACGGTAGCCCAAGTGTCACAGCCTCGTAGTCACGAGTCTGCCAGCTGGCATTGCCTTTCCTCTCTGACATGACACAAGGATCAGCATACAATAGTCAAGATCAGGAAGGCCATTACCGGATGATTAAGCGGAGATTCGTCCTTGCCAGTCTGTTGTTATTCACGAGACCTGTGCTTTAATCAGTAGATAATTCAAGATTATTCTTCTGTGGACGGAGAACATACAATCCTTGCGCGCCCGTCGCATTTCCCCCCTTCCCGAATAAGGATTAGAGACGCCTCACCCTGAGCCCTCCTCCTTCTAAGCTTCGCCCCTAGCCCGAGGGATTGGGCGACGCTACTGGACCGATCGACTGGCGGACATGGAGTCGTACAGGATGCATGTTTCATCCATCATGTGATATTATTTCCACGTCAAACGAGAGTCGTTCGGGAATGTGGAGTCTTTTTCTGTGTTGCCTCTTTTCCGGTGTGTGATGATTGATTTTCTGGTTCTGGATCATCTGGGGATCCCAGTGGGGCGGAGGAACAAGGAAGCTTTTGCGGGGGAGAAAGTCCGGGCAGTACTCGGAGAACGTAAAACTGTAACTGGGTATACTTTGAGTATATACGTAAACATGTACTTATTGTATATTAACCGTTTAAATGTCAAATTCTAATATGTATTTAATAATTCTAGATACTGCACTTTACTATGATACCCCTAAACACTTTAAATATCTAGGTACGCGTGACTTCTACAGAGCCTTATTACTCGGCCTGCCCACGGAACATGCACCGGCTCCACCTAGTCCCGAGGGACCGGGCTAATCGTTTGATATGGTTGACCTTCGCGATGTCCGGTGAAACGGGGCAAAGGCTAGCGAACCGCCGCAAAATGTCAAGGATCAAGTCAATCAATTATGGTTCATATATGGGAGTGCATAGTTTTTACATACAGGACTTGGTTATTGTCCACATATCCGAGTGGCAGTCCTCTGATTCGCCCGAAACAGCTCCATAGTCCTCATTTTTTCGGCCTGGATGTACTACTGTATGACACGATTTTCAATATCACACACAGCCTGCAAGGCATTTCACCATACAGCAGCGTGGCTGTCAAGCTGCTGACCATGGTGGTTGATCATGATATTAGGTCTATGATCACTATAGGCAAAGGTTGACTTCCTTACCCTGATTCTTTTGCCCTCCCTCGTCGTGATGACCTCAGAAACAGGCCGGGAGAGAAGCCCATCGACTCAGCTAACGGTTTAACGGTCTCACCCTGTCTATAATTCGGGTGGTACCAGACGGTGGCAATTTGACGCTGCAGTATGTACGGAGTACTGTTGAAGGGGCCGATCAACGCTGGCTGAACGAGGATCCACCCCCACTGAATCTGAACCATGAGGAACTTTCTTAGAAGGCTGCCAATAATGAAACGAACATCCCGATTACTGTAGCGTTACAGGGCCATCTCTCCCTCACTACATAACTAGTTACCCTGACAGACTTTCTGACTAAGGAGAAGCTATGGAGCCATCTGTATGCTCCAGTCGGGTGCAGTTAATTAGAATTGGCGGAGGTCACGCCCTCGTAAGCGGAATTTCGGGAATCGAACATCCACGGCTCCATCGTGCTCTCTCTCGCTCGCTTCGTGCGAGACTGCCAGCCGAGGCTCGCTAAATACTCCGGAAAAATGCTTGCCGAGGCGAGCTTGGATATTGGACACGCGGGAGGTCATACGTAACAGCAATGGAGAAATCCCATGTTAAAAGAGCCGCCACTGATGCCGCAAGATTGCCAGCGAGGGCCCGAGGCGTGGATCAGAAGATACAGTACATGGATCGGGTACAGGTGGACGGACAGCTGACTGCCTAAGGGAAGTCGATGAGGAGCGCGCTTCGGTTCGTCGATCATGCCTGCGGGGACAATCCAGGCCCCGCGGGAGGAGGAGAAGCAGGAGGATTCCGTACAGTACGGTTCATGCGCGGTATAGCTATTATCCAGCACGAATTAATGGTGCAGTTGTATGGACTGTATGTACTGTATGCTCTCGCGTAATAATCCGGGGGGCAAAGACGGACGGGTAAAGTATTCAAGACCTCAAAACTGAAGCTCAGTGGGCGAAGCAAAGGAAAGTGGGCAAGTGGAGAAGGACCACTTAAACCTGTGGCAAGGTCACGAGCACCCTCGTCACATGATAAGCCCCCCAGCCATTTGTGACATCCCAGTCTTACGGACATCTTCCCCATACCGGAATCTCTGTCTCCGAGCTGGACTATTTGGTATTTGGGTCTAGCAGTCTACTCTGTAACATGGGCTGAGCAGCCTTGCCAACTGACAGCCACATAATGGCTGTTTTCGCTATACTTGTTACGGAGAATAGTATATCTATTGGCTGATACCGAAGATTCTCGGTTGTGATGACAGGTACCGGTCGGCTCCAATGAAGGCGGGAGATGTGGGCCGGCCCATGTCAGCTGGTCCCGACCAATTTGATATCCCCCACGATTCGCACTGTCAGTGTCCAGGACATCGGACAACCCAGTCATAAAGCGTGCTGATTGCTTGGTGTAAGAACGATTCTAGCCATTCGAATCCCCCAGAGCACCACTCTAGCACTCCCTTCAAGCTCTGTACTGTACAGTAACTGGCCGTGAGAGCATCCTCACAGCAGGCAGCTGTACAGCTATAGACTCGCCGATCATTCAGCCTTGCCTAATACCTAGTATGTATGGATCATGGATCGTCGAAGTATGTATGT